TATCAAAATCGCTCTGCAATGCCGGAATGTGCGAGGATCGTCCCTGGAATGATGTGATCGTGTTCTAGATTTTGTCCCAATTCCCTGGGCATTATGTCTTTCACCCAAATTGCCAAGCTGGTCGGCGACCGGTGGCAGAAGCTAGATCCAGGAGGTAAAGAGCCGTTCGAAGCCCAGGCCAACGCCGCTAAAGAGAGGTACAACATACAACTGTCGACGTATCGCAAGACGGATGCATACAAGGAATACATGCAATACTTGGCAGATTTCAAGAGCAAGCATGGACAGCCCGCGGAGCCAAAAAGACCTAAACTCGAAGCTGAATCTAGTGGGAGCATCATATCAACCAAGTCATTAGAACTCCAACCTGAAGCTGTGCCTCAGGCCTCTGGACACACTCGAGGTGGCTCTGTGGGATCTGTTGCATCTTCATCGCTTACTGGCGGAGCTATGCAATCAACTCCTTCCGTACCCGTGATGCCATCGCGCCCGCCACTGCCTTCCTCCCGCAGCGGTTCGCCTCCCATTCCTGCGACTAGAGAATACTTCCGCCCAGGACTGTTATCAAGCCACAGTTCTGTCTCAGATGAGTCGACTACTGTGCGAAGTGAGTTGCCAGAACCGGTAATGCGGACGGCAGCTCTTTCCCTGGGGGCTGGTGCCTCGGTGCCACCACCACTATCAGCACAAACTGCCACTGCTTCGCCAACGGAAAACATGACAACTCCCGACCATCTCGAACGTTCTAGAATAGCATACTTTCTTCAACAGCAGAATCCCCCCACACCCCCCTTCGGCCCTCAAGGAATCATGAGTGCCCCGGCTCACTTGTCGCCTACAATGCAGGAGATGACCTGGAGACAGCAGCAGCGAGGCTCCGATCCCAGAGCAGCATACCAGGAGATGCCGAGGACACTGCATGCTTCACTCCCCTACAACACCGCGACACACCAATTCCAACACCCATCACGATTACCAATGATGTCGTCAGACCGACCACCAGACTTTTCGCAAGGCGCAAGCATGCGGACGCTACCACCACCCCGGCCACCATCCACCACCAGCCAAGCCTTGTCTCAATTGGGCTCACCTTCGCTGGGCGAAGAGCCACCGTATTTCCGACGACCTGTGCGAGAAGACGCACGACCTCAATTAGATCGGTCAGAGAGCGATGCCGCCAGCACCCTGGCTGGGCTAGCAGCTGGAGTTCCCCGGTCGGACACAGCGAAACCTATAAAGCCTCCTCCCCCACACACAGCGCCCTAGCATGCGGCACTTGCAGCGACGGGACTGATTTCCCAACGACGATATGATGAGAAAACACTGGCGTCATTAAGTTTGAAACTTCACGCCTCTTGGAAGAGAAGCCTTCCTGAAGCGTTTTGAGCCGCAGAGTCTAAAGAGTGCCGACCTTCGGGTTTTCTCTCCACGTTATCCATGCTTGTAAAATCTGTTCCTTGTCACTTTTTTTATCCTTCTTTGCTCTGCTCCTACTTCATGGGAACGTCCAAGGCAATATCTTGGCTTGATCAAAATACTACATTCCGGAATTGACCGAGAATTTAGAACCCTCTTTGGGAGATGTCCGAAGCAGCATATCCCTTAGGTGGAAGCAACTTTGGATAGACCGAGAAATTGACATCGCATTCACAACAGAAGTATATCTTTCAGAATCTCCTATAGTCCAGCACCTGATTTGTTTACAGTACATTTTCGATCTATTGCTCGTGTTGAACCCCGGACTCCAGGGATTCAAGGATATCCTGCAGGTTTGCTGATAGCCGAAATGGCCGTCACGTGAGGTCTCCAAGTATCCATTGTCGTATTCGTACTCGTCCTAGGGCTAGGGCTACGGCCGGGGTTAGGGTTAGGGACCACCCCCAGAACAAGGCAGACCAGAATGGCCAGCATGCGATTAGCAGACTTGAGTCAGGGTTACAGTGTAGTAGAAAGCACACTCATACTGTAGCATCTCGATCGAAGCGGGGGGCTTGTTTATCGGCTTGCTCCCCCAGAGGCCGCGATAACCGGCAGGGACCAGGCTGTCAGGTAGCCTTATCGTCAAACACGAAGGTGCAGAGCTTCATTTCAGAGTCGACGAATAAGGAGGGGGTTTTAAGCATTCTACTTAGGCTTGATCTGCCTTGAGGCCTGAGAAGAGTGGGATAGAGGCATGACAAGCTAGTCGTAGGGCCTTGTTATGGCAGAGTGAAGGGGCGTCGATCATGCCATTTAGCGTGTTCCATGCTGCAGCCAACCACAAATAGGCATCCGTCTCCCATCTCACGACCTCATCTTAATGTCAACACCAGCACCATCGTCCGTGTGCGTTTTCCATCATGGATTCGCTTTTCTTTTGTCCCTAGCATTGTCACCCATTTCATGCATCGTATCAGTCCATGTTTCATTAATTCCGGCTCAATTTCCCCCAAGCGCCAACCTAAGTCTGCATGAGCACCATAACAGCCTTGTTCTCCCGTCTTCCACCCAATGGAGCAGCTGAACATGCTTTTTCTTTTTAGATGAGCAATACCGAATGTTCCTCGGCTGCTTGGCTCACACTGCTTTCTTCTCGAATCACTGCCCTGCACAGACATGTGCCCTCGAATATTTCAATTGAACCTTGGTTATCTACCTTCTCGAATTGTCTATGTCTCCGTGACATTCCCGGTCTTTGACGTCCCTCAACGGGTCCTTCAATATCAATGATCGTCACCGAAGGGTTCCAGTGTATCATCGCGTTATGTTTGTCTTGATTCCCTGCAGACCTCATGCATAGAGCATTGGATCCGCTCCGTGGTATCAGGGAAGACTTCCACCATGATATACATATATAAGCACAGGGCAAGTATGTTCTCTCAAGCAACTTTTCCATCATTATCATCATCATCATCATTCACTCATTTTTTTTGTCTCAACGACAGTATCACGGTCTCTACCTCCCCATTGCCAGCACAACCGCCATTCTTTTGTAGTTTTTATTCAAAAACGTCCATTCTTTTCCTCCATCAACCATGCATTCTCTTACGGTTGCGCTGGCACTCTCTGCCCTGGCATCGACTTCGCTGGCGAAGCCCATACCCGCCCCTGAGGCCTCAGTCAACACAAAGAAAGGTTTCACTGTCAATCAAGGTCCCGCAAAGCCTTACCAGGCCGGTCCTGTTCAGCTGTTGAAGACCTACAACAAGTACAATAAGCCTGCCCCTGCCGATGTCAGCAACGCTGCAACTAGTAATGGCTCTGTCACTGCTACTCCTGAGCAATACGATGCCGAATATCTTTGCCCTGTCTCCATTGGTGGTCAGACCTTGAATTTGGATTTTGATACAGGGTCCAGCGACTTGTAAGTATGACTAAATGTTGCACCCTAGAAATGGATGTTGACCATAAACAGGTGGGTTTTCTCCTCTGAGCTGTCAAGCTCTCAGAGCCGTGGTCACAGTATTTATGATCCAACCAAATCTTCCACGTCGAAGGAACTTTCTGGGGCCACTTGGAACATCAGCTACGGCGATGGCTCTGGCGCCAGTGGCAATGTTTACACCGATACTGTCGATGTCGGAGGCACTACCGTTACGAGCCAAGCTGTTGAATTGGCGGAGACAATTAGTGCGCAATTCCAGCAGGACCAAGACAACGATGGCTTGCTGGGTTTGGCTTTCAGCTCGATCAACACAGGTGAGTACTACCGGCAACTGCCTCGTAGTCGTTATTAACTTGAAACAGTCAAGCCTCAGCAACAAACCACTTTCTTCGACACGGCCATTAAAGAAGGTGTTCTTGAAGCAAATGTCTTCACTGCCGACTTGAAGAAGGGCGCTCCTGGCTCTTACGACTTTGGCTTCATTGATAGCAGCAAATATACTGGCGACATCACCTACACAGCCGTGAACAATGGCCAAGGATTCTGGGAGTTTACTGGCACCGGTTATGGTGTTGGAAATGGCCAATTCCAGTCCAGCAGCATCGATGCGATCGCTGACACGGGCACCACTTTGATCCTCGTCGACGATGACATTGTCTCTGCATACTATGGTGAGGTCAACGGTGCTCAGTATGATAACAGCCAAGGTGGCTATACCTTTGATTGTTCATCCGATCTTCCCGACTTCATCTTGGGCATTGAGAATACTAAGTTCACCGTCCCTGGATCCTTTGTCAACTTTGCCCCTATCACCGACGGCTCCTCAAGTAAGGCATTCCACAATTTGGGCACGGTCTACTGCTAATCATGTTTCCCAGCATGCTTCGGAGGCATCCAGAGCAACCAGGGGTTGGGCCTTTCCATCTATGGAGATGTTTTCCTCAAGGCTGTCTTTGCCATCTTTGACAACGACAACCTTCAGCTTGGATTTGCGAACAAGGGTCTGTAGAAGACGAGTTCTCTCTGAATTCCTTGACCCTTAGACTCTGCTTGGGCTGGGTCCAGCTGTCGTAGCGTTGGCAGATGCTGCGACCTACATGCACATGAGGGTAGGAGCAGCTATTGTGGGGGGTTTTCAACTTTCCAAGTATATATCCGCGGTGCAGAAAGAATACGCAAATAGTAAGGATTAAAATGGGAATCATGTTATCATCACTCTGCTATCATAAGACGAATAGAAATGGGATTGTTGAAAGAGTTGATAGATGATGAATTCAAGCTGTTGTTCGAGTACGTCATTGTGGGGGAGAATTTGTTCGTCACCACCTGCATAATGCGCATTCTTGAAATCAGCTTCATAAACACGAAACGATCTCTTTTTCCCACACAAGTCATCCTTGTACCTTGCTGGCAAGAGACTTGGCATTTTCCCAATGTCAGCCTGGTAAATTCTCAATCTTGTTATATGCTGCGGCGCGGCGATTCCGATTTTGCCTGACCAAGTCTCTCTTCGTAAGCGAGCTCAGTCCAGTCCATATACCTACCTACACAGCAGACTCCTCTGTCTTGCTTACACCCGACAAGATGGTCACCACAACGACCTCGTGTTCTGTCGACAACAACGACGGCCCTGGTGGCTTAGCTTTTTCCGAACCTTCCAAACCTCAAGATCGTGCTGCGCGTGATCTTCCTCCAAAATCCTACGCGCAAGCTCTCGACGCCGAAAACAATGACACTCCAAAGTTCGGAGGCAAGGAGGAGGTGGATAATGGCTCTGCTGTCAATGGGAATGGCACTCGTCGACAGGTCAATGGCCACACATCGTCGGAGGTGAAGAAAAAAGTAGATGACGAAAAAGTCCTCTACCAGGAGCACAAGGGACAGAATGGAGAGAGCTCGTTGACGAGCATCAAGCCGAGCGAAGAGTATGAGAAGAGTCTGCGCCACAGTGTGAAGACGGCGCCCCAGAAAGAAGTCGGACCTGGCAAGGTAAAGAAGCGACAGGACACGACCAGTACGAGTACACATCCAGCAGCAAATCTCGCCAGTGGACGGCAAGCTGGGGCTGGATGGCAGACTTCTGCGTATGATTTGGTTCCCCCCTTCTCGTAATTGTTTGACACGGGCTGATGTTGACACCTATCCATAGGATACGCTGGGCTCCTCTCAATGTCCCCTTGCAACGACGTCTTCAAACCCTCGCAGTGCTGTGGCATACCACGACCATTCCTATATTCCTGTCCCTCTTTTTCCTCCTCTGCGCCATTCCATTGACCTGGCCTCTCTTGATCCCCTACCTCCTCTACATTGTGTTGATCAGCGAAGAGGCTACGAATGGGACACTCTCACGACGGTCGAGTTGGCTGAGACGAAGCAAGTTCTGGTCCGCTTTTGCTAGTTACTTTCCTGCCAGGTTGCACAGGACGGTGGAACTGGAACCCACGAGGAAGTACATATTCGGGTACCACCCGCATGGGATCATATCACATGGAGCGTTTGCCGCGTTCGCGACAGAGGCGTTGGGGTTTGGGGACCTGTTCCCCGGCATCACGAACACGTTGTTGACGTTGGACACCAACTTTCGAGTCCCCCTGTACAGAGAGTACGCTCTTGCTATGGGCCTGGCCAGCGTAAGCAGGGAGAGCATTGAGAATTTGCTGAGCAAAGGCGGCCACAACGGTGAAGGCATGGGTCGTGCCGTGACGATTGTGATCGGTGGTGCCAGGGAGAGTCTAGACGCGAAGCCTCATTCTCTCCGGCTGGTTTTGAAGAGTCGAAAGGGATTTGTGAAGCTGGCGATCAGGACGGGCGCAGACCTCGTCCCTGTGTTGGCGTTTGGGGAAAACGAACTATACGAACAAGTGGACAGCGTAGAGCATCCGTGGATCCACAAGATGCAGATGGTGATCAAAAAGGCAATGGGATTCACCGTACCTTTGTTTCATGCCAGGGGGATTTTCAACTACGATGTCGGTCTCTTGCCGTATCGGCGCAACGTCAATGTGGTTGTGGGCAGACCCATCAAGGTCGTGCAACAAGGTGGTCGGGATGGGAAGGTAGATGAAGCTTACCTTGATCAGATGCATCAGCAGTACACGGACGAATTGCTGTGGCTGTGGAATGAATATAAAGATACGTTTGCCAGGGAGAGAAAGGGTGAGTTGGAGATCGTGGAATAAGAAATAAGAATGACGAGCCGGGTTCGAACATGGACAGGGTGTGTATTATTTGTATAGTATTTTATCGGGTGGGAAGGATCAGGTAGCAACCATTATGATAATTGAAGCAGGTCTACAGTCCACGATCGGTGCTTGGAAGAGGCAAATGACCTCAGCTCACCTAATAGCGAGGACCGAATTTGTCCCTTCCTCAGATCAGTCCTTGTGGCCTTTTTAGGAACGCAGAAGTACGTTTCAACCACTGAACTTCTCATCTCCTCATACAACCGACCTCACCATCACGGCCTACCTAGGAAAAGTTCTAGTTCATCTATTCGTATTGTTTCATCATGCCACCGAAACGGCCCTCTCGTAAAAGCATTGCCGCACAATCAAAGTCGTCTTCTCGTCGATGCCGGAATGAGGTTGCTGCTGCTGGAGCCGATGATGATTATGGTGCGAACGATGTGTCGATGATGGAAGGTGATATGGACCTCAACGATGGCGACGCCGAGAGTGGGACCGAGAGTAATGCAAATGATTTGCGAGACCTCGAAGAGAGCCTTAAGATGAGCATGGTCGTTGATGTGAGTTATTCGCCGGAAGTGTCTGGGACTATCAAAGATAAGTCGAAAACTGACAATTTGCGTGGAACTTGTGTGATTAGACCGGCCTGAGGAAAGAACAGAGACAACGTCATCTCGAAACCGACTTTGAGAATCAGGTTTGTGTCGTGCAGGAAAAGATCGAGGAGAGGAGTGAAAGAAGAAAAAGAGAGGTGTAAGTGCTGCTGCTACCTCTCTTGTTAACTGCCCAGTGTCACTTTTCCCAGATTCACCCTTTTTACTGTGAAAAGGGAAGCGAGGCATCTCTCTCTACCCATCATCCTTCCCTTGTTGCGACACGGATTCGTCAGTGCTGACACATCCTGCTCTTCCCAGCGACCATATCCAAGATGACTTCTTGACGAGACTGCTTACTTTGTCACGTCGCAAGTCTGAATTGGAGACCCAGATCATCAAAGAGACCCAAGAACTAGCCGATGCGTACCTTGGGCTAAAGGAGGAATTTGAAGCGGTGCTCCAAGGAAGGCATGAAGATGTCAACGAGGCAATCACCTCATTGATCAAATTGGAGGACGCCGCTCCTCCGAAGAATTCATCATGAGATGCTATTCCAAATACCTTGCAAGACCTTACTGGATGATGTCGTCGTTGATCACAGGTCGAGACACATGAATATGACACAACTTATGGACTCTAGGCAGGTAATCATCCCTCTTCAAGAGCGAACAAGACCTTGATGAATAGACTGCACCCTTGACAGCCAACATAGATCTCTCCATGCTGACTCTCATTGTCAAGATCGGTCTCGGTCAAAACATAACCTTGTTCATCACCACACCGACAACTCTTGGACCAGATATTTTTGTGCCCGTCATGTTGCAAGTCTTCGAGGTCAAAGACTTCGACACCGATATGTGTATCCTTTTCGTTCGTCACAGAACCCTCCTTTTTGTCAAGTGTTTCATTATAAATCCTTCGCTTTCTGGGATCTGCTAGGACTTCGTACGCAATGACAATATCATCGATCGAATACACCGGAGGGGAACTATCATGGAAGGGGGGCTTTTGGTGTTGTTGTTTCTTTGAGAGAGATACGTGTGCTGCCTTGTCCGGATGATGGATCAACAATGCATTCCGGTATGCTGATTTGATGTCTTCTTGAGACACGCGGCTCCAGTCCGCACCGCGCGGGAGTTGGAGGACGTCGTAGTGGGTATGGGTTGTTGTTTTCTGATGAGTGGTGGACATGGAATTCTCGGGAGTCTCGGACAGGAGATCACATGCGTGTCGATCAAAAGGTCGGAAGAGCACCCAAAATAGAGAAGGATGAATAGATGGTTACGAGTACGGAGCACGAACGAAGTTGTGATTTGAGGCTCTTTCTGCAATACTCGTTGGGGTGGTGGCGCGCCACAGGGCACTATAACAACAGGGGTCGGTCGATCATCGTTATTGTTCTTGTTCCTTGATTCTGCAACCAGCGTGTAAACGGTGTTTCTGCTGACAATGCGTTTGCAAACAGAGGGTATGAGTACGAACAGACGCTGATCATGGCGACACTCATTACATCCTGCTGGATCCTGATTGTGGGGAGTTTTGTCGCTTCGACTCCAAGTTTTTCTACGCCTGGACGTCATCGCCTTCCCACTGTTCCCTCCTTCTCCTCCTCTGGGGTGTGTTCAGGGCCCTGACCTGGCCTGGGCATGTTATGATGATGATGTGGTCTTTTGAGGAGCAACTCGTATGTATTATACATTCGTACGAGGTACTGATTCACTTTTCTTTTCAAGTCTGACACTGGGGAGAACCGTGTATCACCAAACTTGTACTTGTATTTGTATACAATTAGGTAGGCCGGTGCCGGTTTTCTTCTTCCATGCGTATGTTTTGTACTTGTCCTTTGGAACTTGTCTCGTGCCCACCTTTTGAAAACGAAAAGACAAGCTTCTCTCCGAGTCACTCGTCATGGCCAGCGACGACGAATTCGAGCCAGACTCTCGTCAACGAAACTACAGAGCACCCTACACCGCCCGACACCCTATCCCTACCGTCCAAAAGTACAAGGCCGAGCGAAGTGAATTGAAGGGACAGCAAGAAGAGGCCGAGTCCGCACAGCACGACGATGAGGATGATTCCAAGGTGAAACGAGCCTACCACGCCGCCAAGGGCGTAATCACCGGCGACGAGCCTCCGAGGTCCAGGCATGACCCGTACAGGACCGAGAATCGAAACGTTCAAGGCGCAGACACCCATGCCGAACCACGAGAAAGGCCCGAGGCTTCACAAGGAGAAGGAGAAGGAGACGAGCAGAATGAACAACAACAACAACAACAACAACAACAACAACAACAACAACAACAACAACAACAACCAGGACAAGGGCGTTCACCGTCACAAGGTACTTCTGATACTCAAAGTAAGAGCGATGGAAAGTCCGACAAAGAGGCAAAGTCAGCTACCGAAGCTGTCGCGAGCGAGATCGATCCCAGACAAAAGAGGAAGGCTATGAAACACCAAAAGCGCAATGATGGAGGCAGAGAAGTGACAGACCCGGTCACGCATCTTCCAATCGTCATCAGAGACTCGACGAGAAAGGACCTAAAGCGAGCAGATGAGAACCTACCCGCCGTCGGCGAGGACCCGGAGACCAAAACTGGGCCCGCAGGGGCAAGTAAATCGTCCGAAAGTCTCGATCGGGAAAAAGACGAATTACAGAAGAAACACAACGGTATGCAGAAGCTGTTTCCGCCGCCCAGCTTTGACGACTTGAAGAGTGAATTGGCAAAGACATATCAGATCGCCCTCGCTGCCGGGTTGGGGAGTATAGTCCTGCTAGTGTCTCTTTCGATGGTGGCCGTACAAGTTTTTGACCTGGACTTTTCTTCGCGCCGTGATGGCAGAAGGCGCTCAAGTGCAGTTTTCACTACTTTCATACCGGCCGCGGCGATCTTCCTGACTTCGGTCGGTATCGGAGGAGTGGTGGTCTGGATTGTTCAGGGATGGTTGGGCAAGAAAGTCGAGGAGGTGTGGAAGGATGAAGTGTGGGATGCTGCGCGGTCCGAGGAAGTCGAGGCAAATGACTCGACAGACATCGTCCCCGAGTCGGTGTCCTGGTTGAACAACCTCCTTGCCTCTGTGTGGCCGCTGATCAACCCGGATCTGTTCACCAGCATTTCAGACATGCTGGAAGATGTGATGCAAGCCTCTCTGCCGAAAGTCGTGCGAATGGTCAGCGTAGATGATCTTGGCCAGGGCAGCGAGGCGTTTCGGATACTGGGAGTCAATTGGCTGCCCACGGGAGCTGCCAGTCAGAGTGTCGGGTCGGATGGAAAGCTGGAATCTCCGAAAGATCAGGGCAACAGTGACAGGTCAGCTCCTGGTCAAGGGGAGATTCAGGATGGTGATGATGGAGAGGGAGAAGACGGCAACGATGACAAGGATGGAGGTGAGAAGAACAACCAGGGCAAGAAGCAAGATGAGTTGGAACAGCAGGCCATCCGTGAAGGCATGGAAGCAGAGCAAGGTGACTTTGTCAACATGGAGCTTGCCTTTGCGTATCGTGCGAGATCATCCGGAAAGTCCCTGCAAGCAAAGGCAAAAAATGCTCATCTGTACCTGAAGTTCTACCTGCCCGGAGGCATTGCGGTACCTGTTTGGGTGGAGCTGAGAGGTATCATTGGCACCATGAGGTTACGATTACAACTCACACCGGACCCCCCTTTCTTCAGTCTTTGTACCTTGTCGTTCATGGGACAGCCGCAGGCGGATTTGTCCTGTGTACCACTGTCGAGGCATGCGCTTAACCTGATGGATGTCCCGTTGATCTCATCTTTTGTGCAATCCTCAATCGATGCAGCTCTGGCCGAATATGTCGCGCCAAAGAGCTTGACCTTGGATCTCAAGGACATGCTGGTAGGTGATGATTTCAAAAAGGATACCATCACTAGAGGCGTGGTGATGATATTTATCAAATCTGCAAAGGGCTTCAAAGAAGGTGACGGTGGCATCGGTCCGTTTGAAGGCTCGAGCGACTCGTACGTGACAGTATCCTGGGGCAAATTCGGCAAACCGGTCGCGTCGACGAGGATCATTGTCGACGATCAAGAGCCAGTGTGGAATGAATGGTCGAATATTTTGGTGACGCCAGAGGAGGTCAATGCGGACGAGAAGCTACGTCTACAACTGTGGGACTCGGACAAATACACGGCTGACGATGACTTGGGACGTGTCGAGGTTGATCTGAAAGAACTCATGCACGGAACCAAGTTCAAGAATAAGATGGTCGACCGTGAAGACCGATTTGTCGGTGAAGATCCCGACGAGAAGATGCCCGGGACTTTGCAGTGGAGGGTGGGCTACTTTACCAAGATCAAGATCACCGAAGAACAACTTGCACGGCAGACGGCCGAGCCGGACATCAAGTCTCAGGCGGAGCTCCGCGATAGAGTCAACGAGACGGCGCAACGTAAATTGCGCGAGGCCACGGCGAAGGACGAGAGTAAGGAAATCAAGCAGCAGACACAGGAAGATTACAAGGACCGGGAAGACCAGTTAATGATCTCGTCTCCGCCACCTGATGATTATCTGAGTGGAATCTTCAGCATTCAAATTCACAACATTACGGGACTCGAGGTGCAGAAGCTGCAAAAGCAGGACAAGAAGAACAATCAGGGCGATCGCGAAGACGAGGCCGAGCACAGCGACGACATGCCTAGCAGTTATGCAACCATCATCTTGAATCATCAGAAGATTTACCGGACCCGGACGAAGCCAAAGAACGCAAAGCCGTTCTTCAATGCCGGCACCGAGCGGTTTGTCCCCAACTGGAAGACGGCAGAGGTCATGATCAGTGTTCGTGACGACCGTGAGCGCGAAGATGATGCTCTTCTGGGTATGATCTATCTACCGCTACGACGTGTCTTTGAGAAGAGAAGCCAGATCATGCAGACGTACCCTCTGGTGGGAGGGATTGGCTACGGACGCGCACGTATCAGCATGGTCTGGCGTAGTGTGGATCTGCAGTTGCCGAAGGAGCTGATGGGTTGGAATTATGGTACCCTTGAGGTCAAATCTCCCGTTCGCTCAAAGGGTGGCCGCGATGATTCTTTCACCCAGAACCGGATCAAGTTGAGAACGAATCTGATGCGGGCGAAGATGCTACCTTCTGATGACGAAGACAAAGGAGTGTGGAAGCCCAAGCATGAGAAACAGTCATTGTTCTTGGCTGTTCGAAAGAGATATTCGAGTGCGTTGGTCGTGGAGTTTCGCAAGAGCGTGCTTGGTCCGGACAAGACGAGCCAGCTTGCCGTGCTTTGGTTGAAGGACATCCCGGACGAAGAGGAAGTGACGGTTCCTCTTAAGGTGTGGAAGGGTGGAAAGGATGCCATGCATCGTGCGACGACGAGCTATGGGTATGATGGGCAAGAGAATGAAGAGCCCATGGGAGAGATTGAGTTGACCTTGAAAATGTGGAGGGGATTGAGTGGTTATCACAAGAATTATGCCAATCGTGCATCGAATACTGATATTAAGGATGTGATGGAAGTTTTGGATACGGCCAACGATGAAGGACAGGTATCCGATGATGATGAAGATGACGGAGCAGGAGAAGGTGATTCAGGGTATAGTTCGGACTCGGATTCGACAGAGTCTGGAGGGGATACCGAGAGCGATGCGAAACAAAAACAAGAAAAACAGAGTCGACGAAGGAACAACAAGAAACTCCGAACGCACGCAAACGATGATAGTTCAGACGAAGACAGTGATGCCGGCAAGACTTCGAATTCGAAGCTAGACCCCACACAACTGGCGAGCAAACCTTTGGTAAAGGTCAAGGATGTGGCGGAGAAGGTTCTTAACGTCGACGGGCATAATGATCAAGACGACGGTTCGAGAGGTGCCCGGGCACAAATCCGGGATTACAAGGACCATCATAAACAGATGCACAGGAAACACAAGGGGGTGATGCAGTGGAGGGGCGCGAGGACGTTGGATTGGATGGCCGGAAAGGTGAAGCGCGGGAAGGGAAAGATTGGGGAAGTTTTTGAACATGATGATGACAACAAGACTGGAGGAGTTGAGACTGAGGTGTGAGGACGGTCTCAAACATGAGGATGAAGGATTGAGGTTGAGAAAACGAACGGAATTGGTAATGGTATGGAAGAGTCACAACAGGGTGTCTCACACGTTGATGATACAAGCCTCCCTTTGAGTAGAGGCAGGCGACTGAGCAACGAAAAAACAACATGCTCATGATACCCGTGTATACAAGTGGGACTATGGAAAAAAGATCGATTTGGTTGGGTGAGTATCGAGTAATGAAGGCTCCCCAAGCAATTGACATGCTGCCTCGGTACCTTTGACAGGTACTTTTAATGAGTGGTGTACTACCTGTATCCTTACTATAATGCTATCGCACATCTGGACGGATATGTTCACTGGTAACGATGAACTCTTCTTTTTCGATCATCTCGGCCGAAAATGTCGTCCTCGTTACGGAGGGAGTAACTTGGGAAACATATAGAGGGAGTAATTTTGGTCCGTGGTCGGAGCAAGTCATTGACGATACTCCGTGTACGTATGATGGTCTGGCCTGAATCTGGAGATAATCTACTCGGTAGTAGTCGCAATGGATGTGATTTGGTGGGGGTGTATCATCCATATTACTAATTCATCATCTACGCTGTATCTTACTAGATATCTACGGATACGGCCTACATATATTCTGAACTTGCTTATATTCAAATCGCACATCCCTCGCATCCTTCCAACCCAACTTGACGTACGTGTATACATACACTCTATCATCTCATTCCTTTCCGTCTTGACTTGACAAGCGTCAGCTAAGGGTTCCAAGATTTCAACATGGCCAACACCACCACAACTGTCAATGGTGACTCGACCAGTGACAATCCCGAAATCATCCTGTACACCAACCACGGATGTCCTTGGGCTCACCGTGCACACATTGTCATAAGAGAACTAGGGTTGCCTTATAAAGAGGAAATCATCGATTTGGATAGACCTAGAGATCCATGGTATTTGAAGATTAATCCTGTATGTTTTTTGTTTTCCTTCTCCAGACGCCACACACACACACACACTGATCGCCTCGTCATGATTTTCTTTCACAGAGAGGTCTAGTTCCGAGTGTCAAATACAATGGTGAAATCATCACCGAATCAGCAATCGTCTCTGGATTTTTGGCAGACGCACACCCTTCACACCTGATCCCCCCCTCCGATGGTCCCGACTCCAAGAACGCCCTCTACCGTGCCCGAGTGGCTTTCTTCGTCGACACCTTCTTCACAAAGGCGATGCCGAAATTGTTCGCAGCTCAACGTGCAGAGGGTGCCACCGAAAAGGATTCCGCCGCCGAGGAGCTCGCCGAGATTTTTGCAAAAGAATTGGAACCACTCTTCACTTGGGACGTCGTCGACGGGGATTCTCCCTTTTTCGGTGCAAGTAAAAGACTTACGCTCGCAGAGGTACGTTTCTCTCTTTTTTTGGGGGGGGGGCAATCTTGTCCCATCAACTTCCTCGTCCAAAATAACAACGACTTGACTTGTTCTTATCGTGATGTATTTGACAGGCACTCACTGCACCATTTGTCCTGAGACTCATAGCTTTGAGTAAACCAGAATACGACCTGGTTAGTCCCAAGATGATGTCTATGCTGGAATCAAAGACACCGAAATTCGCGGCTTGGGCCAAAAATGTCGTCAAGGAAGAAAGTGTGACCTATGTCTTTGACGAGAAAAAGGTCGCCGAGAGGACCAAGGCGAGGCTTGCCAAAATGGCGGCAGCCGAGAAGAAACTTTGATGATACTGACGAGACAGAACTCGTTGACACTACCTAGTAAGAGTAAAGAAGTCATGTGTATAGATACATAGATACATACATACAGACATACCTAGAGATATATATATATGTGTGTGTGTGTGTGTGTGTTTGATCCTCGAACAATCGTTGCTCATTTTGGTGCACATGTGACGGGTTTGGACCGGATGTGCACGTTACGCCCATGCGAGGCCGAACCCCCAGAACAGCCACGACACAAGGACTCGCTTGATCAAGGAGAAGTCAATTTCACCCACAGAGTCTCGTCCCTCGTCTTCGACGCGCTTGATGATTCGGTCATCCACCAGATAGATCCTCTTGGCTTTGGGCTCGTCCAGGATGAGCACCAAGATAAGTACACAAACACTTTCGGTACCGACGATGGCATGCTCACCCGAACGACAGCAAATTGCCAAAGAGAGTGATGGGTATCCCGATTATGAAATCGAGAATGGAAAAGCCAGCGCCCAAGGCGCAACTCCTAAACGGCCGTTCATGTGGCTAACATTCTCCAAGAGGCTAGGCTGTCGTCACAGCTTCGTATGCGGCCTGCCGCCAGGCCTACTCGTCAACATATTTGTGGTGAAGCGAAACGTAATATCGACCCCTTCATCACCTCTCCATCGAAATGAGCCGCTGGTGTCGCCGCGCTCTCGTCACGCCATCTCAAGATGCCAGACAGGGGCCGGGTGAAAGGTGTGTTGCGGAATGTGCCCCAGACAGAATATTGGGCGGGATTCCGTGCGGTGAGATTGGCCGGCTTGGCTCCGGCGTGCGGTGTCCTCTACGCCTTGTCGGCCAGGGGATACAAAAATCCGGTTCTCAAATCCCGTTACTGTACGGAGTAGAAGTGCAAGACTATATAACACTAACGGCATTCCCAAAATCCGGAGTATAGCTATTGGACTGGAATGACGGTTTGCACTCCCACTCGGGATGGCAAGCCCGATGAGCGGCGTTTCCAAACCCGGAACACAGCTACCGGTCCTCGAGGGTGGTTGCCAGTAAGTTAAAACAGATGGCATGGCAAGTCGCATAAACACGGGCTCCTTGAGAACGGAAATGCCCTTTGGCGCGAACCGCGAAGGGTTTTGTCAGCAACATACAGACTTTGTTCTCACAGGCTAGCCAGAAACCTTTTCAGAATGGCTCACTCGACTGCCGCAGTCCTGATTCTGGGCTTGGTGTGCAGCACACTCTTGATGAGCATCAGGACCGCGTACCGGAAGCATTTGAGGTCAATCCCGGGACCCTGTTTGGCTCGGTTCACGGGCGTCTACCGGTTGAGCCTTGTTTGGAAGGGCGATGCCCCCGAGCAATATCGCAATGTCCACGCAAAACACGGCAAGATCGTGCGGGTTGGACCGAATCATGTTTCGGTCTCTGATCCGTCCGAGATACAAACCATCTACGGCATAGGGAGTAAATTTCTAAAGGTGAAGGCCATCCGTCTTTGATGTGATGGATCGACTGACGCACTTCTGAAAGACCGAGTTCTACACCTTGATGGGCCCGTTTTACAAGGGGGACGTGATGCACACCACCTTTTCGACGCGAGACCCGGCATACCATCGGAATCTTCGGAGCCAGGTGGCCGCGGTGTACTCGATGTCGAACGTCCGGAAGCTGGAGTGCTACGCCGACGAGTGTTCGGCAATCTTCATCGACGCCATGAAAGCCCGATGCGCCGACCCGATCGACATTGCGCCGTGGCTACAGTGGTACGCGTTCGATGTGATCGGTGGCCTCACGTTCCAGAGGAGGTTCGGATTCATGGAAAAGGCAGGGGACATTGACAATATGATTGGGGGTCTGGACGTCGCACAGTCTTACGCACAGTTTGTCGGCCAATTTCCCAAGCTACACGACTATTTATTCGGTAGTCGGGTGCTCATGGGAACGCTCAAGAGGGTGTTTCCTAACTTGCCAGACCCCCTCGATAGGTTTATGGCTGTCACACTCCCCGATACTCCCAACTAGGAGCGAGAGTCGCTGATCGTTTCCACAGATCGCCGAGGAAGAGATTGTCAGATACAATACCACGGTACATCAGGATGGCTCCCGGGGCGACATACTTGCCCAGCTTCAAGCCACGAAAGATGGACAAGTCCCGTTTCGAGACATCGTCAACCACATCACGAACAACCTGTGAGTCTTCGGTCCGCCCCCCTTTGAGCGACCCACCGTGCTGACAGATCACTCCTCCGGAAGCATTGCCGGCAGTGACACGACTGCGATTTCGCTGCGCGCGTGCATTTATTACCTTCTGAAGACGCCCCACGCGTACCACGCATTACAAGGTGAGATCGATGCTGCGTTTGCGTCTGGACGACTGTCCGAGTTTGTCACGTACGAGGAAAGCACGAAGCTTCCCTATCTGTAAGTTCCGTGACGGCCATGACTTTTGGGCGTTGGATACTAAACCGGGGTTCCAGCCAAGCGACAATCAAGGAGGCCATGCGCCTCCACCCCGGCGTGGGGTTTCCTCTCGAACGCCATGTGCCGCCCGAAGGCGCCGTCCTATGTGGCAAATATCTGCCCGGTGGCACGAACGTGAGCATGACGGCTCCGGTGGTACATCACGATAGGACCATCTTTGGCGACGACGCCGAGTCCTTCCGTCCCGAGCGATGGCTGGAGACGGATGAAGTTCGTCTCAAGCAGATGGATCGGTGTTCACTCGCAGTAAGTTCTCTGGCTAGCCGTGCTCTACTAGGATCACCTCAGTAACCGGTGTCTCTGCCATCCCACCAACAGTTTGGTCACGGGGCTCGTTCTTGCTCGGGGAAGAACATCTCCTTGATGGAGATGGGTAAATTCATCCCGGTTCTACTGCGCAACTTTGAGCTGGAATGGGCTTCTGAGAAGCCGGAATGGACAACCTACTGTGCGTGGTTCTGGAAGCAGTCTGATATGCTGGTACGACTCAAGCTACGACGGCAGGGGGACACTAAAGGCCTGCCAGAAAGTTAATTGAATGGAACAGAAATAAACCAATGTATCAATGTGGGAATTTTAACGTCGTGTCTGTACGAGAGCGTATCTATCTAACGACTCATAAACTGGTGTCTATCTTGAAATGAAGTATGGGGGTAACCAGAATCTTGCGAGGCGGTCATTCATATTGCGCTCTTTAGATATTGATGACACAACGATGAGCGCGTCTCAATCGCTGCTTCAATTCGGTACTCCACGCTCTGCGAGCTGTTCTGCTAGTAGTTCGAGCTGTTTGGGATCACGCCCACCTTTCAACCCGCAGTCAATCTCCTCCACGGCCCCGGTGCTTCCGTTGTAGACCCAGCCTGTGATGGGGATTGAGGGCTTCATGAGCGGATGCCGGCGCAGGAACAGCACATCGTCCACAACACTGCGGTCCAGCGCCTGTCGCTCCGTCTCGCCCTCCTTCCAATCAAATGGGACCCATGCGACGCCCTGGATCCACAAGTCTGCTCCCTCGAGGAATGGGCCGTCCTTCATGCCGGGGTCGTTCTTCGCGATGGCGTTGCGAAAGAACTCGTCGCTGCAGTGCAGAGATCCACAGTCTGATTTGTGTTAGATTCATAACCACCATGTTCGAGGCGAGGGCGATGACGGAGGGCAGGTCGTGGTGCGTTCTTCTCTTACCTGTATGGTGGATGACCATGATTTCCTTGATGTCGCTCAGAATCTCGATACTCGCCAATGTGCGAATCACATCTGGAGGACTCGTCCGGCCGCCGCCATTCCGAATGATGAAAGCCTGATTGTGGCTTAACTGGAAGAAGTGGTCGGGACTACTACGCGCGTCGCAACAGGTGATGATCCCAACTCGAGAACTCGCACCCACTGGCGGATCCTGGTCTTTGAACACATTCTTCACGTAATTGTCATTGGCCGCCTTGAAGTCAAATGGAACGTAGGGATTAAAGCGATCATGACCGAGCGATTTCGACATGATGAATGGCTTGTCGTTGCTTTTGAAGTGCCTTCTGGTGATGTGAAATATCGGAGAAAGGCCAAAAGGAAAGAAGAAGAGGAAAACACCGGCACCAAAAAGGCTGAACCATCGCAGCTTAACCTTATATTCTCTTATCGCCGACGGCAGCTGGCCGCTCCATCCTGGAGAAATTGCATAAGCTGCTCCCATATCGTTCACCTAATCTGGGGCTCGGCCATGGTGCAGACCGCGAGTGGAAGGTTCTTGGCATGTATGATGGAGACGCGGGAGTCGTGATGTCCGGCGGCTCAACACGACACGCGTGATGACAACGCATGAGCTAGAGCGAGATTGCAATCTGTCCTGGATGCATCAGGGTCCGGATATTCGCTGTTGGCAGTGTAGGCACAGTATTTGGGCTCGCTCCGCGTGGAGCAAAGACCGAGGCATACTATATTATACTTTCATTGCCCACCCTGAAAGCGAAACGCAGCGATAGTAAATCTCGCCTTGTACCTTGCCTCACGCCGAGAACGAGATAAAGACGACCGATATTGTACCATTGCACCGCAATGGGGAGCATTACGGCTGGCGAAGATGCCCCTCTGGATCCCGATTTCAACACCCAAGTGGTTGTTGTCGGGACAGGGCCAGCAGGAGGATCTCTGGCTGCTTTCCTGGGTTCACACGGTAGGGACTCGGGCACTCAGCCTTTTGAGGGCCCGAAGAGCCAAGAAGACCAAAGTTCTAACGATTAGTCGCCAGGAATTCAAGGGATTGTAATTGGAATGACATCCACCACGGCAGAAACACCACGCGCACACATCACCAACATGGCTGCTCTAGGTCAGTTTCATGATCTCTGCAACAAGTAATTGAGCTCGGTGCTGAATTTGTCGTCCAGAGTGCTTACGGGACATTGGTCTGGAAGAAGACTGCCGAGAGCTGGCGAGTCCGAAAGAAAGCATGATGCATACCCGGTGGGGATACAGCATGGCCGGAGAAGAATATGCGCGCTTGTACGCCTGGGGCAACGGTCCTGCCTTGGAAGCCAAGTACAAAGAGGTCAGCCCTTGCGACCCAATCGATCTGCCACAGACTCGTCTTGAACCAATCCTCATCCGCAAAGCGGCGACCAGTGGCTTCATCACTCGTTTCAACACGGAGTTCCTGCGCTTCCAGGATGATGTCGCCAAATGCCAGGTGGACGTGATCGTCAGAGACACCGTCTTCGGGACAATACATCGGATTCGGTGCCGGTACTTGTTCGGTGCAGACGGTGCCCGAAGTCGAATCATCCAACAACTTGATCTACCGCTGAGGCAGAATCCGGGCGGAGGGTTGGCGTGGAATGTGCTGGTCAAGGCAGACTTGAGCAAGTACATCGCACACAGGCAGGGTAATTTGCACTGGTGCTACCAGCATGACGTGAGCCATCCCGACTTTGCCTGGATCGGTTTTCCCCGAATGGTGAAGCCGTGGCATGAGTGGGTGTTCATTATGTTCCCAGTGCCGGGGTACAAAGCAGACATCCCGCCGACTCAGGAGCATTGGATGAAGCGCATCAAACAGATCATCGGTGATGACTCCGTCGATGTCGAAATCCTCAACGTCAGCAAATGGCTCGTCAACAACATCTGGGCGGAGAAGTATGCTAAGGGTAACGTGTTCTGCCTCGGGGATGCGGTCCATCGTCACCCTCCCGCCAATGGACTCGGTTCCAACACCTGTGTTCAAGACGCGTTTAATCTGGCATGGAAGGTTGCGTACGTTCTCAAAGGTGCGCCATTGACCCGTTGTTCTATCTCTTGTCGCTGGTGGACGACTTGACGCTGACTTTACCTCGTACATCGCAGGTCTGGCTGGGCCAGAACTTCTCGATTCCTATGAGCAGGAACGGCAGCCTGTTGGCGCCAACATTGTGTCCAGGTAAGAGCCTATTCTCGACCTGTAACCCCGAGTCAGGGAGCTGATATTCCGACAGAGCATTTCAAGGCTTCCTAGACCATCTGCCTCTGTGGAAGAGCGCGGGCATTTTAGAGCCAAGCGCCGAAGAGCGAGTCTCGGCGTTTGCAGAACTGTCTGTCAACAGTGCAGTCGGAAAACAACGTCGGCAAGACTTCATAAAGGCCATCAAGGGGACCAGATATGAATTCCAGGGGCTGGGGATCGAGATGAACCAGCGGTATCGGTCCGGAGCTGTCTATCAAGCTGATCAGGGCGACGAGCCACCTCTTATGGGAGATCCCATCCTTGACCATACACGCTCAACATATCCCGGTGCACGGCTTCCACATGCTTGGCTCAATCGAGCTGTTCCGGGGCAGCGAATCTCGACGATCGATTTAGCTGGCAATGGTGGATTCACAGTCCTGACTGGCATCGGTGGCGAGCGGTGGAAAGAGGCAGCGGCTCAGGTATCAAAGGCTCTGGACATTCCGCTGGCGGCATATTCGATCGGATTCCGTCAAGATTGGGAGGATGTGTACTTTCACTGGGAGTCCGTGAGGGAGATCGAGGAAGATGGGTGTCTGCTCGTGCGACCCGATCGCTTCATCGCCTGGAGATCTCTCCAAATGGTGGATGACCCAGCCAGTGCGCTGCTGAAAGTCCTTCGCCAAATCCTGCATCGTGGCCAGGTGTGAGGAAAACGAAACGCGTCGCGGTTGCGTCGTGGTGGTTTCGACACCATCGCAGGCTGAGCTGCACACGAGTTCACGTGACGCACACTTAGCAGAACCGCACGGCGAGCAGATCAACATCAGCTTTACAATACTATTCCACCCCAGCTGCGTTGCCAGCGCAGTGTCAATCGTATTCGTACCCGTAGCCGGTGGCCCCGACCGGCTTCTTGGCTCGGCTTTGAACAGGTCCGTACCCCAGATTTCCGGGATTTGTGAATGCCGGCTGTGACCTTTGGCGCTATCACACGTGCTCGCGCTCCATGCCGCTAGGACAGATGTGGCGACCGGTGTTCGTGAATGCCGACCCAGCCATCATCGCCAACCGAGCAAGGATTCGACCATGAGAGAATCTGGCTACAGTCAGTCTTCTTTGTCAGATCTAGCCACGATTCTATTGAATCAAGTCGCCTGGGATCCCCGAACTTCCCAGGACGAGCGTAAAGGACTTGCCACTAGAAATCTTACGCACGGTGGAGAGGCCGGGGAAATCTGGGCGAGGACGATGCATTTTCCACACAAATCCTATACCCCATACCACAAAAGACCAGGACAAGGTTTTTGAGGTTCCTTCGGTTCTTGGGCGTATTTTGTATGTCAGTCATCTTTGTTATGAAGTTAAAGTCATCTACCTTTTCTTTCTAGAGAGCGACGTCCATCTTGCATTCGTTGTCATCCAGATTTGTACTCCTTCCCTCGTCCCTGAGCAGACTCGAACGTAGAAATCTCAGACGATTCTCTTGAATTGCCAACTCATGGCTTCCCAGGAGACGACGGCGAGACCAATTGGACCGGGTGGCTTGTATCCCCATCTCGCGAAGTTCCAATGCTTTCCAGGAGATCGTGCGATCAATGTAACAGGTATGCTGAATAGCCGTGTCTGGCCTTGTGCACGAATGTAACTGATTAAGGATCCAGAAAGAAGAGCAAATGTAAGGAATGCCTTTCTATGGGCCTCCGTTCCTGCCCTTGCATGCGACAAGTTTGGGAAGGACCTCACCGTGGCTGAACCCATTCAATCGATCAGGTGACCGCAAACGTCCGTCATGTACCAGGTGTACCAACGGCAATTCTGCCTGCTTTTATCCTGCAAAACGACGCCGACCCTCTCCCGGCACGAGATATCGCACTCTCCTCAATCAACTACGTCAGTCCGATGCCGAGGCAGAACTAGGTATGCAACGCCATGCATCTCATTTATCCCTGTACTCGTGCTCTCCTTGTATGGAAATGAACAATCAGGCTAATTTTAGGGCCCTTCAAGATCGACTCCTCGATCAGTTCGACGTCGAACAGCTTCAAAGAGCTTTGCAAAGGCGACGGCCGGCCTCGCAAGTCCTTTCCCAATCTTGTGTTGACCCTGCAACGGAGCTGCCGGTCTCTCCAGGAGTGACGGGTTTCACCGCCGCAAGGAATTGGCCAGATGTCTCTGCCGGTGTTGTCAGTGAATGCAGTGCTGCGCCATCCATCGACGTGGACGCAGACCTCGCTTTCTGGACTACTTTAGCGGGCTGGGATGGACCAGAGTTAAACCTCCCGCCAATGCCGTCAGGTAGGATGCTACCCTTGCTCCGTATTCCTCTCGACCGCACTCTGTTGACTCGTTATGATCTTGCATTCCCTACAGGCCCTCTTCAACAGTCTCTACCAATTCCCACCTTCGTGAACAATGGGGCCGCCGATGCTTACGATTTCCATGTCCCCACGGAGGTCGTTCATGAACTGTACGTTAATCCCCTTATTATCATTACGAACTACTGACTCCGCCCCCAGCATCGACTTGTTCTTCGATAGTGTCCAGTGTTTCCTCCCTCTCTTCCACCGGCCGAGGTTCGTGCATCGATTCAAGACCCTGATCGACGAAGGGTCAGGCTATTCCGATTTGAAGAAAGAAGATGCTTTCATCCTGAGCGGTGTCATGGCCATGTCCGCTCGCTTCTCCACTTCTTCCTTCTTCGACGACGTGGCACCATATGCGAGAGGTCAGGTCTTCGCGGCAAAGGCCCGCGCACTTTACGATACCGCATTCTCCTATGAGGGCCGCTGGCAGCCCTCAATGGCCCTTCTCCAGGGCTGCATCTTGTTGTCATTCCACGAACAAACGAGTCGACCATCGACGAACTGCTGGTTTCTAATTGGATCCGCGGTCCGCCTCGCTTTGGAGTTGGGTCTCAACAATATAGATGCGGAACGGGATGAGTCTCAGCTCACTTCGAGGCCAGCAGATGAGTGGGTCTTGATCGAAGAGCAGAGACGGGCATGGTGGGCGGTCTGGGAGCTGGATGTCTTCTCATCTACCATCCTTCGGCGGCCGTATTGTATCGACAAAGAACATATGTGCGTTCTATTACCCATTCCCGACCCTGAGTGGTTCGCCGACACTCCTGTTCCGTCTACTATGATCAACACCGACTCGGCCCGGATCTGGGACACGCTTCACGAGCATTTGCACCTGGGCGCCCGGGCTTGGTTTTTAATCTCGACATTTCTCATGGCCAGAGCCAACGACTTCCTCCTACACACCGACACCTCTTTGGAGAATATCGACACTTTTGAAGCAACTCTCCCACTTTTCATGCTCCTGTTGCCACCAGAGTATGACTTGAGGCCGACAGGGTTTCTTTTCAATGAGAGGAACTTTGCATCCTACAATTGGATCATCTCCATGAACGTCATGCTACATACGTATGTTGTGAACCCGAGGCCTCAAAATACGCACGCCCCCTCTGATTAGTTACTGATGCTGACCTGACAGTGTTCGCGTCCTACTGAGAAAAGCAAGAGAAGCTCGAAGACAACCTCGAAATAAGCAACCAACAGATGACATGGTTGAGGAACCGATACGCTGTCCGTTCGACACCCAGACAGTCTTCCGCGCAATGCAGGCCTGGGGCCCCGAGTATATCGCGCAAGCCTGCCCATTCATTACCTGTACCATTGTTGGCCCGTCGCTAGACATGATCCGTACTGCCCTGCACGCAGACAAGGCTTCTGATCATGATCACCATATCCAGCTCATCAAGCTCGTCCTGAGACGGATCGGCAGATACTGGGACATTGGAAACTGCGCGCTCAGTGAGTTGTATCCTCGATCCGGTGTTACGATTGCCCTGCAGAGCACTAGAGACATCGCCTCGACTGACACATAAACGTCTAGGGCTCGTCGAAATATCTGAGAGAGAATCCGACCTCGCTGGTCAAGGCTGCGAATCGGAACTATCAGGCCTCCGCAAGAGCTTTTCTTTGCTTGTTGGCAGCTCAAGGTTACAAGCGCCACTCTCTGAGAGCCCTTCTTCTAGTGAACGGTAGCGATCAGCCCATCATTGACAATCGTCAGCCTGCAACAACACATGACTCTTGTTTGGAATATTAGGCCGTGTCTGGAAATTCAAGAGCATCTGATTGTAAAATTGACACATCAAACGCACCATCGTGATCGATTCGACTACGGCACGAACGCCACCTCGCCAAACGTATGTGTCAATACTACCACCCTCCTTCTGACAACCACTACAACTTCGGGACCAGCAAGTAACTCTCCGCATACTCCCCTCCCAAATGCACGTTGTGGAACCCTTTGTTGAACTTAGGCTCGGCGTGTGCCACATGCGGATTGTCCCATTCAGGCAAGACCATCGTCTTGCCCGAGATCTGCAGTCGCAGGCCCTCTCCCTTCTCAAAGACAATCCCCATCGGCCAGATTCCGAGGTCCAGAGGCACCACGTCCCCCGGGTTTACGTAGTCCGGCTTGAGATGCGGATGGAATGGCAGATATTCTGTTGACTTCTCAGGATCCATGGCACGATGAGAAGCCCTCAGCATTCCCGTCGGTCCCAAGTATTTAGTAGGGTTAACATTGGCCACATCCTTGACTGATGTGATGTGCGATGGCAACTCGTGGAGAGGCACGTTAGACTGCTCCATCAGCTCGCCATCAGCGGACAGCTTTCGTAGCATCACATAAATGTCCAGGTCGTTGTGCTCCTTGCATGACACAAAGAATCGGAGTTTCGAGTAGCCCGCCAGTGTAGTTCGCTCTGGGAAGACGAAGTCATACGTCACCATGCCCTTGGTGGTCGAGTCGTATGAGTGCACAGCCTCGGTGGAACTGGGCGATATATGCATCGTTTTCGCCGCGGTCAGGTACAGCTTGGTGTATTGTGTTCGAGGGATGGGGTAGTCTTCTTCGACTTGGTCATAAACGGGGTACTTTGGGTCGCAATTGCAAGTCAGCTCGACACAATTCCAGCAAAGGAATAGGAGCTGTTGTCGGTGGGGAATTGTACATACAGTTTGTCCGTAGCGGTACATGGAGACACGCACTTTTGGCGTCGACTCCCAGCCATTTTGCTCGCCCTTTAAGTATCTTTCAAAGAATCGATCCAGATCATCAACCGAACTGTGAAGATAATCTTCATACCACTCTTGATGAGGGTGGAAACGTAACCACTTGTCGCTGCAATTGATTTCTCTGAAAGCTCGAACGGATCCCATCGTGTGTAGCATGGACGAGTAAGACGCGAGCACATAGGAAGGGATCTTGATCTTGCTGAAATCAACCCTTTTTGATTCCCAGTATGGGTCCCAGTACTCCCGGCTCTCGCCAATTGAAGCGGCGTCTTCCTGGAGACCACGGCCTGAACTCGAGCACACGTTAGAAGATGATCAACAAGGGTCGCTCAACATCGTCCTGTGAACGTTTGTAGCGCAACTCACCTGGAATGCCCATGAGAACCCAGCGCAAGAATGGTGACCATGGAATCCCTCCTCGGCGGCTCTGCTCGCGGTACATGTCACTGAATCCTTCCCACGGGGCGATGGCCTTCAGAGAAGGTGGCTGCTGCATGGCCGCCCAGTACTGGGCAATCCCAAGCCAGGAATTACCGGCCATCCCAACGCTACCGTTGCACCAGTCGAACCTCGCGGCGGCTTCGATAAGGTCGTGGCAGTCCTCTCCTGTTGTAGCGTGGAGCACGTCTTTTCGTCAGCCACCCAACACCGGATGTACAACAATCCTCAGTGGTCACACGCCTCAAACTGACCTTCCTTTCTGCCAAAGTAATGTAGATTCCCCTCACTGTCGAAAGAACCTCGGGCATTGGGGTCGAGGATGGCGTAACCTCGTCGGCACCACTCGTTCGGGTCGGGTCTGTGGAAGACCGCAGTCAGCATCGAAGTTGAGAGCCCGGCGTGGCGGCGAACTCCAGTCTGGTCTCACCCCTCGAACTTCTCTAACCCGCTCTGGCGACTCTTGGGTACGCCGACGCGATACGGAACCACGTCCATCAGATTGGCGCCACCTCCACCCTTGCCGTACGGAGAATAGGGCATGATGATGGGGATCTTCCGATCGGCCGTGTCTGCTGGTCGGTAGATGTCCGCGTACAGCTTCAGATTTCGATACATTAGCGCGGACCTGACGTTGGGCGAGTTGGGCCCGACGTACCTTGACTCCATCTCGCATCACAAACTCGACATCTTTTTCGAAGACGATGTCGAGATCGAGAGCCTTATTCTCGGGCGTCTTCTTCCAACCCTTTGGTAAGACCTTCTTCTCGTAACCGAATGGGATGTAGACCACTGGAGGATCTCGTCCAGGCAGATCCGCCGGGATGGCTTCCTGCCAGATCCATTCGAATCCATCATCAGGCTCGGTGCCCTTGTTGTAACCCGGCCACGATCTGTCGATGGGCATTTTGTCTTTGTCTCTGTCTCTCGTCCACAATGGCCCCACGACACGGTCTAGAGGACGTTGGGAGGGCGAGTATCAACAATGTCAATCTCTGATATTGGATGTGCTGCGCGAATGCTGCCCGGGCCGGGACAGGAACAAGTAGTCACGCATGTGGCTCAGGAAAGCCGGGGTAAGTCCTGCGACAGTCTCACCGACCCCAACGTTCTTCTTGAAATGCCGTGAATACGGCATCCTCGGTGTACGGAGGGCGAGTAGGTTTCCCGTGCTCTGTGGGGTCGTCGCGTTTGACCAACACCGGCGATGAATGCGTCCGGATTAGAAATGGTTTTTATTCGGCCGATGATTTCGCTCCGTACATCTCGTGACGTCTGTGTTCAGGAGCAGGATGCAAGGTAAGTGGTGAGTGGGCATCTTCAACCTTCCGGTTCAGATCTATGGTTACGATCGGTGTTGTAGATGACCGGGTGGTGGTCTATGGTGGCTCCTCCCCGCTGCCACTTTCACTCGACGTGCTCACCTACTTGAGGCGCTCATACAAGCGACCAGTTATGCACGTATGATGTGATATCGCCTGCGGAATCCCACACTCTCCTCCGACACAGACACATCGTTGAGAACGAATATTTTGCCCAAGGTCGTTACCCTAACCCGTATACAACAAGGATAGTGGTGTGCGGCGGCGGTCCATGGGTTCGACTTCGCTTTCTTCAAGAAAAGATTTATCACCGAAGAGTACCTTGTTCCAATTGGACCCTTTGCCGCCGCCTCCATGCAGCGGGAGGCGCGGCGCTCACGGGCTAACATCAACAGGCTCTGTTGTCTGATCCTTGATTTCTTCTCTCTCCCCACGAGATGGTTTGGTGCAGTTGATTCAAGTTGCATCTCACACAGCATGACCAGCAAATCTTGAAATCTGTGTGTTTTCCTTCGTTATATCATTGAAACTCCGTATTGAATTTGATGAGGCTAACGTAGGCACCTTGAGGCTTACATTATGCGGCCGGCGGACTGAGGCGACTTGATGTTTGTGAGTACTCGCCTTACGCTGACGACTAACCAAGCTAGACATATACTATTATCATCACCATCGTCATTTAATTGCTTCTTCGAGAGGTCATGTCCCAGCCTTTGTGGTCACCCTTGGTGATATCATAAAAGCCGAAAAGAATTTATCCAACTCTTCGTACCCTTCCATCGGACCCACGTACGACACGTGTTGATCCGGCCGTAAGATGACATTGCAGCCTTGAGAAGAAATCTCCAGATTCTTGAAAATCTCCCCATGGCCCTCGTGGTACGACTCGTCATCTACAAAGATCTTCCAGTAGTCCCAACCGTCGACTTCGTCGTAAGGATGCCACACCGGGGGGAAATCGAATATTGTAGTTTCACGGCGCGGAGTGTTGTGGACGACCAACAGTTCAAACACATCGTCGTAGCGCGCCGGAGGTGGTGGCGTGAAGCGGTGTAGAAACGAATCTGGACTTGCAAGTTTGTCTCCTAGTACCTTCAATTTGGAGGCTTGGTTCGAATCTCGTATGTCGCCGACAAAAGTGACGACACGCCATCGGCCATTCGATCGAAGAAGTTCTTGTAAGTGAGAAGGTCGCGCGTCCGACTGATTGAGCACTTTGAAACTTGGGATCCGCTTTCCCAATTCGATTTTGGGAGCGAGTGAAGGTGTCGAGATCACTCGAAGGCCAGAATGTACAGCAACATCAGTGCCGTCACCTTGCTTGGTCGAAGATCCGGGTTTGGCAACAAGGATACTCGCGCCATATTCGACGGCTACCAAAAAGACAAGGACGTCAGCTTACTTGCGGCCTCCTTGGAAAAAGAAAAATTCAAATCTTACCAATGCCGCTAGCAAACAGATTGCCCTTTACAAAGGCGTCTTTGAACTCTTCCATACTAATACCTTCTTCGTCCATGACATCCTTTGCCGGTCTGCCAGAGAAGAGGCGAGAGAAGCGATGGTCAAAGTCAATAAGATCCTGGGCGTTTTTGCGCCGCTCACTTTGATAGGTTTTAAGGATGGATCGGTCTGAAACACCTTTGACGACGTTGGCGATTTTCCAGCCTAGGTTGAACGCTGCCCACCACTTGTCAAAAAGGGGGACCAGAAACGAGATCACAAAAGCAACTCACTGTCTTGCATGCTAACATTCATGCCTTGACCTGCTTTAGGACTATTTGACACGTTAGCCTAGGCACCCCTGTGGCGATTGAGACGGAGAAAGGCAAGCTCACCTATGTGTGTGCACCGCATCGCCAGCAAGAAAGACTCTCTCACCAAACGAAAACTGTGTACCGACCCTCTGTCCAATTTGATATGCGGTCCACCAGTCAAGTTTCCGATACGTGATCTTGTATGGCGCCATGATACGTTGAGCTGATTGTAATATCGTCTCTGGTGTGATCTTTGATCGATCTGCTCTCGATCCTCCCTCGCCTAGTTTCTCGGTCCTCGTGAGCTGAATGTAAAGTCTCACGAGCTTGTTCTCGCGTGGTATAACCATCACACTTCCTTCGCTGGCCGAGTGAATCGCGCACCGCATCCTGATGTCAGGGAAATCCGTGATTGGGACAATATCGAGCACGCCCCAAATATAGTCTGTCGAGTCGCCTTCCAATTTGAAGCCCAATTGCTCGCGAACCCATGAATGCGCTCCGTCTGCGCCCAGCACATATTTTGCATGGACGATTTCTTCAGAATTGGCTTTGGCGTTCAACTTTGCGCCGTTCAATAGTTCTTGGGTGTCATCTGGGGCAAGATTACTTCGAAACAGTCCATCTTGCACGACAGTTCCATTTGCAGAAGTCGCCGTTTGTTTAGGGGTGGCTTCGTCCTCACTGAGATGTCGCAGTCTGATCGAAATGGGATAAGCTTCGTTATCCTCGAAGAGTGATTCATCGAGTTCCATTTTGGATGGCATCACACCGCGTTCCACTCGAATGTCGCTACAGGACTCAATGGTGTCAAGGAAAAAACGCTCGATCCGACCTTGGTGTAGCACGACCTGCTGAAAACGACTGATACCAGGGATCGTATCCGGGATGCGGTCACTTCTTCGAATGATTCCGTCCTTATCGGGGTTCCAGAGACAAATTTCAAGCATATGGTTTGATTCTATCCACGCGCGATGACCGAAGCCAAATGAGTCGAAGATTTCCAGGGTTCGACATTGAAGTCCGTCGGCCTGGCCATTAAAAATCTGCAGTATGGCATTAGAATGGTTGTCTTCCCTCTTGCATGACATTAAACGATACCTTTGTGCCTCTTTTGTCTACGATTTTCGTCTTGATTCCACATTTCGCAGCCCACATGGCCATCATGAGGCCGGCCGGTCCAGCCCCGACGATGACCAAGTCAACATACTGGGGACTGAATTCCTGCTTTGTCCCTTCGTTTGACGGCATTTTGAATGGCGACACCCAAGCTCTTACCTACCCGGAAAGGTGTGATAGCAGTCTGGCCAGATCGAATGCACGACTATTTATGTATCGAATGCGGACCACGTGTATTGCTAACCAGCAGCGAAAATTTCGTCAACTGCCGCTTGTACTTCCGATCTCATGATCATACAGGCTCCCCAAGGAGAGACAAGGCCTATCGTTTGCAAACCACGGATCAAGCATAAAGAACATCCCGATGCATGTTTCCGAATGAGGGGGTTGGCCAAACAGGGGTCATGGTATCGACCTTGCGGGGAAACATGACTGTGTCGGTACATTTGTGGTCTAGTTTGCGTGGCACATGCTTAGGTGAGCTCTCGGCGCCTCTCTGGAAGGACAGCCTGACTAGATTCCAGAATAGGTGGAAGCACTTTGGGTCGTGTCCGAAGTCACGGTCAACATGTTTGTTGCACATCAAGGGTAGACGATCGAGTCAATGCGGATCCGGTACAAGCAGTCTTCTTGTCAAGGCCACCATCAAGCTGACTCAAGGGACGCCGTATTTCTCGTGAAAGCACCATTGGGTTGAGAAGAAGAAGGCTCATCGTATTGGCATCTGAGAAAGGATCAGACACGGTGCCCAGTGAAGAATGGACAATTCTCGATTGTCCAGTTTGTATCAAGGAGAGCGATGCCTTGGCATCTTCTCGGAGGATCATCAAAGAATTTCACCGTAGAAAAGTCCAGCGGATCAATAAACCATCGATACGCAAATTTTCCCAAACAGAACTGTGAAGATTTGTTTGTAGGATCGTTTTCTAGTCTGGACGCAGCCAATGGCACCTTTGATAATCAACATGCGACTAAAGCTGGAGTATGTGCATCTCGCAATCTGCGAGGAGGTTTGAGGCGCCCAATCGTTCTCGCAATGGCTAGAGCTACTTTCGCCTGAAGAAACCAACTTAGCGACAACTGTTCATCCATCTGCAATGACACAGTCACCTCTCAAGGTGATCGCCTTGATATCTGGTGGCAAAGACTCTTTGTTCTCCATATTGCACTGTATAGAGAACGGACATGAAGTTGTCGCCCTTGCGAATCTACATCCCAAGCTTCCGAGCAATGGCCGGACCGACGATGCTGAAGGAGAAGACATGAATAGTTTCATGTATCAGACTGTCGGGCACTCGATCATTCCACTTTACTCAGATTGCCTTGGGATCCCATTATATCGGAGAGAAATCACTGGCTCAGCAGTACAGACTGGGAGGTACTATGATACCAGCGGGGAACAAAAATCTTTTGACGAAACCGAAGATTTGGTATTATTATTGCATGATGTACTCAGGAAACATCCTGAGGCCAATGCGCTATGCTCAGGCGCCATCCTGTCGACTTACCAACGCGCACGAGTCGACTCTGTAGCCGTTAGACTTGGGCTCATTCCACTGGCTTACCTTTGGCAATATCCTGCTCTTCCACCACCTCCTGGTCGTCAAGACTCCTTGACAGGCCTTCTCGAGGACATGTCAGCGGCTGGGTGCGACGCCAGGATAATCAAGATTGCTAGTGGTGGGATCAAGGAAAACCTGCTCTGGTCCAACGTCTCAGAAGCAAACACTCGGTCCAGGCTGGTAAGCGGCTTACGCCCTTTCTTTACAGAACACGAATTTTGGCTTCGTGGTGCCGTGCTTGGAGAAGGTGGCGAGTATGAGACACTTGCCGTGGATGGTCCGAGACCTCTATGGAAACGAAGAATAGACCTTCCAACGGACACAAGCTCGACCTTTTACGGAGAAGGCGGTGTTAGCTATCTTCGGTTGGGAAAAGCAAAGACGGTGGAGAACGACCCAGATTCCTCGCACGAGATCTCGACAGCTCTACAGCCTCGTCCTCTTGATGTACAATTCGAAGCTGTGCTGGAAAGAGTCCAGACTCAAGCGTCAGAGATGACTTCGACCAGGGATAGTGAGGCAACAACCGTGCTTTCGGACAATCATTCGGCGAGGTTTTCCATCGAACTCTTGCCATTGACTCGGAAACTGTCTCTAGCCTATCTTACCATTTCGAACATTACTGCCACAACAACGGGTGTACCGTCCGAAGACAAAGGAACTGCCGCTGACCAGATGAGACGAATATGCGAGAAGCTCAAATCCGTGCTCGACTCACTCTCCAGTACACAAAAAGTCCCTGGAAAGTTGACGACGTCAAACATCGTAGCCACGACATTGCTGCTGAAGGACATGTCACAATTCGCGTCGGTCAACTCGACGTATTCGTCAATGTTTCGATCTGGAGAACCAAATCCGCCAGCTAGAGTGACCATCTCCTGTCAGCTTCCTCAAGACGTCGAAGTCAGTCTGAATGTGATATTGGATCTTGGGCCGAGAGATGCGAGACGTGGCTTACACGTTCAAAGTCGAAGCTACTGGGCCCCGGCCAATATCGGCCCTTATAGTCAAGCAATCTGTGTCCCACTTCAGCAAACCTCTGAGATGAGTGTCAACGTGCACGATGCAGGTCTCCTCGAAATGGTTCACGTAGCTGGACAGATCCCCCTTGTGCCCCAAAGTATGCTTCTTGACGACGGCGGCTTCACTCACGCCAGCGTCTTGAGCCTTCAACATCTTTGGCGTGTTGGACAAGAGCGGGAGGTAGACATCTGGCCTTGGGGCATCGCTTTTCTCAAACGAGATCCAGACGCAGCACACAGGAACGCCACGACGGCCCAGAGAATTTGGGAGCACGCTCATCGCATAGGAACGAGATCTAGCAATTCCTCAGCACGTGATGACGATGACATCGACGACGAGGATGACCAAGGTCCAGACGCTTGGGACCTGCGATTCAATCGATTCCAGTTGGCGAACTCGGCAGCAGAGAATGCGGCCATTGGCCAACATCTTCATGTTTTGCCCAACAACACAGTTTTTGGCAAGAGAGCAACCACTGCCGATGTTGTTCCTCCATTCATTGCGGCAGAGGTCACGTCGCTACCGAGGGACGCACCCGTTGAATGGTGGAGCCTGGGCGTTGCCAACTTGATAAAAACGCTCACCTCAAGTTCTACTGCCGCCGCCGCGGCGACTTGTGGTCGAGAAGATTTTGAATGGGGCTCAATCAGCAGGACCTCCCTTCATGCCGAGTCTCCAAAACAATCCTCAGGAGGACATCCTTCGACCGTCCGGCAGCATCTGGTGACCGTCTTGATCCGGTCTGCCTCTGGCGGCAGTGGCAAACCCCGACACGGTCCTCGACAGGTCGACGATGATGTTCGCGCCCATCTTTTGCGAACTATCGGGGACGATGTGCATGTCGGGCCGCGGCCGAAATTACCACCAGTGCTCGAATGCGTCCACGGAACGGCCTTCTTGTCGACCGTCGAGGGACGGCCACGGTGGGCCGAAGTCTCGAAAGGGGAACTCTTCAACAGCTTGACGGTCATACCATGCACGTCAGTGCACGGTCGAGGCCAAGTCGGGACGCTCTCGGGCGGCCTAATCGACGACGCGTCGCCCTTTCCTGGAGGGGTGAAAAGCGGCGAGAGTCTCGGTCCTGTTGGGGAGACTGGCACAAGCGTCACAGACGTCACCGCCGTGTCCGAGACGTGTCAACCTTTGGCGGTAGCGATGACGATGCGTATCGATTCGACATGGAGTCGATGAGAGTTTTTTTTGGAGGGTCCATTGTCGACTGTACAGTACATACCCTGGTCAGCCCAGCCCAGCCGAAGCCCTCTCCCTTCTCGGGAGGTGCTTGACAGGCCGCCAGACGTGTCGGTCCCCGTCGCTAGGACAGGTCCTCGTACAAGTATATGCAAGCCACTGGAAAACCAAAGACCAGACCAAAAATCGTGATCCACTGACAACCGATCGCTCCACTTTCGTTGACGAGCACTCCGTACACACATTGTACACACAGACACATCCGGCTTTTCGTGGACCCTTCCCTGTCCAACATGGGACTGACAAAAACCCCAACCCCACAAGATACGCGACTTGTTGAAAGTCAAGAACAGACGTGTTTAGGTTTGGTGGAGTCATCTGCCAACCCAAGTCGATCCCCGTTTTTTTGGTGGAAGGGTCATATGTACGGTCATACCCGATGGTCTGAGCACCCGAGAGGGCGGGTAGAGCAAAGACCAGACGGGAGAGGAAGAAGGAGAAAAAAGTCTGCGTGTTTACAGACAACCCGTAAAGAGACGCGTTCAAAGACGCGTCTCTGTTGACATGTGTGGTGTACACAGATACACAATGATATGGAGTACAGCACAGTCCAGTGGACAAACACTTTTGACGGGTTGCGCCATATTATTGTCAACGATGTGGATGGATGCACGGATGGATGACCTACATACAGTATTGACTTTTTTTTGGTGGCGCGATCCTATCGATAAACATGAGCCCTCAACGATTCACCACCGCCTTCCGTGGCTTGCCTGCCTCCACAAAGTCTGTGGGCTGTGGACGTGTGTGGACTTTGGTCTGGTCATGCCACAGAGTCTCAAAAAAACGTCATTGTTCTTCTCTCGATGATACACGGACAATACTACACGTACACGTACCGCAGTACAATCACTTTGTGTATCTGCATGCTCGAAGCGGACCAAAAAAAACACCTCTCGACATCACGAGTAAGAGTTGGTTCGACTGTTGTTTGTTTTCCTCTACCCGGGACAGCTGAATGAATCTCGCGGATGCAAGATATATTGTTTTCTTTTGCAGTAGTTGACGTTAGGCAGTACTACTATTCATGGTCATCGAGTCTCTTGTATCCGATTCTTCGGTTATGCAGGTATTCAATTTCAGGCGTGCAATGCATGCATGCATACCGGTCAAATGGTGCCTATGAAATTTTCTGCAAATAGTTACAATGTTGTTGTTATTGTTGTGATCGTCTGGTTTTTCGTGGCATGTCACGCTCTTTAGTTCATCAGGTAGTTCTGTTTCCTCATGTCAAAACCATCCTCGGTTATGCACTTGTCCAAAATCGATTCCGATATTGATTGATCATGGGTTTGGGGGTACGGGTACTATTGAAGCGAGCGAGAGGCCACTTGGATGACTCGCGTATCAGAGCACTGGCCATGCCATGTTGTTGTTTGTGTTTTGTGTGTATGTGAGAGAGAGAGAGCACAAACCACATACGGAGTACTCGTACCCTACCCACTAGAAGAGTCCTCCCCGTCGTCATCCGCAAATTCGACGGTCACGTCTTTTTTTGTCTTTGTTGGGTTCTTGTCCTTCTTCGTTCCTCTGACGTTATATCCCCCAGTCATCCCTCAATGACGTTTGACCTCCAGCCTACTACGAGTACGAGTGGTGTTGGCTGTACACTGTGGCCCAGTTGATGGATACTATGTGACAAAACACGAACGATAACATTACAGTAGTATACCAGGACGCGTCGAACCAACACGTCCATTTCACACACAAACAAAGATTCAACGAAAAAAGATCACAGTCTGATCGTGTGCTTGTGAAGAAAAAAAAAGACCGAGGACGCGTTTTCTCTCTCTTCTTTTTCGTGTTTTGGCTGTGGATTATTGATGAAGAATTGTGCCCTGCACGAGTAGTCGCGGGGAGGCGGGAACCACAGGGATATTCAGGCATTACCAGGGTTTTTGGTCCCATCCATCCACATTGAATGCATGCATGCATGCAGATATTCTGCGACCCCCCAGGCATGTTGGAAATCTTAGTGGTTGGAAAGAACCTTTTTGTCTTTGTCTGAGACAATTTGTAGTAACCTGGTTTACATGCAAGTACGGACAATGCCTGTGAGTACGGAGTACCCTGTACGGAACATATGCATGTCTTTGAGTCAAAAAGATGACTTTTTCTTTTGTTGGTCGTCATCTTACTCGCAAAGACTCCGGAGGGGGTTCTCGACGTACATCCGATGTTTCTTTAGAATATGGAGTTACTTGTTCTACGGGAGTATTCTTGCGTGCCGTAGCAGAATCAGCTGAGGTCGACCATGGGTAGGGCCAGTGGTTTATTTGCCCTACTTGTACTCCGTACTCCGTACCTTTTTACCTGGCCGGAAAATCCTTGTCTACGGATATGCAGGTAAATCAATAGTCAGTATGTAGGCAGTTCAATAATGTCCCTCTATCAATGCCGGTCCATACCTTTCCCAATTCCTACTCGGTAGTATAATTTCCGATTCTGCATGTCCGTAAAGTCATGAAACCAACTTCATCGGTTTCGGTTCATTTGAAGTACTTGGGTAAAACGCGGTCACAAGAATCTACAGTAGGTAACTGATGGGGAAACAAACCTCAAGGATGTCCCTCCGTACTGTACGTGATCGACTCCTCCCTTCACGTCCGTACCTGCATATTTTTTGCTTTTTCCAGGGTCATATAGTTTTTTTTGTTCTTGGTTCCTTGACCTCCCTCGAGGGGACCGGGGGGACCGGCCTGCTAGTACTGTACCTAGAGCAAGGTACATACAGTAGGGTACGTAATTTAGGGCATGTTCGGTTTTTTTAGAGTGCAAACTACTGCACCAAGGTAGGTACTCCGTACATACCCCCCTACTGTACGGAGTACATTTGTCTTTTGTGATTCTTTTACTAGACTTTTGTCCTCCTCGTTGCATCCGAGGGCCCCGCGGGGGGGGGACCACCTACTAGACCCATGAGTACGGAATACAGTAACTCGTTAGAACACAAACTGCCTACAGTATGTAAATCTGTTGTTCAGGGGTTTATTTTTGGTCTCGGAACTAAAAAGAGTCTGGAGTACGTCCAGATTTGGGAGCCCAAAGCACTGGTAGTAGTAAACACCAAACAACCTACACTGCGTACTACCTTGGTGATGGGGTCTGGTCAACCGACAACCCCCCGAACGTACGATGATCATAACACGTTTCTTCCATCTAAATTGCGAAATAGTTGCGAGAGCAAACACCCTACTTTAGGCGTCAATCACACAGTATCACACACACACACACACACACACACACACACACACACACACACACACACACACACACACACACACACACACACACACACACACACACGATTTTACCCTTTTGGCCCAAAGAGAGAGTTACTCCGTCCGTGTGACTTTTTAAAAACTCGTAAGTGAACTATTAGGAAGAATATCTCTCTTCATCCCATTCGCTTGAACTTTTTCACGTGGCCTTCTTCTGTCCTCGGTGGCTTTTCCCCTTACGAGTGTTTCACACGTGTACGGGGGGGAGGGATGGTGTAAAGTGGAGGCCTCTAAGGGACTTTCTAGAATCTCTTTCTCTCTCTACAGTACCCAGAATGAGTGGATAAAACTTGTGTGTGTGTGTGTGTGTGTGTAGGTGTGTTTCAGAATATTCACCTAATACTTAGCCTTGCGGAATAACTCTGTATGTACTCTGTACGTGTTACTCCATACGTAGTTGGGTATCATTTTCCGTCGCCTTTTTTTGGGGGTGGAAAGACGGAAAAAAGAAAAGATGAACCAGAAGCTTCTTGGTTGGTCAGAATCCGGGTGTTTTTTTTACGACGCGTTTTTTTTTTGGTCTCAGCGCCTCACAAACGCGCGCCGCACGTGTCCATACTACTGTACGGAGTACTGTACTCCGTACATATTGTACTGATTTACTCCGTTACCTTAAAAATGACCCTAGAGGTACCCCGTACATACCTACCCGAGGTACCTGCATTCCATACTTCAACCCAGTCAAAGGGTTTTTAACTAGGTACAGTAGTCTCGTTTCATAATATGCGTGTCTCTCTATCACTCACTCTCTCTCTCTCTCTCTTTTTTTCTCTCTCTCTTTACCCCTTTCCATTTCTCCGACACCCCATCCATTTGTGACCCGGCGCCGGGCAAGTCCATCACATCACATCATTCTTTTCCAACGGAGTAACTTTTTTTTGGTCTTTTCTTTCTTGCTTACCCCCTGACCAAGGGTACTGAACCGGGAAAAAGTAAAAAGATAAACCCCATGTCGTTGGTTTTTTTTATTCCGTACATGTTCAAAGTAAAAAGGTTTCCTAAACCCAATTGATCATGTGGAAATTACTTTTACTCCTTATGTACTCCGTACAGTATTCTTCCGTCAGGAAGGCACATCCCATGTGGAAGCCTTATCTGATAACTTATCAATGATCAACACGGGTACCTATCGACAAGCTGATAGCCCAAGATGGACCTAAATCAAATCACTCGTATGTACTGTACAGTACTGTACGGAGTAGTCCTCCCCCCCCCCAAACAACCCCCCCAAGTCCCTTGGGTCAATCCTCACCGTCATCACAATACACAGTACAGATTGTAAATCCTACAGATACAGTAAAGAAACAAAGAGTAAAAATAAATCAGCAACTTCATTTTTCGTTCGCATTCAATCTCTTTCTAATAGTACAAGTATTGGGGTGTTTGTTTTTACACGACACAAACGTTTTGAAAGGTTTGAAAAAAACCTCTCTCAACGATGTGTGAACATAATACATCCCCGGTCAAAAGTTGCTGCTACTGCTCGTGTTGATGACAATGAACTGAAAGAAACGCTCTCCCAACCATTCGCTCTCTTTCTCAGTCTCTGTCCCTGTCTCTTCCTTCCACCATACCCAGAAATGAAGGTCCCAATCTGACATGAAATAAAAAGTCGATAAGAAAAAAAAAAGGTTGGAAGTAAAAAGTCATTTGTGCTCAATCTCTCTGTCTCAGTCTCACTCTCAAAGATCCCCATATCTCACACACACACCACACTGCCTGCCCTGTCCAACAATAAAAAGGACTATAGAATACATAAAGTGGTCGAAATCAAGCCGAGCTTCGGAAAATCCTTCTCTAATGCACTTTTGCCGACCTCCCCGCCGGGTTGATACGCGTACACAGTCTTTAAAAGCTCCCCAACGCTATTCCCGTCTTTGCTTTGTCCGACTCCAATTGTGTTGTTCGTCTCGCTCGTGCACCTTGAGTGTAAAATTTGCGAAGGACAAGACTTTGTTCCCTGAAAATAGAAGGTGGTTTGAATCATCATAAGGATCATTTCGTCGTCGTGGTTTGAACTGGTGATTTTTGGTTGTCTTCTTTGGTTTGTCATGATCTTTTGGCAAGTTTCGTCAAAATTCAATGCTGGTTATTTACAGGGATTCATCTCGCTTTCTCTTCTTAAGAGCACGCTTGCTGCCTTCAGACGACGAAGAGTCCGATGCATTGCTGCTGGAAGAAGACGCAAGGGCGGCCCGTTGTGCGGCCTCGAATAGTACGTGTCCCATCTCCTCGTCATATGGTTGATGAGGTTGGAGCTCTCCATTCTCAAGAACACCCATGACAATCGCTCCGCTGCCGTGAGTACGGGCATGTTGAGCGAGGTTATCTGAACGAGAGAACTTCTTGCCACATTCGTTGCACTCGAATGGCTTGTCTTGGGTATGGAGAGAGCGGTAATGACGCTTGAGATGTTCTTGACGACGGAAGCGGCGAGAGCAGAGGGTGCAGACAAATGTCTTGGAAGGATCCTCGGTCAAGGATTGCTTGCGGCCACGACGGTTGGCTGGAGCGTGTTGTGAAGAGCCATCGGCATTCACGCTGTTGCCATTGTCATCGGCAGGGCTGTGCTGGTGAGAGACGGACGAAGTTTGGCCTTCGCCCTGATTCATTTGAGCATCGGCATCAGTCATCTCTTGGAAGGCAAAGTCACTGTCGGTAGAGCCAGTGCGCTTCATCTTGCGGTGAGTCTTCTTCTTGCTGGAGCAGCAAGAGCCAGAGTCCGAGAAAGAAGACGCAGGAGGAGACGGGAGCCCGGCGTGGGCGTCCTCGTCAAAGCTGCCAAAGCTGTGAACGCTCAAGAAATCCTCCTCTTCAATCAAAGACAACTTTTGTCGCTTGTCGCCGTTGTAGACGATCTCGGCCTCGGTGAAGTTCACAAATCCAAAATCGTCTTCAGAGTCGAGCTCGGTGCAGAACGACGACTCAAAGGTAGGGTTCTCAGAGATGGTGAATGGGTTGGCCGTATCATGCTCAGGTGTCACGGGGAAAGTGGTGGCCAGGGCAAACTTGGGTTCCTCGTCTTCGGCCGACAGAGTAGGCAGAGGCGGGAAGCTCTGGGCGGGGACCGACAGGACAGGTTCAAACGACGAGGTCGATGTCAGTTCTCGCAGATTGACAAATTCAGCGACAGGATACGCGGCCGCAGGCGAAACCTGAGATTGGGGAGTGGCAGGGGTGAGTGAAGGCGAAGTGCAGCCGCTGGAGAAGGAGTTGCTGGGCAAGAGCTTGGCATCGCCGGGATGCGGGAAAATGTGAACTTCTAATTAACCGTGTCAGTTTCGGTTTCACCTGGTATTAATGCCACTCTCGCTTCAATAAACTTACGTCCGTTCTCCGACCACTCGTCCAGATACTGTAGAGACTGGTATTCCTCCTTGGATGCCTCGATCGGCAGGTTGAAGTAGCCAGGTCCGTGTACCGGAGTCTGGTTGACGCTGCTGGCCGGGGGGCTGCTCGCCGTGCTGGGGCACGCTGACAAGCATGGGGTAGGTGGTGAAGAGTGCCTGCTCTCCAAATACCTTCCATGCTCCATCTGGCCATGGCTCTCAAGCATAATCTTGGGCATGGGCATGGCCAGTGTCAGAGGGGGCGAGGGCCGAGGGTGGTGCATCATCTGCTGGGGCATGATATGGGCATGCGTGAAATGAGGGTGAGGTGCTTGCCAGTATTGGGCGGGCACAAACTGAGGATGAGGGTAACCGGCCATGGGGCTGAAGACGGGCTGCTCGCCAGGCATGGGCGTGAACACAGCGTTATGTCGTGCGTCCGAGTCTGGCCGGTATTGGTAGAATTGAATCTGTTGCGCAGCCATTGGGTATGGAGTTTCCATGTCGAATGACTGTGTCTTTTCTGTTCTTTCGACTGTCTTTCCCAGGTGTCGATGGCACTGGGTCGGGTAAGCTGTAGTACAAGACTCGGTACAGATGAGAATGTCGGCCCAATGAGTGGTGGGCACTAATCTCAGGAGGGCGGCTCGTTGGAATTGAGTCGGAGTCTAGCTGTACATGTAGGTTGCAGAATTGATATGTTGGTATCCGTCAAAACACATACAAGAGAGTGATGCTGTCTTCGACGTCTGGTAGGGAGAGAGAGAAAGGATTATGTTATGATACAATGTTGGCACAGGCTTGGAAAAGGAAGGACTGGATGCTTGTTCGTTCAATGGTACAGGTACAGGAGAGTGTTGTACAGGTTGATTGAAACAAGATCCGGGAAGAGCCTGGTCAACGAGAGTTATAACAGAATTCAAAGAAAGTGTAGATCGCGGGGAAAAAAGAGCGACTGTCTCGATATGAGAAACGAAAGGAAGAGGATAAGAGCTGGGTGCAAGGACGAGCCATAAAGAGAGATCGCTAGATGCCCTGAGGGTCTTGTCAACCACTGACCTGGGCCACCGCTCGATGGGGCCCTGGTAGCTCGCTGTGCAGGAACGGGCGCTGCGTTCGGGACCGTCGTCGCGACCCATGCAAAATGGTGACCTTGAAGGATGGTGGAGCTCTGCGCGGTCTCACCACCACCCCAGTCCGTCTCAAAGACTATCACCCACCGGGTCACCCACTAGGCATGATCCACCCCTGTCCAGCCGCTCCTCTTAGAGCAGCGAGCCCAGCAGAGCGTGTGCCTGGCACTTGTCTGGGCTGTGCCGGGCTGGGTGACGCTGCAGAGGCCTGTCACAGTGCTTCTGATGTGCATGGGAAATTGCACTGCGATGCTCGACCACACCCTCCTGCCCGTCGTGACCACCCATGACGCAGCATGCCATTGCTCACTGGCACTGGGGCGAGGCCATCATGACGGACGTCCGTCCACACCACTGTGTCCTGTACAAAATGTGCATGCAGACGATTGAGGTGACCTGATCGGCGACCTTGATGCCATCATTGGCCTGTCCGGGCCAGACATATCACAATAGAGCGCTTCAAGTGCAGTAGATGACTGGCTGAAATGATATAGATATGGTACAGAAGGGTGTCAAGTCTTGGTCTGGAGACGCTGCTATCGTCTTTTGGTTGACCAGGGTCTGCCAGAAAAAGTATGCTCCGTATGGACGGTAAGGAATAGTTCGGATCCTTTGCAACCAACCGTACTCCGTATCGAGGTTGTGACTCGTATCCCATCACTTTTCTGAAAGACGTGTATCGCCCACTCCAGCCATCCGATCGAAGACGGCAAACTACGCCTTGGACGTTTGATAGGTTATGTCGTTCACAGACAGAGAACAACCCTACTCGAATCAGTGAGCCGAGACGTGTGTTTGGCGTGTAGAGAGGTATCGAACAAGAACGAGTGGTAACTGTGCTCCATCCACGCGCGCTCCATGACTGGGCGAGGCGCTGGGACCTCGACGCCAATCAGGACCGTGACGTGTGAGAGCAGCAGGTGATAAGCTGCTCCTCCAGTGCCCCCAGAGCGAATCGCCGCCGGACCTATTCTTGGAGTTTCGGGCACACTGGGCATTATCACCCTGGGATATCCCAACCCATGCCTATGTTTTTACGAGTGCTCGCACCAAAATGTCTGTCAGCTGGTCTGATTTCCGTCATGTAGGCACCGTGGTGCTTTTGTAAACGCTGAGCCCGAATATTGGTTGGAGTCGAGATGGATGGGCGCCAGTAACGAGAATCCCTACGGAGTACCCCTACGAGTGATCAGCGACAACCTCCCCCGAAGGATTCGTGCCTGGATGGACCCTGCCAGGGCACACATCGATGAAGGGCAATGTCATTGCGTAGCAGACTGACAGTGACGGCCACCATTGGGGATGCCATCACCTGAGAGAATCCTGCCTCCCGCAGCCGATGTGTGGTCTCTCGTATGGGAACTCGGCTTCGGAAAACTGTGGCAAGAAACATCGGCCCCAGGCGACGAAAAAAGTGTTGGAGCGGGCTGAAGGTTTGAAGGAAGTGTGAAAGGTCGTGCAGACGTGCGTGTGTGTCTCAGAGCCACTGCCACTGCTACTTGCCAGTAGCTACTTCAGTACTCGGGACTGCCGTGCTCACATATGCAGGTACGAGAAACCGCTTACTCCGTAGCGATGGCCCAGTGGCGAGTCATTGCCCATGGTTGAGGCTGGTCCGCGTCAAAAAGAGCTTGGAGCTGCCAATGCTCAAAAAGTCTCTCCACGACCGCGTCGCTGAAGGCTTCTTGCGACGCGACTTCGGGCACCAAGCCCAGAAAATATGTTTGCTCTTGTGTCATCGAGATCCCGTCTCTTACTGTCTGTATGTCAAGTCGAGTTGTGGGACCTTTTTCACAAGTCAAGAGACTACGATGAAGCTGCTACGATGTCGGAAGACCTAACAATGCACATGCACATGCAACTTGTGTACGGAAACATTCTTACCTCCAATCGTGTTATCAACAATCATTCGCTTCGAGAATTCCAGCTAACTTCGTATGGGCAAACGCGTGAGTGGTGATGCGAGACCAGACTCTCGACGGTGCAGAAATTTTCGCCGCCATGAAATTGTTGCTTGTGATCTGGATATGCATGGAAAGCTGACCGTGTGTTTCATCTTTTGCCAACAGGGTCCAAATCCCCTACTTCCGGGCTTCTTGTAGGCTTGTTCGATTGCCTCACCTGCAAGAGCGGGTCAGAAGTGTGGCCAGATCACCATAAACCACTCGCTAAACTTGATTTTTGTTGGTTCGTGGTTTGTAGGTTGCATGTTCATCTTCTGTCTACGGTAGCGTCACTTGTGTCATCGATCCGCCAGTCTCTTGGATGGACTCGTGAAGGTGTGGGAATCTCAAGGATTCACCCATCCGAGACAGAGAAACCTGGCCGAGAAGTCGTGCTCACTCGTACTCGTACATAAATATAGTACTCCGTACTGTACCGTGGGAAATTCTCTAAGGCTGGTGGGGTCGACCTTCCCGGGCACGTATCGATAGGCATCGCCTTGGTCAAGCAAGACCTTGGTCATAACCGTTCCACCCTGGTGTTGGTTCGTGTTCTATGGGCAGTACTCGGTAGCAATGTCCTCAGCAGACACTGCGTGACGTTATTGACATTTGGGACCTTTTTTCTCCCTGAGCCATGCCAATGAGCTGCTAGTGCTCAGAATTATCATGGCATTTCCTGGATGTTCGCTTGCGTGATGTGGTATCAGTGTGGGTTATGAGTTCGAGAGTTGTTCCCGCTTTTAACGAGGTGATGCTGCCGATACGAGCACCGAGCTGGTGATTGCGTGCGAGGATAATGTTGATTAATTTCTCCTGTAACCGTCCTCAATTGGTAGCGGTCGCCGAGGAGGGTTTCTTCCCACCGGGGCATCTTGTCGAAAAAGCAGCATCGTCCTCGACTCGAAAAAGATGGTGGTGTGAGGGTAGTTTGGGATACTGTCGACTGGCGAGATGACACCATGGCGAAGCCGGTCGTGCCAGGGTCCTCGCGAGCAGATCCCACCTTTGCCCACAAGATGCTCCGTTCAGTAAATCCTGCGGTACTCGCACCAGAGCATAACGCAGTGCACTTGAGAAGACTACGACAGAGAATGCCCCCCTCCATCCGCGCCCCGAGGGCCCACTTGAGAGGCCTCGAGTCTGTGCCTGGTGGTCCCCCCTGCTTCGACCCGACGGCCCCAGCTCCCTCCCACAGTAGCTCGAGGCACCGTCCGTTTTCGCCGCGGATCCTTTGGTTAGTGTTCCCGCCATTCCAGGTCGCACTTGGGACAAAACGAGAGTAGGGTGTTTCCAGAAGGCCGTTGCTGATTCGATTCCAGAGGGAACCCTTGGTCTTGGGTCTGCCAGAGCGTGGCAATGCTAGGATCCTGGCCCTCTTCCCTCCCCCCCAAAAGTTGGACTGTACCAAGTGGAAAGGCCGGCAGAAGCACTCAATGGGCGGTCCACCGCCAGCCTCCGGGCCATGGGCCCTAATGCAGGAACCAGTGCCCATCTCTTCCTACCCAACCTTTTTGCTGCGCGATGTAGTATGTGCGGCCCCAAGGCCGTACCGCGATCGTCCGCCGGTGATGCTCGACCCAATTAGACTGGCGAGACGATGCAGGTACCAAAGCTCTGTTCCCGTCTGTGGCCCATCCGCATCGATCATTTTTCCCTCTTGGGCGCCGAGAGCTGCAGCTTGTGTTTCATGTTCGAGGCGACGGGATCGCCATGTGCTTATCACGAAACAGGTTTTTCCCATCAGGTCGAGTGGTTTCAGCTCGTCCACAGTTTCTGGATGCAACCTTTTCTGCCTCGACGTGTTCACTGTGTTGGGTTTGTATGGGTACTCGTACTTGGAATTACCCTGTAGCAGTTACCACCTTCTAGTCATGGCTCCAACTTCGATTAGACGGAAAAAAACTACTCTAGCTCAATGGATGGTGGCTTAGACAACTCATGGACGGAGTACAAACGAGCTAGAAATTTCGATTAGAAGGTCGAAGACGAGAACGGTCGCACCCGACTATCCCAAGTCCAGGGTCGACTGCTCTCTCTTGGTGGCGTGGATTTTGCTACGAGTCGTGTATGGCAGAGAATCAGATGGAAACTTCATGGGGAGGACTGAGTAGCGCTTCCGGGGAAATTGGTATCCACCTGTTTTATCTTCTTATCGCCTCTGGCATTCAGAATGAGGCGTGTGGCGGAGGTGTGAGTCGGTGGTAGACGAATGTCCTAGTTAGTTCGACTGCATGTCCTCAAATATCGCCTATTCCTGGTCTTGTCCGTTCCTTAAAAGACATGTTCCCCGTTGCAGTGGCTTGCACCTAGATTTCCCGCTAATGGTCGCTTCGAAAGGCACTTGCAGTCGGGAAATCCCTGTGTTCTGAACCATACGATGCAACTTCTTACTCTGGTCGAGTCCGTGTGGTATGTTCGTGGCGACTCTTTCGACTGGTGCCTTCACAAAAGCACACGTGCCGAGCTATGCCTGCTTGCCATGACACACAAATTACTACTCCGTAGGTCCAGAGAGAATGATACTCTGTACTTCTCACTGCATGGAGCTCTCTGCATCGTTTAGCGTCTTCCAAGCTCTTTCGTGCCCAACTCGGTCGTCTGTTAAGTACTGATCGCTCAAGAAAAATCAGATGGATGTGCTCTAGCTTGATTACTGCACCGCAAACTTTCAGTAGTATGTGGAAACAGTTTCCCTCTCTGAACGACGATCGTTTACAGTACGTACCCCCTACCATTCAACCACATTCGGCATGTCTTCTCGTCCCTCCGATAGTCCATGTACTCGTACCAGTGACCAAGTAGATGGAACCAATTCTCTCGCCCATTGTGGGATGACCCGAGGTCCATGGGTACTCTCCGGCTTTGCTGGTTGGCTGGTGTCGCTAGAGAATTGGATTACCAGAATTTTGGTGCTACATAGGTCCACCAGCCGCGAACAAGCGGAATGACATGTTGAGCATAGTGTTGACTAGATGTTGGCGATCAAACTCAAGGCTTTGAAATTGACATGTTGAGTTCCTTCCATGATTTTCAATATCGCTGTCTGAAGTAAGGCTACGCCCACGATGGCAGCATGTACTATGTCCCCATCAGCTGGATCGGCAGCTTGTGATCGAGTAAGGTATAGTCGAAAGATAAATTTTGGATCTGATGGCGCCTTCGATTGAAAACTATTACCTGCAAATCTGTCAGATGTTCTCGCGTCTGGTATTTGGTGTAAAATGAGTCGGCCGCCTCTGAATTGATGTCAGGTACGCGTACGCAGCGCGAGGATGGGCTGAGTTGACAATCGATGTGACAGCCATCGTCTCAGGACATCAGACATCTCAGGAGCATGAGCTATCAAGGTCGGTACGATGATTTATCGACAAGGCTTTTCTCTGAAGGAATCCTTTATCAAACCATACAAGTTGCTTCGCCGTACCCCAGTGCCGTGAAGTGGGAAGTGCTCTGGAAAATTACCTACCAGACACTCTTTCCTTTTCAATGTACCTGGACCAAGGGAACTGGAAAGGACACCTACAGGGTATTCTTTCATTTTCGGTGTACCGCCTCGCCCAAAGAAATCCATGAGTTGTCGACGCTCCAGTCATACTCTATTGACATTCGATTTGTCTGAGTCTTTTGCTTGAGCTGCGAACCTTGGTCGGAATTGCGATGTAGGGCATATTAGTGATGCCCAGCAGCAACAGCAGTAGCCGTCCTTCCCCGGCGCCCCTCCCCAACGTTGGTGAAGACAGTGAAGACAGACACCTTTCTCCCCCCAATGAGCGCACCCTCAGCATCATCAGTGAAGACATGTTAAATATTCCGTTGATATGTTTGATTCGCGAAATTTCACTCAACAATGGGTTGATAACTCAATTGGCAGCGTGCATTTCCGGAGTCCAATCACGTCCTAGGCGTTTGTTTGCGTACCCTCAGAATCAGTTCTTCCATGCCCCTTCTCCGGCCGGGTTAGGGTTTGGGTTCTGGTTGACCAGAGTAGGGATGTCCTGCGGCCATTTGTAGTTTCAATTCCAGAGGTGTTGCCCCTTTAAAAATCTTGGCCCATACCTTGGTTTTCTATTCTCATGACTTCCCCTGATCAGGGAGGTTGTGAGATGAGTTTTTGTTTCGTCAACAATACTTTTTTTGGTGCCTCTAGCAAGGGGGAATGTAAGCCGCAGACAATATCAGACAGATGCAACAGGTTGTGTCCAAGTGTTTCAAGATGAGTACAGCCAAGGTCGGAAGTCGAGATCGAGTACGGAACTTTGATCAAGGCTGGCATGGCATGGTCTGGTCTGAGTCGACGGTTCGAACCTGGGTGCGTTCATGTTACCGGAGATTTCCTTTTTCTGGTTGGTGTCGGCATTGGCGTCCACATGTAGTGAATAACGGAGTCCGAAATACTCCATATCGTTTGTGATGGTGATAGTGAAGGCGTGCTCTGTGGTGACAACAACAGCAGCAGCAGCAGCCGCCAAGCCACAATGGAAATACCATAAGCCTTGCCAATTTGAAGAAGAGGAGAAGATACACTCGGACGATTTTAAATAGTTTATTGTGCATCTCATTTTCGTATGAACAGAAAGGGAAAGGGGGTCATCGTGTATCGGGGAACAACCTCACCGGGGACATGTCAGTCGTACAGTCCAACTAAAAATCATCATCATTCGAGCTGGCACAGATACGACACACGAATCCCGGACCCTGCAGGGTCTTTTTTAAGATCACTCTTCCTGATCACTTCTCTACTTCTTCCTCCTCCTCCTCCTCCTCCTCCTCCTCCTCCTCCTCCTCCTCCACCACCACCTCAATCACGTTCCCTTTCCAATCCTACCTAGGTATCGATGATCACAAGTCGACCCTTGAGCAAGTAGTCATTTGCAGAGACGAACACGTCCCCCTCCAGCTTGGGTGTCTCGGTGCTCCGTAATTTTGGATGGACAGAAACATGATCTTTCGGAAAGAATCAAAAGAATTGTGCAAAAGGCTTCAGAATTTTTTTCGTCAAGATTTGAGATCATTTACCAGAATCGTTTTGATAGACCCCAGTAATCATTCTCTTCCTATCTTTTAATTTGTTTTTTTGAAAACTTCATCATGAGCCTTAGATATCATTTCATCAAACGAAGTAGGAAACAAACAAAGTACAAAGGTAGTTCAAAGATTTTTCGAACATCGCGCCAAGCTCAAAACAATCCCCCCCATACCAAAATAGGTCTAGCTTGATTTTGCTGCCTCGTCGCTCCTACTGATGAAAACAATTTTTCCATCTCATCTGCTTTCTGTTTCCTTTTTTTTCTTTTTTCTTCGTGCGGCGCTGCCACCATCAATTGATACCCCAGTGTTGCTTGGCTTTTCAAAACATAACTCTCATGGCGAGTCCAAGTGTCAGTGGCAGCACAGATTAAAACAATTGCAAACCGATCTCCTTGATCGAGGAAGATTTTACCGGTTTTTTTTTATATCAAACCACTCCGTACGGAGTTTTGATGTATCAAAAGAGTCTGGTTCGGCCTCGTTCATGTGTCTCTGCGCTTGTAAACGCGTGGGGTCGGACAAACACTCTCATTTCCTCTTCCCTTTTCCCCTTGTTTTCCCATTTCTCGCGATTTTTATGATTCTTACCAACCAGAAGAAGACGAGTAATGATGCTTCCGAGGACTGTGTGTTACAGGGCCATATCTGGCCCGGGCGATGGACGTGTGACCGACTTTCCGTTTGGCAAGCAACGAAGCATTTGATTTACTGATCAAATGCTCAAAAGAATGTCCTCAGGCTGCTGTACCTATGCAGTATTTGATTGTCTCCTTGAAGATGCTACTCCGTACAGTAATAAAGCACCTCTATCTGATGCAATGATTGCATTCCTCGACTCTAATTTGAATTCCCTTTTTGTCCACATAACACAAAGTACTTCTGTTTCAAAGTCTAATGGCTCTCTGTCTCTCCAAATTCATGTTCTTGTTCCTGTCCTTCTTTTGCATGTGATCGTTCCTCATATCTCATGAACATTTCTTTCTTTCTTGTCCCTCGTCCTTGGGGTTTTTTCACTCATCAGATGCGACCTTTTCGATCTTGCCGTCCCTCTTCTCTCCAGTCTCGCCAATGATTCGTATCCGGTCCAGTCTGACCTTCTCGTTGTCACCTTCGCTTTCAACTATGAACATGACCATACTGGAAACGTTTTGGAACTTGACGATGCGCAAATCTATCTTGGCGGTGCCGGTTGTGGGATTCCAGTCTTTTTCCGTCAAGGTCACCTCCTGCGTCGGGGGTGCGCCGTCCGCTTCGTCGAAACCGAGAATGTGAGGTGTGTTGGTGTAGAATTTGACGAGCTTGGGTCGGCTCGGGGACTCGTCGTCGTCGTCAGTGTTGTCCGGCAGGGACGTGAGGTGAATCGAATGGATTTTCAAATTTCGCATAAATGGAATGTAAAGCATCAATTGTTCGTCCGTGTCGCTTTGTACAAAGTCTACCTTTGCCTCTGGTGTGCCTTTTTTCGGGATCTGTGTCAGCATTCATTTTGTACTCGCCCTCGTTCGATGGTTTTTGGGAAAACAGCTGCTTACCCAACGGCTTGTCTTTGCTAATCAGTTTCCTCGCGTTCCCGTGCGACGAGTCCCAGTTCAACAGTTCCAAACCCAGAAAGTTGACCTGGTCGGTGACGTCCACGTATCCTCGAGGCAGTTCAGCTCCATGCCATGGCTCGTCCACCTTGGGATTGCCCGCTTCTGTCGTGTCCATGTTCTCCGATTCTTCCTTGAGGCCGTTCAGGAATTCCTCGAGTTTCTCTGGGTTCGGATCTACGATTGTTGCTATCCTTCGAGCGTTTTTGAATATCATATACGTCGGCTTCCTCCCGACGCCATATGAGTTTGCGAAATCAGCTTGGTGGTCGAGTTTGATTGTTGTGAATACGATCTTGCTTTCATTCACGTATCGCCGGGATAATTTGTGATAGGTCGGGAGGATCTGCTGAGCTATGAAACCGTCGTAGTAGAATTTGGCGACGACGATGGGAACAGAGGACAGTACGGTGGAAAACTGCTCTAGGGACACTACACTTAGGAGTAAATCGTCAGAAGACATGTCATCAGGAATTGGTTCATCAAAAAACACGGTGGCTGCAATTTCAGAAGGGGGATTTGTTGTTTGGTGGGGGGAGGAGAATGAGCGTACAGGGACGAACAGAGGAAGCTGTTCTGTCGAATTCGGTCACCTTTTGAGTGACAACGACAGGTGGCTTGCTGAGGCTGGCAAAAGTCTGGATTCAGGGAATTCTCAATGGTAAAGCTTTACTTGAAACCAACAAAGGCGCGATTTTTTTTGACTTCTTATGAGAAGCTACAACTTGGTGCAACCACCTGCGGTGAAAGTAGGGAAAGCCTGCCGGAGCAGGAACATCATTTCACCGATCTTCTTCCGTACATACCCCCATACAAGCTGGAGTGTCTACTCACATTAGAACTTCTGGTGCGAATCATCCGCATGCAATACAGTTCAAACCAACGACATAGAGGATCTGGGACAGCCTAGCTAAGCTCAAACAAAGATTTCGTAACTTCATTTGATCACTCTTGAATCACTCGTCCACTCTGACAACAGCCTATCCAGTAACACCACATAACATCTAGCCACAACTTCTCCCAAGGATCAACCATATACACACATGATGGTTTCCTTCTTTGACTAAATACCTAAAGTTTGGCATTGTCTTTGAAGACATAGAACGCCTAGAAATATGTGAATGTCAATTCGGTTTCGAAACAGAGCAGCAGCCGAAGTAGCAGCAGGAACAACAAGCAGAAACTCAAACAAAATCTTGAGCTGACCTACCTCTTGCACACAAGTGGCAATCAACAGACCCTTGTGACTGAAGATTCTCGAATGGATCAATGCCCTTCCGTCCTTTGCCCACGGGGTCGTCGCCTCGACGTACACCAGTTCGTCGGCTCGGAAACCGTCGTGGACGTGGAAATGTATCGCGTGGTTCAAACTCGTCATGATTTTCATGCTCGCGGGCTGTTTTGTCCTTGTGCGGTCATTGATGGGAAACAACCCCAACGGGATATCGTGGATGCGCAAAGGACAATCCATGATGTGATAATCCGAGAGGTATATTATACCCAACAAGTGTGCCTGTGAACCCGCCGGTGCTTTTATAGGAGGGTCGATCTTTGCAACCACAGGACCGATCGTCGTCGTGATCGGGTCGTTGGCTTCTACGATCATCCCGGTAGAGTGTCAGGGAAACTTTGGAGGGAGAAACAAGGACACCAACGCACCTGGTAGCTGCAAATGTGGCAACCTCTGAAACTTCATGAAAGGTCCCAACGGTGTATGGTCTCCCTCGAAGTCGTCCAAAGTGATGTCGCCGACACGTTCGGTCGTCTTCATGGACTCGGTGTGTGTCATGCTACGACCCGTCCATTCGGTGGCTCTGACGAAACTGGCCGTGACGGTCACGCAAATCCTTCCGTCGTCCTGTTCGATATTGACCAGACGTGACACGAAAGTCCTTCCTTGACTGAGACGTTGTACCTTGTAGATGAGTGGTCTGTCCGTCTTTGGACCCAACATGAACGTCACCTGTAAGGAGTCTATCCTGAAATCTTCAGTGACAGTCCTGTATGCTGCCGCCGTGGCTTCCGCCATCATCAGAGGTCCCGGCATCGTATGGGTGATTGGGAAAACCCATGGTGGATGAACGTTTGTGAATGTGTCCTACCGAGAAATGTTAGAGCTACAGATTGCCGACGACGGCGTCCCCTCCCTGCCGTATCGGTTACATATATATATATATATGTAACTCCCCGGATCGGTATCAAAGTCACTTACAGGCCCAATTTGTTCTAGTTCAATATGACTTTCAAAGTCGAGACTTTTGACCCGCGTCGTCATTGTTTCAACAAACAAAACGAATGAAAAAGTGAAAATCTCTAAAACAGAAAGTGTCGTCCGACTATCGTGTCAAAATATTTTGAACCGCCAGATCAATCCAAAGACATTTTATCATGGAATAAACAAAAAAAACATACAAGATCTTCGAAAGGAGAATAATATTTGGAGGTGTCACCCATCTTATGCCGAGGTTTCTCTCCCATGTCTTTCGGCTCGGTGGTTTGGGGAATCCCAGCAGTCCCATCTTCTCGTTCTGCTACTACATCAAAGACATGACGTTATAGAAAATGCTTAAATAACGTGAAGTGAAGGACTTGAACAGTAGTAGTGGCGAGTAAGACGAATGAGGTTGATTGTCGTCAAGGAATCTTCGTAGTTGTCCCCGTATTTTGCAATGTAGAGGCCATCAAAGTCAGCAATTTCAGCAAAGTCAGCAAAGGGATAGACCCAAACACCATCATAGTTCCAGGAGACTGAAAGAAGCAAGTATAGCAGAAGCCAATATATTGTATCTCTGTGTGTTATTCAGGCTACTTTGTACTATTATGGCCTTCAAAGGAATGTCTGGAGTTTGTCATCAAAATCAAAACACAAAAAAGCAAAGACATCTGTGCAACCTGGGGGTTGACAACCAAGGAGAGTCACATGTAGTTAACGACTCTCATACCATTCTCGAAATTTCGTTCGAGACTTTCTTGAGAATCACCCACAACACCACCTCCAATCATGTCCGCTACTGCTCTGCTCGCAATGCAATGCAAGGAATTCGAGACCCAAAAAAGCCCATAAAGCAGTCTAGCCGCCCTCAACCCCTTTCATACTGTCTAGTCTCCCCGAAAATTAGGGCTCAACACCACAACAAAAGACTGCCATGGAATTTTTTGTGACACACATTACTTGCAACCTTGACCCGAGATATTCTGTCAGATACTAACCTAGAACAGCTTGTGTTCGAGGGTCATATCGGACTCGGGTTGAAGACCGACACAGGCACGGAAGATGTTGGTCAAGGCACTTCGCTGCTTGGCCAAGGCGTTGACGACAGGCGTGCCAGGAGGAGTGAGCGGTGCCTATTAAAAAGGTACAACGTTAGTTGATTGTGTAGAGATGGAACTGTTTCTGGGGTCGGTGACTCACCTTGAGCATGTAGCTCAAGATACTCAATACACTGTGGAAACCCTTGTAATCACCAGCTGCTTCACTCTTCCATGAGATACGAGTCATCATTTCGGCGACAACGACCAAGTCAATGATCAATGGCGATGCGAGCAAAGAGTCCTCGCACACGTTGAAGATGCTGATGGTTTGGTGACCACCAAGGAAGATCTCAGCATAGTACTCATCGAGAGCACGCTTGTTGTCGCCGACTGCTGGCATGTACTTGATTACGACGCAGTGGTCCGGATGCTCGTCCTTCTTGTACAAGACAGAGTTGGCTGCGACCATGTCGTCGACAACATTGCTCTTGGAGATCTCCTTGGAGCGGAATTGCTTCTGCGACGACAAGTTCTTGCCGTCATTGTTGCCCAGATGGTTGTAGCTGGAGATGGAAGTGAGCTTGATACCGGCATTGATCAAAAAGTCAACCAATGCGGACTTCATCTTGGTCTGGCCAGACTTGAAGTCATCACCACCGATGAACGCACCGTGCTTCTCAGCAAGGTCGATGGCACCTGGCACAAAGGTGTTCTGAGGAGAACCGTTGATGAAGGGGACCTTGTCGAGGATACAAGCCACAGAGAAGACGGTCGAAGGAGAGACTTCTTCGTGGCCGGTCTCGATGGCCTTCATCAAGTTCTCGGCAGTGTCGTTGACGCCGGGGATGATGTCGGCATAACGTTCCGTGTTGGCGGTCCACATGACAATGACCTTGTCCAAGTTGTTTTGCGCCTTGAAATCGCTATAGCACAACAATGTCAGTAGACACTCTGCATGACGCTGTAGCACCACGGAAACATCCCGGAAGTGTCATCCAAGATTTGTTTTACATACCTGATGTCCTTTCTGATCTGTTCCACGTGAGCCATGCACGCCTTGGAACCTGGCAGAACGTTGTCCGCACGATCACCCTGGTTGGCGGCAATGAAGTCAGGGTAGTAGATGCTTGGCAATGGCTTCATCTGGGACATCTCCTTGTACACCTGGGCCTTCAATGTGGGTTCCAGGACCTGAGCGCGGTCCATGGCGGCGGCAATGTTCATGCTGCTAATGTCCCAGCCACCGACGACCAGGTCGTTGGGGTGCACCATGGGCAAGACGTTGTGGAAGGGGATGTTGATCTCCTCGGCAGTCTCGGCATCGGTGCCCAACTTCATGGTCGAGCCCATGATGACGGAGCCGTAGTAGTTGGCGGCGCGCGGACCTTCACGGGTGTCCCAGGCGAGGTTGCGGCGGTTGGCGATGATACCTGCGGTGACGGTGGAACCGTTGTTGCCACCCCAGCCCACCAACATCATACCGGTCCTGGGAACCTTGCGGTCGACCTGGAAATCGTAGACGGTTTCCTTGGGAGCGGCCTTGTACTTGCCATCGGCACCCTTGGTGACAGCAGTGGTGCGATAGACATACTTGCTTTCGATCTTGTCGTCGGTGTACTTGACATTGGGCGAGTCGACGGTGAAAAAGTCCTGCGGTGAGGAAGTTGCGGTTGCACTGTACCCGTTCATGGAGCCGACGCCGACTTCTGCGTGAGGTGCCATGGCGTCTTTGGAAAGGCTTGAAATTGGCCAAAGAGTGATTGGAAAAAAGAGTATTGAGGTTTGACGCAGTGGTCTAATTTATAGCCAATTTACTGTGTTTTGGGTGCTTCCGATGCTCCTCCAGGAGGGGAAGAGCGTCGGCTACCGTTGAACGGGTGGTGAGACCTGCGAGTTGACGGATCAGCAGCCATCGCGATAGCAAACATTGGGAAAACGAGGTGGATTTGGATCGAGACTGGCATTGTCGACGATGGAAAAGATGCAAAGTGAATCAGACGAGCGGCCGACCGCAGATGTGTGTCGAAATCAGACCGGATGAGGTACGATTTGACCGGGGGCCACGCGCTTGACGGAAGCCAGATAATACATATCCGGGATCGATGACATGCAGGTACCAGCACGAGTTTGGTAGGGAGCGACAGGGCCCTGACCAGGGCTCCCGACCAGGGTTGTTGGGGGGCGTAGGACGAGGGGGAAAAACGATGGGGGACCAGGGGACTTACGAGGGCAACAAGTTGGAAAACGTCTTGGCGGTTGGACAGACCACTCGAAAGTGATCTGATGGTTATGAAGGGAGGATTGAGGGTAAAGACCACCGCCGGGCAGCGATCTGTGGGTTTTTTTTGTGTTGTGGTTGGTAGAGTTGGTATAATGAAGTTGAGTTGAGTGTAGGAGAGAAAAAAAGAGAAGAGAAAGGGAGAAATCTGACGGGGTTTTGTAAGTTCTGTACTCACGCACGGAAGGTACAGGAGATTCTGGTACGGGTGCTAGGCAGAAACAGAGTCCAGCGGGTACGAGTACAGTAGGTAGCTAAATTACTTACCGCACATCTATCTACCTAGATTCATTACTTATGGAGCATCAGGTACGAGTAAAAAAGCACTGATACTGAACAATGGACTGCGGTAGGTGAAGTACTCCGTACCTCTGCGTTCTAGTGCTCATCTTGTGCTGTACGTACCGGGCCAAAGGTCTCCAGTGCACAGGTGTCCATTGCCCAATGCCCAATCTTTTGTTCACAGTATCTCTCCCTCTCTTCCATCTCCACGCTCTCCTCCTTGCTAAGAGCTGTAGTCTGGGCGTCTGGCACTGCTGTCAAGTCTCGCATGACTAATGGGATGAGGACATGTTTTTCTTCGTTATCCTCACCGCTAAGACGGACAAACAATCATACGCTTGGAGGAGCCAGGATGGAGCCACGAGAACGAAAACGAAAAGGACAGCAAAAACGCCCCGACTCCGATTTTCTTCCTAATCTCTGGGCTCAGGATATCACGGGGATCATTGGTGACTTGTTGGGAAGCTCGTATCTCTCTGTGGAATCCTTGTACCCCTACCAGACTTGTGCTGCAGTCGTATGGAGTACAGGACATAGTCAGTGAGTGAGTGGTACTCTTCGTACTGGTAGTGGTAGTAGTAGTGGTAGTAGTAGTGAGTGGACGAGGCGCAGGGAAATCATGTTTGTACCGTAGACTACTCCGTACTCCGTACAGTAATTCTCATCCCACTTTCTGCGCCCTCGTTCTCGCCCCTCTCCTCGTATCGATAAGCGAGCAAGAGAAAGGAATCAAAAAACACACCAACCGAGGGGCAATTATTTTTGTTGTCCCACCCGAGGTCAGGCCTCAGTCAACACACTCAACGCTACGAATCCTAGTACTCGCATCGTACTCTTTACCTATTAATCTACAGTACTCATACTCCCAAAAGTCACCAGTTATACCTATCGCGGTCTTTGTTCTGATGTTCAACGATACAACACCTGCTGTTCTCCCACAAACATTGCTCCAGATCATCTGAGTCTTTTTTTCTGTTTTCAAATTGACCTTTCTCGTACTCGTACCCTCCCACGTCAACCAGCCCTAGTTCAAATTTTCAAAGAGAAAGATGCTGGACGCAATGCAGAGACGGTGTACGTGTTATCTGCAGCCATGTTGGTCACTTGCAAGCCGCCGTCTTCAAAGACTGCATTCGATCTGCAGAAATTGTGCCTCAGCGCCCGTATTCATAGCGTCCCTCAAGCCAATCATCCCATCCGCAGCCCTCCGAATCCAGTCTTCATATCCGGCGGAATCCAGCCTGTACAACAGCAAACTCCCACCCGGCGTCCTTCCATCTGCCGTTGCTAGCGATCTTCTTTTCTGTCCCACGCCGACTTTCTCGCCGTTTTGGAATCACTGAGGACCCTTATCATCACATGTCTCTTGCCTATCTGCATACATCCGCACACACTGTGAACAGGCAAGTCTGATCTCAAATCTGGTCATCTTGTTCGTGATGGAGAGACGTGTAATTCCCCATCTAAGTGTGCTCGCCGGAAATGCCTGGTTGATCGGAGCCCAAACACGCATACCGACACATCTACTGGCCGCGCTAGCTTCGATTTCACGTGATACAGTAAGCATCCTGGCTGCATAACACCCGAGCAGCCATTCCAGAATAGGGACGGGATGCAGATTTAGGGCGCAATGTAGAAAGCACTGCTAAAGGCACTACTTGTGGTTCCACACAAACACTTGCATCCGAAGGATATTGTATATCAGATATCTCCGCTGCTCGACTGACTCGATCCACCCAACAACAAACAGGAGCGAGAGTCCTGCAGGACGCATTCTGATATTCTGTTGGTAGCATGAATCCTCGTTTTCCGTCGTGCAATCCTCGAACCACTCTGACATTCTGCCCAGCAGATCATAATCGCCCAGTCCAAAGAATGAAGAAGAGTCCTATCCCTATAAAACGCTCCCAGTCGCGCCACCCGCTAAATCGTATTGTACTGCAATTTGACTACATAAATTCATGTCATGTTCATCAACCTGGTCACCCTCCGTTCCGGGAAGTTTCTTCCCTTGATCATCCCCGGATCTTGTCCGCTGCTGATGTATTCCCGGATCAAGGGGCTAGGCCGACTGGGCATATTGTCTCGAGATTTGGGCAGGCTGGCAAGTCGGAACGCATCCCTTTCGCAGTACACCCGGCCGGAAAGTTCAAAGTAGTCGTGATCGAGCCGCACATGACAAGTGGTGCATTTCAGGCACTCGGGATGGTGCTTTTCCTTGCCTCGACCCGCCACATTTGCCGTTTCCATGTACAGACCTTCAATTCCTTTGCCGCATGTAGCACATAGTGAATTCTCTAATTCGTGGTAGTGATGGGCACAATAAGGATGATCATTGTGGACATAGAACTCAGCAGTTGGAAATGGCGCCTTGCAGGTATGGCAGACAAAGCACTCTTTGTGGTATCTACCACTTAGCAATCCGTCCGCGCTGGAAACCGACTTTTGCGTAACCAGGATCAGTTTCGAGCAGCCTCGACATGTACCCTTATTGGGGGTAGTGCTTTTGGCTTTGGGCGTCAAGGGTGGCCCTGACATTTCAGATGGCACGGGTTCTGTGGAAATGTTCGGTAGCGTGGGGCTTAACCCGGGCACCCGGGATGCTAAAACATCAGGCTTGATTAGGTCCTCGGGTCGGGCCAAATCATCTTGCTGGGAAGCGGACTCGGTGGCTGCGTCTACAGGAACGGGTGGCATTCGCGGTCGCAGTGGTGCTGGGATGTCGACATCTTCCGTCTTCAGCTGGCCGGAAATCGACGGGTCGGAGGGTTTAAGGTGCAAAGAATCAGTCTGAGGCGAACTAGACCTTGAGCTGGAACTATGTTCGGAAAAGCCAATCGAGCCGTAGGAGGAAGCAGAGTCGATAGAGTCCCGCCGCGTACTGTCGTTCTCTGGAGCTGTCATGCGGACCGGAAGTTCTTCCACAATTGTTGAAATTCGGGGGTGCTTGACGGGCTCGAATTGTGTGACAGGGGCATTTTCGTGGGCCTCTTGTTCTGTTGTAGGTTCGACAACTACTACAGGTGCAACCGTCGGAGCAGGTATCTCTCCCTCGAGTGCCTTCAGAGCTTCTTCGTGCACGGGGGTCAGGGGAGTAACCGGTAACATTGGCGATGGTTCAGCTGTCAGGAAGGACCTATCACTATCTGGACTAAACACACTTTGGCTGTCGGCTCGATCCTCATAGATGTCTGGCTCGTCACTCAGAGCTTGTCTTACGACAGAACGTCGAGAGTTAATTGACTGGGACGGGCGGCGACCAAAGATTTTCCCAAAGGTGGCTGAAAATACACCAGGTGAGGCAGGCTGCGGTGCTGTTGGCGATCTCATCTTGCTGAGAGTAGGTAGTGTCGGTTGGCCAGAGATCGGAGGTGGTGCTTTAGATTTGTATGAGGGCTGGCTGTCCAGCCTGGGTTTATCCTCGATACGGGATGAATTAAATATTAAATCGTTATTAGTTTCGGTTGGTTGTATCATAGTATTTTGGCTGGTGCCGAAATTAAAGGCACTTAGACCTGGATCGAGTGGTGATGATTGCAAAGAGGGCTCTGTATTAGATCTGAAGAGTGGTGGTGGCATTCTCGGGGCCTGAAATATCTCATTGGGCTTTGTTGGTGACGCCGTCATTGGCCGTGGTTCTTCTGACAAAGTGATTTGAAGCTCTGGGAGCTTTTCGAGACTTTGCTGACGGCTTTGTTGGCGACTGTCGCTCATTGTGCTCACCGAGTCCTTTCTGCTTGATGGCGTCGACGGTCGGCGTCTATCTGTGAGCTGAGCGTCCAGAGCGGTCTGCGGGAGGTTGTTTGACGACCCTGCTCTTGACAATTGACCCATGCGGCCAGGCTGCCTCGACGATGTAGAAGCGTCTCGAGACCGTGAACGGAGCGTGTCGCTTCTCTGAGTGGCAGATCTGTCTCTTTTTTTGGTCGTGGTGGACCGTGATGGGAGCGGAAAGGGGGGAAAGGCACAGTCGAGGTTCGTGAGTTCTGGAGATGGTGGCCGGCGTGAGACCGACAGCGAACCTTTGCGCACTACGGGCCATGGTGAGCGTGGTCCGGAAGTCGCACTCAACGGTGAAACCATTGAGCTGTGTCCACTGCTTGCCGGGGTGAGCTCGCCTTGAAAGACTGGTGGTCGAACTAATTCATTGTCAGCTTTCGGGTGAATATTTCGAGCAAAGGTGACCACGAACAAGCAGCTGCAGCATCAATCTTTGGTAACGGAGGCCTTGTTACTCTCGGCTTGCCCAAGCTTTGGGATGAATCTGTTCGAGGGAGAAATGGTGGAGGTAGAGATACCGCTGGAAAAGTCAGCATCGTGTGTCCTGGCAGAAAACGTTGTCCCAAGGTTACCTGGTGTGCTTGTTCCGCATATGTGCTCCGAAATTGCTGCCATATCGATATCTTGACCGCAGTTCGAGCATTTGATGCCAGGGGAGGCATTCGCATCTCTTGGGGCCGCTTGCATGGTTCCTTCCGCTCGCTCGAGGCGTTCCTGCGTGTTCCTGGCTTGTCCTTGCGCCTTTCCACTTATCTCGAATTCATTCAATTGTTATGTTCCTGCTCGTAAGAGGTATTCGACCTGCGCAAACGTCGACGAGGGAGTCCAACAGGATTATCGAAACACAAGCTGGGACATGGCTCCGTTAAAGATAGTGGTCACCAGGCCCGGAATCAAACGTGGTGATCAAGCGAGATGGAGGACAGGTTCGAGGTCGCTTCTGGTGTTCAAACAAACGAAATGACACTGTCCATTAGCTAGCAACGGAGCAACATCTGTTAGACGCCGGACATAATTTTCCACCCGACCAACTAGGCCTTTGGAAAATGGACTACTGAGGACCGGGGGTGAGAGATGAGGCTTGCGGAAGTTCGAGGCTAGACACGACCAGGGTGATTGAATTGCGGTAATGGCCACCAGTGTCGATCAGAGTCTGGTCAAGCTCATTAGCCTCGATGCTAGCCAGGAGAAATGGAGGTCTGCGAGGCAGTGAAATTGGGTCGAATGGTAAGACGAGCACATGCATTGACAGGTGCCGTGACCGGGGGCCATGTTTTGTTCTCGAATCGCAGTCCAAATGTACCGTGCTGTCACCAGCAATCCTTACCTCCACCGTTCTATCCTTGAGAAGATGGTCCGAAACTCGCCTGCAAATTCTATTGCAGGAGCCTTCGCATCGTTGATTCCAAGCTGCACTACTCCGGACATGGTCGGATTATTGCGAGCACAAGACAAAATTGTTTTGCAGAACAAGGTGTCGTCGCGTCCATCTCCACCATGTTAAGCTGGAAGCAGATCAACTGCCCGCCACCAGGAGCCACAAGACATGGGTTCAGTGTGACTTGTGGGGTGAGATGGGCCAGGAGGCTGATTGAGAGCGTCCCTTGCCGCCAACTAGACTGAGAGAGGTTTGGTATCAGGTCGAGGTAGCAGCAACGATCTCCAGTGGTCGTTCAAGCTTGGACCGAATTGTCCATGGGCCACGGCGGGAATACCACGAGAATGACACTGACAGCGACAGTGGCTGAGCATTATTTGTGCCATTTCATCTTGGATGCATTGTTGACACAATCACAATAAACACACGGAAACGAATAATGCACATTCTCACAAGTGGTTGAAGCTGCGCAAGAGAAATTTGATGAAGGCGGTGGTGTTTCTAGGCGGTCAGTAAGCGCTCAATCGGTGCTGGCGCCTGGTGCAGTCGACTCCCTAGAGGTCCTTGGAGGTCCTTGGACGCCCTTAGAGGCCGTTTAGAGGCAAATGGGGATCCTCAGAGACTCCTGGAGGCGACTAAACTATGCCTATAGGGTGATATGCTAAATTACGCGACTGGTCGGTGGCATCCCTGACTCTTCCCCTTGTCCTTGATTTCGCAACGCTTATTGGGTCTTTATATCTTCATTTCGATTACACTGGGGAATGGACGATTGATTGTTTTCCAGTGGATTACGCCTGTCCTTCGAACAATCATCCATTTCTTCTTCTGCACCAACAAATTCGATGGCGAAGAAGTCTTGTAATCAAGAGCAGTATCCCATCGTCGTTTCATCTTCAAATTCGCGCACTCCATCGCGCACTCCTCGACCACCATTCACAAACCTCGTATCCAGCAAGCGGTTCTCGAAGCATTCTCTTGGAATCAATCAGGAAACGAGATAAGCCACCCAGAACCAGGGAGCTCACGACAAGTCATGATCGTCCGACTCCTCTCTTGCACGTAAAGTACAAATCCTCACCGCTGATCACCTGCTCCCTGCACGATCGTCAGACTAGGCATGGACTTGACGGGGGTGGTTCTCGACTTTTTGGGCTCGAATGTCGCAATGAAATGTGGCATCATTGTGTTGCAGAGCGGCTTCTACTCCGTATGAGTAGTCTGTATTCGTATGCCGTTTGGAGCATTAGGCAGAGAGCTTCTTCTCCCACTCCACCACCTCGGGCATGGAGACACCGCCGATCCTCACTTTGCTTAGGTCAGGTTCGTAGCCCTCTTCGACGTCGGGGAAGGGACCCATGGGAGTAATGGCCTTTGGGTTTATGTCGTGGTGGCTTTTGGTGTAATTCTCCTTGATGTGCCGAAAGTCGGTCGTCTCCTTAAACCCCGGAACGTTCCAGTACAGGTTCTTCAGGTAGTTATTCAACTGCGGATAGTCGTGCCTGATTGTGCCAAGGTTGCACTTGAAGTGTTGCACGTAGACTGTGTCAAAGCGTATCAAGGTCGCGTACGCCCTGATGTCGACTTCGGTAAGCTCCTTGCCCAAGATGTATGGACCGCCGTACTCCTTCACCATCTTCTCCAGCTTGTTCAGCGCCGCGAACACCGGCACCACGTTCTTGTCGTACTCGTCCTGGCCCGGTGCGAACCCGGCCTTGTACACGCCCGTGTTCAGGTAGGTCTGCATCCATTCACTCACCTCGTCGATCTTGTCGCGCAGGTGCTCCGGGTACAGCGTGACCTGGGCGTACTCCCGCGGCAGGATGGCGTTGAACCCCGTCTGGAGGTCCCTGAGGAGCTCGGCGCTCTCGTTGTTGACGGCCGTCCCCGTCTCACGGTCCCACAGGAGAGGCACCGTGTATCGCCCCTTGTACTCCGGGTCCGCCTTGAAGTAGACCTCGTGGAGGAACTTGCTCCCGAAGAGTCTGTCCACGGTCGCCGCGGGGTACTCGTCACTGTCGTCGCCGCTCACGGGGAACCTCCACCCGGGCCAGCCGTTCTCGTCTCCCTTGGGGTAGGGCTTGACGACGGAAACGTCGACGACCTCGGTCAGACCCTTTAGATGGCGCACGAGGTTGGCCCGGTGGGCGAACGGGCAGAACAGCCCGACGTACAGGTGATATCTCCCCTTCTGCGGGGGGAAAGGTCCGTCCGGGGTGACCTTGCCGTGCCACGATTGATCGGTGCCCGCGAGGTGCTCGGCCACGGTGCTGGGTCGGGGTCGGCCGGGCGCCGAATGTGTCGTGCTCATGGCGGCGGGGCTCTCTTTACTTTTGATGCGGTCTTTCTTCACAAAATCATCCGCGAGACAGTACTTGTTCCTTGGTAAATCTGTAACGAATCTTACGAACTATAAAAGCATGCCCTGCTGAATATGAACTCAGATCTCTAGGTACGAGTCAAGTCAAGTGTTCTGTGTGATGTTTCCTGGCTTTGGCGGATTGATCCGTAATTGCGCGGAAATTCCGCCGTTGACGTAGTCGTGGTTTCGCAGTATTTATATTCATCTAACATTCAGCTTTACCTCCAACTATTGTACAACGCATCATGTTACACTCGTTCCCATAGAAGAGGTGTAGCCACATCCTTGGGATGGTCCTGTCAATGTAATGTGACCGAATGCCATTTTGTCGGCATAAACGTGGCTATCAAGCTTCCCAGCTATTAATATTGTATGATCACTACGGCAAGGAAGACCATTACTTCTTTACATCTTCTTTCGCCTTTTCCTTCAGCTTTTGTCCCTCTTCGACTTTTTGCGACAGAACCTTTGTGACGTCGTCGATCGCACTCTTAACCAGCTTCTCAGCTTCTTTTCCATGCTTTTGACTGAGCTCTTGCAACTGCTGCAGCTTGGATCCCATTTCAGAGCCACCAGGAATCATGTGTAGATACTGCTCGATCCCACTGCCACTGCCGCTGCCACCAGCCTTCTGCGATAACTTGTCGGCCTGCTCCTTGACGAATTTCTCGACATCCTCCGTGTTGCCGCTCTTAGCAGCCTCTTGTAGCTTTTGCCACAGTTGGCCAATATTTCCCTGCAACAGCTTGGATTTGTTATTCTCAAGGAGCTCTTTTAGCTGAGGTTGTTTATCCAGGACCGGCTTGGCCTGCTCGATACCCTTCTGCCACGCTTGATCTCCGTACTTCTTCAGTTCTTGAACTTTCTCTTGCAGAAGCTTTTGAAGTTGACCGACAGTGCCGAGACCGATTCCCCCTTTCAGGATATCTCGGATCTGATTGTAAGTCTCGTCCGCCTTCTGCTTCGCTTCCGGTCCATACTGGTCTCCCATCTGTTTTAACTGGTCGAAGCTGCCGCCAAGTTTCTCCTTGAGCTGCGGGTGGTTATTGAGGATGTCCTGGCCTGCATCAACAGCGAGGGCTGAAATGCGCGAGAAGCACTTCTGAATCACATCCCAAGCCTGTGACACTGCCTCGACACTGAAGCCTTTGTTGGTGACATCTTTAAGTTCATTGTATGTATCTTTGATGATCTTGTCCACCTCATCCCCGTGCTTGGAGCGGATCTTTTCAAGGTCATCGAATGCTGAGTCGACATACTTGGAAGCCCCCGGGATCATCTTGGTATAAGTCTTGACAGTGTCTTTCAGCCACTCAACTGCTTCATTGGGTTCTGGCGCGGCCTCGGTGGTCTTCTTGAAAGCCGTGTTGACATAAGAGCGAGCTTGATGAACGCTATTGACAATAGACTTGGTCCCTGAAAAGTGATACCAGAGGTAACCCGCGAGGAAAGCTGTTGCACCACCAGCAATACCGCCTACGAGGGCACCACCACTTCCAGACGAGGACGTGGATGAAGAGCTAGCATTGCCGCTACTGGTAGATTGGAAACGTGCATGGCATGGCTGACGAGATCGAATGGGCAGGGGCTGTCGCAGCTTCAGCATGCGAGTCGACCTCGCGGCCACTCTCGGTGTAGTAGCCAGCATCCTGGAAGAGGAAGGAAGGGTACAAAGGGTAAATGTGACGGTGAGGGTATGGATGAGGACGTCGACTGTAAGGATATATCCTTAAGGATTCAATGGAAGATGAAGAAACGCGAACGTAGAGCAGCAGGAATAAAAGAGCAAGGGCACAGGCACGAATACACGTCTTGTCTTTCTCAAGGTAAGTTAAGCTGAATCGAAGGAATGACGTTTGACTTGCACCTCGACCTTGTTGTCCATGATTGGTAGGAAGCGGGAGTCTGTGTCAAACAATATTGTACCTACAATACTCGTAGAACGTCATCGTGGCACAAAAAGTCAATAGTAGCAAAGTCCGACGTCAGACTTATCAAGTGACTTTTGTGGCTGAGATCCAAGGAGACGAAATCCGCTAGTGAAAGGAGAAGTTGGTTTGAATCAATTCATACAGCAGGATTGCGTTGAGATTAATGAGTAGGAGATGATTCTTTCTACAGCAAGAATGAACAGGTGCAACGGGAATGGTGTAGTTTATCTCTTTATCAGCCAGGAACAAGTCTCGGTTTTCGAATGCGGAGTTAGCTACCGAGCTCATACGAATACGACGAGGTACAGGAACGAGCATTCTCACTATTACGCTGATTTATGTACTCCGTAATTCTGCTTCATTTGCCAATAGATTTCCACCATCATTCTCCAGAATACTTTGTAATCGATGTTTGCTTTCGTCTTTGCGGTTTGAACCTTTTACAATCTGCTTGCACGACAAGATGAGTCTACGGGTAGCTACACGGTGCCTACAGCGGACAGTGGGCGTCGCATGCTCAAAACAATCCACCTCATTGCTCCCATCAATACCAGCGGTTGCATCTCGGTCAACAGCACGAAGCCATGCGCTTGCGGTTCAATCGCGACATTACCCTCAAAGCTCTACCTTCCACACTTCCTCAGTATTGCCGGCCCAATCACCGACAGCAGATGCACTCATGGAAAACCTGACAGACTTGTATGCGACGGCAAGAGACGAGTTCGAGATTGCTGCAGAAGAGACCGAGAAAAAGACTGTATACGCAGCTGACGATCGGGAGGCTGCGGTAGCTGCGCTGCAGACACTGAAAGAGGCTTTCGAGAAGGCTGTCAAGGAAAGCGACCCAGAAGTGGGCAAGGAGATACAGAGTCGGGTCGGCCAGAGAATAAGGGAATTAGAAAATGCCATCAAGGCTATGGAGCAAATGGCCATGGAGGATTAGGCGTGAGAAAGCCGAACATCGTGTCACGAGGAGTTGCCAGTCCCGGTTCCCGCGGTCTATATTGGATCCATCAGAGTCTCGAGTCCCGTCGAAGCCTATCGCGCCCCGACGCTATGGTCGTGTCCCAATTACAGAGTGCCTCACCTAGCGTTTGTTGCAATACCTCAGCTGGGAGCTGCGACTATCAGCGTGTATGGAGCGTCTAGTTCCTTCTATTTGCTGGTTGCAAGGATGCAGCGTTATGGCACGGGAATCGCAAACACGGGAAAGAATAGAAAAACCACTCCAAGAACCGAGGTTTAATCGCATCGAATCATAGAATTTCTCCAGTACAGACGTGATCTTGATCGTCCATACGCCAGTGCAAGCAGTTGCTGGAAAATGCAACAGAGAACTATTTTTGGATCATGTCCTTTCTACTGCCTAGTAGCGCTTGCCCTCTCTCAGAACATCACCGTACTCCTCCAAAGGACTTCTGATGAGCTTGTTCTCCTTCCACAAGTTGGGGGTAAGGAAGCCGTATGTGTTGCTGACAGCCACGAACGTAGCCTTGAGTGTGTTCTCCAGCGTCTTTGTGCTTCCAGAAGATGAGGTGTATGCATCCTGGACACCAGCAAGTTGTAGCAATCTCTTGACGGCGGGCGAAGCGACGAGACCAGTTCCTCGAGGAGCAGGAATCAATCGAACGTTGACGGAACCGCACTTTCCAGACTCCTTGGTGGGCAGAGAGTGAGGCTCACCGAGGTTGGTACCCCAGTAACCTCTTCGGATGGGCAGGACAGAGAGTTTGGCGATGATGATGGCGGCACGGATGGCGGTTGCGACTTCTTTGGAGGTCTTGATACCGAGACCAACGTGACCCTCACCGTCACCGATGATAACGATGGCCTTGAATCGGGTACGCTGACCGGCACGGGTCTGCTTCTGGACAGGTTTGATCTACACAGAATACTGTTAGGGCCTGCATGATCTCGACGGGCATATCGATCGCAGAAGTGTCTGTGTGGGCTCACCTTCATAACTTCATCCTTCAACTTGGGCAAAAACCAGTCGACAATCTGGTACTCCTTGATGGGGAGAGAGTGCAGGTAGATTTGTTCCATGCTCTGAATCTTTCCAGCCTTGACGAGACGGCCCAGCTTGGTGACTGGCTGCCATTCCTTCTCATCAGATTTCGGACCACGGCGAGGGCCTCGTCGCCCACGGCCACGATCACCTCGACCTCTGTCACCACGGCCCCGGTCACCGAAACCACCACGTCCACGAGGAGCGTCAGCCATATTGTCGGATTATGCGCAAAAACTGGATTGACTGAGTTGCGCTGGTGTCGTTGTTGAGGTTGTGGTGTATGCTAACTCTTGTCAATCAGCGCCCACAAAACTGCGGTCGGTGAAATTTCCGCCAAGACAAGAAAAGCCCTAAAACTATGGGATTGTGTGTCACGTGATCTGGCCTATCTACGCCGTCTAAAAGCAGCAAATCTTAGCGAGCATCGGGTCAGCCAGAAACGGCGATCCCGCCGCCATCGTAATGACGCAGATAGATTTATGAAAATACTCCCTGATTTTTGTGGGTAAATGAACTTCACTCTTTCAGTTCTGTACCAGGATAGGAGAAGAAATCAGGAAAAGTATCATCAAGGCTGGAAAGTAGCATGAAGTCCTGAATTACTCCGGATATATCTCTCGGCAAATAAGAACAGGGGACAACATGTTGCGGTGGTATGTGTGCAATGATCCTGGAAACCCCTGACTGGAATGCTAAAATTCGTGCTCCTAGGTATCAAGCTAAGCTGGCCAAACGGCCATTGTTGACACAAGCTGTCACCACTGCTGTATGGAAAACCTTTCAAGACGTCCCAGGTCAAACTGACTGAAGTAGGTACTTTTCGGCGCCGGCGATACTCTGGCCCAGCAAGCTGTGGAGAGGAAAGGATTCCGCAACCACGATGTGACACGAACAGGTCGCATGGTACTCTACGGAGGGTGTAGGTCCAGACGGCACCGCTTCTGATCCTCCAGCTGACCCAAGCAGGTATATTTGGACCAGCAGCCACGAAGTGGTACCAGATTTTGCAGAAGCGCATCAACTTTCAGTCGCATAACCTTACCATCGCTGCTAGGGTGGCGGCAGATCAGCTGATCTTCTCGACCTGCAATCTTGCATTGTTTCTATCGAGCATGTCGTTCCTCGAAGGCAGCGACCCGAAAAAGAAGCTCGAGAAGAATTATTGGCCCGGGTTGAAGGCCAACTGGGCTTTGTGGCCTGCGGTTCAGGCAGTCAACTTCAAGTTGGTTCCATTGGAGCATCGAGTTTTGGTTGTCAACATAGTCAGTCTGGGTTGGAACTGTTTCCTGAGTTGGCTGAATAGCTCGAAATGAGCTGGCTATGTAGATGGGCCCGGAACAACCTCAAGTGTGTGTGGTATAGACTTTGTGTTTTGAAGTTGATTATATAATAGACAGCCGTTTAGTGAACATTGAAAGTCGGTAATAAAACCTTTGGAGGTATACCAAATGAACAATAGAACCGAAGAAAAAGAATAATAAATACCGTGTGAAGTTGGATTCAATCACGAACGTGAATGCCGAAGCCGATGCCTGCCGACCATAAGATGAATGTGATAGGCTAGGCCCATTTGGGATGTCTTTGTCGCTTCGCTTTGAATTTTAGGAAACTGCGATATAATTTCCCCAACAGACAGCAAGTCGACAATACTTTCTGTCGTTCTCAAGCCTCTCTTCATCCAGAGCGCCTGCCTACAAATAACATAGCAGGTCTAACTTGAATTCTTTGAGTGGCTACGTTTGCGTTTGGCCACCGACACTTCTGCATCTTGAGCAAACGATAATTCTCCTCTGCTTGGATTCTCCTGCGATCTTTATTTCACAGATCCCCTACGCCCTCCGAACGAATTAATTAATATCACATCTTCAATATGGCGGAAGTGGCAATGCCGCAGCCTGTCCCTGGGCCTGTCTCAAACGAGAACACTGCGCCATCAACGTCCGATGAGATCAAGACCGTGTTTCACGACGTCAATAACTTCAACGTCAAACATCCTCTTCTCAATGCCTGGAGCCTATGGGTGAGTGCTGCTACACCATTTTTCTTGTTCTTGCTGACAATGTTTAGTTCACCAAGCCGCCGTCCTCAAAAGGAGACAATTGGAACGACTTGCTAAAAGAAGTTATCACCTTCGACACAGTTGAGGAGTTTTGGGGTGTCTATGTATGTATGGTCCGAGTTCTGGTCATGCCGTGATCTAACTTGTTGGTTTTCTAGAATAACATCACTGCGTGCTCCGACCTCAGTCTCAAGTCTGACTATCACCTTTTCAAGAAAGGAGTGCGACCAGAATGGGAAGATATTCAGAATAAGCATGGTGGCAAATGGTCGTACTCTTTCAAGGACAAGAAGTTGATCAACATTGATGAACTCTGGCTTCATACCCAGTTGGCCGCGATTGGCGAGACCCTCGAGGACGAAGGAGACAACGAGATCATGGGCGTAGTTGTGAACGTTCGCAAAGGATTCTACAGAATTGGATTGTGGACTCGGACTACTGGAAAAGCTGGTGGCAAAGACACATTGATGAAGATCGGTGCACGATTCAAGGAGGTCTTACAATTGGGACCGAGTGATGTTCTTGAGTTCAGCGGTCACACTGATGCGGCTCACGCTGGTAGCACCAGAGCGAAGGCCAAGTACACTGTCTGAAGGGAGCGAGATCGGGCTCTCAGCAGGGTTTTCTTTCACACTATGGTATTACGATATGTGGTTTGGGTGTGCTCGAAAAGGAGTCCAACGGCGTTTTTCATTCGGTGGATACGGCTTTCATGAGAGGGCAAGAAGGAATACCCTGCATTTTATCAGGCATAGCATAGCATCAAGTCGGTTCAAACCGCAAAATATGATTGCAAAGTTAAGCATCTGCTCGTGTGCTTGGGTTCATTGCAAAAGACTGTCACCTTGATAAGTACCAAGGAATGAAGATGCAGCCATCAGTCCTCAGGCACCAGAAACGAGGCATTCAGCTTGGTTGATCCCACCTCAGTGGCAAGACGTACTCTAAACGGGGAAGAATCGAATATGAAGGCAAGTACTCAGCCAGGAACTATCTTCTTGCAATCCCATGTTCAGTATCTTTTCCTTGGATTCTGTTTCGACCTGGCACCCAACACAGAGTCGGGAGGCCACAGCATTGCTGACTGATCCTTCTGTCCTCTGTAGGCCATGTTCTCTTGCAACCTCCTAGCGCGTCCTCGCAGAGCCTCAAAGCCCCGCGAGAGAGAACACGGCCATACAAGTCGTTGACCGATGTCCGCAACCCAATATTTCTTCCAACGAAGTGCATTGTTATCACGGTCCGTTATGTGGTCGACTCGCTTACTGTTGGCAAGAGTAGTTCATCGGAATCTGGCACTGCTGACAAGCGAGACCACCCTGGTCGGTCGGACAAAACGAAATTCAATTGGTAGATATTCTAACCGGTGAGGTCTGCCTTGCATGAGGTGGATAGAGAGCGAGAATGCCCTACTCGTCCTTCAAAGGACTAGTCGTGCTGCGTCTTCATTCTCCTCGATCCCGCATTGGTTTTTGTCCAGTCTTTTCCATCTCCTGCAGACCAGTTCGCATTTTCAATCCACATGTTCAGCTTTGTCTGTTAACATCTACTTGTTGCCCAAGAACATTCTTCTGCCATCTGACATTACACAACCACCCCCGCCATGCAGCTTGACGGCACAGTTTTCCATGTCGCAGTCAGCAATGCCCCAGAGTCCTTTGAAATCGGTCTGGATGTGGCATGATGGAGAGCAGATCAAGTCGAGCCATGCTGTGATTGTTAACAACATACTGTGAGTATTCGTAGGGGCGGCGTTTTATATCAGGTTCAAATTCCCTCGATTGATTGCCTCGTTGCCTGGTTTTCTATACTTCCCGTCCATCCTCTGCCTGGCCACTGTCCACCAAGCAAACCGAACATTCTTACCTGACACACCTTGGTGCTTTGCACAGTGGCGGAGCGTTTATTCGCCCATATAGCTGATTGCTTTGATATCTACCTAGGCAATAACCCAGCCACGTTCACATGGGGCGCCGCCGTCGCCAAAGCGGTCATCGCCAGGCACAACTCCCTCTCCTCCGGGTTGAGCCCAAGCCGGCAGGGAGCTCATCGACCCCGGCAACGTTTGCATATAGGTCGCGACACCGCTATTCCAGTATTCCTCGGGAAGAATTCCAGCTCAGAGCCCTACAACATCGTTACAACGAGGCCACCGCCCCATCAAGCCCCGTTAGTAACCGGTCGGCACACTCCCACGATAGCTTGGGACATTCCGTTTCTACCAGCTATACCAGCCATCTAGCGGACGCGAGGCACCTTTCACCTGATCCACCTACACCAACAAGCTCGAGTATTTCCACATACAATTCTGGCCATCATGCAGCCAATGGCCCTAGAAGACTACAGCAGTACCCAAGTCTCACGTCCAGTGGTACCTCTGATCCAGATGTGCAGATGACAGGTAGGAGGACATCATAAACTATGTAGTGAGTGAATGACGCTGATCAACTTGTGTATGATAGATGTCCTTGGTATCGATGTTCGTTTCTCGAGTGCTGAGACCCAGCAATATGTTGGAACCCAACCGCAATATGTTTCTGATCGAGGATTTTCTCCTACCATTCATCAAAGATATCCACACATGGCAGGCCCGTGGGCTCCATTCCCTTTTCGACATGAAGATTTATACGTTGGGGAGGACGGGGTCGGCCCTTCCCGGGAGGAAACGGTGCCAGACGATGCACAGACTCAGAGCTCGCGTGAGAAACGAGGAGGACGAACAAGACCTCTATCCCCCGCGGCGCGTAAAGAGGCCGGTGAGGTTCGAAGAATGGGAGCCTGCCTTCGTTGTACCATCATGAGAGAAAAAGTAATGTTATCTCATCCAAGCGTCCACAGTTACTAACGTGTCGTAGTGCGACCTTCAAGCCTCGTGTCATACCTGTTTAACCAAAGAACGACGGAAATTTCCAAAGACGTGTATCAGAGCCCACGCTGACTGGGCAAGACTCCAGTCGATCATGTTTCCTCGTAAGTTGACCTCTGTCGTCGGAAGGGAACTTGGCTAACGAATCCAGTCGAATTGACCTCATCACTACGTCGCGACCGGCTTTTCCGATACATGTCCAAAGGAGCTTTCACTTTGTCACCTCGACAACCTTTCAAGATCCCACTCGATCTGGGTGTGGGCACGCCGTTGCAGGTGATGGTACAGGAGTTTCATTCTTTAACCCCTGAGATTGAGTATACCTACCGCATCAAGGAAGATGCCAACGGGAACAAGATCTACACTCAACATCAAGTATGGAGCCCACCAATCAATGTGTTTTTCAAGAATGGAGAGTATATGAGACCGGTCCAGGTTCTGAAACATCAAATTAATACAATCTTTGAGCATGTGCTTGGGGATGAAAAGAGCTGGATCGACTGGACCATGGCATATTTCCCCGCCGATGAAGAAGACTTTCAAGCCGACATTCTCATTTGGATCGGCAAGTATTACAGAAAGGGCATCGAGGAACACGGCATTCTCAAGGCGGGTCTGAGCTTGCTTTGGTACGAACACTTGCTTTTGAGGAGCTTCGAAGTCCCTTCCGAGGCCAGACCGATCTTGGCACAGCACCTCGAGAGTCGCCGGCCGACGGATCTCGGCGAGGAGGCCGAAATGGCCCCGGAAACGATCAACCGGTTCCTCAAGGGTATCATCCTGCCCATGGCGGAGGACGCGGCGAGGTCGGTGCTGGAAACACTGCACGAGAGAATGTTCAAGATGGCGGTCAACTCGGACTTGTCCAAAGCACGCACCGACATCGCACTCTGCTTGGCTTTCGTTTTGTTGATCTTCCTCGGGAGAACGCAGCACGCGCTCATTCTCCTGGCCAGCACCAATTCCACGGGTGACACCCCCGGCGGCGGCGGCGGCGACGACGACGACGGCAAGTATTCGTTGAGCGACGCCAAGGTCAAGATTCAAGAGATGGAGGATTCGGTGACGGAGTACCTGCTGTCCTTTCACAAGTATACGTTGAGCAGGAAGTCGTCTTCCACTTCTTCTAAAGCGACCACCAGAGTGTCGAGCGGTGATGATGAGCGGTCGGCATTCGAGACACATGCCAGGGAATTTGATCTGGTCGGTCGTCTGAGACGGGAGGTGGGGGTTAAACATGGTAAGTTTGAACACATTATTCGATGTCGATACTTGGCCGGTGATTGTTTTTGCTGACGCGCGGGTAAATTTTTTTTCTTTCAGCGGGTACTAAACCAGAGGATATGGATGTTGGTCCTCTCAACTACAAGACTTTTCGACATGAAAACGTCCGGCGACTGTGTTGGAAATTGTTCCAGAATTTTGATGTCGACCAGTCCAGTTAGCGAGCCAGCTGGATGTAGATGGGGCAGCCCTAGAAAGGCCCAATGAAGAAAGTCCCACATGGCTCTCAATGAGCTTGTGACTTGAGTGTTACTGTGATATTACTCATGATGTCTATTGGACATTTACATGAATGGTGTGTTTGATATGGAAAAAGAAGGAGATGGTTGTCTATGTCTGCGGGTTTGGACTACACGTGATCCAGCACGATATACATGACCATGACGTCAGCTGCTTCCGAAATAAAATGCCAGCAAAAAAATGCCCCGGATCCTTCCTCCTCCGTACTCCATACTCCCTCACAAAACGCGTTTGATTGTTTCCATCTTCTTTCATGATTCAAAAGACTTTGACCAAAATCGATCTCTTGCGAGTGGTGGCAGATTGCTCTCCCAATTTAACGTGTATCAGAGCACTGTTGTACAATCTATGTAAAGTGCATTGTTGTTGTGTGTGAAAGCCAAAAAACCACCGAGCCCGACTCCGAATAGCCACAGATGAAAAGTATGACAGGTCAGAAAAGGGACAGTTATGTGCTTCTGGAATCAGTCACGTCAGTACCCATGCAAGAGCAGGTGTCTTCAGAAAGCCAGCCGCCCATACCTGCTTCTCGGTTGTGTCGTTTGTTCCGTGGGTATGTTTTACTTTGACGATCCACCCCATGCTAGCACAAGGTCAGTCCTCAGGCCATTTGGGAAAAGGTGTGGGAAGTGAACTTACGCCTATCCCCTCCTCCATTATTGTTGCCTCCGTTGCCCCTCGGAGGCGAGTTGTGCAAGCGTGGGATGTTTTTGGTAGGTGTCATGTTGATATTCATGGTGGTTGTTGTTGTTGCTCGGTTGGGATTTTTTGGTTCGTGTGTTTCTGGACTGTGGTACTGCCTGTAGGCAAGCAAGGTGTTGTCTGGACCTTTGAGGGTCTTTCTTTGCGTGTGAAGGGTTCAAGGGTCGATGATTGATGAGATGTGAGAGGTTTCAAGAAATCAAGGGCTTCCATGTGTGCCTTTTTATCGTCTTTGCCTGGTGGAGTTGTTGGGAGAAACCAAAAGTAGGTATATGGCTCATTTTTCAGAAAAGGCGAAGCACCATCCACTGAGCGTTCGAGGATAGAGGGGGACGAGTGTGGAATCCGAAAAGTAAACGCCAACAACAGGCAGGAATGTTTCAATTTCTGCGGCGGTGCTCCTCTCTAAGACTTTCTCGAGTCATAAAAAGGCAAGGCAGAGGGGGGGAGACCGCAGCCTGGCAAGCCTGGCAAAAGGGTTCGAGGAATGAGGCTGAAGGGACGAATCACAAACCACAAATCACCAACGGAGGTTTTTGGAACACAAAGTGACGAACAAGCGAAAACAAAATGGGTAAAGCACCGTGAAAAAGAAGTGTTTTGACATGAGAGACAATAGAAGAGTCCGCCGACCCAGGCAACAAAAGTCCCTCTTATGCCTGAAATGGAAGGAACCACCAACAGGCAGTGGCAGGCAGGACAGGCATACACAGAGTCACCACGAAAACCGTGTCATGTGTTTTTTTGTTTTCGGGTCTGGTCCGTCAGGTTCGACGCAGGCACGGTGGAGCAGCAGCGGCGGCAGCGGCGGCGGCAGCGGCATCAAAAAAAACCCAAAGGGTGGATGTTGGTGGGATGAAGCTGAATCATTTAAAACAGGTACAGAAGTTCTGATGTAGGCATGTCAAGTTGGTACATACCCAGCCAAAAACAAAAAGGTTTGACGAGGCTTACGATGAGGCACGGAGAGGAGGGGCGGAGTCAAAACTCAGTGACGGAGTGTCTACCTAGGTAGATGGTAAAAGGCAAACAAACGGGCAAAAAAAAAGTGGTACGAGTAACAAGTAGAGGAAAGATGTGGAGGCTGAAGACGGGTGATTCGAAAGGGTATTTTACATTCTTTAACACACCAAAAAGTGCGTCAACGACTACTCGTATCGACCATCCCGCTAGATTGTAACCTACGGGTTTCTAAGACATTGGCCTACCAAAAAGAAAAAAGAAAAAGAAAAAAAGAAGGGGTGGAATTAGGCCGTGACGAAGGGGAGGAGTGGGTTACTTTTTTGGTTTGGCGAGCAGGCAGGGCTGTAGTGGTAGCCTTGTGATGATGATGTGTAGTTTTACGGGTTACAATGTATGTATCCGTACCATGGCCAGATTAGAATGATCGGCAGAGATACGAAGAGTACAAAGTTGCGGAATTTATGAGAGGAAGATATCCGTACCCAAAGATGACAAAATACCTTTACCCACCCAACGGGTTGTTGGGTGTGTTAGTTAGTGACGGAGTAAATCCACTTTGATCGAATGACGAGGGGAGAGGGGGGTTTTTTTTTGGTGGCGAGTATCACAGAGGGTGGTGGGAATGGAAGTGAAGAGTGAGTGAGTCTTGCAAGGTACGAAAAGTGACAGAAGAATGGGCTTTTGGATCAATAATTGCTGCGCCCCCTTTCGTGGCTGAAAGCAAACGAGGCCAAGTGAATATCGAATAATACCTCCTTCTCAGGTGGTCAAGGGGTTAAATACGGATATCAATGGGTCGGTGATGTTCCGTCGTGGTGGTGGTGGTGGTGGTGGTGGTGCACGAGGTATAATGTACTGGGAGTAAGTCGGTACGGAAGTCATCTATCTACTGTACTGTACTGTACGAGTAGAAGAAGAGTCATCGGATAACTCGGTACAAAACAAAAGATGAACAATACTTTGGTAAATTTCGACCTGGTTCAAGGAAAGGGGACTCACGAGGACACGGGCAACCAAACCAAACCAAAAAAAGGCAGACATGATGGGACGGGCAGAATCGGTACGGAGTTGTACGGGGAGTAGTACGTTTGGAAAGGTCAGATGAAAAATGTCGCCAAATGTGCAAATGGTGCAATGAATGACATTTGGACTTGAACAAATCAAAATCGAACAAAGCCCCAATCTCTGTGAAATCCCCCCCAAAAAACACAGCCCATCATTCCATCGTACAGTACTGTAGCAATGGATGCGTTTTTTTCCCTTTCTCTTTTCTTCCGTAGGGGAGTAGTTACCGGGAAGGGGGAGGGGGGGAGGAGGGGAGTACGGAGCTGCACCGGTGACTTGGGGGCTGACTTTAGAGCCGTAGAACGGCGCAAGGCAGAAAGCGTAGTTTTTCTACTATTATGAGGTGTGAAGGAGTAAAGGACGGAGTAATGTTATAGGCTGTACATAGTACGAGTAGGTAATCGGTACCTTGAGCTCTACTGTACAATAGGTACCTATTACTGTACTCCGTATTTTCCCCACTACCCTTGTTCTTAATACAAAAAACCACCAAACAAACCAACCAATTGAAGAGTTTGTACTCCGTACTTTACAGCTCCTTATGACTTTCGTCTCGCATAGATGGCAATGAAATTGAACGCGTCCAGATCACCTGGAAAATCAATCTTCTCGTGATAGTCTTGAATCATTTTGGTTAGGCGGAGGGGAATCAGGGGTCTGACCGACGGAGTATGAATTCATTAGTATATGCTCTTTACTTTGACCCCATCAACCAAGGTCGTAGAGGGAGATCTCACGTGGGTGACTCGGTGACTTCGTCCTCGGTGTATTGGCTTCGATCCCAGATCTTCATGACGGGTCGAGCAATGTCCGCGATGATTTGTCTCACCGGGACCTCGGCGCCGAAAGAAAGCACCACTGTCGAATCGGTCACTTCCAAGGACCCCTGTGGCTTGTCGAGAACGGTGACGCCTGAATTTTGGAGCACGCCTCGATCATTGTGCGGTATAGCCTGGGTCCTGCGCAAAACATTGGATCGAGTGCCGCGTTGGTCGTGGTTATTTCACTCTAGTCATCTCGAAGGGTCGTGATCAATGCATGTTGGTACGTCGACCTTGTACACCATGGCTCTGAGTGATCCCATGGTGCCGCACGCAAAGGCCACAATCTGGTCGACGTGACCACCGTCAAGAAGAAGAGGTTGTGACAAAAGTATCGACCGAAGCTGTCGCCGAACTTTATGAGTCCCCCCCGGTCCACTTGTTCGTCTCAAACATGTCTTCAGCTTGCTTTGGTGAGAGCCGTGGGGTGAATTGAACGATTTCGTTTGTCAATCTGTGGCGTTTTTCCAAGTTGTGAAATATTTGCAGGCTGCAGTACGCAGTGCGAGGGACATATCCAAAAGCCTGATGAACAAGTGCTTGGGGAAGAAACAAACATGACAAAAGGGGTTCCCGCTGTGAAGGTGGTTAGCGACCTCTTACTGATGGTTTTACAGCCACCCTGTGTACTTGATACAATAAAAAAAAAGAAATCGAAAACATATCATTCGACGCACATGACAAAGTCGAAACCATCAACTGAATCGGAAACCTGTCCCATGTCCCGTTTCTATGTCGAAATCGACCACATTTCCGTCGAGTCCTTTGACCAATATCTACTGATGACCGCTCTGAAGCTGATCGAGTACGTCACGAATCATTTCTCAGCTGTAGATGGGGTATCCCGGCGTCGTATAATGCGCAGACGCGGGAGGAGATCTCTGTCCTGGCGTTGGTTGTTTGTAAAGGCACAGGAACTCCATCTTCTTCCTTCCGGCAATAATCAGCAGCGTAAATGTATGAAGTGAATTCCTCCATGATGGGATGTCGAAATATTTCTCTCCTAGAAACTGGAAACGAAGAAAGCCGATCCGAAGGGAAAAGCTGATCCGACGTCTCTACGGCATGTGCGGGGGCAGAGATTATTGTCACGAACAGGGATATCCATACAAAGTCCGGACAACCGAGTTGGAATTAATCCAAGACTCAGTCTGTTCGAGTATTCTGTAAGATGGAACTTCAATCTCGATAGTATGTCACACGGCAGGGCAGATTCTGATCTAGAACGGGGAGGGGGCCATGTTGTACATGGTACGGAGTACAGGGAAAGTTGGCCAAAATCCCCACCAACATGCGAGGGACTTTCGTCTCTCCCTTCTCCGTTGTGAATTGCGCAACGGTGCATTTTGGCGACCAAATCAAATCAGACAAAAGGCGATCTCGAACAAAGTGAGATGGAGTCCGTCAGTCGGGGAAATTGAGAAACAAAAGAAAAAAACACAGCCCATTGATGGATGCCCTTTTTTTTTCCCTTTTTTTTTCGTAGGGAATACGGGAGTACGAAGCACCGGAATCGTAACTTGGGGCTGATTTTGCAACGGCGCAAGGCAGAATTGTGTTCCTTAAGGACTTCTTACTTGAGGATCTACCAAGGACTGTTCCTCCTACCTGTAGGTCGTCGCCGCCGAAAAACCATACAGTACAGTATCGTTTGTCTTCTCTTCGCCGCTTTTGTTCGCCCTCGGTTCACCTTCCTCTCCCTGAGCCATTGCAATCCCCCCAGAGTTACACCTGAGCCTCTCGATTTTCTCTCTCTTCAACCACGACACCACCTTTGGTCAACTTTGCACGATGGGACCTAGCTGAGATGCTTTTGGGGGGGGGGGGGGGGGTTCCAACCCGGCCTCCCTTTCTGATGCGCTCCAACTGCTCACTTGGGCGCCCGCTGCTCCCTTGCCGTGGCAATGATAAATCTCCGCCACCTTCGTTCGAGCGGATAGTGAACCGCCGATCTTATAACAGTGAGCCTTCTTCTTTCGATGACATGTGCGTTCTCCTAGATGATGGAATTGTCGATATGTTCGAGGCAATTTGTAAAAATCTCAGGGAACTTGTGGCGGATTTCAAAGTTTCCGAGAGACAAGTCTACTTCTAATTCACTGAGGACGTAAACTAACTATGTGGTCCGATGGCACTACATAACAGCCAGATATCCTTATGCGGCATCTTCTATTTCAGGGTCCAGGTCAGTGTGCTCACTCTTGCTTCTGCCCGCATGTCCAATGCCTCGTCGAAAGGAACAATATCCATTCTTCAAGTCGTCTTGAGAGTGTCTTTCTTGAACGAGGTGGTCTTGACCTCTTGAATCAAGGATTCGCCAAAGTCGCCATGGTATCCGTTGGCTTCCAGGTAGAGCCTGAATTTGGCATCTTCACTCTCCAAATCTCGTTCTCGGTCAGGAATGAAAATCCAAGCGATCTGAAATTTGTCAGTTGTCATCAAAAGTGGAATCTGCGTGAGCCGGATGGGAGGGGAAGTGCTGGGGCGCGGACTACGTACAATGCCACCGACGGCCGCAAAGCCGGCACCGATGAGAAACACTGCCTGGGTACCCTTCTGGACATCGGAAAAAGAGTCTTGGATTGGCATGAAGACCTGTGTGCCGATGGCGGCTCCAGCCTTCCCGACTGCGGCCGCAAAGCCCAAGAAGTGCCCCCGTACAGGGGTCGGGAAGCTCTCGGCACCACAGAGGAATGTCGCCACTCCAGGGCCCATTTCTCCCAAAGCATTGAAGATACCATATAGAACGACGAAGAGCGGGAACACCGATTGGATAGGGCCCAAAGCTCCTCCGAGAATGAAACCCAGGATGGCCCAGCAGCCAAACTGCCCACTTCGTCAGCATAAAATGGGATACGCCATTGTCAAGACATTTCATTGGGGAGACCTTACACCGAGACACATTGTCTGTTTTCGCCCTATGAGGTCCATAAGAACACCTCCAATTAGGCACCCTGGCAGCAAGAAGCAATTGAGGACGGTGCCGTAGCCAATGTTCTGGATCAAAGTGTTGTTTGGGTTCAGTTGGCCGATGATGGTGGAACCGAAGATGCCGAACGGGTATGTGACGCTGCGCAAGTATCAAGATGATGCACGAGGGTTCGCTCAGGCGGGGGGACTTACAAGTCGTAAAAGAACCATGCCAGAGACGTGCCGACCATGGGCTTCCAATATCGCTTGATAATGAGCCAATAAGGGACATTGCGCTTGATGGCATGCCTGCGGTATTGCGTGGACTCGACCATCTGCATGCGGAAGACGAACAGTACGACAGGAAGAACGAACCCAAGGCCAAAACACACTCGCCAGATCCCCGACGAGATGTTTTCGTCGTATGCCTTGATCACGATAAGGGCCACCACACCGGCAATGACGAAACCAAGGTCTATCGCGAAGTCGGTGGCCACGGCGACCAAGAAGCCTCGTCTGCGCCGAACGTACGCGCTTTCGTCGGATGCTTCGGCACTGCCGGTGCCGCAAGTTGGGTATTCGCCTAGAGGATGTCAGTCGGACGGTCCGAGGGTCTTTGGTGGTCTTTTCTTCACCTCCAGCGCCGAAGCCCGCGACGCCTCTGGCGACGATCATCATCCAAAACATGCCGAGCTGACTCGTTCCGTGCGCGGCAGTCGCCAACACGACACCAAGGACCAGGAAGAGAGTGGCAAAGAAGATGCCGGTCCTGCGGCCGACCTTGTCGATGATGAATCCGAAGAACAGCATGCCAAAGATTTCACCGATGAGGTAGGCATTCGACAATCGTGTTTTGATGGTCGACGACATACCATCCTTGTAAAGTTCGGTGAACAGTGGCTCCATGTACCTGCGAATGACCCGTCAACCCCATGGTCACCTATGCTGGGGCACGATACGATGTCTTACCCGATGATTTGTGCGTTGTATCCATCACTGAACAGTGCCAGTCCGGCGACCAAGACCGTCACCACAGATGAGACTCTGGTGATCCTCGCGATGCCTGCTCGAGATATCTCGTCTTCTCGTGGGAGATCACGGTCGTGGGTCGGACTAACTTGCGACTCCCCGCCACCAATCTCACAGGTCATGTCAGTCTTGCGGTCGGCCATGCTTGATTCGGGGGAGGGTGACATCTAGAGACACCCGGTGACAGACTTGCCAGGTGAGTACTATCAGGCTCGTATATGTAGGTCTGAATCAGCATCTTTCGGCGGGCGTTGACCATGCTCGGCTTCGGAACCGACGTCGCATGGATGATCCGGCCCCCTGGTTGCAGAGTTTGTTTCTGCCATGGGTACATGGTCGCCACTTGTACGTGAACGTGTCTTTGCAACACGTCCTTCGACTTGTCCACGGTGATGACGGCAGCTATTCGTCTGGGAAGCCACGTTTTTCAAAAGATCAAGCACCTTTAGACCACGTGCCAAGTCGAAACAAGATGATTTGAATATGGAGGCCCGCTAGACTTGTAGATCTTGTATCTCGCGGAGGTGATGTGGCCTTCGATCTCGGCATGAAGCGCGAAGATTTCGGAAGGCTTCCGGGGCAGCGGCAACCAGGGTGAAATCAAGCCTGGCCCCATTGATCCATCGTGCAAGGGGAGTTGGCGATCCAGACGCCGCCGCATCGTCGCTTCTCGTCCATCTGATCATATGTCTTGGAAACCGTACAGGTTTCTTTCTCTTGTGCCATCACATGAGACTGAGGAGAGCGGGCCGTTTTGATGATATTTGTGGGCCGAAGGGGAAAAGGGAGTCGGGAGAAAGATGAGGTGGTCTAATCGATGTGCCCGGAGGAATTCTTGCCTTCGAAGCAGAAGTCTGGGCCAGGGTCTTGGTGGTTGTTGGACCAATATACCTAGACACGGATATACATTGGTTTATTATGCTTGTCAACTACTTCGTACTTCAACGCTCGGTCATTGATTCAATATGCCTGAGTTCGTACTTTTTCCTCTGTAGACCACCACAAGGGTCGGTCATTCGGGGCGTTTTACTGAACATTGTTCAATGTGCGCTGGCAATGCAGCCTCACGACCAATGTAGCACCCATGCCACGATTGCCCTGTTCTGCCCGGTCTAGCCTTTGACCTATCGCATCCCATCCCAACCCATCAGCCTGTGATGCCCGGCATGCCCTTGCTTTCTCTACCTCGCTAAATGCAGCCAAGTTTGCCCGTCTGCCCCATCTGCCCTGTCTGCCCCGTGTGCCCTACCCAAGACCATCCAAATCCCCTCGGGCACCCTTTCCAAGCATAAGACCATCTTCCTCCCCCGACCCAAAATTCAGGACTTTTTCGCAATTTTCTCGACCTTCTTCACATCGTTATTGGCACAGTCATGGATCCTTACAATGCTTTCTGTCAGCATGGCTTCCCCACTCAGTCATGCCAATATTGCTGCTTCCCAATCTTCTGCATCCACAACACCCTAACACAAACCTGCCTAGCTTGCCCTGATATTCTGCAAGCCATTGGATCAAGCAATCAACAACCATCATTCGACATGATGCCTATCCAAGGGTTCCAATGGGGAAATCAGTCGGACTCGTCTCTCGGTGGCTTCCAGCTTGAAACTGGACCCACAGAGATGGGGTGAGTTTTTTTTTTGTAAGTGCTGATGTGGCGAACTCAAAAGACACACGGGGTTCAATTCCCAAAAAGGCAAACCGCCTCTCCGACAAGTCAACGTACTGCTGTTACTGTGCCAAGTCCTTCAAGAACAAGGGAGACTGTAGCCGTCACGTGCGCGAGGTTCACATCCAACCCAAGGCATACTTGTGTCCTCTTGTTGGTATCTGCCCCCGTAGCATCATCGGCAACGGGTTTGGTCGTATGCACCAGTTGATCGACCACCTCAAGTCAGGGGTTCACAACATGACACCGGGACAGGCTCGCATGGAAGCTCATCGACACAACTTCAACCGCAAACACAATACCGGGGTCGAGGTCGAGGTCAATGTCATCAGCAGCAACAACAACAACAACATCAATGGTGCTGCTGCTGATGATGACCAATACTGAAAGCTTCCGGTTTCAACATGATTTGGGAGAACCTTGGGAAACAACATATCGTGTCGATGCCAATACCGCTGTCGTTGGAACATTGCCGTAGCTCTATTGAATCGTGGTGGTATGGGAACTTGGAAAACCGCAACACTCTCGTTTGTAGTCAGATTTCTTTTGGAGATAGTAATGTAACGATTTCAACGTTCTCATTTCCCGTCACATTGATAGGTCTCGACTCGGGGAGCATCACTCTCCCGAGTAAATGGTTAATTGGCGTGATACAGTTTCGAATTATGGCCGAAGATGAGTATTGACTCATACGTGGAATCTTCCGAGTGTGTACAAAACATGCCCTACAGACACCGACAAAAGAATTGAAAACTTCAATACACAGGATCAGTCCCGTAATCGGTTTCATCGATGAAAGCATCCCATGTAGCCTTGTGTGCTTGTTAGTGAGAACCCCAATCAAGAGGAGAGGCACTTAACGTACCCAGTCAAAGTCGACATTCGATAATTCCTTCTCAAATGTAGAAAACTCCTTCCAGTACGTATCAGCCTGCAGATCATCATCGGCCGCTGTAATCGTCAAATCCATCGGTGTCATCATCGATCCCGTCTGCGAGGATCCAGGTCCGACACCACCAGGCCTGGACATTGTACAAGTGTCGTCGACATTTACATTTGACAGCATGCTGACAAGAAAACGGTGGACTTTCCAAGTGTCTTCACATGCGTTCATCGCTTGTGCCCATAACGTACATGATTCCTCCAACACATGAAGAAGAGTCTTGGTGTCCGGAGTTTTCTCGCCGCTTTCAGGAGGAGGCTCCTTTCGTCTCACCTCAATCTCCAAAAACAAAATCATCGCAGCGAGGACGAGAATATGTCGAGTCTGAGACATCCGGTAAAACGATGGTTCCACAATACGTTGAAAGTCCAAGATACCCAGAGCAGAGGAAATGCACCTGTTCCGTGAGAACATGAACTCGTTGTCATCTTTCCCTTGGACCAGAAAGCGGCGGTGAAGAGTGCATATTCCCGTATGGTACATGCACAACAAACTCAGATTGGAGAACTCGGCAACAGTGCGGATGGGCGAGGATGTGTCTTTGAGAGAAGGCACTTTCATGTGCTCTGGGAACCCGTGGTATGCGTCATCTACGGCACGATCTATCTCGAGGACCGTCTCGTACGGACCTGGGGTAGGTTTGCTGTTGAAGTCGGAGATGCGGCCTAGAGCACTGAGAAGGCGGCTCTTGACGATTAGATATGTGGTTTCTGTGATTTCCGAGAATGATCGCGATGGAGGAACGGTCGCAGACGCAGTAACATCGTCCGAGAGTTCCCAGTCGTGTAAATTTCGCGGCTCCTTCGTGTCGGAGTAAATCATCGACCTCATGCGTGGGAACCCAAGGAAGAAGGAGGCCATGTCGTCCATACTGATCACAGTTAGCCAGATGCGGCGTCGGTATTCGGCTTGAAGAACGGAAAGGTTGGGATAAGCTCCGGGATCGCGGTGATAGCCCATGTTGATGGCAGTCCGAACGATGACACCGGTCATGATCCATAGTCCACGACGACTGTCGTCTTTCCGATTCAACTCGGCGGTTGCATTGAAGCGCAACGCCTCTACCGTGTACGGTAGGCACTTGGCAACGTCGCCACTGAGTAAACATTGGGCCGTTCGCGTTCGATAGAGGTGGAAGAGTGATTCGGACTTGCCTTCGTGCTCTGCCGGTTCACCGTATTGATGGTAGGCTAGCATTGTGATGCCTAATATTGAGAACAAGAGACCAAGCCAGATGATGTTGGTTTCGTTGGGATTATTCCAATGGTCATTGTACTGGACGAGTGATCAGTTATCCAGTAACCACATATACTAGGATCAGCAACTCGTACATGCTTCATGAATGTCGGCTTGTGGAGGATCGCTGTTTGTCCGGTGAGTTTTACGTGCACCATAATAACACAGTCGATGACTTACGAGGTACGGTGATCGGAAATGATTGATGGTCGAAAAAGTACGAGATGAGTTTGTCAACCTGTGGCTTGGATGGCAGACCAGATAGTATCTCCACGCGTTCGACCGGCTCGACCTGTTGGAACAGTAGACTCGATCCATCCACTGTGTGCGATGCGTTGGGACGAACGCTATCGTCACTCTGGTCATCCTGCTCCTGAGACCACGTCTTTTTTAACTCCCTAATCTACAACAGATCAGTCTGAGCCGCTGGAAGCAAGCTTTGCTGGCCAGTGTGTGAAATGATTAGGGTGTTACCAGGCAGAAAATAATGCCAACGTACCTCCTGTAAAACGGTATACCAATCATTCTCGTTATGATATACTGAATGTGTATCATCGATGTTGGTAGATTCAGCACAGTCAATGGTGCGCGCACCAGGCGGTCTATCAGGCAATGTTGACCTCGCCTCGCGGTTGGGGCTCCCGGCAGAATGGAAAACATCCTTGCTGGATGAAGAGACTCCCTGGTGCTGGTCAATGAGCCTTTTTACGAGGTCTTCCAAGTGGCCGATACGTCCGTGCATAGTATCTTCATCCCCATTTCCACGAGACAGGCCTGGAATCTGAGTCGCCGGGCCACGGAACCTGCAAGACGCTTGTTGATTCCGGGCCGTACAGTTTTGACATGGCTTCTCTCGATTGCATTTCAGCCTGCTTGTCAATTAGTACTTGCTCGGAGTCGGCGGCAGATAGATTGTTGTTAGCAGTCCACGCACTTTCTAGTACGGCAGGGTTCACATGATAGAGGAATGCGCGACCGTCGACGGGGTGTGTGATGGCGCTTTTCGCCCCCCTCTGGAAACGGGACATGCGAAGACTCCATATCGGAACCATCACAGACCAACCGATCTTGACTGCTTATACGAAAACGACGGAGTGGAAGCGCAAAAAGGCTGGGTCAAGGTATTGGCCAAAATCGGGGTCACGTGTAGGACCTAGACAGACCGACAGAGGACTGTGGTGTTGCCTTATTCCCGTCTAGCTTGAAATTCTCCCATCTTTGCCGTGCGTAAGACGACGCGTTCTCCGAGTCGCATTGCGATTGGTCTTGTGGTGGTCATTGCAGAATCCTTGAATCTTCGAAAGCTCTCAATCTTACTCTTTGGGAGACTCGATGCCAAGTCTTGTTAAGTCCGCGGACATGACGGGCCTCGTATCGCCGAAGGAATACGAGGTGTATATAATATCGGGGCTGGACAATGGAAACAGGTTTATTCATTCAGATGCTCGTGCAAGTATTACCTCTAGTCCATCATCATGCCTTCCTTTGGCAACTTTCTTCACACCCAATTTATTCTCAGGATCCCCAAGCCTTCGGCCTCGTTCGCATCCAAGACCGTCATTGTCACTGGCGGCAACAGTGGTCTGGGAAAGGAAGCCGTCCAGCACATCATTCGCCTCGGTGCCACCAGAGTCATCTTAGCATGCCGTAGTCAATCCCGCGGCAAGAACGCCAAGCAAGAGATCGAGGCTTTGTTGAACTGCAGTCCATCTATCATCGAAGTATGGGAACTTGACCTCGAGTCACCCCCGTCCATCAAGTCCTTTGCTGATCGGGTCAACACCCTTCCTCGCTTGGACGTTTTGATCAACAATGCCGGCATTCAAACCATCAAGTTCAAACTCGTATACGACACCGAGCGTACTCTTGCAGTGAACGTCATCGGCACTTTCTTGCTCGCATTGCAAGTAATCCCAAAGCTAAAGGAGTCGGCTAGAAAACATGGGACCACGCCGCACATGACCTTCGTTGGATCGGCCCTATATGATGCGGCAAAGTGGCCTGAGAATCACGGCGACGACATTTTCGCCTGGTTCAAGGAAGAGTCGCACGTGGATCCGATGAACCAGTAGGTCGAGCCCTACAGGGTCCCGCTCTTTTGGAAACTTCCTTTGCTGACGGCATGGTTGGATCAAGGTACAATCTCTCCAAACTATTACAGATGTTTGCAGTCATCAAGTTGTCTGCTGCCGTCGACCCCGTCGAGGCGCCTGACCCAAACCCGATCGTGATCAACTCTCTCGACCCATGCTTCTGCAAGACAGGCCTAGCAAGCGAGTTGACGGGAGTGATCAAGGTCTTCTTCAAAATCTTCGAAGCCATCGCCGCACGTTCTTCCGAGGAGGGTTCGCGGCTGGTGGTGCAGGCCGCTTCGGCGGGCAGACAGACACATGGCCTGTATATGAGAGCTGGGGCTGTACAGAAATATGCACCAATTGTACGAGACGATAAAAGAGCATCGTATGTTTGGGGTCTGCTATGCGAAAGGTTAGAAATGTTACAGCCGGGCGTATTGCAGAATACAAAGCTGTGAGAAGTTGGCAAAGCCACAAGAGCGAGGAGGTCCTCCCGAAGAGCTCAAGCCAAGAAGAGTGTGTTTTATAAAAATTGTGATTCGGATCAGGCTTTGGAAAATCGGGTTGATATCAATCTCGGAAAGGTAGAATTGTCGTCGCTGCTTGCCTTAGATGCTGCCGCGTGTTGATAAATATCATGCTTCCTTTGGTCAAAGCAACAACAATACTTCTACCCAAGTTCAATTGCCTCCAGCCTCTTGCTCATCGCCAACTGGGGAAGTCTCCGCCGGCTTGACCCTTTTCTTCTTCTTTTTCTTCTTGACTGTCCCTGAATCGGGCTGTGGTTCATCTGCTACATCTGTTGCACTGACTGAATCCAAAATTTTCGTCCGTTTCTTTTTCTTCTTGCGAACGACAGTGCCATCCGCGTCGACACCTTCACCAAGAGTGGTTCTTCCACGTTCGGCTTCACGCTGCATCTCAAGTCTTTTCCTTTCGACTTCACGTAAGGCTCGTGCCATCTCGGCCTCCTCTGCTTCACGGCGGAGAATGTCCAGCTCAGTTTCAGCAGACTCTCCCTCCAGTGTTAAATTTTGTAATGTAGATGAGTCAACGGTCAGCAAGCTCCGAGTTGGCCGCGCAGAGGTCTTGCTACGAAGTTGTGCATTAGGACTGAGAGATCGAGGCCGATTCGCTGTCGGCGTGGATGAGTGTGAGGCAGCATTGGAAGTCGATAGGGATTGTGACATTTGAGGAGTTTGTGCTTCTGAATCGAGAGTTTCATCGGCAGCAATTACAAATTTGCGAGCTGGCTTCTTCTTTCTGGCAGTTCGCTTTTCTGGTATATCTGCTGTCTGATGTGCTGCAGCAGTTTGAGCAGGGTCAATTTGCAGATCTATTATAGGAATCGACTCAACATCCAGTTCTTCATCGCCATTCGTCCTACTAATGATATCGTGGATGCGGGGATCGGCATCATCTGCCGGGGCAATGTAGAATGGATCATCTCTTGCCCGAGCAAGTCTTTCAGCTTTTCGTCTGGCTAACGTGGCTGGAGATTCTGGGGCAGATTGATAGGAGACGGGTTCGTTTTCTGCTGCAGCGTCCAGCAATGCTGCGGCCGTAGGAGCTTGATAAGATGTAGCTACCGGAACAAGCTCTCGCTCGTGGTAGAATGCGTGGAAGACATCATCACCAGACTCGTCTTCGTCCGCCACCTGTGATGCTTGCAGGATAGATGGCAGGTCTGGGTTGATGGGAACATCCAGATCAAGATCGTCAGGAAGAGGCACTTTCTTCTGTGCTAGCGAGGAGACAGGGTTGAGTTCCAACCCGGCAAAAAGCGACGGGATGGCAGAGGTGAGAAGAAGTGGCGCGTGGATGCTGTTGCTGGCTTGTGCTGAGAGCGCCTCCGTTGCAAGCCGGAGAAGTTCCAAGAACTCAACACTTCGTTCCTGCACCTCTAAATTGGGATGAGATGATAGTTTCTCGAGAAATTCAGTCGCCCGAGCCAGTAACAAGGACATAGTCGTTCCCCTTGAGATATTCCATTCTCGATTAGTAACCATGGCGATATGTGAGACTACCTTTGGGAGAGCTTGAATGAAAATAGCCAACGTGCTGGGAGCGAACCCATAAGACGACTCGTGGATCAAGGAGTTGAGAACTTCGTAAGGGTTCGAGAGATACTCTGCGAATTCACCACAAACCCACGCCGTGGATTGCAGGACTTGACTTTGCCCAGAGCCGTGTCTTGGATATGCAATTGCCCGGTTGGACAGGAGCACGAGCGTTTCCGCAGCTCTGGTGGTTTCTGGGCGAAGTTCTTTTACCCTGATAGCAATGTCGCGAAGTTGGGACCCTATTCGAGCACCCAAAGAATTGCTATTGTCACCCATAGCCCTCGATTGAGACTGATTCATGTCGGCTGGAAGATGTCGTACAAGATGAACAAGTATCTCGATATACCACTCGAAATCCGTGATGTTTGCGTAGGTGTTTTGTGAGCACATATCCAGGATCCTACCAATGATTTCATGTCGGTATTCATCGGATAAAGGTGCGTTCTCGGATCCTCTTTCATCTGGTACTAGCCTCTGTTCCATATCTGTCTGCCCTTCATCGTAATGACCGCTCCCATCGTTAGAAGATGGCAGACTAGCGAGTTGCTTCATGAGCCTGTTCACAACAGCTTGAAGGCTGTCGCTGTTGACCATGCCGGAGACCAGTTCCAATGCTTGCATCTTGATCGAGATGTCTGGGTCGTCCAAGCACGCCATGATGACGTCTTGCTGCATAGAAACAAGGGCCGGATGTGTGCCCACGATTTTATTAAAGGCTAGAAGTGCGACGTATTTCAAATTCGGGTCGCCATCGAGGACGATCATGCCTCTCAACTTGGAGATGCAAAGATCAGCAACTTCTTCCACGTCCACTCCACTTTCCGCACCATCGAGTATGCCACCTTGGATGATTCCGCTAATACATTCGTATAGTAGGGACATCGCCGTGGTCTCTTGGATCAACTTCGTCAGTGGCCGGACCAGCTTCTTCACAAGTCGCGGTTCCAGCGGCGTAAGAACAGCAAAGAGTTTGATAATTTTGATTCCCATCCAATTGTTCTTCTGAGCGAGTAAGAGCTCAAATAATCTGGGTGCCAAAGGGAGGAAATCTTGAGGCCGTCGCCATCCCAGCTCACAGACTACATTGACAGTGGCGGCAGTAACGCTGCTGTCTTCTTGCTCATCCAGGAGACGCTCCTTGATCTTCGGCCACGCAACTCTGAGAGTTTCCGGGTAGACCAGGGCTAGTCTATACAGCGTAACTATGGTTTTTTTCCGTACAGCAGGCTGCGAATGTGACAATCGAGGAAGAAGCTCTGTGAGAATTGACAAGGCCAATGAAGAAGTGACAAAATGCGGAAGAGTCGTTAAAGGTAGCGAGAGAATCGGAATCGTCGGCGAGGTGAGGTCTTTTTTGAGCAGGTTCTCAGCCAACATTAAAACCTCGGTCTCTGGTCGAAAGCTCTGAACCGCAGCCAGATAGCCTACTCTTTTTTGCATGAGCTTCGGCGAAGCCATGACTTCCAAAACGTTGAAGGCAGCCCATGTCATGTCGTAGCCGAACATCTCCAGATAGATCAATTTCAAGAGTGCTGTAGCCTTCAGGTCCAGATCTTGTGACCGAATCTCACTTCGACATTCCTTGATGGCGCTTTGAATATATTCCGCTTCATTGCCCTTGTGGCTGCGCAGACCTTTAATCAGGTCCACCAGCGACTTTTCAAACATGTTGACAGACCTTGATGACAACTCAGGAAAACTAGTAGGTCGTGAATTTCTGATAGACTTTGGATGGCATCATTCCACAAACGGCACTCCAAGCTAAGAAAAGAAAGATGACATTATTTGAGCAGCAATATGTCTTTCATCAACATCGTAACTCATTTACTGCATTACTGCGGCCGTAATCCTCGTTGAAGTGAATGTCGTTGTGTAGTGTACAGAACAGAGATGTGGTCGTGTGGACTCGTTGAGGAAAGGTCATGATGTGGTTTATCGAGGCGAGATGGTGAGGTTATTTACTACACGGATAATTCAATGCCAAGCCCAAGTTTATCCGATTGGGCAAGAGGGTGATGCCGCCTTTGCTCCCCCTCCGCGACCACCCCAGCACGAAATTACTTGGACGTTGTACGTCTAGATGTAAGAAACGGAGTAAAGAAGTATCTACCATTTTGAGGAGGAGAAGGCCAGATCTACAAGGTCGTATGCCAAGCTGTGAGGCATAACTCAGGACCAGAAAAGGAGGACTTACACCGAACGCTATCTACGCCCGAAATATCGACAGAACAATTAACCAAGATACACTGCAAGCACGAGTTTAACATCGAGATTAATATGCTGACCTTGAAATGAACAAAAGTTTCCTCAAATGAGTGATGAATCTGCTTCACTTCCCTATACCCACCACGGTAGTTCCGTCGCCGTAGATGTCCCGGATGGTAGCGCACTGGTGTTCCAAGAGACTCTGGACGGGCGACGGGATGTCAAGAGCGGCGAGCTGACTACTGACTTGTGCGAACTGCATATTGAGGCCGCTGCTCAGATGCCATGAAAAATGGCAGTGCAGAAGCCACAGTCCCGGATTGTCGGCGTACCAGCGGATGGCGATCCAGCCGGATGGAGGGACGACGGCGGTGTCTCGCTGTGGTGGATTGGTGGTGTTGAGTGCGATCGAGCTGTTCCATGTGCCGGTGCCAGTCCCGACCACGTTGAAGTACTGCCCGTGCAGGTGGAACGGGTGTGCATCGTTACTCCCACTGTTAATGACCAGCTGGGCCCACGTTGCGTTCTCCATGGTCACGACGAACTGCGACGGAGGGTAGTTGTAGGTGATTCCACCCTCCACTAGGGAGCCGGATCTCAGACCTCTCTGTGCCTGAAGAAGCGTGGCATCTCCCAGGAGCGGCACCCACGATGTCGCGTTAACAAAGATACGCTGTGACGCTCCGGCTTGATAGAAGCCAAAGGATACAATGTTGGTGACTTGGGCTTCCGGGAGCGTCCCTGGCCCCCAGTACGGTTTCAGCTCCTGTGGGTCAGGATCAAGACAGTAGTCCTGAGTGGTGGACAAGTACTGCTCTCCGGCCGTCGCTGCGGTCGTGTTGTCTGCTCCCGCGTAATGCAGCACTCCCAGGGCGTCGCCCGTATACCCTGGGGCATTTGCGAAATTCTCGAGCGCGAATGAACAGTTCAGCGCATTCCTCGTCCGCATGTAGTAGTTTCCGACCGGGGAAGTTGCGTTAATTAGGACCGAATAGCGCTGCGCGGGTGCAATGTTGATCCCTTGTCGCAACGTGCTGGATTGCTGGTCGACATCGTTGCCATCTGCCTCGATAATCTGCAGAAGATGGTTATCCACGGTGAACATTTGAGTTACGTATGCACCACTGTTGATGAGCCGCAAACGATACGTCTTGCCCTCATCCACGCTGGCGGTGAAGCGGCCTCCCTTGCAGCCCTCTCCGGATGACGACGAGCAGTTCCAAAAGTTCAGACCGTTGAGAAGGACAGAGTCTGGCTTGGGCTCAGACACAGAGGTAGGTAGACCCGGCTGGGTGTAATTGCTCGATGAAACGTTCTCAAAACACTCGGTCTCGTTGCACGGCCGGATGGGCTCGTGGTCGATACCGTTCGCGACTGGTGCATAGACAACCCCCGTAGCGTTTAGGTACTTGGCTGTTAGAATGTTGGAGAAGGTATGGTACCAATCGCTTAGAAAGATAATCATGTCGCCCTGGTACTGGTCACGGTACGGCTCACGGCTAGAATGGACAATAAACGCACCGAACGCCCCGTCGTTGTATTGCGAACCATAATGCGAATGATACCAGTAAGTGCCCCATTCCTCGCTTACGACAAACTCATACAACATGCTCTCCCCCACCGGGATCGGGCACTGCGAGACTCCAGTCACACCGTCCATATAGGGTGTGCCTCTTTGGTAGATTCCATGCCAATGGATCGATGTAGGCTCAGCCAGATTATTGGTAACGTTGATACGAACCGTGTCGTTGACATTGCATTCGATCACCGGCCCCGGAAAGAAGTGATTGATTGCAATCATGGTCCTGTTAAAGCCATCAACATCTGATATGACATACTCCAAAGATAGGGAGAAGTTGCGCGTCGTTGCGGGTGCCTCGGCATCCCAAGTCGAGTCCAACACGAATCTTTCAGCCTTAACGAGACTATCTCCGGGAATATAAGTCGCGACAGGTGGTTCTAGAACAAGGCTGTCGCTTCGCTGGCCGCCTGCAGTTGTCTTCACCCCAATAGTTAGGGTCTCAGGCTTAAAGTTGGCTGGAGGCCGTTTTAACCAGAGGTTAAGAGCCAGAATCCCCGTCACCACCCACAAGAGACAGAAGCCGATGGTCATATAAACCCATTTTCGGCCTCTCGGCCTTTCGATAGAGCGTTGCGTCTGCTTAGTATCCGACAGGTATGCTTCATGGTCGCTTGAACCGTGCCGAGCCATCTTGAACAAGCCTATTCTACCGCCAAGTTCAAGTTTTTGATAAGAAGTGAAGGTTGAGATGGGGACCTGGCGTGGTTGGTGAATGATCTTCCAGACGAGTATTCTGCCTCTCGCGAGTGCGACTATGTTTTGCAATGTGTAAAGCTGGATCAGTAGGGCTAATAAAGACTGCCATAGCCAATAGCTACCTCATCCCTTGTGGAAGCCTATTTCCCGTCCAGCCCATTTCTTTTTGGGACGCACGTTGCTGCCTCTGACCATGGCAGGATCGTGAAAGGAATTCTCCAACAGACACTGGCGAGCATGGCGCCTCGAATTAGTTGATTTTAGCATTTTATTCTCAGAACAAGTCCCTATCCAATTTAGTCTTGTTTATCTTTCTAAAAACCTTCCATTAAAGGCGCAGAGACAGGTTAAGGTGGCCAAAACTAGATCCTAGCGCGCCACACCTCGTATTCTGATGAAGGTTAACGCGGACAAGAACAATACTGTCAACACTTCGCCATGGTCTTCTCGTTGTATGGATAGTCACTGAACCAGGCTTCGTAAACTGGGGTCAGCATCTCACATAGCTTCTGCCCACGTACAATACCTACAGCCGTATCTCAACAGGGCCTGCGTTCTATGTCATGAAAACTGAGGATTGATCTGGTAAAGGCCTAGACCGACCTATGCGAATGGAGGAAAACCATGATAGTATTGTAATATGTTATTGAAGCTTAGTTGCACTTGGGCCATGTGCACGGTGCTATCTCCGCTGTCCTTAACAGTACGCAGTCGGTTAGGACACTAAATCACGTGAGTCACGCTTGCGCTTGGCACCGCAAGATTATCTGATTGGTGTCGGCATTAACATCTCAATCTCAGGTATTCCGGACTCTAGACTGAGTACACAGTACTCTTCAAGGATGCTAGTCTAAACAGCTATCTCATTTCCTTCGCTGTCCGCTCCTGTTGGACTACAACTTGACTGACTGGCCGTGCACACTGTACAATCATAACTCCTACAACGAAACTGCACTGCACTGCACCGGACAAGACAACGGGCCTAAAACATGGCAGCTTTTACTCCCAACAGCTACTCGTCTGATCCTGCTGCGGCGCTACAAAAAGCTCAACAAGCTACTTCAATTCTCTCCAAAGCATCCTCAGTCAGCACGAACTTTCCTGCCTCAATATTTAGCTCGGCCGACTCGACAGAACTATGGAACGACCTGGAGCAACTTCTTTATGCCTGCCTGCGGACCGGTGATGATGAGTCGGCATTTTTGTGTGTAGAGAAGCTGACTGAACGATTTGGGGCGACCAACGAGCGAGTCATGGCACTCAAGGGTCTATATCAGGAAGCAGTGGCTTCAGACATGACGGCCATCAAGAAGATACTGGAAGATTACAATAAGATATTGATGGAGAATCCAATGAACGTGCCTGTTCTCAAGAGAAGGATTGCCTTGATAAGATCGATTGGGAGACCACAGGAAGCCATAACAGATCTTGTGGAGTTCGTCGACTCTTTCCCTACAGACATGGAAGCTTGGTGTGAGCTGAGTGATCTGTATCAGACCCAGGGGTGCAGTTCACAAGCCATTTTCTGTCTCGAGGAAGCATTACTCATCACCCCCTATGCCTGGAACTTGCACGCACGGCTCGGGGAATTGGAATACATGGCAGGAGTGTCAGCAACCGATTCCACTGACGGCCGGGAACACCTATCACTGGCTGTCAAACGATTCAGTCGAAGCATTGAGCTCTGTGACGACTACTTACGAGGGTTTTATGGCCTCAAATTAGTTGCGGACAAGCTCCTGCAGACCAATGCCACGAGCAGGGCTCAAGGCAACCCTGACCTGACACCGGACAAACTGCAAAGGCTGAGTCAATTGGCCACTTCCAAACTGGAAGCCATTGTAAGAGACCGCACTACGCGCCGATCACCGGGGGTGAATGAGTCGGAACTGGCCGCGGCCAAAGATCTGTTGAGCAGATCCAAGAGTCGAAGTCTGGGCTGAGCGAGAAAACCAGAGACGGTAATGACAGATTGATGCTGACCTTTCGCGTTCTCTTCGAATGGACAATCAGCAAATACGCCACTTGCGTCGCGATATCACCATCAACATCTCAGAATCACGACGATGGCCAGAGAAGGAATCTGCGCGAGGCCGAGGTGCTTCACGGGAGAAACCATGGTTCGTGGGAAATATGGCATGCTGCGGGCCACTACACTAGCGTCATGCAAGGAGAAATCAGTTGGGCAGCACTTGGTTCCCTCCGACGTGGCAGCATTTCTGAGGATGCCTCAATTGCCGCGCAACCCAACCTGCAGCAAATGGTAGCGGCAGCCCCTCTGCCTATATGGGTCTGCTTTGCCACGCTTTTTATTTTAGGTACCGAGAGCCTCACCTTCGCACGCGGTACGAGGGACGAACTGGCCCGGACTTGCAGCCTGGGCATCTTCTGCAGCACAAGTTTGAGGACTCGTTAAATTATCTCACCATCATTGTCGATGGCGGCATGGTAGTGGCCGTGAGTCATGGGAGGGACCGATGGGGTGGGAATTCAAGATAATATAACGGGTGTTGCCAGCATGTCCGAGATATAGATTGACACATAGCACAATCGATCCAAAGTCCCGACCAAAGTCGCTTCTATTGCGGCCAAGTCCAATGTAGACACTCTTCTTGCGTGCATGAAGCATTACCTGCGGAGCACTTTTGGCTTGCCTCTGGATCTGCACATCTGTGCATGTTCCTCCTGGACACTGCACATTCGTCTCTCCCTGCAGAGGAGGCCTCAATGTCTCATACACCCAGAACGCAATTCAGCCAAAGAAAAACAGTGCGCAAGAAGCGCTTACCTGTCCCAACCCCTTACAGATCCCTCCGCATGTCCGCTCGGCCCTCTTGTGTCACACGGCGACACCTGAGGTAGCCCAAGACTCCTGCACATTGTTGTGGTGACAGTCGTTTCTGCCGCCAGCACACAGCTTTATGACTCTTTCCCTCTTCGACACCCCTTCCAGGGCAGAGGTGTAAGATATCTTTGAGCCCCAAGATCTATATCCAGACCGGATAAGATCTCGGGACAGCTAGACTGACTACTTGGTGGAACGCTGTTCATTTCTCGGACACGGTTGAGGCTTGAGATATTGTCTCGCCCTTGGTGTGAGCCACATACGGCGTGGGACTTGATAGCCGGAACGAGGAAAGACAGTGTCTCGGTTCGACAGGTCCATACCGGCAAAGAACTCACCACATCGTTCGGACATCTTTGATCAGGACTAACATTGGGCGGAGGAACCTAACTCTGCTTCATCATCACCATAGCCTTCACCAACATCATCAACAGTAACGTCGAGATCGTCGCTGAGGTTTTCGGTACATCTGCGTACTGATCGTCAGCACTACGGTTGTTATTTCACATCATCGCCGACTGTTCGGAGAATATATTTCTTGGTTTGCGAGAGTACAAATACAAAGAAGATCCATTCGGATACATACGACACGAGTCGGAAGAAACACTTAAAAGGCTTTGACGTCGACCCCACTAAGCACCTCAGTTACAGTGCGAGTTTTGGGTCCGGTTTAGGGTCAAGCTTAGGGCTGCTCCCTTGCCGTGCGTACACTTACTAGGCCTTCCAGGCGAGTCATTTACCCACACTGGTGCCGCTCCCACCGCCTGCCACTCCCACGCAGCGGTATCCGGACCTTGAAATCTGCTGCCAAAGTTGGGGGTGCATTGGGCACTGGGCATTGGGCATCATTTTCCCACCTCTAGCGGCATTATTCCCATTTTGAATCACAACACACTGCGAGTCACCAATTCTTTCCTTCGCCAACTGGCTCCTCCTCTTCGCTTGCAACATTGTCGGCGTCAACAAGATCATCTGTCACTTATCCTCTTCTTCCTCGAATCCATCTTTACCCTTCACTCCCAGCTTTCAATATCGACTCTGCCGTAGATCTGGGCATCTCTGTTCTTACTCCTCGGCTGAACGCTTATGTTTTCTTCGCCTCTGGCCGTCCCTTCCTTCCCCACGGATCCACCTTTTCGGAATTTCGCAAGTCGCTGGCGGTCACCACTCTCGACCACCATCTACCTGTGCTGAGGGACATTGATATCGCCACATCCCAACACCGGATCTGGCCATCTGGACGGTCGTCACAGCCTGAAGTCAGCCCTCTTTTGGTTCGGTTAGCTCCCCTTAACTAACAACACCTCAAGGCTATCTCGTTCAGCCTGCCCTGCGTGGGTTGGTTGAACGCGGTAATTCCTTGACCTCACTCATTGTCTAATGGGGTGCGTTGTATGCCACGATTCTTCTGTCCAGGCTAACATTTTCCCGGCTAGGTCGTCAAGCCGTCATAGCCACGTCCACGTCGACATTACCCACGTTCGCTCGCGCTCCCCTTCTCCCTCTTCTCAAGACGACGAGCTTCACGAGAACGGAGTCCAAGTCTCTCCCGCCGAAATTTCCCCTCAATATTCCGTGATCCAGCCAACCCAAAGTCAGAGCGGCTCCTCGTCACATCCTGGCGATTTCGTACAGTTAGACTACCCTCACGAATTGCAAGAAGGTGATGGCTCCGACTCAGCCTCAAGAGTAGATCATCGGGAAAGAGTACAACGATACGACACTCGATCAGACTCAACACGGCGGCAGCCGTCTCATCGTCAACAGTCCATACGCGAGCCAGCACGCAGTCGCACGCGAGAATTAAGAGAGGCCCCACCCACTGAAAGTGGTGACTCTACAGAAGAGTTCCTGCGGACAGATATCGATCCTCGAATGCCTCGACCTCAATCATACTATGGGCCAAACGGGTATACACAGAGCGCTTCCTCAGGCTCATATGCATACCCCGCTGTGCCTCATTCTGGTCAGATGATACCTCTACAAGCACAACCTATGGCCATGCCCTATCCATCTCACTATCCTCACATGGGCGGCGCCCAACCAATGCAATATCCTCCACCATCAGGTTACAGCGGGGGATATCATCATGCCCCATCTCAAGTCAGCTCTCCATATTCACCCCCGTACGGTGCTCCCACCATAGTGAGCTACGGGGGACCACCACCGCCGGGGGGTGGCTATTTCCCCGGACAGTATCCTCCTCAATTCGGACCACAGCAATACCCTCATCAATATCTCCAGTACCACCAGCAGATGCCCTACCCGTACATGGACTATCGCATCCCGCCTCCATTGGCACCCTCTCCTCAGCCAGGATCTGCGAATGTTTCTGCTGATAAGCTAGAGACCAAGAAAGAGGACCCGGAGGAGATGTTTAAGCGATTCGCAGACTTGTTCAAGGAACAAAACGCACAAGCAGAAATGACGAAAGAAGCGCAAGCCGCCGAGAAGGCCAAAGCAGCGGCGGCACAGGCTGAACAAGAAGCTCGTATTCGGCAGGATGCTCTCCGGCAGGCGGAGGAGAAGACACGGCAAGATGCCATCCGCGCAGAAGAAGAGAAGCGTATTCGAGATCAAGCTCTCATACAAGCAGCCGAGAAAGCGAGAGCCGAAGCTGTAGCGGCAGCGGCACGTGCCGAAGAAGAGAGACGAATCCGCGAAGAAGCCATCTTGGCGGCTGAAGCCAAGGCCCGTGCCGATACTGCCGCCTTGAACGAGCGTATGGAAGCAGAGCGCCGCATTCGAGAGGAAGCCAGACAAGAAGCCATACGTGCATATGAGGAACAAGTCAGAAAGGCGGCTGAGCAGGCTGCTCACGAACAACAGATCCGCAAAGAAGCCGCCGAGGCCGCATTGCGGGCTGCCGCTGAAGAGGCCGCTGCTAAAGCTGAGAAGGCAGCGGCTGAAAAGAAGATTGCAGACGAAGCTGCAGCGGCTGCCAAGTCCCAAGCCGAGAAGGATGCGGCAGACGCAGCGGCAGCAGCCCAAGCCGAAGCCAAGAAGGCGCAAGAAGAAGCTGAGGCTAAATTGAAAGAAGCGGAAGCCCAGGCAGCTAAAGCCAAGGCGGAAGCAGAGGAAGCTGAAAAGAAGGCTGCAGCTGCAGCTCCCCCAGAAAAGAAGGCCCCGGTCAGATTCAAGGACGCGATTGGGCGCAACTATAACTTTCCCTGGGAACGATGTCACCGCTGGAGAGTAAGTTGCAATACAATGGATTGTGTCGAATGCCGTGCTGATTTTGTATAGGACATGGAAGGACTGATCAACCAGGCCTTTGCACACGTCGAGGGTCTCGCAGACGCGGTGTTGGCTGGGCGCTACGACTTGATCGGTCCTGACAAGGAAATAATCATGCCCAACTACTGGGAATCGACTATCGAGCCTGACATGCACATCTCCATGATGCTGTGGCCAGTTCCAGAACCCAAGGAAGAAGGCCCACCGGCCCCTCCTGATTTAGACCCAGATGCTATTCTCATGGTGGACGAAATCCTCAACCCTAGAGAAAGGAAAAAACGTAGGTCTATTGAGTCCTTTTGTATATTGGAGTGCCCCGCTGATCTAACGGAAGCCCCAGCCAAGAAGAAAAAAGTAGGAGGAGGAATCGCCAGCTGGATGCTGGGAGGAGCTCCCAGTCGGTCCTCCTCGCGGGCTTTAAAAGGTGAGAAAAAGCCTGAATTAGCCGCTCGATCGCAGCACGGTGCAGCCGAACAAGATTCGTGCGCCGTTATGTGACGGGGCTGTTTTCCTCTCGACATGAGCGATCGTATGATTGGTTTCTTCAGGCTCGAAGGAATGATGTGAAAATCGACGACAAGAAGCGGATGCTTGGGTGGTACCATTGAACCTTCATTCATTGCACCCCTGTACACTTCTACCACGGTCACGACTCCTCAATCCTTTTCCTACTCGAAGTACCAGTCGACTACGATCAATTTTGTCGAGACGGGACAGCCTCTTACATAGGCTACATCAGGAGGCATGGCTTTGTCCTCCCGAAGACTCGGGATCGGTTTTTCATGCCTCAAGGGGACGACAAAATGCAGTGGATGAAAACCCTCTCTTATGTTGCGACGATTCACGAAAATGGGATCTAGCGGGAGTTCTGAAACACGTATGATATTTAGCGTTTTTTGGTTGAAAAAGAAAGCTGCATTTGATTGTGGTGCATGTGTCGACTAGTGATATCTGATGAATATCATACATGCGAGGATGTTGGTCTATACATCCATGGTTCGGGCGTTGTGTTGGTGGATTTTCGAGATACCCCCAATGCATCATGGCAGGGTTGTGTATTGCTGGCCAGAATCAGCCCGTGTCCCACCCATCAGTAGAAGTATTATAGCAATGAGGTTTCCTGTGGAACCTAGAAGTCGCAGCGACTGGTCCCAAATTTAGGTACTGTACTAGAAGAAAATGTTAGAAAGATTGGTCTCTCCAAGGAGTGCCCGTATATTCTACGCAAACGAGCGGTGGTAGATTGTATGACTTAGGGTAGGATATTTATACGAGTGGTCCTCCGTACTCGTACTCGTTCTCGTACCGGTGCCTGTTCAAATAGGCGACTGAGTCAGCCAAGTCAGCTGACCGAGACTCAAACTGAATTCGGGACTGACTGTACTCGTATCGTGCGACAATCCATCAACATCGCAAATTTACATGACGCCAGACTAGATGAGACGTTTCCGTTGACCCACGAACACAGAGGAACTTTAGCCGACTCGACGTAACTTGATAAGGCCTTCGACTAGGAACATCAGTCACATCGGACACACGACCGGATGCCACATCAATCACAACAAATAATGACGATCTGAACGTTTTAACCTAGCTTGGCCCTGTTGGTGCAGGTGCAAATATTCCGGTAACAGATAGCCATGTCGATGCGAGTATTGATCCACGACTATCCTCATCGGACTGTGGCCCTAGCGACGGATAAACATGTCCTGATCTTCCGACATTCCCACACCCCGGCGGAGAATGGGCGAAACTCGAGTTCGACGAGTTTACCCTTGTCACTCAGCTCTACTCGGTCCAGCTCAACGCCTCGTTGTATGGTGGAATTTGCAGAGAAGTCGTCCATTGACTTAAGTCCCTTCTACCCAGTCACGACCGCCAAGGGGACACTGGGTTTGATAACACTAAACAACGATGTTTTCCTGTGCGTCATCACAGGTTCCGAGGAGGTGGCTGCCGTGAGACGTGGAGAGACTGTACAGAAGATCTATGCCGTTGAATTCTGTGAGTTGCTCCTCCTGGTTTGAAACGCTATGGGCTAATTTCAGAGCCAGACTGCCTCAATCGAGCCGATTATGATCAAGGCCATGGACCTTACCCGAATCCATATCCTGGCCAATACTTCCAGTCCGATGAAGTTGATTATGGCGCAGGCTATGACCAAGGCGATTCTGCCGCTGAACACCCTTTTAATGCTTTGAAAAAGTTGCTTAGTAACGGGAATTTCTACTACAGCCTTGACTTTGACCTCACCCGGCGATTACAGGATAGGTATGATCTTTGACAACTTGTTTTGGAGCATGGCTGACAATCTGATAGAGCTGATGTTGACTCAGCGGTCGATATATCTAGCTTGGATGAAGGTCTTCTCTGGAATTCATATATGATCGACCCTCTTCTCAAATTCCGAAGTCGCCTTGCCGACCATGAACGGACTGCACTCGACCACTCCCGACTCTTGACATCCGTGATCCGCGGTTTCGTTAAGAGTCTCCCTGTACCACCATCCTCGAATCCAATTCACGGGGCGACGCCCAGCCTTCCCGCTACACTTACTGTTATCTCTCGCCTTTCCTCTCGTCGAGCCGGAACTCGCTTCAATTCACGTGGTGTTGATGACAACGGCAACGTGGCAAATTTTGTCGAGACAGAGACCATTTTCTATACGCCCTCCTCCGGCCTATGCTTCAGTTACACTCAAATTAGAGGCAGTATTCCCATATTCTGGGAGAGCTCATCCTCCCTAATCCCGGGACAGCAGAAAATTCAGATCACACGCTCACCCGAAGCCACGCAACCTGCATTCGACAAACACTTCTCCGCGCTCGAACGAACATACGGAGCCGTGCATATAGTCAACTTACTTTCTGCATTCAAGCCGGGCGAGGTCGAACTCACGGAGCGGTATCGATACCATGTCAAACAAAGTCCCTTACGACGAGACGAAGAAGGTGAAGAGGAAGAGCATCATCTACTCAGGGAGACAGAGTTTGATTTTCATGAGCGCACGAAGGGCGCAACAGGCTACGAAGGGGCAAGAGCAATCAGGCCTTATCTCGACTCTAGCGCGGAAAGTTTCGTTTATTTCCTCAGTGAAGAAGTGAGCGAGGAGAGCATCGTACAGGGTAAGCGGACGGTGACGAAGCGTTCTGTCGTGATAATGCAGCAGAACGGCGTCTTCAGAGTGAATTGTTTGGACTGCCTTGACAGAACAAATTTAATCCAAGGTATGGTCAGTCAAATGGCGCTTGAACTGTTTTTGGGCCATAGAGGCGAAAGAGCGAACTCAGATTTCTGGATGCGGCATTCAGCGTTGTGGGCTGACAATGGAGACACCTTGAGCAAAATCTACGCGGGCACGGGAGCACTGAAGAGTTCTTTCACCAGGCACGGTAAAATGAGCCTCGCCGGAGCAATTGCAGATGCGAGAAAGTCAGCAACAAGACTGTATGTCAATCACTTCGAGGACAAGAACCGACAAAACACCGTGGACCTGTTACTGGGAAGGTTGGTAGGACAAAACAGTGTAGATCTGTTTGATCCGATCAATGACTGGGTCGTGTCGGAGATCGGAAGAAGGAGGGCCGAATTTGAAACGCGAGATATGGTGAAGCTGGGGGTCGGTACGTACAATCTCAATGGAAAGATCAGTGGAACACGGGAAGATCTCAGCCCATGGTTGAAGGCGCGCGAGATGGGCCTTGACATATTTGTGGTGGGCTTCCAGGAAATTGTCGAGTTGAGTCCCCAGCAGATTATGAGCACCGACCCGAACAGGCGCATGATGTGGGAAAAGACAGTGAGAGCTTGCCTAAACGGGGAGCCACCAGGTGAAGAAGATGAGAAAGGAAGTGCGTCTACTAGGAAGATCAAGGAAGATGACTATGTGTTGCTGCGGAGTGGACAACTTGTTGGGGCGGCGCTTTTGGTCTTTGTCAAGTCCAGCATTCTCCCCAGGATCAAGAACGTCGAAGGTGCCATCAAGAAGACAGGCATGAGTGGAATTGCTGGAAATAAAGGAGCGGTGGCTATACGCATGGACATCGAGAGTACGAGCGTCTGTTTCGTCACGGCGCATTTGGCGGCTGGATTTGCGAATTACGAGGAACGAAATCGAGATTACCAGACCATCACCTCCGGTCTGAGGTTCCAAAGGAACAGGAGTATCGAAGACCACGAGGTTGTCGTGTGGGCCGGCGACTTCAACTACAGAATTGGTCTAGGGTACGAGAAAGTCAAGGCGTTGGTCAATGAGGCGATGATTGGCAACGAAAGGACCCGAGAGGAAGCTCTGGGGAAGCTGTACGAAAATGATCAATTGAACATTCAAATGGTGGTTGGGAACTGCTTCAATTTCTACCGCGAGGGTAGGGTCAAGTTTCTCCCTACGTACAAGTACGACATCGGGAAGGACGAGTTTGATTCGAGCGACAAGCAACGTATCCCGGCTTGGACGGACCGGATCCTCTGGAAAGTCAATCACAAGGGTGTGCAGGGAGGTGATGTCCTGGGCACACAAATGCGACAATTGGAGTACTACAGCGTGATGAAGCTCAAGTTCAGCGATCATCGGCCGGTGTGGGCCTTGTTCGAGATGGGCATCTTGGTGGTGGACGAAGCCAAGAAGGACGAGCTCACGAAGCGGCTGTACAGCAAACGAGCCAAAGAGACGAAGGCCAAACTCGCCGGGGCTGGGGATTCCACCGAGGGACTGTCGGTTTCAGATACCGTCGACGGCAGCGACGATGATGAACTGGAGAGTCTGAGTGGGTACAAGAGCATTCAAGAGGGATTACCACCGGCCAGCAGTGACAAGAGAAAATGGTGGTTGGATGGGAACAAGGGAGCTCGAAGTACTCTGAAACCACCCAACGACTGGATGATATTGAACCAGGATCGATCGGCGAACCCCTGGAAAGAGAGGGACGGGGCAGAGGATGACTGGGTGGAAGTTGAAAGGCCCCAACAAAAACCCGAACCACCGCCATCGAGAGGAACGACGAGAAGAATGGTCCCACCCGCGTGGGAAGGAGAGCGGTTTGTGTCGACCGGCGGTAATAACACGAGACCCGAGGCGGAAAAGGGCCAGCGAGGTCCTGTACCACCAGCGCCGACGCCGAGGGGTGTTTCAGTGGCGAGGACACGAGCCGCGACTTCGAGTGTGGCGTCTTCACCAGGGACGTCTGCGGCGGGATCGGGTCGAGTGTCGCCGGAAAAAGTGCCCATGAGATCATCTTCGACCGTCGCAAGGAAACCACCGCCTCCGAAGCCGGTCAAACCGTCGACCCTGACGACGTCGTCCAGTCAGGTGGCCATACCTCAGTTGAGCCCTCTTCCAGCACCAGTGTTGTCCTCTGGGCAAGACCAAGACCAGTACCGACCAGAAAGGCCACCACCGTTGCCCAAGAGGACGGGTACGATGAGTTCGACGGCATCTTTTGTCAGTGCCCCAGACATGACGAGTACAACAGGTTCAGACCTTGGTGGACAGAGGAAGAGTATCAGCAACAACAACACTCAACAAACTCAGCAGGCATCTCTACCTCCACCTCCACCACCCAGGAGGGAAGTTTCTTCTTCTTCTGCAGCTGCAGCATTGCTGCCTGCCCCGGTACGCAAATTGACTCCTCTACAACAATATCAACAGAGAGTTCGAGAGGGTGGTGGTGGTAGTAGTAGTAGTAGTGGTGGTGGTGGTGGTGATGTCTCAGTGCATTCCAAAGGTAGGACAAACGAAAACAGCGACCAAAGTGGCCCGCCCGTGCCGCCTCGTCATACTGGTGGTGGTGGTGGTGGTGGAAACGATGGAGGGGGACTCATTATGGACCGAGACGATGATGGAGACGATCACAGCGGAGGCGGAAGTGGATTGGACGATCGGTATAAACCTCTTGTGCCTGGGTGATGTAGAGGTTTTGAAGGTTTGGAAATGTCTTTCTTCTCGTCTAGGCATCAGTAGGAAAGAAAACTTTTCATCACCTTCAACCAGACATTCTACAAAGTATAACAAAATGAGGACCCGTAGAAAAGTCGACATTCCAAAAAGAAGAGAATATAAAAGAGAGCTTCCCCTGCACCAGTTCGTGTTCAACCTCTATTGTCCATCACAGCATCCTCCATAGTCATCGCACCCTTAACTACTCTGTTTGACAAGGCTGTCCTTCCCCCTTCTCCAACATCACCGTGCCGCCATCATGCACTTCTTCCGTCCCCTTGTCTTCTGTGTCGTGGCCAGCTTGGCCGGTGTAGTCACGACGGCCCCCTTGAGCAAAGGCCTCAAACCCGACGATCTCGCCAATGAAATCATGTACGAGGCTCATTCCGCGGCCAACTCTGCGTCGAAGGCCCCGGCCATCTCCACGGCGGCCTACGGTCTCTCCGCCTCGGCCATCTCTGTCCCCGTCGAAGTCACCGCCGTCGCCACTCCCTCCGCCGCCGCTCCCGTGGCCCCGCCTGTTTTTACCATTCTCACCAAGGTTGTCACCGCCGGCGGCGTCGCCTCCGCCGCCTACCCTACCTCCACCTCCACCGCCTCGCCGGCCGCGGCCCCGGCCAACATGGTCCCTTCCCAGGAGTCGGTCTCGGGTATGAACCCCTTTACCAACCCTTTCTGGGAGTCTTGGAACGCCGAGTGGAACCGTCAAAAGGAGGCGGCGGAGGCAGCGGCAGCCGCCGACAAGACCAAAGCACCAGTGGTGGAAGGCGAAGCAGCAGCTGTCGCCGCAACCACGGCGGCGACAGCGGCAGGACAGAAAGGCAAGGATTTATCGCCAGAAGAACAGATAGCCGAAGATCGTCGAAAGCAAGAGGAAGAAATCAAGAAAAAGTTAAAGAGCGAAGAGGAGAAGCAAAAGTATCAAGAGTCCAACTTTGACGTCTACGAAAACCTCATGCCGGGTTGCCCCCCCAAGTACATAGGGAACGGGATCGAGGTCTCGGTGTGGATGTATTGTTTCTTCGGGCATGAGATGTATCATGGTGGGGATCACTGGTATTGATCTTTACCTTTTCCTTCCCCCTCTCACCTTGAACCTTGGTATAAACATCCGGAGGCCGCCGATATTGGTTGGAAATTGCCTTTGCTTGGAACTGGATTTTGGGGTTGGGTTTGATTCTGGTTCAGGTTCAAGGAAGAGTAGAAAGAGCAAAGGTTCAGTGATTTTGGGATCGTTATAGATCGTTGTTTGAGATGCATCTGGCCCTCTCTGGAGTTGATACAAGTTTTCTTGAGGGCTTTGCTGGTGATGTCTCTTTGGTTGGGCCACAGGCGAATGGTGTGGTTTTCTCTTGCCAACGTTTCTCTTATACGAGTAGGCTACAAAGATACTCAAGGTATCAGTGGGCCACTTTTCCTGAACGGTGTGGTTAATGGGATCCCTAATCGATGTCGTGCTTGGGATGTTGCTGAACTTTTGTTATTGTTGGTTGTACTCCATAGCTTGCTTATTCAGTAATTCTCTCCTCTCCGCTCAGCTTTTCCCAAGAGATGGGTTTTCTGATTTCCTGCTTTCGTCTAGTAATCTGACCTCCTGTTCCAAAGACTTTATCTGGCGGGTTTTTTGGTCCTTGATCTCTTCCGTCTCTAAAGTCAACCATGCCCAGTAGGCGATTTGGTAGGTGAGGAATGCCAGCGTGATGGCCTTGAAGAATGCCCGCCCATGGGTGCTGTAGAAGTTGATCGGCTTCTCTGGAGCGCCGTTGGTGGAAGAGGAAGAGGACGAAGTCGACTGCGGTGCAGTCTGTCTGAGGGATCTTGTCGGGTTAAGGCTTCGGGTTTGCCAGAGCCCGGGTTTCTGTCGAAGGACACTAGAGCGCATAGCTCGGGAGATCGCGAAGGCCCTCATTGTATGTGTAGATAGTGAAGGCCTAGTTGTGGTCGAGGTGATGGGGAGAGCTGCTATGAACTTGTCTCGTAGATGGTAATTGGTAAAACGCCAAACCGCTCAATAAGGCTAGGCTGCGATTTTCGCAGCCCAATCCGACTCCGAGATAACCACAATAACTCATTTCTGTACAGCAGATGACTCAATTCTGTTCTGATTGTGAGAGCTATTAAGCACGCATAAGAAATGATTACAAAGTACTCTAGCTACTATTATTAAGAGTAGAAACAGTTATTAGTGACTAAGTGAATACAGAATGAGTTACAATATCACGATATCTTATAGAGATGAAAGCCTATAAGTGAGTAGATAACACCTAAATATTTAGGGGCTAGCATCTATGATGCCCCCTACGTTTTAGGTGGTATCAGGGAGTCTTATAGGCTCAAGTGTAGGAAAGAAAATTACCCGAGGGTTGGCATTTACTAGGACGGGTCGGCGTTACAACGTCAATATCGACAATTTCTAGAGTCCAAGTATGCGCGCGCCACATCTAGAGGAGCCAGAATCCGAGACGATGTCCTAGAACATCTCGCGGGGGCAGAAAATCTCCTGATGGACCCACTGCAAACTCACTTTCTAGTCCAGGTAATCAGGTAACCACTGCCCGTGCTGGCGATTGTGAAAGAAATCACCAGTGGTAGGATGCTTACACCAGCTGTTGAAGGCGTTTGAGCTTTGACAGCTTGGAAATACAATGGTATGCAAAAGCGAAGCTGCGTAAGATCCGACTCTGGTTTGGTGTGAAAAGAGACTCGAGGTACGATGGGAGTTGGTACTCTCGCTTCGACGAAAGGAAGTACCACAAACCCAAGCCCTCCCAGAACCAGGAAAGCAATTTGACGGCTCGAGGACCATGTTACTCCTTGCTCTGCCCACTGCAGAGCCAAGAGGATCAGAGCTGTTGAGCCAGCGATCACCGTGATGCCAATGTAATCAATGTTGCGGATGACTTTGGACAGCTCTACCGGTGGGTGCGTCATATGGAGGAATAGCGCGATCACTAGGAAGGCGAGCACAGAGACGGGGACGTTAATGAAGAAACACCATCTCCAAGTGACTTTTTCAGCAAATACACCTCCGAGGACAGGTCCAAGAGCGCTAGCCACTGCCCAAGTTGCACCGATCAACCCTTGGTATGTGCCTCGGTCTCTAAATCACCACATGAGTCAGTTATAGAGCTCTGGAGGCTCGGAATAGCATCATTCAGGAGTGTACTTACTTGGTACTCACAAGATCACCGATCAGGATGTACACCAAAGTCATGATTCCACCCGCACCGAAACCTTGCACGACCCTCCCGGCGATCAGGACAGTCATGCTGTTTGCGCAACCACACAAGACACTTCCAAGGAGGAAGACGGATATTGCGCAAAGCAGAGTCCATTTCCGGCCGAAGAACCTGCTTGCCTGCGTGTAGAGAGGCAGCCCAGTCGTCTGAGACAGAGCGAAGGCTGATCCAACTCAGGTATAGCCGCTCCCCGATGAGTTGAGGTCGGCTGTGAGGTGCGGTAGCGCACCTGTCACGATGGTCTGATCCAGTGCGGAGATGAAGAGCGATATAAACATGCCGATTATGATGAGAAGCCGCCGGATTGAAGGTTGGGCAGATGTTTTCGAATCTCCAGTATCACCTATAACAGAGGTGCAGGGCGAGATTGGAACTGCAGTGTCACTAAGGTTCGCACTCTTCGAAGTCAAGTCTGTATTACCCGCCAGCTTTTCAACATCACCCTCTGCCGGAAGTTTCGCGTCGGGTCGCTGATCTGAGCCCACGATTAGAAATGAAGCTCTCTGTCCTTGACTAAAAGCTGCACTTGGCCCGTCTTCCTGTTCGCGAGGGCTCAACCTGGGTCGTCCACCCATCTGCGATCTGATATGCTGTATAAAGTGTCTGGTCGATAGTACATGGTGCTTGCTCATGGAGCAAAAGTGTATACCACGGGATTGAATCAATCATTCCACCCACAGGACAGCAAAGAGTTGTATGCCTCTAGCAACATATTGCAGCAACGTCACTGTGATATTCATTCTTGTCGGGATATTGTCCAAGGAACAACCGTCGGCGGCCCTTCGGTGGGTCCACGCGACTTTGGTGACATGTCATGCAACTTTTCAGGAGCCTCCTTGGAAAATCGCATCCTCGCCATGCCCTCATCAGACATGTTCTGCCCTGGATCCCAATAAATTCCCACAGAAACGGGCTGGACAGCGGAAAGCCTCGGACCTCATGTGTTGCATTGTTCTGGGAGCAAACGTGCATCGGCGGAAGCGCGCTGCCTCGTCTGTCAACCGACCCGATTGGCTGGCCGAAGTCATTTGCCACAGCCTTGTACCGGTAGAAAAGCGATTCGCAACGACACACGAATGAACACCTTCAACGTCCAATCACTGCCTGTCAATCACATAAACTCCTGTGCCAAGTTGCGTATTGGCCTTTGTTCATATTCTCTAGTGTATCATCTACCTCTAAGAGTCAGCTTATTGGTGACCTAAAGTTACTAGGCTTAGAACGCGACATTTCGGGAGACAATACACGACTTCTCATAACTCTAAAGCAGTGACTGATTCATCAAGAGGCAACCAAGGCCCGTAATGTATGCACATATGATAGCCAGGGGAGCAGCTTTCACAATCGCAATGATCATAATGTCCTCCAGTCGAATGCATTCTCCCAGGCTGCGGCGACCCGGTAGATCATTTCCTCCTGAAACATACCTCCAACAATTTGCATGCCTACAGGCAGCTTGATGCTTTCGTCATCTTCGGCAGGACAGAAACCAACAGGTAAGCTCATGGCAGGATGACCACTGGCATTGAAACAGACCGTATTGACTGCGACACCACGGCTCTTGGCCATCTGCTCTGCCGGTCCAGCATCCATCGCCGCGTGCTGATTTGCAACGTAAGGCGTGGTGGGCGTAATAAGAACATCAACTTGGCTCAAAGCTGCGTCATATTCATCCTTTAACCTTCGATACAAGTTCATGGCCTTGCCATACAAAGTGGGATAGTGTGACCAGATGTAAAGACTTGACATCAAGGAGAATTTGGATGTTGAGAACATCTTGTCAAACTTGTCCTGGGTCAATGGACTCATCTTCTCGGTCAATCCTGTCATGTACAATGCCCTCCGTCCGCATGCTTTGCCGAGGTAACCCTGCTGCGAGGCCGTTGGTCGCAACGCGCAATTGACGATATGGCCTGCCTGAGTATGCAAAGGCACACTGATTGGAACGACCTCAGCCCCGAGGGCCTCATATCGCTCTACGGCTTCCAGAACCTTCTGCTTGACTCTAGGGTCTATGACCGGGAACTGAAAGCCCTCTTGAAGGATGCCGACCTTTAGTCCTGAGACACCTTTGTGCAGGGAAGCCGAGTAGTTCGGCAGATTTGCGGGCAATGATGCAGCGTATTGTCGGTCGTCGATGTCGTCTCTGCCGGCTATGGCTTGAAGGACTTTTGCATTTAGGGCCACCGTCCGAGTCATCGGTCCAGCTGTGTCGTGGACCGGGTCATGGGTCATGATACCCGTCCATGGCACAAGTCCCCAGGTTGGTTTCATGCCCACAATGCCACGGTAGCTGGCTGGAAACCGGATCGAGCCTCCCTGATCTCCGCCGATGCCGGCATCTACCTTCCCTGCGCCTACCAAGTGACCGCAACCGCTCGAAGAGCCACCGGCCGTGTAGCCCTCTGCGTATGGATTCTCGACATTTCCCGTCGCTGGCGGAGAATGAGGAGGCGCATAGTGAGAGATTTTCGCAGACAGCTTTGCCCTCGATGGTGCCGCCAGCTTTCAGAACCCGTCGGACCACGGTAGCATCGGTGTCGGGAACGTAACCGGTGAAGACATCGGTGCCTACGAGCATAGGCACATCCTTCACGGCGACGTTGTCTTTGAGTGCGAATGTGACATTTGACAGGAGAGCTCCGTCGTCCTTGTCGCCGTCGATCCTCACTTTCCACGCCCAGGCGTTGCCTGGATTGTCTCCTGGAGTTGGCCGGTGAACATTTTGTCGTGGATATTGTTCCGTGTCGACACAGGGCACGTAGTCCGGGGAGAGAGTTCACGACATCAATGGACTCCTGACAGAGGCGATGATATCGTGCCATTGAGAGACGTCACTCTCGGGTAGCGAAAGGTTGAGGTCTCCGATTACGTCGACCACATCTTCGGCTGTGATTTTCTTCTTGTTGGCTTCAGACGCTGCTGCCAGAGTTGCCATTGTAGCGAGGTCTGAGGTATATTGTTACGGCTCAAATGGCTATGATGGCGGTGTGATATTTGGTGTGAAGGAAACCGAGGGCACTCCAATGATACACGCTACGATAGGCTTCAGCAAAACATGCTGGCTTATTTGATCACTTTGGTCGAATGAGAGAAGATGGAGATGGAGACTAGGGTAGTGTAGTATTGGACCTATGAAGCAATCAAGATCTGGCCATGGCATCGGTGTGGAAGATTTACCACTAAAGTCTGGCTTCATTCAATGAGTCCATGCAGAGACCACGGCCCATCAAGGAGTAGACCTGGCCTTATCGTGTCAGCTCCGGCGCCACGCCTACGAGGAATTTATCCCGTTCGAAATGTGATTCGTGATTCTTGTCCGGGGACTCATCATATTACAAAGGGTCTCCAGGAGACGTCAGACTACCTAGGCATATAGGTTTGAAAACTGTTCATGCCGAAACTGACCATGATAAACACTTTGGCGCCATTAACAGTAGTATATAAAATATCTATAGCTTAGCTCTAGTATTAAATACTCCCAATCAATACTACCTAGGTAAAGGCAAGTTTGGATGATTCGATCCTGGATTCAAAGTCAAGGTATTTTCTCCGAGGAGGTTGGAGGACCATTTCCTTTTTGGCTGTGCCCATTCGGAATGGACGTATTCGGATTCTCAATGGTGTTCACAACATCCGCGAGAGCTCCCCGGTATCCCTGGTGCTCTCAACCGACCAACACACCTTGCTCGCCTCCGAGGCCTTCTGGGAGCCCAACACCTGGCTGACTTGATCGATAAACTTGGCCTCCAACTGCTGGTCGGTCATGGGAACTTCCAGACTGCCGATGGCGTGCACGACGTGTTTCGTCAACCTGGTACCGTCTCGGAATTCGGCCACGATTTCCGTCTCATCTGCCCCGAGTGTCTCGTCTGCAACCGCGTCGATCTTGTCTCTGACCCCGATGATCTCGTCGCTCGTCACGACCGCGTCCTCGTAAGCCGCGGGCCCTGCCCTGCCAAACACCAACCCGGCGGCTCCGCCGTGGTAGACGCTAAACTTGGCCTGGAGGCCGTCTCGGGGTGTCTTCTTCCCCGTCAGTTCGAGCACGAGAGGGTGTACCCTGCAGTGCACCCGGGTGATGTCGCCCGGTCTGCATCCGGACGAGGTCATCTCTTGATGAAGCTGGATACAACCGTCTATGACCGGGTGGACCACGATACCGCACGGGAACGGCTTGAACGAGTTCTTTTCAATCTCCCACACGGAACCCAGCGTCGTCACTCGCTCGGACAGGTTCTGCGTCTCGCTCACGACATTGGCCCATCCACGTTTCGCTTCCAGTGCTTGGAGGGAGCTCGTGTAGCCGTTTGACGCGAGGACCGCGGCCATCAACCCGTTCTGCGCCGAGCGGCCGACGTGGAATGACTTTGTGTCCGAGCCAAACATCTCGCGGAGCCCCGTCACTTGCGTCGCGGCGATACCGATCGCATGTGCCATCTGCTCGGGTGTGAGCTTGAGAAGTTTGCCCACGGCGACGGCGGCACCGATCGAGCCCGTCGTGCTGGTGATGTGCCTGTCATCCGAAGACACGCTAAGTACGCCGCTATTGGCTGCACAGGGAGGACACTCGAGCGTCGAGAACTTACCATCCGATGTCATAATGCTTTGGCCATACTGCCAATCCGACCTTGCATTCCGCCTCGACGCCAGCGACGAGTGCGAGGATGAAATCCTTGCCGCTGACGTTGCCTTGCGCTTCGGCTTGGGCGAGCAACGCACTCGCCACCGGTCCCGTCGGGTGGATGATGGTCTCGAGGTGGGTGTCGTCGTAGTCGTGCACGTGCGATGCAATGCCATTGATCAAGGCGGCATGCGAAGCGTCGGCACGCTTCGGTAATGAATCTCCACCACCACTACCACCACCACCACCATTGGCGCGTCCCAGTATGGAGGATGTCGACGGACCGAAGAAAGGTGAGAGGGCTTCGAGTGCCGTTGTCGTCGTGCGGTGGTTGGATCCTCCCAACGCACAGCCGGCCCAGTTGTAGAAGCTACGTGTTGCAGCACGAATGACGCCTTGTGGGAGAGACGTGTATTCTAGAGATACAGCCCAGTTGGCGATACTGATCGTGGCCATTTTGGTTGTGTGGCCGGAGTATGGTGAGTACTACAAGCAAAACCAAGAAGACGACGCTAATCCTGACACTGGTCCTTGAAGTCCGTCGACAAATTCGGCGAGTCGGTGTCGTCAACTACCTACGATATATGGGCATCGCAATCGGCAAAGATGCCGACCGAGACAAGGACTTTGGAGGAACATAACATGCTGTTTGATCCAAGGGGGACCTCTTTTACCCCACGGAATTTGTGCGACGAAGTACGACTTACTTTGAAGAGGGTCTTTTGTACAGTATGAGCCCGAGAATCTCCCCTCACAGGCGAAGGAGGCAACGTGAAACCCCAAATTCGCTGGATGGTTGTGGAGATGTTTGAGATCTCTCCGCGGGTTGGAGGTGTCGAATGGGCCAGCTTGGGTTACTGCTCTGGAGTCTTGTAGACATGGATTGGACGACCTCTTTACGATATCCATCGATCGAATAATGTTGTCAGACCTTGAGTACTGGAAACAATGTCATTAACGTACCTTGATGTACTCCGTACTGTATGTACTCCGTACTGTGCATGTACAGAAGCTTCGCCAAGACCATTCCATATTTAGATTAGCGTGGATTGTTTCTGACAATTCCGTCTCGGCCTTTTTTTTCATATTCCTGTACAAATGAGTCCACAACATACAGCCTCGCATGTTGTATCCCGCCGCAAACACTGGTCATAGATAACCCGCAGAACTCGACCGACTCTGTCAACATGTCTACCGAACCATCCAGGAAACGATCGAGGTCCGCCGACAATGGAGCAGACGAGAGCGGCGAATCTTCTTCGGACGACGATTTTGGACCGGCCTTGCCATCTTCGGTGCCACCCAAGAAGAAACGCAAGCTTCCGTACGAGTCGCTGTACGTGGCGGCTCTACCGAAGGGGCTCAAGTATTCCAAGTCGTTGATGCACAAGGACCAGATATCCACCGTGACCGTCGCCCCGTCGCCCGTCGACTTTGTCATCACCGCGTCGATCGACGGGGTGGTGAAATTCTGGAAGAAGATCGCCGCGGGCATCGAGTTCGCCAAGGAGTACCGGGCGCACGAAGGCCCGATGGTCGGTTCGAGCGTCAGTGTCGACGGGCAATACTTTGCCACGGCCGGCGACGACGACGACAAGACGATCAAGATCTTCGACGTGGTCACCTTTGACCTGTTGTCGATCTTGAACCTCGAACGCGCCGCGACTTGTGTCTGCTGGGTACACCGGAGGGCGCAGACCCCGTTGCTCGCCGTGGGGGTCGGCAAGCAGATCCACATCTACGACGGCCGAGGAGACTCCCAGGAACCCGTACACACCCTGTCCTCGTTGCACCGGGCCCCCGTCGTGGCCATGGCCTACAACCACGCGTTTGACTGTGTGGTTTCTGCCGACTCGAGCGGGATGATTGAATATTGGCGACCCGGGGACAACCCCGAAAAGCCAGACGGCGTGTTCAAGATGAAGTCGTCGACCAACCTGTTCGATTTCAAAAAGGCCAAGTCGGCCCCTTGCTCCATCACCGTGTCGCCTTCGGGCCACCGGTTCGCGACCATGTCCTTCCCCGACCGGAAGGTCAGGGTGTTCGACTTCGCCTCGGGGAAACTCTACCGGTCCTACGACGAGTCCATCGAGACCATCACCGCCATGCAACAAGCCGGCACGGCCCTTCAAAGGTTGGACGAGGTGGAATTCGGTCGGAGGTTGGCCGTCGAGCGCGACCTCGACGACCCAGTCGTCAAGCCCAGGATCAACGTGGTGTTTGACGAGTCCGGCCACTTCATCGCGTACGGTTCGCTCCTGGGCGTCAAGGTCGTCAACACGCTGACGAACCGGGTGGTCAAGGCTTACGGGAGGGATGAGCCGTTCCGGGCGCTCAACCTGGGCCTGTACCAGGGGACCCCTCAGAAGAAGGACGTGGTCACGGTCTCCATGGCCGCCAGCGCGAACCCCCTCCTCGACGAAGCTCAGCAACGGGACCCGATGTTGTTCGCCACGGGTTACGGCAAGGTTCGGTTCTACATGTTCACCGACGAGGAAGACGTCACCCGGTCGACGCGGGACGTCCAAAACGAGAAGCCCAGGGTCGCCGGCGGCAAGAAGAAGGACGAAGCCAAGCAGGCCCAGTCCGGCACGTCGGCCGTGCTCCACACGACCTACGGCGACATCCACGTCAGGCTCTTCCCGGACAAGGCCCCCCGGGCGGTGGAGAACTTCGTCACCCACGCGAGGAACGGGTACTACAACGGCACCGTCTTCCACCGCGTCATCCGCAAGTTCATGATCCAGGGGGGGGACCCCTTGGGCGACGGCACCGGCGGCGAGAGCATCTGGGGCCGGGAGTTCGAGGACGAGTTCTCCCCGGACCTCAGGCACGACAAGCCCTACACCGTCAGCATGGCCAACGCCGGGCCCAACACCAACGGCTCGCAGTTCTTCATCACCACCGAGAAGACGCCGTGGCTGGACAGGAAGCACACCATCTTCGGCCGCGCGTACCAGGGCATGGACGTGGTCCACCAGATCGAAAACACAAAGGTGCGCAGGGAAAAGCCTGAGGAGGACATCAAGATCATCAACATCTCCATCAGCTAATGTTGATGTTGTTTGTGGGACTACGGAAAGAAATAGATACCGTGAAATGACGGAGAGCCCAAAAATACTAATCATTTCGTTGCCTATAATGATGAAATATCGATCCTTGTACGAATGCATTCTGATCAATGTCCCGTAACGCCGTTGATGTAGGCTTGAAGAATGAGGATGAAAAAGGAGAAATCAACGAAAAATGTGCTCCGTACACGTTGTTGGATTCGGTTTCATCATGCATGCAACCACAACACAAGGGAGATTTTCGTCATACGCCAAGTAGAATAGTGGGAGCTTCGGAAAAAAAAAGGGAGTAATCAGGTTGCAGCACCACCGAACTGTCTTCGCACCCAGGGTTGGTGGTAGCTCGAATAATCTCTCGCGGTCGACATGCCAAACTGGTCTGCGACATTGACGTATCCGTCCGCACCAGGCTGTCCGGCTTTCTTGACGGCATCGGCGTCACCGACGTCGACCTCCCAGGTGGCGCGGCAGTACACACAGCGCACCTCTTTGCCCGGCATACTGGCGACCCACTGGTCAAAACACGACCTGTGCAGGTTGTGGCCGCACTGTGCCTTGCACCACACCAGTCTGTTGTTCTTTGGCTCGAGGTCCATGTAGCAGATGGGACATTCGCCCTCGGTGGGCTTGCGGTTGCCCTTTGTCGTCGAGGAGTCGTCCGCGGCGCTCCCGACCTCTGAGGGGATCGGGGGTGCACGCGCAAAAATCTCCTCGAGTTCGCTGGTGAGGAGTCCCCGTTGGTACTGGAGATGTTCCGGGGCCTTGAGGACCGTGTGCATGGCGTAGACCTTGTGCTTGCACTCGTTGCCCTTGAGGGCGTCCGGGCAGTTGCAGTCCGGCGTGCGGCCGATGACGACCTCGTACACGTTGCCGGTCGACCCCACGATGTCCAGATGCTCGCAGGGGGCACCGTCCTTTACGGTGCGCCTGCGGTCCAGGACGATCATCCGTTGGTACCGTGATCGCTCCAGCTTGACTTGAAATGACACGGGAGGTTTACTCCGAAATCTTTTTGACCGCTTCTCTGCTTGTGGCCTTTTGCCTTGCTTGGTGTGGGTATTGTTGCCGGGCTGCGTCTCTTGCTTTTGGCTCTTGCTGTTGTCGTTGTTGCTGTTGAGTTGCGGACCTTGCTTCGAAGTGACGGGTTGGGAGGAAGGAGTCGGGATGGTACTCGTGAGAGGCGTCTTCGGATCCCGTGAACTCGCCTCGGGTTGCGGGCGATCTCGAGCGAGTGACTCGACCCATTTTCTCGTTCGATCTCGTGCGTACTGACTCTGCTCCTTCTGCTCCCGCTCCTGCTCTTGTAGTAAGCGAGCGGCAGCTGAGGCTGAAAGGGACGCGGTCTCCCCCTGACTAGGTCTGGCCTTGGGCTTTGTCACGGCCCCTCGCGGCGCGACTCGGGTTACGGGCACTCCATCCTCTGCCATTTCCCAGCGTCTTCTTCTTCTTGGTTCTTGCTGCTGATGAAGAAGTACCAGCAGGAGCAGGAGGAGGATGGTGAGATCCTCTTCGTCGTCAGGGTCCATGGAGGTGGATTGTGGGCTTGTGAGTTCCTGCCAGTGGCAAACCAAGAAGATGCAAGAAATATTTGTGACTGCGCGTGTCTTACGGATATGCGGGGGGGACGTTTAAGAAATTATTCCCGAGTTCGGCAATGACCTAGACTCGTACTCGTACTCGGACTCGTGCCAACCCAGTCTACCTCTCGGTATCATTCAGGCTGCCATCACCTCTATGCGAGAGTTACGAAGAGTTGGCGGCATCTAGAAACTGCTGTAAACTCCATTCCCTCCGTCCAAGCTTATATGTACACGCCTTCGCTATGCACTTGATCTAAATCATTCGCTGTATACTCCTTACCGATGGACACTTTAATGCGCTGCGTAGTTCTTCACATCATGTCTCTCGTGTGACCACCAGGGTTCTGAACCGAATCTGTAAATGGGTTAGCATTTAGATCATACCTCGATCCTGAACGAGACTCACAGTCAGTTGTCACAAAGGCTCGGTCTACTTCACCCAACGCCTCACAGCAGTATTGGAGGGTTTCTGCGATGTCGTGCGTTCGACGCAAAGGGGTGCCTTCTTCCAACAAGATGTCGTACTCGACCCAAACGCCGTCGCCAGTATGGTATGCAATGACCGATTTGACTCCGGACACCAAGTTGGTGAAACGATATGCGAGAAAGATGAGCTTGTTCTGTAGATGTTCGTCGACGGTCAACCCGCACAGCCGAGTCATGTTCTCGACGCACGTGTCCGCCCAGTCGTAGATGATGTACACCGAGAGCAAGGCCGCGCCCAGGGGGTCCAGCCACCACACGCCCGCCTGTTTGCCGATGAGCGGGAAGAGGAGCGAAAGCGTGTTGAAATAGACGTCGGTCTTGCAATCTTGCGCCAGGGCCTGCACTTGGGTGGTCTTGATCCGAATGCAGCCGAGCCCGATAAGCCCCTTGATTCCCACCGTGGCGGCCATGGCGGCGACAGCCATGGTAGGTAGCGTCGCGATCGAGTGATCCCCGTGGGGAAGCAGCCTCCCGACGGACTCTTGCAGGATCTGCAAAAAGGAGATGACCATGATGATTGAGAAGACCAAAATACCAATCGGCTCGAGTCGCCGGCGTCCCACGGGGAATTTCTTCGCCAGCGCCGCCAACCTCCACGAAACCAGCCGGTTGGTGGTCCACACAATCACGGTGCAGAGAAGGTCGAGTGCCGAGTCGAGCAAGGAGGCGATCAGCGACAGCGACGACGACTTCAAAGCCGCGACGCCCTTGGCGACAACCAGGATGATGTTCGCGACGACGTTGATGTTGATGGCCCACCGGGCGTTGCGGGCCGCCCTGGCTCGCTGTCGTTGCACATCGTCCGGTAGCATGTCGTCTATGTGTTCATTGACGGTCTGCAGCCTGCCTTCTCTCTCTCTTACCCCGTCGTGGTCCGCGTCGGTGTTCATGCTCTCCATCACATCGTCTGCCATGGTCAAGACGATCGTGTCGACTTCGGCCCAGTCGTTGAGGCAGGCATTTTGGTGTTCGTAGAACTTGCGGACCTTCTTGTTCTTGATGCTCTTGAGCTACAAACAACGCGGAATGTCAGACTCGTGGTTCCTTTGGCCGTGTTTATCATAATGATGCTGCTTACCTCTTCGTCACTTTTCCTCAGCTTCTCGAATTCATTGTCTCTTTCCACGCCGTCCTTGAGTTGCTTTTTCAACGACGCCGTTGTTCGACGATCGAGGACATAATCCACGGCGTCTTTGAAGCCCCCAAACCGCCGATTGCCAGAGCCAGACTCGATGTCGTAGTTTCGCCCTTGGCCGTCATTTTTGCCGTCATCTCGCTGAAACGTCCGCTTCCCAACCATGGTGACGACGGATTTAACGATTGAGACAAAGACTTACAGGGGATAATCAAGCATATCAAGGGGACGTGATTTGAAGTGAGGGATCGACCAGGAAAGAGACACGAAGAATGGGATGTGAGGAAATGCAAAAGTACACACTCCGGCAAGGTGACGAGTACTTGTTCAATGTTTTGAGGCTCTTAATTCCCCCCCGTATTCTCTATGACGCCATCAGTTCACGCGGGTGCCCAGTTTCAGGGCACATTAGGCTTGGAAACACAAGCTCAAAAGCTTGATCGGCGGGCAGATTTCAGGCCTGACCTACCTACGGAGTACACCGAGTTGACCGACCTTGGGCCCTGTAATGACGCGCTATAGGCACGGCCCTTTAATTGGAAGCGTCATTATCCGGGGTCCTGTATTGTACTAAGTTACGGAGTAGGTGCCGTCCTCTCGGCGATCAACTTTATGCAGTTGCTCACATCGTTATGAAATATGTATGATTATTGGTGCATCGCGTCCTAAATACCTAGAGTACTACGAGAATATGATCGTGATACATATAAAGAGTATACTTCCTTTCTCATCACCTATACAGCCCGGGAATTTTGCTTGGAAACTGTCTGCAATGCCTTGCGAGCGCGTACTTTCGACGCCAGTTGTTCCGTTCTATCCTTGAGCGCAGCCATTCGAGTCCTAAGGGAGCCAAGTTCGGGGGTATTTCCTTGCGACGTTGCACTTGATGTCGTGGTCTCGATAGTGCGCGAGGTTGCTTCGCTGCCGGTATCAGGTGTTGATGCACTTTTGCGTTCGGCCGCGGCCGTGGCTTCGAGAGATTTCTGTTCCCGAACGGTCTCTACCTCGCTGCCCTGTAAACTCTCGCCCGGGTTTCCTGGCTCCGCGATGCCTTCCGAACCACGCTGTCGTCTCCAGCTTTGCAGTAATTCAACCTTCACGCCTGGCTGTTGTTCCATTACATCGCCAATGACTCCCGTCTGCTGACATTTTGCACATATGTCCGGAAAGACGTGGGAATTGTGGGCAATGTCGGGACAGAGTTGATGCGAGCACGTTACCTGTGATTTGGACGCGACCAGCTTTTCGATGATCTCGGCACATTGTACCGTGGTTCTAATCTTGACATGACCGCAAAGGTGATAAATGTGGTGTGATTCGCACATCTTGGAGTATCGAGTAGCTTCCGTCGGTGGAAAGGAACTTTTTTCTACACTTGGGCAAGGAGGAAATGTGGATGTCGCGAAAACTTGAGTCCAACTTGCAGTGGGTGCTTCGCAGACATTCTCCATGATATATCGAGAATGAGATACAAAAATAGCCACTGCAAGACGTAAAGACAATAAAGTATTGGTCGTAGCAACATTCGCTTTGTGCAGATTTTACCTACGCGTCTGGTGTTGCCTTTGTCCTGGGAGGCAGTGACACCCTTCTTTGTTGCTGGTGCAAGCGGTTCGAGTCATCCACGAGGTATTCAGTCTTTGACGAGTGTTGTACTCCCTGGACACCTTTGTAGAATAATCATGGCAGAGCAGGGAGATCCATCATGCAGAGGAGGCTGTTTTTCTAGTGAAGATGCATCGTTGGACATGATCAAATTTGCCGAGACATCGCCGTGCGCCTTATCTCTCGTTGTATGGCTGCTAGCCACACGATGATAGTTGAGGCCTCTCACCCTTGTGCATGATACCATTAGCCATTTGTACTGTGGTATCTCGAAGCAGACCTAGGACGGGAGTAGCGACTTTTCTAATAGCTCGATCAGATGATTACGTGCACCCTCCGTAAGCAGAAGAGACCAGGATGATGGGTTGATGGAGTGACATCAGTGGCTTGATTGGAGTGTGAAGGGCGTACTGTAACTACTGTAAGTCGTAGAATCGTCGAGGGGTCGAGACTTGGTCGCCTTGGCTTTGCGTTCAAGCTTTTTTGCTTGTGGCCAACTCGTTCGACGCCTTCTATGGAGGCCTCGTAACTCGTACGGGGTAGTATTGTATCAATAGGTGGGCCATTGATCTCCGAGTCTCGAGCGTCAGCATAGACCTGCTCTTTTCGAATAGGTATCCTCGTGTTTGCCTCATCCTTTTACCTAACCGTGTCCACTCGTCCGGCCTGTGATAAAACGGTCACCTTTTCCCAATTCTGACGGAGAAGTTTTTTGTTGTTGTTGTTGCTGCTGCTGAACCTGCTGAACCTGGCGCGTGCTCACCTTCCATCACAGCTCGTCGTGCCTTTATCCCAGTGATCATTTGCAGTGTGTCATTTCGTTCTCGTCAGCTGGGGCACACTACTGTACAAGTCTGTTTAATTCCACATAGAGAATTTGACGAGACACCTCGCGTGCCACAATGGAAACGCAGCAACGACGCCGTTCCTCAAGGACGCCTCGGAGGAGGACGTCGATTCAAGAAGATGCTGCGATGCTAGCAGGATTGGGAGTGACGCAGGAACTGCAGCGGAATTTCTCCTTGTTCTCCATGCTGGGTCTGGCCTTTGCGATTCTCAATTCCTGGACCGCCCTCGGAGCCAGTATGTCTTTGGCCCTGCCGAGTGGAGGTCCGACTGCAGTCATATGGGGCCTGTTGGTCGCTGGCATCTGCAACTTGTGTCTGGCGGCATCACTCGCCGAGTTTCTATCTGCGTACGTCACAAATGCACCACCACCGGTCACCTTGATCCTATGTGAAAAGCTGACGGCCGTATAGGTATCCGACGGCGGGTGGCCAGTACCACTGGGTGGCCGTCATCAGCTGGAAGAAATGGGTGCCAATACTCTCCTGGATCACCGGCTGGATCAACACCGCCGGCTGGGTCGCTTTGACCGCAACAGCAGGGCTATTGGGAAGTCAACTCATCTTGGGGGTCATCTCCCTCACAACACCTTCCTATGAACCGCACCGCTGGCATCAATTTTTGATCTATATCGGTTACAACATCTTTGCATTCCTGGTCAATGCTTTCCTGACCAGGTTGCTCCCGTGGGTCACCAAAACGGCATTGGTCTGGTCAATCACCGGCTGGGTGGTCATTTCCATTACTGTCCTTGCTTGCGCCTCCCCCAACTATCAGTCGGGCGATGTGGTGTATCGGACTTTCATCAACGAGACCGGCTGGCCCGATGGACTCGCATGGCTTTTGGGCCTGTTGCAAGGTGGTCTGGGGTAAGTGTTCTCATGTTACACCTCTTATCTGCAAATGGACCGACGATGGTACGAAGTGCTGACTTGAATGCTTTGTTTCTTTGCGTAGTTTGACTGGCTTCGATGCCGTCAGCCACTGTATCGAAGAGTTGAACAACCCAGTGGTTGAAGGGCCGCGCATTATGATTGCATGTGTGCTGATCGGTGTCGTCACTGGATTCGTCTACCTCAGCGTTCTCCTTTTCGTCTCCAAGGACCTCGATGCTGTGATTTCCTCCACAGCTGGTCCCATGTTGCAGATCTTTTACGATGCCACGGGCAACAAAGCGGGCTCTATTTGTCTGTTAATGTTCCCCTTGGTCTGTTTGTTGGTGAGTCTGCTTTCCTACAAGCCCACAATCAAAGCTGATGGATTTTACCAGTTCGCTGGCGTCAGTATCATGACAACAAGCAGCCGAATGGTGTATGCATTTGCTCGAGACCGTGGACTACCAGCTTCCAGATTCTTTGCCAAAGTCGACAAGCGGCTCGACGTGCCCATGAATGCTCTTTGGTTAACTCTCATTCTGGTGACCATCTTTGGCTGCATTTTCCTGGGCTCCAGCAGTGCATTGTAAGCTACTTCTCTACCCTAGCTCTTGTCGTGATCACAGCTAACGATGTGTTAAGCAACGCTATCATCTCGGCCTCTGTAGTGGCCCTTGGGATCACCTATGCCATTCCACCATCCATAAATTGTCTACGAGGCAGGAAAATGCTACCGGAGTCGCGTCCTTTCGTCCTGCCCAACTGGTTGGGTTGGACGTGTAATTTGGTAAGGACATCCAACTGGATGTATCGTTTATGCTGACCAAACACAGATTGGCATTGCCTACGCCATTTTGACGACAGTACTGTTCATGTTCCCTCCAGACCTGCCCGTGACCGGCAGCAATATGAATTACTGTGTGGTGGCATTTGCGATTGTCCTCATCGTTTCCGTCATCCAGTGGTTTGTTGACGGGCGAAAGAATTATACCGGACCGCAGATTGACGTCGATGCGCTCAAAAGTGGTGAGGTTGTTGGCATGGCCCCCGAGGACAGTAACAGCGGCCTGAGACCTAGTGCAGACACTTTGAAGGGTGACAAAATTGATAGAGATTTGCCTTAAACAGGATGTGCTCCAGCCAAGGGGAAGACCATGTCCATCTCAGCAAGATTCAATACATTTATCAATGGCTTGCCACGGACTGAAAGAGCAATACTTGGGACCCCTCGGTTAGGTGCGAATAAAATCTGCGCAGAGGCTTGGTGCGTTTCTCTGCGTGCTCATGGTATCGATCACATCGCGTATTGCTGAGATTCGTGAAGTCTCGTCAAGTCGTGCTCGGAATTTCTTTCTTTCTGGACGTGTCCCGAGTCTCGTAGAAATTGTTTTCACGGCCATTCAGGGTTAGGTTTCCTCCTAAAGACGGCAATGAACTTCTTTCCACCATTCCTGGTCACCTTCTTTGATTCTTCGGTCTCTTCACTCATGACCTTGACACAAGGGTCCTCGTGCAAGTCCGTGTCCGGCACCCTCTCCCACAGTTCTCTGGCATCACCGGCTTCGTCGCCTTCAAAATGCTTGGCCATCCACTGGTGCAGTTCCTCGACGTCGGTGATGGTGTAAACCATGCCACCGGGCTTCGTGACAAACGCGTACTCGGCATTGAGCTGCGCCGAGACAATTCGAGCCTTGTGCTTTCTCTGCTTGAAATGCGGATCGGGAAAGCACAGGAAGATCTTTGACAATTGGCCTTGGCGGAAGTAGTTGGGGAGAAACTTCATCGTATTCGTGCGAAGTGCAGAAATGTTTTGGTAAGGAGAATGTTGGGTCTCTGTCGACTGGTTCTGAGCTCGGAGGGCAGCAACACGGCCGATGACATAGTCCAGAACTTGTGCCCGAAGCTCCATCCCTGTTTTTTTTTTAAACAGTCAGCCTCTTGTTGTCGTGCAGTGCTTCTCGGAAAGGCGATATATACCAAGCATCAACGTCTCGGGAAATAATCTTGATAGTGCGACTATCAAGCCACCGAACCCGCAACCAATGTCGGCAATTTCGACCTCATGTGTCATGCGGGATACAGTCCCGTTCGCATGGTCAAGCTGCGCAAAGGCTGGATAATGGCTGGTCCAGTCCAACTCCTGTGGACTGACAGGACTAAGATGAGAGTTTAGTTCAGAGTTCTTCAAAACCCTCACTTGAAAAAAGAAAACCCTCGACTGGAAACTCACTATGCCAAAAGATGGTCGGAAAACGGGTTGGCATGTGCTCGTTGACGATAGAATTTCTTCTTGGGCAACGCAACATTGCCATCCTGGATACTGGCCTGGGCCTTTTTGTAATCTTCTCGTTTTTGACGTTTATTTGGAGGGCCTGTCATCTTGGCTGTCTAATATTCGACACCCACGCGACATGTAAACTTGGTTGTAGTTCGTTGATGAGTATATATATATTTAAAAAAAGTCACGGATCTAGCCTTGTACCTTCTATTCAGAGCCAAGGTATGTAAAGTCTTGGCGAGCGCTCGTTGTGACTGCAACGACTCTCCTACATTTTCAACCACGAAGTACTACCATAAAAGCGTAAAGCCTCGAGACGTGGGGCTGTGTTGAAATCAGGTACAACATGATCATTACATTTGTCACATCCTTGTCCAGGATATCCTGAGGGCATCTGGGGAGCACTACTTAAATTCCGAGAGAATTTCGCGTCATCTAGGTAGACAACACAATGATCCTGACCCTTCTCTTGCCCTTTTCTCTAGCACCGCCCTTCTCCTCAGAACTGACCCTGACTTTGAGCTGCTGAAACAACTCAACAGTGACCGATACCTCCTCTCTTCCTTTTTCGAAAACTGTTAGGCTGTAGTTGTCGGCATCAAACTTGCTCTCCCTTCGCGAGTCTTCTTCAGACCTCATCTCAAAATCTTCAAGGCGAACCAGTCCTTCAATGCCAAACTGGGGCACGAAGACAACTATTCCATTCTCAAAGACACGCATGACATAACCGTCAACGTTGATAGCGGCATCAGGTGTCTTCTCTGCGCGTGCTTTAAGTGCCTGTCCCACATAATATTCAATGCTTGCTCTGCCTGCCATTTGAGCATTTCTGTGCCTGAAATTCAGGTTTTGACACACCCTCTCCAGCTTGCCCTTGTTCCGAAGCCCCTCATCGACAATATCACTGCCCTCGCCAGTATAACCGATCGCATAGGCAAGCTGGCGGTGAGCAAGAAGATCAGCATACCGTCGAATCGGGCTAGTGAAGTGAGTGTAGATTTCGCTAGCGAGTCCATAGTGTCGGTACTCCGGCTCAGCATGAGAGCCACTGCAAAAGTATTCCGCTGATGTCATACAGCGTGTGGCCATGATTCGGATCAGGGTGTTAAAGAACGGGTGCTGGGGGTCGATGCATTTGTCCAATGAATCAGCCAGTGCCTTGGAACTCGACACGTCAAGTTCAAATCCCCGCATTCGTTTTAGTTGTTCACCGAGATCCGTGAAATTGGAAGCAGGGGGAGTCGCATGTCGTCGAAGCAAAGCAGTTTGGGGAAAGACAGTCTGGATTTTCTTGGCCACGGTGATGTTAGCGAGAAGCATGAATTCTTCGACCAAAGAATTCGTGGCAAGGTGTGCTTTTGTCTTGACATCAGCCAACGAATCCGATGATTCGCTATCGGCTTCGATCCTGACTTCCGGGCTGGAGAGGTTCAACGCTCCAGCGTCCATTCGCTTCTGGCGAAGCTTTTGGGAAAGGGACAGAAGTGCCCTCATACCTTGCGTAAGCTCATCGGTGGCAGATGGATCGTCGATTCTTTTCTGTGCCTGCTCATAAGAAAAGCCTTCCTTGGACAAAATGACAGATTTGGTGAAAGATGATGACACAATCTCGGCATCTGGTGTGAGTTCCCACAAGGTAGAGAATGCGTATCTCTCGACATATGGCTTGAGGGAGCAGAGATCTGTTCCGAGAAGCATTGGCAACATGTCGATTCTCTTGTCGACCAGGTATACAGTGGTTCCGCGGGAAGAAGCCTCAGCGTCCATGGCATTGTTGGGCTTCACAAAATGTGACACATCTGCGATGTGGACTCCAACTTCAAAATTGCCGTTGGGAAGCTTTCTGGCATGTAGAGCATCGTCAATGTCTTGACAGCCAGGTGGGTCGATCGAGCAAACAAGCAGATGCCGGAGATCCTGCCGCCCTTTCCAACCCGGGTGGCCTTGATCAGCTGGGACTTTCCAGTCATGCCCTTCAGCCGGAAGACAATCCAGTACAGCTTTGGGGAATGGCCTGTACTGAACATCATACTCGAGAAGGAGTGCTTCGGTTTCGGCCTCTTTCGTCTCCAATTCACCCAGAGACCGAATGTAGTGACCGATAGGGTATCTCGTATCTCTATTCCATGAATCAATAGCTGCGACAATTCTCTTCCCGACAAGATCATCAACTTGTCTTGTCCGAATACGGATTTTGGGGATGCGTTTGTCCATCGGTACCAGGAACACGGTGGTCTGTCGGGTGCCCGAGGCAGTCCCAGATGCTGCGTCAATAGTTCCGACCAGCTGTCGCCAATTGCGCTTCATCACTCCAACCACTCGACAGGTAGGTTGTGCTCGGGACTCTGCGCTGGCTGTATGGGCCCTCCTAACCTCTTCCTGCAAGGCTCGGCGTTCATTCTCGGTAACAACGCTTTCTTCTTGTTCTTCGTCCTCGGGGTTGTCGTTCTGGTTGAGTGCCTCTTCGTCGAGGATCTGGGTCGAAGGAGCTTTCCACTGCTCTTTCGGAAGGACTTCAACGACAACCACATCGCCCGATATGGACCTGTTGCTGCTTTCTCTGCCCAGGATCAGGAGTGGCTTGTCAAATGCGGGCACTTTGACCGTGCCTTCGAGATAGTTGTATGGCGAGACATTGAACACACCCTGATGCAGTGTGCCTGCTTTGATACCCGTGGCCATCCTCGACATGGAATAATATTCTGGATAGAACAAGTCCCCCTGGGCCAGACGAGCTTCCTGGCTGTCGGCACTTTGGCTAACCATGTCGAGTAAGCGGTCTGCATCGTCGAGTCCTTCAACGTACTCCCGCAGAGACAACGCGACCAATGCTTCCTTTTTCGTTTTCCTTCTGTTGTCCTGGTCGTTGGTGAGCATCACAATCGTAGGTGGCTTCTTCGTCACTTTGGCCAAATGGCTAGTGTACCAAGAGGCAGCCATCCTCACAGCACGGTCGTTTCTGTCATTGATCGTCTCTCCTTCGGTCCGACGGACTGCTGTTTCCGACCTGAACTCGTTGAAAAACAGATAGAAGCGCTTCTCCTCGCTCCGTGTCAACGCCATCAATCTATTGTACAGAGGCAGGCTCCGGTTTTTGAGCTCTTCGAGGACGGTCTGCAAGACGATGACGTCGTGAAAGTGAGCCGTATCTTCGAAGAGATCCATGCCACTGAGAAGCACGTTGGTGTCAGGCATCAGGTAGTGGCCATTTGGAAAGGCCTTGGTTCCGACCGGTCGTTTCGAGAGGATGAATTTAGGAACTTTGGTCAAGGTCAGCCAATGCAAAACTCGTCCACAGCATCTTCCAACTCACCCAGTCCACTTGCGTCTGACACCGCGGTTGCAGCGCAGGCAGAGCATAGCTGGGACGAACAAGGAATGTCAGTCCGCAAGTATTGTTCTCTGACAATTTTCTGGACTCGGCCACTCCTCGTTGACCGAATGTAGACTTTACTGGCAATGTTGGCAGCATTTGCGTCAGCAGCAAGTCCACGCTTGAGACTCTTCATCTTGAACGAAGGAGTCGCAATGCTTTGCACTCTTCGATTATGTCGACGGTGAGCGAGCGCATGTCGAGACTGAACCAAAAAAGTGCGTCGTCCCCACCTGCGGAGTTACTTGCGCGTGAAGTACGGTGGATCATGTCAAACGGCGGATCTCAAGACGACAACGCGCATTCTACTGGAGGGTCATTCTCCAAGGCCCTTCCCTCGGTACGCAAAGAATAATCCCTTCGTAGATGGCAAGTATTCAGGATACTGCTAGCATGTCTTGTGTGGCATAGCAGTCCACAACACAACTCCCGGCTAGTTAGGAAGGAGATGCCCGTCTGATCGTAACGGGCAGCCTTTCAAAGTGTCGGCTCTGGAATCGACCATCATGTCTGCCAAAGCTCCGTACATCCTCCCGCCGACTGCGGTGGACTCGTCTTCCGGTCGGCCCGCAACGTTGATATTCCTTCATGGCTACGATGACGAGGCAGAGGGCCTTCCGTTGGGTCTGGCGCAACAGTTCCAGTTCTACCAAAAGATGCCTTATTTGAAGTGGATCCTGCCGAACGCGGATCACAACCATGAAGCAATGGCAAGAGCGTGGTACCTGCCCAAAGCTCTACCTAACGCAATGAAACCACGTATCCCGGGCCACGAGGAAGACGAGGAAGGTGAACCCGACGACGAAGAAGGTATAATGAAGAGCGTGGACATTGTTGACAAACTCGTTGAAGAAGAGTTGAAGGGTGGAACTCCGCCGGAGAGAATCCTCGTCGGTGGGTTCAGTCAAGGCTGTGCTGTCAGCCTGGTATGGAGTCTGGTGGGACGACTCAGGCACGACGTGGCCGGACTTGTTTGTTTGAGTGGTTACCTGCCGCTGAAAGACAGGATCCAAGCGTTGCAGCAAGAAAGACCCGCTGCAAGCCCAGAAGGAACAGACAAAAGGAGGTGGTTCTACGTACATGGGACGAGAGACATGCTGGTCCCGAAGAGACTGTATCTGCAAGGAAAGGAGGAATTGTCTCGCTTGGTAGGTCAAGATCGTATCGAGGAACATTTATACGAGGGAATGGGTCACTCAACGAACGCTGCCGAGTTGAGGGACTTGTTGACGTTTTTGGAACGGGTCATTCCGGCATGAAGCTGTGTATGGAATGATCAAAGGCATGCCCGCGGCCATAGGTAGGAAGAGAGACTGTTCATGAGTGACAAAGACTTGGGACGGAGTAGACTTGAGAGAGAAGAACATGGTAGACAGTTAGGTAAGCGAGGTGCATAACCTCATAGAATAGGTATATTGACTACCATTGTTGCAATGTCAACATCATGTGTCTCAACGATCCTGAGCAATTAACCAGTCTGCTAATCCCCGAGCCTTTTTCAACATCCACATGAAATCTCATTCTGTTTATCATTCTGGGCCTTTCGAAGGACGCTCTCTGTCTCAACGAGGACAACTCTAGAAAACGCAAAACATGTCATATTAGCAAACGCGGGCTTTTCGTGTAGTTTATATGAGGGTTGTTTCCTATGCTACCACCATCGATCATCCAGATCGTGGCAGTTCTGACTTGTATCGCCCATTTGTCGCAAACGATGTTCCTCATAAGGTGCGAAGAAATGGGAGGCTCGGACTCACCGCTCCGCATGAATTGCAAGTCTTACCGCCCGCCTGGATTTTACCCCCACATTTGGGACAGGAACTGTGACCGCTCATGATTTTCCCGAGGTTTTTGAGATGCGAAATTTGACAAAGTGAGAGATTTCGAAGTAAGTTTTGGTCGGGAAAGAGAGGCGACAATCGAGGCGTGTTTTGAAGGGTTTGATATTCGTCTTATATCTAACCGCGCGAGACAAGAGAGGTATGGATGAGGGAGGGGCAAAATGGGGAGGAGAGGCCTTGATGTGTTTTATTAATGCCTTGAGGGACCCTCAGAGGAGCCACGCCCAAACCGTTGTCGATGATAAGTCGTGCCACGTATATACACCGGAAGAAAAGGATCAGCCCAATCGAAATTTGACCAATGGACGGACAACTTCTTTTTTGGAAATCGTGAGAAAGCGTGGGAGATGACAAGCCAATTCACAGTCTACGGAGTAATACCGTCAATTCTCACTTGACGGGGTGGGAGTGATTCGTGCGTCGGAAATGCACTACAGTATACGGAGGTACTCGTCAAAGTCAGCTGCTATGCGTGTATATCTTTGCCAAGCATTATATGCCTATATTTGATCCATATTTGATCCTTGCTCTCTTCATATCAGCCCTTGAATTGCCGATTTTCTATGGTGGTAACGCCGCTAGATGTTCAGTCAAATGCTGAAATGCTCGAAATGCCTTCCATTTCCCCAGATTTTTTTTCCTACAAGATCCAAACAAATCCCCTTTGCGGGAAAACTAAAAAAAAGAGTTGAAATTTCAAAAATCAACCCGTTCTGCCTTGCGAATCTTCTCTCCATATCTGTACAGAATCCAACTCACCGGCGACAAGGCCAGCGCAATGAATGCGAGCAACGAATTGCCCCAGCCCAAACCCAGCTGTTTGTACATTTCGGGTCCAGCCAGAGGTAAGAAAGCCCCGACGAAGCTCCTGATGACGGTACTCGCGGCGAGAGCCGAGGCGGCGTGGAGGTGGTACGCGTCGACGAGGTAGGTCTGGATGGGCATGAAGGTGGCCATGAGGCCCAAGCCGACGAAGAGCGTGCCGATGATGGGCATGATCCAGTGGATGGCGGCGTGCGCGGACCACCCGTACCAGAACAAGCCGACGGGGATGATCAAGCTCCCGGGAATGAGAGGGGGTAGGCGGTACTCCGGCTTCATCTCCCCCTTGGCCGCCAATCTCTTGACGGTGCGATCGGACAGGGCACCGAATATGACCAGGCCAAACAGGGAGCCGATCCCGATGCCCAGAAAGGCCAAACCCACGGCACCCTGGCTGAAATGGTAGGTGCCTTCGAAGACCATGGTGAGGGTGGTGAACAACAGATAGAGGTAGCCGTAGACGACGGCCATGTAGATCGACAGCGAGAGGACGATCGGGGACAGCAGAAGCATCTTGCTCGGGCGGACGATGGCGCGCAAGAAGTATTCTCTGGTCGGGATTTGCTTGTCGAGTTTCGATCGTAGGTCGGGGTTCCCTGTCTCCTTGCGCAGTCGCTTCGTTCGCTTCTCGAGGAGGATCGGCTCGTACGTCTCTCGTAAGAACAGGAGTGAGAATCCGAGAGCGACTCCGCCCTTGAAATCATTCTGTCAGTAAAAGGTACAGTTCAGCGGGATCTGAGATACGTACGGCGATAGTGATCAGCCAAAACACCCACCGCCAACCTGCTGCCTCCGCAAGATAGCCACCTGCGACAGGGCCGATGACAGGGCCGAGGATAGGTCCCATGGCAAACAGTGCCATCGCAGCACCTCGCTTTTCCTGTGGTATGAGATCTGCGATCGAACCTCCACCGATGGTGATGGGGCAACTACCCGCGATGCCGGCCAAGAGTCGAAAGACCAAGAGACCGCCGATGTTCGGCGCCAGGGCACAGGCCAGACTCCATACCACGAACAGGAAGTTGCAACTATGGTAGACCGGTAACCTTCCATAGACCTCCGACATGGGAGCCAGAAAGAGAGGGCCGATGGCATAGCCCAGGACGTAGATCGAGACGATGAAACTCGCGATCGTGCCGTCGGTGGCATGGAACTCCTTCATGACCAGGGGGACCGCCGGTGCCACCATCGAAGAGGCCAGAGGGGTCAAGAACGTGACGGAGGAAATGACAGCCACGTTGCCCCATTTCATCTTGTTGGGCCAGTTCAAGGCCTTCTCGGGATCGTTGGGACCGTCCCAGTCGACGACGTTGGGGTCACGCTCAGTGGCCGTCGCATCGGGTTGTTTCTCCTCGTCGATATCATCGGTGGTGTTGATAATGGGGATTCCACGCTCGACATCGGGATCTATTCGAACATCGACCTCTTTGTCGGATTTGTCGGATATTGAAGTGCCGTCTGCATCTGTGGAAAGAGTCGAATTTGGTGTCTGCTTTTCTTCATGTTCAGTGTCTGCCGAGTCCACTGGGGGTTCTCCTGGCGATTGCGAAGCCGCCATAGGATTCTTCCAACATGACATCTTATCAGCCGTCTAATCATAAAAACAGCCTCGTGGTACGGAGTGAACAGTGTGCATACCACTTTATTATCGCGAGGGTTTGTGCTCTGGCGGTACTTTTGACAACACGCTAAATGCCAGGTAGTCAGCCACCAAGGGGAGTCAAGTGTGTCGACCTCAGCTCGCGTATGGCGGATCGTGCCAGGTAAGCTGTCGGACGTTTAAAAATGATCTGCTCCTCGAGATATCGAACTCGTCTGCTTTTTTTGGGATGAAAGAAAAAGGACGAAGACCCCTCTGCGAGTTCGATGGAAGGCGTGCTATTTACTTCTCGAAAAAAAAGAAGCGGATTTAAGATCAATGGCCCGTTTTCTTTATGGCCTTCGGGCTCAAGGACGCGCTTTCGCTTCGGTTGAAGCCAAACCCCACTTTGAGCAGCCTGTTCGGCATGGGGGACTGCCGGGTGTGCATGGGTTTCCCACCAAGATCATCGTGGGATGATCCGCCTTGTTTTGTGTCTTAGCTCTTGCTGACAGAAGATGCACTTCTTGAGGAGCGGTGAAGGCGGACTTTTGCAGAGCGATATAGCCGGACCGATCTTGGGCTGGTCTGGTGCGATGGCTATCTTGAAAGGGATATTCTAGAAGAGTTTGATGGTACTGAAGAAGATGGTCTTGGCCACTATGCACCTCATCATAAAACTTGTGCATCAAGAGGGCGAGAACCATGATTGGTGCTGCTCAACAATGTGGAGGTTTTCCCCCTTTGGAGATCGTGGGCCATGGACCTTCCGAGGAACAGGGGGAAAACACAGACTACTACACGAGTATTACTCCATACTCGTTGACTCCGTACTGGTAGTGTGTTTGAGATAAGGTACCGCTCGCGTGTTCGACAATCTATCTATAACACCTGGCATGGTTGCAAGATGGACCGGCCGTATTTGTATTCCTCATCAGTCCACGGGGCACCAAGGGTTTCTTCCTCATTAGCTTCATTTTTGATCATAGAACTTACGAGTCTGTATTCCACTGAAAGGCCAGAAACGATCGACACGACAACGGAGCATGATTACGAAGATGAGCTCTAGTTTGACCATACTGTGCCTTTGCAAAATGCAGTATTTCTACAGCAGCAACGAGATGCTTTTGGCCCACAACCCATATTATACTGGTAGTCCTCACGTTCAGAAGAGCTACACGTCCAAACTGTCATTGCATCGTAAATCTCGTGACTATACATCATATGACTGGTATATGCGTATCATGGAGCCTATTCTCGCCTACCATGGCCGCCAATCGGCCACAATATCGCCAGCATACAACTCAATTATATGGCATAGCCTCCGCTGTTGATCTGGCGCGGTTCTCCAGCAGCTTCGAATGTACCATTCCCTAGCCGCCGGAGACCTTGGGCGGTGGATAGGCCGGGTGCAACCCAGGTACAATTGTGCCCGCGTGCTTTCATAAAATCAACCGTCTCATTGTTGTATGCATACTCGAACATGACTTGGTTCGGGATCAATTGGTCATGGAGTCGAGGCTGCGCGAGAGCCTCGGGAACAGTCATGTTCTGATCGAGGACGTGGATTAGATTCTGGATGGTAGCCGTGATGATTCTGGACCCCCCCGCCGCTCCAGTTACATAATACAAGGTCCCGTTGGGAAACTCCACGATGGCCGGCGATATCGATGACAAGGGTCTCTTGCCGGGGCGGATATAATTGCTCGGACTCGGTATATACCCGAATGCATTTGACGAACCGGGAATGGAGAAATCGTTCATCTCATTGTTCATGATGACGCCGGTTTCGGGGACCATGAGATTCGATCCAAACAGCAAGTTGACGGTGGTCGTCAAGGAGATGGCAAGTCCAGAAGCGTCCGCGGTCACTACATGGGAAGTCCCTGGGGTCTCCAGAGACTCAATGCCCGAAGGATCATAAGCCGAGATATTCAGAGTGTGAGAGTCCGAGATCTTGCTCCTGATTTCGGCTGCCGTCCGTGCATTGAGCATCTCCGACTGATACGCCGAGATATTCTTCACAAAAGATGGGTCACCCAGATTTGTTCTCTCGCCATAACCAAACCTGATGGCTTCGTCCATCCTATGAGTGCTGAGGTTAACCATGCCGTTGGCGTAAAAGTCGGTATATCCTTCCAATGTCTTCATGACAGATAACGCCACTTCTCCTGAGCTTGGAGCACTACAGCTGAACATACGATAACCGCGATACGTGATGTTCGCCGGAGGTCGGATTGCTGCCGTGTAGTTCTGCAAATCTTCGACCGTCATGGTTCCGTTTTGTGCTTGCAATGCGGCAATGGTCGCCTCTGCGATCGGGCCGTTGTAGAATGCATCTGGCCCTTTATTTGCGATGGTCTCCAACGTGTCGGCGTACCTCTTGCGCGTGATGGTGTCACCTAGTCCCACGAGCGTCCCATTGGGTGCGAAGTCAATGGCCCAGTTGGGGTCATCAACCAAGAAGTTTGGTACAAGAGCGGATGCATTGGCCGACTTCATGTAGCGAACGAGATCTTGAGTCACCGGCCACCCATATCTTGCGGTCTTGATGGCTCCTGCCATCACCGTCTTCCATGGAAGCTTGCCATAGTTGTCGTGTAAGTGCGCCAGTCCTCTAACTTCTCCAGGCACTCCGCTAGATCACGGTCAGCGGGATTGCCTGGTGTTGTTGCGGGAAAACGTACCTAGCTAACCCTCCAAAGATGCTAGCATTGGTATTATTGTTGTACATGTCCTCAAAAGCGGCAGCAGGAGCAGTTTCCCTGAAGTCAATAAATTCATAGCTTCCATTGGAGCCACGAACAAGCATGAACCCGCCGCCACCAATCCCACTATGATAGCAGCCGATAACGCCTATGCAGAAGACTGTGCCAACGAGCTGAAATTCTGTCAGTCATATCTTGTAGGGACCGGGAGACTGGTACTCACGGCATCCGCAGCATTTCCACCTTGTCGAAGAAGGTCGATACCAATATTGCTGCAGATACTACTTTCACTGGCCACGGCACCTAAAGAGTCGGGCGCATATTGCTGCGCAACCCTCGGGAAGGGATTTGCGGCAGCCTGATTAAAGAGTGGTGGCAGGGCCAAGGCACAAGCAAGCTGCAGCAGAGACAACATGGTGAATATGAAGACTGAGGCTCTTGTGAAAGCAGGAGAGACGAGACTGGATAGCGACCAAAGAATGGACGGAGCCATTTTGCCCGGCGAGAGCTCAAGGAGCTCGGCAATATGCAGCTCGCACCTCGTAGGTCAGGACGCCCAGGCACAGAGGCATGTAGCAAGCCACGCAGGGATGCAGACAGATTAGCGGTCACCTGCGATGACGCAAGAGGAAGGTCGAGGGCTTTGAAGCCAGGATGTTGGCTGGTTGGTATGGTGCTTAGCGTGCTTGATCCCGTCGCGGGGTCGATCTTTGGAGAAGTTTGATCAAGGAGGGTTGCAAAAGAGAGTCTTTAGTGGCATCTAGTTCAGGATAGAAACAACGAGAAATGGAAAAGAGAGGATTGGCATTCGAAATGAGATGCTGGGGACGACGAGACTCACCGTATCACCGGACGGAGTCTCTGTATGAAATGATCGAAGCCATTTATCAGCCAAAAAATACCCGAGGATATTGTATTGTACAATATCTTGCTACTCGGTAGATAAGAGGATTGATAAGGAGGAGGGTGGTAATGTATTGTGCTCTTTGAAGCAGAGACGGACAATTTGCGGCGGAGTTGAGCGTCGATGCAATACGAGTACAACTACGACTACGAGCTTGGTATGCCTAGGTACCTAGATATTATTACTAAAGAACAGAACAATGTATCACCTCTTCCCATTTCTTTCTGTCGATTTGAATGCCTACTGCATCTGAGATAGTCAAGATCCCGTCCTTACATTCTTCTACTCGTAGTATGCACAGTCGAGAATATTTGCGTGCGGCGCACTGTACCGCTTCTGGTAATAGCGAGCATGGTCAGGATTGGGTGGTGTTGGCAGATTTCTTTCGGGCGAACGTATTTTACTCTGTACGAACACACATCCAACTTTTTTTTTGGTTTTGAGTTATATTTCCCTTGCAGCCAGTTTGTAATGTTTACTGTAGTCTTTCGGCACGAGTACTTTGACACTTATTGGCTCCAAATGTGATGCTTGAGATATGTACGGAGTACCTCGATGGTCTGTCCAGTACGGAGTATCCGTACAATAATGTTCAATCGGGGATTTTTGTGATGATTTGACGAGTGGACTTAATGATTGCCGTCTTAGCCGAGACGCCCGCTCAATGATGTCAATGGCGCAGATTCGTCGTCCTCTGTCTGTCTTTAGCTGGTTCGTTGACGGTCCAGAACATTTGATCGACATTCAGATTGATCTAAAATCCATTAACCTGGGCTGACAGCAGGGGCTGCGACACACAACGACTGGGTAATTACCTGGGCAATACCAATCATCATGATGAGTATGGAGTACGGAATAGGTACCTTTATGTACCCTTGCATGCGCATACCAGTCAATACGAGCACAACAGACCTTTCCCAACAATCAAGCAAACAAGTGTCAGCTCCCTTCTGGCAGTACCAAACCATATCTGTGAAACGTGAAACGAGTCATGGTAGAGGCTGAATATGGCACCAAGTACTCCGGATCCTTACAGTACAGAGAACGAATGTCTTTCATTTTTTTTATCGAAGGTGGTGGCCCATTTGTCCCTCCATACTGCCTATCCTTACTCCGTAATCCCTCAATGATCTCGAGTTCTAGGCCACCTCAAACGGGGCCCATCAGGCCAAAATGTTGTCCCATCTTCTCCTTGTTCGCCAGAAAACCCCACGAGCCATGGTTAATTATCAATCTGACCGATTCAGTCCTGCGAATAGCATCAAAGTCACTCCCACCCTGTCATCGCTAAGTTTGACTCCTGTCACTCTCGGGGCACGGACACCTCCTCCAACGGTTCTTTTTGCAAGGGTAACTCGTACAGTACTGACTGTACAGTAACCCTGATTTGTAACCCTTTTTGCGGTGGCGGAGAAGTCATCCGGTGTCTGTTACCAAAATACTATACTCCTCGTACGTGCTACGAGTATGTAACTCGTAAAAGGTGTGGACAGGGTCCATGCAGCATCATTCTGGATTCAGAGGTCCATATCCGTACTCCCGTAGGTAATCATTCATCAGCTTTATGGGTGCTTTCAGTTCTTCGATCTGCTGCATCCACTTTTACTGTTCTTGTACAATAGGTACTTGTACTCGTAGTCGCACAAGCATCGGCACATGGGACGGACCCATCATTCCACGAAAGATCCAAAAGATAAATTTGGTTTCATACGCCGTACAATACGAGTACAGGGATCCGAACTACTGCAACTATTGTACAGTAACTTCGCCGTATATTGTAGTCAAACCCCTGCGCACCGGCCACCAAACCATACCGCAAGCCCCCCCCACAAGGCCTACTTACATCTTCCGGCCAAACGTCAAACTTGTTGCCCATCTGCATCGCTGTCTGCCACAATCTTCACCGTGTCTTCGCTTCCTTACGCCTCGACGATCTGTTAGACTGGGTTAGCCGAAAAGAGGTCCCCTTGTCATCATCCCGCCAATCGCTAAGAAAAAGTACGGAGTACAGTACTTCACTTTCCACAATTTCTGGCCCTCTCAGATCCGGCCTCCACTAGCATTTCTCTCGCCGCCATTCATATCAAGAGCATCTTCTCGTCGTTTACTTGTTCCCTGCATACTTTTCATCCGTTACCCGATATTCAAGATCTCGCAGTCGTGAGTAGCTCGAGGTGGTCAAGACGTATAGTGAGGGATGCTTTGGTCGGTGTTGAACGGAACAACCCACCAAAATCCCGCGACAAGACACCACATAGAACGAGAAGACGAAATGCCACGCGAATGACCCGTCCTTACATGATACAATTCATCTCACATCATCACAAGAGTCAAGAGGAGGGCCGCAGATATCCTGGGAATGGACAAACCTGTCAGCGACAAACCCTCGGATTCTATCCTGGAGCGCCAGTCGCTATGCCTCCCCAGCCTCGAACCAGGTGTTTCCTTGCACCACGGAGAAACGGGCTTCGTCGAGAACCTATCCAGGCATTTTGCTTCCGCCGAAAACAATGCTGCGGAGAAATTGGTCTCCCTGAAACAAGAGCTGAGGGCTGCTGATACCGAGACCTTCTGGAAAAGATTGATGGAAGGAATGACCGATATCTGCCAGGCTCAATATGGATTTGTCGCCAAACGGATCTTGACCGACGATGAGCATTCTGCCGTGGAGATGCCACCGTTGGGTGAACCTGGCTCGTGTCTTTTGGGCGTCGCTTTTTACTACAATGACGGCGACCAACACAAGGCCATGCATCGAGATTACAAATACCTAGCATGCGGCACTCCTTGTGGCTACATGAAACACGACAAGGTCTTTCTCATCCCCGAGCAGATGAGCTCATTCATCACGCACAACCCCAACACATTTCCCTTTCCTGCAGAGGGATACATGGGTGTACCGCTGTTTGCCGATGGGAAATGTTTTGCCCATTTCGGCATGATGTGGACACAGGATGGTCTAGACAAACGCGAGAATTCCTGGGGCTACATTGAGCTTCTTCTCCATTCCTTGGAGGACCTCATCACTCAGCGCCTGGTGGCCGGCGAAGGATTTGCTAAGCCCCAAATCACAAACATGCCACGATCGAATCCGGTAATCCCACGACAGGCTGTAACAGCCACGACACAGTCCTTGAAGCCGTATGCCAAAAGCCTATCTCACGAATTGAGAACGCCAATGCAAGGCGTGGTGGGAATGCTCGATGTCATGCACGCGACCGTGCAAGAACAGATAGAAGGTCTCTCCAGTCCCAGCATGCGTCGCATCTTCCAGACTTTGAAGGAGAACATTGAAACGGTCCAGGACAGTTCCAAACGAGCGGTGGAAGCCGCCGACAACGTGGTCCATGCATATGATATGAATATGGAAATCCCAGACACTCCTATGAACGAGAACGACTCTCCGGTCGCTACTGCCACCACCAACGGAGGCTACTTCGACTACAAACCTGCAAGGCTGATAGAAGGGAGTGACATCCATGTGAATCACTCTTACAAGCGCCGACGCAGCAGTCCCACTGCGTGGCATTTTGGGAATGCTTCGAAGATCCGTCAGTTGAGTCGTTCGTCTCACATTGAAGTTTCACCCAAAAGCACGACTTCACATCCAGCCAACTCCATAACACCATATACCGCGGCCTCTTCCGACGACCGCTTACCGACTATCTTCAGCCCAGTGCCTGACGGGGTCACACCTAGTGACCTCAACACTCCGTCTACGAAAATGTCCCTGGACAGTGATGCATTTCCCACTCCTGGGCTCAAAAACTGCAAGATTCGCGAACTAATTCCCATGGTGATCCATGAATCTCTCAGGGTAGGCGGTCGTCCCGATTCTGCTATTGGAGAGCCAATCGACAATGGCGAGAGAATTGCTGTCAGGTCGCGATATTCGAACGGCGACATCTCACAGAAAATGATTGAGTGGACGGTTGCGGAAGATGTGCCCGAAACCCTGCTTGCGGATGAAAGAGATCTAGCCAAACTCGTGTCTGCAGTCTTTCTCAATGCCGTAAAGTTCACCGAAGAAGGCTTCATCACAATGTCAATACGGTTGTCCAGCAACCAACGCTATCTATCCATAACCGTCAAAGACACCGGTGATGGGATCCCTGAGGACTTCCAACCGGAGCTCTTCAAGCCTTTCTCTCGGGAAGACGATTCTTTGACCCGATCGAAAGAGGGCTTAGGACTTGGGTTATTAGTGGCGAAAGGACTGGCCAGGCGTCTTGGTGGAGATATCACACTTGTCAGGTCGGAAGTGTCAGGCCCTTTTCGTGGTTCTGAGTTCGAGATCAAGATACCTTTGGAACCAGGTGAATCGTCTAGTCGGGTCAGTACGCCGAGAAGCAAGACCCCAGAGTTCCTAAAGAGCCAATCTCGTCCAGCCACGGTCCTGCCAACTCCAGACCGAAGCTGCAGACGGCAATCAGAGCATCTGAATGGACAACCCAAGTCTCCCGACACCTCTACCGGTTTCACTCTCATGCCAGTACCAAAATTCAATGACGACAATACAGCAGCTTCAAGCCCTCGCAAGAAGTCAGCGGGGCCTCGTCTACCACTCCGAACTGAATCTTATGATCGGCACCTTGCCCAGAAGCATCCGCTGACATTCCTCGTTGCTGAGGACAACAAGATCAACCGAAAACTCCTGGTCAGTATGCTTGGGAAATTGGGGTACAAAGATGTCCATGAAGCATTCGATGGCAAGGAGGCAGTCAGGATCATGAAAGAATTGCATGACTCGGCGAAAAATGGTCGACCGATTCCGAATCATAAGAAGAAGAGCGTCGACGTCATCCTAATGGATCTTTGGATGCCGGAAATGGATGGTTATGAGGCCACTGAGCACATACTGGCCATGTTTCAGAACCCCGATCCATCGAAAGTGGACGCCGCCACTGCACCAATCGTGCTCGCCGTCAGCGCTGATGTTACGGACGAAGCCATCAACCGAGCCACGCGCACAGGTATGGAAGGATTCATGACAAAGCCATACAAACTAATGGATTTACAAAAATTGATTGTGGAATTCTGCATTCGAAGCAATACAAAAGCCTAGATGTCCACTTGGGTTGGGATCAATTGAAAGACTCCTTCTGGGCAGGGCTTCAGACGCGTTTCACCGTTTTTCTGTACATACTATATTGATTGCTAGCGAGACTCAGATATTACGACCATCCATGAGCCATAAAAATACTAAATGAGATACCCAATTATCAGAGTTGCGATGCAAAGATCTTTAATATGTCATGTGTAAGTCGTCAGTCACATGGGTCGGCTGCTGAAGGAAACAAAATGAAGCACTGAGAGACCCAAGGCCTGTAAGACTTGTTCAAAGTAGTACGAGTAGATGCTTCGAGCCGCGAACTTGCCGAAGTACCGCCGACTCATGTGCTTCACAGCTTCCTCATTTCCCTTCGATTCTGTCAGGCTGTTCACCATCCTCTGACCAACGCCGCACCTCGTCTCATCCACAACACACCGTGGGACCTTCTTCAACAGAATCTCCCTGCTGCTCAAAAGAGGTGCCGAGAGGGATCTTCTGCGGAGCCCAGTCGCAAATGAATTTCCCCAGTCCAGCACCGATGAAGATGCAGATGATGATGTACCCATTGTAGTACATGGCCAGCAACATGATGATGTAGGCGACTCCGAAGGTGACCGCGTGCAGTACTGCTCGGATGAGCTGCTGTATGGGAGATGGTCGGAAGACGACGACTCGAGGCGCCGGTCGACATCCTCCGACGAGGGTAGTCTGGTCCTTGGTTGCATCTTGTGTGACCACGCTTCGTTGGAATTGGCGCAAGATTGCCATGTCGTACTCTTTGCTGACCCTTCTCAGGAGTTCCAGACTGATCACGAGGAACACCACACCGATACAAGACGCTGCAAACATGCCCTTGCTGGTGATGTGCCAGCTACTCGAGAGGAAGCCTGCAAGCATGTTAGACCTGGGTGTGTCTGTCCGAGGATCGTGATACGAATACTAACATGCGTCTATCGTGTACCAATTCCAAAGCATCTATGAACCCTTTCAGCATCCCTGTCTGTTCGGGTCTTGGACGAATGGAAAGGTAACTCACGTTGATTTTACACTTGCCTCCCATACTCATTGAGCTCATCGCGGTGGACGTGGCTGATGCTGCCGCTGCGGTTCCTGTGGCGGTTGACATGGTCATGCTGCCCATGCTGCCCATGCCGGACATGGTCGAAGTCATTGTCATCGAGCCGTCCATTCTGATGTGTGATTGTGTGAGATGGTCAGGCCGGGATATGACAGATGTTTGTGAGATTGCCCGGATTCTACGCTCCTTACAAAGTCAAGATATCTACGACGAAGGGGTGATCGTCCAGAGCTTTTAACATCGACGCCTATGTACATTTTTAGGGTGCATCCTTGTTTTTTTCATGCTCATGGCGTGATGGGGCCAACCGACTTCGACAGCTATCGCCCGTCGGGTTCTATGGCTTGACAGCAGACCACAGCAAAGTTCGCCTTTTCTGGCCTGTGAAAAAACCTTCTCTCTGCACTATCATTCGTCTTGATCTGGCAGTTCTATCCATTCTCAGTAAGGGGCCGGTGGATTGTGCTGCAGGAAAACGTGCTCAACCAGCTCGGAAATCTGCTCATGGGTCTTGGCAACTTTACTTCAAGCCTCTCACTTTTCAACTTTGATGTCTTGGAACAATCCATGTACATTAGTCCAGAGTATCGAGCACGTTCGAGCACATTTGCAACTCCTCTCGATGGCACAGGTCGTGGGGCCGACAAGATGTTGGCCAGGCCAAGGCGACAGGGGGCTACACGAAAGACAGCGTCCCACATGTCCAGAGGTGTATTGTAGACTCACTATACTTGACCTCGCTTCAACGGTCGCGATTTCATCCTGAAGTTCATTGTCGTCTGGAGCATTCGTTTGAGAAATTGGTATACTTCTTCCTTCAACCGCAACCATGTTGGACCCAAGGCATATTCAGAATATGAGCGACGCCAAAACCCTCCAGCACCATTGGGGTTACGCGGACAGAGCCGTGCCTTGTACCAATGATGCAGGTTCGTGCAGCTATCTAGACAGTGTGTATCACTCCCACGACCTGGGTATGCTGTATTGTGGTATTCTTTGGGCAACCATTCTGGGAATCTTCTTTATCTGGGCCGTGGCGCGGCGCCTCTCATCAGCGTCGCAGAAGTCACCAAACACGGTACGCCGCGTTCAGAGGACAGTTGCCTCGTTCAGTCGCCATTATCTACTTCCGGACTGCCTCAGGACTTTGTTTGGACGGGTCACTCGGCTCCAGGTTCTGGTCTTGTTTATCTTGACAGTATATCTGACGATATGGACATTCGTCGGTATCACCTACAAAACATGGGTTACCCCGGTGAAGAACATGCCTGGAGTCTACAATACACGCACTGGCGTAGGTCCGTGGGCGGATCGAGTTGGCGTGCTCGCCTATGCCTTGATGCCATTTTCAATACTGTTATCTTCTCGGGAATCCCTCCTTTCTCTAACGACGGGCATTCCATACCAACATTTCAACTTCTTGCACCGATGGCTCGGTTATATCATATATGTTCAGTCTGCACTACACACCATTGGATGGTGTGTCGTCGAAATGAGACTATACCAACCGCAACCGGAGACCGGTCTCGAATGGATACAGCAACGATACATGATTTGGGGGGTGGTGGCGATGTTCTTGTTGACCATCATCCTCATCTCGAGCACGCCATGGGCCATTCGACAGACTGGCTATGAGTTCTTTCGCAAGTCACATTACGTCGTCGCAATGCTTTTTGTCGGAGCTTGCTGGGGACACTGGTCAAAGCTCAATTGTTACCTCATATCCTCACTCATTGTATGGCTTGTTGACCGCGGCATACGACTGGCTAGGACGGGCTTGTTGCATTATAACTACGTCGAGGGTGGCAGAATGCGATTTAGAAGTGTCACAGCTCACATATCTCGATTTTCTGACGACATCAATGGTGATGTGTTGCGTCTCGACTTCGTACATCCTCAGAGTGCCTGGGCTGTCGGCGCACACTTCTATCTTTGCTTCCCTGAAGTGAGTATATGGCAGGCGCACCCATTCACGTCCATCGGCGAAGCTAGTGGCAAGTCCGGGTGTCAGTCCCACACGTATATCATCAGGGCTAAGAAAGGCGCAACCAAAACTCTAGCAACCCTATCTGCAAACCAGGAAGCATCCACCAGCGAGGGACAGAAGGACGCCAATATGGTGGCCTCGACCACGCCAGTAATATTGACCGGTCCCTATGGAGACTCAATCACCCGCCACTTGTTGCCGGACACAAACGTTCTTTGCGTCGCAGGCGGCACTGGTGTGACTTTTGTCCTACCGGTACTATTCGATGTCATCCAACAGCCTCCCCAGCCCGATCGGAAAATCGAGTTGATCTGGGCGATCCGAAGGAAGGACGATTTGGCATGGATCAACGCAGAGTTGAGAGCGTTGCAAGAACGTGGGCGGAGTCACCATCTGAAAATTCGCATCCATGTCACCAGAGAGACTGGTCAGTCCGAAACCGACACTGAAATCCTCGACGCGTATGCAAACGCTCCGCGCACGAAAGGCGCAACAGACATCACCTCAGCTAGGATCTCGTCAGAAAAGGCCGGCGCAGTAGACCTTACAGTCCAGCACCCCTCCGATGTAGAAAGTGCACAATCGAGGCATCCCGATCTCGATTCCCTCGTCCGCGACTTTGTAGAGACGACAGTGTGCGGAACGACGTCGGTATTTGCGAGCGGACCTGGCGGCATGGTGTCGGAACTGCGAAGGATTGTCGCTGGTTGCAACTCGGGCAAGAAGGTCTGGGAGAGAAATGAGCGATACGATGTGAGACTTGTTTGTGATGATCGGCTAGAATGGTAATAAGTTGGTCTGGGATGGTCGCGACATTTCACTTCATTGCAGATGGTTCAATTAGAGACAGTCTCAATCGTCATCCAGATTAGTCCCTGTGATCCAATTTGGTCTGTGACGTGATGTTGTAACTAATCCATCGTGAGCCAATGAGGAGTAAATATGTACGATAAATATTCGCCTCTTCTCTTATCTCAATTAGGCATCCTCGTTTTCTTCTCAGCCTTGCAAGTAAATGCCACTTATCTTATTGACTGGTGACTGAATCTTCAACACTGTGCTCCTCAGTATCTGTACGGACATCACTGACCATCTACCTAAAATACCTCGGACGACAACTTGTTTGGCAAACAGGAGACTGGGTAACCAACATGCCCACCGCCGTGGATCGGGCTTTACAGTCTCGCGTAAGGTCACCACCTACTCCGGACCTATTCCTGTTTATTACTTTAGTGTCCCCTTTTCTTTCCTTGTTCTCGTTCTGTTCTTCTCCTACAATTACTGACTTCGTCTTTTCCCCTCTAGCGCCTATTCTTCGGTGCGTCTGTCCCTCTTCAGGCTCCCGGCTTTTCTGATATCATCATCGCGCAAACAACAACACACCGTTCGGGGCTTCTTGACGTTTCCCAATTCCCATTACTTCTGCGGTCAATGTGGAACAATGGTTGACTTTCACCAATTGTTCATAGGCTTCGCTGGACTCGTCACCGTCGCATCCTTGTGGAATTTTTGGGGAGGAGAATTGTTCCCTGCCGAGCGCGACCCGAAAGGTGGTACGTTGTTTGCCCCGGTTCACCTAAACAGCCTAGGTACCTCTTTACTGGCTGGTATCTTCTTTCTCGTGCAAAACACAAACTGAACTGTAGACGTGGTTCAGATCCAGAATATTGGACCGAGACAGAACTCAAACGATGGTTGAAGCTGGTCAGTCCAACCAAGGCGAATTCGCTTTTGCTTTTGTGTGATTGAGTATGGAAACTGACTTTGTACAACAGCGGAATCTGGAGCCAGGCACCAAAATGACTAGAGCTCAACTTATTGAACGAGTCAAGGCGAATATGCAGATACAGAAGGATTCATGAATAATGATGTGTTATTGGTGGTGGCAGTCCTATATGAACGTTGGACCATTGCAAGGGAGGGCAGAGTCGCTTTACCAGGTCGGCGTTAGGTCATATGGTATCCTTTGTTCTGTCTGCGGAGGACGTGACGGTTGTTTGGTTGAAAGAGCAATCTTGCCAATGATGCTCCACGTTGCGTTGGGAATGGTAGCTGGTCTACTATTTGCAGGACATAATGTACTTCCGACGGCGCATGGCTAAGGGCGGTGGCCCTGTCTCAAGGGGGTAATTTATATTTGAGTCGAGGTTTGATTTCTACGTCGCAATCAATCTTCATATTTGTCATATGACTACCTAGGTGGCTTCTTGCTTGTCAAGGTTCTACTTATCCTCGCCGATTGAATATTCCAGCAGTAGAGAGAGAGAGCGTCAGCCTTCTATAGACAGCCTTGTAAAGCCTTGCCGCTCCTCAAACTCCAAGCGGGGAAATATTTTTTTTTGGAGCTTCTAGGAAGATCACTCGGACTGCGGACTGATCGTATTCGAACGAACATCTTAGGCTCTGAATACCACGAGCAAATATATCGAACCGGCAGCACCATGCTTGCCCTGGAGCAGCGTGCTCGGAGCTTCTTTCTCCAGTGTCGAGCCTCCGCCGCACGGTGCAAGTACCAATCCTCCTTCGCCATCAATCGATCGTTCCCACGACGCGCTTTCGCAACGGTCGAGCCTCTGCTCGACGACACCGACAAGAAGAAGAAGCCTTACTATGTGACTTCGCCCATCTTCTACGTCAACTCAGGTGAGATTCTCCCCCGCCAGGACTCTGAGCCGTGGGCGTCTTTGGCTAAGCATGTGTGTGTGTGTGTGTGTTGATAAGCTCCTCACGTCGGTCACTTGTACACGCTTGTCCTCACGGACGTACTGAAACGATGGGCGAAACTCTGCGGCGACGAAAGGGCCACGCTCCTGACGGGCACCGACGAGCATGGCATGAAGATACAAAAGGCGGCGCAGCGGGCGAACACTGACGTGAAGCTCTTCTGCGACCGTCACGCGGAGCAGTTCAAGGCGCTCTGCGACGCCGCCAACATCAGCTACGACCGGTTCATCCGGACCACCGACGCCGACCACAAGGGGGTGGTGGAGCACGTCTGGAGCGAGCTCAACCACGGAGGCTACATCTACGAGGCGAGCCACGAGGGGTGGTACTGCGTGAGCGACGAGACCTTCTACCCCGAAACGCAGGTCCAGAGGATCCTCGACCCTTCGACCGGCGACACCAAGATCGTCTCGATGGAGACGGGGAAGGAGGTGGAATGGACCTCGGAGACCAACTACCATTTCAGGTTGTCCGCCTTTCGGGATGCCCTGCTCGAACACTACGCGAAGAACCCGACCACCATCGTCCCCAAACAACGCATGGCGTTGGTGATGAAGGAGATTGAGAGTGGGCTCAGCGACCTCTCCGTATCGAGACCCTCGTCTCGCCTGTCGTGGGGGATTCCGGTGCCCGGCGACGACAGCCAGACGATATACGTGTGGCTGGATGCGCTGTTGAACTACCTGACAATGACCGGCTACCCGTTTGGTGGTCGTGGCGCGGACAAGCCTGGTTCGATGTGGCCGCCCGACTGCCAGGTCATCGGCAAGGACATCATTCGGTTCCACACCATCTACTGGCCCGCTTTCCTGATGGCCCTGAAACTCCCCCTGACCGGGAAGTTTCTGTCCCACGCCCACTGGACGATGAACAACGAAAAGATGTCCAAATCCTCCGGCAACGGGGTCAATCCGTTTCTCGCCATGGACAGGTACGGGGTCGACGCCATAAGGTTCTACATGGCGTACCACGGCGGGATCGTCGATGACGCCATGTACGAGAATTCTCGAGTTGCCGGGACGTACAATCACATCTTGAAGGACGGTTTTGGCAATTTACTCCAGCGAGTATTCAAGAGTAAGCAGTTCAACGTTCAAGAATCCGTCAGGCTCGTCGCGGAAGACGCCAAGGGCTTTTCCGATTTCTTTGCTGCCGAAGACCAGAGTCTCGATGATGGCGACAACGCAGGTGGTGGTGGTGGAGGAGGAGGAGGAGGAGGAGGAGGAGGAGGAGGAGACCTCCAGACGTTAGGCGAAAACATCCGAACCCTCAACAGGCAGTTGGCGGTGGTACGGGAACGGACGGACAAGGCCATGAGGGAACCCAACCCGAGGACGGCGGCTCACCACATCGTCGAGCTGATCAGAAACACCAACAAGTTCTTCCACAACGCGGCCCTCTGGGGCCGTGTGAACAGCACCGACCCCGACGAGCTCCGGCTGTGCCACTACGGCGTCTACGTGAGCGCCGAGTCGATCCGGATCACCGCGATCCTCCTACAGCCGTTCATGCCGGGGCGGATGAAGGTGGCCCTCGACATGATGGAGGTGGAAGACTCCAAGAGGACGTTCGCGCACGCCCGGGTCGGCGCCGACCTGACCTTCGGATGTCCACCCCCTGCACCTGCACCGCCAACTTCGCCCGACGACGACAAGAAGAAGGGGAAGAAGAAAGCAAGGTCGACGGTGCCGCAGTTGTTCCCCATGCTGCTTTCCGACAATTGATTTTTTACCTACCCGGGGACATGTTGATCATCCAGCCCAGCGCGCCCGTCATACGTGCAACATTACAATGTATTATATATTCCGTACATATTTTTGAGATGGCACTGAATACCTGTCATGTATAGTATGTACAAGTATCTTTCATTCTGAACCGAGACTGTACTCGTACATGTCCTGGCTCGGACATCGTGTCTGTCACGATCGCTATTGACATCTTCACCCTTTACGGAGTGGTACATTGGATATTGTTCACAATACAAGCTGCGATGCGCCCTTCAATTCGTCTCTCTCTCTCTCTCTCTCTCTCTCTCTCTCCGATCCTCTTTCCGTCAATGAAATTCAGGAATCACAATAGCCGGGTGCCTTGCCTGAACTTCCACCGGCCCACTGCTGCACCGTGAGCACGGTGGTGTACACGCAACCCGCCACCCCAAAGACACAAACCACATAGTCCAACCCCCGTTGCCACGGACCCCTGGCCACGGCCTTCAAGTGGAGCATGGGAGGGTATATGTAGACGAGCGGGATGCAGGCGAAACTGCCGACGAGCGCGACGAACTTGTCCAAGTCGCCCGCCCCTCCCCAGGCGATCAGCGAGCAGACACAGACCAAAAAGAAGCGGAAAACGTTCTTCTGCCACTTGATGTACGGGTTGTACTTGCCGGACCGCGTGAACAGTTCGTTCTCCATGATGCGGATGGCCGGGAAGAGCTGGAGCGGCGTGCTGAGCAGGATGGCGAGCGAGTATAAAAACTGGACCGCGTTCACCATTTTGCTGTCCTGCGGCAGGTTGAGGATGACGACCGTCTTGGTCTTTGATCCGTAGGCGGCATACGACAACGCGCCGATCGAGGTGAAGAGGACCGTGATGATGACCATGACGATGCCAAGCACTTCGGGGAACTTGTGCGGTTTCTTCATCGACTCTTGGATGGGAATGATAAGCCCAACCCCTTCAAAGGTAAAGATGGCCGTCCCGATGAAGAGTGTCCACGTGGAAGGGTTGAACTGGGTGATGTCGGAGACGCCGCGGTTGAAGACAATGGTCGCAATGTCGTAGTAATACAGATATATCAGTCCCAACATGATGAATGCGTCGGCGATGAGAGCCGTGAAGCCGAGCTTGCCGATTTCTCGAATCAGACTGAGTGGGAGGAAGATGATCAGTTGCATGAGGATCATAAATTTGATGTCAATGAAGCTTTTGCATTTCGAGACCGCCAGAACAAAGGCCTGTAAGTTTTCTGACGTGAAGACCGTGTAGGCCGACACAAAGCCGAGTTGACTGATGACGATGGAGAACAATATCAGAGCTCTCATCCATTTGCCATACAACACACCTCCAATGTCGCCGAAAGACGCTTCAACCACATTGCGCGTGTTGACCAGGAGAATAAAACAGTGAAAACTGAGAAGTGCAACCCCGAGTAAGACTAGGGACGAGAATAGCATGCCGCCGTTGAGAAAAGCGCGGGGAAGGAAGAGAACTCCTGTGCCGACAAATGATTTCAACAGGAGCAATGCAGCGTTGAAGCTGCTGTTAGTGCCTCCTGTCTTTCGTTCTTTATGTCTCCTCTTCCGCAGGCCCCCGGTTCCAGGGGTGAGCAAAGCGCTGTCTTCCCCCGGTTCTCGATCGCTGCCCTCCTCCCAAGCATCGGAAGAGAAGTATTCGTCAGGCTCCAAGACTTCGTCATCTTCCTCAAGTTCTTCACCCGCGAAATGTCCATATAATGTGAGAAATTCGAGAAAGTTATTGGTGAATAGCTGGGGGTTAGGCTTAGATTTGCCATTTGCTTGCGTTCTGATTAAATCCTCCGCTGGCCCAGCAACATTCGAGACTCGATTTGAAGGGTCAGGGCTTTCGGCTGCTCGACGGAGGAAATGTCTGCGGAAACCGCCAGGTACCTTGATGTTTTGAATATCCAATATCTCGCTCTCAGGCTCCGGCCTGGCGTAACTGAAACTCTTGCTTCTTTTTCCACGCCCGAGTTGACTGTCTTCTTGTTCTTCAGCCCATCGATAGACAGCACGTGTTATATCACCACCCTGTAGCCGTAAACTGGAGAACTCTTCCTCATCCATGCCCGCTCCCCGTTCATTGAGGTCCATCCGCAAAGAGCCCTTGTATCTGCTCGACCCTTGATCTGGCTGCACAAGATGTCTTTTCACCACTTCCGCGTCTTCGGTAGGAGCCGGGCTTCCTGCCATATCCCTTCCTTCGAGCAAGGACCCATAATTACTTCTCGGTACCCGATCATGACTGCCCGACACTGCGGCCGCACCAGCTGAAGAATGTCTTGGGGTTGTCTCAAGCATGGGAGGTGTGTGAATACGGGGCGGTGATTTGGACGAAGAGGCAAGGGCTGTAGAGAGAGCAGACTGCCCAGGACCAGGTAACGAGCCGAAATTGTCGAGTTTGGGCAAAACGTTGTCAAGCTTGTCGGAAGCCATCTGCTGAGGAGTCGGAACCTGGCCAACCGGGGGACTGTTGAGACGATGGGACGGGACAGGAGAGGATAGTCTGGCCATCGAGGTATGTCTGGAATGCGTAGAAGGATTGGGAGAGGCCGCCGCTGGGGTGATCGAAGGACTACTACGTCTAGCCCGGATGTCTAGAGGTTTGGGTGCGGGCGAGGCCATGTTGACAGAGATTGTAGACAAGCAGTATGAGAGGCATCCGTCAAGCAGCAGAGATGGAGTACAGAATTAGGCTTGTGAATGCGACATATAAGCGAGTGAGTTTAGATAAAGGAATAAGAAAGAACAGTCAATGGCTTATGGAATATGCAGTATGAATTGTGTGGTAGCGAGATGGACAAAGGAAGCCGACGAGGTCATGGGGGACTGTGGCCCATGATGCTGGTGGCTTTTCGGGCTCCGCCGCTTAAATATTCCTGGCGGACTAACTTGAAGGCCCGAGAGAATGAGGTCTGCCACTCGTAAATGCCCAGGTCACTCTCGGCGACGGCGAATTCTGTCTCATCCTCGTGACTGGATGGCAAAGATCTGGGCCATGCATCAAGGGGACGTACTGTACCTCTTAACCAATCTTTCGCATTCAGTGCCACTCACGGACTATAACAAGCCTCGGAGCCAAGTTTGTTAAGGAAGAAAAAATTTCGCCCAGGCTACGGGAGTCAAAAGTGTCCATCAGTTCCTCATTCCACACGTCACATCTCGTAATAAATTCCACCCGAGCCACGACTGTTGCAACTTTACAATACGGTTACCTTGGTACAGTACAGGGTATCTATCTTACAAGCATTCGTGGTGTTTGTGGTTGAGGACTTTCTGGTAGCACCGTCGACGGCCCGTCACGAAGGTTCTCAAGCTACGACTCTACAAGTAACGACTTGTCCCCACGCGATAAGAGTCCGAGTCTAGATCTCAAAACGCAGATGACAACACTACACACACTGTACGACAACCTCAGATATCGTCTTCTCCAGTCTCGTAATGCCCAATAATTTGCTCAACCTTCAAGCCATGTATTGATGATGGACTGGCATTTCGACAGTGGATTCCATCGCAATCATGGTTGGCACGGGAGGAAAGGAATGGCCGGCCCTGGGACGAGGCACTCTCACACGAAGTCGGCCAACATTCTTAGCACGCACAGCTACCGATGATGCTGCTCAACTGTTACGAAGATCGTCATTTGCTGCTTTATCAGAATCCCGAGGCCAACCACCGGACGATCATGGTGATTCTGTTCCCGATTCTCCTTCGAGGCCCGTACCTGTTCCGTCCGCGGCTTCCAGCCCCTCGATCACTCGTCCCCAAACAGCCTCGTCGACAGGCGTGTATGGGACTTTCGACAATGTTCATAATGTGCAAGAAAGTGGCCGGGCTAATGGGCAAGTTGATCTTGCAGCCTCTATGCCACAGGATCCCTTGACCGGACAGTTGCATTCTGCAAGCACCAAACCTGAGACTCCCACCTCTAACCAAGTGCCTATACTGCCACGAGCGAATGGTGGCACCGACAAGCTGGGTACGTTTTCAGGAGTATTTGTCCCTACGAGTCTGAACGTGTTGAGTATTCTCATGTTCATCCGATTTGGTTTCATTCTGGGCCAAAGCGGTGTTATCGGCATGCTGGGCATGTTGGCCGTCGCTTACTTGATCAATCTCTTGACAACCATGTCTATCTCTGCCGTGGCCTCAAACGGTGTTGTGCGTGGCGGTGGTGCTTACTACCTAATCTCCAGATCCCTGGGCCCTGAGTTTGGTGGAGCTATTGGACTGGTCTCGTATCTTGGATTCGTGTTCAATACTGGCATGAATGCGGCTGGTCTCATCGACTGTCTCTATTATGTCTTTGGGTCTGAATCTGGAGATTGGGCAAATGCTATCCCTGAAGGTCCTTGGTGGCAGTATCTGTTTAGCACAGCGGTCGTGGTGGTTTGCGTCGCCATCTGTCTAGCAGGGAGCTCCATCTTCGCTCGCGCCAGTAATGCTCTTCTCCTCATTCTCTTGCTCGCCACATTCAGCATTCCTCTCTCGGCCCTCGTCATGCATCCATTCTTCGGCAAAAATCACTTTACCCACTTTACCGGATTGAGCATCAAGACTCTGAAAGCAAATCTGTTACCACAGTTCACCAGAGGCGCTGCGGGAAGTCAAGTACGTGGCAAAGAGAACTACCAGGATCTCTTTGGCATTCTCTTCCCAGCTACTGGGGGTATACTAGCTGGGGCCAGCATGTCCGGTGATCTGAAGAATCCCAGCAAGTCTATTCCACGCGGCACCTTGGGCGGACTTGCTCTCACATTCATCTCGTACACCTCGGTCATCATAGCCCTCGCTGCAAGTGTCACGAGAGAATCATTTTACAGGAACGTGAACGTAGTTCAGGACACGAACGTGTCCGGTGCGCTCATTCTTGTGGGTGAGATTGCTACAACCTTTTTCAGCGTCTTGATGGGCATTATCGGTCCTGCCAAACAGCTCCAGGCCATTGCCCGTGACAGCGTCTTCCCAGGCCTTTCGATATTCGGTCAAGGGAGTCGGAAATCTGACGAACCGGTCCTTGCCATCTTCTTCACCTTTATTGTAGCACAACTTACTCTTGTTCTTGACATCAATAGGATTGCGTCTCTGATTACGATGACTTATCTAATGTGAGTTTTCTACATTCAATCCTTGTCCACAGCTGACCACCTTTAGGACATTCTTTGCTCTTAATGTTGCCACATTCCTCCTACGAATTGGTTCGGCTCCTAACTTCCGACCGTCTTTCCATTATTTTAGCTGGTGGACGGCAGCGGCAGGTGCCGTCATGTGCGTCGCCAGTATGTTTTTTGTTGATGGACTCTCTGCTTCAGGCTCAATCGCCATCCTCCTGATCCTGATTGTGATCATTCATTACACCACAATCCCAAAACCTTGGGGCTCAATTTCCGAAGTACTTATTTACCATCAGGTGAGGAAGTATTTGTTACGGCTGAAATCAGAACATGTCAAGTTTTGGCGTCCTCAGGTACTCCTCTTCGTGAACGACCCTAGAAGAGGATACAAACTCATTCAGTTTTGCAATTCCCTGAAGAAGGGGGCACTTTTCATCATTGGCCATGTGATTGTCACTCAAAACTTTGGTGACTCTGTACCCGAAGCTCGACGCCAACAAGCCGCTTGGAACAAATTCATCGACTTTTCCAAGATCAAAGCCTTCGTCAATGTCGCTATCTCGCCTTCTATTGAGTGGGGGGCGAGAAACATTTTCCTGTCGGCGGGTCTGGGAGGTATGCGGCCCAATATTGTTGTTTTCGGCTTCTACAACATACAACAATTCCGCGCAGAACAACCATTAGTTGATGTTCCCAGCCCTCCTCCAGAGAGGAAACACAGTTCACTCAAAAGGCGAAGGACGAGCAAGAGTATGATGAAAGGAGAGCTTCCTACAGATTCATGCTATGTCGAGAAACGAACCGATGTCCAGAGCTACGTTATGGTGCTAGAAGACATGATATTAAAGCTCAAGACAAACGTGGCTGTCGCCGTTGGCTTCGGAGAGCTGGAATTACCCAAAGCCCCAGAAGGGGTTACGAAGAAATTTATCGACCTTTGGCCGATTCAGATGTCGGCTGAGATTACCTCCGAGGCGGATGGCCAATCTCGAAATGTCCTCACGACAAATTTTGACACCTATACACTTATCCTCCAACTTGGCTGCATATTACACACTGTGCCTTCATGGAAGCGCGCCTTCAAACTCCGAGTCGCGGTTTTTGTCGAATACGAATCTGACGTGGAAGACGAGAGGTCACGCGTTACATCTCTGCTCGAAAACCTTCGCATTCAAGCGGAGGTGCTCGTCTTCTGGTTGGCTTGTGGTAGTGTGAAATCTTACAACTTTATCGTAAATGGTCAAGACGTGGACGATGAAACCCGTGATCAGGCTGATAAGGTGTTGGAAGATGAAACATGGTGGCGTGAGCTTCAAACACTCCGCGGTCACTCCCAATCCGGCGATATCAGTGCTGCCGACGTGCTCTCGATGACAGAGGATGTCGAGTGGCCCAATTCTTCTTTCCAAGGAAGAAGAGAAGCTTCTATGGTTCGTTTTGAAGGCTTGCGGAAGCTGCTTAATCGACCCAGGAGGAAGTCTTCGCTGGGGAACTTGTCCAATCTAGGCATTAGCCTCTCCATGCGGACTTCACGCCTTGATGATGATATGCTTAGTCGGCACGCTTCTCACCCTAGCGACTCTGAAGGGTCAAGTTCCTCGAGTGAGGAAGATGATGAGAATTACGAAGATGAAGACAACTATGAGGCCTCCGCAGCAAGCTCCTCTGAGGAGGAGATGCTGCTTCACGAGTCGGATTCCGCCGATTTAAGAACTTCAAGCAAAGCCAAAAGTTCCTCGAAAAAGAGCAGCCTAGCAAGTTCTAAAAGATCCAAGAGGAAACATAAGAAACCTAGACACCAAGGTGCGTCCGAGTCAACATCTTCGCCATCTCAATTGCAGCCTCTAGATGGGAAACTCATGGGTGACACAAATGAAGACCAACGTGGGCGCAGTCCGGCTGCGATGGCCGGCTTCGCTCCCTCGCCCATGTCTACGAACACTCTACAGGTTTCCAGCTCGAAGCGTGGCACGTCGCCAAATTTCACATCTTCGCCAGTGCCTCTGACGCGGCTGGCAAGCGAGGAGGGAGTCGGGCCGTCCATTATGTTTGCTGATGAACCTCATCCTCGACGGCAGACGGTGGACGAAACTGAGCCAGATACCGGTCGCTCAATCTACCAGCGGACTATAGACGACAGTGCCCGGCCCCGGCCTCCGTCTGGGTTTCCGTCAGCTGCCTCTATTCCATTGTCCTTTAACGATTTGCCAAGTCGGGCACAGCACCTGATATTGAATGAATTGATATCGCAGAATAGCGAAGATACCGCGGTGATATTTACAACACTCCCAGCGCCGGTTGACGGTACATACAAGAGTGAAGTTGACAGTCTTGGCTATATCAGCAATCTGGAAGTCTTGGTCGGTGGATTGCCGCCAACGCTTCTTGTACACAGTAACAGTATGACCGTTACCACCAATTTATAAGGTGGAAAGGAAGTCATCAGCCGCGGATGACGAGACCGCGAGTACTGTACTAGTACTGGTCGAACATAGATCCATCAATTGGCTGCTCAATGTAGGCAGCCCATATAAAGACAAGTTCGTAAATCCTTCTCTTCCCAAGGAAATAGTGTCGGTCGTCCTCCTCCTGTGGGCATACACATTCATGCGCAGTGCTCCTACACTTCCTGAAGGTGTACTGCCGCCTTGGAGACATGCTTAAACATGAATTTGATTGATCTTGTAAATTTACAAACCCGAGACAAGGACCGGGGAAATGGCAGCTCCGGACCTCTAGTGTCTTTCCACCTTGTTGAACCACCGGGCGTTCTTGGTCTGACTCCTTGTGCCTTGCCCACGGACAGGTAAATTCATGGCATGCCTTCTTCCTCTGTACGTGCCGGTATCTCTTAGTCGTTGAATATCTTGGTTTATTTGTCTCCGCAGATGGTTTTCGAGTTTCATGGAGTCGAGATGGGCTGTGAGATCGAGGACTTGGTTCTGGGACAGCTCTCCAACTCGGATCGTATCGTGGAGGTAGAATCTTGACATTATTCGAGCACGAGTGTGAGCTCCAACACCAAAGAACTTTTCCAGGGCACGCTATACAAACAGCACGTCAGCACGAGAATATGGACGTTCATCTATGCTCCGACAAACCTTCAAGAAGCGGTGCTCCGGGAAATTGACCCCTAGGATGAAGACCTCCTCCAAATTAGCAGATATACAATTACGGAGCGGAGAGTAGATAGGCTCACCATGACTCCTTCCCACCTCGCTGCCCTCTCAAAGCTGAATGTTCACTTCGACTTGGGCAATGCACTACCGATATCCGTTGTGAGGAAAGAATTTCGCGTGCTAGGAGTGGCTGCACCCCGAGAACCGGTCGCCGCTTTAACAACGTGCCAGGCCTCTCGACATTGTACTGTCCCCTAGTCAAATATGTGTCCTCCGCAGCTTGTTCTACTATGACCGGTCCTCTCTCCTTGTAACCTCCTCCACCCACACCCATCTTATACCCATGTTCCTCGACATGGCTAACATCCAGCGAGTTGTCATCTCGCTTATGGTCATTTTGACCGCCACTTTCCTTTTCATGGGACAGACTGCGGAAGCAGCCAAAGGTCCCAAAATCACCCACAAGGTCTATTTTGACATCGAGCATGGAGATGAGCCCATGGGACGGATTGTTCTAGGCCTCTACGGCAAGACGGTGCCAAAGGTATGTCGTGTGCCCTTCCTGCCGTATTGCATGTCTAATTTAAACCTTGCAGACCGCCGAAAACTTTCGTGCCCTGGCAACCGGCGAGAAGGGCTTCGGCTATGAAGGCTCGTCTTTCCATCGCGTCATCAAGGATTTCATGATTCAAGGTGGTGATTTCACGAGAGGGGATGGCACAGGTGGCAAGTCGATCTACGGAGACAAGTTTGAAGACGAGAACTTCAAGTTGAAGCACACCAAGAAGGGCCAGTTGAGCATGGCCAACGCTGGAAAGAACACCAACGGATCTCAATTCTTCATCACCACTGCTATTACAAAGTGAGCAGTCTTTCCTGGACCGTGTGTGCAATTCGTGTGACTGATGAAATCTTAGCTGGCTCGATGGCCGTCACGTCGTCTTTGGAGAAGTCCTCGAAGGTTACGACATCGTTGACAAGATTCAGAACGTCGCCAAGGGCGCACAAGATCGACCTACCAAGGCGGTCAAGATTGTGAAGAGCGGAGAGCTCGAGGTGCCCCCGGAAGGTATTCATGCCGAACTTTGAGTTTTGAGGGCCGGTACTGCTCTCCACGTCGCTGTGTCCAGACCGCTTACTGAGGTGTTGTGACAGAGCTTATGGACGACGAAGAAAGTGATGCTACTCCAGGGGCTATGGTCCCTGCGGTCGACGGCCAGCAGTCCACAGAACAGCTTCAGGGAGCATCAGATGCATTCAGCTCAGCCGAGATGATGATCGCTCAACCATACGTTCAGAAGGGTGTGTGCTTCTTCCTCTTGGTAGCAGTTGTATTGTACATCGCGAGAAGACGACAATTGCACAAGTCTTATCTCGACGCTGGCAAGTCCGACGAGAAGAGCATGGCTTAGCCAAATAATGATAAAAACAGTGATGCTTGACCCCAAGTTCCCGTAGACCGTAAAAGCATGAGCACATTCATGACCACGGCAGTCATCTGACTGGTGCTGATAAAATGCACGTGCAAGTACGAATACGGAGTACTGTACGGCGTATGATGCTATCGCCACTACGGAGCAATAAAAATCAAATGCTACTGATAGCCATCCTATTCCAGTATAGCGGCGTCAGGCTACGGAAGACTGTACGAGCCCGGAGAGCAGTTTTTCCAATTCCAATGGGCAAATGCACTACAGCCAAAGCGCTGGTCTACGGAGAACCATTGTACCGACACTTGTCCGGATACGTTGGTCCAGCAATTCGCCGCCCCATGAAAAAAGTCCTGCCTGCGCCTTTTTTTCCAAATGTCTTTTCCGTCTCTTTCACCACCTCACCTTCAAACAATCACATCACACCTCTACTGACAACCATCATTGTCCTTCTTGTTCCTTTGCCTTTCGTTTTACTTTCAGATAGACTTGGAGAGGCGTTTGTGTGTCTCTCTTCTATCTGCGGACACGAAAGCTTTTTAAGCAACAGCAATTCCATCTTCCCACACCGATTAGACGCTATCCTTCATCTCACAAATTCAGCGTCTGGCTAATTTTTTCCCTGTCCTTCCTCGTAAACAGTTTACAACAGCCGCAAAATTCGTTCACCTCCATCAATTTGTGAGTACAAAGTTCCCCTCTGCAGCCGCTGCTTTTCCCGTTAGTCAGCGCTTGAAACAAATCACATTTCTCCTGAGCCTGGTCACTCGAAGAGGGCGTTGGAAATTTCCAGAATTCCAGTTTTCATCGTACAAAGTATCTCCATTTCAGATGGTAGCTAACACATTTTCAATTCAGCAACTTGCAACATCATCACTTTCTCAAAATCCAAGATGGCCGACTCGTTGAATATGAACGGTCTCACTCTAAATGAGTCGAAACACGCTCCGGCTGGCCCCATGGGTGCCGGTGGCCGTACCTACATCCCCCCTCATCTACGTGGCCAGTCTACCCGTGGTCCTCCAATGATGAACATGGATGGTGCTGGTCCTGGTCCTGCACCAGCAGCCGCAGGTCCGGGCTTGAACGGCAGTGCATGGGCAAATAACAACAACGCCACTGGTGGCGGATGGGCCAACGCTCAAGACTTCAAGCCTGCGCCTTCGGCCAACGGTTGGGCAGGACAAGGTGCTCGTCCTTTCAACCCCAATGCCTATGGTGCTCCTGGAGGCGGCCACGGCGGCGGTCACGGTGGCGGCCACGGCGGCGGCTCTGCTCGTGGTTCAGGAGATGGTCAATGGCGAGATGGTCAACACATCCCAGGCCCTGCCAACCCAAAGGTCGAACGTGAATTGTTCGGTCTCCCGAACGACCCGACCAAGGCGCATACTGGTATCAACTTCGCAAACTACGACGACATTCCTGTCGAAGCCAGTGGTCACGACGTTCCAGAACCTGTCAACACTTTCACCAACCCTCCTCTTGATGATCACCTGATCAGCAACATCAAGCTTGCGTCCTACGCGACTCCTACACCGGTCCAGAAGTACTCGATTCCCATCGTCATGGGCGGACGAGATCTCATGGCTTGTGCTCAGACTGGTTCTGGCAAGACGGGTGGTTTCTTGTTCCCCATCCTCTCCCAAGCCTTCCAAACCGGTCCTTCACACGCCCCCGCCACCGGAGGCGGTTTCCGCCAGAGAAAGGCATTTCCTACATCTCTGATTCTTGCTCCCACTCGTGAGCTTGTTTCCCAAATCTACGATGAAGCACGAAAGTTCTCCTACCGTTCCTGGGTCAGACCATGCGTTGTCTACGGCGGTGCTGACATTGGCACTCAACTACGATCTATCGAGCGCGGCTGTGACCTGTTGGTCGCTACTCCTGGTCGTTTGGTCGATCTCATAGAGCGAGGTCGTATCTCCCTGGCCAACATCAAGTATCTGGTTCTCGACGAGGCCGATCGTATGCTGGACATGGGTTTCGAGCCTCAGATCCGCCGCATCGTCGAGGGCGAGGACATGCCCACTGTCCAGAACCGCCAGACTCTCATGTTCTCGGCCACTTTCCCACGAGACATTCAACTGCTGGCACGCGATTTCCTGAAGGACTATGTGTTCTTGTCCGTGGGTCGTGTTGGTTCCACCTCGGAAAACATCACTCAAAAAGTCGAGTATGTTGAGGACAACGACAAGCGCTCTGTCTTGCTCGACATCCTGCACACTCATGCTGGCGGCCTGACCTTGATCTTCGTCGAGACCAAGCGCATGGCTGACACGTTGTCTGACTTCTTGATCAACCAAGGCTTCCCAGCAACTGCTATCCACGGTGACCGCACTCAGCGTGAGCGTGAGCGTGCGCTGGAATTCTTCCGCAACGGTCGCTGCCCCATCATGGTGGCCACGGCTGTTGCTGCTCGTGGTTTGGATATCCCCCACGTCATGCACGTTGTCAACTACGATCTTCCTACTGACATTGACGACTACGTTCACCGCATTGGTCGTACTGGTCGTGCTGGAAACACCGGTTTGGCAACCGCTTTCTTCAACCGGGGCAACCGTGGCATTGTCCGTGAGCTCATTGAACTTCTCAAGGAAGCCCACCAGGAAATTCCCAGCTTCTTGGAAAACATCGCTCGCGAGAGCTCTGGCTTTGGCGGCGGTCGTGGTCGTGGTCGTGGCGGCGGTGGTCGTGGAGGCTCTGCGACTCGGGACATGCGTCGCGTGGGCGGCGGTATGGGCGGTGCTCCTTCATATGGCGGTGGCTTTGGCGGCTCTGGTGGCTATGGTGGCGGCGGCGGCGGCGGCGGTGGTAGCAGTAAGTCCAACACTCTCTCCTCTGTTTGGACCGGAATACTAACGACTTCAGACTACGGTGGGGCTCCCTCATGGGGCGGTTCCGGTGGCGGGGCATATGGCGGCGGATACGGTGGCAGCGGCGGCGGCGGCTCTTATGGCAACCCAGGTGGTGCCAACGGTCCATCTTCTTGGTGGTAAACGGTTCAGGGCGTTCAGTCATTCTCGAACGGTTTACGGCACCAGTTTTCAGCATGATTGTTTTCTTTCTTTTCACTTTCTTCGACATTTGCGCTCTCGGAAGAGTGACCGGGTGGTTGAAGAGCAAACGGCAGGCAGTCCTGCAGCAAGCTTGCTCTTTTGATGACGACCCAGAGCATTTTTCCCGAGACGAGTTTTTATCGGGCACAGCATGATACATGATAGATAGCGTTGGCTTTTCCGATTGATTTCAGATACCCCCAGCATGTCGAACTTCCTCGTGTCAACAGAGGACAGACGATGTGTGCATGAACGACAGACACCACGGCGTCGGTTTGCAACGAAAGAGAGTGGGCGAGCGCATCAGCTCCTCAACACGGCATGGAAGACAGACTCTTGTGAAGCCTCCTTTTCAAAAGAAAGGCTGCACGACCGGACACGGCCTTATGACGAGATTCTTTTTTTCAGCCTTTAACAAAAGTTATCTGCGGGTTCTCTCTCTTTCGAACCTATGGGACATGATCAAAATAGAACTTTATCGACACGAACAATCGCGAGCTTGGGAGGCTGGCGGGAATGGGAAGGGGGAATGATCTGATTTGCAAGACAAAAATAAGGAAGATAATTGCACATCTGCATCTCCCAGGCGTTTTATTCCGCACGGCTTCCATGGAGCTCTCTTGCACACACACAACAAGACTTATTACGAGGAAAAGTCTACGCTGGCTGCATTAGATCAGGCTTGCCAGGCCACACAGTTAGCAATAGAAAAAGTTTTTGATTTGAAGCTGTATGACTTTTGAATTTTTCAACCTGGATTAGACGTGAATTGACACATGTTGCCTGTATGTTTCATCTCATGTGTCTGGTATCAAGTGATACTCTGTGCAGTACTCAGATGATTGCTACTTTGGTATACCTTGTACTCCGTGGTCCCCTGCCCTGGTAAAATAGCTCCGTCCGCGTTGGTGCGGTTCCTCCACCCCCCGGTTCGAGCAAGGCTTTTTTGTCCACCGACCAGCCTTAGCGGCCTCTTTCAGTTTTTCACATCACTATCGCCGCTATTTCCCTTGAACTTAAGTCCGCATCTCTAGGAAGCGATTGACCAGGAACATCACCTCTGGTAATGATGGGTATGAAAAGGGACGGGGGGTTGTCAGCAATTCCCCGTCAGCTGGTACTACGGGGAGACATTGAAAGATTCGGCCGATCAAGGACCAAACCAAATGGACGGTGACGGTTGAGCCTTTTTTTTCTGGTTTTGTTTTGTTCTGGGAAAGGAACCCTGGCGTCGCGGCCGCAGATGGACATTCCAGTTGAAGCAAATAGCAAAAAGCGAAAAGTATGGGCTTGACACCCGGTTGGGAGAAGCACTTTTATCCGATCAACCCTCAACGAGGAAAATGTGGGGGGGTCCGCACGACTCCCATGTACCTCGCTACGGAGTTGTTGTACTAATGATTCCATTTGCCGAAAACGAGAGTCAAGGCTACCCAAGGTAGCTAACTGACGACTGTGTAACTGACGAAACATGGTGTTCATAGCTTCTTCCCTTTTTTGTACCGTGTCAGGTTCGAGGGGGGAGTGGACTTTTCGGACCTAGAGATCTACCACATAAAGTTAGTTGAACCACCTTGTTATTATATACGGAGTGCGTAATTCGTAAATACCTATAAGTATTGAGCACATCTTCCTGTCGATTTTCTCACAACATCAGTGTCTATTCTTCATCCTTCCAACAACAACAGCAGCAGCAGCAATACTTGTCTCTTGCCAAAGTCTTCTTCCCATTTTCTTATCATCTTGACTAGATAACTTCAAATCACCGTCTTCAACCATGTCGGACTTTTTCAAACCAGCTCCCGAGCCCACCACCGAACTCGGTCGGTATAGGGTTCTATCCAGCACCGCCGGAGTCCGAGTTTCTCCCTTGTGTCTCGGTGCCATGTCCATCGGTGACGCTTGGAAATTCATGGGTAACATGAGCAAGGAACAATCTTTCAAACTCTTGGACGCATTCTACGAAGCTGGTGGCAACTTTGTCGATACCGCGGTAAGTGGTTCAGTTCGATGACCTCAAACACTTTCTTTGGAGTGTTTCTACTACTCCGTAAACAACCGACGGAAAGAACTTCAAATCACTGACTTGGGACAACCTCCTCCTCTCAACGAACAGAACAATTATCAGAATGAACAGTCCGAAAAGTGGATTGGAGAATGGATGGCCGAGAGGAAGAACCGAGACATGATGGTCATCGCCACCAAGTAAGTGGTTTCCGAAGTCCAGTGCAGTGAGGTGCTTTCGCATGACGTACCTACCCAATTCCCGGAGGTGTGCTTCTGCTTTTTGGTTTCTGCTCCTCCTGACGTGCTTTGATTCCAGGTACACCACTGCCTACCGTAGTTATGAACTTGGCGCTGGAAAAACCGTCAACTATTCCGGCAATCACAAGAAGAGTTTGTACCTTTCGGTCCACGAATCCCTCAAGAAACTTCAAACCGAGTACATTGACCTTTTGTACGTTCATTGGTGGGTAAGTACATCAAAAACAAAGCCCATCATTCTCTGTTTCGAGTCTTCTTTTTTTTTCTCTTTCTGTTTCATGTCGAAAACTGACACGAACGAAACAGGACTGGACCACTTCGATCGAGGAAGTCATGGACAGCCTCCACATCCTGGTGGAACAGGGCAAGGTTTTGTACCTGGGCATCTCGGACTCGCCGGCCTGGGTGGTGTCGGCGGCCAACACGTACGCCCGGGCGCACGGCAAGACCCCCTTCAGCGTGTACCAGGGCCGGTGGAACGTCATGCTCCGGGACTTTGAGCGGGACATCATCCCCATGGCCCGCCACTTCGGCATGGCCCTGGCCCCCTGGGACGTGATCGGCGGGGGCAAGTTCCAGTCCAAGAAACAACTCGAGGCCCGCAAGCAGCAGGGCGAAGGGCTGCGGAGCATGTTCGGCGGGGGCCAGTCGGCCCAGGAAGAAAAGATCAGCGCCGCCCTCGAAAAGGTCGCGGGCGAGCACGGCCTGGAGAGCCTGTCGACCGTGGCCCTCGCCTACGTCATGCAAAAGACCCCCAACGTCTTCCCCATCATCGGCGGCCGCAAGGTCGAGCACCTCCAGGACAACATCAAGGCCCTCAGCCTCAAGTTGACCGACGACCAGATCAAGTACCTCGAGAGTCAGAGCGCCCTGGACCCCGGCTTCCCCAGCAACTTTATCGGAGAGTCCCCCCGGGCCACCGGCCAGAGTCCCATGACCGTCGCCATGTCGGCCCAGATCGCCTACCCCGTGCCGGAGAGACCTTTTGTCAAGCAGTAAGAGAGAACTACTGAAAAAAGAACAAGGCAGAAAAAAAAGGGGGGGGGAGGGGGTTTGGGGGAGCGTGGGAGAAAGAACAAAGAAAAAAAGATTATACTCGTCTTCAAGAGGGGTGGTGACTCCCCTCCTCAGTGAGTGCATCCTTTACTACTGTGTGTCTTTAGGAAACAGAGAGTGTTCGTAACAAATAGCGTCAAAAATCAAATTTGTCTGGGAAAAATAAAATACCAACCCACCTCTTTTTTCTTTCTCTTCAACGGAATTCCCACTGTCTGCTCCCTTGGGTGTTCAAGCTTTCAGTCTTCCCAAAGGCAAACCGACGATTCACTGACAACGTTGAACCTTGGAAGATCCAGCCTCGTCCTGACTCCACAGAAGCTTGTTGTGAATGTCCTCGCACTACTAACCACGGATCCTTTCTTCTTTTAGGCCTTAATTTTTTCTTTCAAAGTGGTACCAAGGTATCAAAAAGGCGTGCCTTGCGAGTCAACACGCTCGGTGGGGACATTTCTTTTCTTTCTTGTCTCTCTCCAAGCTTTTCCCATCTTATGGTTCAACCGGGGGCCAACTACGTGAAACAAAACAACAAAGTCGCTCAGCAGTTTCCTCCGCAGCCCCCCCCCCATCGTGTATGTACCCAAGGCATGTACTCGAAGACAAAGAAGAGAAGACGAAAAAAGTCTAAACAAAACCCCAACAAGTGGACGAACAACACTTTTCTTTGTTGGCACTGGGCGAAGAGGCTTTGTCGAAACCTATTTTTGAGGAGGAGCGGTTCGAAAAGGAATGGATGATCAAATAAGGACAAAGAACCACGTCCTCGTTGCCTTTTTCTCTTCAAAGCCTGAAATTTGACTCTCTTGAAGATGAGGACCTGGGGAGCCACATGATTCTTTTCTACAACACGATGATGATTGTAGAGATTTTGTGTTTCTTCCAAAATGATGAAAACTCGTTGTTCCTTCACTGCTCTTGACCACGATTTCAACAGATCTCTCATATTCAAACATCATCATCATTACTAGCGACGACCTCGAATAACAAATCGATCGACAAGGCTGGAAACCACGGAGCCGTAACGTCACCCCCAGTCGAAAAGAGAAGGGGAAAAAAAGACGCTCAAACATGTGCACCAGCAGGCAATATATGTTCCTCTGTCAACACGAGGCGACGGCCAAATTCCGCGATACAGTTTGTGACTCGCCTGGCGTTAGAGGCTGCGTCGTAAAGAACGTCAAGATCCAACTCACGGAACCATGCATGAAATGCTCTCTTCGTGGCAGAAAAGCCATGCGCACTCAGGTCCCAGAGCCCGCCTTTGACGATGTCTGGCATGTTCGATCCGTGTGCTTTGTCGATATCGGCTTCCGATCCCTCCACCCTTTCCAAGAACGAAATGCTTCTGATTCCGTGAGACCAGAAACCCCTGCCGAGCCACCCATTCTAGGAAACGGCCAGTCGTTGAATCGAACCCCTTGCAAAAAGAACCCGAGTCTATACAAGCGGATCATGATGCGCTTGACAACCAGGAAAAGGGCCAAAAGTGCATGTCGTGCAAAAGATGATGAAGGCAGCCCGTTCCTGGCGACGGGAATCGAAAGCACAGAACATAGTACTCGTGGGGTCAACAAGAAGGATAGGTGTGAATCTCCCTTCTCAACGAGTGTCCTCGCCGACTCGCACTTTGTCCGCTAATATGTCCGCAGTGTGCTGATGGTTGTATGGAGGTCTGTTTTGAGGATACTCGCCTTCTTCAAGCGGCTGTGAATCCGAAGACGGCCATCACTTCAACCACCTCTTGTCGGTCCTTCCACTTCGATCTCTACAGATTCGTGTCTCGGTGACTTGCCAGCGGCAACAGCACTGCTCTTCGCGCCAGCAGCAGACATTGCCTCCTTTTCATCGTCACCACAACCGCAGTCATAGAAGTCGCCAATGTTGGCGCAGTCAAAGATCGGCTTTCCTTTGCGCTCGTTGACCAAATTGTGTACAAAGCATGCCCAGGCGGCGGCACTGGACCGCGAGGACGTCTGCGGAGGGTATTTTTTGAGGATCTTCTGGAAGTGTTCGGCACACTCGCCGCACGGGTATAGTCGAGCGAAGAGGAAGAGGTAATTTTTCAGGGCGTCCTGTTCATCCTGGGTCGGCGTGTCCGGGAATCGTGCCATGGTGGTGTGCAAGACCTTCCATGCCGCGCGACCGAGTTCGGCTTTCAGCGTCTCATTCCCGAGCTTCCCCATCACATGGTCGCCGTGGACTACTTCTGTGTCCGCCACGGGTACGACATGTTGTGACAGCTTGGGTTTGAGCTTTTCATGAAATTTGTCCGAGTAGGAAAAGGCCGACATATCGCGAGGAGGACTCGCCGTCCATATGACATACCACACAAATAGAGCCACGGCGGAAATGAGGACGATGAAAGGAGGAGGTGCTCGAGGCATGATGGGCGAGACCGTTTTGTCTGCGTTGAACTGTGCTAAAAAACAGAAAGATAAAGAAGCTGAGAGGGAATCAAACAAACATATGGAGAATAGATATTAGATCAATACAGATGAATACGCCAGATTGTCTCACGAGCATCAGAACTCGGATGATTCACTTTTGCGAGGCAGACCACCTTGTCTGGAAATTAAAACATCAGGTGCATGTGCCTTAGTCACCTAAAACAGCATCAACAAAGACCCCTGTTTTGGATGGCGATGCTAAAGCGGCAACGAGTAGCTCTTCCCACCCCAGACTTCCGATCTCGCTGGTCCCTCCGCAAAAAAAAAAGGTGACACTGCTCGCGGAATTTTGACGACGGTTGGAAGTGATACCGGTACTACTTTCTCACTGAAAAGTGAAACCAATCGTAGCAAATAACATCGACGGGTCGCCACGAAGGATTTTGTGCTTACTGCAACAGCGTCTTGGTGGAACAGTATTGGACGTGAAGAACACGAGATACACCACAAAACTTTACCCGAGCATTGACGTTTTTATATTTCTTTTCTTGCCGATTCTTTTCCCTCTCTCACCAGGAAGAAAAAGAAAGACAACAACAACAAGAAGAATATCGGCTTTGACCTGATTTTGTCGGTGTCGCTTCATTCAATCTACGACACCCTCTACTTTTAGAACCCCCCCCCCTAAAAAGGAACACGATCATGGCACCCTTTCCTCCACCTCCCGTTAGCACCATCGGTGAGTCAGTACGACCTTTTTATTCCATTCTTGCCTTCTGACTTGTGACGAGACTGGAGCAATGTCGGCTTCAAAGTCCGCGAGGTCAACGGCCACATCGAGTCCACCTTTCGCTACTCGTCCGGTTCGAACCCGACGTGGAGCAAACCACGCTGGGTCACCTCCCCCCACCTCTCCGTCCACGGCATGGCGCCCGGTCTGAACTACGGCGTGCAGTGTTACGAGGGGATGAAGGCCTTCCGCCAGCCCGACGGCAGCATCACCATCTTCCGCCCCGACCAGAACGCCAAGCGCATGCAGCGGTCCGCCGAGTACATCTCCGTGCCCGCCGTGCCCGAGGACCTGTTCGTGGAGAGCGTCAACCTCGCCGTGGCCCTGAACGCCGAGTTCGTCCCGCCCCACGAGACCGGCGCGGCCATGTACATCCGGCCGTTGCTGTTCGGGTCGAGCGCGCAGCTCGGCCTCAGCCCGCCCGACGAGTACACGTTCGTGGTCTTCGTGATGCCGACGGGCGTCTACCACGGCGTGCACGCGGTCGACGCCCTGATCCTCGAGGACTTTGACCGCGCCGCCCCCGAGGGGACGGGCAGCGCCAAGGTGGGCGGCAACTACGCGCCCGTGCTGCGGCACAGCGAGCGCGCCCGGAACGCGGGCTACGGCATCACGCTGCACCTCGACAGCAAGACCCGGAGCGAGATCGACGAGTTCTCGACCTCGGGCTTCCTCGGCGTGCGCCGGGACGGGGACCGGACCACCGTCGTCGTCCCCGACAGCAAGAACGTCATCAAGTCCGTCACGTCCGAGTCCGCGTGCCAGATCGCCCGGGACGTCTTCGGCTACGCCGTCGAGAGGCGGCGCATCGCCTACGAGGAGCTGCCCGAGTTCAAGGAGGTCATGGCGGCCGGGACCGCGGCCTCGCTGGTCCCCATCAAGAGCATCACCATGAAGTCCCGCGGCGACACCTTCCACTACCCCGTGAACGACAAGCTCGAGCCCGGCCCCGTCTGCACCGAGCTCTTGACCACCCTGAAAGGCATCCAGCAGGGCAAGGTCGAGGATCAGTTTGGCTGGAACTTCACCGTCACTGAGCCTCCGCAGGAGTTTTCCAAGCAAACCACCGCCAACGGTGGTGTCAACGGCGGCGTCGATCAATTACCATAAGAAACGAGCCCTCTAGTATGTTGATGGTACCTCCGTTTTCTTTCTGATAGGTTCGGTATCAAGGGGTATGAACAAAAAGGAAGGTCAGGAAGCCACGGCCTAGACAAAGAACAAGATCTTGAAAAAGGACAAAGCGGATTGTACATATCACTCGTGATGGAGCAAGGAGAATGCCTCTGGAAGACCTAAAATATTATTCAAGCTGCCATTACTAAAATACTTGCACAGCGGATCCCATATGCTGTTCGGGAATCTGTCATGGTAGACTCAAGATCCTGACTCTCAGCCCAATACACCGCATGTTTCCAGCTTGGGTATCAATATCGTGATTCATTAACAGTCGTAGATACATGGATGAAGAAACCAATTTCCTTTTCGGCTTGGCCCTTCACTATGGCATGGGGAGTTGAAAGTCTTCATCATCCAGCTTAGAATTTTCGAAAGGAAAGAAATCCGGCTCGAACAAGTCGTCCACTAAATCTGCATCCATGGACCCGTCCTTTTCAAGCAGTTCATACTCCTTCAGGCGAAACCACATATCACTTTCGATAGGTGGAGATCCATACAGGTCACGGAAATCCTTGGGATGGATCTTGCTTTGGTCGATCTTGGCCGGTTTCTTTACCGCAATAGGCCCTGACCTGTCAACTCCTGTGCCTTTGGGAATAATGGAAGGCGGCTTCTTCGCTTTCGGAAATCCAATGGTGTTCTTAGAGACAGCAGCGTGTGTACTCCGGCTTGGGACAGATGCTGTTGAAGTACTCAAAGGCTTCGGCTTCGTGCTCGGAAGAATGCCCTTTCTCTTCTGCTCTGAGGCTTGGGTCGTCTTCAGGGCGGCAGATGGCAAACGTGGCTGAGGCTCAGAGAGTGCCTCTGCCGCTGACTTGGCTTGCATAGTGTCGACCCTGGATAATTGGGGTCTCTGCCTCTTTGGTCCTGCTGCAATCATAGCATCCACCTGCTTATTTGGGGATTCGGCAGGCATGTCTTTGTATAGTAAAGTTTCCTTGATTCTCTCCTCATCGAGTCGATCCCATTCTTCTCGCTCTTTTTTGAGACGGAGAGAGAGGCCATTCTCATCTTTGGGCGAATTCACGTAAAGCTCTGCGATTTCTCTGGACAATTCTTCCCTGGTCAGTGGAGGAGGGAATTCCTCAGGGCTGAAGTCCAATGGAGGGTCTGGAAGTGCACCTGGTGGAGGTGGCGCATAACCATAGTCTGGTTCATCCTCCTCATCTTGTCTTTCTGTCAATACGTCGGCCTCTGCGGGCTCTGCCCTAGACACGACGATTTTGGACCGGCCGGATCGACGGCCCGTGGAGGGTTTTTGTGCGCTTCGGCCAGGTTTGGTTGTCAAAGGTGCAGCGGCAGGAGTCTTGAATGCAGGGGCTTTCGCGTTGGTAGTTTTAGCTCCGAGGGGTGCCCTATTGCGCGGTGCTTGTTCTCAGTTAGCGAGTGATCAAACATGATCTTTGCGCTCCATACCCAGAGGTGTAACAAATGAGCTCTGGTCCAATTTACTCGGGCCATCTTTGGTCAGACCTCGTTGTCCTTTGAAGGTAAATGGAGCATTTTCATCGTTCTTGGAAGCTCGGAAAGGGGTTTTCAAGTTTCCTGGCGTCTTCGGGTGGAGGCTTCGGATGGTGTGATTCAGAGGCTTCCCTGCTGCTGCGGTCTGACGTGCGTGCACAATGTTCTCTTGATCTCGAGCAGCTAGCATGGTTCGAGACGCCGTATGGCTATTGTCGTTATTTCTGCTGTACAATGTTTGTAGGTTTTTGGCTGAAGGTCGTAGGGAGTTCGCGAGATTATCAACGCGCGAGGCAAGCGAATCGAGATGTTGATCTTGGTTGCCTGCGCAACGAGCACGGAGTAACTGACGAACCCTGCGCGATGGGAAGGACGCCGGCTGGTGGCCTCAACTAAAGGGGTGTCTTAGGTAAGGCAGGTGGCCGCGCCTCTCCCGCCCGGACGCGTAGTTTCGGGCCCTTGAAAAGTGAAACCAGGGCCTAAAAATCACAAACGGTGAAGCCTGGAGTCTCAAACGCGAAGGCTGATTGTCATTGGCCTGCAATTGACAGTCGGTCCCCTTGAATCGTCCCCCTCCATCCCACCTAGAAAGCTGACTCCTGTTGAAATGTGACCGCCTGTTGGTTCTCCTTTCTAAATACACACTACCATTGTATCTGTGCGATCACTTCCCATCAACCAGTTGGCGCAGTTCACATCATCTTGATTTTGAAATTTGGTTCACTTCACTTGGATTTCCCATTAGCAAGCATTCACCATGGATCGTATCAAGGAGGTAAGTCGTGAGCTATTCACTCTACCCTTGACCGCTGCACCTGCCAGTCTTCACTGCGGCATGCAGGCATCACCCAGTCGAGACTGCCACAACAGTCGCCTTTCTGCTTCACTGGCCCGATTCACAATATGTCGGGCATTTGTCTGTCCTTTCCTGTTGCACACCATCCTGCTGTCCCTTACCACACCAACGCCCTGCACCGAGTCCGCCACCATGTCGACCGCATTCGCTAACTTCCAGCAGAAAATGAACACTCTCCGCATTGAGGCGGATGAGAATGCTGCAAAGGCGGAAGAACTCAAAGCGAAAGTCAAGCAGTTGGAGCAAGAGAACCTTCAAAAAGAACAAGAGATCACTTCCCTCACACACCGCAATGGCCTTCTGGAGTCCGAAGTCGAGAAACTAGAAACTGCCATCAAGGATGCCAAAGCTGCGGCTGGTGAAGCCTCGGAACACAGCAATCTCAACGAATCACTCCAGCGGAAACTTCAAGTGCTCGAGGAAGAAGCCGAGGTTGCCGACAAGACCTTGCGAGAGACCAACGAGAAGTAAGATTAAAGACAATGTACGATATTCAAAGATTGGCTAACGGTGGGTGTACAGGCTGCGTCAAACCGATGTCAAGGCGGGCCACTTCGAACGCAAAGTTCAAGCCTTGGAACAAGCACGCGATGAATGGGAGGCCAAATACGAGGAGATGGCCAAGAAGCACGCAGACCTTCAAAAGGAACTCCAAGAATTGGAGCAGAGCATGGGAAATATTTAATTTGGGCGAGCACAGGGTGTTTATGTCTTGTGAAGGGCCACGAAAGATGTTGTCGGCAAGCGGATGGCAGCGCGATGCATAGACAACGACATACCTACGATACCATGGGGCATTCGGTAATTGACCAGCGTTGACAGTTTTGTTGTTTTCAACAGGAATCAACACGTATCATCCACCACCCCGTCGTTCTCGCGCTTGCTTCCGCCCTTTGGACTTTTCTTTGGACCGTGCCGTTCTCCTCTCTGCCTTGCTCTCGTACCGAAAGTTCCTCTTCTTTTTCCGTTTGGGCTTATCTGCGTTATCCTTTGGCTTTTCCTTGGTCCATTTGGGCTTCTTCACACCCGCTACTGGCTCCTGATCTGGTCTTGCGTTCTCCCCGTGTGTTTTGTGGCCCTCGTCTTTGGCTTGTTCGGCCTTGAAAAGACCTTCTCGGCTCACATCCATAGCCTCTACCGTCACAGTGGTGTATTTGTCTTCGTCAATGTACTCTGCTTCATGGTCGATGGGTGTTGGTTGATCGTCCGAGATACCTGACCACTCCTCCTGGTCTGAATTTGCGTGGGGGTCTCCTCCTTCTTCCTCCCCTGAGTCGTCCAGCGCCGTGACCGGCCTCAGCATGGCATTTACTTCTTGGACATGACGCTCCAGGTCCGCCTTTCGCTCTTCTCGCAACTGCGGTCAAAATCCGGTCAGTGTGGATATACGGAGAAACAAATAATTTTGTTCGACAACTGGTAGCACCAAACACACTCACCTTTTTCCGCTCCGCTATCCTCTCCGCCCGGGCCCTCCTCTCCGCGGCCTCTTGCGCGTGCTTCGCCCTCTGCACCTTTCGCTTGTGGAATCCCGTCAAAAAGTCGTGTCGGGCCGTAGGGTCGAAGGTGATTTCCTCGACCACGGTGGGCTCGGTTCGACGGCGCTTCGTCGGTGGTTGCACCATGATGGGGTTTTTTCTTTCTTTGAATTTCTTCGGGGAATTCGGGTCGAGTTGTACGGAGTATCAATCTTTCATGTCGAAAAATTGTCGAATTTGACTATTCTCTCCCCAGCGCAGGGCCACCATAGAACAGCCTGCGCAAAGTCGGAAAACTTGCCAAGGGCGCGAGATTTACTCCGCACAAGTACGGCAGATCATGGGCTCCATTGACGCTTCAATCCGTGAGTATCTGCCCACTTGACCTACTCGACAGGGCACCAAGCGAATCTTTTCACGTTACTCCGTGACCAAGGCATCGAGTACCAACGACTCTCAAACATACCGATTACAATCAACGATGATTTCCATTCGTTAGTAATAAAAACGTCGTCGCAGACACGAGTATCCTCGATCACGACAGTCATCCTTTCTTTTTCATTTTGGAAGACCTCAAACGCCTCGCTATGGACAAGTGAACATGCAACATCACATCTGCTTCAACAACGATCCCACCACTTTCATGCTTTCTGCTTGCCCGCGCGCTCCAACTTCCTCCTCTTCGCTCGCAACTTCTCCGCCTCAAGATCGCGTTTGGCATTTCCGTGTTGCATCTTCTCATACAACTTCCTCTTCTTGTTACTCATCATCATTTTTTGCCGTTCAACCTCCTCATCCTTCTTCGCCTGAGCTGCTTGCCGGGCTTGACGAGCTTTGGTCTTCTGCGCGTCCTCTTTGGATTGACTCGTTGGTGCAGGGACAGGTTTGCCCGAGAGCTCAGCCTCGAGTTCTTTCTGGTACTGTGCTTCGTCACCGAGCTCCGAATCGCCAGATTCATCAGCGGCGTCATCGAAACCACCAAAGGCGTCAGCAGTTTCGAGCTCTTCATCTTCTTCCTCGTCCTCATCTTCCTCATCATCTTCTGATCCCGCAATGTCCATGCCGCCATCTATTTCATCCTCATCTTCCTCGATCTCCTCTACCTCGGAACTTTCATCACCCGCAGCCTCATCGTTATCAACAGCGTCGTCAGCTTCGCCTTCGAGTTCCTGCTCTTCCAAGGTGGCTCTGGGATCGTACTGTCCACCAGTTGGCTTGATCCACGGACTCAGGTGTGGGGGCAATGTTTCACCAGGTGCATAGATATCTGTAGGTAACAGCTTGCCCTCATTCACGCAATCCCAGACCCATTGCGGCTGGACGTAGGTACGACCTGGCATGATGTAGCCTGGCTTGACTACTTGGAGATTCTGATCTTTGTCCGAGCCTTCTTGTCCCTGGAGTGTGCCAAGGGGTTGAGCAGGAGTAGGTCTGTCCACGATTTGGTGTGTGATTCGAGGATCTTTTTCATCATGTGTGAATGCACCCTCTCCGAGAACGGCATCCCAACCGACTCTCTTACATCCAAAAGCTCGTAGTAAAAACTCGACTGGGTGGCGTGGGGCCTCTCGAGAGATAAAGAATGTGCAGTTCGAGAATAATGTTGTAGCAGCATCTCCGGTCATGTCGGGTTGTGGTAGAATGTCTCCTTCAGGTGCGGCTTGTGTAAAGGTATCAATCGTGCCAGCGTCCTGTTGATCTTCCGGCTCCTCATCTTGCTTAGTTTCGTCCTCAGTGCTTGCTTCCTGTGCAGCCTTATCGATCTGTGCCTGTATAGCTTCGGAGTTGCCATTGTGGGAATGACCGTTGGTCAAAGTCTTCTGCTCATCCTGTGTTTCTGCCGTTGCAGTGATGCCACGTCCTTCTAAGGTGAAAGCAGCTAACTCTGCACCTCTCTCGTCGCTGGCTACGTCGAATTTCGGAGGGTAGACAAGACCGACGGATGTGTACAGGCGATAATTGACGAAGCCAAGTAGAGTGCAGTAGAACTCGACGAAGGTGCCCATAATCCGGTAGTCCACATCCTGCGTAACTCTCTGCACGAATTTGTACGGAACAAGCCACATGATGTCTTGGCCTTGGATCGTAGCCTGGTAGTAGATGCCCTTGATCGAGAGGAAAGATTTGCGCAGCGAGTGTGTAGTTATGAGATAGTGTTCAAATTCGTGGCAGAGGCGTTGGCACCGGGAAATGACTCTTGCAGGTACGGCCGTGGTGGACGGAAGATTGGCAAATAGGAAAAGGAGGGACAATGCATCATCGAGATCACGTAGAGCGTCAATGAAAGTAGGGTATCTTTCGCGCACAATGTGGTCAAGCTTGATCTTGGGCATGCCAATCTTTTGTAGGCGCACCGCATCTTGCACTTCGTTGCGGCCCAGTGATCTTGCAATCTTTTTGTCGAGGGCCTTTTGGTCTCGAAATTTGGCTAGGAGGGGTTCGTGGAGGAGATACTGGATGTCTTTGGTATAGTAAAATGTTGTCGAATGAGTGGCAGATTTGTTGGCTTTCTTGATGTTTCGTGGTTCACGAGGATAGATGCCCTTGAAGATACAGAGTCTTCGGAAGTCGGGAAGCGAGATCTGGAGTTTGCGGACGGCTTGCGTTCGAGTGATATAGTTCTTCGCCTGGCCAGCCTGGCCCTTCTTCTTCTGTTTGGCCATGTTTTCAGTTGATTGAGACGAATACTTGGACTGGCGCAATTACTCGAGATGCCTCTGCGGGCTAGAATTTGCGGAAGAAAAAAAGTTCTATGGTCGGGGTAAGATTTTGAGCAGGGAAAGTTTGCCGAGACCAGATTCTCCAACCCCAATCGAGCCACTTTGTCCAGCCTCGAACTGAACTCCTTTTCACTAGGTATTCAAACAAGATCGATGGCATAGACATGACGGTTGTGTTGGATCGCAAGACCATCGGCATATACGCTGGTGCTGTATGCCTCCGACTTTTGGTGTTCTTTGTTTTCCCAGCACTACCCGATTTTCTGAGCACACAGGTCGAAATATCAACACCTGTATCCAGCTTCAAGAGGCTTCAGGAAGGACTGTTCCTTTATCAACATGGCCTCTCACCATATGACGGCGGGGTGTATCACCAAGCACCATTGTTACTGGTGATATTTGAAATACTACCTTCGACCCTTGTTTTTGTCGCCCTCGATGTTCTCAATGCGGTGGCTCTGCAAACAATCGCCAACAACTTACGCATTCCGACTCCTCGATTCGAAAAATTGGATGGCCGTTTGATTGCTGCGGCATACTTGTTCAATCCGTTCACTGTCCTCTCATGTCTGGGAAAGTCTACAAGCATATTTACCAGTGCGGCCATCATTCAAGCGATACTCAATGCTCAGTCAGGAAATGCCATACGAGCGATGTTCGGACTGGCCATGGGCTCATATCTATCAATGTATCCGGCTTTGTTGTTACCACCGACGCTTCTCATGATTCATCATAAGTCAGGGAAAGCTGCACCATTTTCTGTCTCAGTCGTGGCCTTTGGAGGCGCACTGGCAGCTCTACTTGGAACGACGCTTGTTTTGACCGACAGCTTTGAAGACTTCCTCGCCTCTTGCTATGGTGCACAAATATCGGTTCCAGACTTGACGCCAAATGCCGGATTATGGTGGTACTTTTTTATTGAAATCTTCGACTCCTTCCGAGACTTCTTCATTGGAGTATTCTGGTTGCACTTGGTCGGCTATGTTGGAGGGATGACGATTCGACTTCGAAATCAACCGCTTTTCGTCATCACAAGCTTGTTGGGCTTGATGGCCATCTTCAAGCCATATCCGAGCATCACTGATGTCTCGCTGTACCTTGGGTTTCTTCCGATGTATTCCCATATACTACCGCGTAAGTCTACTCCCCATTTCATGACGAGCAGATGCTGACTGTCTTAGTGACGAGGTACACTTTCATCGCTGCCTCGGTTCTGCTCTACTCGACGCTCCTGGGTCCAGCATTCTACCATTTGTGGATTTATGCTGGTTCTGGCAATGCAAATTTCTTCTATGCCATCACGTTGGTGTGGAGCCTGGGACTGACCATTCTCGTCGGTGATACGCTGTTCGCGGTGATGCGTGAGGAGTGGGAGCTAGAGAGACCTGAGATGAAAGGCAAAGCTGTCCGACAGATATAGAGAGAATGATATCAATTTCTCAGTGTCTTTGAAAGTACGATGTAGTTCGGCTCCTTCACCGTACCATTCCTTAATTTTCTCGGCCCTGGAGAAAACTCGTCTTCGACATAGCCTAGTTTGGTGTACCACCGCACAGCTCGATCGTTGGCCTTGAATACCGTCAACATGACCTTGACCAGTCCCACGTTTCGGCCTATGCTTTCGACAATGCTCATCAACTTTCCCCCAACGCCCTTGCCCTGCCATTCGGGCTTGAAGTGTATCTCGTATATGTACACCACCTCGTGGCCATCTTCGTAGGTGACCATGAACGAAATGAATCCGTTGACAGAACTCTCGTCATCAAGTAGGACAATGTACTTCATGTCTGGCAATTTCATTTCCTTCCGCTTCTTCGAGGCAGACCATTTGATCTCGGAGTTTTCATAATCTTCTTTGCTGGTCGACTCGATCAGACTCAAGCATTGCTCCAACAAATCGGATGGAAGATCTGCCGCAATTCGCTTGATGGTGCGGCATGGTGCTACCCGGGAAGTACATTCCCCTTCTGATGGTGCGTACTTGGTGAAGAATTCCGTGCCAGATAGGGCGTTGACCTGTTCGACCAACTTTACCTTGGTCACTCCGTTGAACTTCGAGGTATCTCTTGTCCTTCGGGGTCTTTTACGCTCTGGCTCCGACATGGTGATGCTACACACCACAATGTCCACAGGAGTGTCTTGCTACACGATAAGATGTTGGTGGTTGTCGTCACCATGAACATCAATGTTTTGCCGTACTCGTCCGATCACTAATACTCGAACGCGGATCTTGTTCGCCCAGTTCTACGCATGCAATTGGCAGTATTCTATACAAGCAATGGCCGAACTGTCTGCGAGTTCACGGAGACGGTAAATGGCGTTGAAGCAGGACGGTTCTCAACATATATCTTGTCAGATAGTGCCGCCGATTTATTTTGCGAATCTGAGGTTGGATCGGCTAGAGGCTGTACAATGCCCCCCATGGTGCCCCCCGGTGCCCAGGCCGTAAGTTAGCTGGTGAGGCCTAGAGGCCCTTGGAAAAACGAGTCCCTAGGCGCCGAGGTTCTCCCCGATTAGCGCCCGCAACACCTCCAAATGCGCTTACCACGTGGAGACTATTACCTAGAGCTGTCTCCTTCAGCGCCCCAGTTCCAACCTCCATAGCGCCTCTGTATACTCCGAAGCCCCGAACAGTCTCGCAGCGCCTAAATTTGCCACCCTTACCACCATTAATACCCACCAATAGGGCATGACCAGGTAGCACGGCTACAACCTGGACTTCATCCGGTCAGCTGACCGGTCTTTCCTCTTCATCTCCTGGAGAAGCACAGAACTCTTTCTCATGGTTTTAAGTCAGTTGTTGCATCTTCCTGTCTTCCACTGAGATGTACACTCTGCAGCCCCAGTCCTAGTTCAAAGCTCGGGGTTCGTGTTTGCTGGCTCGCCATGGCAGTCCAACCAGACATTTATTATCTGAAGCCCAACAAGCATTGTCCCAACAGCGACCTCCCTGTCCTGATCTATCGTGACTGTCTACCCTTGCCCTTCTCCGAGGCCACCACGACGAGATTTTTGGAGGCTCACGCGTGGGTCAAGAAGGGGACCTGGGGTCACATAGGCACGCGCCATTTCCATCCCAACACGCATGAGTGTTACGGTACTGGCGCCGACAGTTCCGATTGAGAACTTTCTGTAAGATTGACTCGCTTCCCAGGAGTGTTTCAAGGCGAGTCTGTCATCCTGGTTGGGTGCGGATGCAAGGATGTCGGTGGAGGCGAGGAGATAGAAGTTCGGGCGGGAGATGTCATCGTGCTGCCGGCCGGCACTGGCCACTGCAGCGTTCAGTCGAGCCAGGACTACAGATATATCGGCGTGTATCCGGAGGTGAAGGCCGCCCTCCAAATGTCAAATTGCATGACGTTACTAACGCACATCCCCACCCCAGGGCGCTCCCAAATGGCGGAACGAGTTGGGCAAAGAGGCAATCGACCTGGCTGAGTTTCGGAGGGAAACGACGGCGGTTGCACTGCCCAAGGAAGACCCAGTCCATGGGCCCGGAGGACCGCTATTGACTCTATGGAAGACGGCGCAGATGTGATTTACAAGTTTCCAAAATCCCACCAGCCCGAATTGGGTCCGCTGCGATCATAGAACTGTGTCCACGGATCGTAGGTAATGTTCGCATCGTCTGGTCCCCACGACCAGTTGGACAACTCTGGAAGGTTTTCGATTTGCCATCGCTGCTGATTCTCCGCCCGTGCTGCTTCAGCCTGCTCTGCCTGGGCCTCCGGTGGCGACCCGGCGATTTCCTCGATGAGCCCTGCCGACGTCGGTGCTGCGGGCTGCGGCGAGAACCAATCTGGCGGCGGGGCATAGTGCCCTGTAGTGTTGTGGACGTCTGATGGCATGGCATGTATATCTGGATTCACCACGGTGGTATCCTCCCAGCTAGCACGTCGGGATCGTACGTGTCCCACGAAGTCTGAATGGAACAGTCCTTCGCCCGAGAATGAAGAGCCTTGAGGTGCCGCAAAGTCCAGGATCTTCTGCATCAGCGCGGTGTTTGTCGTAATGCTCGTGGATTGACCCTGTTGTTGCTGGGCAGTGGGAAGGGCGAGGCTGATCAACTGGTCCAGTGTGTCTTCCTGAATCAATATCAGTCAGCATCGTCCTCGTCGTTGTCGTGACACTCACGATAGATCGACAGAGCCGCCAGTGGGCGCCAATGTCGCTGATAAAAGACCTGCACAGCTGAAGATTCCTGACAGCAGGTCCCCGTATTCTCCCGTCCGAGGCACGAGCCCAGTAGGAATGCAGGGTTGCCGCTACGGCTGCAGAGTGAGCGAAGAAGGGATCGGCCAGTTCCAAGCCTTTATTGGTTGCCATTCCAATGAGCCGAGCGATCCAAGTACTGTGTAGTAATGCCAACTCAGAAGAGGTGCGCCAGAAAGCGTTCGCACCAGGTCTCGGCATCGATGCCTTGGATGAGTACAGGAATGGGTGGTTGATGACCGAGTGAATGGTATGGTAGGTAATCTGGAGGCGCACCCAAGGGAGCCAAAAGGCTTTCTTTTCGACGATCTCGGCTTCGTCGCGTTCTGGAAATTTGGCGACATCATAGCGGTAGAAGGAAGGGATGGTGGTTTCCATGTCCAGAAGCTGTGCATTAATCTGCGCGTACTCCGAGTCGGAGTGCCATGGCGCTTTTATCTGTCCGTCTGTGCATCTGGAAACGAAGACTCGTACTTCGCCCCACACGCTTGCCATCCTCACCATGTGTGCCCACATGCCAAAGCACCTCTCGTCCTGCTCAGTGTATGACTCTTTGTCTTTGGGGAGCTCCGGGCACGCGGTCGAGGTATGCTGCAACATTCCTCGAATGGCCAGAAAACGAGGTTTGCCGACATCGTCGATGATGGATGGCACCCTCAGTGGTAAGCCACACATCGAGTCTAACAGAAAAACGCTCCAGAAGAGCTTCTGGCGTTGCTCTTCACCCACCGTTCTCGCTGTAGAGGCGCCTAGATCAAGGCCGCAGCACTGCAGGAGGCTCCTCACGAGCGTCGCGTGGAAGGCCGCAAGGGCCAGGTCATCACCTATGGCTAGTGTCAGTCCATGGCCGCAAGTCCCTCGGTACCTTCAAACCTACAGACGAGATAGTAGAAGGCGAGGAGGGTCAGCGCTTGAAGCGTGGGGAGGCTGGTGCTGGCATTGGTGATTCTCAGCATGACCAGGCTACGTGCTGCGTCGCCGTAGGCATGGGCGCTCTGGACTTGGCCGCTTGCGAACCGGTCGGGCTTATATTGCGTGCTCAGAGACAGGACAGCGAAGATGAGTTCCTCGTTGGAATCTGGAGATAGAGAAGTCGAATCGCCCGGGTCGAAAAGCCAGAGCGGCTGCCGGTGACAGCAATCGAAATAGATTCCAATCGCTTGACTGACAACCTCTCGAGACGGCCGGATGCTTTTGCGAGTCAGCGGCGTCACTACTCGCGCATCGGAGCTTGCCTTGAGTAGAATGTTGGCTGCCTCTGCGTGACAGATGAGCTGGGAAATGTAGCGTTGCTTCTCGCTGTGGTGGATAGGGGAGTGTCGATGCGCCTGGGCGATTCTCTTCAAAGAGTTTAGCTGGGAGATCGACCGGCGGAAAGGGACAACACTGGCACTGATCCAAGCCTGTCCAACAAATCCAGCCTCGCCTCTACTTGTGCTAATCGGTCCTCCTTGGAAGCTCAGTCTGCTGTGTGAGACGACAGAGGGAGGATCGGGGAAAGCTTACGACATTGACGCTTGAACTCTCCGGAGCCTCATCACTGGCGACCTCCGCTCCGGGGTAACGACAGCGCTGCGACAGCCGAGTACACACCGAGCATCCTGGCTTTTCGCCTGGACACCGAGTTTTCTTGCGCCTGGAAGGTTCGATAGTAAGCATCCTTGGCCCAGAAACGATTGCTCTCTCGCCTCACCGGCAGTTTTCACATGCTTGCGAAACGCGTTTGTAAGATCGAGAGCTTCTAGTTGGTGGCATTGATGCCTTTGAGGTCACCAAGTCTGCGAAATGCAGGAAGATATCATGGACCGCTGAAGAAGACTCGGCACAATTGTGGACGAAAAGGAAGATCTGATGGTTTGATAATATGAGTCCAGAATCTTGCTGCATCGGCTCAATAGGTCAGGGAAAGAGTGGGGTTTTATCCATCTTCTGCGGGCAGTGCAAAGAGGGTCGTTAGCCGCGCACTGTGCCATCACAACCTCCTCCACGAGGTTAGCACGCTACTTCAAGATGGCCCGAATCTCGACGGTCTCAGAATTCTACAAACTATAGCACAGGATGTTCAACTGCTATACATAGATCGCGAGGCTACCAATCTACCGCTGATTTCTTCTCAGGGCTACAGGCCAGACCAGAACAAAATGCGGCATCTTCATAGGTGCCGGACCCCGGAGCCACCCTTTGCGATGCTGGCCAGATCTCTGTTTTCATCTTGTCCTCCAGCTTCTTATGCTCTGTCACGGCTTGGCGCACGAGGGACTGGAAGTACAGCGGTCCATACTCGTATTGTGGATGCATCTGACCATTGAGATAAACACCAGAGTTCAAATTGAGCTGCGTATTATTACACAACCACTTGTCCTCCGTGAGCACCCGCTTGTACATTTGATCGATTTTATCGAATTCTTCATCTGAAGCATCCTTGTGGCGATATACTTCGTACTCCATCGAGCACGTCGTGGCGGAGGTGGGAACGCAGCGCATCAGATAGAAGAAATGAGGCCTGTGGCGACATGAGCATTACAAAGGACTGTCCTCAAGAAGCTGAGAGCGTGACTTACGTGACCGTCATACAGGCATTGGGGTAGTAGTATGTGCTGTTGACGACGATATTGTTCTGATTTTGTTCCTGTCGTTTGTTAAAATGTTGCAAGCTCCCTGCCACACCTTCCACCCGATAGACAGATATGTCCACCACCCCAGCGGTGTCGGGATGTGCCGTACGACAGTGCAGGCATTCGTTGTAGTTGTCGGCCAGAGTCTTCCAATTGTAGTCGCCTTGCATCCCCCACGTATGGTCAAATGTGTACTCGGAAAAGTTGTAAGCATCAAACCGTGGGTGCCTGTGGACTCCAGGAAACTGCGCTTCCCAAGAAGTGGTGGGCTCTTCGGTGGCCTCCAGGTTCACCCATAGAAAGCCAAGGTCGTCGACATGAACGTGGACCGGAAGGAGGGAATTGTCCTCTTTCCGAAAGTCAGGAAGGGTCTCCAGATGAGGTGCTTTGGCGAGGTTTCCGTTAATGCCGTACGACCAGCCGTGGTACTTGCAAGACAGAATCTTGGTGTTTCCGGCTTCATCGTGGATCAACGGAAATCCTCTGTGCCTGCAGATGTTATGAAACCCGCCAATCGTTCCCTGGCGATCCAGGACGAGGATGAAAGCAAAGCCTGCCTCTGTGATGCGGATATAATCACCAGCTTGCTTAAGTCGATTCTTATGCGTCACCATGATCCATTTTTTTGAGAATATTGCTCGACGCTCAAGCTCGTACATTCCTGGACTCCGGTACCACACCGCCGGGAGTCCTCTGCGGGTCTTTTCTTCACTGGCGGCTTCTGAAGGGAGTCCAAGAGCCCATCTGATGACGGATGCCATCTCGAAGGTGAGATGTGTGGTTCCAGGTAGTCCGAGACGTTGTACGGCTGTTCGACGCCCCTCTTTGCTCGATACGTGCTTTATAACGCCTGATGGCAAGCCGTTGCCATTGATTGTCAGATTGCTCTTCCGCACAACAGCCGACACGCATGCCGTGCCACGTCATGTGAACGGCCTGGATTGGCGTTTTGCAATCACGGATGATATCCTGGACCACCCACTCGTAAATACGCGGGCTATCCCCTTAAGTTCATTTGCCCACATTTCTGGTAGCTGCGTGCGAATGTTGCCGTACACGTGGGCGGGAACTCATCGGAATCTTCGGCTGGAGACAAGGCTGAGCCAAAAGCGGGTGAGTGGGTTCGTACAGACATCAACGCATGATACCCTTGGCTTGACTGACCTAATCGATAACACTTGCGCGGACTAACCACACAAGAACCCCGTAGTCTTTGTGAGACTGGGACTCGAGCGTCCTCTACACAAAAGATGGCAGCCTTGCATTTGAAGAAGAAATTGCGTGTTATCATCATCGGAGCAGGGTAAATTCCTCGATATTTTTCAGACGACCATGATGCTAAGATGAGCAGGGTATCCGGCATCCTGATAGGCTAGTTCGATCTTTAGTCGTCAGAGGGATTGCGACTAACCAAGGTACAGCACATCACATTCAGAAATACCTCAGAGACAGGGCTGAGTTCTGGATATTTGAGAAAAACGAGGACGTCGGAGGTACTTGGTTCGAGAACAGGTACCCCGGTAAGTACACAGGATCTTCTCAATCACTTTTCCTCACCAGAATCTAATTCCTTTGGAAGGTTGTGCCTGTGATGTGCCTTCACACATATATCAATTCAGCTTCTGCCCCAACCCATGCTGGTCCAGTTTGTGCGTCACAAGTCGGCATAATGTCGATAACACTCGCTGACCGGTTGAGACAGCTATGCATCCTCTTCGGAGATAAAGTCGTACTTGAAAGCCGTGACGTCCCATTACGACCTGAATGGAAACATTAGCTTCAAGAGTATTGTCAACAAAGCTTCCTGGAACGAAGGCAACTCGACATGGACGGTTTCAGTAGAAAACCAGGGGGATTTTGAATGCGACATCCTGATCAATGGCGGTGGTATTCTGAACAATATACAGTATCCTAAAATCAAGGGCCTGGAAACGTTCAAAGGCTGTCTGCTCCATACTGCGGCGTGGGACGAGAATGTCGATCTTCAGGGAAAACGCGTGGCCATAATCGGCGCCGGAGCCAGTGCCATTCAGACGCTTCCAGTGATCCAGAAAGCAGCCAAACATGTGGATATCTATATCCGGACACCATCGTGGATCGCACCTCCTGCCGGCGAAAACTTCAACGCCGAAAAGAATCACATATATACATCCGAAGAAAAGAAAAGATTTCGCGACGATCCGGCCTACTCGGCCGCGACCAGGAAGGAGATGGAAATCGGATTCAATAAGATCTTCAAGGCATTTGTCAAAGGCAGCAAAGAGCAGCTAGAATTCCGCACTCTACTTGAGACCGGGATGAAAGCCCGACTCCCAGACCGCAGGATGCAAGAGAAACTCATTCCCAAATTCGAAGCTGGCTGCCGAAGAATCAGCCCTGGCTATCCTTATCTCGAAGCTCTCCAGCAGCACAACGTGGAGGCCCTCTTTGATCCGATCGATGAAGTAACAGGTACCGGCATCGTCGCAGGAGAGCAGCATCGAGAAGTGGATGTTGTGATTGCGGCAACAGGGTTCGACACGTCGTTCAGGCCGCGTTTCCCCATCTCGGGCCGAGGCGATGTAGACTTGCAGAAGCTCTGGGACAGCGACCCAGCCGGCTATTTTGGACTCGCGGTGAGTGGGTTTCCCAACTACCTCATGTTTCTGGGACCAAACACGCCGATCTCCAACGGCAGCCTGATGGGCACGCTAGAAGCGACGGCAGACTATTTCATCCGACTGATGACAAAGTTCATCGACGAGAGAGCTTTGCAGTTCAACGTCCGTGCGGAGGTGCAGCGGGACTTCAACCAACATACCCAGAGCGTCATGAAGAACCTGGTGTGGACCGGTGCCTGCCGCGCGTGGTACAAGAACGAGGACGGCAAGGTGACCGCTCTCTGGCCTGGGAGCTCGCTACACTACCGTGAAGTGTTGGCGTCGAATAGATGGGAAGATTTTGAGTGGCGGTACGAAGGGAATCGCTTTACGTACTGGGGTCACGGAATCTCCAAAGTCGAGGTCGAGGAGAAGGGAGATCTGGCCTACTACATCCGGGAGTCGACACCTCTGCCTTTAGAGGCATATTATTCTTCCCCAAAAGGCCCCTCGCCCTCTCGCCGGACTGGAGATGCATTCCTGCCTGCGAGTCGACGTCGAAACGATGGGGATATAGAGCAAGACGCCGAGGAGTTTCTCAGCGATGACTCTTGCGGCTCGACAGTGGTCGTAGTTGCACCGGCCTGAGTCACCTGCCGTTTTGATACCCAAGTAAGCTCAACGAGAGATCCTGTCTGGCTATCCTTGGATCACCCTGGAGCGATCGTTATACTCAGAAGTGATCCGAGTGCTTATCGCTGGATTTCTAGTGATTTTACTTCATCAACATTTTGTAGTGTGCCCGTCCTTCCTCAGTTGAATGCATACGCGGCAGAATTACCCAGAGGTCAACAATATATCCCCATAATCACTAAATCCACGGAGGTCAGGAATTACTCGAAGCAAAACACTTAGGGTTAGATAATCCTAATCTCTTCCTTCAGTAAAAATGCTATCACATCCTACAGGTGGCCAAACCAGGCCATGGATCAAGCAACTCTCTCCTCGGCACAGTATATTACTTCGGATACCACTGCCATGAACTTCCTCCAACGCAAGAGGCGGCATAATGTAGCTCCCATTCCTCGTAATCCGACGGCATTGCAGGGAAGCATCTTACATGCTCTGAGCCCTTTCAGGCTCGAAGGGAAAGACCACCGCGACTAAGCCCATGACTCCAAACAAAGCTGCGCAGATATAGACGGGTGCTGCCGTCGACGGGCTTGCATATGTCGCCACGACAGCAGACATTATACCCATGATGCGGTTACAAGCCACCGCAGTGCCGTTTCCAGTTGATCGATGGGCTGATGGCATGACCTCGGGGGAGTACGCGTACAATGTACCGTAATAGATATTTGTGGCGAATGAGATGACACAGTTGAAAGCCACATTCTCATCATTGTTGCGTACCGCAGTATAGGAGAAGAAGAAAGCCACTATTCAAAGTCAGTATGCTTCCAAGGACAAGATGGGCTTCCAACTCACTGGATATCATGGCACCAATGAGCATGGTGTACTTCCGACCGATCCGTCGAAACTGGCAGAGGTATGCTGCTAACAGCGGACCGAAGATGGCACACACTTGGGCTAGAGTATAGTTCCTCCAAGTGATATAGGCCGATGTTTCGCCAAATCTCGCCCCACGGCTCGCAAGGTAGTCAGGCAGGAAGAAATAGAAAAGTGGGTACGCCAGCCCGATGAGAGCCCAAGAGAACCATACTAGGGTTGTTGACATCCCTGTTTTCCTCGTCATGAAGAGACCGCGATAATGCACCCAGATTTCGGACAATGAGGCTCTTTTGCGGGAATGAGTCGAGGTGACTTGACCATGGCGTTGAAGGTCCTCGAGTGTGAGGTCGATTGGTCGTCCATACGTCTTTGCCAACTTCTGAAAAAGGTTGACTACCTGCTCATCCCTACCCTGGCATACGAGGAACTTTGGCGTTTCCTCGAAGCGTAGCACTGTGACTCGAAGCAAACTCATGACAAGAACCAATCCGCCGGCTGTGAAGAAGAGATATCGCCAGCCCATGTTGTTCGATCTAGTACAGTTGTCGGCGGAGGCACAGCTGAAGTTTGCTACGAAATTGTTACTGGGGCACCAGTGACTGGGGCTTGGATGAACTCACGAATAAATGCCCAGGCAAGCAAACCGGCTATCGTCTGACCGACTCCCCACCAGATAGCCATGAGTGTCACAAGCCATTGCCTGTTGCTGGGGAGGAACTCCAGGAATACGGTGGTGTCGAGGACGAGGTTACCCCCACAGGCGAAGGCCGTCAAACAGACCAACGAGCAATACCCAATCCAGTTGTCGGCCGCTCCACAGATGATTCCGAAGATCGAAGTCAATAGGAGTGAGATGTTGAAGGCCCATTTTCTTCCAATAATGTCTGCAGAGATACCCCAGAATAAGGCACCAACCAGAGCACCAACATAGAAGGCAAGCTGGCCTCCTCTGATGTAAGAGGGTTGATACTCGAAAACGACTTGTCCTACTGTGATGCTGTACAGGAATGCGACTAGGGAGTCAGCAGCGTAACTAGGTAAATCACGTTAGTGGAACTTGGGTCTGAAGAGACCTTGGCTCGAAAATGACAGGAGGCCAGACCCAAATCCGCTCAAGCAGAAGAGTTTCCAGTGGTAAGTGGTGAAGCCGAGCTGGTTAATAGCCTGCCGAAGGAGAAGTGAGTGGATGTGCCATACTACACAATGTCATGGAGCTTCCGTACATTATTGACCAGGTGCATTTTTGCTTCAAGGGCAGGATCAATGTCATCGTACGAGATCAATTCGCCGACATCAACCTCTGAAGCCTTGATGCTACTCTTGATGGGTGACATTTCAGCGTCAACAGTAGTAACCTTGGTCTCGTCTTCTATGTCCGTCATTCTGGATGCTGTTGAAGGACTAGTAGAAAGATGGTGTAAGCTGATGCTAGACAGGAGTCAGCGCGGCTGTTGCAACTGTATTTATACAGCTTTGCCTCTTTCCGGAATCTCGTCAACATCGGCAAGAAGGAGTCTCTACCAACGTTGAGCGGGAATTGATAACGAGCCGGATTGAACCGACCGCTACTATCTTGATAGTCCTCAAGATTCTAAATAAGATATATCTGGCTTGTTTTGAAGCCGGGGAAGAGGTCAAGTATATGGGTTCCTGCCTTCCAACTTGCATGAGCTGCTGAATTATGCACCTGGTCGCATTTTAGAAATCTACCAGCACGTCTTAAATAGTTCTGGGTTTGTTCTCACACTACATTGCCTTAGGAAAGAGCAGATTGTCTGTCCGTATTCAATAACGTGTAGACCGTCCCTGCAAAGTGGAAGCGCCATCCAGCCGATTAGTTCTCGACAGGGGTGTCGAGATGGCATTGGGCCGGTCAGCTGACCGGGATCTGACGGTTCTATACCGTAAAGCCTTGTGCCCCAGACTCGCAATCCCCCTGTTTCGTGACTGTCGGCTTCCTATTGTTCATGGGCAGCTCAGATGCCTGCTCAACATTGGTAGATCTCCTGATGCTTGTAGAACCAATAAGGTAAGACTCCGCCTAGCGAAGATATATTTCAAGACTTGCTTTCCTGTCTCCTAAACAAACGAAAATTTGGATTGAGCTTTCTGATGTTGGCAATCATGTCGACGGTTCGCGAAACGCCACATTCTTTAGCCGAACCCATTCTCATCATTGGTGCAGGATTGTTCGGGTTGACCCAAGCACTGGAATTGGCCATCCGTGGATATGAAAAGGTGACCGTTTTGGACCGCATGGTCCCTCCCGTGCCGGATGGGAGCAGCGTCGACTTCAACCGGGTTATACGGTACGACTATGCGGATCCTTTCTACGGAAAGATCGCCCAAGAGGCCATGAAGGGCTGGACTTCAGAGCCTTGGGATTCATTCTACCACAACACCGGGTTCGTGATGGCCTCTGAAGCCTGCAATGAGCCATACATCCAGCAATGCAGGAAAATCCTGAAGGAGCAGAAGCAGTCTTTCACCGATTTTGATTCATCTCGAGAGCTTGCACGTCAATTTCCCGTTCTTCGTGGAGGATTGGAAGGCAGTAGCGGCTATATCAATCCATCGGGGGGCTGGGCAAATGCCGAAGGCGCGATCAAAGAACTGTACCAGCGATGCATCGAAAAGGGCGTCTCATTCATGTTTGGCCAGAGGGGCACTGTCACCTCACTCCTCCGGGACGGTGAAACGCTTCTGGGAGTACATACGCTTTCCGGGCCAGTTTTCTGCTCCAAGGTCATCCTTTCCACTGGTGCGTGGACGAACAGGTTGATCAACGCTACCAGCGCTACGTCGGCTTCAGGTCAACCAGTCGGTTTTGTACAACTGACTGCTGAAGAAGCAAAGACACTGGAAGCGATGCCGGTGGTGATCAACCTTACATCAGGAGTCTTCATATTCCCACCAACACCAGAAACACACTTATTGAAGGTGGCGCGCCATAGTCATGGCTTTGAAATAGATGTACAGCTTCCATTGGTGAAGCACGTCATTTCTGCTCCCAACCTCCTATCCAACAACGCTGCTTCCTCGTTCATCCCGGACGAGGCAGACGCTGCTCTGAAGGAAGGGCTGCGGTACATTTTGCCGCAATTTGCGGATCGACCTTTCGCAAGGCGGCGACTGTGCTGGTATTCCGACACTCCTAAGGGAGATTTCCTCGTGGACAACTATCCTGGGATTAAGGGACTTTTCGTTGCTGCCGGAGGAGCTGGACAGTAAGTGACGGTTAACCCTTCTGGATCAACCTACTAACGAGGATAGTGCTTTCAAATTTCTGCCTGTTCTCGGTCGCTATGTCGTGGATTGCTTCGAGGGCAAAGCATCGCCAGAGGTGAGGAGAAGATGGAGACTATTGCCCCAGACTGCCCTAGCCAGTGGTATTGATTGCAACGATGGAAGTCGACGCGGTCCACCTAGGAGGAAGCTATCCAAGTCAGAATTGGCACGTCTTTAAACAAAACCCAATAGATGTTGCATCTTTCATGGAAAACATTTACACAGTGATGACAGCCACCGGCTATGGCGTCATGGATCTAAAATGAGTAGTACATAGCATGTGCCAGCGGGTTCTATTGCATAGCGTGACAGAGAAGAGAGACCATTCAACTCAGATTGACCTGCCTGCTGTTCAGTCATTGGAACTGAGCTGGTAGTTACAGGTGCAGAGAGGCGGAATCGACCAAAGGACTGTCCAGCCTGTTTACAGTAAGCAGCTTGAGGAGCTTATACGAAACCATATTGACCACATTACTAACCTCGATTTCTCAGCAGCATTCCGAGCCGCTTTGGATGTATCAACCACTTCAAGCAATGCCATTTGAGTGGCTCTGTAATTGAGTAGCTCGAAAAGTCGAAGCCAGTAGGCATCTTAGGTAGATACTCGTGGTTCAGTTACCTATACAGTAGATTCGGGGTTCTGCCCCGGTGGTGGCTTTGGCGTCATGTCTAAATTCCGCCCTTCACGGCAAGTGAGTCGAGCGTCATCAGTCGGAGTCCTGCCCGAGCAGTTGAACCATACTCCGTGCCTTGGCAACGACGGTTCTCTTCTTCCTCACTGACTGATTCCTTGATACGAGAATCATCTTTTGTCTCTATTTGATATGCTGGTTCATATGCCATGAGATACGTCTGAGAGCTAGTACGAGTACCCATATCCTGGGTCCCTCTCCCGCTCTTTTCCCTTGCAACCCTGTAACTTCCCCCCACCTTCAGCGCCATTTCCTACTTCTTCCACAATGGCATCACCAGCGTCCTCATATATTCGCACTCTCCTGTCGTCCTCTCGTCCTCGCGTTCCTCAATCTCTCCTAAGGACAGCTCAACCTACCTATCGTATATCTTCAGTCGCTAGGATGTCTTCTGTGCCCAAACTCAAAGACCCCTCCCTCCTCATCTCTCAGGCCTATGTCAACGGAAAATTCGTTGACTCCAGTACTTCGCAAACCTTCGACGTCCACGATCCTGGTTCCGGGAAAAAGATCGCATCATGCGCTGAGATGAACAAGGAAGATGTCGACAAGGCCATAACAGCAGCTGCGGAGGCTTTCAAGTCATTCCGCAAGACGTTGCCCCGCGAGAGAGCCACCATGCTACGTAACTGGTATAACCTGATGCAGGAGAACGCAGAAGACTTGGCCACGCTCATTACATGGGAGAATGGAAAGCCTCTTGCTGATGCCAAAGGAGAGGTCGCGTATGCCGCAAACTTCTTCCAATGGTTCAGCGAAGAGGCCCCCCGTATGTACGGCGATACTATCCCTGCTTCAGTACCAGGAAACAGAGTCATGACCATCAAGCAGCCAGTCGGTGTGTGCGGTCTCATCACCCCCTGGAACTTCCCTGCGGCTATGATCACCCGCAAGATCGGTCCTGCTCTGGCCGCGGGCTGCACAGTCGTCGCGAAGTCGCCAGGCGAAACGCCCTTTACGGCCAACGCGCTCGCAGAACTGTCTCGCCGTGCAGGAATTCCTCCTGGTGTCGTCAACATTGTGACTGCCATGAAGAACACCGCTGAGATTGGTGAATTGCTGACGACCGACTCGAGAATCAAAAAGGTCTCCTTCACCGGCTCTACGGGTGTTGGTAAATTGCTTATGAAGCAAGCTGCTGGAACCGTCAAGAAACTCTCGTTCGAACTGGGCGGCAACTCTCCATTTATCGTGTTCGACGACTGCCCTGATCTCGATGCTGCGGTTGCTGGCGCAATTGCCTGTAAATTCCGCAGCTCTGGCCAGACTTGCGTTTGTGCCAACAGAATCTACGTGCAAAAAGGCATCTATGACAAGTTCGCCGAGAAGTTTGCGGCTAAGGTCAAAGACTTCAAGGTCGGCTACGGTTTCGACGACGGCGTCACCCACGGTCCTGTCATCCACGATCGCGCAGTGAGCAAGGTCGAGCAGCACGTGCAAGATGCACAAAGCAAGGGAGCCAAGGTTCTTATCGGTGGCCAGAAACTTCCAGACCTGGGTTCCAACTTTTATGCTCCTACTGTTCTTACGGGTGTGACGAGCGAGATGAAGATTGCCACGGAAGAGACGTTCGGTCCTGTGGCTGGTCTCTTCCCCTTCGAGACGGAGAAGGAGGTTATGGAGTCCGCGAACAAGTCCGAGGTCGGCCTTGCGGGTTACTTCTACTCAGGGGACATTGGACGGGTGTACAGGATCGCCGAACACCTAGAGGTCGGCATGATTGGCGTCAACACCGGCCTGATCTCCGACCCGGCCAGTCCGTTTGGCGGTGTCAAGGAAAGTGGGTTCGGGCGCGAGGGATCCAAGTATGGCATCGACGAGTACTTGACCATCAAGACGGTCACTGTCGGCGGGATCTCGAACGATCTTCAAGGCTGAAAGGCCAGAAAGAAAGACCAGAGAAAGCGAAGACCTCTCTAAAATTTCAGGTCCGAAGCCTACAACCTTTCAAAAAAAAGCCATGTCTGTATTTCGAGTCAAGTAATGCCATGGGATTGCCAAGCTATGAGTTTGGGTAAGGAAAAAAAGTCGGGCACAGTTACATTTACATTTATGAGCAGTTACCTACCCCAGGTAGGTATGTATAGTACATGACGGCCAGGCATTTTAGGTACCTAGGTATATTGAATTCTCTCACCACATGAAGAGAAAACAATAATAACTAGGTAATTTACCTGACCTAGGTATATACCGGGTTACAAAACAAAGGCATTTTCCCCGTCAGTGTTTATCAATAGTTCGCAAATCTAGACACACTCGGGACCGTATATACCAGCAGACGTGTACATTAATGGCAGTACTATGACATTGATTGTGGAATTGGTTCTATCAGATTCCGTCTATATATATACAGTTCAATACCTACCTAGATATGGAGGTACAGTATCCGAGATCCCTGTCATGTCGCCGATAGTGCGTCTCCGGAACAAGAATCCCGACTTGAAAATCCACACACGTTTTCCAAAGATCGTTTGCTTGCATGTTTCCTTTCAAAGTCCCAGATCCCTCAACGGTTGGGACCGGACCACCGACATGCTCCTCGCGCCGCACCTGCCCAGGGCCAAGTCCTCGAGGGGTTTGGCCTCGCCGGCCCACACCGAACCCCTGGCCGCCTTCTCCTGCACGTCGGGGATCCAAAAGTGCGTGACGATGGCTCCCAGGAACATGCAGACGCTGAAGATGACCAGGATGGTGCCGTACCTTTTCGTCTGGTCGTCCCCGGGGGACGTCGAGCCGAACTTGTAATAGGCCGAAAAGACCTGGACCAAGATCGAACCCAGTTTCCCCGAGGCGGCGCTGATGCCGTGGCAAGTGGCTCGGTACCTCGTCGGGAACAGCTCGGCGGGGATGATGTACGTGGTCGAGTTGGGACCTGTGTTGGCGGAAAAAAAAGGAGATACAGTGAGAACCAAAACATGTCAAAAGTAGCCAAGAAAATCACGAAACGGGAAAGGAGGAATCGCGTCGTCATGGATGTTCTCAGCAAGGTCCAAAAACTTACCAAAATTAAAGGCGATTTGCCCAATGACATACAGCGTGATGGCCAGAGCCCCTTCTTGGTGGATCGTGATGAAGATGGTACCCAAGGTGATGAAGAGTGCCGCCAGGGCCAAGAACCCATACTTTTGTAGGCTGACCCGGTTCAGACGACCGGCGGTCGCGATCATCAACAGTCCTCCCACGAAACTCCCGACGTTGAGAATCACCAAGGCGTGCACCGAGCCGTCCAGGAACATGTCGTAAATGTCGGCGTCGGGACTGTCCTTGGTCTGCCAGGTCGGCCTGGGTCCGCCGATGTCCAAGGAACCCCAGATCTTGGCCAGGAACTGAGGGCTCGACAGCCCTATGCCGTAGTACCCAAAGTCGAGGAGGAGCCAACACATGGCGGTGGCGGCCAGGGTCTTCCAGTTGCCCTCGACCCAGAAGTACTGCTTGATGTCGGCCTTGGACAGGTGCCACGAAGAGTTGAGCGTGGTCCGAGGGGCCTGTGCGACGGTCCACGACGGTGCCGCCCCTTCGTAGTGCCGCTCGTCGACGGAGCGGTGCGACGACAAGTTCGATCCCTCGATCGAGTCACACCACGCGTTGTTCGATTCCATCTCGTTGTCCAAGGTCGTCTCGCCAAACAGCTGCGTCGCGTCGAACTCGGCCTTGACCGGGTCATCTTCGATGTCGAGGAGAAACCGGGGAGTTTCAGGGATGGCGAATCGAAACAGCAAGGCAACCACGCCAGGAACCACACCGAGACCGATGATCCACCGCCACATCTGATCGACACTGCGTGCGGTGTCCTCGGCGTTGGAGCTCCTGGAGATGACGACGACGATGAGAGAGATGAGGTTGCCGGCAATCTGACCTAGAGGTTGCATGAAGAAGACGGTGGCCATCATACGTGCCCGGTGTCTCGTGGGAGCAAACCTAGAACGAGTCAGCACGACCGCCTGATATCCGAGAGGACAATCGAACGGTCCAGGAATGTGGTACTGACTCTGCTGTAATGACGGCGCTGAGAGGATAATCTGCTCCCACACCGATCCCAACCATGACCCTCCACCATATCAACCAAGAGTAGATGCTCATGCTCCCGTTGTACCCTCTCGAGCTCATGACAACTCCCAAAGTGGACCCGATCAGGAGTACCAGTTCGATACCATACATCTTCTTTCGTCCATTTCTGTCCCCTAGATATCCGAAGGCGACTTGACCAAGTAAGGTCCCAGCAAGCGTGGCGATGTTGATGCATGTCAACCGAAAGGACGAGACCTCGTCGTGCCAGTAGACATACGCAATCATAGGAAGGGCGACATTGCCGGCGAACAACTGGGCAGAGGTGAGCCACAAGGACAGATGGGGGACCAAGCCGGAAAGGAAAGTCCGTTGCATACTGAGAATCCATCGAGCAGAAATCCCACTCCTGCAACGAGAACAACTACCCACTGGAAGCCTTGTCGGTCGATGGTCTCGTAGATTTGTCGAACCCGAACGTGTCGATCCTATGCGAGGGGATTTTCATCAGCAGAGTGTCCAGAGGTAGAATCCGAGCGATGGCATCAACTCACACGCTCATGATCAAAATCTCGCGCTCTGTCGGTAGCGTAGAGACGTCCTCGCCATCGTCCCATCATCAAATGTCAGTTGTGCAGAGGAAGTATAGTTGGGGCCAAAATCGAGGGGGTCTGGGGTGATCAGCGATCCATGACGGAAAGAGTCTTTGCACAGACGGTCAACAAGCGCCGCGAAGGGGTTTTGTGCGAAAGTCTGTAGTTGCTGAATGGCGAGCCAGGTTCAAGAAGAGGCGACGTTCAAGCTGCCGTTAATAAAACGCATCGGAAGGAGAGAGAGAGGCTGGGTTTGAATAGCGTTGAGCCCTAAGATTTCTTCTGCTGATGAACGCCGGGGGTCGAGGGGCGCCAGAATCAGACCATGCAGGGCTCTGGATCTATAAGGGGGACCCAAAGGCATGTTAGTCCAAGCCATCGGTGTGATACTGTACTCTAGATATTTGCCAGGGAGACATGGGACGGGCGTGGAAAGTGCCGACCCTCCACCAGGCGTTCGGTTAGCATCACGTAGCCAGAAGCGAAGAGAAAAGGCCTCGTCGTGCTTGATGGTGAGGCTCACATGCGTCCAGAGAGAACTGGCAAAGGCAAAGGTCCCGAGAGAGGGGGCCTTGAAGAAGCGAATAAAGTGCGTGGAGTGTGCCATCACGAAATCATTTATTAGTCTGCGTTTTTTGAGCCAGTCAGTGACTTCAGAGCCTCCCACGTGCAACTTCGAGGCATCAATTGCCCTTGTCACAGAAAATCCCCCTGCACCCACAACAACTCCTTTTACCTGAAATATCCTCGGGAATGTCCAGGTCATATCCGTGCATCCCGTCGCAATGTCTAGTGCAGTTTGTATCTAGTGTGGGATGAAGCATCTAGGCTACGACTCTCCGGCAAGCCGTACAAAATGGTGCTTCCCAATATTCCCATCCAATTCATAATCATCCGCCTCCAGTACTTGTCGCAATACGAGACAAGCACAGAGTGTTTCCGCTGGGTATCTTAAACATCGCTCGTACGCTCATACAGTATCCTCTATTAAACCAATGTGTCAATGCCCCCTTCTATGCTTGATATCCTACACCGTGACAAAGGAGGCCGAAGAATCGTTTTTGGTCTGATGTTGCAGTCAGTCATGTATTCACTTTCGCCCGGTGAGCGCCTTCGACAGCCATACCGTTCTCGTCAAGAAACAATATCTGCAGTGATTTCAGTTGAGTAAGGAGCTCAAAATTGGGTCGTAACGAAAGCGAGAGAGGTCGCCCGGACCTTTTGGTCTGTTCGATACGATCGATGCAGTCAACTTTTCAGCCATCAGCCTCTGTAGCATCGTATAATTGTTCCATGTAGTAGCCGTGGACGGACATTGCTCAGCGCGGTGCTATATACTTACGGGGGATGGTGATGTACTTCTTCCTCTCTCTCCTTTGAGAATTGGCAAAGAAAAGGATAATTTGTCGCCCATTACGCCCTCGCAATATGCGTAAATTTTGGCTGATGCATTCTTCTCCTCGCCCTTTAGACTTGGCCTCTGCGATCCCAGCCGTGAACACTATCGTTTGACCAAGGATGGCTTCTTGGAAATTCACACAATCTACAGAGCGCATCGTTAGCGTTGGTTGGCCGCGGGAGGGTACCACAGGACTCCTTCAAAAGCCGTCGATACCTACCTTCCCAGGAATCAAAAGTGTACTGAGGTTCTGCTTGAAATAACGTCGGTCCGCTTTGAAGTGTCTGCTCTTCCAGGAACGAGATCCGAGAGACGTGGCTCGACGTCGACGTGACGGGCTGTTCAAGGTGTGGTATAGGTGCTCTTGCGTCGGAAACTGGGATGATCAGAAACTCAGTACTTCGACACATTCTGATGCTGCTACTGACAAGAGTGAACGAGTGTGCTGTGCGTGGCGCAAGAGTCGCTCAGCAAGATACGTTTGACTGAGCCAGCGATATTCTTTTCCAGCTCGATCTGCGAATATCTCAACTTGAAAAGTTTGCTGCCCTTGCAAAAGGAGCTACAGGATCGGACGGTCCCACGTCAGTCAGACATTCTCGCTCGGAGGCATCAGATAGATCCATCGTAATAATCCACATACATGATGAACGCTTTGGAGAGCGGGACGTGAATGGTGTGAATCGTTGAAGTGCCGGAAGAGACTCTACTTGTATCACTGGGAGGGCGAGACGTCGAAGGTGTCGGCGGTAGTGGGAAATTGGAAAAGTGTATACTGGCAGCTTCTGAAGAGAGACTGAGAGATCTGCTGCTGTGTCGAGGGGAAGGTTGTAGTGGCCAGTCCTCGGTCTCATAGAATGCTGACTGGCTAGACATGGCCACTTGGAACGATCGGCTGGTCCAATATGGGGTATACCTCTTTGAATCTAGGGTCGAGGTCGATGGAAATGGTTGAGAGAGAGTCAGAACGAACAGCTGAAAAAACCCTCACCTCAAGCCATTGTTCAGACGAGGGTTCTGCGAAGACTTTGCATACTGCATACTGTTCATTATAAGGCGCTCTTGTGAAGGCCCGGACGAACTGGTGAGAGCCATCATCTTGCGTGGAGAATGTTGACATCTCAAGAAAAGAATCGACGTGGTTGTAGACGAGGAGAACGTGGCCGAGTGTTTGGCTGAGAAAGCCCGAGAACCAAGGCAGAATTCCATTATGGTGGCCGGTGGATTTATATCGCACCACTCAGTACGGACGAGCTTCCAGCCAAGGTACCTACTCATACCCGGTACGACACCTACCTAGCGAGTCTTTCTGACTTGCAGTGACTGTGCACTGGGGAGGTTTTAATGATGGTGGTGTTTCGAGTGCGATGGCCCGTCCCCCATAGAAGCCGCCCCTATAAATTGTAGCCGAACATTGTGAACAAAACGACCACACCACGTGGAAAATATCGTGCCACTGAAGTCTAAGTGAACATTCAATACTCTGTGCATACTTCAGGCACCGACTGTACTAGCTCAAGTTGTTTGCAGGCAATTCAGGGGCGCAGGGGCAGCGTGGATATTTATATGCACACGTTGTGCCCAAGCAAAAATCCACAAGTCCAGTCAATACTGCAAATCTGTTGCCGACTCATGAAGCCAGCCTCAGCAGATCTTGATCATTCGCGTTTGTACCGTGGAACTCACTACCTGAGAATATTTTATCGCTTGGTACAAAAAAAGCATAGAAAAGAGACAGCAGGCTCCGTCACCACCATAGCTCTCTCGTCGAAGACTGTGTATTTCATATCAACGCTTCCGAGCCAATTCTTTTCCGAACTTGTTTCCTATTCATGCACAATTTATTGGGCAAGCAATGTTGCATTGATACCACAGCTAGCCCCTCTGATGGCTCGCGCCTGTTCACTGCCATAAAACTTTCTAGAACGTATGATCCCCAACTAGTCGACATTCTTAGCCCTTCATTGAATCAATGAAATCGAACCTCTCCCCAAAAGCAAGCACACAAGGCCATCGTCGAATCGCTAGTGAAATTTGGTCATCCAAATGGTGGAAGTGTCCGCAGCATCAGGTAGCGGGTACTTCAGCGGCCGGTTTGTTGTGCTGGTCGATGGGCTGTTTGGTGTTCTTCCAGATGTAGCTAGCAAGCTCATCACATCCGATGACCTGGTACTTCCCTTGCTTGGAAGCTTTGAGATATGGGTTTGCTGTCTTGCTGCAGACAATGCTAATCTCTTGAAGGTTCTTGATGGTTTGTTGGTCTGCTTCTTCAAGATCAACCGACATCTCGACAGCACAATCCTAGACCGTTTTGTTAGTCTCTGTCTTTGTTTTGACTTCTGACAATTCGAACTTACGCATTTCCAAGTGAGGCGACGATGAGTCTTGGGTCCCTTGGGCTTGATCAACTGGTTGATGAGATCTTCTAGTCTATCACCACTGCTGGATTCGCCGTCTGACTTGGGTCCTTTGAGAGGTGGTGGGGCAAGATTGTATCCTGCCTTCCGATCAGGTGGCGTGGGGGGTGGTTGCAATTGACCGGACGTAGATGTAGGCGAGCCAAGGGCCGTGAGAGCTGGGTCGGTGGGAACGGCAGATTGACTTCCAGGAGTGGTTTGTAGCAGAGGCACAGATGGAGCGCGCGGAGTACCATTGGTGCTGGGCAAGGCATTACTCAGGCGACGTGACTCACGGGGGCTCTCCAAGGCAGGATAATAGTCGCCTCGCTCTGACTCTGGCCGTCGAGATGAGGCACTCAAAGAGGGCGATTCTGCAGGATCGCGAGAAAAGCCGTCTGAACTTGGAGCATCAGTCATGTTCACGTCTCGGTCTCTGCTCAGGTAAGGACGTTCGGCGGCAGTCGGTGGTTGATCGACCAGAACATGACGACCGTTTCCGGCATCTTTGATAATGTTCTCAGCCAGAGCCCAGTTCGTCAGATCTTCGTCTTCTCTCTCCTCCTTGGCTTCGACAATGTCGCGGGAGAAATGACCTCCAACATGTTCCATGCGCTCATTCCAGCTGCCCTCGCCTTCAAAGACTCTGCCGCAGAAACCGCAGGTGCTGCGTTGAGGAGGCTTTCGCTTCTCCATCCAGCAACGGCTTCTAACCTCTTCGAGGCTGTCTTCGAAAGCTCTCCAATCCTTGGGGTCTCCACCGTTGGGAGGGAAATTAGCTGAACCTGGACCCGACTCAGGCTTGTGCATACGACGATGATGTTGAGTGAAGAGATCCTTGCGATTGAAGTCATTGTAGACTCTCTTGTGACCCGGCACATTGGAGTTCAGGTCAGGATTGCACGAACCAACGTCACAGCGGTAGAAGCCCAACTGGAGATGCTGGATCGACACATGGCGTTTCCACTCATTCTTGGAGCTCAAGGCAACATCGCAGCCGTAGTGAGAGAAAGAACAGATGAATTTGCGCTTAGCAGGTTCAGAGCGTTTTGCACCAGAGCCGGGAGATTTTCGAGCTCGAGGCTTGACGACTCGACCTGGATGAGTGTCGGAACCCGAAATGGACTGCAGTGAGTCTTTGCGGGGTCGTGGTTTGATGATGCGGTCTGAAGGGCTGCCACGCAGAGATGCGGGCGTGATGTTGATGCTTGCTTCAGTGGCCATCATGGAGGCTGGTAAGCTGTGAATTAAATTGGTGGCGGGTAAGACTCGGACTTGTCCGAAAGCGAGGCTCTACGCGGCGGGCGACAGAGCGTGACGAGGCTTTTGTACAGAGCTGGCTTGCCGGTCGCTCTCAGAGAGACAAAGACATTTTTCAAAAAAAAATCCGCTGTCGCGACAATTTGATGGATAATGTCTAGTGAGGATGCGATGGCGAAAAAGAGAAAAGAGCTTGGTGATGGAGTGTTGCGAGGACAGGTTATCGCAAGGCCGCGCGACGAGAATCGCCAAGGCGAGCGTTTGGTGAAGTCGGGGTGAATAACACCTGCTGGCGGAAGGCTGTGAAGAAAAACACGTGAACTAAGGGCTGGGCCTGCGCGCTGTCGCCAGCAATGCGAGCAATGTGAATCACTGCAGGATGGCTCGTCCACCAAGGGAGGGAACGAGAATGAAGACAAGGAGGGGGAAGACACGAGAGAAGGAAGAAAAGAGCGAAAGGAAAGGTGAATGAGGGGATGCTCCAACGTGTGGTAAGTTGGGACAAGGCTTTTAGCCTGTAAGGCTGCGGGAAAGAAATGGCCAGCGAAGGACAAGGAAAAAGAGTGGGAAGGAGATGATGGGGTCAGGCTGTTACAATACGAGTACTCGTATCCGTACATACAACATACAATGGGGTTTTCAGGCTTCAAAGCTGTCAAGGAAACCAGGGTTTGACTGGATAGAGCGTCGAGACTAAGCGTTGACTGGTAGGTAACCTTGCCCGCCTGTTCTCAGAAGCACGCAACAGCTTTTGTTATCTCTCGCATACTCCGTCTCCTCTACGGTGCATGCGTGCCTCGACTGATCAGTCCCCTCCATTAGACTCGGTATGGTTGACTAACCCAAACACCTACTGTCCGAGTCCTCGAAACCCTTGGTGAGTGCAGCTTCAATCGTCCACTCCATAGACTTCGCTGGCAGAACAAAGTCGCACACACACTAATCCTCCCTCGTCGACCAGCAAGCCTTATCACCTCGTCTGACGCACGACCGGATAGCATTGAAAAGGTGGCAAGGCCAGGACGACAAATGCTCCAATCCCAGCAGCTGGTGATCTGCCGAGGCTGTACGCATGGTCATGGGGGGCAGCCTAAAGCAACAAGGCTTTGGGCACGACCGCTAATTGACCGACGAGCCAGGGCTAACGGATCCTCCATCTCGCTACCCACCGCAGAAGTCAGTCCTGCCTCCGCCGGTCTGCTTTGGGCCTTGTCAGAGGCCAATCGCAACGAAATGCCACATGGATGGCGCCCCTCCTTGCCAGCTTCGGGGCCATTGGCGCTGCTGGAGGAGAGATAACATACGAGGAAGAGGAGGAGTGAGGCCGTCGATATTCGTACAGAGCTCGCCATGTGGTTACACTCGGCCTGACCTCGAATCGAAGCTCACCACATCCCTGATCCATACCCTTTCTACGGAGTAGCCTGCGGAGATTCGCCGTCTTGGTCAAGGCCGACACAGCCTGACAATGTTATCTCTTGTGATGTACGGAGTACGGAGGATGGGCCCTCGATATGGGACCAGTACGAGGCTCGCTTTAAGCCTCGTTTGCACTTTACAAGAGGAGGTCCGGGCCTGAAACCCAAGGCTGCAAGACTAAAATCATAATCCACTCTGATTGCGACATACTGTACGCCACAACACAGGTACGAATACTGTACCGTCCATACTCGGACTGCGGAGTAGCAATCAATCAATTTGTGACCCGAACAAAGCCGCCTTTTCACACTCACCGCCACCCATCTTGGTCCAACCTCAAGTCCCGTTGGGGGTGGCAACTGGATACTCGACCATTACGTAGTATACAGTATCCGTCCCTATCTCTCTCCTGGCTCTCGCACCGGATTCTGTACATAAGAGCATGCTGATAAGCAGAGGATGCACGGTCTGTTCAACCGCCAGAATCTGACCCTTTGGACAACAATTCCGCTATATCCCAGGTATCATATGCTTTCGAGCTGACGAGTGACCACAAACCACAATCGGCCTGTCACCATGTTTCCCACATCCCGTTTCGATGGGTCTTTTCACCTGGCCATTGTCAAGTGTCTCGAGAACACATCATGTCACACGTTGCTCCCCGAAAATAATTTCAGCTTTGTTCCACTGGCAGAAGTTTCTTTGACACCTCTCCAAACCCTACTGTTGTGCCTCGGTAAGACACCAGCTACATCTTTCTTTGATCCATGAACTTGGCCACAACCATCTCCTGGACTCTCTTTTTGTGCTCCTTCCCGTACTAGCCTAGCCTTACCCCGCAGTGCTCCAGGGGCCTTTTGATGATTTGGCGCGGGTGACAGGCCATTCGCCAACAAGATGGGAAGGATATGGAGTAGTTAGTCGCTGTTGAGGCGTGCGAGAAGCAGAGATTTCTTCCCTGTGAAGCCAACCCACCGGGATTTCTCTCCCATCTCTTTTTCATGGTCTTGGGGCCCAACAATAATGACAACGGGTTGGGCCAAGCGAGCCTCCCCCGGAGAATCGCTCTTCCCTTCTCCGCAAATTCTTGTCCTAGTAACGGCTATTGAACGCAGCCTCTAGACTCTTCTTTCGCCCTGACTTGCCTGAATTCCTCCTACGTAATTCCTACTTCAAGTTTCCTGTTCCTTTGACACATAGTCTCCATCAACATCCAATGCCACGAGCTGTTCCTGAAAATTTTTCAGATTTGCATGACCAGCCACAGATTTGATGTTCGTGCCGGCATCCAATGCCCTTTTCAGCTCTCGTTCTTGACTGAGGCGAAGCGATGTCTGAATGACCATGAAAAAACTTCTCACTGACGCACCCTTTACATACCAACACATTTTTTCATACCCCGTACATACGGGATATAAAATGGCCCCTTTTTCATGGAGTCCGGGGTAGGCTGGAGGTAAACAAGCATTTGATCTACTACCAAGCAATTGATCCCCATTAGATCTTTACAGTGCTCAGTACTTGAAATAGTCACAGGGTCACAATAACAGAGTGACACGGTATACACAGTACACACACCCCCTCGACGACCTGAAAAAAACATCGTCAAGCGGAGACCTTCCTCTCCCTACTGTCCATACCTACACAATGTCTTGTTCGAGGACTTCATCCACGTCGTCGGCGTCGTTGCACTCCGAGTCGTCTTCTCATCCTCCTCCTCGCCACGTCTCGTCAGTCTGTTACCCCAAGGGCAAGTGGTACGACTGCCTCCGCCCGACCACCACCCCTTACCAAGGGTTCGGCAGCATGGCAAACTTTGCCGGTGCGACGGGGAAAGAGAACCAGATCGACGTAGGGGAGAGTTGGACGCGCGATGTACACGGCAAGATGAGGTAGGACTTTGTCCCCTTTATTTTCCCTGAACCGGAGGGAAACAAGATCTCACGGGAAAAAGGAGAGGAGAATTTTTTATACGGAGATGTCTCGAACTTGAAGAGAAAGTCAAACTGGAGGGACACTTCTGGGCGCGGCCGTCGCCGAACGCGGGATTGCCCATGTTTGACTCCGAATGTGCAGACACCAGCTGCAGGGTTCGGTGGTGTCAGTTTTTTGGAAATGAATTTTCATGAAATGTGTTTATCCTTTATCACAACCAAGCAAGCAAGCAAGTTTTTGGGACAATACCAAAGGGATCATCGATGGGCAAGCCATGACTCATCTATCGGATTCGTCGTCAGCAGCACCAAACAGGGATTGTACTCTCTACATACTACGTACTGTACCGGTGTAAATTCATGATGGGTTTTCAACTTCAGAGAAGCAAGGTTGAGAAATGCCCTAGGCACGTGCAAAAGATATTGTTATTATTCAGACTCGAGGACAATTGTCACGACTAGGACCGAACAGCGCTATCTGGATTAGTTTCTCCAGCATCTCGCCCTGTATCTTGCTCCTCATTCTCCTCCGGATCCTTCATCTCCGTATCCTCCCCAAGAGGAGATTCCGCTGCCTGAACCGTCTCTATCGACGGTCCTACATCTTCATCTACCTTGTCTCTCTGTCCGGCGTCGTCTGCATTGCTGGGTTCTTGAGCATCGCCTCCGTCATCTGCGCCCTCTCCGGCTTGTGCCACTTTGCCCTGCTCACCATTGCCTTCCTCATCGTCGCCGCGAGACTCTTCTCGTACGTCAGTCTTGTCCTCGGTGGATTCTTCCTTGACTTCCACTTCACCGTCGGTGGGCTTCTCTTCCTCGCCCTCCATCTCCAATTTGTCGTCCTCGACCAGAGCCTTGAGATCCCCTCCGTATTGCACCTTCTCGCACATGACGAAACGATTCTTGCTCGCCCTCAGTGCTCGCCAAACTTTACCGGCTTTCCGCTCTTCGAGTTCGTTCTTCTCCTCGTCCGTCACGGCGAAGTCTAGATCCAGATCGTCCCGCTCTATTTCCTTGTAGTACTCTTCCAGCGTTGGGACTTTGTGCCGCTGCGAGGGACGCTTCAAAGCTTCCAGGGGCTCTACCCTGGACAGAAAAGTGAGATCTCTTGCGCCTGGCGGGTTCGGCAATGCGGCTTTCGCGTTGTTTGCAATTTTCGTCAGTGTCTGCTTCGCCTCCAGGTATGCCTGGGGGGTGACACTATCCCTTGAGATCGGCGGACAATTCTCTGCCTTCCAACGCACCCAGTTCTTATCTCTGGACAGAACAGTGTCAACCATGCGATAGTAGAACTTGCCCTCATTGCCGTTCCCTTGCTGCAAATACGCTACAATAGAAGCACGTGTTGACTGTGCCCACTTGGTATCTTCCTCGGTGATGGTGTAAGAGTACAGGACCGACTTATTCGTAAGACCATCAAACCTGGATTTCGCGCTGGGCGCGAGACTAAGCAAGAAGTCGAGCAAGATGAGGGCTTGGACGAGGATATGGCGCCGGAAAGCGGTATCGTGGATTTCGAGGTCGAAGAGGTCGCGGTTTGTCAGATATTTCGGGTTGAATGTAGAAGTCGTTGTAGAAGAATCGGTTTCAGCCGATGTGCGCTTACGTTTGAGGTTGCGTTTCACTTCCGTAGAGGCAGTGCTCGCGGCGGAACTATGGGCAACGCTTCTGAAGACGGAAAGCGTGCTCGAAATACCATCTTTGAAGGTGGCCATGTTGGCTGGATCAAAAAGTCGCGTCGGACTGGAGAAGAGCGTTTGAAGTGTCCAGAACTTGGGATAGAGAGTGTCAAGGTCTGGAGGTGGCTGATCTTTTTCCTTGGGATCAATCTTCGTTTTGGCGGGCACAGGCGTACTCCTTGCCGTAGACTTATCCGCTTCATGTAGTGAGGAAGATGGAGTCTCCGCGCCAGAAGCTGTCCCCTGCTGAGGCGGTGATTGTGTATCTATTTCCATAGGTTGAATGGCATCTTCTGATTTCTTCGGCGCAGGGTCAAAGGTGGTGACATTTTCAACATGGAATTCCCCGCGGAGGTTGACAGAGGATTTGTCGCCCAGTGGGAACGATTGAAATAGGAATATAAAGACGCGCCCACAGAAAACAGTATCCTCAGCCCGCGAGAGGCGACGCAGGAGCTCATTGCAGCAGCGTAGTATAACCAAACTCTTCTGTTTGAAATGTTTTGCTGTGATACGCTCACGACGTGACTCGAGGTAGTCAAAGACCTTGCGACAACCATCGATTGTTTGACTGTCGAGAAGCTCTTCAACCAGCCAAAAACCCAGGCCAGCATCGCACAGTTCGTTGTCTGAGAGTATGGTAGTGATATCTAACATGGTCCAGATTTGGGAAAACGCGGGCTCCGAGATGTCTATCTTCGCTATGACGTCGATGAATAGATCGCGGAAGACCGTTTCCAATGCAGCATTGTGTAGTTGTGGGCTGGCGGAGTCTTCTTGCTGAGTGCGAATTGAACGCAGTTCGCTAAGAAGTTCGGCGCAGTCTGATTCCAGGATTGGAGCGTCGCAGTCACTTTCTTCGCGCGAGGAGCTAAGCTGCTGGATGTATGTCTCTAGGATAGGCCTGTACAGCCCGACAACGGGAACGTCGATTGAAGACATACTGGTGTAGTCTGAGGAGGGTCGGGACGGAGGAAGGGGGTGGCTGTTGTATTATCGGTATCGCATCGAGGCTGGTTGAAAGGCGCCACATATGAGTGCGAAGTAGTCTGCGCGGCACCTTTGTTCAACGAGTCTCAGCGAACTGAGAAGAAGTCCTCGTCTGGTAGAGGCTCTAGCAAAGAGAACTGAGTCAAAGATGTGGTTACGAGGACGAGGCTGCGGAGAAATTCTTTTGGTGTTTGCGGAGAATCATTTTCGAGCGACAAGGCTCCATACACTTCAATAGATTTTAGTTTCTTTTCGAAACCCTCTCGACAGACAAGACAATGGGTCTCCAGTTACGGCCTGCCATGGCGCCCGCGACTGATGTGACTGCGAGTGCCCAAGATGTGGGTGAAAATCGCTGGGAAGAGTTGGCACAGAAACTCTGGCTGCAGAAAGTGCCTACCAAAGCAAAACCAGAACTGATCACGACCGCGATTTGGGAACCCTTGCAACAAGAGGCATTCTCCTTGCGCTCACTCGCTCTTCTGGAAAGCCTCCAGATCCTCGAAAGATTCCTGTGGCCGACCTTCTCGACGGATGCTTCGAACCACCACGTCATTCTCATCGCCTTCTTCTTCAACGTCAAACAACGAGCAAATTTGCAAGACTGGGCTCTTTTCGCAGAGCGACCTCAAGATTTCTCGGCGTTGTTCCGTCGAATCCTTTCCCTCAATCTCGATTCCTCTCTAGACGTCTCTTCTCGTTTGTCCGTCCTCAATTTTGTCATCGGTGCATTTCAGTCGCTCGAAACCGACCAGGTTCGCAAGGAATGCGCCCCACTCGTTTCGGTTTCGATATGGCATAACCTACACAACGATTCCGCAAGGAACAAGCTATTGGATTCCAGTTCAAGCAGGAAAAAGGCCTGGAAGGCCGCTCAAAGACGTTACGAAGGCGCAGACCAAGAAGCCCAGGCTCGGCTGCGGTTCGATCGAGCATGGCTATATTCCATGCTGGTCGCGTTCTTTGGTCGGCTGAACAACCCAAAGATGGCAACTTCTCAAGAAATTATCTATTGCGAACGGTTTCTAGAGTTTCTGGTCGACCTCGTCAGTCAGCTACCTACCAGACGCTATACGAACCCGCTTCTACGAGATCTCAATACCTTGGCAGTCATCAGAACATCGAAACTGATTGCGAGGGACGACGCTGCCCTACTCCGAGATCTTGTAAGTCTCTTCGATCATTTCCAGAGCTTTGCAGTCGACGATATGGGTAACTCCGAATCCGAAAACGATGGGACTCGAAAGACGCACTATGAAGCATTAGCGCGCTTGCAACGTGTTGCTTTACAGCATTTCGAGAATAAATTAAAAGTCCTCGCTCTCTCAAATTATGGATCTATCGACAATCGCAGCGACTTAGAATCACATTTTGTCGCCCTCTCGGACGCAGAGATGGAAAGCCTCTGTCAGCACCTTGGTTTTCGAACAGCTTATCCTACGGCTGCCGCGATTTCGGCCAACCGAGCTGTCCTCCTTGAGACTCTCTTGTCATCGTTTTCAAAACCTCGAGATTTTCAGGAAGTTGTGACTAAATTCTCAATTCTACCAACTGAAAGCTCATTGTATGACGCTAGATTACTCAGGAACGAACAATACGATGGCTCTCGACCATTGGGTTTCCCAAAATTGAATCTGCAGTATCTAACACTAAGCGACTTTATGTGGAGATCTTTCCAGCTATATCAAACCGAAGCATTTTACGGCATCCGAAAAGACATGGAAAGCGTCATCAAGCGTATGAAGCCAAAAACAAGCAGAGATCGAGCCAGCACGATGTTTGAAGGTTTCTCAAGGATGGCTCTGCCCATCAACAGCCCTGCCATAATCGAGGTCGGTGCACCCAAAGTCGGTGAATTAAAACCTAGCTTCGTTCGAGCGGAGGCAATTCTAGATGTCAGTCGGTTGACGGACCAGATGAGAAGAGAATGGGACAGCTTGAGGCCTCATGACGTGGTGTTTCTGCTCGCAGTCAAACCTACTGATGATACTCGTGCCCTTACGAATGGCCATTCTGGTGATTCAGAAGGAGAGCAAAGACCATTCGTGGCCTTGAGGTCCGCCGAAGTTGTACAAGTTTTGGATGATAACGGAAGACCCTTAAGAGAGCAAAAGTCGAATGGAGATGCTCCGAGAGCGCGAAGGAGAAGGTTGCTCTTGGACTTGGATGCTTCGGCTTATTTCAAAGACAAGGGTCGGCTTGCACGGGGAGGTAAAGACATCACCGCCTCTTTGAACGTTCTTGTTCGAAGGCAAGGCCGCGAGAACAACTTTAAACCCGTGTTGGAAACTATACAAAAGCTCGTTTCTGCTCAAACTTCACTGCCATCATGGCTTCAAGAAGTTTACCTTGGCTACGGTGATCCGAAAGAGGCTTCCCTCCAAGCCCTACCCAACAGGGTTGACTCGATCGACTATCTGGATACCTTCTTGGACTGGGAACACCTTACGGAGGGCTTCCAAGGAAAAGTTATTGAAGCCGCCCCTGGATACGAAGCGCCTTTCAACGGCCCGTACGTTCTTAAGTCGTCACCACAAGAGTTTAATGTCCCTCCTACAAATCCAAAGAAACGGCGCAGAGAGCAAATGGAACAAGACTCGTCGACAATCGTAGTGTCTTCATACAAACCACCAAATACTGGACCATATCCGATGGATATTGCCAAAAAGAATGCCGTTCGCTTCACCCCAAAACAAGTTGAAGCGATTGCATCGGGGGTACAACCTGGCCTTACGGTCATAGTTGGGCCACCAGGGACTGGCAAGACAGATGTGGCTACCCAGACTATTAATCTTTTGTACCACAACTTCCCATCAGAACGCATCCTCCTTGTCGCGCACAGCAATCAGGCGCTCAACCAGCTTTTCCAGAAGATTATTGCCCTTGACATTGACCCTCGGCATTTGCTACGCCTGGGTCATGGCGAGGAAGAGCTAGAGGCCGAAGCCTCCTACAGCAAATATGGGCGCGTCGAGTCCTTCCTAGAGAACCGTCAGTCCTATCTGGCCGAAATCAACCGACTGGCAGCTTCAATTGGTGCTGAAGGAGCTCATGGCAGTTCATGTGAGACTGCTGAGTATTTTAATCAGGTCTTTATCAAGCCTGCGTGGGCGCGGTTCTGGGATGCTGCTGACGCAACAGATGCAGCTGTGGCAGATGTTCTGGCGGCGTTCCCTTTCTACAACTACTTCAAAAACGCTCCAGTTCCAGCATTGTTCCCACCTGATTGCTCCTTTGAAGAGGCTCGTGATATTGCCTCTGGTTGTCAACACCACATTAACAAGATTTTTTCAGAGCTCGAGTCGATCAGGCCTTTCGAAATTCTGCGCAATAGTCGTGACCAGGCCAATCACCTTCTGGTGAAGGAAGCTCGAATTATCGCAATGACCTCGACTCATGCCGCCATACGCAGGTCAGAAATCGCAGAGCTTGGTTTCCATTATGATACATTGATCATGGAAGAAGCAGCTCAAATCACGGAAATTGAATCATTCATCCCTTGTGCAATGCAAGACCCCGACTTGAAGACCGGAGAGCTGCCTCTGAAACGAATAATGCTCGTTGGAGATCATCTCCAGAATTCTCCCGTCATTCAAAATCAAGCCCTACGCCAGTATGCGAAATTTGAACAGTCTCTCTTCCTCCGCTTCGTGCGCTTGGGAGTGCCTACAATACATCTTGACAAACAAGGTCGTTGTCGGCCCTCTATTGCAGAATTATTCAGATGGCGCTATGATGACCTTGGCAACTTGCCGCATTTGCTAAACCACCCTGATTTTGCTCGAGCCAACGCAGGTTTCCGGTACGACTTTCAGTTCATTGACGTTCCAGACTACCAAGGACAGGGAGAGCGCGAGCCGACACCTCATTTCATCCAGAATCTCGGAGAAGCCGAATACACAGTTGCTTTGTATCAATACATGCGGCTACTTGGCTACCCAGCACGCAGCATCACAGTTTTGACCACTTACGCAGGCCAACGAGCTTTGATTCGCGATGTCCTCGAACACAGATGTAAGAACAACAAGCTTTTTGGACTGCCTCGAATCGTTACCACTGTGGACAAATACCAAGGTGAACAAAATGACTATGTGATTGTGTCAATGACCCGAACACGGTCTGTCGGTTATCTACGGGACATTCGCCGACTTACTGTTGCACTATCACGCGCGAGATTGGGACTGTACATACTTGGCAGACGGGAACTGTTCGAAACATGCTATGAGATGAAGCCAGCAATGGAATTGTTGATGCAGCGACCGGATAAACTTGTCCTGACCACCGGCGAGATGTTTCCGACTAAGCGGCAAATGGAAGACGATGTCCAGGGCACGGAGATGGAAGGCGTGGAACATTTGGGACAATATGTCTATGAAATGACGCAGGCTAAGATGAAGGCTCTGGGGGGCAAGGTCACAACAGACCGCACTGAAGAAGTTGAAGCTGGAGTCGGAGAAGAAGGCGAGGAAGAAGTGAGCGTTGCTGCTGAAGAGGATCCTTTGCTTGAAGCTGCGTAGATTAGGTTTAATGATACCCTTAGTTGAAATGGGTTTCTCTTTGGCTGGCTGTCTTTGTGTTTATACAGTATTTCTACCTGAAACAATGATTATTCTGGATGGCCTCTGTGCTAGTGTTCCGAGTTCAACAAGAAGCACCGATTAACTATCTCAAGGACTCTTTGTTGATTATCTCTCTCTTGGAAGGTTGTCTACAGGTTCCTATTCAGCAGGCGCAGCATCGCTGAGGAACTTGAGAATAGCGTCAACACACCTTTCGGGTTGCTCTTGATTGACCCAGTGGCCTGCTTCCTCAATCATTATTGTCCCTTTATACTTCCCTGGTTCGACAAAGATCTCCTTCTCCAGCTGTTCAAGAGCCCCAGGATCCTGAAATGATCCCCAATCTTTATTGCCCGCCACAAAAGTTGTGGGCACTGACAAATTCAATCGTGACCAGACGAAGAAGTCTGCCAGGAGATTGATGTCAGTAACCAGGCGGTACCAATTCAATCCACCACGAAATGTTGTTCGCTCCCATTCTGCCGTATAGTACGATAGTTCCTCATTGTTCAGCCATTTTTCAGCTTGCATTTGGACGATGGCAATGTCCTCTGACTTCATGGCATCGGCCACCGTCGCTCTCATTGTCTTCCCCAGAGGCATGATGTAGTAGGACGGCATCCCCGCCAGTTCTTCAGCGGTGTTGCTCTTTAGTCGAATTGGATGATTGCCCTTCCAATCGGCAGACTTGAGATAGAAGTAGCCGCGAAGAAAAGTATGCAGGTCATCTCCTCCCGGACTCGACATCTCGTCGTTGGCAGACGCAGAGCAGTAGTACCGTTGGTAGTGCTGCCTTGGAGGATCCAGTTGTGCCAGGGCAGCATGAAGGTCCCTCTTTTCACTAACATTAGATGGTTGAGGCACGTCGCCATATGAGGGAGAAGTTTTGTAGGGCAGGTTCATGGGCCCTTTCACTGGGTGCGACATCAGAACCACAGATCTGAAAACGTCCGGTCGAGCGAGGCCACAAAGAGTCGCTGTCACAGCGCCAAAGTCATGCCCGACGATACACGAGACGCTCTCGTATCCCAGCGCCGAAGTCAGTGCCAGAGCATCCAAGAGTAGATTGACAGGGCGAAATGACTCGCTGCTCATTGGAGTCACCGAGGACGTCCGACCAAAACCACGTGTATCGTATGCAACAGCGTGATACCCTTCCGCTGCAAGACGAGGCAACACCTTACGCCATGAGTACGCGACATCGGGGAAGCCGTGGACAAGCAATACCAGCCCCTTTGGAGTCTTTTGTTTGCGCTTGGGAACGCATTCCAAGATATGAAACACTAGGCTGTGAGGTGATGTATCCACGAACCGTGATGATATGCCGAGTCCCTCAATGCCTGGCGGAGAGGGTAGATGCCTTGGATCTGCGAGCTCCTCTGTGGATCCATCGTGAGTAAAACCCATAGTCACTCTTGGTAAATGAAGTGACAATGATTGATGAAGGGCAATGAATTGTTTTGCACGTTCGGCGATATATCCGGGAAGGATCCATTTATGTCATCTGGCGGAATAACGATGTCTGAGTGGTTAGTCAACAAGTATGACTATGATTGCGGCGAACACGAATTCGAGTTCCGATGGGGAAAGACTTCAAAAGGGGCTCATGTTCGCTCAGCAGTCTGTCGGTCCTCAGCACACCTATTCGGATTCCACCATGGCTACATCTACATCCAACATTGCGTTTGTCTTAGTTCCGGGCTCTTTCTCGCCCGCGTCATACTACGACAAGTTAGTCCCTTTACTGGAAGCCCGAGGCCATCGCGCCCATCCGACAGAGCTCAAATCTGCAAATGATGGTGAGGGAGCTGTCGTTTCCATGTACGAAGATGCAGACGCCATCCGGGAGACCATTGAAAAGTTGGCTGATCAAGGAAAATCGGTTGTGCTGGCTATGAATTCCTACGGCGGGCTGCCAGGGACTCAGGCAGCACGCGGCCTCAGTAAGGCTGAGAGACAGGCTGCTGGCAAACCAGGTGCATTGGTCGGTCTCGTATACCTGTCCAGCTTCATGTTGGGCGAGGGCGACTACATCAACAGGGTTATGGCTGGTCGAATGCCAGACAACACGCAAACTTCAACAGACTACCTGGCAATGAACCCAAGGACCGATGCCGAGTACATCTTCGCTCATGTCGGCCCTGATGAAAAGGCCGAATATGCGAGTCGTCTCCGAAAGCACAGTTCCAGGACTTTTCAAGATCCTTTGACGTATGCAGGTTATCTCAAGGTGCCCGCGACATATCTTGTCTGTACGGATGATCCGGTCATTCCTCCCGAACTTCAGCGAGAATTGGTCGATCAAGCTCGAAGCAAGGGTGCAGTGGTGGTCACGAAAGAGGTGCATTCAGATCATGTTCCCATGATAAGTCACCCGGAAGAAGTGGCTGAAGTACTTCTGGAAGCTGCTGAACGCGGTTTACAAAACTAGTTTGATTCCTTCAGACTCTACGTAGTTGTTGCTCCCAGCACAATCCAAGTTCGAGAATGAGCATAGCAGTCTATTAAATCATTGAAAGACTCGAGCATATTCCAATCCTTGATCATTTTTAATCATGAATGTCATCTGCACATCACACTGTTATATCTTCCCCCCTGCTAGAGCCCCTCTCCGTGGCTAAGCAGTTCGCCTAGCTGGCCATCATGACAAGTTACGTCTGTCTCCATGATGTTCGAACCAAAGGAAGCACCTCCGACACAAGATTAATGGCCAGTGGCGCAGCTCTGGCAGTATTATCTAAAAGCCCTTGACCTAAGAGACCTGGGGCCCCATTGAACGTTTGGGGGACCCACTTTTCAGTCCCGCTACAGTAGGAATATCATTCTCCACTTGACCTAACGACCGATTACGAGAGATATATGGGTGTGGTATCGAGAAACTGTAAAAGAGTCAATAACCTCGAGCCTCGAAATTATCGAGCCAGGAAGACTTTCGAGATCTCTAAAGTTGCAAAGACTACGCTTTGGATTCATTGAGGCAGTTAAAAGAAATTGGGACAATCATGACTGAGTGGCTGGGAACTAAGACGATTGTCGTCACTGGCGGCTCGTCGGGAATGGGTGCGTTACAACAACCATTAGAACTAGGGACTGGAGGCTAAAAGAAGCATTCCTCAAGGTCACTCCATCGTTTCGAAACTCCTAGCTCACGGTGCTACGGTACACATTATTGATATTCAGCCACTGGCAAAGAACCATGCAAATTACCCTACTAGTGGCAAGCTGTACAAGCACATCCCTGTCGATATTACATCCCGTGAAAAGGTGGCAGCTACGTTTAAGAATATTTACGAACTCACCCCGGATGTCTATGGTCTCGTCAACACCGCCGGTGCAGCACCGTGTGATGATGCCGGCCGTCTCATCGAGAGCGATAGCGTTTACGAGAAGACATTCGCCATCAATACCGCCGGATGCTATTACGCGACAACAGAGTTTTTGGCGAGGATTCGTGAAAATGTTCAACCTGAGGCCGAAAATGCTCCTGTGCAGGAGACCAAGTTCAACATCGTCACCTTCGGGTCCAGTGCTGCCTTGGTCGGGTTTCCCCAGTGTGCTGTTTACACGGCTGCGAAGCACGCTGTTCTAGGTCTCACCCGAACCTGGGCATTCGACTGGGCAGCTTATGGTGTCCGAGCCAATATGGTTGCCCCTGGCGCAACCAACACTCCTCTTGCTCAGGTTCAGATGCCGGATGGGAAAGACGACAAGAATCCAGATGTCTACGGCGACCAAACCCGAGGAGACGTCATGGACTGGGCGCGCCTTCAAGTTCCTCTGAAGCGCTGGGGTGAGGCGAGCGAGCTGGCAGATGCCGCGATCTTCTTCCTCAGTGAGAAATCAAGTTATATTACCGGCCAGGTTCTTGCTGTGAATGGTGGATGGCCTCAGACTGGTTAGCGCATTAGACAAATAGGATTGCCCTTGAGCTGAGTAAGGTCGATAAAATGACACCGAATTACAAATTAATAGCAGTGCGTTGCTACGTGCGCGCGCGAAGACTATGCAGAATCGTGACAATCTGTCTTGATTTCCCGAAAGCCGCCATGTACCATTGCGTTTGACAAATCAGGAAGATCGGAAAGGTTTCTGCACGTCTCCCCTTCTCTCTCTGTTTGCCTTTGCTGTTCAACGGCTATGCACTGGTCACGGACTCGGGTCTTGGGTGGGAAACACAAGACAAACACGATCTCTTCGCGCATATATCTATTTTTGCTTTTGGGGGTTATTTTTTCGTGTTCTTCAAGGGTTTCAGTTCTATTTTGAGAGATCGATGACAGCCCGACCATGGAGTTGACCTTTCTGCATCTTCTGGAACACATCACCCAGGCTCTTCAGGCTTTCAACAGTGACCTTAGTTTTGATCAGGCCTCTAGCAGCGTATTCGAGAGTCTCGATTGCCTCAAGGCGGTTGCCTACAGCGCTGCCCACAATCTTGACCTGTTTGGCAACGAGCGTCCCCGGCTCTGCCCCCACAATTGGCGTCACATCATTGCTGGGAACTCCTACGCATACAAGTGTTCCCTTCACTCTGAGCAGACTGACTGCTTGATCATATGCTGCCTTACTGCCCGTACAAACCACAACCGCAGTCGCTCCCTTGCCGTCAGAAGTTGCAGCCTTGATATCTTCAGCGAGCTCATCGGACCCAGCCTTGTCTCGCTTGTACTGATTGATGTCAAAGAACAGTTCACAGCCACATTCCTCTGCAATACTTCTCTTGTCACCAGAATCGATACCCTAGCACAAGTGTTAGTCTGCCGCCAGCAAGTAAACAAGCATCAGGTAGGTCGATGGTATTACTTACGATCATCCTAAATCCAAAGACTCGAGAACCTAGCTGAAGACCCAAGTGACCCAAACCACCCGAGCAGCCCGGAATCACGACATAGTCTCCTGGCCGAGCACCCGTTTTTTTGAGAGCGGAATAAACAGTCACTCCACCACAAAGAAGAGGGGCGGCCACCTCACTCGCAAGTCCATCGGGTACGGGAGTGACATAGTTTGCTTTGGCGATAACATACTCTTGAAAAGTCCCTGGTGTATAATATCCGGATATCTTCAAGCCTTCGCAGCTGACATCGTCTCCAGAGATGCAATGAACACACCCTCCGCAAGTTTGCGCAATCCACTTAACTCCGACTCTGTCACCAACTTTCGGACCGCCGACTTCGATCCCTGGCCCGACTGAAATAATTTTCCCAACTCCTTCGTGACCGCCGATTTGCCCCGGCTGAATTGGAAAAGGAAGAAAGGCCCAAGAATTCGTCATCACAGCCAGGTCGGAATGGCAGACGCCAGTATGACTTAGTCGGACCAGCACCTCCCCCAGCCCTGGTGTTGGAGTCGGGACATCCTCTAACTCGACGGCGATGTTCCCAGGAGAGCTGTAAAGAGCAGCTTTGTGGTGAGTCGGGACGGTCATGTTGGCAAGCAGACTTCTATCTGGCTAGACAGCACTGGCATCAAAACGTAGTATCAGCAGGGTGTGTTAGAAACTTGATAGGGAATTACCGATTCTGCGACATATCGAACCGGATTGATAATAGAAGCTGGTTGAAGTTCCTTACAATTTCTGGTCTTACGTCCATCTTCTGAATGTACTGTAGTTTGCACATTGAATGTCCTCGCGACTTACGCGAAGCTGCATCACGTCAACATGTGGGCCCCATACAAATTGTGGAGAAACTTGGTCAACTCTTAACGCGAAAGCACCAACGTAGGCAGTTTCTCTGCGCAATGCGCATCCAGGTCAGGGAAGACAGAAGAGTAAATATGATAATATAGCGGTGAAGCTCTTCCCAAATCCCAAGAGTCACATATCTGCATAAGCACGATACTGTGTAACGGCTGACATCAAACTTTTGGATTAGAACGAGATATACGGAAATTGACATGGGCTCAACTAACCGTAACCGCTGGTCTGAGGCTGGCACTCGACCTGTTCGGATCGCAAATGTGTCCGGAGGAAAGAGCGACCCCGGATATCAGATGCTACGCCAGGCTACGCAAGGCGACGTCGACTTTCTTACCGGTGATTACCTGGCCGAGGTCAATATCGCTGAGAATGCGGTTGCCTATGCCCGGGGTGAGCATGATGGCTGGGAACCGTCTGCACTTGAGGGTCTCACTATGAGTCTTTCGTCTATCCGCGAAAGACAACTAAAGGTTATCATCAACGGTGGCGCCTTGAACCCTGGCGGGTTGGCGAGAAGAGTTCAAAGTTTAGTCATGGCACAGAAGCTCGAGCTGAAGGTGGCTTATGTCTTTGGGGATGATCTCCTTCCGCTTATCAAGGACAACCTGGCACATGGAGATCTCCCTGCCCATCTGGACTCAATGAACCAGGATATATCTCTGTCCGAAAACTCTTTCGACCTCAAAGACTTTGACAAAAAGTACGCAGTCTCGGCCAACGCTTACCTGGGAGCTGGAGCTATTGTGAAAGGGCTAGAAGCCGGGGCAGATATCATCATCTGTGGTAGAGTGGCAGATGCATCTCCTGTCATAGGCGCTTCGTGGTGGTGGCATAAATGGTCGTCTACGGACTACAACCAGCTGGCACACGCACTCATCGCCGGACACCTACTCGAGTGCTCAGGTTATGTAACAGGAGCCAATTTCTCAGGATTTGATGAATATGACCAGGATGACTTGATTGATATTGGCTTTCCGATCGCTGAGGTCGCGGCAGATGGTACTACCATCATCACAAAACAAAAAGGATCAAACGGCTTTGTCAACGAAGACACCTGTCGAAGCCAATTTCTATATGAACTACAAGGAGATGTGTATTTGAATTCTGATGTGACTGCAGACCTCCGGGAAGTTCACATTCAACAAATTGGCAAAGACCGAGTCAAGGTTTCGGGAGTTGTAGGACAGCCTCCTCCTTCGACCACCAAGCTGGCAATATTTTATAATGGAGGATATGAAATGGAGTTTGTGTCGAATGCCACAGGATATGCGACCGCCGAAAAGTGGAAGCTCTTTGAAGCTCAAATTCGATATTTCCTCAAACTGAGAGGCTATACGGACAAGAACTTTCAATTACTCGATTTTCAAGTCCTCGGTGTGCCGGCGCACGATCCATGGACACAGTTTTCCAGTACGACATATTCCCGTATTTTTGCTCAAGCCGAATCCGAGGAACCACTCAGGATGCTGTTTCGTGCGGTGTCGGACCATGGCCAACAGCATTTCTCAGGTATGTAACTTACACCATCGAACTTAAGTACGGTGCTAACAATTGTATAGGGTTTCACCTTTCGTGGGATCTTCGCACAGTGATGCCCAAGCCATACTTGGCATACTTTCCTGCTATCTATCCTCAGGATTCGCTTAAACATGGAGTTGCCTTGCTTTCTGAGGATGCAAGTGACAAGCAGCGTTTCGATGTAGCACCGCCGAAGAAGTACCAAGTACTGGCTCCGCGAAGCAACTACGAAACAGCAAGTCCAGAAGACCTGAGAGCCTGGGAGACTGTCAAAGCAAAGCTGGGCGATGTTGTTCAAGCTCGTTCCGGCGACAAGGGGGCAAACATCAACATCGGATTTTTCGTGCGAAGACCCCAACATTATCGGTGGCTTCAGTCTTTCATGACAAGGGATCGCATGAGGAGCCTGATGGGTAAGGATTGGAGAGATGGCTACTTCATCGAGCGTTGCGAGTTCCCACACATTACGGCGGTGCATTTTGTCATATATGGGCCCCTTGGACGGGGTGTAAGCAGCTGCCGCTTGCTGGACAGTCTGGGTAAAGGGTTCGCTGACTTCGTCCGCGACCGCATCGTGGATATACCCAAGGTGTTCCTTGATGATATTCCAGCAATCAGGGAAGAGAGATTCGCTTGGAAGCGAGGAAGTGGCTTTTAGGATCTTTGCGGTTCAAGAGTTGTGCTTGCATAGTCCGTAGCATAGGCCCCGAAAACATCTATTCCAAATCACACAAGTAGGAAAGTTTCTGTGTTGAATGCTCGCCTGATTTCTTCCCAAGACAAACCTTCACAATAGATTGGTCTCTGTCTGTAGTAAAGAATGGGGCCCTAGGCGAAAGGGGGGAAGTGGAGTTCGGGCCCACGGTTTGGAAATTGTACGTCCTTCTTTCTTACGATATCTTCAATCAGGTATCTTCTAGAAAGTCTTACGAGATCTTGTCTTACGTGATAATTCTATAGGGCACATGCAGTCAGTGATGGAGCACTCGAGACATGCTAGTCTGAACCACCCTGTGCATGCACCATTTGAATACCTCAAGTCATAGAAGCTAAAATGTCTTTGCCGATCAGGCTGCCCCGTCGGAAGGACTGGTATCAACTTTTCAACTTTATGACCCGAGAGACTCATCATACCCCATACTGACCGATGGAAGGCACATGGAAACCCCAGAAGGGCGTGTCTAGATACAGAGACACGCAGGCGGCTATTGTAGGAGCGGGAATATCTGGTGAGCCTTCGGATCATGCAAGGAATCAACTGAGTAATACTGATGGGTTTCCAACTCTAGGCATCTGCATGGCAATCAAGCTTTTGGAGGCGGGAATAAAGAACATTGTGATAATTGAAAAAAGCTGCGGATTTGGCGGGACTTGGAGGGACAATAGATACCCTGGATGCCGATGCGATGTCCCGGCCCATCTTTACTCATTCTCGTTCGCTCCGAATCCAGATTGGACTCGAGTCTACCCCGACCAAATCGAAATTCTGGAGTACTTGAACAAGGTCGCGGCCGACCATGACCTCTTCCGCTACACAACTTTTGCAGCTGTGGTCCGACGTGCCGAATGGGATGAGAGCAGCAACAAATGGCTTATCGACGTGGAGCACCAGAGCTCCAAGGACTCAGAGTTTGAAAGATCTTTCACTATCACTACAGATTTCCTCATCAGTGCAGTTGGGCAACTAAACGTACCTTACACACCCAAAATACCAGGAATCGAGAGTTTTCAGGGAAAGGTGATGCACACGGCTCGCTGGGCCCACGACACCAATCTTGAGGGTCTGCGGGTTGGAATCATCGGGAATGGTGAGTTCACACTTGACTTCCTTCTACGTTGCTTTTTCCTTTCGATACGGTAGTGAGTTGAGCTGAATCTTGTGTTCACCAGGCGCGACGGCTGTTCAGATCATACCAGAAGTAGCTCAGCAAACAGCGAAGCTCACGTTGTTCCAAAGAAGTCCAAACTGGGTCATGCCGCGCGATGACGAGGAGTACCCGGCACTCACCAGATTCCGTCTCAAGTATATCCCAATGGCCAGGAGCATGTACCGGGTCGGACTGATGAAGCGCGGCGAACTTTTCTGGGAGTCTCTGACCCAAAAGGGCACACCCATGTCCGAGGGGCTCCTTCAATGGTGCCTGGGTCACATGCACTCTCAATTGCCTGGCCGCGAAGATCTGTGGAGGAAGCTGACTCCCGAGTACGCCCCGGGATGTAAGCGCATCTTGATCACGAACGACTTTTATCCTCAACTTTTGAGAGACAACGTCGACCTCGAGACGGCGACGATCCGCGAGATCAATGAACATGGTGTCATTCTGGCAGACGGAAGAACAATTGACCTCGACTGTCTAGTGCTGGCGACAGGGTTCCAGACCCGTGACCTGCTCGGCTCGCTGTCTATACAGGGTGTCGAGAAATCACAGACTCTTCAGACGAGATGGCAACAGGAGGGAGTGCGTACGCTCTACGGGGTCGCCGCCGAGGGCGCGCCCAATTTCGGAATGCTCTACGGACCCAACACGAACCTCGCCCACAACTCGATCATCCTGATGGTCGAAGCTCAAGCAAAGTACATCGAGCGTCTCGTGTCGAAGGTTTCTTCCTACAGACAGGCCGGTCGGCGTTTGACTGTCCTTCCCCGGCCGAACCGAGTCAGAGAATACAATGAATACGTGCAGAAACAACTGTCGGAGACCTCATTTGCGGACAACAAGTGTCAAAGCTGGTACAAGACAGCAGATGGAACCATCACAAACAATTGGGGAGGGAATGTTGTCGACTACCAGACGATGCTTTCAAGGCTGAACTGGGCCGATTATGACTTGGAAGGCCCCGGTACAGACACATTTGCAAGTAAAGCGATCGATATCGGTCGAGTGGTCGAAGAGAAGAGTTCCATGGGCGCATGGTCAGTGATGGCTACGGTAGGAGCTATGTTGGGGCTCTTTGCACTCTTTTTTAATTAGCTGTCCCTCCTCAGGCCAAACAGAGACGAAAAGATCACACATGATGCATGTTCCCTTGGCCTGCTACTGCCCTTTTCGCTCTTCTTGCAAGTAGCCGGCAAGTCAACGGCAGCGCGGGCAGTGCCCATCTTTGAAGATATGAAGCATTCACATGGTGATATAGAATGACGCAGGTCTTGCTACTGAAGCCGCGATAGGTTGCAACATACAAATAGGAGGTTCATAGGCATGAGAAAAGTGGATAAAGACTTTCAGCAAGGATTCCATGTCTGATTCTCCAATCAGTCTACTGTCAGTTACGTCCCGACTTGTCTTCCTTTTCAGATCTCCTCATTCAATTGGCAGTAATGTTTGCTTTCTACTCCTCAGCAGGTTGGGACCCTTTTTCCACCACGACGCCATCGGTTGGAGCGCGTTGGCTGCTGTCGAGGTTGTTACGTTTACCTGGTCGATGAAGTCTGGCAGCCACACCCAATTTCATCTTGTGATCTAGGTTTGGGAAAAAGAGTGCCAATATGCAATTGGTCAGTAGAAGAGCCAGTGCAGTGTAAAAAACCATCCGGAAAGCGTATACAAGCGCCTCCCTGTAGGACGAGACGCCAGTAGCAATGATATCTGGTGTTGCGCCGGGAATCTGTGCGAATGATCCAGTCGAGAAGGCTGCAAGGAATGCCGGCACAGATGATAAGGGCAGCCCGGCTTTAACTAATGTTGGAACAACCTGTGGTGATGTAATTTGGTCAGTTATGAGGAGGCATTCTTTTTCTGCTCACGGCTTTTTGTTGGTACAAATTGCCCTCACTCACCTTTGTTTTTATCGCGTCCTTCAGCTTGTTTTGTAGAACACTCAGGTAGATTGTTGTTGCGACGGTTGCCCATGCTGCACGACAAGTACTGGCGACGCCAACGGCAGCTCCGATTTCTTCTTGATTCTTGATGGAGATGCCGGTACTCGTGACGGAGACGCCTTCCACATATCCTATTGCCACGGACCCTGTGATGATCAGGCCAAGCACAGTAGCTTTGTTGTCGACAGTGACGCATGCGATGCCTCCCAAGAGTGGTGCGGCGATCACAGAGGCGATCACAACCTGGTACTTCTGCCGTCCAATGTAACCACTCATGCCGGCAAGGATGGTTCCAAGTAGAAAACTAGCCGGCGCTGCACATGCGAGTCTTGATCCATACTCGGCGTCACTCGTGTAGAGCATGAAAACCATCTGAGGGAAAATGATCGAAAATCCGTAGTAACAGGAGGCCGCCATGCACATTGTCAGGACATTGACCACCCAGCCTGCGGAGCACGAAGTGAGCATCAGATTTATTCATCTTACTCCATCGTACCACAGGAGAAAGGGAGGGTTATGGGAGGTAACCCACCAATATTTCGAAATAAATGCATCGGGATCAGGGGCTGGGAAAGATTCGCAAAGCATTCCCAGAGTACGAGTGCCACCAGAGAACAACCACCGACAACCATCGTAGCAATGACATGGGCGCTATCCCAAGGGTATGCTGAGCCACCCCAGCTCAAGCCCATGAGGAAAACGACAAGGCCTCCAGTGAATAAGACGATGCCTACCACGTCCATTGACTTGACAACTTCTATGCGAGATTTGGTTTGCTTCATATGGAATGTTGGAGGCTGTAATTCTTAAATCAGTCTTTTCTCGCTCTTTATTGTGGCTAGGGAGCGGGGTATTTGTTCCAGCAATGTGCTAACACGATGCTGTCGTCGAAGTAAAAAGAGATGGAAAGATAGGGGAACTCGAGGATGGACTTACATGATAGAACAAGAACCATCCTAAGGCGGAGACCGCGTTGGTGATGGTCATAAAGTAATAGCACCATCTCCAACCTGCCGAAGTATGCAACACGAAAGCCCACGAGATCATGGGACCAAAGGCCGCCGTTGGTATGGCAAAGACGTACATGAGCGAGACCATCACGTATCTCTGCTTCATGGGGACGAGTTCGCCCACCGTGAAGGGCACTGATGTTTGTACCACGGCTCCCAAGCCACTGAGGACATTTGCGCCGATGAGAGTCTTGACGGTCATGGCTCGAGATGCCACGATTGTGCCGATCAGAGCAAGGATATTACCACCGACCACGAACCAGCGCCGGCCAAAGGTATCCGTGAGCCTACCGACAAGGGTGAATCCCGCGGCCAAAGTCAGTGTGTTGACGACCCCGATCCAGAAGTAGGACGAATCAGGACCAATGTCGTTGTTGATCTGAGTCAATACCGAAGCTGGCAGTCCGTAAGATCCAGTCCCCTAGATAAAAACCAACAATATGATCAGCCTTGGACTGTCTTTAGGCCCAGATCAGTTGATTGGGGGGAGGTGGTGATGGGTATATGTACGGACCCCTATCATGCCAAAGCCTGCGGCCACGATTGTTCCGATGAACATGGTGTCCTTGTAAGGCCCAGATTGAGCAGCTGCCTCTTCAAGCTGCTGCAACCCATCTCTATCATCTTGGTGATGTTCAACTTCTGGTTTGTCCAAGGATGTGGCTCGGTCTGTCAGATCGGCAGCCATTGGAGGAGTGGAGGAGGTAGGTCGGAATATGAAGTGAAGGTAGGGGTGGTAATAGATGCTCAATTTCTCATACAGCAGGATAATTTGACGGAATAAAAAGGTCTGAAAGAGAGACCAGGGAGTAGATATATATAGATGTCAATATACTACGAAGCAAATTACCTACCCCAGATCAAAAGGGTGCCCGTGGAGATCCCAGGGGATGCTTAGACGGAAACACAAGCTTCAGAGCGCGGAGTGCTCTTTGCTCACCGGAGCTGACACATACAGATGTACGTAACGACGACAAACTCCCCTCAAAAAGAACAGGTCTGTAAAGTAAAATCGACCTCAATACGAAGATAGAAAGTGGCACCAAATGCACGATTGATTTTGTGCAAATGCGGACGCGAGGAATCTGCTTTCATCGCCAACAGAGAAGCAGGAGTGTTTTGCGTGGATGTTCGCTGAGGATCGACTTGAAGATAGCACGCATACTGCAAATTCTACATCCTGTAAGGTGCTTCTACCCCTTGAGTGATCCGAATATGCTACTTGGTCAGTGCTAGACTCAACGCGTTTTCATCTTTGATAATATGTTGGTCTAATTGTCGCTTCGGTCTCCTGGTTACTTCTTTTGACCATTCGAACCGGCAGAATATGGACGGTAGTATAGGAAGCTACTTGAGTTCGAGTTATATGTGATGCCAGTAATCTCTATCCTTCAGAATGAGACCTGGCCTTCAAGATATTTGGCCTCTAGAGGATTCACCACTGGAACTTTCAGATTCTCGTCATCCAGGTAGGCTGTTGTATCCTTTCCTTCGACCTGCGAGACGCAATATCCATTGCCCAACCAGCTGAAAGGATTCCCATGCTGTTCATCCTTTAATTCATACTCATAATCTTCCCACCTTGGATTTGACCAGAGATACATGCCATGTAGAGCCGATCCTGGCCAAAGTGCTAAGATACGCCCGTTCAAATGGTGTCTCCACCATGCACGGCACTATCACCAGGGTAATCAGTGAATGAAGATGTCTCAACTGGGGAGCTGAGCAAGCTAGGAGATTGGGTGCTACACTCACACTAGAATTGAAGACGGTAGGCTCGAGATATTTGTCGGTGTACTCGCCAAACTTCTTGATTGCACTTCTCCTGAAGGGATATCAATACTGTCCCCGGCATACAGAGAGCACGTTGAAGCACGTGTGACAAAGAACCTACTTTGGGGTCATTGACTTTAACCACTCTCGTTGCAGTTTCTGGACACACTTGATCATATACCGAGCTCCAAATTCCAGGAAGGGAACGGCGGAACCGACTCCAGGGCCACCATTAGGACCCAAGAAGCAATAATAGTTGGGCATATTCTCAGGAGCGAGACCAACGTAGGACTCTGGTATATCATCCTCCCATTGTTGTTGAAGATTAATGCCATTCTTGCCAATGAGCGGGAAGTGTTGTTGGTAACTTTGGTGAGTTAGATGTGAACTTCCATGGAGGAACTGTCAGGATCAATGACTCACCCTGCAAATCCTGTGGCACAAACGATGGCATCAACCTCGCGCACCTTTCCATCTTTCGTCACAATCGCTGTTGGGGTGACCTCCTTTATGGTCGTTGAGATGAAATTGACATCGTCTCTCACCAAAGCTTCCAGATACTAATAACAATCCCGTTAGTTAACCTGGACATGTGCTCTTTTGGTTTGAGCGAGTACTCACCCCAGGGCCAGGTGTCAGCCTCCTACAAGCCGGAGCGAAATCTGGCTTCAACGCTTCGAAGATCTCTGGTTTCTTTGCCAATTTGGACCTCATGTGGTCCTCGCACATTTTTTGGAATGCCAGGGCGTTGTCGGTACCTTTGTACAACACATCTGATGCTCCATGCAACGAGCGTTCAATCTCCTTCCGATAGTTTAGATAGTTGGCGGGATCTTTCCATGCATCCAGTTCGTCTTGCGGTGTGACAGCTACCTCTGCGTAAGTTCCAGGACATAGTCACTATTGGGCGGTACTTACGGTCTCCACTGCGGTTGAGTACACCTAGTGCACCGATGCCAAAAGGTGGAATCCAGGTTTTCCCTTTCATGTAATGGTCGACGTACTTTGCCTTGGGCGCAATCTGCGGTAGAATCTGTATGCCACTCGCCCCTCCACCAATCAGGGCGATTCTTTTGCCTGTGACATCGAAGTTCGGGTCCCAGGTTGCGCTATGCATCACTGGCCCTTTGAAGCTGTCAAGCCCAGGGATGTCCGGCATCTTCCACTTGTTGAGCGCCCCAGTCGCCGAGAGTAACACGTCTGAAGTGTCTGTGAAAGTCTGGTTTTCGAAGTCAGCCTTGAAACTTAATGCTAAAGCAAGGGCCGAAAACTGTTCTCACTTCTCCAGTGTCAGTCCGTTCCAAGGCGACGTGCCACTTGCCCCCCTCTTCATTCCATTCTGCCTTGGTAACTCGGATGTTGAACTTCATGTACTTGTCTGCTCCATATTTGGTGGCCACGTGCCTGAGATAGTCCAGAATCTCTGCACCTCCGGCCCAGTATCTGCTCCAATGAGGGTTGCTTTCAAAGGTGAACTGGTACGCATGAGAGGGCACATCGCATGCCACTCCTGGGTATCTGGATGAAACTGTTAACCATGTCCACATTCTATTCCAATCTTTTAAACCGACCTAGACTCGTACCAGGTGCCTCCCAGCTCAGGATTCTTATCATAGATGACCAGATCAAGGTTCGCGATCTGCCTGGGGAAAAAAATACCGGTAATGATGCCAGACATTCCCGCCCCAATACAAATCACCTTCATGCGCCGTGGCTGGTCGATGCATCTTCTAGCGAGGTTCCCTGGCTCGTTCTTGTCAAACTCATACGGTGCCAGGGACTTCTCCTCTGACTTCTTTTCACCGTTGACAGCTTTACTAGGGGCCCACATTTTCGTTGTTTGCGTGCGCCGACTAACAAGAGCGATTGCCCGTAGTACGACAATCCTCCCTTGCATTCATAGTTATAAGCCGTGATCCTGCGACGATGCTTCATCATGATGCCCAGTGAGGACATGACAAACTGATAATGACACAAGCCAAAGGCGACAAGTTGTCTCAGGACTTCTGAGCAATAGATCGGAGGGCAGCATCGCTGCACGACTCGATCGACCTGGGGAACGAATCCTCAGTGTGGAGACAACAGCACCAACTCTGACTGTGCAGATGTTACGTACACAACCGGGGAGGGTATGACCCGGGGATCCGACAGCTCATCCCCGACACGCCCAGACTCGATCAGCAGCAAAGTTGTCTGCCACTGATCCTCGGCGAATGAGTGGAATGTTTCCGAAGGTCGGACGATCCACAATCCTGTTCGTGAATGGACAAGGTTGGTACTATTTAGGCTTCATTAATTTGCATACCGAGTACGGACTCAGGCCTCTCACCGTAGGTGAATATGGGGCGCACGAGACTCCACATCCCCGCGTACAATGTACCTGGGGAAAGACCGGCAGCTGCATAAAGGCTCTTTCACTTTCGCCCCTCCGCCTTCATCTAAAACATCGTGCCCGTATCTTGTTAGTGAAATAATTTGTTATTTTCCAACATCTACTATTACTTTCGGACCATAATTCGCGGTATACTGGAATCCGGACAGCTAGTCCCCGATTTACCTATCTCGATGACGCGAGTCGACATTACCACAGATCTTCAGGGTTCCGAGCAAAGGTATGAGAGTCATAAGCGTTGGCCATTGGACACGCTTTACCAAAAATTGCCCTACGTAGGTCAATAAAATTGGCATCGAGCTGACATGCCTATTCCAGGCGCAAACGGAACCGTGTTTCACAGCGACAATTCCGGGAACGCCGAAACCGCCACTTGAAAGAGCTTGAAGAGCGTGTTGAGTTCTTTTCTAAAAATGAAAGCGAGCGGAACGGGAGGCTCATCGCGGAGAACAAATGCTTGCAGAACACCCTTTCACGGACTCAAGATCAACTCCTGCGCATCAAAAATATATTTGATGAACTCTACGAGACGATCCAAAGTAGAGCCCCAATCCAGCCTGCAACTCCTCCAGGAACTCAAGTCGATCGCGTGAGTTAGTGACTAGTAGCTCTGTCAATGACCTACTCACACGACGTTTGCAGTATTCCGCTAGCCGTAGGTCGTGCTTCTCAGAGACCCAGGCAACTTGCGAGTCGGAGCCTGAAGGCGACGATATTGACCCGGGCGAGGGAGATTCCATTCATCTACCAGACAGCTGCGATAACTTAGCTGCAAACGAGTTTGTGTTGAGTCACTATAGCAAGGATGGGGCCGTGAGTCCCAAAGACCAACACTTCATAGGGTTGGGTCATGGTATCTCGCCGCCCCAATATCCAGATGGCGTCGTCGGTCAAGCCTTGGAAGGACTTGCAGTACCGACAGATAACTCAATGTTTAATGTCGATATGTCTGGCGCAGCCTTTGCAGCGTTTATGCCCCCGTTTGACGAAGACAACCTCATAGGCACCTTTGCGGGGCCTTCTCTCCGAGTTCTCTCCGAGCCTCGTGAGGGCCAATTGCTACAAAGGCTCTTCATGCTGATCGATGAGCGACTCACAATGACTATTGGGAGCAGTCTGTCGGAACGAATTGATGATATGACTAATTTGACGGAAGACTACTTGAAGCTGGTAGGCGGCTTTGGAGATGCAGCAATGTACGCCTTTGCAACTGCCCCTATCCGTGAAACTATGTCGAAGCTGACTTTTCACAGAGTGGATCGAGCATGCCTGGCGGCCATGATTGCCTTTGTAAAACATGCCTCTCCCCTTCCGGCGGTGATGTGGTTCACCTCGTCCTGCTACTCTCTCGTCGGCTCCGTTATCAGGGGCCGGTTAACGTCCCATTCTCCCTCTTTCCAGGCACTCCTTCCCAATTATGAGCCCTCGGAATTACAGCTCAAGACCTCACATCCTTCAGTCATTGACTGGATAGCTTTTGCTGGACTTCGAGATAAGTTGATCCAGCATTACAACGATCCCAGAAAGCTTGATCACGTTTTTCTTGACCTCCTGGAGCACCTGGTCGTCGAGGTCACTGACATATCGGTCATCTTGACCGGAGTCGAGTCGGGGCCGGGCTCATTGGGCGTGTGGAATATCTTCAGTGTCATGACCAATGGCTTTTCCAACAAGGATATCCAGGCCCTTTGCACTCCCGAAGCCCTCGAGCTCCGCGACGGCTCCCTCTTGGGGCTGTATCAAATGCATAAGTTTCGATTTCCCAATACATCGTCTCTTTGCCGACACACAAGCTTCGGCAAAGGGTTCTGGATTCCAGTTCCCTTGTCAACCCTTTTGAGTTCTCCGCAACTAGCGCGGCAGCTGTATCATCACCTCGAGGTTTACGACTCGCACAAGTACTGGAAATTTGACGGGGCATTTTTTGAAAAGCATCCCGAACTACAATTCGATGGATTCCAGGACGTTGTAGCCAAGGGGAGGAGTTATCGAGTGGCGTCCCACTGGATCCAGGCAACCCAGGCCCCGGTTTATTTTGTGCCCGAAGGGCTGGATCCCTGCGGAAACCAGCAAGCTGTACACTCGGACACTGTACTGAGTCAAAATTCATGAAGCTTAGTGTAGAATTACCTATACTGACTATCTATGCTGTCTTGAGCAGCAGGAAGGAGAATATTTGTGACTCTGTAACCCATAGCGAAGGTGCAATATTCACGTGTATATGTTATCCGGCTCTCGTCTGGACAATTCCCCGACGACGAGGCTTTGGATCCTACTTTCGTGGTACGGTTCTTTGGTAATGTTGCTACTCTAAATTACCTATTCCACAAAAAGTAGAACAGTAATCTCGTCGCTCCTTGGTACACTGTTGACTTTAGGAGCTTCGATGACCGACAAGGGGTTACGTAAAAGACTTCCTGTGTCAGGCTGCTACGAGACATCTAGCCAGTTGATCCACAGGAAGGAATCTATGTATCTTTTGGAACAAGTAGCACTTGCTTGGGCTTTGCACCTGGTGGAAATTTCCTGCTTAATTCCTATTGTACATTTTACATCTCTAGTCTGTAGACTGACTTCAAAGGATCACGACATACATCGTTAAATATGGGACAACCTGGAAACTCCAGCCAGTATTCGGTTCCACACGAAGCACGTAAAGTTCTGGAAGAAGGCATTTTTGCAAATACATCAATCTCTCATATTCTCCCGACAGAAGCAAAGAATTTTGCAGCCTGCGTCCGTTTTGTGGGATCTGACAAACCGAGCATTCCGATCAACTGGCGTTTGGCAGAATCTGCTGCTGCGCTCAAAGGGCTTGAAGCATGTTTGGTTGCTACACTCCTAAAAACCAAATACCACGTCGACATAAGTAACGCCACAATCAATACAGACCACGCACAGTTGCTGATCATGTCAACCGTGGTCTGGTCTGTTCAGCCTTCAGATGGAAGGGGTGAAGGGCACTCCTTCTCTCTGATCGAGTACGCAAAAGAGCTATTCAGGTACATTCCTCATTACGACTTCCATCGGAGTGCTGGATCTTGTCATCGTGCGGCCGCAACCAACATCTACAAAACGGCTGACGGAAGATACTTTCACGTCCACGGTAGCATGAATCCTGATCCTACTCTGGACTATCTCGGCCTTCCACATGATATGCCCGCCGCATCCCTCCAGGATGCGTGGCCGCCTTACGTTAAACGAGTTTCCGAGTTATCAAGTCGCGAAATTCAGGATATGGCGGACGCAAATCGGCAAGCTGGCGTGACATGCCAGAGTTTCGATTCATACAGAGCCTCAGAACACGGCAAGGCGAACTCGCACGTTGGGCTGTTTGAAATCAAGGACTGTCACAACTCTTTGCAGCCGCCATGTTGGTGGCCAGACAGCCCTCAAACTTGTGCTCAACGGCCTCTAGCTGGTCTCAAGGTGGTAGATCTGTCCCGGATCATCGCAGCTCCCGCAGTCACGCGCGGGCTTGCTGAACTAGGTGCTTCCGTGGTGCGAGTGACCTCCCCCCATCTTCCCGACATGTCTGCTCTTCACATCGACCTCAACTGGGGCAAATGGAATTGCAGCATAGATATCAAGTCTGAAGAAGAACGAAAGCTCCTACGAGACCTTATCCTGGAAGCGGATGTGGTTGTACAAGGATATCGACCTCATTCTCTTGACAAATATGGCTTTGGTCAAAAAGACATAGTTGATATGTGTTTCAAAAGACCTAGAGGAATTCTTTCGGTCCGCGAAAACTGTTACGGTTGGTACGGCCCTCGAAGTATTCGGTCTGGATGGCAGCAGATTAGTGATGCCAGCGTCGGCATATCATGGGGCTATGGCAGAGCCATGGGTCTTGAGCAAGACGAGCCGGTGACGCCAGTTTTTCCCAACAGTGACTATATGACTGGGATAGCCGGGGTGAGCGCCATCTTGACAGCATTGATCCGACGCGGTAGACAAGGTGGCAGTTACGAGATCGATCTCGCTCTGAACTACTACAATCAGTGGCTGGCATCGACAGTCGGTGAGTATCCGGACGACGTTTGGAAAGAGGTTTGGGCGAGGCATGGGAAGCCGGTCTTTAGGTACGCCCGTGATTTATATTTCAAAGATACCTCCTCTGCACCTTGACTAATATTGATTCGAAAAAAATAGGTCATATCATAACATGGAGTACACGATTCCTAGAATGCTTCAAACGTTGAAGCAGAACAGTGGTCGCGTATTATTCAACCCGGAATTTTTCGAGGAAAGTGAGTCCCAAGTACTAAGACTTACGATTAGGACGGTGAAGCCGGCTGTTTCTTATGATCAAGACAAAGTCTCTTTGGGATATAATATTGGTACACGGGGGAATGGGAAGGATGCCGCGAAATGGCCACAGGATCTTATGACAGAAGTCATTGTATGAAATGGAATTTGCTGGTGGTCAGAACCTCAAATACTGGCGTGCTACACTGACAGAACCTGCGAGTAAATCACCTTGGCTGAAAGGTCTGGGTGCTGGGATAGAGCATTTCATTCGTAATTGATGCCTCTTCAACGAGGAATACGTATGGTGTCCCTAGTAAGCGCAAAAGCTATCAACTTGGGCGTTAATTACATCCCAGTCTTTTGTACATATCGTATTGTCGTTTCCTATTTTCGGGTTCGACGGTCAACGATGGACGACTCTTGAATAAGTAATTCATTTCGTTGCTCATGCAATCAAGTTGACGCCGGTGGTTGTTGCGATGCTAAAATCATCGGAGCCGTCGTAACGGCCTCTGAAACCCGGCAACAAGCTGCCTTTCTTGTCGACGACCAGAATCCGATCATTGTTTCCCATGAACATGGAGTCCATTTCCTCCAACGACTTGCCAGACGTCTCGGGGAAGAAGAGAAACACAACGACACCATGAGCGAAATTGAGCACGAAGAAAACCATGTAGGACTTCCATCGGATGTTGGAGATCATGATCGGAGTGACCTGGACGATCATGTAGTTGAAGATCCAATCGGCGGCTGTGGCGAGCGCCGCGCTATGCGTGCGGTGGCGGAGAGGCATGATCTCCGCCGGGTAGAGCCAGGGGACCGGAAGCCATCCGATAGCGAAGACCGCTTCGAACAGGAAAAAGAAGGCCAGCGATGCTTGGATTCGCGTGTTGCTCCCTTCTTCACTTTGGAGAATAGCAGCCTATTACAGAAGTAGTGCGAATAGTCAGTCAGAGAACAGTCCTTCCTGGCGTTTTCTTTGAGGGGGTGTTTGGAGAAAGACCGCAATACTTACGATGAGAAAGCAGAAAGAGCAGACAAAGGCACCGATGACCAATGGTTGGCGGCGGCTGATCTTGTCGAGCCACATCCACGGAATGAAACTAAATACCCAATAGGTCACTGCCAGACCAGCGGCGAGTTGCAAGGCGAATTCGTGGCTGCGGCCGAGATCGACTGTGAGGATATGCGGGAAATAGTACACCTGAGGCGAATTTCAGTTAGTACACGATTCGAACTCTGATCGACTCGGACCCGGAGCGTCCTCACCAAAAGATTAATGCCGCTTAGTTGCTGCATTACCTGAACGCCTGTGTTGAGAACCTGTCAGCAATGGGGTCTACAGAGTAGCAGAATCTGAAATCGAGACTCACCAATAGCAAGTAGGTAGCGTCTACGGATCTTTAGCGGACCACTCCTGAAGCATTCCTTGATGTGCCAGGGGCCATCGGCATGTTCGAGCTGCAATATCTGGTCAATCTCGGCCTTCTTCGTGAGGACGGCAGGATCATCCAGAGGAGTATCGCGGCCTTTTAGTTGGGCGAGAATATCCACGGCTTCTTGGTGACGACCATCTATCTCCGGCTTTTGTCAGGAAGATGTCCACGTGAACGGAGTAGAAGGTCAGAGAGCACGTACGTCTTGCCAACCAACGGGGCGACTCAGGAAGCACGACCACCATTGCAACTTGAGCAATGATGAAGATGAGCTGGGAAGCAATCGGAGCGCGCCACACGACGGGTCCTTTTGCGTAGTACATGCCAATATTGTAGTATGAGGCAATGACGATGCCAAAGGCGATCAAGCTGCCTTCGGCCGCGACCATGCGTCCTCTCGACTTGGCCGGGCTCAATTCACTGACCCAGATGGGAGTCGTGGCCGTATTGAAACCGTTACCCCATCCGCTGCAAGATGCATCATGCAACCGTCAGACCATTTTGATAAGCCAGTATGTGCAGGTACACCAACTCACCATACGACTCTGCCGACAATCATCTGCGGAACACCAAAAGCGCTGGCTTGCAAAATTGCTCCGATGCCCATGAGGAGAGCCCCCACGTAAAGACACTTGCGACGCCCAATCTTCTCGCCGACCAGGAAGACATTGATAGCACCTGCGAAACAGCCGATTCTGCCAACGCGATATGGCAATTAGGGTATGATCAAAGGGCTTCGTATAGGGATTTTCAGTAGACCTACTCATAGATGGCATTGATTGTGCCAAGTAGGGAAGACGATGGGTAGCCGAACTGAGCCAGAAAGTCGTTGGAGGTGTTGATTCCCTTTGTTCTTATGTGAGCCCTCCTTCAGTCATATCTCTCCTTCTCACCAGGGAGCTGAGCTTGATACTTACGCCCAACACCCCTTGATCGTATCCGAAAAGCATGAAACCAATTGCGCCGCAGCCGGTGATCATGCGCAACAAACTCTTGCCTTGGGCACCGAAGGCGAATCGTCCCCGTGGTGCGTTGACGTCGACGTTGTTGGGAACTTGGATCAGAGAAGGGGGAGTATGCTTCTCGTCAGGACTAGAGTCGCTCTGATCGGACCCTGTGGCCTCAACCATCTGAGGAGGCGTGACTTTGTCGTCCATGGTGGTGGTGCTGATTGTGGTGATGATGGATCGGTGCTTGGAAACTGCCACGTGAATCTTCGGTGACTCTGGATATCGATCTTAAATCTGTGCATGAACAAGAGGTCTTTATATAAATCTGCAGAAGGATTGGTCAAGAACCAAGACCCCGGTTCCGAGGAACTTCTGGAGTGGCTCGACGCCATGCTGGTTTGATTGCCCGAGATTGTGGTGAATTGTGGGGAGAATCTGGGGTGAGGCCAACGAGGGCGACTTGGACCTGCCAAGACAGAAACTCGGCGAGGTTTTCTTCTTTTGGGTTGTACAGAGAACAGCAGTCCGAGTATTTCTCTACAGACAATCAAGCCTGGATTACACGGTGGTCTAGTCCGAGACATTACAATCATCTGCCTGGGTCCTCAATATCGACATGTGCCCATCCAACCCTCGCCGAACTTCTCTCTCAATAACTGTACTTCGACCCCTCCACGACACCACTTTCTTCCCCGGAATCCCTCTACTCTGGTAATGGCTCCCCTTCTCATCCGTGCCCCACATGTTCGATGATATTGGTCTTCAACTATGCCATCCACCACCAGCGTGAGAGTGCGCAAGCCAGGCTGGTATGTCCCGCCCACGCGCACTGATCCCGTGCTTCGGCTGGAGTTAACAAGGCTGTAGTATCCCATGCCGAGAGAGGCATCTACGATGTAAGTGACTACTACGACAGGACTCCAAAGTCCTCACAAGAAGCTGAACACATGCAGGTGACCACGCACCGCGATGCTCGAACTGTTGCAAGGCGAGGCGCAAACAAAAATGCGAGTACCCGACTCCCTCACTGAAAATCCGACAAGTCGCTTTCTCATCCCCGGAGCTTTCTTTGGACGATAATACCGCCGTTCCTACAGACCCCGATTTCAATAACAATGTCAGTATCGATGTCGACGGTGACATTGTGGAGTCACCTGGACCGGCACCACACACCTCGTCAGAGGCTATCCCTACCTTCTCTCCTCTTGCTCCGAGGGAGAATGGTTCATCGGCCGATTTCCACCTCATCAACACACCTGTGGCAGTCGCTCCAATTTCTCCCACAGCCGTGAGCCCTGCCAGCTTCAGAGCATCGGCACCCACCATCTTTACGCCACAGGCATGGCACGAATTCGACGAGTCAGTGGTCCAAATGCCGAGGATCACGAATGGCTTCGCTCGAATGGTCATCTCTAGTGGTGTAGATGCTAGGGTGTTTGGCTTCTTTATCAGTCATATGGGGAAGTGGGTAGGTATTTCGGTGTTCACGGAAGCGAAATAGGCCAACGACTGACTCAGTGACTCCAGCTTGACATCGTCTCACCTAGTCGCTACTTTGGAGTGACTATACCAAGACTTGCACTGAGCAACAGAGCGCTCTACTACGCTTGTCTGACTTGTGCGTCGCGTGTGTTGATTCGCCAAGGTACATTGGACAAGACCAAGTGCGACGAGTATGAAGACACGGCCATATCCGCCTTTATTCCTCAGTTGTCGAACCTTGGCCATGCACATGAGCGAGAGACATTACCTGCCATCGCCACAATTCTCAGAATGGCGGAACAATTCTACGAGATCCAAGAGGACACTCGTTGCCATCTCGCCGGCGCTCCGTCGCTGTTCACAGGCAAACCAGATGGTTTTGGTCATGGCAGTGCCGCATTCTGGCTCTATCTCCGACAGTCCATTCGCGCGGCGTTTCTGAACGAGGAACCCTGTAAATTGGACCCGAAACTTGTCCCCGTGGACTTCAACCCTGTCTCCGAAGCCGCCTGGTCTAATCGCATGGCGGTTCTACTGGCCCGGACGTGCTCGGCATGCTGGGCCAGTTCGCTGGAATCAACCCAACAGGAAGTGGAGCTTGATGAGTTACGAATTCTGTTGGAACTGTGGCGGCAGAACGTCCCGGAAACGTTTCTACCATGGTGTAACTATCGGGCAGAGAATGAACCTTTCCCTGTGATACGATACATCAGCCCTTGGCACGGTCGGTATTTGTTCCTTATTGCAGAAATCTTTACTGATGGCAGCTTTAGTGGTCGCCTGGCAATTTTACTATGCAGCGAAAATCCTCATTGGCTCACATCGAACTCCAAGAAACGTGAACATGATCGGCATGAGTCGTTATATGGAGGTGAATCTTACGACTTTGTTGTCGAGAGACATTGCTTTTGTCTAGCCGCTGACCAGCTATACCAGGCCGAGATTCTCTCCCAAAGCAGGCTCCTCTGCGCGATTACATTGTCCTGTGATAGTGTTGGAGCACGTATAAATGGGACCCATCTGGTGGCATGGTGTGCCCAATTCTTCTCCTCGAGCGAGGAGCAATCAAAGATCATCGACTTCCTTCAAAGTTTCATGAAGGAAACTGGCTGGCCCAATCAGACATGTTGTGACCGACTTCATCGCATCTGGAAGGGAGAAAATGTTTCCTGGGCAGGACAATAGTCGCACGGGCATCGTCATTACGGAGTGTTCGGTGTCACCAGTGTCAGGCGTGAGCACATGCACGTTGGTAAGAGAATCTTTTACCCAGAAAAATGGTATTGGGCCCCCAAGTACATTCTCCCAGTCTTTCAAAAATAACGATTACAATCTGACAATTCCAGACCGGTCCCGAACTTCGCATCTTGAACAGTGCCAGCGGTACCCAAACGCGCGTGGACGGCACTACCTTGCCGAATACTTGCCTATTTAGGCAGTCTTCGCCGGCCTTTTCTGTCCGTCGTAGAGGATGTCTGTCTTCTCATCAATATGATCCATCAGCAGTCCCGAGACGATCCCCGTGGGTTTCCTGGTGGGTTTCCTGGGTCTGGGGAGGGGTTCGCGGTATGAGGTTCGATCGCTAAAGAGCTCTGCAGCAGATTTCTGCCTCATTTTCCCCTCTCCTATATAACAATGAAGCATATCTGAACCCGACGACAAAGTATCAACGGAATGGACATCAGCACACTTTGCCACTCCTACACGATTGATACCATTCGAATAATCATACTTTCGACAATCTGCTAGTCTCGGGGCTCTTCAGCGTCAAGATGATGTTACAGCAGGGCGGGTTTGTCTGGAACCATCTCCCACCGCAGACGATCGCCCTTTCCGCCGTAGCAGCAGCACTCATCCTGAGATTCCTATATCCCATCCTGGTGTATATTCTTGACCCTAAAGGCCTACGGAAATACCCTGCACCGTCGGTCGCGGCGTTTACCCAGCTATGGCAGATGTACCATAATTGGCATGGACAGAAATTCTTGGCCGTCGATCGTGTACACAAAGAACTTGGACTGGTTGTTCGACTCGGCCCATCGCATCTCTCCTTCTCTTCGCCTCAAGCATTTAAAGACATCTACGGACATGGAGCCTCCTTGCGAAAGGACACCTTCTACGACAACCAGGGAGGAGGCAATCCCAACATGGCGGAAGCCTCGGACAAGGAAGTCCACCGGGGCAAAAGACGAAACCTGGCTCACGTGTTTGCACCGGGACAAATCACCTCGATGGAGCCTCGCGTTATGGAAGTGGTGAGGAAACTGATACACGCGCTCGAGCAAAAATCAAAAGGTCTCAAGATGGCCGAGACGGACCGATTTGAAGTCACGAATGGCGTGTTCGACCTTCGACCCTGGATGAACATGTTCTCCTACGATGCCATCACCAACGTCTTCTGGTCTCAAACGTATGGATTTCTGGACCGTGGAAACGACGACTGTCTTGCTGAGACGGCAGATGGATCCATCAAAACGGTCAACGCCATGAGTACGTTCCACACCGGAGCCGGACACAGCGTCCTCCTCGGCCATCTCTCACCGTTTTGGTATAATCTCATGCGCAACGTCCTACTCGGCTGGACTCGACGAACCCAATGCGGCAACACCTTTACCGACATGGCACGTCACCTGGCCAAGACACGACTGAACAGTCCTCCGAGCGAACCGGACCTGTTTTCGAATCTCCCGACCCTGCCGACCGCCAAACGTTGTGCTCATCCCATGAGCCTCGACGAGATCGTCGCCGAGAGCGGTGTCATGTTGAACGCCGGCAACGACACGACGCAGACGTCACTGACCAACACCATGTACTTTCTCGCCGCCAACCGGTCGACACAACAAAAGCTGCGCGGCATACTCCAATCCCGACTGGACCAAAAACACATCCCCATTGCTCCTTACGAGATCCTACGCCACATCCCTTACCTGCGTGCCGTTTTGGACGAGTCCTTTCGCCTCCAAACGCCTCTCGGCACCGGTCTACCCCGTCTGACGACTGAACCGACACTCATCGACGGCGAACTGGTCGCTGCAGGTGTGACGGTGTCTGCTCAGACTTGGAGTTTGCATCGACGAGAAGACCTGTTTTACCGTGCGGATCAATGGGTTCCCGACCGCTGGATTCCCGAATCCGGTGTCGCTTCCGACGAGGAACGACAAAACTTGAAGGACTATGTCCTGCCGTTCAGCCTAGGCCCACGGGCCTGTATTGGGCGGAACCTCGCGTACATGGAGTTGTCGATCTGCATCGCAGCAATGGTCCTGGCGTTCGAGTGGGAACTCCCAGAAAAAGGCCAGGCCTTGCGCCACCACGAGAGGTTCAATTGTAATCCGGTCGAGCTGCCGATCCGGGCTAAATGTTTGTTGTGACTTGTCTGCAAGGATTGTGAGAGAACGGGTCTATGATGGTACATGGCGCTGTCTCACATGTAGCGACCGACAAGATTTTGTTGGTGAGGGTCGCCATGATTGAATCAAAAAGGGGGCCAAGATGTCCAAAGTATTCGTGACCCGAGGAACATTACAACATAGCAAGCAGGACACGACCAACCCTCATTATGATCCATCGACATAACAATCCGATATGCGAAGAAAGAACACCACAAGCACTGCCACTTCAAATACACACAGAACAGAAGCTGGGACAGAATCCTCATAATTGTTCATGTCAATTGACATCAACACATCCGAGTAATTTATGGTTTTTTTTGGTCTTATTGATGATATCATTTATTCCGTACAATGTTCAATCTTCATTGACCGCATGCATTCCTATCTCCTTGAAGTGCAAACTCCCCCAAAGTGCAGTTGTGGTGATCATAGGCCAAAAACGCCTTCTACATCCCAATCCCGTCGAAAGAGATAAAATATGTCATACAACATTCTCCGTGTCGTGTGTGACACCGATCGATCGTTTAGGCCTTTCCAGTAAAGTCCACCTCGTCAGGGTACCGGCCACCGTCTGCGGCTTTCTCACAGGTACAGCTTCCCGCGCTTCTTTGACCACAGGCACAGGTGTCACCGGTAGGGGCCGAGTTCTCGGTCGACGCACGGTCGCAGGTGCATTGGCCGGCGGGACGGGCTCCTGTGGAAAAGAGGAGAGTGATTAGTGTGTATTCTGGCAAAGCCCCAGGAGAAGGAAACTTACTGCATGAGCATCGAGCACCTTGAATAGTGTTTTCGGTGGTCTTCTTGTCGCAGGAGCAGTGGAGCGCAGACTGCTTGCCGCAAGAGCATGTGGCTTTCTGGGCGCAGACGCAATCGTCACCACGGCCGCAGCAGGTGGTTGGCTTGACCATTTTTGATTGAGGACGGAGTGTACGGTATTCGATCGTGTTGGTTTTGGAGCGTGTCGAGAATCCTGTTGGACTTCTTGCGAGAGGCAGAGGAAATGTTATGGAGAGTCAAGTTTGTTTTGATGCTTTGTATTATGATCGAAAAAAAACAACGGGCAAGTTTGGAGGGGGGGGGACATGAAGATCATTTATACACATGTGCAACTCCGGCAGTGACGTCGGGGGTTTCGCTTTGTCTGACAGTTATCTTGTGCCTGATTGGTCAGCCTCGCTCGAGACCTCCCTTCAGCCTATCAGCACTTGTGCATTACATTTCAATCATCGATTCCTTCTCGCCCCGTCGTGGGTGGCATGACCAAACGAATTAGTTGCCTGATTCTAGACTTTTTTTTCCAACTCCATAATAAACTTATGATCATCATTGTTATTGTTATTGCAATGGTTTTCACAGGTTCGCCTTTGTACCCGTTAGCAGTGGGGGGAGTCATGTTTGCCATAATCCAGACCACAAGGCTACCAATGCCAAGACTGAGCCTTTTTCTTCTCTCTCTACGGAATGTTGCCGTTCGACACACTTGATGTATTCTCTACAGTAGACACTCGTATCCGCTAAATGCATCCCCGCACAGTTTGTACTGCAGATTGACATCATGGAATTGGTTCAACGTCACGTTGTTGTTTTGAATGAGAAGAAAATCTTCGACCAGGTAAGCTGTGTTATCATCATCTTTGATTGTATGCACTCGTTCGACTACGGAGTACGACTACCCACATGGCTCCATCTGGTCTCGTCATCCTCATGGGCGCTGGCCCAACAACTGCCTCCGGCATTGCAAGAATCCTCGCCCACCCTTCCCATGGCAACATGGCCGTGGCCCTTTTGTCTCGTTCCGCTGACGAAAGCCTCGCTGAACGACTATCACGAGAGTCTAATGGCGGCACCCTACGGGCTTTCCAAACAGACACATCCGAGAGTAGCTTGACGCGAGCCTTTTCGGAGATTCAATCGTGGTCCGAGGCCCAACATCTGGGAAAGTTGAACCTCGCCATCTGGAACATCAAGCACTCCCACAAGACGCCCTTCGCGGACGAATCCCCCGCCAAATTCGGCGACAGTCTACAGACGTACGTCACGGGCGCCATGGTGTTTGCTCAACTCTCGTCGAAGTGGATGTTGTCGCAGTATGCCTCTGACACGACCCCCGCCACCGATTCTTCTCCGTCCGACACGGCAGAAGTCATGATCAAAAAGGGAACCATCATTTTCACGGGTACGTTGGGCGCGTTGCGGACGAACCCAGGTTACGCCGCGTACGGCGCCGGAAGAGCCGGTGTGAGGATGCTGGCGCAGAGTCTGGCGAGAGAATACAGTCCCCGGGGGATCCACGTCGTCCATGCCATTGCGAACGGTGGGATCGTCGACGCCGACACCACCGAGGTTATTTTGACGAAGGAAGGTGAAGATGGCCGGGCGAAAGAGGAAGCTCGGAAGGAGATGATGAGCAAAGTCAAACTCGGCGAGAGGATTCGGGCAGAGAGCGTGGGAAAGCTCTACCTACAGTGCATGAATCAATCCTGTGACTTGTGGGTTCACGAGTTGGACATGAGACCTGCAAGAGAAAAATTTTAGTCGAAGCAGTATGGAAACATCGATGCCGGCAAAATATCCGGCAGAATGCTCCACCTCTCTATCCCTACATTACAGATGTAAGGATACAATATAACACAATCGGCCCACACATCCACCCTCAACATGATCAAATCCCCTGGCAATGAAAACATGTCAGGACAACCTTTCAAGATCCTGAGTTTGAGGTTGTTGTTGTCAAGTTACAGACATGCTCTGAGTGCCCCTGGTGCTTCCTCATCTACTCCTGTTATAGTATAAACGAAAGTAAGCTTTACCATGTGAAATGATATGACGTTATTTACTAGTCTTTCTTTTGTATACATCTAGATAATATACCATGTCATTAGTCTGTAGCGATAAACCCATAAAGTTAGTAAGGATTAAAGAAGCTATTTTAATAAGTTACCAAGAAACTTTGGGACTCTCTTGTTCGCATTTCATAATATCACATGTTCCCATTATCTAAACGCTTAAGTTTCAGTGATAGCAGAAGTGCATGAGGCCGCTCATTCTTTTTCTCTGTCACTTGAAGTAACCGTGGCACGACGAGATAGTATGACCGCCCAGAAGACCAGAAGACATTCGCGTTCAGGTAGAGACACTGCTATTTGGATCTGCAGACGAAAGGGTTGTCTAGATGATGTCCTTCATGCTGATTTTCTTGACAGTGAAGGTCTGGAGCAACCAATGCCGGAAGTTCTCCATCCGAGCCGTGCCGCACTCGCCAAGGGTCACCTTTGGATCAAGATGGACCTTGCCATGGTATCTTTGTACAATCAATAGCAGCTCGGTCCAATCAGGTCAAGTCACATACCCCTCGAAGAGTCGCTGAATGCTTTCAACGTGGTAGATAATCTTCGGTACATACAACGTTGTGAGACAGGTCTCCAACAAAGCCTCCTCATATTTTCGGGCGAGGTCGTCGAGGGTGCAGACATCCTCAGTAGTATGACTGGAATATGAACCCCCAGAACTCAGATTGACGGTAATTAACCTCTTGTGATGAGGCATATAGCTCGATGGCACGAGGAGGACAACCGAAAAGAGTGAAGAGAGATCGCAGGAAGTGACAAATGTGAGGTCGGCATGTGGACGATGTGGGCGATGCTGTCGTACATATCGTTCAGGGCCCGCGCTGCCAGCACAGCTGTGGGCAAAGAGCGAGAGGCATCAAGGCGTCGCGAGAAGAGGCAACTTTCGCCCCTGTTGGAGCGGGGCCATTTCCACGAAGAGGCAGCACGTGGATCAGACGATTTATATTTGAGAGAGCTCCAAGATCTCGACATGAGTTGGAGGTCATGAATGCACGCTGTTGAAAATGTGACGTGAGACAGAGAGACAGGGGGAGGATACTGTACGGAACGGACCAACCCTTGCTGTGGAACAAACCGACTGAGAGAAAATAGGGAAAGGTGGAGCCGGTCGGTGCGGCAGGATACCCAGACTATCCGGGAATTGTTAACCCTCCATATTTCTGAGTCACTGTATGGGTTTCCTCGGTCGCTCGCCAACAAAGTCCTCAAGACGACTTCTTGTTGGTGACATCCTCAAGTTCGTTGTATGTGTTTTTGATGATCTTGTCCACCTAATCCCCTTGCTTGGAGTGGATCTTTTCTAGATCGTGAACGCCGAGTCGACGAAATTTTTCTTTCTTGACATCTTTTTATGTCTGATTTCACTTCTAGGCTCCAAAAAATTTAAGCCCATTAGTCAGGAAGCTGCACGCATGTCGGCCACTACCTCCGTGCTTCCACTCAGGGACGGAGTTGGCCTCTCCGAACAGTCTAATAGTCAAGATCAGCTTCAATCAGCAAGCAGCCGTGTCCAGTTGCAATTCGAGGATCCGGGCCCTCATGGTGCGACTACAGCAGTGCCGGAAGGTGGCTACGGTTGGGTTGTGATATTCGCTTGCTCCGTGATAACCTTCTGGTTCAGCGGCCTGACCGGCTCGTGGGGCATCATACAGACCGCCTTGCTTTCGTCGACACTCAAAGGCACGGCTCCCGCCACCGCTGCCTTCATTGGCAGTCTCGGCATCACGATCTGTGTCGCGTTCGGCCTCGTGGCTGTACGTTTTATGCGGCTCATGGGCATTCGGAATGTGGCGACCCTCGGCATCTTGCTTCTGGGTATCGGAACCTTCACGTCAGGCTTCACGACGAACAATGTCGCCGGACTCTTTCAGACATTCGGCCTTGTCCTCGGCGCCGGCGACTGCCTCTGCTACACGGCCTCCAACGTGATGCCAATGCAGTATTTCAGTAGGCGTCTCGGTCTTGCCAATGCGGTGGTCAAGTTGGGCGGAGGCCTCGGCGCCACCATCCTGTCCATCTGTACCGAGTCGTTGATCAATGAGGTCGGCGTGGCCTGGACACTCCGCATTTTGGGGATGATGATCATCGCAACCGGAGTCCCGGCGGCGTTGGCCATCAAGGAGCGCACTCGCATACCCAATGTCCCGGTCCTGGATTTGACATTGTTCAGGAACATTCCCTTTGCGGCCGTTTTCCTTGCTGGCGCCACGCTGACCTTCACCCTTTTTGTCCCGCCCTTCTTCTTACCACTCTTCGCCAGGTCCGTCGGCTTCTCCAGCAAAGTTGGCGCTGGTCTGGTCACCGGCTTCAACGCGTGCAACACCGTTGGGCGCTTCCTTGCTGGCCCGCTGTGTGACCGCATAGGGCCACTCAATACATTCGCCATTACCGTCGTGCTGAATGCTGTGACGACACTCGCCATCTGGCCCGTCTCCTCAACTCTTCAGGCGCTTGTTGTCTTCGCCACGCTCAACGGTGTTTCCAATGGCGCCTTCTTCACCACACTGCCGATTGTGGTTGTATCGATGGTGGATCCACGGTTTGCCGCGACCGGCATGAGCCTAAGCATCACCGGCTGGACTGCCGGGTATCTCATGGGCACGCCTATTGCGGGATTCTTGTTGGAAGCAAGTGGGGCAGCAAAGGATGGTTATCGTGGGGTTGATGCGTACCGTCCTGCGATCTTCTATGCGGGTGGCATCGCGACAGTGAGCTCGGGGTTTGTACTTGTCGCAAGATTATTCGTCGAGAAAAAGTTGCTCAAAAAGGTATGAAAATTTATCTACTTGAACAAGAGTGTAGCCGACTTTCCTCACCCTTGTGTACTCCTGAAGAGTGCAGGCGTCTGAGTGGTAGATTGTGAAGTCTGGCTAAGCGCTATGCTTCTCACACTGATAACGTCACCCAGTGATGGTAATTCCGTGAGGTGTCATCCAATAGTTCTGTCAAGAAAGCTACTAGGTATGACGGAAGTCTGCTGTCTGTCCTTATTCCAAACATACCGTGTCGATTCTGTCACTATCAAGCGTGATTTCATTTAATCAAGAGTATTCCTTCAGTGTTGAATCTCGATTAACTTGTATGTTCACAATCAGGTTTCTCGTGACCTGATAGATCTCTTTGCGTAGGACCTTCCCGCGGACCGAGTCATCTTCATCTGCTCTAGAGACAGCATTCTCGGCGTAGTGAATAGCCAACGGGAGTTTGTCAGAGTTTGCAGAAGACGCATGATAGGCGTGGTTGAGACAGAGGACGAGTTGGTCCTCGTACATGGACAAGGTGAAACCTTCTCCCGGGTATGCATCGATAGCTTCAGTCGCGAGGTCAACTGCTGATTGCAAATCCGCCACGTCAACAGCCAGCATGACACCATCGTCACTGCCTCTCTTAGACCGCAAACGATGCAGGTAGCTCATATTGTGAGCGCACACAGCCCTATCCGTACCCTCAGATTCATCGTATATATCCGTCCCAAGCTCGGGAGCGGAATCCACAGGTGCGATTTCTTTCAGCAACAGAGATCATATCTCCCATAAGGTTGCTCTTGCACATAAACCTGATATTTAGGTCTTCGACGGTGTCCATGGCAGATCTGGCGAAGTCGACAGGGGCAAAGATATCGCTCTGGACTCGAAAGGCGTCATATCTCAGCCCAAATGCCCGACCTGGATTGCTCATAGCTCTGGCACGATCACCTGCGTCAGCACGCGAGTTATCTAGCACTTGCTGGCCCACTTTTTCGGCCTCGTCAATATAGCCACGTTTTCCGTAAGCATCAAAGGCAGAGCACAGGGTATTGCATAGATCTGTGATTCTTGCACATCTCCTCGCATTGCCGATCGCCGTGGCGTTGACTGCAGTACGAATAGCTGTGATTGCATGTTGTAGATAGGTCTTATTTCCTTCAACTCAAATCCCGTCAAGTATGAGGCCAAAAAATCCGAAGATGGCCCAGGAAAAGCATCATCACAAGAATCTATCCTCTTGAAGGCTTCTTCGCCAGCCTCGAAGGCCTCTTTTGCAATATCGGGATCACATTCTTGCTCAACGAGTTCCGATAAGGCGTTGCTCAGATTCAACCAGTAAACGACAAGTTCCATTGGCTCAAGTTTTCCTAAGCAAAGACATTCTTGTAGAATGCTATGACACCCTGTAAAGATTCCTCATTTCCTGAATCAGGAAGCATGATGGGCTAGATACTCTCTAGATGTGATATCCATGATCAAAAGGTAGTTCAAGTCGGCCTTCGGGAGATCGGTGGCCATGAGGTTCTAGATCCGAGACCTTTGCTCCTAGTCAGAGGCCAGTCTGGTTACCTCGTATTGGCTCACATGTTTGACAATCCAGCCATGTGAATACAGATCAGACAGTCGATGCATCTTCCAGCCATTATCTTCAATCTTAGCTTCCTGTGATTTCTTATCAGTAGAACTTCCTTTCAGAAAAGAATTCGACCAAGACACTCGCATACGACACTCGAAATGAAGCACCCACACAACGTTCTTCCTCACCCCCTTGCCCGCGACGCGCTTGAGTGCAGCAACATCATCAGTAATATCAAACATCCCAACCAAGACAAATTAAAATCTGATAGGTCGAAGCTCTTAGTCGGCAAGGGCATACGGAGTACTTGTGACCAACATAGCTGACTTCTCTGATCTCCAACACCATGATCGTGGGATTGGTCTGAGCGCGATTCTCTCGCGCCTGTTCAACACCAGTGTCGCCTCAAAACATGATATGTCTTTCGCAACTAAGAAGGTAGTTATCTACGAGCTTGACAACTCGGACGCAATATTCGCCACGCTCTGTGCCGACAAGGCGTTTTAGCAATGGTTCGAAAAGAGAATCGAGAAAAAAGACCTCTTCTTAGTTGTCGGGCTGCAGACTGTGGCGGACACCGTATTTGGGCTCAACTCGGAAGGAGTGAAAGCGGCATCAGCAGGCGCAGTCCTACAGACTCAGCAACAGGGTGTAGATGTTGCGGTAAAAGGAAGTGTGCAGGAGGCAAATATACTCCGTACTGGTGGGTGATGTTCGGAGGAGGACCTATTAAATACTATGGTAAAGGCTCTTACAATTGGTTGGAACGCCAAGAATGACACAAACGAGACACTCTTCGACCTTCTGTTTGTCTTTAATACATCTTCGAAGAATAAAGCACTGTGAGGATATCGTCAGAAGGCATCTACATCTATGAGAGCCGACACCAACTGTCCCAGCCCAATCATCCCCGACCAGCATTGAGCGCCGAATGTCACAGTAACACCGGAAGCTCGGACGGATTCGAATACCACAAGTACTTTCCTCGTCGATTAGATCCCCCAGCCCTTGAGATGGTCTTTTTGGTCCAGGAATCAACAACACACAAGCTGCTGTTCAGGATTGCGGAATCCCTGCCATCTCAGCGAGTGTTTGGTATGTCAAGATTGTCCTAAGTGACCGCCGTCGTTCGAAGCATGTGATGATCACCACAACTGCATATCGGTGCCCATGAAGTGCCTACCGACAGGGAGTACCACCATAGGCCCTTTCGATCCAATCGATTTCTCATACGATATCAGCATATCATTCCAAAGTAGCAAGCTGTCCCCGGCCGTGGCCATTCGTACCGGTGCAACCCCCCATGAGTGACGTGCCATGCTTTCCTTCCCTGATTCAGCTTTCTAGATCTTATCTTTCTACTACCTCGTCCGAGACCGCAAAAAGACTTGAAGCCGTGGACGTCATTTTCGCGGCCTAACATCTAGTAAGCGAATGGCTACCGATACTTGCGAGCCAGCGGCCGATAACAACTTTGGCCCGGTTATAGCAACATGTGCTCGCTTGTTCGACTTCACACTTCTCTTTGAGCAAAGCATCCTGTCAATCCCGGTCGATGCTCTGTTCGTCATCGCGGCAGGATGGAGGACCTGGTACCTGCTGTTCTCAGACCGCAAGGCCGATCCCGGCCGCGGAATTCTGACGGCGAAGCTCATGGGCACGTTTGGGCTGATAGGGGCGGCTCTTGTTCTTCTCGTCATCCAAATTACAAACGCGCACAAATTGACACATGCCTCGATACCTTCGGCGGCGGTTACGTTGGTGGCGTCCACGATGCTCCCAGCGCTGTCATATCTGGAGCATGTCAAGTCGATTCGGCCGTCCACCTTACTCGGCTGCTATCTCATGTTGTCCATTGTCCTTGGCCTCCCGGAGCTACGTACTCTATACCTGATTCCCGGTACACATGCAACCGCTACGGCTTTGACGGTGGTAACCTGCTTGAAAGTCTACCTCTAGTGCTGGAAGCACGGGAGAAGAGGCGTTATTTGGAGCCAGGTTATCGAGATCTGCCCCGGGAGATGACTTCTGGGATCTTCAATCGCAGTCTGTTCATCTGGCTGAATGCCTTGTTCTGGTCAGGCTTCCGGCAACCCGTAGACCCTGAGGATCTCGGTGTCACCGACCTGAAGCTTCATTCCAATGCCTTGCACGATGCAGTGAGAAGGCAATGGAAACGTCAGCGGCTTGACTGCTGTGTTCCGTTAGCAAGGGCCTTGCTTAGGGCCCACAGACATCCAAGTCTTGCTCCTGTTCCAGCTCGATTGTGCTACGCAATGCTCCTGTTTGCGCAGCCTTACCTGATTCACCGAACGATTAATTTCTTGCGGGAGCCACATACGAGGATGGGAGAAGACATCGGCTCGGGGCTTATTGGTGCAACAGCAGTGATATACATCGGACTGGCTGTACGTTCTGACTCTTTGCTTGAACCGCCTCGAACTCGACGGCTGATTTTAATCGAAATGTAGATCTCTAACATGTGGTACAAACACCTGGTCTACCGAAGCATTGTCATTATTCGCGGGGCACTCGTAGCATTGATCTACTCCGAATCGATAATCATTCTTTACGACGCCGAGGATCCACAGGCCGCGGTGACGCTCATGAGCACCGACGTCGACCGCATCTGCCAGAGTCTCGCGTTCGTTCACGAAGTATGGTCTCGAACCCTGGAGCTGGGCATTGGAATCAGTCTTCTAGCCCTTCAGATTGGGTGGGTCTCCATGATGCCCATCGCCGTGGTTTTGATAAGTGCTCTTCTCGATGCTCGAATTACGGCTTCAATCGGGGGCCAAGCAGGAGCGTGGGCGGCTGCGGTACAACAACGCATTTCATTGACCGCTGGCGTCTTATCGTCTCTGAAGAGTGTTCGGATGCTGGGAATCGAAAAGGCAATGAGTCGAATGATCCAGGATGAGCGGCACAATGAGCTCAGATTACAGGCCAAGTTTCGCTGGTCCACCGTCTGGCTCAACACGATAGGTAAGTTCCTTTTTTCCAGACAAGACGAAGTGGGCATTGTTGCCTCCTTTGCGCTCCATACTTGTCTACCATCAGCGACTGATAGGGCTTCAGGAAACGCCCCCACTGCGCTCGCTGCCGCCGTGACGTTTATCGCATACGCGATAAAAGCCCGAGGGGACGGCACGCAGTCGCTTGACGTTTCTCGAGCGTTCACCAGCCTGGCACTCATATCTTTGGTGACGACACCGGCAAACGAGCTGTTGACTGCCGTTCCCTTCATGGCATCGTGTTTTGGATCGCTCAACCGAATTGAAAAGTACCTGACGGAAAAAAGACACCAATCTGGTAGTGGCATCTCAACCACAACGGACTGTAACCCGCAGGACGAGATTCGCTTTCCTTTGGCTGAAAAATGTCACAACAAGCCCACCGCTCTGCTGCGTAATAGTTGGCTCGTTGATGCTTCTGACACAAAGTCAGATATCAAGGAAGTCGACCTAGTACTCTATCCGAGCTCGTTAACAATAATCACGGGCCCAAGTGGATGCGGAAAGTCGACTTTTCTCAAACGTTTCATCGGCGACTCTCGACACGTTCAAGGAACGCTCTCGATCATGAGCAGCAAAATCTCCTATTGCCCTCAGTTACCGTGGCTGTTCAGCGCCTCCATACGTGACAACATATGTGGGGTCAAGCGAGCCCCGGTCGACATGAAATGGTACTCTGAAGTCGTGAATTCATGCTGTGTGACCCCTGATCTCTTGGAGATGCCGAATGGAGATCTCACCCTCGTCAACGGTCAGGCCGTGAGCCTGAGTGGAGGCCAAAGACAGCGGATTGCCCTTGCGAGGGCACTCTACCATCGGCCAAAGCTGCTTCTGCTCGACGATGTCCTCAGTGCCCTCGACGCAGACACCGAGAACAAGATCATGAACAAAATGCTCGGATCTAGAGGATTATTCCGGAGACTCGATGCTGCTGTCGTGTTGGTTACACACGCGACAAAGTACGAATCCGCCGCAGACAACATTGTATCCCTCAATGACTTACGGCAGGTCAGTGTCCGGACAAACATTCAATCTCATACCAAAAGCGAGACACTTGTCGGTGACGAAATCTATTCACAGGCCGACGAGATCAACCTCGAAAAGACTGCAAATGAACGTCAAGAGAGCCCCATCCAAGATCACCCAAGCACAAATTGCACACGGGAGAGTGGCAACGACCAGCCCGAGCCGATTCGGAAGAAACTTGATGGTGATTTTGCTGACTACATTTACTATTTCAAATCGGTACGTGGGGTTTGGGTGCTCACATTCTTTGCGTTTGCCTCAAGCAATACCGTGTGTTACTACACCTCTCAAGTTGTTTTGCAATGGTGGACAGCCGACAACGGACACCACGAATCGAAATGGATGCCACTCTACGCCTGTCTGGCGTGTGGCAACCTGCTCTTCTTCGCGCTTCTCTGCTGGACCATGTTTCTTCGACTGGTGCCACAATCGGCCTCATCGCTGCATCAGACACTGCTTGATGCCGTCATGGGCGCATCTTATCCCTTTCTCGCTGGCGAGAACGGACAGGTGGGGGCAATCCTCAACAGGTTCAGCCAGGACATGACCGTTGTCGACACGCAGCTACCGACTGGATTGCTCTGCAGCATCGTCTACCTCTTCTGGGGGTTCGGATCGCTCGCCCTCATATCGACCGGCTCGAGCTACATGGCGGTGACTGTCCCCGTGGTGTTTGCCGTGCTCTACCTCTTGCAAAAAGTCTACCTTCGCACATCGCGCCGCCTGCGACTGCTGGACCTCGAAATGAGAAGTCCTCTGTATTCACACTTCCTCGACACCCTTGCTGGTCTGTCGAGTATCAAAGCATTTGGTTGGGAGAATAAGTTTACGGAGGAGATGATGGGTCGGCTCGACAACTCACAACTGCCGTACTATCTTCTGTTCTGCGCTCAACGATGGTTGAACCTTGTACTTGACCTCATTGTTGCGGGTCTTGCGATTGTCGTGGTCACGATGGCGGTCAAGTTGAGGGCTGCCTCGGATCCGAGTTCGCTGGGTCTTTCACTAAACAACATCTTGAGCTTCAACGAGATCCTCTCGCTCCTGCTGCAATTCTGGACGCAACTGGAGGTCTCCCTTGGAGCCATTACGCGCACACGGGAGTTTGCTCGGACAACGCGAGAAGAGGGAGCCCGAGGGGAAGATAAATGTCTGGGCCGAAAGAGTTCTGCATGGCCTGAGCATGGCGCAATTGAGATTCGAAATCTCCGAGCCGGCTTCAACGACGAGAGGATGATCCTGGACGGGATCTCCATGTCAATCCGTCCTGGAGAGAAAATTGGCATTTGCGGCAGGACGGGAAGCGGAAAGAGTTCCCTTCTCCTCACGATCCTGGGCCTCCTCGAGCCCTCGACAGGAGGTTCGATATCGATCGATGGGGTTGACCTCAAAAATCTGTCTAGGGACGCCGTCCGCGAACGCATCATCACCATCCCACAGGATGTTTTCCTTTTCGCTGGGAGCGTCAGACGAAATCTCGACCTGGGTGCCTTCTACACTGACGCACAGCTGGTGACCGTCTTGTCAAGAGTAAACTTGTGGCAACTGATTCAAGTACAGGGTGGTCTAGACTCGGCCGTGAGATCTGACGCCCTGTCCCAAGGGCAGAAGCAGCTGTTCGGGGTGGCACGAGCAATCTTGAAGACCTCGATACCTGCAGCGACGATGACTACTGCTGCGATACATGGACGTTCTGTACAACGACCCGAGGATGGAGCTGCCCCGGCCACAGCGGGAAAGGTTGTCCTCCTTGACGAAGCCACCAGCAATGTAGACCGAGAGACCGACGCCTTCATGCAACGCGTCATCCGCGAGGAGTTCGCCACTCACACGATGATTGTGGTTGCTCACAGACTCGACACGATCCTGGACAGCGATCGCATCGCCGTACTCGACGGGGGTAGGCTGCGGGAATTGGACACGCCTCGAGCACTATTGGCGCGAAGAGATTCGGCGTTTTCGGCCTTGTATAAATCGAGCAAAAGCCATATGACGGCGGGAGTGGAAATGTAGGGAGCTTCGTCGGCACCTGACGGTATCTCAATGTCACCACTGTAGAGTAGAGATTTACCAGATAGATTTCGTGTCAACAATCATGCTTGTACCTTTCTCCTGAAATCTACTTGCCTTACTTTATCTGGTCAGTCAATTGCGTATCTACTTGAATGTAGCATCACAATGAGCTTTGATTCGCCTCAGCAATGAATTTGTTTGGGGCGAACCCTTTGGATCTACTGGTCCAAAGGCGCGTGAGAGTAGCGCCAAGATTTACCTGCCTATTTGGTGTTGACCAAGTTGCCGCAGTTTATCCGAAATTTACTGACTTTTCGAAAGCTGCGATTCTTCCCTCGACTGTAACAGAATCAGAACATTTGGCCATCACCTCGAATCTGAGGTCAATCGTTTCCTACTGTCAGAGTATAGTAACCCGGAGTCCAAGAGTGTCAAACAAAAACCATGGACACTCTCTCCGGCTCTGTATGTCGCGCGTGCCGGCTGCGCCTGTTCAATTCTCCCACAACCCAGGCCACCCGGACCTTCACGTCGACCTCGTCACGTCTGCACATCCCCCCGGAATCTCCAGCCTTCATCGACGTCCCCGGACCTCATCAGCCCGTCGGCGAACCGAAACCCGTGGTGAAGGGTATCCTCCCTGTCCCACGCGAGCTCTTCCCGCGACGCCGTCCCGACAAGCCTGGCAAAGAGTACCTCGCCAACGTGACCCGCGACCCTTTACCCAAGAATGTCCCACCGCCCGACCACCTCACGGAGATGGGAAAATACAAACAGCGGATGGCGGAGCTCCGCAAGACCCAGCTCCGGCAAGGTCTCGAGGAACTGCACGCCCGGAAGGTCCACATCGACGGCCAGATCGCCTGGCGGAGTCAGCAACGCCAGAGACAGAACGCGAGGCTGATGACCCAGGCCCAGCGCGAGGACGAGAGGCTCACCAACGCCTCGGTGCCGAGCTCGATGAGACCCCAGAAGGTGCACGACCTGTCGCCCGAGGAAGAGGAGGCCATCTACGCCGCCCGTCGGGAGGCCTACCAGGCGAGGCAGGCCGTGAAGCACGAGGAGCGCCTGGACCGGCTGCACACCCTCTACATGAACGCGAGGCACTTCATCACCACCAAGGAACAGTTGACCGAGGCCATTGACCAGGCGTTCCAGACCACGAAGAGCATCTGGGACCGACAGGGCCCGCCTGACACGGTCGAGGACATGATCCGGCGAGGAAGGGACAGGACCGGAGACCAGGGTCGCGGTGGTTTGAGGTTGTCGTCGGAGGTCAACGAACGGGTCATGAAGGACCAGGAGCGCATGCAAAAGATTGCCGAGAAGTTGAGCGGTGGAAAGATGTAGTTTTTGCCCGGTCATTCACAAAGCCGAGGAAAGAGCTAGACACTTTAACAAAACTAAGCAAAGTTGATGCGTTGGTGCTGAATCAATTTAGAGCGCCATGTATTGTACAGGTGTGACTAGGTACCTTGTATAAGTAAATATTACATGATTTCCTTCTGATGTGTGATTTATATGTTGTACACAGAGATACCCTGTACCTGATTCTCGAGCGCCGGTGACTGTACATGCGCAGGCATGCTCTCTTTCGCCTTCGAGAGAGATCTAGTTCATAATTTTATATCTGTAATATAATGTTGGCAGTTCTGCGACGAATTTTGACTCGTCCGACGCTGACTTGAGATAGTATCCTCTTCTAGCATCTGACCTGACTCTTGTGCGTAAACGGCGGCGTTGCTTAGATTGTCGCATTTCATTGCCTTACTCCACGACGCCGGTGTATCTTGTCCCAGCTCAACTCTGGGAGGATGACATGATAGCTTACATAGGTAAGATCGCCCTGTTGCCTTCCACGAGCCTGGCGAATTGCCCGGAATGATAGGACGCGGTTTCTTGAAGGTTTTGGAAGCTGACTTGCAGAACCTGCTTGGCAGCAATTTAAAAGTCGTTCAGCCCAATGCTCTTATACCAAGGCCGACACTCTTGGTCTCGAAAAGCTCAATCAAGCCGGCTCCCAGACATTCTTCAACAACCCAGTCGAAGTTCAGACCATACAGGTCTTTCCATTTTTTTGTCTTGGCCGGCAGAACAGCAGAGAACTCTCCGCGGAGACGCTTTGCAGACGAGATTCGGTTGTCAGAATCAATGGCACCATCCCATCGCTCCCGCAGGAGGTACAAAGGGCCTTCCTTATATTTGGATTTCCCCAGGAGCTCAAGCAGATGGGCACGTCCAGCATTGAGTAACCTGAGGTAGGGGCCCAAGTTGGGTACGGACAGTGTCAAGTCACTTCCTGTGGTGCTCTGGGGTCCAGAGGTAGGGCGCTTCGCACCGCCGGTCCCACCCAGTTCTTCGAACGCTGCTTCTCCGCCCACGGCGTCAGAAGTACCAGAGGCTGCACGAGAAATCTTTGGCATGCCCACCAGAGATGAACCTGCCAAGGAAAGGTTGCGGGAGCCAGACAGAGAGGAAGAAACAAGGAAGCCGGTTCGCGTCAAAGCAGTCACATGAGACGCTGGTAGAGCTTGAGCAGAGACTGATGTGGCCCTAGGCTGATGCAAAAGAAGGCTGCAGAAATCAGAAATAACCTCTGTGGCAACTCTACTTCGCTCCAGCAGGAGTCGCAAATCGTTCATTGTGATCAAGACCTCACTAGTACCACTAATGTCGTTACCTCGACCGGTTACCCTGAGCTTACGCACCTTCCCGGCAGCCTGAAGCGCGGCGAGCTGGCGCTCGGTCTTTGAAGACGCTGATACGACAGCATGGACATGAGCCAGCGACACCATAGCAGGGAGGTTCTTCTGGAAATTCAGAACCTCGGCGATGCGGACGCTGTTCATGCCCGCTCGATCTGGAATAGGTGCAAACATGGTAGCACGAGCATGTTGCATAGCGGAAAGAACATCCTGGGCCCCATCGATGGACAAAGTGGGGAGGATTTTTCCAGTAGCGTCTAGTCTTTCTTCGTCCTCGTCGCCATCGTCGAGACTTTCGAAAAGTGGCTTTGTCCTCGAAACGGATGCTTTGGTGCGTGGAATGTTCGCGAAGGGCGAGGCAGAATGACGACGGGTATTGTTGTTGTTGAGGGATCTTTGACCCGGCTTACTGACGCGGGAGGAGTGGGCCCCGGTCAGATAGAGAGGCATCGTGGATGGAAGGGATGAGGAGGGAAAGGTCGGATGAGGATGGGAGAAAGAGCGAGTAGAGTTCACAAGAGGGAGCAGCCAGCCGAGTCGAGAGCAAGGAGCACATGCTTAGATGCATCTCTCGACAAGGCAGTTGTGGTGTCGGCCTTTGATTTGACTGGATGGAGAAAAAGTGGTATGAGACGTGCAGGCGGAAGAAGGAGGGACGAGAACGAGAAGAATTGGGCTCGCCAGCCTGCAGTCCAGAGCGATACGAGTACGAGACCTCCCTAAATGTTGTTGGAAAAGAGTTTGATTATTACTGGCGAGGTGATGCCACGGAATCCATTGCCGGGCCACTGGAAAGGACAGAGAGCAGCTCAGCATAGATATGTACAATAAATCCGCTATCTTGGACATGTTAGGCGGCAGTGCTCCTTCGATAACGGTGTCTAACTGGCTCTTAGACGCTGGTTTCCGGGCGGGCTATTAGCTAACAGGCCCCTCTATTGCCCTCTTTGTGCAAGGTGCGACTACTGCAAGCGATTAGGTCCATTATTTCAAGCCTGTTCCTGTTGGCACCTCATCTGTCATCCCCACCACGTGCGTCATTCTTAAGAGCTTCGTGTCCCGAAAAAAACCTGCCGAACCGGCTTGAAGTTCTGTTTCGTGTTTCTTTGTATACAGAACATCGTCGTGGAATCGTGGAATCGTGGAATCGCGCGATGCACTGCTAGCAGCTTCTCCTGCCATGACGGCGTTAGTGTAACCCAAAGCACATACAATGGTCCCTTCCTACTTCCCCATGCTGAACCACAACGCGTAACGCGAAATTCATTCTCTTGGGCACCGCTCCGCCCGGGACATTGCTCCGGTTGAAGCCAATTCATTCCAACCCGACGTACTGTTGCTCACTGCTCACTGCTCATTGTTCACTATACTCTTCTACTCACTACTCGACAATCAATTCTTTCTTTTCTCTCCTCTTCTTCTTCTCTTCCACTTCTGATTGTGTCGTTACCCACCGTCTCTTTCCAGTCCATCCTCCGTCTTCCTCTCTACGTCCAACAGTCGCACCTCGACGTCTTCCTATTTTCCACCACCGGATTGTCTCTCTCAGAGCGATTTATCTGACACTTGTACTCCTCCTCGAGATATACTTGTCATTATCGCCCCTATGCTACAATGACGATCTTCGTTGCAAGCCTCTTCTTGCCGTATACGGTCAACTTCGATGGCCCGCCATCCTGGACTGGCTCGGGGCCCGAGTCCCCAGAGATACACAAAGCCGGCTCCAGCCTTCCAGTCAATGCCACTTCTCCAGTAGCCTTATCTCAGACACCCAAAGCAGACAGTCTATCCTCTGTCAGCCTGTTTACACCCAAGTCAAATGCGGCCATCCCCACAGCCCTCACCAAGACCCCAGACTCCTTGATTCAGACACCAGGAGCGACCACCGATCATGAGAGTATCTTCCGTCCTCATGTCCAGCGTCCCATGGCGCTATCCCTTCCATCGCACGTCAAGCAGAAACAAGAGCAGGGTCAGAAGGTGGTCGAGGAAAACATCCCGTCGGCTGCACGTCCAGTAACACTCAAAGAGCTTCGAGGCATCTCCCGCCACGATATACACTCTCCGGGATGGGGCAAGAGCTTTGTATGGAATCAGCCACCGTCGAGGGCCAAGTCACCTCCACCAAGTTCGATTCTAAAGCATGCGGCGGTCGAGGTTAGGGAGAAGGCTGCGGCTGTGCTACAGAAAGCCCAGAAGAAGTCGGGGCGAGGCGGGCATCGAAGATCAAGGACAGTCAGTCACGACCGCCGGTTTTCGGAATTCGACTACACTGTGGAGAAAGCAGTCATAGGCAACGGAGGCCTATTCAACGCCATTGATGCTGCTGCCGATGCCGATCTACTCGATGAGAAGTTGTGGGTAGGCACTCTGGGGTGTCCCATTGATGTCTTGGAAGACCACATGAAAGAGAGCATCGCAGAGAAATTAGAAAATGACTATGACTCTTTGGCAGTCTACGTCAGTGACAGCGATCTCAACGGACACTATGAACACTACTGCAAAACCATTCTATGGCCCGTCTTCCACTACCAGATCCCCGACCACCCAAAAAGTAAAGCATACGAGGACCATTCGTGGGTCTTCTACGTCAAAGTCAACGAAGCGTTTGCCGATCGGATAGCAAACAACTATAAGAAAGGAGATATCATTTGGATCCATGATTATCACTTACTGTTGGTGCCGGGCTTGCTCCGACAAAAGCTTCCCGAGGCTGAGATTGGTTTCTTCTTACATACGGCATTCCCATCATCTGAGATTTTTCGCTGTCTCGCAGTCCGATCAGAGTTACTGGAAGGTATACTCGGCGCCAACATGATAGGATTCCAGAACGATGAGTATGGTCATCACTTCCTGCAAACTTGTAGCCGCTTATTGAATGTCGAAGCCACCAAACATGGCGTCATCCTTGAAAATGGTCGTTTCGTCCATGTTAACACCTGCCCCATAGGGATTGACCCGAAAGCTCTCGATCAGCAACGCCGGGCACCAGAGGTACTCGACTGGGTCAAGACAATACGAGAAAAGTATCGAGGGAAGCGTATTCTCGTCGGGCGAGACAAGTTGGACAACATTCGGGGAGTTCGTCAGAAGATTCTCTCCTACGAGCTCTTCCTTAACAAATATCCTCAGTACAAGGATCAGGTGGTGCTCATCCAGATTGCCACTTCTTCTACCGAGGACCCTGAATTAAGCGCCACAGTTGCCGACATTGTTACTCGGGTCAACTCGACCCATTCAACCCTGGCGCATCAGCCACTGGTCTTCCTGAAACAGGACATTGACTTTGCACAATATCTCGCGCTTTTGACCGTGGCTGAGTGCCTGATGATTACCAGCCTGCGTGAAGGAATGAATCTGACCAGTCACGAGTTTGTCATGTGTCAGGACGGCAAATTTGCCGAACCCAAACATGGCCCACTTGTGCTTAGCGAATTCACTGGGTCGGCGACGGTCTTTGGGCACGACGCTATTCTGGTAAATCCCTGGCACTACACTCAGTGTGCCGAGGCCATCAAACAAGCACTTGAGATGTCGCCCGAAGAGAGAGAGCGTCGGTGGAAAGGGATGTACGATATTGTCGTGAACCAGAATGCCACGACGTGGTACGATCGCTACATGAAGGCTCTCAATCGTGCTTGGAAGGAACATTCGGTTCGAGAAGCGACTTCGGTGCCACGATTGTCCGTAAGTTCGGTCAAGTCGAAATACCAGAGCGCTTCGAAACGCTTAATCATTCTTGACTACGAAGGAACTCTAGCATCCTGGGGCTCTCCGGCTGACATCATCCTTACAACCCCGAAACGTGCCATCGATGTTCTGAATGACCTTATTGAGGACCCGAAGAACATGGTCTATGTGATGAGCTCGCGTATGCCGGAGGAACTGGAACGTTTGTTTAGCCCTGTGGGTGGTCTTGGAATCATCGCCGAGAATGGTGCCTATGTCAAGGCACCGGACACGGATGAATGGGAAGAGCTGGCTAACTCCGAACATGCCAAAGTCTGGAAGAAAGGAGTCCGCAGCATCTTACAATATTATGTAGACAGGATTGAAGGCAGCAGAATTGAAGAGCGGCATTCGGCTGTCGTGTTTGATTATGCCGAGGCCGAGGATGTGTCTGGAGCTTTCAAGCAAGCGGGCGAGTGTGCTAACCACATCAATGATGCCTGTCAGGGACAGAACGTCTGTGCGGTACCAATCGAAGACGGATTATACATCTCTGAAGTTGGGATCAACAAAGGACTCGCTGCTCAGATGATCACCGATAGTTTGGAAAAGCTGTATGAGACTCGGGGTGAATGCATGCCTGAATTTCTGATGGTTATTGGCGATTCGAGAGAGGACGAGTATGTTTTCAACTGGGCCCACAAAATGGAAAAGGCCGGCACCATCAAGGACGTCGTTACTGTGACTGTGGGAGCGAGGAACACCGAAGCTTCTGCAACCTTGACCCAAGGAGTGACTGGTAAGTTGTTCTTGTTGTCTAGTTTCCATGCCCAATGTGCTGACTCGTTACAGGCGTCCTGTCAATCCTCGAGAAGTTGGTCCGCATTTCACAAGGGTGAAGCAACCACTGCTCTACTCCACCGGGCCCATACTTGCAGAACTCTCCATGACATCCGTACACCATCCAGGGTCTTTCGTTGCGAAACTTTGACCAGAGTGTTGGTTATGAATGAATGATGGGACGAAACAAAACGTAATAGACAGAACTGCATCTCTTCGATACCCTGTGCATTACTATAGCGATAGAAGGAAAGAAGTGATTCTAGTGTATTGCAATTCAACACGTTGTATCAAATGCGTGACCGATTCTGCCAATATAATCTTCTTCTCAGATATAGCTAGCGAGCAGCACTTTCACCTGTCCATTTGATACTTGGAGCTTGAACTCAAAAGAGCCTCATCTAAGACGGCATCGAGTTTCTCAAAAGCGAGGCGGGAGCTTGGAGAGAATGTTTAGGTGCTCATACGTAACTTGCAATCACTAAATGTGAATGCCACAGTTTGATTTCTTGGCTACCTCTTTGAAGTCACAAGAAGTGCATACAACATGTCCCAATAGGAGGGTTCCAGACAGTAGAGTGGGCTATTTTTTATACCTCCAAGTCTACGCTATGCCTAATAAGGCAGGCACTTTTAACAATACTCCGTATCTGACCAAAGTGCTCTGCGGTTGGTTACCGAGCAGCAACTATCTTGGACACTCATACTTATGAGGACGGACATGATAATTTCGACTTATGATTATAGGCATCAAGCAACCAAAAAGCCTACCTAGTGGTAACCTGTTGACATCGGCGACGGGAGGAACGGAGGCGCTTGAAATTGCAACACTTCAGAAGGTGGAGGTGGGGACGAAGGACTGTGTCTCATTGGGACACTCTTTTCTTTTGGTGTGTACTTGGGGGATAATGTCAGATTTATTCCTCACAAGTTAAATTTCAGACGGTATCGTCCAAGACAACTTTGCTACCAAGTTCATAATCGGCTCAATGGAACAACTTTCCTAATTATCCATATAGATGATGAAAACTCTTTGTATCGTCCGAGGAGGGCTCAGATTAAGGTGTATAGTCGAGGAAGTTGGGAACTGCTAAAGATAGCCCCCTAGGGCTTGAGGTCTTAGCGTTTAGAAGCGCCATAGTTCTATCTCTTTCCTGTAACTATAACAGTAATATGGCTATCTAAGGGTTTACTAGGACTTTGATAATTTTCGGTATGAGGCACCACCCAACCAAAGATCTATCGCTGTCACAGCCGCATGAGATGCCAAACTCATCGTCATCTATAGTAACGCTGCGGCTGATAAAAGTGGGGCTATAGGAGATCTAGAATCTGGCACACAGACCATAAAGAGGTCGGGCGCAGCTTCCACCCCAGTTCTAGGGTGAATAGCCCTTCTTGGCATTCATACTTTCTGCTCAATTAGTATCGAGGATCATATTTCATGTTGTACAGAGTAACATGCCAAGGTCAAGGTTAAACCAAAATTCACCTAGACGCCTGTGAACAACCAGAAGATCAGAAGCAAGAAAGAAAGTTCAATAGTTTTCCTTTGGTACTACTACCATGTCCTACATTCTATTGCTGTCCATCGAGGGATGCATATCTGTTTCTCGACTATAAGACAGATGGAGATTCCGAGACGTCGAGAGCACCAGAAACATAGCTCTCTACAAACCAGGTCAACCATATACATCAAACCTCAATTGGGCCCATTCTACTGGCAATCTTTCACCCGTGTCTTTCAAAGCTACGCAGTGAACACTCCTTCATCAGAGTCAGCTCACAGGATGTTTTTCAACACGGCTTTCGGACTTCTAGTCCTGTCACAAACCATTTTGGCTTTGCCCTCCTATGACAAAAGTTCGCTCGTGAGGCGATACGACGATGGCGAAGGTCGAGGCACATGTTCACCCACGAATACTCCTGACGATAAGACAGGGGGGTCGCCAATTCAGACGTGCACGATATCGACAAAGTGTGGAGACTGCACGGCCAGCCTCTACCACGGAGTATCTCACCAGGACGACGGTTCGGACAATTTGGACTGCTACTCTGGGTCTATTCAGTGTTCGAGGGTTTGGAATCTCTGCAACGCAGAATTAGTGATTGGAAATTCCAAAAAGGTCAAGAGCGCCGACGTTGACAGTGGACTCTATGGCAGAGGCTCGGTCGACCTCAGGGACAGTGATACTTGGATGTGCGGCAAACAAGGGGAGACTCAGGAACCGTTCGGTATCTCCTTGTATTTGCACCGTAATATATACTGAGAGTGTTCGTCACCGACCCAGAGATACCCAGAGTATAGTCAGGGCAATTAGACTGGTCCAGTGGGATCAAAATGGTCGAGCATAAAGTTTCCACATAGAGGGTAACCAAATTTCTTCTCAACTCCCCATTCTTCCGGGTGCTCACTAGATGTTCTAGAAGCTCTGTGCGCACACACGGCCTCAGCAGAACTACAGGATCAGGAAATCCCATGCCGAGAGATCTAGGTTGTGAGGATCTAGGCAGAAACTGATCTGTGTGCCACCTATTCCTGGGGAGTGGGGGTGGTTGGTAGTTTGAGACGTCATCTGGACTACTCCATCTCTTGAGTGATGTTAAGTACTGTAGATTCTGATGAATTACATACCCAAGGCATTTATCTGAGATGCTGACCAAAACAGGTGCGATATCTTCTTGCCATTGTAGAAAGCCGTGACGCTAGCTCCCAAAGTCACCTCCGGTGGCGAACAAACCTGTAATCTCCTTCAGGCTCACACGGTCAAGCGAACAGCCCACCAGCCCAGGCACCGTGGGCGCGACACCCTGCGCTACCGCCAGCTTTTTCGCAGCTTGGTCCTGCATGAATTCTGGATCAAAAAAGATGGGTTCATCTTTCAAACCACAAACGGGTCTCAAAAAGGGCAGAAACACATCAGCGCGGAGGCGCAGCCGAGCCGCGAACTTGCGGCCAGGTGTGTAAGTGACGATCATGGCCACCTTAATCTCAGACGGGATGCCATCTTTCTGAATGTCGTCTTCTCTGATGACCCAGTGCAACGAGGAGGGCGGATCGTCCTCGACAATCCCGTGGATCTTAAAGCGCCTCTTCTTCACGTAAGTTGTTGAGGTAGAGCCACCCGGGGTCACGGCTACTGGGATGCTGGGCGCAGACACTTGCACACTGAGGCTGAGGGAATTTTGGACCAGTGCATCGGTGGTGGGACCTTGGAATTCTTTCGGCTCAAAGTCAAGCACCTTGGGCTGGTGAGTGGTGTCAATGTCAGCCTCGTGCGGGTTCAAATCCACATTTGCGGCATCTTCAAAGTTCATTTCGATCTCGGCACTTTTGAAGCGGTGACTGCTACGCTGTTGAAAGGACACCCGGACGACGACCAAGCAAGCGTCTGCCCCATGATATGTCCCGTACTTCGCAAAGGCGAAACGCGCTTGGAAGTGGTATTGGTTCTTGGACTCCTTGGCGGTTATCAAGTCCCTGGGTTCCGTCTCGTTGAGGTTTCGGTATATACGAGTGCCCAGCTGCCCGGCTCTGAGATCGTCGTCTTCGAGTGGGATCGAGAACGCGACGCATTCTTCTACGTCTTCTTCGAAGTCACCGTCGAGATCGATGGCAGGGAAGGTGGGTTCTCTGTCCACAAGGATCGTGGAGGCGGTCGCAGGGTGGGCCATCGCCCTCCGTACTCCGTACGCACGGGCGCAATAGGTTCGGTAAGAAGCTTGGTATTCAGGAGTTCCGCATCCGAAAGCTTGACGGTGAGTTTTTCTGGACGATAACAACCTCCAGCAGCGTTCTACGAGACGTTTCCCGCAGGTATGGACACTCAAAGCAAGAAATCGGAACCCCTCATCAAGGTAACGACTAGAGACGGTCTAGAGCTTCAGCCACCGGTGGAGGGGCAACAATACGCGAGGCTGAATGCTGTTTTTTGCGAAATGTCTTGTAGACAAAATAAAACCGTCAGCTGGCCTCACCAAACAATACATCCGCCTTCCAGCTCAAGTTACGGCCCAGTCCCAAGGATTGAGATGCCTTTGTGGTGGTCAAGAAATTGTTTTTCGAAGTTCTGACCCTTTTTGGTACTATGGCTGACGCATCAACACCACCTCCACCACCACCACCACCATCACCAACAACGTGGGGAGCTTTTTCATCGTTGTACAGCAACCTGTCTGCCGCCGAGGTATGCCACCTGGAGAAAGCCATCGAGCTCAGATATCTAGGCAGATATGATGACGCAGAAATCATTTACGCGAACGAGCTACCACCTGCCCGTCAGAATCCGGTTATCGCCATAGAACTTGCGACGATACACGAACGGACCGGTGACGAGCCTTGCCGAGCGCAGATCTTCCGTGAGACTCTCGACGCTATTGAGCAAGGCGAGATCACTCCTCCCGAAGATGTCCATCGTTACCTGCGTATACTGCTTGCGAGTTCTCACCTATATGTCCTTGGCCAACTTCGTCTCGGTTTCGAAGAGGCCCGTGGTCTCAGAACTTGGCTCCTCGATGTTGAGCCACATACATATACAGACACAATGGTTTGTCATCCTGCATTTTCATCTGATGTGGTGTAGCTGAGTCCGCTGACTATCGGCTGGGCCCAGGTTGCAAGTGTATGCGAGTACCACCAGATCATTCGACAGACTAGGAAGGCCTCGAACTGGTGTGGTCCCGAGGATGGCGACTTGCCTCACACAGGTGGCAAAGAAGCATTGGCTAGCTTGCAACACCTTCGAAAGCTTTTGGTGGCACAGGGGAGGATCAACTTGGCAGGCATGGTCGCTGTACAAGAATCCAAAACGGCAAACGGCATGGATGCTTGCTCCCCGTATCGAGAGCTTCTTGATGCTAAACAAGTTACCGACGTCAATGATGACCGCCCTTTGTTTTACAAGAATTTGACACACCAGCTATTCCTTTCAGAAGCAATGTTTGCTGCAGGGATGTCGCACCACGGCCATGCGCTGTTCCAGGCTGCTTGTGATGAGATGACGGCAAGTGAGGCAATATACGGCCAACCCAACCGTTTTTGGATTTTAGCCGACTATACTCGTGCGGAGATTTTCCCTGCTAAGCCAGGCCTGCAAAGGGTGAGCCAGTATCATGACTTGGCCATGCTAGCAGAGAGTCGCCGAGAAAAGGCTATTCAACGTTGGGGCTTGATGCAGGCGTATCAAGCCAGCGAGAAACTCGTCGAGTCTGAAGAATCGCGTAAAGATACCGAAGGAGCATCCCGTATTCGTCAAGCGTCACTGCATCAGTATCTCCATTTTGAGATGACCGTCACGCGCTCTCCATATTTCTCTGCAGCTTGCTTGGGGACTGTCGGCATGCATATGAACTCTAACGATCAGGCCGCCGAATGGCTGGAATACCATCGCGATTTCTGGAACACTTGGCCTGAATTCGACATACCACTCCTTGGACGACGTTTGTTCGACGAAGCTTCACGTGCTTCGAGGGCGACTGGAGACTTTGAGTCTGCTGGACTGTATGATCAGCAGCGAGACCAGTTTCTGAAACATTGCTCCTTCATCGTGTCGAGCAGTGACACCAGGCAAGACGACGTGTTTGTGGAAGACGCGCCCGATGACCACTTCAGCGAATGGATGCAAATCCCTCCAGGAATGAATCATGACTCCCCTCTGGGAGAAAGATTTGAGTGGATCTCTGCTAAGCTGATTCTCCGCTGGATCTCTAACGACTTGACGGCCAACTGTATCACTATGCAAGACATAAGGAGTATCCTCGCAATTAGCCATGAGTCTATAGAGGAAATGGAATTCGAGGACCGTCCTCTTGCTTTCATTTCTAGCATTGCGCCTCACGAATTGCGGAGCCGTATCTTTGGTCGAAATGGTGTGCCAACTCGGCAAGAAGAGTGGGGGAAATGGTTCGAAAACGTAGAAACCTGGCTGCAGCGCAAAGGCCGCCCGCCCTCGAATTTGCACCGTCATCATCTTCTGGAACAGATCATGGAAGCCCGAGTACTTGGGTATCAGCGTTGGGCAGTTTCCCTACCACACTCAGGCCCTGTTGCTGCCGAATCTATCCTGAATCAGCTACAAATGGCGGATAAAAGGTTAAGGCTCTATGAGACAATAGATCCTAGCCTAGTGAATCTGCACAAGATACAAGCGTGCAAATCCTGGAAGGCCAGCGCCCTTATGCTTCTCGCAAACGATCCCGAGCTGCGAGAACGGGGGCTCGGTACCATTGAAAGCCTTAGAGAAGCGTCCTTAATGTTCGAGGAGCTAGTTTCGCAATCTAGAACACCGGGGAGGCTGAGATACTTGTATCGCCATCTTGGATCACTTGGACGTTGCGCCTGGATGAGATATTTTTGGTACAAGGATGCGACGCCAGAACTGGGAATGCCTTATTGGGAGGAGGCAGATGATGTCTTCCGGCGGCTTCTCTCAGGTAGTGCCTACCTGGCAGATTTCCAATGTTTTTTTGCAAAAAACTTGCTACAGGAAGAGTTGGATCATGCACAAGTCTTCAGCAACGGATTGAAAGTCTCGCTGGTTTCTTGGTTGACCTTCCTACAGACAAAGGCAGAAGAAATACGGACGGATCGCTTGGCCGTCGTGGCTCTACCGCGCTACCAGGAACTCGTTCGAAACTTTGTCAAATGGAGCCAGAGGGCCAAGGCACGCTGCCTGACCGATGTCCTTGGTCTCGGAGCACAGTTCCCTCGGTCAATGATGCAGGAAATCGAGGCATCCCCAGCGGCAATGGGCCTCGTTGAAGAAATGCGAGCTCTCGAGGCACAGCTTGGTTCTGCGCATCTGAGTGAAAAGATAAAGATTAGAGCTGATTTACGCAAGCTTCAAGAAAGCATGCGGCAAGAGGAGACGCTTGTCCCCTTCTTAGACGTACTCGAAGGCGTCACCGTCAGGCACGAAGAACTGCAGCAGATGTGTCAAGGCCTGGACGAGTCCGTGATTTTCCTTGACTGGCTTCATATATCATGGTACGACAACTGGGATATAGGCTGCGCATTGTATGAAAACGGCATCTTCGTTGACTTCATCTACTGCAACAAGTTGAAATTGCGGGACATCAAGACATGGGTTCAGAGCTATCTGGAGCCCGATCCTCGTATCTTCGACATGGAGGAGGATCTCAAGTTTTGCCCGCTAAACAGCGTTTCAGCCAGAAAGCAACTCAAGATCTTGGAGCCACTGGCAGCAGTCTTCGAAGTGATTCCGGCCGACTGGCTCGTCGTCATCTGTCCGACATACGACTTGTGTCGAATTCCCTTCCATGCAATCGAATTCAAAGGACGGCCGCTGATCGAACGTAACCCCATCATCTACTGTCAAAGCCTGACGATTCTACGGCTCTGTCAACTTTCACGGAACTCGATGCTGGAGGACATGGCTACCGAGGATTTCCGGCCCGTGGCGTTCAACCCCTTGGGAGAAGATGTGGACACGTCGAAAACTGTGGCCGATCTTGCCACTCGCCTAGGAACCGTCACTGAGGACCTGAATCAGTATTCGAAAGAAGATTTTGTGCGACTTTTGTCTGAAGCGTCTTTGATCCACTTCCATGGTCACGTCCGTTTTGATCATGATGATCCTTTGAAACACCATCTGGAGCTCAAGCCTGTTCCGCACGATGAGAATCAATGCCTTGGACCAGCAGATATCCTGACGGCGCAAGAGATATTTGGTATCAAGCTACGAAAAGGAGCCCACATCACCACAATCAGCTGCAAAAGTGCTCGAACGGCGGTGACAAACAACCATGAGCTCCTTGGATTGGCTGCTGCGTTACATTACGCCGGTGCCTCGTCAATAGTGTCAGCATTGTGGAATATCCACAGAAACGATGGGAGAAGGTTCTCGAGGGCTTTTTATGATGCATTGATACGGGAGATGCAGGTGCCTTCGCCCAGCAAGCCCTACATCAACCTTGCAAGGATAATGCAAAAGGCTGTCCTTGCTGTCAGACGCGACCCAGACGGAAGGATTCAAGCGCCATACCGTTGGGCAGGACTTGTCTTGCACGGTGCTTGGTTGTATCCTCGGATCCCAGATCTTGAACTGGAAACAAGCTCGAATCCTGACCTTGATCCTCACCCATTATCACACTCAGATCGACGTGGAACCTGGTGAACGACAAGCGCGGGGATTTTCCTTGACACTGGACCGAGCGAAGTGCAAAGAGTTCTGGACCAATATAAGAGTTGGTAGTCCGTAAGAGATGAAGATCTATATAGCGCGGTAAATAAGCCCTAAAATATTTTAGGTTAGTCGCCTAGAATGCCACTAAAAGTCTTGGTGACATTATGCAACTCTAACCTTAGCGCCTATTTCAACAGGCATGGGAAGCCCATAAGGTCACAAAAATTATTTTTAATCGGGAAGGTTACCCGATGGTCGCCGCTGGCAAAGTAACTTTTTTTTCCAAGGCGAAACTCCGATTTCTGCGTCCGACAACTGTACCACACTTGCTTCAAGAGATTTGTGTCAGGGCAGTCTAACACCAGAAGACTAAAGGCCAGACAAGAAACCCATAGATATGGGTGCCCGCAAGAAGGAAGCTGCCCGCCGGGAACGGCAGGGCACTTCGACTGATGGCATGGCCAACGTCAAGGTCAAAGGCGAGAACTTTTACAGGTATGCTGAGAAACTCTGAGTGATCCTCTGGTTGTTGCTAAAGATTTCCTTAGAAATGCCAAAAAGCTACGAACGTTGAACATGCTGAAAGACGGCAAAGCACAACGAAATGCAGAAGGGAAAATCACAAAAGCCGCCTCATACCAATCGCGAGAAATTCCTAAGGCACGCGTCGAACCGAATAGGAAATGGTTCGGCAACACCAGAGTCATATCGCAGGGAGCCTTGGATTCCTTCAGGCAGGCAGTCGCCGAAAGAGCAGCCGACCCATACCAGGTGCTTTTGAAGACGAACAAATTGCCCATGAGTCTGATCCGGGACAATGAGAACACGAAGAACGGGGTGAAACAGCACCAGGCAAAGATTGCAGTCGAGTCGGCGCCGTTCTCGGACACCTTCGGCCCAAAGTCTCAACGCAAGCGGGTTAAACTGAGTGCGAGCTCCGTGGCTGACTTGGCCGACGAGTCGGTAAAGATGCACGACAACTATCTTGAGAAGCTGGAAGAGAATAAACTGCTTAGTGGCAAGACAGCGGAAGAAATGCAAGGACAGGATGATGGCGAGCTCACCACTGCAAGGGAGCCCATCTTCTCAAAAGGGCAGAGCAAACGTATTTGGAACGAGCTCTTCAAAGTCATCGACTCCTCAGATGTGGTCATTCACGGTATGTTTCACGCACCGAAACGAGTTGTACTCTTGACTCACGACTATTTAGTACTCGATGCTCGAGATCCGGAGGGTACAAGATGTCGCAGTGTGGAAAAATACATCCGCGAAGAAGCACCACACAAGCATTTGATTTTCGTCCTAAACAAATGCGACTTGGTACCTACTAAGATCGCGGTAAGTCACCTTTCTTCCTTGCCTGATGCGGAATTATGTCTGTCGTCTTTTCTTGTTTTCCTTCATCTTTCCATCGCTAAGTCAAGGCGCCTTTCTGCATTCCTTTGCAAATTTCTCAATGATAGTCGCCTGTTACAGCTTTGGTACATTAAGCCGCACTCTGCCATCTTCTTCGGGAGGTGGTACTAGACTCTGGTTCCGTCTTGGAAACTCGGTCGCCACGGTGCATCGCGTGTTTCGTTTGAGTTGAGTTGTGCTTCTCTTTTTCATAGCAAGGCTCTTAGTAATGTCTCACACAATACTGATCTTTTCTCCACCTCCCACAGGCTCAATGGGTGAGAATGCTTTCCAAGGAATATCCCACGCTGGCGTTCCACGCGTCGATGACGAACAGCTTCGGCAAGGGGTCCTTGATCACCCTGTTACGACAGTTCTCGGTGCTGCACGCCAGCCGAAAACAAATCTCCGTGGGCTTCATCGGATACCCAAACACCGGCAAGTCGTCCATCATCAACACCCTCCGAAAGAAGCGCGTGTGCACTGTGGCGCCCATTCCCGGCGAGACCAAAGTCTGGCAGTACATCACGCTGATGAAGAGGATATACCTCATCGACTGTCCTGGTGTCGTGCCGCCCAGTCAGGGTGACACGGAGGAAGACATCCTGCTACGTGGCGTGGTGCGGGTGGAGAACGTCGAACATCCTGCGCAGTACGTCGAGGCTGTTCTACGGCGGGCCCAGACGCGCCACATTGAAAGGACGTACGAGATCAAAGCGTCCGACTGGAACGACGATCCTATGGAGTTCCTCGCCATTCTCGCCCGAAAAGGTGGTCGTCTTCTCAAAGGCGCTGAGCCGGACGTCGATGGCGTCGCCAAGATGGTGCTGAATGATTTCCTCCGTGGGAAGATCCCTTGGTTCACGCCGCCTCCGAGGAGCGGCGAGGCAGCCCAATCGTCCACGGCCGATGACTCTGCCGAGGTCGTAGAAGGCCGCGAAGGCAGACTGGGCGAGATGCCTGGAAAGAGAAAAGTGGATGTCTCGGGCGTTGACCAAGACGACGAGGAAGAGGCGGACGACGATGACCAAGAGTCACAAGCGGAAGATGCTTCCGATTCGGCTGAGAGTGGTGATGACGATGACGATGAAGAATCAGGCTCTTCAGACAAGGAAGTGGATGACTTTGAGCAGTTTGACGACGATGACGATGCTACGAGTAACGACACGAACGAGGACGATGGGGGCACTCGAGTATAGAAAAAAAATAGATAGTCCACAACATACATCCAATACTTGATCCGAGATCCGAGCAAAATTGCTGCTTAAAAGCCAAAACTATAGTTCTACTTTTTGTCTCAGTCGTTCTCTACGAGTGCTCTGTCTTGGATCAGCAAGAGAAAATATTGGGCTAGTCTATCTCCATGGACCGCTGTTCTCTAAATCAATCAGTCACGGCCCTCCATCCGCCTCTAGGTTTATACCCGACCAGCCCCTCGTCGCTGGCGACATCCTTGGCCAAGCGTCCAGTCAGGACACTAGTTTCCACGTCTCGACCGCGGACGTAGAACGGAGCGAAGCCGCCTAGTTCCCCGCCGTCGATGTCGTCGGTGGTGTTCCGGGGTCTTTCCCAGACGCGCCGGCCGAATTCGATACGGTTGGTCGGGCGGACGCGGTCGAGGGACAGGTACCATCTCCGCTGGTGGATGGAGTTGATGCTGTTCGTGGCGCCCGGGTAGGCGTTGTTCAGGCGGATAAGATTGTCTTCGTCTTCCTTGGCCTTTGAGAATGATTTGGTCACGTCGTCCGGTTGGTGGTGTACTTCTGCTACGAACGAACTCATCCTTGTCTCTTCGCCGTCTTTGTCAAAAAGTCCTGATGCCGCCTGTACCCCAGGAGGCCCAGTAGTGGTGGACGAGGAAGGCAGACGGTCGAGAACAGCAGGTCTGCGCGACGAGAAAGGCGGAGGGGAAGACGCTTTGCGTAATAGCGACGAGACATTACGTTTGAACTTGGGGGCGTGTCTCTGCTTGTTGGTCAAGGTCTTCTCGAGTGAACTCTGACTTGATTGATCGTGCGTCGATGCTCGGCTTGGTTCCGAAGGCGACCTTTCTGTATCCGAGTCTGACGTTTCAACGTGGTGGTCCCGACGATCAGCCGCATTGATAGCTGGCCGAGATTTCCTTCGACGCTTGTACGCTGGTGGGTCGGGCTGGACTAGTCGGTTGTTTTCACGTGTCAAACGTAGATTGAGTGTATAGGTTCTCGGTAATCGAGATCCATGTAGACGGAGCCTGATCTTACGATTCTGAAAGGCACGATGCAACTTTGTCGGCTCAGATTCGCGGTCGCGTGGCCAGTCAGGCTCGGACATGGACTCTGATCCAGAGTCACTGATTGCGGTGTTGGCCTCTGGCAGGGGCAGGATTTCGTACTCTCCCGTGTCCCACAGCAGCATCGTTCCTGTTTCGTAAGAGGCTGTCTCGATCAAATGGTTCTGTTCAGTGCGTGGTGAGATGGATGATTCTGTTGGGGGCATGTTATGTTTTTGGAAACTAGCACCTACCCATAGATTGTGTACCCTGGTTTCCGTCGCATTACGATTCAATTTCCTGCTGTTGGGATCTCCCGGTAAACCATACATGATGGCAAAGCTGATGGAGCTTGTCGCATTGCATTGCAGTCGGAGATCATAGTGAGTGCCGGCGATGGGATGATCATGTTGATGGACGACAAAATGATGGCCCCTGTCACTCAGGTTTCTCTGATACAGGTCTAGCCATTTCTGATGTGACAATCGAGGTTGACCACGGACGAGAGGCCGCTGCGCCGCCAGAAGTTTGGATGAGAAGAATGCGACATGGTCTTCGATCTCGACCTCGCCTGCCTCGACTGCTGCAGCATCCGACTTGCTGCGAACCGAATTAGATGGAGGCTTACTTAGTCGGCGAGGATTGGTTGGCGGAGGCGAAATGGTTCTAGTGAGCGAGGCTGGGGGCGAGATCTCCCAAGACTGGTTTTCTGGTTTGACAAAGGGATTCTCGATGACGTTTGATCTCTGTCTTTTCATCAAGATTGCTCGGCATTTGGAATGATCGGAGTGGTGATAGTCCGTACCGTACGCGAGCAACAACTGAGAATCTGGTACCTTCGTAAGAGAAGTCGAGCATGAATCTCGCAGATGGTACGGAATAGTAGAAGGGGGTTAATCCGCATGTCGACGTCATTACATAACGCGGGCTTTGATGACTAACACAATAGCAATGGCTGATTTGCCTGCGCCATGTTCCGCACTTCGTCGTCGACAAATCTCGTCGCTTACACAAGAATTGGTAAAGCCCATTTTCCTCTTTGAATGGGAGTAAAGAGGTAACAAATCAATGACCAGATGTTGTATAACAGCCACATGGACCTTCTCGTATCCTCCACCACGCTCTAGTTGTTTTCTCAGGTCTAAGTACTTATATCTCCTTCCTGCTCGATGCTGTCCAGTTTTCTCCATCAAAAAACCACACTCATCACAACAGTAACCGCAGTACTCGCAGCAATTACAGCCGTTTACATGCTCAATAGCAACAACCCCACCACTTCAACTGAACAATCTATGAAAGCTACGAACAACTTGAGAACAGCCATGTCCAGCCTCTCCCACGCAAAGATCGTCCCCCGGCCCTCCAAAACAAGAGGCGGAGGGGACCATGGTTGGCTGAAAACAAAACATACCTTCTCGTTCGCTGGTTGGCATGATCCTCGATACATGCAGTTTGGATCCCTCCGCGTCCTCAATGAAGATCGAGTCGAACCAGGCCAAGGCTTTCCTACTCATTTCCACCAAAACGCCGAAATCTTCAGCTACATCCTTTCCGGCGAACTAACACATCGGGACTCGATGCAGAAGAGAGGCGCTGAAAGCACAGACAAGGACAAATTCTTCCGGATGCGTCCCGGCGATGTGCAATTCACGACTGGGGGGAAGGGCATTTCCCACAGCGAGTTCAACGAAGACAGCCAAGGCACCAACGAATGGACGCATTTCCTCCAGATATGGGCCTTGCCTTGGAAGAGAAACCTCCCTCCCATCTACCATACCAGCACATTTTCGGCCGAGGAAAAGCGCAAAGGATTCGTGACGATCATCACTCCGTTGAAAGCAGGTGTCAATGCCAGCTTGGAGGAGGAAAAGGCCGCTGTTCCGGCGAAGGATGGCACCATCCCCGTCCATGCAGATCTCGTGTTCTCAGCAGGCATTATACCGGCGGGCGATGCGTTCACCTACACAGTCGGCGGAGGAGATGCAGTCACTTCCAGATCCGACCGAAAAGTGTATGTCCACTTTCCTGAAACGAAGAGTGGAAAGTCCAAGATCAAATTGGACGGCCGAGAAATCTTGAATGAGGGGGATGGTGCATATGTGACTCATGTGAATGCTGGCGATGCACTAAAGGTGGAAAGCATCGGGGAGGTAGAAGCCGAAGTCGTCATCATCGACTCGGAGTAATTGTGAAAGGAAAGACTCATTTGTTTTGAGGCTCTAGCCAAAGAGAGAAACGATACCCGGAGAATTTGGATCTGTATGGAATAGCAATTTTATCGCGACAGGAGTCTAGGTAGTGAATAACATTGTGTCTAGTTGAATTAAAATCTATGATAGAAAGTGTTTGTCTCAAATAATACTTGAATAATATCCATGTTGAGTATCGTATGTACTCGTACTTAGCTGTGAGGGACCGTGAATAGCGTTCTTTATCTCGAACTTATGGAACCATGAGCTCGTTGATCCCTGCTAGTCTACACGGTGACTCATTCGTAAACGGACCTAAGCGTGCAGAAACGTCAAAAATATACCAATGATGAGAGGAGATTGTTGATGAGCTGCCTACCAAGGTAAGTAAGGTATTGTAGCTGTTAGCAAACCCCGTACAGTGTCCCATATGCACCGGGAGCTTCTCGTCCGTAGTTTCGCCTGGCCGCTAGTTATGTACTGTAGCTCTAGCTGCGGTGGCTTATGACTCGCCCCGGGCGCGACAAATTACCTACTAGTACTCCCGTAGATATCTTAGATACCTACTCCGTATTGAACAATACCTAAGCCATGTGGGCGCCCGAGTTCGCCAATCTTCAGCCAATGCACTGCGGTGTTTTTGGCCACCGGTTGGCCCTAACTTTTAGGCACCTAAAGCTTACGAGTGGAACGGAGCAAACCAGGTACTGTAAGTACCCAGGTAGTTTAGGGTAGGTACAAGTAGGTACGGTACTGTAGACCTCGAGGTCGCATACCTGTAGTCAGGTACTCGTAGCTAAGATAAGGCACCTAGCGACTCCGTACACCGCAGTACAAAGTACTGGACCCTGATGATGGCTGGTGAGGGCGTCACTTTTCTGTTCAACTTGTACAGAAAATACGAATACAATAGGCTTTCACCGCCGACCTTCCCGTTATGACGATCCCTGTCGTTTCAATGTCACCTCTCCCGTAACCAGAACCACAAACAGAACCACCATGATATAATTCTTCTAAGCCTACTAGTACTCGTAGCCACGCAAAAAAAATCCTAGATCCCAAATACACTCCTCCAGTGGCAACAACTTGATCTGTATTCCTCGACTCATCTCACCTTCATTCACCAGTTTCTAAGAAAACCTCACAGCCTCGCTTGTCACTCTTTTCAACCTACCCACCTTTGCAGCAAGCCTCGTCATACGGTCAGTTTGCCACACCGGTCGAATATTAAATTTCACGGCCCAACTCCCCATATTTCTCCTTCCCTTGTAACTCTGAAAAGAACCCGACGTCAAGGCCAGAATGTTTGTCAAGCCCATGATACCTTAGTCGATTGGGGAACAGTCAGCATGGCAGTGCATCATACCACGGTGTCCGTCGCCATCTCAATAACAGCATTTGCGGTTGTAACACTACTTTCCATTCCGGCCCTCTACCAGATCATAACTCGATTTAGAGCCAGAAAAGCTCAGTATCAACACCTGTCGGGGATTTACGAAGACAAGGATGGTGTTGCTACAGAGGAATCCCAGGAAGCCTTCTCCGACTTCATCCCACGTTTAATTCTAATTCTACTTTCAATTGTTGTTTGTCTGGATGCTTTGGCATCCGCTGTTATAATCACGACTCGACCCGATCTTCCTCTGACGATCGAGCAATGGCTGCAATTTGGAACTTGGGTGAGTTGACCATATCGGCCATGAGTAAGCATTTTTCTGACACCTGCCAGCTGTTTATCTTCTTTCAAGCCATAGTCATCTTTGTGACACCATCATCTATACACCGGTACAACCTGGGAATCTGGTCTGGCCTTTCAAGTGTGTTTGTCGCGATCGCAGTGGCTGTTGAGAACATTTCGCTATGGAAATCCCGGGCTCATCCGTTGCCAAAGAATGCCCATCTTGTCCTTTCGATCGTGCAGTTTGTGGCCGGTCTATGTTTGGTCGTCGCCAGTCTCTCCATACCCCGGCGGCCGGATGTCTATCATAACGGACAATACGTGGATCGCCAGAATACTGTGTCAGTGCTGGAGAAATTTACATTTTCGTGGCCATCTCCGCTCCTAGCATTCGCAGCCAAAAACAAAGGCCTAGATTACGACGACCTGGCCGAGATCGACCATGACTTGCGCTCAAGAGAACTTAGGAGAAGGTTTGATGCAATTGGCTACAAGGACAAGCTGTGGAAGAGCGTTTTCTGGTCTCACAAACGGGCCTTTATCCAGCAATGGTGTCTCCAAGCAGTTTGTTCTATTACTGAATTCCTCCCGCAAATCGCCCTTTACTTCATTTTACGTACTCTCGAAGCACGCGATCAAGGTGTTGATGTCGGGTTGACTGCTTGGCTGTTGGTCATTGGACTGGGTGCTGCAGTCACGTTCTCATCCTGGCTTGAAGCTTGGATGTTCTTCATTGTCTTCATGAGACTAGGAGTGCCAATCTATGAGCAGCTGTCTGCCGTCGTTTTTGGCAAAGCCATTCGACGCAAAGATGTGAAGGGCGCAGGGAAAAAGTCAGAGGAGCTGGAAGCCGATACCGAAGAATCGAATGAAGGCCCAGTCATCAACAAAGGGGCAGGCCAAAAGGGAGAAGATCGGGCGTCTGAAGACGATCAAGACGAGGATTTCAAGAAGTCTCGTCAAAGCACCATCAACCTCGTCGGTGTCGACTCCAAAAGAATTGCGGACTTCGCAACGTTCAATTACATTTTCCTTGGCTCTGCGATCAAATTGATCTTCGCCTTCACCTTTCTGTACAATCTGATCGGTCCAATTCCTCTGCTTGCAGGCTTGGTTGCTCCTGCGATCATCATGCCAATCAATATCATTGCTGCGAGGCGCTACTCCAATGCGCAAGACGACCTGATGAAACATCGGGATCAAAAGATGGCTGTTGTAACGGAAGCCTTACAAGGAATACGCCAGATCAAGTTCAGCGCTTTGGAGCGAAATTGGTACGAAAAGATCCTAGAGACGAGAAGAAAGGAGTTGAAGACGCAATGGCAAGTCTTCATCTATGACACTACGCTTATTAGCATCTGGATTTTTGGCCCGGTCATGCTGGCGGCTATATCGCTGGCAACGTATGCTCTTATACACAAGGAGCTGACTGCTTCGATCGCCTTCACAACGATTTCCGTTTTCGAGGCAATTGAGATGACACTGGCAGTCATTCCAGAAATGGTAACTGACCTTCTGGATGCCCTTGTTTCTGCTGCCCGAGTTCAGGAATACCTCGATGCACCGGATCGTGTCGAGTACAGCAAACCTGGAGACAGAGTCTCATTTAACGCCGCAACCATCGCATGGCCCTCCGATCATCCGGAGGAGGAGGATCAACAGTTCACTTTGAGCAATCTCAATATTGAATTCCCAAAGAAGGAGCTCAGCGTCGTTTCCGGTCGGACAGGGTCTGGAAAGAGTCTACTGCTCGCATCCATAATTGGCGAAGCTGAGGTCCTCAGTGGTACCGTCACTGTCCCAAAGCCACCCTCGGCCGAACAGCGACACGATGAAAGTGCCAATAAAGCGAATTGGATCATGGACTCTTCCATCGCTTTCGTTGCGCAGATCCCATGGATCGAAAACGCCACAATTCGGGATAACATTCTCTTTGGACTACCCTTTGACAATCATCGGTATCAAAAAGTGCTGTCTGCATGCGCGTTGACAAAGGACCTGGAAATGCTTCAGGATGGGGAGCTCACAGATATCGGTGCAAATGGTATCAATCTTAGTGGGGGTCAGAAGTGGCGAGTCTCCTTTGCTAGGGCTCTCTACTCACGAGCCGGGATACTTGTCCTTGACGACATATTCTCCGCTGTCGATGCACACGTCGGTCGTCACCTCTTCGAACAAGCCCTTGCAGGTGAACTTGGCCAAGGTCGGACGAGGATCCTGGTAACACACCATGTCGCCCTCTGCCTGCCCAAGACGAACTATAGCGTTCTCCTGTCCAACGGTACTGTGGAACAAGCCGGTCGTACCGAGGATCTCCGCAGATCCGGCAAGCTCAAGAGCATTCTTGCTGAGGACATCGAAGAGCAAGAAAAGGACGAGGACGATTTCGATCGTGAGCAGGCACTGACCATTGACGACGGAGGTGGCCTCCAGAAGATGTTCAGCAATCGCTCTCGTCGAAAATCAGCGCTGAGTGATGCCAACCTCGACAGTGAAGATCTTTCTCGACGTCGTTCTCACGCAATCGCAGAGGGCGCGAAGACACCAAAGAAGTTCACCGAGGATGAAAAAAGAGCAACAGGGGCAATCAAGTATCAGATCTACGCTGCCTATGTCCGGGCCTGTGGTGGCTTTGGGTACTGGTTCTTCATCCTCGTCGTCTTCACCCTCTGGGTCGCTGTGTACCTCGCTCGATCATACTGGATCAGCGTCTGGACTCGCGCATACAGGTCCGAAGCGGTTACCTCATTCCACGCTTTCCACCAGGACAGCCACTTCATGCAGCAGCCCATCAACGCTTTCCGTTACATATCCTCTGAACTTTCCACGACCACAATGGACCCGAACCTTACTTACTACCTCGGCGTCTACCTTGCCATCTCGCTCGTGGCGTGGCTCGAGGGCACGGTTCGATACTTTTTCGTGTTTGTGGCCTCCATCCGCGCCTCGCACACCATGTTCGAGAACCTCGCATTCGCGGTTCTTCGCGCTCCGCTCCGCTGGCTCGACACGGTCCCTCTAGGACGCATCCTCAACCGCTTCACGAGCGATTTCAACATGCTCGACAGTCGTATCAGCATGGACTTGGCATTCATGTTGCACAACATGATGCATGTCCTATCGGTCGTGATTGCGGGGCTGTTTGTATCGCCGCTCATGATCATCTTCGCTCTCGCGTTACTGGCAATCTGCATGTTTTACGCTCTCCGGTACCTCGCAGGAGCCCGGGAGGTGAAGCGTCTCGAGTCGAACGCAAAGTCTCCCGTCTTTGAACAATTCGGAAGCGTGCTCATGGGAATCGGTACGATCCGCGCCTTCGACAAATGTGATGCGTACCTGGATAAGATGTACTCTCGTATCGACCGGCACGCGCGGGCGTATTGGCACCTCTGGCTCTTCAACCGGTGGATGGGCTGGCGCTTGAACATGGTCGGCGCGGGTTTCGCGTGCGTGACGGCCGCACTGATCGTCAGCATCACTTCGATCGACTCCAGTCTGGCTGGTTTTGCGCTGAGTTTCGCGCTTGGCATGTCCGAGGGCGTCATCTGGTTCCTCAGACAGTACAGCAATGTCGAGCTGGACATGAACGCCACGGAGCGTATCGTCGAGTACAGCAACATCCGCATCGAGAATCAAGGGGGCGTCGATGCGCCGGCCGCGTGGCCGACCGAAGGAAACCTCGAGGTTCAAGATCTCGTCGTGGCCTATGCGGACGACTTGCCACCGGTCTTGAAAGGCCTTAGTTTCAGCGTGCGCCGGAACCAGCGTGTCGGTGTCGTCGGAAGAACGGGAGCCGGCAAGTCGAGTCTGACGCTTGCGTTGTTCAGATTTCTAGAGGCACGTGCCGGGCAGATCGTGATTGACGGCGTGGACATTTCAAAGATCAAGCTTTTTGACCTGAGAAGTCGGCTGGCCATCATCCCGCAGGACCCCGTGTTATTTTCGGGTTCGGTCAGGACCAACCTCGACGCTTTCGACCAGCACACGGATGAAGAATTGAGGGAGGCTCTGGCAAGGGTTCACCTGGTGTCTTCGGCGTCGACCGGCCCGAGTGGAAGTGCCACGCCGATCGCTGCTGCGGACGGAGACGCAAGTGGTGGCGGTGATGGCGTACGGGACTCCAACACCAACATCTTCAAGAGCCTGTCGAGCAAGATCTCGGAGGGGGGCCTGAACCTGTCCCAGGGCCAGCGACAGCTGTTGTGCCTCGCGCGGGCGATCGTGTCGAGGCCCAAGGTCATGGTGCTCGACGAGGCCACCAGCGCCGTGGACATGGAGACGGACGCCCTCATCCAGAGGTCCATCCGCGAGGAGTTTACCGACAGCACGCTGATCGTGATCGCCCACCGGCTGAGCACCATCGCCGACTTTGACCGCATCCTCGTGCTCGGGGAGGGCAAGGTGCTCGAGTACGACGAACCCAAGAACCTCATGGCCAGGGAAGGAGGCGTGTTCAGGGACATGGTCGAGACCTCGGGTGAGAGGGCCGAGCTGGAGAGGATTATCGAAAGTGGCCATAATTATCATCAGGAAGGGAGCTCGAGTCCAAAGCGAAATCAGGACGGGGAGGCGAGTTCGAGCTGATACAAAAGGAAAACAAGTGTGTGCCTGCACTAATAGGGGTTTCCGGACCAAGGAGAGGGGAGAGATGCTGGGGAAACACTCCGGTATCTACCTAGGTAGCGAGCGAGCCAGTCATGGGCTGTAATTGCTCCCAACAAAACATCAAAAGGCGTCTGGATTGGTCGTAATTTACTGGTAGTCTGTAGGAATGGAATTCAAAAAGGTGACAAGACTTGAGAGCCACAGCGGAAAAGATGCTCAAAAGATGGCAAGATACTGAAAAGGCTACACAATTTCTGTAATGAAGTCATGATACAGATTTCTACGTTCAACAGGCCAGAGTTTGGCTGTTCTTTACAGCCATATACTGCCTCACTTGACAATCGGTCTCTCACGATATCCGCACCCGACATTCTCGATGGCTTTCACTCAAAGGTGGCGCTTGTGGCATTTTCATCAGGGTACTTTGGTCCCTGGACCATGCACGGCACCCTGCACAGCCGGGGAGAAGCCCATCAAACCCAGATCTTAATAAATGAGGCCGTTCAGTGGACACACTTTTGCTGCCACAATGCGCTCATGACAGCAGCGTGGTTTATACCTGCAGACAGACAAGACATGTTTCTTCTGCTCTGAATGACGCCGTAGCCATGAAGGAGGCTCCTTCACTTGTCTGACGCAGATACGTTGGATACTCGAATCCAGACTCCAGAGATGTGTACATATTATGGAGGGGAGCAGCTTCTGTTGGATAGGATTTGGAAACTCCAAGGATATTCCTTCGTGTGGAGAGGATTGTTCCTGGAATTCACTGCACATTCAGTGGCATGGTGAGAGGAAGAATGTTCAAACCACCGGCACAACAAGATCTACTCGTTTCACGTCTGTGAGACGTACGAGTATCATCAATGTCATAATTCAGTCTTGCTCATGACATTCTCATTCCTCTTGATTTTCCTGGCCGGCAAGGCTTCAAAAAAGCCGTCCAGTTCCATATATTCAGCGGCAAATGCAGTCGTGAGGAGTGCCCAATCTTCGACCACGTTGATATCCAGATGTTCAGCATCATCTCTCATGGTATGCCACACGGACGGAAAGCGTGCAGGGATGAGGTGCAGGACTTGAACCCCTCGGGCAATAAATGGTATATGGTCGTCTTGCATGATATAACTGTTGAACACACCGGTCTCCTTTTTATCCTTCTCCGTCAACCATTTGCGTTTCGACGCGCTTTTGAACAAGCCCAAATCCCGCAACCTCTCTTCGGCTTCTGCCATCTTGACGTATGACCAGTGTGAGGAATGCTGCCACGACGGAATCGGCAGATCCTCTGGTGAACCGAGCAGGTCCAATAATACAAATAGCTCAATCGAGTCGAGGTAGTTTTTGTAGATACTCGTGGCTGGGTGCATCGTATGCTCCCACTCTTCGGCGAGAGATCGAGCACCGTATATGCTGTCGGTAGCGGTCCAACTATGAAATGCCTCTTCGCCGTCAAGAAGCAGGACCTGAATGCCCTTATCTTCCTCAAAGTCTAGATCGAGTTCATCTTGAGCCTGTACAGAGTCCCACTTCTTCGTCAGGGCTGCGTCGATGGCTCTGACCGCATGCATGAGCATGGCACACGGCGCAGCAGAATCTGTGGCTCCGATAAAGCCATCTGGTTTGTATTTTGAATCATAGTGAGCCACCAGCGTCAAGCGACCGACATTCCCCGTTTGCGCCCATGGAGGATCCCTTGTTGCGATCAAATTCACAAAAGGAACTTCCTTGTCGCCATGAGTCGGCGTTTTCGAGGACGAGTTCTGCAAAGTCACTGTCCAGTCAGGGAGGGAAGTCCGGAAGAAGTCGACGAAATGCTGGAGGACTTGTGCCGACCCCGGTGTGCCTGGAACCCGGGGGATCAATATCGGTGCTAATAAATTGCCCGTCCGTATATCGAAATCAGCAGTGTCCGGTCGAGGGAGTCGGTTTAGGATGGTGTCATTGGACAAGGGTGTGTATGCGATAACATTGAGGAAGAGAAGGACCGAGGTCAACAACCATCTCGTCGACCACCGCCACATATTGCGAGGGACGTTGACATGCGCAGGATTATATCATGCCTGCGAGATGTTTGTAGCCGGCATAGAAAACGGCGATCGATTCGGTGTGGATGGAGACATTGTCGTTGTCGATGCGTTCTTCTCTCTCGGCGCAGTTTCCTTTGTCGTTTTCACTATTTACCGCATGTCGGGGAAATTCTACGAACGCGCAGACCAAAAAGCAGTCGACACTGTGACAAGTCTACAGCGACCAGATTCATGCGAGGTCTACCTCTGATCTTCGTCGCGGAGGTCCGCCTAGCTTTCCAATCCTGTTCTAGACAACATGTTGCGTCCAGGAAGACCCAATTCAGTACTTTCAGGCCACTGCTGAAGAAGTCTCCTCCGCGCAGAAAGGTCGAGGCGCCCATTCAGGTAGTGCACAGTCAGCTCCGAGCACAGAAAGAAGGCTCCGTCAGCACCAGAGGAGCAAAAGATAATGCGGTGGCCAACGGACAAGCTGGGAGCAGCAAAGACCTGGTCGCGGTTCAAGAGGGAGGGAGAGCTCTTCAAGATGGCCGAAAGGTCGAGGTGCCATACAAAGTCATACCAAGGGCCGACATTACTCCAAACTTGACCCTATCGCCAAAAGAACGACTGCACATTGAGCAGCTCACGCGGAACCTGCCCCCTCGAACCGAGCCAAAAGGTAGATATATCAGTGCTGGACTATAGATGGACAAAGGTTGACTGGAGGCAGTGTACAAGAAAAAGCTACGAATATACAGCGTAGGAAATGGCAAGATTTATGCCATCACCTTCTTGCGCTTCGCCGCCATCTTTGCTCTGTGCTTGACCACGGTTGTGGTAGCACCAGCTCACTGGCTGAATGGCAGCTCCATCATCACCGTCGCTGGATGTACGTTGTTCTTACGTTTCTACGAGTCCAAACTGACGTGTAGTCTTATAGTGTGGTTGGCTGGGTTTGTACCGTTCGCCTTCATTCATTGGACACTGAGGCCAATGGTGACTGAAGTCTTTCTAAGACTTCCACAGTCCGCACAACATTCGCCGAAGGCTGCAATGGCGTATGCTACAAATCTGCCTGCTGACGCCGTACTGGACATGCGGTTTATGAGGGCAACAACATTGTCTGACTATATATCCGTGCGACTAGACCATACGAAGCCGGTCATGAGCTATATTCGTCCTGTAAATTTCGAATGGGTGGGACCATTCGTTCACCGGGGAGGTTTCCTCAGACCAAATCCAACCCAGTTCTATGTTCGTGCAGAGTCGGCTAAAGGAAGAGCGGCTTGGGATGTCACTCCTGGGATCTGGAAACAGGTCTACGAGCGACTCACTGGAAATGAAAGCAGTTCTGTGGCTCGATGGAGGCGGTGACCAGCAAGATACAGCGTATCTGCGGCCTTGACGACTTCACCTACGTTTCACTTACTTCTCATACGTGCCTGGGCGGTGTCAACAGGAACAATTTATCCACCTACTTGAACTCACTTGCTCGCATTATTGGTTCCCGTGCACTCTCTTACTTATTTCACTCCTCCTCTCTCTCTCTGTGTGTTCATCCATCTCATCACAACTCTTCATCACACTTACTACACACTGCACACTCGATCTCGTACATCCTGCAACTAATTCAACTTCTTCACATCAATACATCCTGCACCATGTCTGAGGCTACTAAGAAGACGGCGCCTACCCTGAGCCAGCGTGAGACTGAAATCCTCATTGCTGCTCTTACGAATGTCAAAAGTGGCGAACTCCTGGTAAGTGAGAAGTCTCCTCCAGCTCGAAAGCCGTGCACTCGACTCGAGCCATGACCAAGCGGCGTTCTTTCACTGACACTGCCCAGATCGACTATCCTAATATGGCCGTGACTCTCGGTGTTGCGAGCGTTCCTTCAGCCACTGCACGCTGGAGCGAGGTCAGAAAGAAACTTGGAATCCCCACCAAGAAGTCTACTGGTGCTGCTAATGGCGAGCCGTCCACCCCCAAGGCCAGAACTCCTCGCAAGCCAGCTTCGACCAAAAAGGCCCCAAAAACTCCAGCTCGTGCCAAAGATGGAGCAGACGGCGAGGAGGACGCAGATGAGCTGGCTCCCCCTCCCGCGACTCCTCAGGCTGACAGCAATGACGGTAAGATTTGACTCTTTGGAACCTTGCTCCCCTTTTTTCTTGCTAGAGTTTGTCCCTTCATTGTCATGCCGGATAACTGACACATTTGCTTCTAGAAGTAGATGTTCCGGCTACTCCCAAGACTCCAGAGACACCTGCTGCTACAAAGAAGCGTGGTCGTAAGACCAAGGCAGAGAAGGAAGCCGAAGCTGCTGCCAACGGTGCTGATGCTGACGTCGAGGACAAGGACGAGAAGCCAGCCAAGAAGCCTCGCAAGACTCCAGTCAAGAAGAAAGCTGCTGCCGCTGACGCTGATGGCGAAGCAGAAGTCACCGTAACTCCAGCAAAAGCCAAAAAGGCAACTCCACGCAAAACCGCTGCCGCACGCAAGAAGGCTGCCGCTGCTGAAGCCGTTGTTGCAGACGCAGAAGAAGCTGACGATGCTGCCGATGATTCCAGAGTCAAGAATGAGAAGCTTGCAGCTGACGCTACGATGGCGAATGACGTTCTCAATGGCAACAAAACCATGACCCCACACCCTGAAGCCGACGGTGAGAACGCAGATGGCGCATCGCAAGTCGAGCAGGAGGAGAATGGCAGTGATGATGATGATCTCGTCGTCGAAGATGCCGGCGTCACTCAGGACACTTCCGAGACTATTTCAGTCGTTCACTCTGACGTCTAACTGCTTTCCTCAATGGGGGCTTCTGTTCCAGAAAGCAAACCGTCTTGGTCTGGCGTGCAGACTAGAACAGGACTTTTTGGGAAGGACATGTACCAGACTTGCACGTTGAAGTCACCTTGGAACAGTCAGTCACAGGGCAGATTACAAAAACAACCTTGGGACCTCAAAACAAGAGACTTGATTGCACGACTGAGATTGGGGATGAAATCGACATTGACATTGGCCTGGAGAATGCACACATCCGAGTACTGAGTAATGGCGTGAGGACATGAGCGTCTACTGTGGACAAAAAGGAGTACCTGGGATTTTCAATTGAGCCGATGGTGACAAAGGCCTGCTGAATAGTGCTTACGAGTGGGATTGATGGCCGGTCCGAACCAGCCAGACAGCATGTGGCCGTTATGCGACATGCAAAATCCATACGTTTTGTCTTTGACGACTTCACATGGTCGAGTCAAGTCGAGTCGAGACAAATCTCTCTCTAGCAGGTAGAATCTTCGCAGAACACTTCCCCTTGATACTCACTCCATGGTCCATACTATCCGTAGCCCGAGGAGCCCACGAATAGATGCTGGCAAAAGAAAGATTGTGGAATCGTTTCATCCGTCTACACACCCAATCAAATCACACGAGGTAGGTCTTGTTCATGTGGACTCGGTCGGGAAGGGCTCCAGAATCAGCAGGCAAAGCAAAACTCGCCCTACCACAAAAACACCTCTACGGAGGACTTGGATGGTGGGCTAAAGTGACAAAAATCCTTCAAACAAGTAAGAGCGGTAGCCCTCCTTTCCACCACGGCCGACCCAACAACACCACCAGAAACGCCATCAGAAAGATAAAACAAAAAAGTCTTTTTGTGGTACCGTACAGAACACACACACACACACACAAGTCCCCCCATCAAACAAAACCCAGATCGACTCCCTCACAAGGCTTTCGATACGCTTGTCAACGAATCGACGCCCTCACAAAGCTTCGATACACTTGACGAGAGCATCGATCCCACCGTCACAAATCTCACCACCGCGTTCCTCGTTCAACATCCAGGCCAAGTCACTCAACAATCCCAACGGGACTTCTCTCTCTTTGCCCTGGCCGTCCTCGCCGTCCTCCGTGCCTGCGCCGCCCTTCAACCGCCGGGCCATGAGGCTGGTGTACTCCCACTGCTTGGCCGCCTCCTCCGCTCGGTCCACGATGCCGGGGGCAATGCCACACATGCTTGCACAATGCATACCGAAGCTGCCTTCGGCCGTGCCCGATTCGAGCTTGTACAAGAACGTGACGCGCCTGTTTTCGTCGTCGACCAGGATGCTCATCCGCTGTGGAATGATCTGCGGGTGTCCCTTAAACTCCGCAGAGAGCGAATGGTAGTGGGTCGCAAAGAATCCCAAACACCCAACGTGCGAGGCCAGGTGGTGAAGGACGGCCTGGGCCACGGAAACGCCGTCGTGCGACGATGTGCCGCGGCCAAGTTCGTCGAGAATGACCAAGCTGCGGGGAGACGCTTCGGAGAGAATCTTCTTGGTCTCGGCAAGCTCGACGAAAAAGGTCGACTGGGCGGCGAAAATGTGATCTTGGGCACCGAGACGGGACATGATCCGGTCAAATGGAGTGAGCCGTGCAGATTGACATGGAAGGTAACAGCCAACCTGCGCCATGATGACTGCGATGCAAGTCATTCGGAGCACCGTAGATTTGCCCGCTGCGTTTGCCCCCGTGAGCAGACTGATATTGGCCTCGTCTCCGCCCAAAACAACGTCGTTGGGAATGAAGTTGTCAACCTTGGCTAGGAGACATGGATGACGAAGCTCGACGAGTTCAAGAGTCGAACGTGTATGGTCGTCGTCATCGACAAATTCCGGTCGGCAGCTTGGATAGCCCAAGCTCGCGCTGGCCTTTGCCAACGAGATCAAACAGTCAAGCTGGGCGATGACCTTGACAGCAGCCAGCCAGATCTCGTAATTCTCGTCGAAGCGAGCTTGGAAACGGCGAGTAACTTCCTTGGATATCTGAGCGTGAGTTTCCTGAGCTTCTTGGAGTTTCCGAACAAGAGCCCGCAGCTCTGGAAAGTAGTAGCGCTTCACTGCCTGCGTAGCAGACATTTGATCCCAGTTCTTGGGGATGCCTTTAACTTTGGTGGGAACTTCCAGCTGCATAATCTCTTTACCGTTGTCGCGGTAGCAAATCGCAGAAGAGCCTAGTTCTTTCCGCCATTTTCGAAGGAGTACGTTAAATTCCTGTTGGATCTCTTCGATCAAGTCGTGTGAATTGTCAAAGTCTTCCTCGAAGCCGCGCTCAGGCACCAGAACGCCTGTTTCCTTGGCTTTTGAGCGGTCAAAGGCATCCGTCCAGTATTTCAAACGAGATTCAAGGTCTGGCATGGCAGAAATGAGCTGACCAATGACGCCCTCGGCATCTTGTGGCCTTCCTGATCCATCTCGCAGTAAAGACATGGTGTGATCAATCTGCTCGAATCCCTCCAGAACACTGACGAAATCTTGAACTCTGCATGCTCCAGCATGGACACGAGAGATCAATCGTTCCAAGTCAGGCATCTTGGACATTTGTGACGTGAAGCGGTCTCGCACCTTGGTATCAGCGTTCAGAGAATCGACAGCGTCCAGCCGAGCGTTTATTTTCTTTGTGTCCATCAACGGGTGGCACACCCACTGCTTGAACATTCGCTTGCCAAAAGGAGTGATGCACCGGTTCAGGAGCTGGAACAGGGTGCCTTCAGGACCTCCATCGTAAGAGTTGGCGAAGACTTCCAGGTTGATCAATGTCTGGCCATCCAGTACGAGGCTGCCTGCTTTGCGGATAGGGTCGTACCAAGTGAAATTGCCTAGGGTGACGAGTTCCCGTTCAATTTTGAGGGTCCTCAAGTACTGAATCAAGGCACCGAGAGCAGACATGAGCAGATCTTTCTCTCTCGCTTGTTGAAGGACCTCCGGCCAGTCCATTGGGAAGTAATCACAGGCTTCGATTTCCTTGGCAGTGATATGGCCTTCCCAGAATTCTTTGCCAGGTTTCAGATAGTTCCATATGGTGGTCAGTCCAGTATTGTTCTTGAGAATTCGTAGCGTCTTGGTAGAAATGCCCCCTTTCTCGAGCAGTAGCTCTTGAGGTCTTGTCTGAGCAACGAAGGTCTCGAATCGGGTCAGATCCGCATCGTCGATCCATTCTGCGATGTGAAAGTGACCGGTAGCCGTGTCCACAAACGCCACGCCGAACGAAGGTAAGCCGTCGACTTCCGCTTCCTTGATTGCAACACAATACGTTGCCATATCGTCCTGCAACATAGTACCGTCGACCAAGGTGCCTGCGGTGAGAACACAGGCCAGTTCTCTCTTGATGACCTTGTCGTCCTTCTTGCTCGCTGCGCTACCTCCTTTTGCCCATTTAGATGCACCCTTTCGGCCGCCAAAGCCGCTCATCGAATCCTCGCTTGCATCCTTTTCGGCCCGTTCCCTCATGTCCTTTGCCAGTTTGCTTTCTTGCTGATCGACTCGTGCAATCTTGAAGCCCTTGGCCACGAATTGGTTCGCCCACAGCCCCAAACTCGATTCCGGAACGCCTACCATGCGCATATTGACACGGTCAGTAAGCTTCAGATCGAATAACTGATGACCTATGGTGGCATCATTTTCGTAGAGTTCATAGAACTTTCCCTTCTTGAAGAAGACAATGGTGTCCCAGAACTTCTGCTTGATCTCCCAGTACTGCTTCTCGAATGGCGAGAATTTCGCCCAAGCCATGGGAGGGATGTACAATGTTCGCGGGTCGTAGTCAGGATGGCCGGGAGGGTTCCTATCCATATCCCTGACATCCTCCAACCACGCGTGCCGCTGTTCTGGTTCCGTCATATGGGCCTTTTGTTTACCAGGCTTCTTCGAAGGGATGTTGCTCGGTCTCAGCTGTAATGGCTGGGGGTTCTCGGGGTCGTAAGTCCATTTCTGAGCGGTTGAACCTTCTGGGAGATCCATATCCGCATCAAAGGCAACATCCACTGGTTCGTCCACTTCATCTTCGACGGGTGTAAAGTGTGAAGAGGTCTTTCGTGCAACCGGCTTCGAGGGTCGTTTGCGTTTGACAGGTCGCCGAACATCATCGTCTGAGTCGTCGGGGACTATGAAATCGTCCATATCTGGCACGGTCAGCAGAGGCATCACCAGGCATGTAACAAACTCACCATCTTCACTTTGTGCCACCTCGTTCTCCTGCTGATAAACATCTTCGTCGGCACTATCTGACAGCCTTCTCCGTTTTACAGGTCTCGAACGCACTGCAGCTTTAGGTTTGAAAACGTCATCGCCATCGGTACCTTCACTATCGGACTCGATATAGTTGATGATCTTCTTTGCCTAGACAATATTAGCTGAATGTCTTCCTGGGGCAGGCGGTACGCGTGTTACCCTGCGTGACGGCGTTCCCCTCGCACTAGAATCGCCTACTCCATTAGTCTGCCTTTCATCAGCTGAGACTGGCGATGGCAGACCTTTGGCAGGAGGCGGACTCGTCCGAACATCATCGCCCTTGTCCTTGTCCAACTCTGGCTCCGGACCATCACTACTCGGAATTGGTGTCAACGACGAGGTCGAATAAGCCGCCGTAGACCTCTCCCGGTCCTTCTGTAGGCCAGGCGTTGCAGTGGACTGCCGAGAGGGAAGTGCAGGGGATGAGCCTGTGGATGGTGTCCGTTGGAAGAAGCCGAGGAGCGTCTTCTGGCCGGAGCCCGAGGATTGTGACTTCTTCAATGAGGGCGTAGAAGCAGGACCCAACGGTGTCTTTTTGGGAGGCATGGCGGCTGTCGAGTTGCCTTCCTTTACACCACAAGACGATCTCAACGGCACACGAGTATCACAAATGAGGAGAGTGGTATGCGTAGGTATGTGTGCAAAGAAACGCAGGACGTGAAATAAATGATGTCAATCGCGTGTTGGTCACTAGCGCGACTTCTACGCGTAGATTGCGCTTCGCATACGCGCGATATGTTCATACTTCAGATTAGCATAGATTACCATTAAATTACTCAGGACTACCGTGTGCACTGCACGTCTGCGACTGTCATTTCAATCATCATACCCAACGACAGATGTACTCTCCCTTTTCCTTGGACGCCAGCCTTGTCTATTAAATTCGACACGTCCAGGAGGTGATTTCGTGATTACTCTACACATTTGTTTTATACAGATTCATATAAAGATGGAACAAGAAACAGGACTAGGCTCCTGCAGCTTTGTCCTTGTCCCCGGCTTCCTCCTGAGCAGCTACTTCAGCAGCCTTCATGCCCTCCCAGGCGGCACAGGTCAATCCTGCTTGCTCATACTCCTCGTCGGGAATGATGTCGATGATTTTCATCTTCCACTTCCCAACTCGTAGAATGAGCAGCTTCCCATCGATAACGTACTTGGCTGCTTCCTGAGCCGTATTGCTCTGTGCTGGCGCGAAACTCAAGCTGTCATCCATCTTGCTCATTGACCCTGGCAATGCGCCGACATACGCTCCACCGGCCATGATCAGCCTATGCCCTTCAGCTTTAGACGATACCAAGCCCGCAGCGAACATGATCTGGCCCAGCGGCTTGTCAACCACAAGACTCCTGGGCAATTTGACCCTCGTTGAAGCATTGTCTTCCATCCTCATCGGCTGAGCATGCTTGTTCAGGGACGGATGCGTGAAGTTTGCATTCGGAGCCTGTCTCCCTGCGCCTGTAGCTGTATCACTAGCTTTGGCGTCCGCTACACTTGAAGTGATGTCACTGATCGTCAGCGTCTTCTTGAAAAGCTGTCGATGCTGCTGTTCCGCTTCCTTGGCACTTTCAGTGCCGTAGATCAACTCCACAAACTCTCGGGCAAGTGTGTGCTGTGCTACACGCTTTGACGCATCTTTCTGGTGTTCCTTCATGATCTGCTGGATCTCCGGCAACGGCAAAAATGTGAAGAGCTTGAGATATCTCTCGACGTCCGCATCTGCTGAGCGAAGGAAGAACTACAACGAGTGTTAGAAACATCATCGGCAACCTAGGAGAAGGGCAAGTGCTTGCCTGATAAAGATCAAAGACCGGCGTCATGTCAGGGTCCAGCCAAATCGCATTGCCAGCACTTTTTCCAAATTTCTCGCCGGACGAAGTCGTCAAAAGCGGCACAGTGATGCCTAAAGGTTCGGAGGTAACATCGATGTTGTTTTTCTGATCGATGATCTTTGTGTTTCGTAGTGCTGTCTGGTATTCGTGCGAGTCCTTCGCGATCTGCTTGACGGCATCTGCTCCGGCAAGAATATTGCCAAATTGGTCCCCTCCGCCAACCTGAATCTGAACTCCTTTCTGGAAAAGATGCCACCAATCCCAAGCTTGAACCAGGGGATAGCTGAATTCGGCGTAGGACATCCCATCGCCTTTTTCAAGTCGGGTCTTGACACTAATTCATGAGTCAGTTCAGAGAGCTCCATCTGATCAATAATTAGGCGTGTGCCGACATACGTATCTCTTCCCAGCATAGGCCCAAGACGTACGTTGCGACCGAGAATCGCAAGATAGTCCCTAGCCGAGAGTGCGTTCCACCAAATCGAGTTGTTTTTAAGTGACCTTCGCCACGCCCACTCTTTTTGAAACCCTTTCCGTTCAGCGTGCCTCTCGATCGAAGCTCCCAACCTTTTCAGTTGTGCGTGCATGGCGGCAATGTTTGCTTTCCGTGTGGGCGCCGACTGTGCTTCTCGACCGGTGGTGCGTCCGGTAGGATCTCCTATTGATGATGTGAATCCGCCCAACTATTGATCCAATTGGATTAGCAACCCATTCGGGGACTTCAGGGCAGCGGGTCGCAGTTGCTTACCACAAAATGCGTATCATAACCATGAATGTAAAACCATCCAAGAACCATAAAGACAACCATGTGACCGACATGCATGGACGGGGCGGTAGGGTCTATCCCGGCATAGACACCAACTCGACGATGGATCATGAGCTCGTCCAGTTCCTCCTTTGACCTATTCGCAATAACAGTCAGGCAATTGCATCTATATACGTTTGATCAAGTGCTGGCTGCGTACCCGACGGTCTGGTTAATGTAACCTCTCTCCTCGAGTGTCTTGAAGAGCGACGGCATTCGACCCGCTTTGATGTCCTGTGCTCTCGTCCGCCATTCCTCCTCGGCTTCCTGGATCTTGCGCATATGATTCCTGGTGATCCATCTCCTCGTGGTCGTCGAGACGGTCGAACGGCAGGAGGCATTGCCAGCGTGAAGTTGCTGTCGGCAACCCTGACAGACATACCAGCAGCGCTGGGCCGCGCGTATGGGTTTATTGGCGGACATGGAGTTGCATGCTCGTAGTCAGTGGCTTGACAGTGTCGCGATGCATGCGCAAAAAATGTTTTGGAGCGAACTGAATGTCACACGGAGCTCGGCAGCAAATCCACCGACGAGGATTACATAATGCGTCTACCACGGATGAATCGACCTACGGGCACAGACGTAGCGGACCAAATCCATCCTCAACGGAAGGCACATCACGGTGCAAGAAACCAGTTGGAAAATCGTTTCGTCAAGTACTTGACGTTTCAATGACGCTTATATTACGCACAGGAAGTAATCAGCACTTGTATTCTGGACCCTATCACGCACGCGGACGAAAACAAGGGCCATAATGTTGTCCTTACGCTGTTCCAATCTGATGGTAAGATACCCAAAGAGGATCTGTATAAAAGATGCGAAAACATTCCCTCTGAGAATTTCAAGTGATGTTCCTAAGGGAAACGTTTGAGCTCTGGTAACACGGTACTCAGAATGTCACTCAAGCGCATACTGATCACAGGAGCAACTGGAAAACAAGGCGGTGCCCTTCTGTCTGCTTTGCTGGACTCTCCGCCAAATCCACCCTTTCACCTTGTTGCGCTTACTCGCAATACCAAGAGCGCAAAGGCCCAGGCACTCGCTCAGAAACCCAACGTCAGCGTTCTCCAAGGCGACCTGAATGATTGTAATGCGATCTTTCAATCTTGCAAAGAGCCCTTCCATGGCGTCTTCAGTGTCCAGGTACCCATTCGGCCAACAATAGAACAACAACAAGGGGAAGCTCTTGTCGACGCCGCGGCAGCGCATGGTGTCAACCACTTTGTATACACTTCCGCAGATCGAGGCGGGCCTGAGCGATCGGATCGCGACCCCACGGCAATCAAGCACTTTGCTTCCAAATTCAACATCGAAACCCACTTAAAAGCAGTGTGTCAGCGTCCCGAACATCAGATGCAGTGGACCATAATTCGGCCAGTTGCTTTCATGGAAAACTTGACCCCTGATTTTCTTGGTCGAGCATTCACGGCCATGTGGAGATTGAATGAGCCAAACACCAAATTACAGCTTGTGTCTTCGATCGATATTGGCATTTTGGCCGCAGACATTTTTAAACATCCGGGGTCGTATACCGGGCGAAGCATCAGCCTTGCCACGGATGAGCTCACCCTGCAGCAAGCCAATGATATCTTCAAACGCGTGGTTGGGATGGATATGCCTGAGACATACCCTGTCATCGGCCGCCTGATTAAATTCATCCTGCACGAACAACTCGGTGTCATGTTCAATTGGTTCAAGCAGGAGGGCTTCGGTGGTAATCCAGACGAATTCAAAACCAAATTTCCAGAGATGCAGGATTTCCAAACATGGTTGAGGCGGTCGAGCGGCTTCAGAGATAGGGCGCGAGTACTCGAGAGTCGATGAGCTGGCTATGGGCGAGATGGTCGAGTAAGCCTGTACTACATGTCGGTCGAGGATCATATGAGTGTTTTTCAGCCATTTTCAGGCATCATTTTTGTCTTTCATAGTATTTTCGTTCATTCTGAATAGTGTAATCATGTGAGTTGTGAAGCATCATTGTCGAATGCCCATTCAGGTATAGAGAGATCCCACGTTCTATTCAACTCGTCCCCAAACAAGAACTGATCCCAGTCAGCATCGGTATCTGGCAAAGGAAATTGAAAGCTTGGATCATCAAAATTCTCGCAATCTTTCGCCAGCAGGGTTTGCGGTGGGCCGAGGGGCTGCCCCTGGGATGCACCTTCAGTTCCAGGCATATCTCGAGGTATAACGTTGTTATCCTGATATGGTGTATCGCCGTCGAGAGCCAGAGACTCTGCGAGTGGTGCATTTGAAAGCGACTTCATCTCAAGGCGGATGGCACCGAAGTAAGGCAGAACTACTGTTCTTTTCTGTGGTTCCGTGCCACTGAGGTAGTCATCCAAGAATCCTCCCAGCTCGTCGAGCACCTTGAAACCTTGTTTCCCGATTCCGCCATTGAGATGTTTCGCCCTGAAGCGAAATATGTCTTTGACCTGTTCTATAAGGTCAAGGTCTTCCCTGACGCTGTCGATAACAAGCTCCGGCGAGCCATGAGAGGATGGACAGTGTGACAAGCGGAAAATTACCATCACCATGAGTATACAGGCGCAGAAAACGCCCTGGAAATCCTCACAAGGACAAATATATACCGCCAGAGATGGATCAGAGCGCAGCAGGTAGAAAATACGAAGCATTCCAAGGCAGGCCTGGCGGCAAAGTTGGCGACTTGGCTCGTATGGGTCGATCGAAGAGTCGGGACTGTTTTGAGTAGCTTCAGAAAGTTTACCCGACCCATCCGGAAGAGGTTTCAACATGAAGGGTAGGTGCAGGAACGCTTGGACCTGCCAAAACCACATCTGCGCCATAAGATGTTGATATGACACATATGGATCCGTGTAGTTCATGTGTGAATCAACATCCCACCAATATGTAGGCATACCAGCGGCCGCCTCATCAAGAGTCGACTGAATGCACATTGTCGTGTTATACCTCGAATCATCAGGCTGATTGCTTGAGTTGCGATCATTCACACGACCTGCAATCACTGCGACCACCCTCCTGAACGCGCGCATTCTGAGGTCCACAGGCACACACCCATTACTGTCGCCAGTGGCTGCAATAACATTGCCCCGGAGGACGTCAAGAGCCAGATGATCTGAGAATTTGTCGTCTTGAGCATGAGGAAATCCAAGAACCAAGCTCATTAGTCGGTCCAACTCGAGTATTGAGCCAATCCATCGTTGACGGTGGAGAATGCTAGAGACGTGAGCCTCGTCTAGCAAAGGGACTTCCCCGTCCTGCTGGAAGGGCAAGGCATCGGTAAATCCACTCTCCCTCGCCACTTCAATGGCTTGCCGAATTGAAAGCCAGGACTTTCTCAGCTGATTCGCCTCGGCGTAAATTTTGGCTCGCATCATGTATAACAGGAGCAGGCCAGAGTCTTTCATGTAAGCAGGGTCCGCAGATGGAGACAACAGGACTGTGTCGACGGCAAGAACAATACGCTCGGTGAGCTCAGCCGGAGCCGTGGAAATGTTGAGCTCCACATCATCAACACCAGCCCGCAGATCTCGCAGCGACATCGCAATGCAAAGCAAGGCTGTGCCAATGGAGACAGCATCATTCGCGGCCAATTTGGCCTGGACGAAATCGCGCAACGATATTGGTTTAATCTCTTTATGTGGCCAGCTAGTAGTGCTGCCCGGGGAGTCGCCATTCGAGACTGTACCACTTTCTGAAGATGTGTCGTCGCCCGAAACCTGGTGGCTTTTAGGGTTGAAAAATACCTCGTGGAGGGCGAAGGTTTGGTCACGCCAGGCAACCCACCAGTGTGTCGAGATTTCAACCACTTTCAACAGGTATGGCTCCGTAGAGATGGTAGAGCGCAACTTTTCTGCATCTGAAGCAGCATTGATGTCGGAGGTCAAATCGGAGAATGTCAATACCTGAACCTTCTCGGTGATTATTGCAGGAGATATGCATCGTTGTGCAAGCTAGATAAGTCGTAAGTCTTGAACGTTCGATACGCCGCATTCTGTTTGAAGGAGAGTTCAGATACCCACCATTTCATTGTTGAAAAGCTGAGTCAGAAGAGGACTCGTTTTCCTGGCTTCATCTTCCGCAGGAATCCTTGAATTCAGTAGAGTATTGGCGGTTGTAGGTTTCAGTTGTGGATTTTGCGTAGACGCAGAGCCAGGGTCATCGAGACCACTGACCTCCGAACGGCCAGCGAGTCCCGCACCATCGATATCGGGAAGACCTAGGCTCTTGAACAATTGCAAAGTAGAATTTGGTTGCCATGGACCATCCTGCTCTCGCGCAAGTCTTTCCACCATTGAGTCCATCCGGTTGACCTGAATATCCATCCGCGACCTGTTTTGCCTCGTGAACTCTCCGGGATCGAGGTCGTTGATATCCCTTCGCCGCTTGTAGATTCGCGCCGATGGCCGTCCTGATCGTGGGTCATTGTTTACCGAGTCCTCGCCTGCAGGTGGAATGGTTTCTGAAGCGACGAATCCCTGCACTCGGCATTGTCGGCCATGCTGTTTACATTCATTGCATACGAGGCTTGAGCCAGATTCCGAGGCTGAGCCGTGGTCGGCCAGAGCTGTCGAGGCAGGGTCTTCCTGAGATGGCTCTGGATAACTGCATTTGATCTTGCGACGGCGACCTTTTTACGGTTTGGTCAGAAACAACAAAGGAGTGTCGGAATAGCATTTCCATCAGGAGAGTTCAGGATCGCAAACAAGAAAATACGTACACTCGAGACATGATTTTGTACCCTTGCGCATCTGCTTGAGTCCAGCAGCCCCTCCGCCTCTGGCTACCACAGACACTTTCTCTCTTTGGGAAGGCATTGCTGCCATGGGATGGTGGGTATACACAGAACGAAGATTGGTGTTCGTTAAGTTGACAGGAATACTACAGGAAGAGTGTATTCGAATGTTCTGACTAATGCAGATTTCAAGCCTCTCGATACAGTTGTGGCGGATTTTGATTATCTAATCCGGGGTACAAGGAAATGAGGTCAACGCACACTTCATAGCATTCAAGGTGTGCATCTCCCATGGCTTAGCAGTGTTCAGCCTTATTATCATGTGATATGGGCACTTAACGCAATACGAAAAGACTAGAGTCATTGAATGCTTCATAGTACAGTATATGGGGAAAAGGTTGCTCATTTGCCTGGTGTCCATCGACTTGCTCGCAACCGATGCACCGTTTCCAAACCAAGACATTCCAGAATGTGAATATGCAAAACTCGGGCGTCGTCCCATCATCCCACCCATTCAGACGTCGTCGTCGTCATCATCATCATCATCATCTAGCTTCAGAGGACTTTCCTTTCCAATATCCTCTCTACTATCCGCTCTCCGCTGGCTGAGGCTTCGTTGACGGATTTTCTCTTTGGACCATCTCCCTCTGCGCTCCCCACGTCTCCTGCTTTCCATTTGTTTTACCTTCTTCACATCGACATCAGGGTGAATTCTCTTGATGTGCTCATAGAGCCTTCTGCCTGTGGAGAATGGCTTCTGACCACGTTTACATCCGGGAATGGGGCATATTATGACGTCCGGATGTGCGAGCATGTCGACGTCGACGTCACTAAAGTCGACACTTGTGCTTCTTAATGCTGACAGACCGAGCCGAGATGGAGTCGCGCTTCCTCCACCTGCGACATGGACCTCTTTCAGATGCTGTTGTAGATGGGACGTTTTTCGGAAAGGGACACTGCGCCTGGGACAGGACTCGTGCGGACAACTATGCAATACTGGTGCAAAATCTCCGTCGTTCGCCTCTTCGGAAACCTCGCTTTCGACGGCAACTTGGGTTGTGAAATGTGGTTCCTCGCCTTCTTTGGCGTCACCTTCGTGGAAGACGCGGAACAGCATATTTTCTCCGAACAATCGCCCACAGCGCTCACTTGCTCTCTCGACGACGGCAGGATCCCACCCAGTAAGCGACGCCATGCCCACAACGTCACTCCAGTCGCGTAGGCCAAGCTCAGAGAGTTGTCGTGCTTTCCCCACAGACATCCGGGACATGGAAGAAAAGTTGGATGAGTCTCTTGCCGCAGGCGATGAATTTCGAGGCCGACCCTTGCGAATTGCGGAGCGGGAGCTGGTTCTGCGCAGACTGGTGCTCTTAGATCTTTCCTCGGACGTGTTCAAGGACCTTTGCCTGCTCTTTCCGTCCGGCTTCGACGCATAGGCATACCGCGCTTTGTGTAGACCAAGGAGTAGATCATCAAGCTTGGACAGGACATGTCTCGCACTAGGAAGGAAATATTGCCCAGCCTTGTCATCATCTGCAAGGGGTACAGGTTTGTCGTTGACCAAGCTCTGGTCATCTCCACCTTCAGCCATGAGTTTGCCTCTTTTGGGGTCTGGTGACTCTGATGCTGAATAGGCTCGAGAGGAGAACATGGGAAAGTGAGCATCCTCTGAAGAGGACCGCGCTTCTTCCGTCTCAAATCCCTGAGCATCTGAAGCGTCATTCTCCGGTGTATCATCACTGTCTTCGACTTTCGACACAGGGTTGATTGCGCGAGGTTTGAAATTGACCCTTGATTCTAAGGATATGTTGTCCCATTGCCGTGTCTCCCATTTGTCTCGTGCAAGTTTTGTTGTATGCGCGATGAGGCAGTGTTCGAGGTTTGCACTTGGTCGAGCGTCAAGGTTGTACCGAAATCCAGTACCAACTCCAGCCGTTGGAAGAAGTTCTTCTCTAGGGACCTTGTCAGGAGGCAGCGGCCAAGCAGTCCAATGCTTTGGTATCGAAAGCATGGCGGTATCCGGGTCTTCTGGCGGTGGTGATCTCTCCGCCTCGTGGTCTGTAGACACGGCAGAGTTTGCTCGGTCTTTGCCTTTCGTAATTCGGCTCCGCTTGCGGCCTCTTCCTGTCTGTTTTACGTCTGGTGCGTGTCGTTTGAGCGCAAATGAATTGAAAAGGTGTATGCCCAGATCTCGGCCGTGTAAAGCGTCTATACTTTGTGCTATCGATCTCTCCTCTTCCGTCCATGATTTCCAGGTTGAAGCTGATCCAAAATACCTATTCGGGCGTGTGAAGTATGTTTCTGCATTGTCGCCCTGCGCAAATGGCAGATCCGCGAAGATTGACGTGAGACTCTCCCGGTCGAAGAGTGCATATTCTGTCCGTGCATCGTCGTGTGGCTGTCTAGGTGGCTGGCTTGACGGTAGATAATGGGGTTGAATTCTCCCAGATGGCACATCATCCTGGGCTCCTCCATCGATACGAGCGGTGTTTAGTTCCATGCCTAAGAATCATGATAGTCCTGCTTAATCAAGAGAGGCGAATGCGGCACCGTCGGTGGCTCAAACTCGCTGTAGTACGAAGTAAAGGGTGATTTTAAAGTCGTGTTATATCTATTAACAGAACAGGAAAACAAATGGCAAAATATATATTTCGTTGTCACGTGCGCCACGTTTTTAATGGTTAAAAGCACGCACGAATTGCACGAATATTCGCAACCTCCAAAAGTATCCTCATTATTATCATACGGGTATCATCACTATGTGCATATGCTTTTTGTGTTGCCTTCCAACACCAATTCCACCCAGGTGATCAACTGCGTAGGAACATTTTGTATGTCGGACTGTCTGTACACTCAGTGAAGGGATATCCGATGTCTTTGAGAAAGCCCTCCAGCTCACCCTTCTCTGACTCTGGACATTGAATGCCGGCAAGAATTTTGCCCACATCGCCGCCGTAGTTCCGATAGTGAAACAGGCTGATGTTTTGACCTGGCCGCATTGTCTGGAGAAATTTGAAAAGGGCACCGGGCCGCTCTGGAAATTCAAACATGTATAATCGTTCGTCCTTGACGTCGGTCCGCCCACCGACCAGATATCGGATGTGAGTCTTAGCAAGCTCATCATTTGAGATATCTCTCGCGGTCATACCCTCGCCCGAGAGTCGGGCAAAGAGTGAGTCCAATTCCTTGGCTCTCGCACCCGCGGAGGAAACTGAGATACCCATCAAGACGTGTGCTTGAGCTTGCGATGAAAGTCGGTAGCCGAATTCCGTCACAGCTTGAGGCAACACTGCCTCGACCAGTTGTGCAAACGAGCCTGGCCTCTCGGGAATGGTGACGGTCAGGAGAGCCTCTTTCTGCTCACCGAGAGCGGCACGCTCCGCGACAAATCTCAGTCTGTCAAAATTCATGTTCGCACCGCTGGCCACAGCCACCAGCTCTCTGCTCGCATCTGCCGAAGGGTTCTGAGAGACCCATTTCTTCAGACCGGCCAGCGACAATGCACCGGCCGGCTCCAGGACCGACCTCGTGTCTTCGAAGACGTCTTTGATAGCGGCACAGATCTCGTCGGTGCTGACTTGGACTACCTCGTCGACTATTTCTTGACATATCCTGAAAGTCTCCTCACCCACGGTCTTGACTGCCGCGCCATCCGCAAAGAGGCCAACATCATTCAGCATTACCCTTTTGCCCCGCTTCAACGATTCAACCATGGCATTGGCGTCTGATGCTTCCACCCCAATGATCTTGACGTGGGGTGCTATCCGTTTGACATAGACACCGATACCTGCGATCAAACCACCCCCACCAACACAACAGAAGATGGCTTGTAGCTTTTGCAGAGACGTTTGCCTCAACAGTTCCATTCCTATGGTACCCTGCCCGGCGATGACATAAGGGTCGTCGAACGGTGGTATGTTGGTCAAGCCATATTGCTTTTCCAGATCGTGACAGTGTTGTTTCGCAGAGTCAAAGTCTGGTCCATGTAACACCACGCTTCCACCCATTCTGCTGACATTCATGTGTTTGATTGCGGGCGTCCCCGAGGGCATCACAATAGTGGCTGGGATCTTGAGATGTCGCGCAGAATAGGCAACGCCCTGCGCATGATTGCCGGCGGAGCATGCAATGACACCCTTCCAGCTGACCTTTGGTGGCAGATGTGCCATCTTGTTGTACGCGCCTCGCAGTTTGAACGAGAAGACTGGCAGCAAATCCTCCCGTTTCAGAAGGACCTTGCACTCTAGGCGGTTGGAAAGGTTGACGGCGTGTGTGAGAGGGCTTTCGGAGACGACATCGTAGACCCGGGAGGTGAGGATGAGTCGTAGGTAGTCAGGGTAGCCACTGGGCAGTAGGAAGTCTTGTGGCACATTGTACGTGGGCGTATCTGCTCGTTCAGAGGGAGGAGTGGGAGCTGCAGTGTACTCTGTCAGGGCCAGGCCTGAGGTTCTTTTCGGAGTTGAGGGGGTGGGTGTCGTTGTCCCGTTGACTGATGAGTCTGCAGCGTCCATGGTGGACGAGCAAATCCAGCGTTCTCGGTCTCCAGCGAGCAAGTTACGTGGTTTGTCTACTGGGAAGAATTGAGAATTTTTGGGAGTTTTCGTAGAAGTGACTCCGTCAACAAAATTTCTTTTGAGCTCTCCGCACACACCGCATCTCCCAAAGGGCGCGAGGGGCAGCAACGGAATTACTGCGCCATTGTCTGTTAGGGCCTGATGCTACAACACTTTGGATCTATGTACAATCTAGTTGTTGGTAACTATACTTGTAAATAAAAGGTCGCATAAGGGCCTGAGGGGAGGGGTTGAGGGACGGTAGCCCTTGACGATATCGTAGCTCATGCAGATGTGGCGAGGCTGAGGGAAATACTTACAGTACCAGTGGTGCAGCCTTGTCCTTTCAATTCGGGTTTCTTTTCGGCGATCGAGTGGGCTCCATCCATCTGTGGTGGAAGAAATACCAGCGAACCACTCTTCATAACCGTGAAGCTCAATCACTGTTCTTCTTTTCTCAAGGCATACTTACTCGAGGAAGTCGTCCCTAGGAAAAGACATACTTGATAGCATTCAAGAAATTACGAGCCTTTGAACCCCTACAACCCCGAGTAGACCTGCATATCGACGTCACGACTCTCACATCTCTAAAGTTGCGCACCGTGTTATATTCCTTCACTGCGCAGCAAGTACCTTATCGGCAGCCAAGACACAGTTTGAACAAAACAGTCGAAAGGGTTGATACAACATATACATTACTTACCTTGTTTCCTCCCGTGTACTTCGCGAACACGAAAAAAAGATGTCCAATCCGAACGCTACCGAGCCCTCTCCTCTCTCCGAGACCAGCGTACCCAGCAGCTTCGACAATGAGTTCTTCGAAGAATCACGCTTCCAGAAGTTCTGGCGGAAAATCAGACAGGAACCTCTGATCCCCGTCGGGTGCGCCGCGACGTGTTATGCCCTGTGGATGGCGACGCGGTCGATCCGGGCCGGCGACCACCACCAGACGAACCGCATGTTCCGAGCACGTATCTACGCGCAGGGTTTCACGCTGCTGGCCCTGGTGGCCGGGAGCTACTTCTACAAGGACGAGCGGATCAAGCGTAAGGCCTTTGAATCGGCGCTGGACGAGAAGAAGACGGCAGAGAAGAGGGAGAAGTGGCTCCGGGAACTCGAGGCACGAGACCAAGAGGACCGAGAGTGGAGGGACCGCATCGAAAAGGCGAGCGCGGATGCGAGAGCCGGAGTGCAAGACATCAAACAGTCCACGGAGAGACTGCTCGACGACGGCAAGGAGAGTCTGAAAAAGGTCGAGCAACAGATTGCGTCTGGGCAGCCTGGAGAGGGGGAGAAGAAGTCGAGCTGGAAGATCTGGAGTAGGAGCGTACAGGATGAAGTCATTCTTGACGGATGGGGTCCTGGAATGTGGGCGACGAGGACCAGAGATGCGTGGAGGAGGTTTTGAGTGCCGTGTCAAAGACACTCATTTAGGGCCGGTGTCGGTGTGTACAAAAAGGGTCTCAAATTGAAGGACGATCACGGCAAACCCATGGAATAAGATATCACTACTCGAATACTTTTCTAGATGATGCTCCTCCCTCGCTTTCATGTCTCCTATGTACAGATCAACCACTTCCCGGCCATGTGCTGCTCTATGACCCTAGGGGTCTGAAGACGACCTCGAGCTCCTGAATCCAAGCTGGAATCAAAAGAACAGCGACGTATATAATCAGGCTCTTATTGCCGAACCCATCTGGTTTGATCTCAGTACATCCTGTTATTGCCAGGCGTTTGGGTGGAAGGGAGGTGCTCGTGCACCTCGTTAGCGTTACCTGTAGCTGCAAAATACCTTGGACCTGGAAAGTCGAGACAGTTTTGGCAAGCTCAATCAAATTGAGCCATAGTTGTGTTCAGTTTCTCTTCTTCCTCTGATTGTGACCTCATGCTGTTATTTGGGAACATATCGACCCTTTCGTCACCTCCTGTCATGTGGGAAGCCTTTTGTGGCCGACAGAGTGCGCCGCGGCCGAAATGGAGACCTGAATTCCACGAAGAATGCCACCAGTCCGATGCATGGCTCTCATTTATGACAAATCAGGTTATTTCTCGCAACCGTTGGAAGAGGTACACCGTTCGAAAATTCTTCTGCTTTCCCATCGATAGGCTTGGGCTGTCTCTTCACATGAAGAGGCCAGTGTCCATTTGAGGGGCCTCGGATCTGTCGAGGGACTTTGCATGAACGAGGAATTTTGGTGCATCTCGAATCCGCGCTGCTCAGTCACCCTCTCGAAGCAAGTTCGTCTATATATCTCCGCATGCCATCAAACTCTGCCTTGCCCGTCGAGATCAAGTACCGAATCTGCGAAATGTCTTTGACATGCTTGTTGCGCTCGAATTCACCACGAGCATATGACACAGGCTCAGCACGTCTGTCATGTGGTATCTTATATAGACTGCGAAGGATCGTGCGCCATAGTCCCAGCACGCGCTGACGCTGGATAAAGTGGTCGAAAGAGAGTGGGGGAGGTTTCTTGGTTCGAGGCCGAGAGGCGGCAGCAGGTGAGGCGAGAAGCCTGAGAGACGAGCGCATAGAGGACAGGCTTGAGTCACGGTAGCCTCTGTAAAGAAGTGATAGTGCCGCGAGTCCTTTTAGATTGTGAAGGCAAAAACAAGAATGAGGAGCACCCAAGGACAAGAAGTTGTCGTTCGTTGACGGTATTGTTTGCGGTGTTGACCAATTCCGCCAATGACATGACGACAATCGCCGAGGAATACGAGGCTGATTTCTTCAGCCTTGTGTTCAACCATGGTCGCTTCGCATCGGGACGATGGTTCATTCAAATTTCTGCCCTATCACCTTTCGATGGTGAGGTAGTGACAATAAATCCTGATGCGGGGCTCTGTCGGGTCTCGTAATTGGAATGAGTACAATCTAAATACCTTAACGAGGAACAGTTGGAGGACAAGTCTGGTGACCTCCAGCCTCTATCAACGCTTTCTTCTGACCCGCCGACGCCAGCAACAGTCGCACGGCGTCTCGGGCTACCGCTCTAGCACAGAGGGCCGAGAAGTTGACTGGATACCTTTTGACGTCGTCTGGCGGAAATGCACAAAATTTATTTGATTTCTACTCATACTAAGAACTTATTCCAAGGCCTATGGCAACTGCAGAGCGTCCTTCAATAACGTCAATGCACCAAACAGTTGATTATCGTGATACTTTCGCGCGTTGATCTGAAGATCGATCGGGGCACCCTCAAAATTGCCTTCTTCCCACAGCTGTTTGACATGCTTACATTCGTCACTGAGAGGTTTGTAGTCAGAAGCGTATTGCTCGCCAGCCTCGGACTTTATGGGCGTAGGGAACACCACTCCAGGGTAGTCGACAAAGTTATAGAGGGAGGTATAGGTCCAGTAAAAGGCCGTGTCGTGCGCCGAGGCAGGGCCTACAAAGCATGGCCCTATGACAACGTCGACATCTTGTTCGTTCCAGGCTTTGGCAAATGCTATACGGTAGTCGTCCCTTTCCTTTCTCATATGGCTGACGCCCGTGGCAGTTTGCATACCAGCGGGCTCGGCGTCTTTCCAGATCCAGGCACTGAGTGGCAAGATTGGCTCTCCCGTGCATGTGATGGCCTCTTTCATCCCCTCGGCGCCGTCTGGCCAGTACATGCGTCTGATCTTGGACCAGGCCCCGGCAGCGTCATACGGCGTAAAGTCCTTGACCTCAAAAAGATCCGCGTACTTGGGGTCAGAAACCTGTTTCTTGGCCCACGCCACGGCTCTCTTGACCGGCGGTTGGGGGTCAATGAAGCCGTCATTGGAGATTATACCGATCTTCAACTTCTTTGGGACTTCGGTCTTGAGGCCAGTCCACGGGATGGGAATCAATCTTGGATCTTCCAGGTATGGCTTGGCATCGAGAATGAGGCTGGTGAAGAGCTCCATGTCTCTCATGGTCCGGCACATGGGTCCAATCGAGCACAGAACGTTGAGTTCAGCGGGGAACGGATTGTGCAGCATGCCGGTCATTGGTAGGGTGTATGATGTTGGCTTGAAGCCATAGATGCCACAGAAAGCCGAAGGACCACGGATACTACCGCCGATATCTGTACCAATACCCAGAACTGAGCCCTTCATGGCTATCAACGCAGCTTCACCTCCCGTAGAGCCACCGGCGGACAGGTGGATATTATGAGGGTTCAGCGTCCGCCCCCAGTATGAGTCGGTTTCGAGATGCATGATGGCCTGCGGTTGGTTGGTTTTGCAGTAAAACACGGCACCGGCTTCACGGAGTATCCGGATTAAGAGCGCATCCTCGTCATCCTTGACAATAGTCGAATACTCTCCGGCGGAAGAATAGAGTCCTGCTGTTGGCATGTGCTCTTTGATACTGATGGGTACACCATGGAGAGGACCGATAGTTTTACCATTCTTCTCGAGATATTCATCCAGTTCTGCTGCTTTTTGGAGGGCTTTCTCCTCAAAGAACTGGGTCAGACAACATGTCAATTGGTGTGCAATAGCAGCCCGTTTGCAAAAGGCCTTTGCAACAGCTACGGCAGTAAGCTTGCGAGTGGCAATTGCCTCGGCGAGACTGACGGCATCGTATTGCTCGGTGATCTGAATCTCCTCTGGGCTCAGAAGGCCACATGTGGATGGAATGGTAGAGACATCGACAGGGTTCTTGTCAAAGATCTCTTGAGGTAGATAGTACTCTCGTGGGATCGATTCCTCAAGAGTTCGGAGTAGTGCTGCTCTTTTCTCTTCAAACTCTGGAGTTCCTAGAGGAATGGCTTTTGGCTGGATGACGGTAAGTGGCCGGGCAACCATGATGTGAGGGCAGTGTGAAAGTGCGTGTGTGTGTGTGCAGTTTGCAGTGAAGAGGACCTCTGTAGAAGTTGCAAGACTGGAGTTGGTGCTTTATCTAGGCTTCGGATGAAGCATCTATAGGGATAAAAGAAGGGCTATGTCTGTATATTCAAATACCACAATGGGAGAAGCACAATGTTACTTTAATGCTCGAGTGAATGAACAATGTTATGCGGCAACAAGCCGATCGCTTGCTGTGGCCGCCATTCTATTACACAATTGCTATACGGAGCAAGTGTTGACCTGGCTATGATGGGGTCTCAATTTGTGGAAAAGGTGGCAGCGCTTGAGACCTGGTTGGTCTTCCCGTCACCCTTGATGAATAGAGGAGACGTAGACAGTCAAAGGAGCTGCATGCACTTCGTCTCCCCAACTCGCGGAGATCGTCGTGCTGATAGACAGATAGGAATTTGAAAGCGACGAATTGAAGGCATTTCCGCTGCGAGCTAGAGACGATTTAGTCCGTCGAGGGCGGAAATGGTCTTGATGTGCCCGCGAAACGCCACCAACACCAGCACCCAGACTTGGAGGAATCGACCCCGTCGTCCATCGAATCGCGGCTTTTTACGCGCGATAAGACTATACTATGTTTGGTCATCGGGTTTCTTATGTGTCTGGAGTATTCTGTCGTCCTGGGGTTCCCGGGTCAGTGTATAGCACTATTCAGTCTCGAAGGGGTTGCAAGCCAACACCAGCAATCAACGTCGCAAGCTGGACGCCCTTATCAAATGAATGGCGTAGGAGCACGTTATCCCTGCCACACACCAAGGAGTGTGTAACCGTGCGGACCAGAGGCCAGGCTCATGGTCGTCAAGAAGCATGTAGCGATTCTGCCTGCCATCGTCACTAACCAAGGATGCCGAGAAATTGTATCACAATGCAACAGGTATAAGTATCTTGGTCTAGTCCGTGCCGCCGAGGTTCTCTTTCTCAAGTCAATCAAGCTTCTTTTGTTCGCGGTGTCTTGTTCTGATCGCAGTGTCTACAAAAATGGTTACTACAGGAGATATGTCGGGGACCATACCGTACGTCTTTCCATCGATTAACATCACCAGAGCCAAAGGCCCTCTTGATGCGTCTTGATTGATACAGATTGCTGACATATCACAGCGGTACGGTCCATCTGGTCGACTTGGATCATACCATGCATACTCGACATGCGCAAGGAGGTCAACAAGATATCGTTCTTGTCCCAACTCCGTCTCAAGACCCCAACGATCCTCTCAACTGGACCCCTCGAAGGAAGATGCTCTCCAGCATCTGTTCCAACCTCTACACATGGTTCACCGGTGTGGCTGTTTCCACAGTCTACTCTGTGCTTGTCCCATTGTCCGAGAAGACTGGGGTCTCTGTGTCCACGCTGAATGAAGGGACCGGTTGTAAGTCGAGGTTCTTTCACGTATATTTTTCTTACTGACTAGTCCGGTCAGATATGTTTCTTTTCCTCGGTTGGGTGAGTGGTGTATGCAGTGGTCGGTGAAGTTCTGACTGACCTGAACGTGTCAGGGTCTCTTGTTCTGGCAACCTTTTGCTTTGAGATTCGGCAAACGTCCTGCATATCTAATCTCCGTCCTTGGTGGTATTGTAAGTATGGAAAATCCAAAAGGTAAGAAGATCAAGCTAACATGCGTCTCAGGGCACAAGTGTATGGAGGTAAGAGGTTCTGTTTAGGATGCATTCGGTCGGTTTATTGACCCTGAATAGTGCCTATGTTAAAAGCAACGGCGAATGGATCGCGAGGTGCATCCTCATGGGCTTCTTCATCGCACCCATTGAGGCTCTTCCTGAGATTTCTGTCACTGATATCGTACGTGGTAACCACATCTGCAAAAACCTCATCCTGTGGTCTTTCACGCATATTGACTGATCACCTACAGTACTTTACTCATCAGCGAGGCACATGGATGGGTGTCTATGCCTTTACGCTTGCGGGCAGTAACTATTTCACGCCAGTTATCTGTGGCTTCATCGCTGAATATCAGGGCTGGAGATGGCCATTTTACTGGGCTGCCATCTTCCTTGGTTTCGTTTTTGTCTTCCTGCTCTTCTTTATGGAAGAAACAAACTACAACCGAAAAACATCTGGTGTCGTCTCAGAGGTGGACTCACCGCCACCCGAGTCAACTGGCGACGCCGATGCCGAAAAGAACCCGAATGGGGCCAAGTCCAATGTGGTGCGCTCGTTGTCTGAGAATGGAGAGGTCTTTGCCCCTCCAAAGACCTTCACCCAGAAGCTTTCGTTGTGGCATCCTACCCCTGGAAAGAGCATGGTCGCTCGGGCCAGCCGAAGCCTGAAATACCTTGGTTGGCCTGTCATCTTCTATGCGGGATTCTCCTACGGTTCCTACCTGATCTGGTTCAATGTTCTCAATGCTACCGCTTCCATCATTCTGAGTGGCGACCCCTACAACTTCTCAGCATCGATGGTCGGTCTCAGTTATTTGTCATGTACCCTGGGTGTCGTCGTGGGCTCCCTTGTGTCCGGGAATCTGAGCGACTGGTTGACCATCAAGCTTGCACGTCGAAACAATGGCATCATGGAAGCTGAACATCGCCTCTGGCCATTCGCCTTGTGTGTGATCCTCGTCCCGGGGTCTTTGATCCTTTGGGGCGTCGGCGCAGCACAGGGAATCCACTGGTTCGGGCTCATCTTTGCTCTCGGTGCACTGGCATGCACGACGACCTTCGGAGTCACTCTTAGTGTCAACTATCTGATTGACAGTTACCACGACATCAGCGGAGATGCACTGGTGACTGTCATCCTAGTTCGCAACACCATGTCGTTTGCGATCAGCTATGGGTATGTTGCCGAGTCCAGACTGACTCCTGTACATTTTACTGACAACGTTACAGTATCACCCCTTGGTTGACAAACTTGGGCTACCAAAACTGCTTCATCTCGGCTGCGTTCATCGGTATGACAGCGTCTTCGGTCTTCTTCGTCATGATCAAATATGGCAAAATGTTTCGGGTCAAGAGCGCAGCCAGATATTGGGCATTGGTTAGCGAAGAGAAGGCTGCTGAGACAAAATAAGCAGAAACGACAAAGGTCGCTCAAAGTTGCTGTGTACACGCTGCGAGTATCTGCTCGACACCTTCGTAGAGTAACATGATTGCGATGTCGTCGGAATCGGGTCCAACGCTGCTGAACCATTTCTGAAGCCTGGACTCGGATGTGTACAGGGCCGAATAAATGGCCTTGATACTAGTACATACACGAACTATTGAGTCTTTGTAGTCAGAGATACTATACGTATGCCATTCACTGTCGCTCGAAGGGTTGTAAGTGTTGCATCACTGCCATAACCAACCTGCGTTCACCATAGTGTCGTCTTAGGAAAGCACATTTCCATGTCTACCTACCATTATGTCTAACCTGTTGTACTCATTATTGGAGCAGGTCCAGGGCTGGGGCAGAGGACCGCTAAGCGTTTTCGCAGGAAAAGGTTGGATGGTGGCTTCTGCGTCTCGAAGCCGTAAAGATCAACTTTTGGACAACGGACACCTCGAGCTTCACGTAGACGTCCCCGACCTAGCTTCGACCGAGAATGTCTTCGACCAAGTCAAAGCCTTTGTTGAGGAAAGCCCGAGTGTGGTAATTTATAATGGTGGGAGCAGTTGAAACGACGAGACTTCCTAGTACACTAACACGAGGCAGGCTTTGCAAGGAGCTTGCACGACGCGAACGACCCACTGTCAACCATAAAAAAGGTCGATGCGAAGCGGGAAATGAATGCCAATATGAACAGTGCCTTGATAGCAGCGTAGCAGGCAGTCCTTGGGTGGAAGGAGATGGGCAAGTCTCCATACAAAACATTCATCTATACAGAAAACCAACTCCCAGTCATGGCCCGACCCTTTGCTCCTATTTTCGGCATGGAAAGTCAGCTGCCGCACTCCTCATCTGGGATCTTTCACTGGCATATAAAGAAGGGTGGAAGTGAGTTGGATCCCTTCTCGCCTCAGGCTGGCAATTGGCTGATACTCAAGATAGGTTCTACTTTACGACGAGAGGCTGTGTCATGGCTCACCTGCACAGTCTCAGATGGACGCTCAAGCGCGAGCACAGCTGCATTGGACGTTGACTGAAAGGCCCGAGCAGGGTCCTTTCTATTTCACATATGTGAAACACAGGGGATATGTCGACTTTCGGGACCTTTATGGACGTTCCACAAAATCATCAGAGGGTTAGGGTCTAGATCAGACGATCGTGATGATAGCGGCGAGCTGCAGATCTAGACTTTGGGGAAGGTGAAGTAGAGGGCACTTTGCATGATCAATAGTAATGCACTATCTCGGCTGTTAATCAAAGCCTTGGGAACTGCTGTACTCGTATTTAGCGGGGAAGAGGAGTAAAATACCAAATAGGCTGTGATGTGCGGTACTTTTCCGTATAAGCGACGAACCACTTCCGGTTAGGCTCACCAAATAGGCCTCTTTTGAACGCCCAAGGACCCGTACGCCCGGTTAGCAGTCGATAGGGAACTATTTATTCAGGCTCTCTAGGTGGCCCAGTCCAAGCCACTTAAGGGCAACTCCTCCCCATCGACGCCCGTGATCTCTTCCCTATCTCGAACCTGCCACACGTGGATCCTGCGTATTTGTTCCTTGCCGTAGTCTCTTTCAGTCGTACTTTCTACCACCTTTGTATTTGCCATCATTCTCCATTCTCACCTCAAGACATTCCAAGGCTCTAGCATGGGATGTCGACGTAAGCCGATGAGCTTTCGAGGGCATGGGTAACAATAGCCAACCACCCAGATTGCGAACCAAGACTGGCTGCCAAGTGTGTACGGGATTCCGATGATAAGAGCGCTTCAACCTGTTCCCTGCTTCTAACATTGATATTCGCAGGCCGTAATCGTAAGAAAAAGTGCGACGAAGCTCGCCCGGAGTGTCTACGATGTAAAACACTTGGACTACGTTGCGAATGGCCGACACCTGGAGACCTCGTGGATCGACGTTGCGCATCGACTCGTCCTCGTCGCTCCGCCTCTCCACAGCAGCACCAGCAGCACGTCGAGCCAGAGCTCACAAGTCTGGAGATCACAACTTCTGCACACCGAGCACTCTTGGATCCTAGAATCAGTCTTTTCTCGGCATCAGCTGCTCATCAAGTACTCAAGCAGGACTTGAAACCAGTCATCTCTCGCCACTTCATCGACATATACTATGGCTTACTGATATTGCCGAACTGTCACCCAGAATACTACTGGGGATGGATAAACGAGATCCAGGAACTCATGGTTCAGCACGAAAGCCTGCAGTATTCGGTCCTCGCGAATGCTGCATCCCACATCCACTTTATAGACGACTCTTCCCAGATGCAAGAGCTCGCCCTGACCTATTATTCGCAGGCGCTAAGGGGCCTTTCAGAGCTCCTGGTGAAGGCGTCTCAGGTGGAAAATCACAACGGCCTGTTGATGTCGGTCATGCTACTCTATCTTCATGGTTGTATGGGTAGGGGCACATACACAGACATACCGCGACACGTCAATGCCGCTATTCGAATCTTAACCCTCCGGCTGTTAGGGAGCCCTAAAGGGATCAGTCGTCCTTTTGATCGATTGGCAGTGGAAAGTGTCCTATACCAGATCTTTCTTGTCACGACAGGCTCATGGTCCAATCCCGTCGAGCTTGACACTCGGTTCGACGCAAAATTCTGGACCCAAGCAGAAAAACTATTGTCTCGATCAACACTATTCCCTAATCGCTCCATGAGTTTCAACAGTCCTGTGCTCGGCATACCTTTTTCTCTCTTCAAACTGGCGTTGTCAATCAGAAGACTCTACCAAGATCCAGTTGGGCCAGACGTACAGACGCTAGACGAACACAAAGCAGAGCTGGAATATTGGGAGTGTGCCCTTCTCTGTGATCAGGATCTCGATGAAATTGGCGTAGATGAAGAGCCCAACTGTGCACCTCAGATCTACAAGGACGCTGCTTTCCTGTACATTCTGAATGCTTCTATGCTACTTGAGCAGCTGGTGCAGGGGCACGATTCGTCTGGTCCACCCCGTGCACATGATGTCAGTAGCTGGCAGCTTGGTAAGGCTCGTGCCATACTTCAAATACACCGCAGAGATGATGAGTGGGCAAGATGCTTCATTGGAAACTGGCCCACTTACACTCTGGGCTTCTTCATGAGTTCTCCCGAGGACATTGATTTGGTACGCAGTGATTTGCGAAGACGATGGAATTTTATGCAATTTGGTCAAATTGGTCGCTTCACGACGGACCTCGAAACTACCTGGACCAAACGTGGGTTTGGGAGGTGATTCGTAGGGCTTTGATTTTGTGCATCAGAAAACTATCTCATCCAATTTGCTCCGACACACCGCACCGTTTTCCAAGCTTTCAGACAGCAGACAGTGTTCCAAAGCCAAATTCACTCTTTAGCCCCTACTCCGACTCACAGACGATTTAGTCTACACCTATTGCAGGCCTGAATCCGACATTGGCGGCATTCAAAGATGTAGTTCGGCAACCTATCGTGACACTCTTCACATCTATGGGATCCTCGAATGTACCTCCAACGAGTATGATTGCAGTTGTGTCTTTCTCTCAACATCTCAGCCGCGTCCTCGACTCTGTTCTCTCGATGCGGATCAGCAGCGTTCATGTTTGGCACGTCGCGGTCGACAAGAACATTCGCTCGTTCAAGTAATCTGTTCTCATCCCACTGCGGACATCTGCAAGTCTTCCAACGCTCACCACAGACGTAGCAGAATTCAGCACCACATGGACAACTATTATGGGTCAGCTGGCCAATTTGCTAATAGAGGATCCTTTTATCTGAACTCACGTCATATGATTACATCCGTAATCTATCTCGATGATTCGTCGGCAGGAGTAACATCGTTGCCATCCATTCTCAGTTGCCGCAGCCAGAACCTCTTGCAGAGTTGTGTCTTCTGGGCAATCTCCTCCATGAGCACCCTCCTTGCAGATGGCGCATGTCATCGTCAAGCACACTTGACAAGTCGCCAAATCACCTTCGATGGAAGCGCTGGGGATGAAAGCCGAACAAGCTCCACGCGAACAATAAGTTCGGTTCTTGGTCCCGAATTCAACCTTGGCCTTCTGGAATTGGTCCTTGAGTTCTTTGGTGAGGAAGATCTGCACGTCGTCGATGTCCATGGGCTGCTTGCAGCAACGAGGAGGGAACAAAGACTCGTCTCGCGTCGATAACTCAAACAGTTCCTGCAGGCAAGTCTTGCAATAGGCGTGTCCACATGCGTTTGTCATGACCTCGAAGTGTTCCTTGCGGTCGTGGCAGGCTTCACATTTTATCTCACGAGACTCAGACCGTCTGGAAGAGGCTTGGGTGGAGCTTTCTGCACGACTTGTGCCGTCCTCGATGTCTGAGACCTCATTAGAAAGACCAGCGATGACGCTCAGAGTTTCGTCATCTTCACACATGTACATTCCGGCGAGTTTTGACAGGAGACTGTCTTTGATTTCTCCAGATTCGGGCTGATCTTGGGTTGTATCCGTGAAGTCGCTTCCGTTCAGGCGCTGTGCCATGATACGATCTCGATGCGCGATTTCTTCTTCTCGGATTGATTCTTCAATCGCCGGACGATCGGCCAGGACTGCGGCGGCAATGCTCCGAGACATGTGTCTGTCGGCGATGAGACTTCGCATGGATTGCAGGTCGGATTCCATCATGGCCAGAGCCTGCTGCGAATCGTCAGGTTCAGTGCCTTCGCGTTGTTTGCCCTTGGCTCTGTCCCGGACGTGTTCCACATCTTCCAGTTGCAACTGCAGGATAAGGTCGGCAGTCTCAAAGTCGAGATCTTGATAGAATGGCAAAAGCCGATTGATTTCAGCCATGGTTCCGGTCTCGGACGAGGACGAGTTTTTGGTACGTGCTAGAGAGAAGTGAGTGAGATGAAAAAACCCGAAATGATTTTGAAAAGGACCTTCTGGATTGTTCATTACCTTGGTGTCTCTTCCTGTACGTTCCCAGATCTGTCAATCAACTCACAAAGAGTACAGATTTCTTGTCAAGAGAGAGGATTTTTCTCATGTATTGAACTCAAGCCATCTATTTGCTAGTAGCAAAGTTCAAACAACACGTCTATTGTTTATCAAGACTGGAGGGCGAAATAGTGAGAAGCCGACACTCCCCTCGCACCATCAAAGTGAGCAAAACACGCAAGTCTGGGACACCCCACCGTCAGTTACAACGTGTATGTGTGTCTTGCGTTGCCTGGGCATGTCACTACTTGGAAGGACCTTGGAGTGTTACTCCATCGACTTGCGCAGTGCTTGGTGGACGACGACGAAAAAGACTATGGACGACAAGGAAGACTATGGATGTTGGAAAGGACTGCAGACGATAAGGAAGGCCATGGACACTGGGAGCAAGCAAACCATGAACTTCTCTTTGAATAGAAGGATTGTATTCGATCGATACAAGGATGACCTCTTTTTCCAACTCGGTTGTCAAGCGTTCTGTATTGTCTAGCAGAACGTCTGTTCGGAGCTAGATGAAATTCATCAAGATTTCTGCCATCACCCATGCATCAGGGCAAACAATCTGTCTCTCAAGGGGCAGAATCTGGTACCAATACAGAAGAAGAAGATCTCGACTCATTTCGCAGGTAAACAATCAAATAGCCTTCTAGGGTTGATTGGGCTGAGATCAACAGCGGGGAATGGCGAGTTTCTGAACCTTTTCGTCTGGTTGATTCTCCGATGATGGGTAACATCCCCCTAAGATTTGGTCGCAGAGCCTGCCAGAGATGTTTTCGTTAACCTGCTGTGAGGGAGAGGTGTCAGCAGTCCTCGCTCTCAAACGGCCTGACTTTGAAGAGCCTCAAAGTATCTTGCCGTCGGCTGCTCAGAATTCTCCTCACCTGAGATTCGTACTTCTGTATTGTCCTCGACGGCTGAGAACGGAAAGCGTTGCAGAGTATAGCGTACAGGTCGGTTGACATGCGTGTGTGGCCATGTCGTCGCGAAAATGACCGCAACCACAGAGCCAGACAGCGTTATCATCATGAATTCCATCCTCACAGGTACCAAACGTGGTACAACGGGGCATCATCATGCCATGCCTTTTCGTGGCGCATGCTCGTTTTGGGTTAATGGCGGCAACGTGCACTGCCATCGGAGGTTCGTTGCATCGTTTTACAAAACGGGTAGCTGCTTTTCCCTCAACGTATATCTGACCAAGAGATCCTGAGATTTTGAGCTCTGAAGCTCCAGCCCCTCTGCTCATCTGCCTTGGGTTCAGAAGAGGCTGAGATGTTTGAGACACACAAATGTGATACTGTGATGCTGTCTAGCGAGAGGTTTGAGGTTGAGTGCCACAAGGCAAATTTTGCATTTGTTCGTTATGTTGGCCGCTCGGGGAGGACTATTCTGTACCTACTTAGGTATGCAAAGGTCCATCTGGGGACAGAGGGAGAGACCGCCTGTGAAATGGGACACAGGCGATGCTCCGAAGCAGCCTTGGGATTCAAAAGAATGACAAGTGATCCATTCCATCTTCTCTCCTTACACACATCGGTTGAGTTTGCGTCAGAAACAAAGAAACTGGAAATCGTCACAATGTTACTCGAACAAAGTGTGGTAGGGATGTTTGACCAAGAAAATTTAGAATTCAGGTACAAGTAGATATCTAGATGCAAGGCTGGGGAACCCTGATCTTCAGGGCCAGAAGCTTGCAATACACAACTTCGTATCCGTACACAGTATTAATACTCGTACATATCCAGACATACAGAGACATGACAAGGCTACCCGTGCATTGTTGTTGGCTTTGCGGCCCAATTAAGGATTTTTCTATCCACAGAAGGCAAAAAAAGAAAAAGAAAAGGGAACGGGAGCGGGATGGCACTTTTGGAGATCCGGGGATTAGTCGCAAGTTTGGCGTCAACAAAAAGCCAGAATGAGGCCCGAGCTTGGATGATACGAGTTAACAATAACAGGAGGATTGTACGGAGTACGGAAGACGCGTAGGAAGGAGATGATGGTGGTGGCGGTGGTGGTGGTGGAGGACGGAATCTCATCTCGCCACCATCAACAACACCCAGTATTATTAGTGCTACAATTCTTACTCGTAACATTCAGGCTTATTAGGCTCACTGTAGGCGAATCTCGTAGGATTCAATGGGCGATGGAATGCCTGTTTCCTCCGAGGCCCTTCTTCTAGTTGGTTGATTAGCGAAGAGAAGAAAACAGCCCTTGGATGGACACACAAGCCCCATCAAAAGACCCATTCATTCCCTTTCCATCATTCCCTGCATAAGAAAAACAAAACTCCGTACTCTGTTTGGAGACGATCCCTGGTCCTTGTGACGCCATAAGGCTCCAAACACAAGCCAGAAGCACCTGAGGCTTTCTTTGATCAATCGTCCTTCTCCTCGTACGAATATGTAGATGTGACCAGCTGAACCAAAAACCTGTCGGCTGATTCAAATTCGAAACGATTTAATCTCCCTCCATTCACTACGTGACCCTCCCTGCTCTTCATCTTGCAGTCTTCCTTTCCTCTCTCTTTCTCTTTTGCTTCAACATCAACAATAACAAGAAACAAAAGAGACATCTTACTCCGTCAACATAAATCCCCAAACCAATGTTCCCATGATCATGTCGCACAACAACAACAACGACGACTACGCTCCCCGTTCTCGTCGAGATCGACCTCGCTACGATCAAGACGCCGCTCCCCTACGATACCCGGAGGCCAACGATTACCATCCGGACACACGCAAATCCGGTGGTGGTGGTGGTGGCGGCGGTGGCTCCCGTCGTCCTCGTTATGAACAGTCTCCCCCTCCTTACACCTCGGAAGATTCACGTAGGCGAAAGGATCTCGACCCTCGAGACACGGACAAGAGGAAGAACAAGTACAGAGATTACCCCGGTGAAAGAGACGATGACTTGAAACCTACAAAGTCCAACACCGCAGCACCGAGACGACACAGCCCACTTGTCGATAACAACAACGACGACGACGATGGAGACAGAGATTCCGGGACGCGTCGTCACCGCGGCGGCGCCGACCCTGACGCTGGCTATGGTCGCTCTCGTGGCTACCGAGCTCCTCTCCCGCGACACGATTCGTACGCGAGTGACGGGGACGACCCGAAGATGATGAGATCCTCGAAACCCAGCAGAAGGAGAGACGATCCCTACGCCGACAACTTTGAGCCAGCTCCACCCCGTCGCGCCCATACACACCGAGAGCCGGATCGGAAGCACCGGGATGACCCTTACCATGACGACCCCCATCCTCCCCGCCGTCGCTACCGCAGCCCGGCAGCCGCAGAGGATAGACATTCCGACCCCGATCGGAGCTATGCGAGACGCCGAAGAGATGATGACCAATATGACGATCGCCGGTACCGTGGTGGCGGTGGTGGCGGTGGAGGCCATTCTCGTCGCGACGATGGGTACGCTTCGGACAGAGGCTACAAACGTTCCGACCGCGACAAGGGCAAGGACCGCTACTACCGTGATCGTGACCGTGATCGCGAACGTGACAGAGACAGAGATCGAGACCGACGACGTTATGATTCCCGCGACAGAAGTCGAGACCGTGACGGTCGAAGCGGCAAGAAGAAAGGATTCTCCTTTGACGACATTGGTGGTCTCGTCGAGCAAGGTCAGAAACACTACAAGACTGTTGCACCGCTTGTCACCAGCATTGCCAAGATGTATCTCGACAACAAGAAATGAAGGCAACAGTGGACAAATGCTTGTGGTCTTTTTCTTTTCGTCTCAATGGCAAAAGACCCGAGGTTTCCAGACGTGCGAGAGAGAGAGAGAGAGAGAGACGGTTCTGGGAGGATCGAAAGGGCGTGGGGATATTTTTGGCGACGATTTCACTCTCATGTGTATTACCACTACCACTACATCTCATCTTTTCTTTCACAGGATTGAGGAGACGACGACGACGACTTTGCGAACCCTTTTGACGATTTGACGCATGAAAGGATGTTTATTATGGATGGGAGCGTGGGATCCTTTTTTTTGGGGGATGTACTCGTATTGCGTGCTAACGAATACGGAATACAATGGATATTTATACCTAGGTATAGAACCATTGTATGGGAACTAAGCTCAATCTTTGAAGATGACGAATTCCACTTTATTACTCTTGTTCAAAAACAATGCTTGGTCTCGTTGAAGTTTGGCGTTTCTTTCAGAGCTCGATCCTATACAGAGTACGGAGTGCCATACGGTGCCAGTCTTTGACCAAGGTACCTCGGGTAGGTACTTGGACACTGACTTTGTCCTCCTTACGGATCCCGAGACATGTCTGGTTGATGCCGTGTATGTAGGTCCTCCGTGATGTACGTGCAATACTCACGTGGCAGTCCAAGGTGCAGAATATTGACTACCTAATCATACGTGGGAGTATCTTTCTCTTCTCTCTCAATTTCCATCTGCCGTTGTCGTCTCCTCTTGCGCCGATCCAATATTCGTAGGAGAAGAAAGTACAAGGCCGTGCAAGACTTGGTGCAAGTTGGCTTCCGTTATGTCATCCATCACTACCGCTACCACCACCACTCTTCGCCATCCGGATCATGATGTAATGTAACTGTAAAAGACGTTCCCATCCTACATACTGTAATAATGACTTGGATACGGAAACCCCTCGATGCACCTTCCCCCTTTGTCGTCGTCGTCGTCGTCATCGTCATCTGGACACTCCCCCCCCTCCCCCCTTTTTCTTTTCATATCCCCGACGTTTCGGCTCCTAGGCCTTTACGGTCTCGAATCCGACGAAGCCGGGCAAGACGGCCCTGATCTCCTTGACGTACAGTGGGATGCCGCCGGCGTAATTGACCTGTTCAAAAGCCTTGCCGGGGACGGTACCACCCATGTAGGTGCTCTTGGTGGTGGGGAGGAGGGTCATGTCACTCAGTTCGTTGATCCTGTCTTTCCACTTCCGACTCGCCTCTTGGGTCGGGTTGATGTACTTGAGGCCCTCCCTGTCGGCGAGCTTGATGGCGTCGCGGATCCAGCGCGCCTGGACCTCGACGCTGCTGGGCCCGTTGCTCAAGAGTGTGGGACCGTGAGGGCCGTCTGGTTCGCACGGTCTCGTCAGTATGAGTAGATCGAAAGAGAAAAAGAGAAGAAGGAAAAGAAAAGGTTTTAGACGAAGCCAGGAAAATTCAAAACTGCCAGCCGGTCAAAAAGTCACAAAAAGTCACTCACATAAATGAAACATGTTGGGATATCCCGAAATCGTCGTCCCGAGGTAGGTGTACGCCGCCTTCTTCCACTCGTCCTTCAGCGTGGTACCATTGATGGACTTGAGGCCCATGTTGGTCATCCCGCCCGTGGTGATGTCGAACCCCGTCGCCAGGGCGATGATGTCGAATTCGTGTTCCTTGCCGTCCGCCGTCCTGATGCCCCTTTCGGTGAACTCGGCGATCGAGTTGCCCGACTTCTCGCCGATGTCGACGATTGTCACGTTGTCCCTGTCCAGGACCTCGTAGTAGTTCTGTTCGAGGCAGGGCCTCTTCACGCCGAACGCGTGCGGCGGCTCCGTGGGGCAGAGAAGCTCCCGCTTCGCCGGGTCCGTGACGCGCGCCGCCTGCTTCTTGCGCCAAAAGTCGTACACGCACCTGTTGGCCTTCATGTCGAACAGGTAGTCCTTGTGGCTGCCGAGCCAGAGGCCGAACCCCTGTTTGGCCCAGAGGGATTCGTACAGGGCCTCGCGCTCCTCGGGCGAGTCCTCGAACGTGTTGCGCTCGGCAAAGTCGTAGGTGAAGCCGGCGAACGTGGACTCGCGCATCCGCAACAGTTCGTCGTACACCGGGTACAGGGCCCGCTGTTCCTCGGCCGTCATGTCCCTCTTGCCCATGGGCAGGGCCAGGTTGGGCGTGCGCTGGAACACGGTGAGGTGCTCGACCTCGGGGCCCCATTCCTGGATGATCTGGACGCCCGACGCGCCGGTCCCGATGACCGCGACCTTCTTGCCGCGGGCGTCGACGCCCTCAGGCGGCCAAAAGGACGAGTGGTGCATCACGCCCTTGAACCGGTCCATGCTGGCGTAGTCGGGGATGTACCTCTTCGCGGCGAACCCGGCGCCGATGATGAGGTACTTGCATCTCGCGTTGCGGCCGTCGGCGGTCTTGATGTTCCACTTTCCCGAGTCCGTGTCGAACTCGGCCGAAGTCACCACGCTGCCAAACGCGCAATCCTTGCTCAGCCCCAGGACCTTGTCACAATGGTCAAAGTATGCTTGGAGCTCGTGCCAGTCCGGGTAGTTGGTCGTCCACGTCCACGTCTTGTACACCTCGGGTATGGAGAGCTGGTATATGGGGACCTCAGAGTCCACACGAGCGCCTGAATTGGTCAGTCATGATGGCTTGTAGAACGCGAGAATACGAGTAGATGAGGTATAGCACCACACAACTCGACACCATCATCTGTCGACACGGCAGGATGCTCTCCTCTCTTGACATAGACGATATCATCAAGGTACTTCATGCTTGAATCTTTCTGGTCCATCTTACTCTTTTCTTTGCTTCATCTCACTTACCGGGATAGCAATTCCATTTCCAGGTTCCTCCAAAGCTGTTTCCTGCTTCGTACAGGACGGTTTTGAAACCTGTTTGGCGCATCAGGTAGAGTAGATATGTTCCCGCAAATCCGGCGCCGACGATCAGGACGTCAACGTCCAGGTTGTCAGCGTACGGTCCATCGGTGCGAGGTCGTTGGGCATACTCGGCAAGATCCCGGTGCAGAATACGCTCGGGGAGCTCTTGTGCGCCAGATGGATCACCCATGATTAGATAACGTCAATGATGATTTCTGAAAAGTAATGCAATCCAATGAATCTGTTAGCGAAGAGTCCCAGGAACATGGATGGGCACAGTCTTATACCTGGTATTCATGGACCCCTCCCAGTCCGGGCGCCAGAAGGCCGGCGAAAAGGATGCACGTACCTACTCCTCATCTGCAAGGGAATGTCATCAGAGCCGGCGGTCTCGTCCAACTTGAAACGATCAACCATCTCCTCATACTGCATGACGAAGAGCGGAACCGAGTCGATGGCGAGAAATGATTTGGGGTGACTGAGTCGAACATCTCCACCTCACCCCCTCAGTACATTGCCCCCAAACCGCTGTGGATTGAAGGAATCCGGGGTAAGCGAACGGACCAAATGATGGATGATAGTCTACCTGGGAAGGTGATTGGAGTTGGCAATGGGCTCTCGCTCCAAGGGACTGGGCGTCCAGGCCGTCTCGTGCAGTATATCTGACTCGAGCTGTCTCGAAAAGTCAACCTCGGATATTCTCCTCATTTGAATACGAGGTCAACTCGGTGCTGTGAAAATAGTTGCATGTCACTTATCAAGACGACCGATGCTGTAGCCATGCGTCGCAGTCAGCTGCAGCACGGCATGTAGCGGTGAACAACAGCTGATGCAGGTATCGACACTGGCACGAGGTGTGTGAACGTGATTTCCAGCAAGGTCTGAATACGAGTATTAATAGCCTTGTGCTCGTCACACCAGAATCCACACCTCGTATTCCTGTTTCGAGATAGGGTTGGTCAAGTTCGAGATCTCTCCCATTCGTTCATTGACTTGTCTATTGATGACAGTGTGCTCCGGAGATACACAGGAGTCGGGCAGATCAGAATCATTGTATACTATGAGGGCTCGCCTCCGGTGCAACAGCCCAAAGTCACGGCTGTGCATGATGTACTCCGTAGTAGTGTTGTTGAGCCGTGAATACCTCAGCTGGCTTGGATTCTTTTGCTGCTTCACGTTAATTTCAAGAACTCCTCCTGCCATTGTCTCTATAATATTGAGCTTGTGCTCGTCGATGACGGTGTCCTCAGACAGTGCGAGTGCCGGTGCTTTGATCAATTGTCCTCAAGCCTATGTCGGCGTCGCCTTTAAGATGACTCTTTATCGACACAAAGATAATGAGAGATTTGGTCAACCTTGCGTCAAGGTCGTCAAATTACGCCTGACGATTTCATGGTAGGTGGGCGAGCTGAGATTGGGACTGGGATTGATAAGCGAGTGAAATTGAACTGACCTTGTCTGATGGGCCCGGGAGTACGAATACTGACTCCATACTTAGCCAGGGTTACGATTTAGGGGTCTTCTAGGCGTGTTGCTGTTGGCTCAAGAGGCGTAGAGCCCGCCATTCCTGGCTCCGGGCGCTTGCAGCAACCTTCAAAAACATCCCCGGGAATGAACCTAGATGGGGATCTCTTAAGCTTCTTGATTAACCGAAGTCAGATCATACACTGGATCTCCGTGTACTTCACATGCGCCTGCAAGACGTATCGCGGTACATCACATCCACCAACTGACTCCCTTCAACACCTACAGCCTCATCAACACTCAAACATCGCCATCGCCATTCTCCTCTTCAGATGACCACCACTGATGTCCCCGATCGTTCCTCATGGCGCGCCGAAAGCGTTCCAGTTCCGATTCGTCTTCATCTGCTACATCTCAGAAACGCGTGGCCTTCGAAATCCCCGCCTCGCTACAACAGCTCTCCACCATTTCACGATCACTAGCGACAAGCACTGATTCCAGCAGGCCAAGTGCCTCTCAAGTTCGCTCACAGCCAGCAGAGCCGCAACCCAGCTCGAGTCCCTCTCAATCCTCCTCTATCGCACTCTCCTCCTTCCCTGTAGCAAGCCGTCCGAACCCTCGCAAGTTCATTATTCACAAGCGATCGCTCCCTGATGCCCAATCCTGGCCTCAGCCTATGACACGACCTCAATCATACAATGCCGATGCTACACCTCCAGCGAGGCTCAAAAACGATTCGAATTCCCCTGCTGTCGTTTCCGTCAGCGAAGGCACACCAGCTGCCGTAGCACCGGCACATCATCTACAACTCAATGCGAACAATGCAGTCTCGAAAGCGGCCCCTGCACCAGAGCCGGCTCTCAAGCCAGGCGAGGCACCATCTTTGACGACCCATCCTAATCTGATTGCGTCCTTAATCGCACAGAAGAGGGCCGAAAATGAGGCAATGGGCTTCCGAGAAAAATGGGCAAAATTGCAAGCCGAGTACAAGAAGTCCAAATCTGCCCCGAAATCCACTCCATCAAAGACTGCCTCGAAGTCCCCTTCATCAAAGACAAAGTCCACTCCCTCAAAGTCTGCCTCGAAGTCCTCTACATCAAAGACCGCCTCAAAGTCTCCCACGGCATCATCAGGACCTCGATCGTCGCGAGCGAGCGCCCCTGATACGGCCGTGCCTAATTCGGACGTAGTCGTAGCTAACAGAGTGTCTGCGCCTGCCACAGGAAATTCCAAGAAGAGAAAAGCTACAAGAGATTCTACAAAAGGATTGCTGACCGGGGATATGAAAAAGGCAAACCCTACAGGAGATCCAAGAAAGCAAAAGGGAGTCCATGCACGGCAATCGACAGAGTCTGAATCCTTGCTCGGCTCTCCAGTTCCCTCTCAGGTGGCAGATGTGCTTGAGAAGCCTGCGCATAATGTCGGCCGCAAGGGCACATCTCAATCAGTGTCCGCCTCTAGCAGACCCTCGACGAATAATACACCGATCCTACAGAATCGCGAACATCAGAGGCCGCTGCCAACGGCACCTGCCCCTACACAAATCCATGCATCGACGGAGCATGCATCGATCCCTTTCTTGCTGTCGGAAAACACCTTTGGGGACCAGTCACACAGTCGATCCCAGAACCCCATGAGCCAAATCGGTCAGGTTCCTCCTTACAGCAACTCACCAGATGTCGTGCAACAGCATGCATATGCCAGGGCTTCAATATCTAGACAAAACTCCCAATCCCAACTGAAAGCATATGGCTCTCAGGCTCAACTTTCCTCACAGACACCGGTGATGGGATCTAACGCGTATTTCGCTCGATCTCCCTCTATGTCTGGGTATTACAAGATGGACATGCAAGGCAATTTTTACAATTCGGACCCCAGCCCAACCACCCAAGCCGGTACGAACAGATTCGATGCGGCTGAGGTCTATGGCCGGTCTTCGACGCCGATGGGCATGACTTATTCCGGACACCTTGGACATAATCCAAACGCATACATGGTCAATATGCCCCGTCCAACAGGAACACTGCCTTCTTATGGTGCCCCCATGGCTCCCACGACAGAACAACCCAAGATGCAGTCTTCGAATACTAATATGATGATGAGAGCTGGCGATCTGGTAGCTGGTACCAATACGAAGTTCAATGGTTCCACGAATGACGGATTTGTTGTCCCAAAGAGATTCTAGGAAGCACTTTCTTTTATTGTTGGTCCTATGAGAGAGATGTCTAGAGACTTGCGGGTCTTAGATCGGCTCACACGATACAGTCAGAACTGAGACCCTTTTTGACGAAGCTGAATGCTAGCGCAGACAAATATTGATGGATATTGGAGTTGAGCAAATTGTATTTCACACGCGCATTGGCGGTCAGCGATGGCGTTTCCGGGGGTTTATTTTGTTTTGACACATCCAGGTCCCCATGCCTTGTACATTCTCGGGAGGAAAGATAGGGAGAGGAAATGCTGTTAGCGTTCATTGCGATTTGTTAGCGGCTGAGTTCTCAACACTACAAAGATGGTAGTGGATACATGGCCACACAGAAACCCCGTACCCATGAACGGATGGCGATATGTAGAGTTCAAGTATTTGAGGCGCGCAAAGCACTATTGTGTATTAGAGAGACGGAGTAGAAGTACCTAGGTACTCACTACGACGACCAAGCTTTTGACAAGCATAAGATATGCACGATTCGTGGTGGAACCGAAAGTGGACCAACGCAGTTCTTCTGTTCGATGTTTATGCCCCATCTTCCAGAGTACTGGGAACGCCGTTGAGTGGTATGCTCAATTGAAAACGATCGACCACAGAGGCTCGGAAACTCTATTGGATGTAGATGTGCTTTGTATCTCGATGCATTCGGACACTGACCAGATTCTAAAAAAGTTCACGATCGGACTTGGCCGATATGGAGATGGATGTGTATTTGGACACGTAGATAAGGATGGATGGATAGATATCCTGTTCTCATGGACGCATCTGATCATATTTGCACACATTCACTTGTCACTTCCAGGCAAATATCATTTCCTGCTACTGACCCAACGACCCGGATCGGTTGGCGCAGCCTTCGCCAGAAAGAAACGCCATGGGAGACATATCGGACAGGGATCCCAACCGAGTATACTACAATTCAGGAGGGTTCCAACGATCTCGTCCTATCTTGACGGGTCCAGAAGCGAAGGAAACGTTTGAAGAGATCCCTGTCATCGATTTTTCGGAAGTGACATCTTCAGCGACTGACGTTCGCCAAAGGCTCGCCGATGAAGTCGGCCATGCTGCTCGAAACGTGGGCTTCTTCTACGTCAAGAACGCTCCCGTGTCTCACACCAAAATTGATCGCGCCTTTGAGCTCTTAGAATCATTCTTCGCTCAGCCAGAAGATGTCAAGCGGCAAATCGATTGCAACAAAAGCAATGAAGCCAAAGGGTGGCAGCCGCAGCAGACGGTCGGCCCGAACGGGGTGCTCCGCGAGTCGTACTCGATGGGCAATGACTACAAAGAGCCTGAACAACACCATATCAGCGTTGCACCGGAGGGGAGTGTGCCTCTGAATCAATGGCCTTCAGAGGACACCATCCCCGGGTTTCGCAAGGCTATATATGACTATTGTAAGTAGCCATGCAACACCTCCACCCTTGACCTAGCGCAGACGGACATTTGTATTCGTGCGAGTATGCGACACTGATATTTGGAGGTTTTCTTAGACCTGGAAGTCTACCCTTTCGCGAAGACGTTGATCCAAATCTTCTCTCTCGCATTGGGCCTCGACCAAACGGAATTGGATCAATACTTTCAGCAACCTCTGGCGGACATCACGGCGCAGTATTACCCTGCACACCAGGCGCCTGACTCGAACCCGCTGGAACTGCTCTCTCCCCACGCAGACTTTGGCGTCGTCACTCTCCTCTTACAGAATGATGTGCCGGGGTTGGAAGTCCTCAACGCGAACGGCATCTGGATTCCCGCCCCGCCCATGCCGTATACTTTCGTCGTCAACACGGGCAACTACGTCGAGGCGTGGACAAACGGACGCTGGCCCGCGACCGTGCACAGAGTGTATGGGAAACTTGACCAGCCGAGGTTCTCTCTGCCCTTTTTCGTGTCACCTTCTCCCGATGTGGTCGTCAAACCGCTACGGGAACTCCTGGAGGACGGCGAGAGGCCGAAATATGAAGAGCGCAACGTCGACCAGAGACAGGTCAAGGGCCAGATCGGTTCGAGGCACAACCACCCAATGACGAAATTGTTGAGAAGAGTCGTGCCACAGGAAGAGGATTGGAGATGGGAGATGTTGTATCAACCGCACTTACTGCCCCGTGTAGCCTCAAGTTAGTCCTAGAGTATGCTTTGGGTTTCTGTATCTTGTGGAAAGCTGATTGACGGTTCCCGGCAAGCAAAATATCGAATATTCCAAATCTACGCAAATCTTGCAGGTCTAGGCGAATTGATCTAGACAAAGTAATTCGTAGGTGGGACAATGGCTCCTCTTACGTGGCCTGGCTATTCTTACGCAGATGCATATGATAGCGAAGATGATACGGAAGTACGGAAGGAAATTCTCTTCTTCGTCGGTAAACAAGTTCTGCGAAGTAATTGGTAGATAAAGCGTTTCCACCATCACAATCGCCCTGGAAGTCCGGAGTATCTTTCATGCGAAACCGTACTCCGTACCTAGTCAGCAACTATATTACACAACTATTTAAGCGAAGGATAGAGATCTCTGAGGCGCTGTACGGAGTCCTTTGCAAATACCTCGTACTGTGTGCCCTGTATGGAGTGTGAAATGACGTGCTTGGCCGCCGACCGAGTTCCGAGTCTGGCCCCGGTGACTGTAAAATTAGGCGCTAGAAAACACCCGTCAGAAGTTTAGCAATGCCTAAGATACATGGACCATGCTCCCCGCTAGGTACGTACAGGTAGTACGGAGTACCTACACCTACCTAAGGTAGGCAGACATTCCCTTTTTGCGGGCACATCTCGGCCATCTTGATCTGTTGGCATTCACCTCCATGTAAAGTCGCACTTCATCGCAATCACCAGCGCGGGCTGTTTGTGACTGCTTTCTCCTCCAAAACATCCAAAGGCATCTTCATATAATCACCTACACCACCTTGAACGCACTCATCAACGTTCTCGCCGTTTGGAGATATCAATCATGTCTAGCACGGCAGCGTCTACGGAAGACGGCTGTAAGCCGAAAAAACTCACCCAACCCCCGGTGAAGGTGGCATGCACCTCCTGGTAAGTCGCCACGGTGACCCTGCGCCTCGAATGCTATTTTCCTAACGAGTATGCAGCCGAGCCTCGCGTACGCGATGTGATGGTCAAAAGCCCGTCTGCCAGAATGTGAGTCCAGCTGTCTAACGAAATCTTGTCGCTTACCTAATCTGATGTTCCCCTACCTAGTGCATGGTTCGAGGTAAAGAATGTCGATACCTCAAAAGCAATCGTGGGGGTCCACGTGTGTCGCGCAAGAAAGCCATGCTGGCCGAAGAGCAGCGACGACGTGCAGCGAACAGTAATGGCGTCAATGGCCAGACGGTACCGGCAGACGTCGACTGGAGTTCACTGGTGCTGAGCTCCGAGACGCTTCACGATGAATTAATCGGCTCAATGGTAGCACCCGGGGCAGGCCTTCTGGACCTCGACAATGAAAGTCACAGCGACGAGATCTTCGACAGTATATTCCCGGATATGCCAAAATCAGATCACTCCTCAGATGTCCCTGACTCGAACATGCAATTTACCCCCTACAATCCCGTCATCCGTCACTACCAGGACAACGAAAGCATCCTCAACGCCTATTATATTTTCATCCATCCATACTTCCCAATCTTGCCTCCTCCGCCCATGATATTGGAGGTCGATGATCCGGGGTCCGAGTCCAAAGGCTTCCAACCTCTGTCACCGCTGGCCATGGCATTACTGGCAATCTTGGTGCTCATTCCCCATCCCGATGATCTTTTCTCCGACAGCGACGAATCAGTGTTCCAGAGACGACAAGAAGCGCATGCATATTCGCAAATGGCTATAGGAAGCATCGAATCTGAATCCGAATTACTCGAGTCCGCCACGAATCCAGCTACTGCCCTGGAAAGCTCTAGGCCCTGCATACAAAGGGAGGCGCTTCATCCATACGTGCCTCCTGAGCTGGAAGGTCTCTTGGCCTACTTGGTCCTCAGTGTCTACGAGTATGCTCAGAGGGGAAATCTCGCCAAAATGCGGAACCGGGCCTCTCAGGCGTATGATGCCGCCGTCAGCCTCGGACTGAACGACACCTCAAGCCTTGCACTGGATGAGTACACAGAAGCACGACGGAGAGCATGGTGGATGACTTATACAGTTGCCATGCAGTGCGCAATCGTCGCCGGGACCCCTCCCATGATAACAGCCGACGTGACTAATTTCAGGACTCCCTTTCCCATCATAACGTCGGATCCAGATGCCTGGTTCTTTTTCCTCGAGGCTCAGCAAATCATCTGCCAATGTACCCAATATTCGGGTGCCTTGAAGAAGGCGTTCGAAGCCGGCATGGGCCCGAATGGTCTCGTCGGACAAAAGAGCGCACTCGACAAAGAAATCGACACAATACTTTACAGACACTCTGTCCAACCGGTCGATGGCCCGCTGGTGTCAGCGACGGACTTCGAAGAGCAGACGCTAGCCAAGTCACTCCGAGCTCAGGCTCAGATCAAACTCAACAGCGCACGAATCAAGCTCCACAGATATAATGCCTTTCAAGATCTGCCTCTCTTTACCCGGAAACATTGTGACCTTGAGCCCGCCGACCCGACTGCGCCACGGCAGTTAGGATGTTCTTGTCACTCCGTGAGCCCGACGGTGACACCTGAAAGCAGTCATTCCGGCAAAAATTCGATATCGCCAGTTGATTCAGACCCCATGCCAAAGTTGACCAGCGAAATACCTTTCAACGACCTTGCCGCGGCCAAAACCTGCATGAAAGCTGCACTAGCGATAGGACGAGCCTTTGAAGTTCTACCATATCCGAATCCTATGCAACTTACACCACCAGTTTACGGCCCTTCTATGTTGTCGGTGACTTCAATGAACTCTGCACCACGGACCATGCCCGCTTTCGCTTGTTGTGCCATGCAGAGCTGCTACACCCTATTGACACTATGTTACAGGAGCCTGGAAAGGCAATGTGTCTACCAGCGAAGTGTGGCGACTGACAAGGGACTGGAAGGGCTGTACGCCGGCATTAGCCGCGTCCTGGCAGCCTTACAGAATTATTCCATGGCGTTTGAGGCGTTGAATGGCATGACACGTAAGTCTAATGGGCAGTCGCCCGAGTGTGAGAATATTGACTGACATTTTTCCAGAACAAGTAGAAGAAGCCCTTGACGCCGTCAAAGGTGCTAAATGATGTATGTGTAGGGCGTTTCTGAGATTTCGATGGTCACCGGCTTCTACTTCACTCTCCATGTATTTATGCCCATCACGCTTCACGAATTTGAATACCCCTTGTGTCTATATGAAGATTGTTTTCGCCTTCGCTGCTGCCTGGTAGGGAATGACGATCTTTCATTTTGAGAGATCTATCTGTGCTGGTTCCCTTCGCTGGTGTACTGTATTTTTGTTATCTATCGGCATGGATAGCTGATTGGGATTACTTTGAGCCGTAATGGAACCCATCACTCTCATGGCCGTGCGTACTGTGCTCGTACTCTGTCCTTTTTTAGTGAAATATGTATAGTTTAAGCTTAACTTCGATGCACTAGCGACTTAGAAAGCAGATAGCAGCTTGGCGTGTCTAGTGTCACGATCACAGCCTCCCGCCGCTGCGGATTCGATATGCTGCACGTCGCCAAATGTCGTAGGCGCAGGCGCAGTCGCTGTCGCAGCCGCATTAACTGTTGGTCCTCATGACCATTGTATTATTGTATTCTCACTGAGAACCAAACACGATAATCTACCTTCAGCATCCATCAGCCTGTACACATTTTCCGTCGTCTCTGCATTCACATCCACTCATTATATTCGTCCGTCAGACATCATTGCCCAGGACCGACATCCTTCAGCCCACATACGCATACGCACCTCTAAGAAAGGGTCGCGATTTACGAATTAGACGCCTGTCCTGGCGGATTTTTGACCCCAAGCCAGATGCAGGCTGACAGCCATGGGGAATATCGGCAGCCGAATTGACGACGGGTCAATTCTGTATTTGAAGGATCAAGGACGCCGTATGTCCCCTTGCTTTTTTGTTCTTGCACCGGCTGCTCACGCTCCCCAGTGTCCATCACCTCCCTTGTCGTCAGCAATGGCCGACGGAAAGTTGTGCTACACGCTGTTCCAAATGCATACCCTGCGACCCGGCTGGTTGGAAAGTTGGACGCGGCTGACTACAGGCCAATCTCATATGTCCAGGTGGGTTAGGCCGCGATGCTCTTTAGATGCCATGTTGACAAGTGCGCCAGGATCCTGAGGCCCCGGGCCTTCTCTTCCTACCCAGACTAGACCTTGAAGACGAATTGGATGTGCGGTTCACATTCACGACGCGACAGAACTCGGGGCCTCTGCCCGCTACTCCCTCCACAGCGACAGCCGCAGTCGACACAACCATCTCCGGCCTGACGTTCGCCTATGCCGCGAATGCCAAAGAGTTGGATACCTTGGTGACACGGGAATTCCATGCAGACCCCAACCTTCACAAGAACTCCAATGTACAATTCATCGGCGACTTCTCGACGAGTGGAACTCCCGTCATCACCTACGAGTGGACCTGGAGATGGAAACCTCCAAAGCCGTACGAGGACAGGGGTGGCGGCTGGCGCAACTGTTGCAGTTTCCTCGAGTACGATTCAAGGGCTCACAGGTTGAATACACTTGCATCTTTCACTTTCTGGGTCAATAATGCGGCCGTGACGTCCGCAACACCGCTGGCATCTCCGAACCTAGAGCTTCAGGTTCCCCCTCAAAGACGCATGGTTTCAAGTCAGTCGTACCAGTCCGCGATCAGTGATTCGGAGGATCGTGCAGATTTGCAAAATCCACCGTCTCCACACGTGCTGGCCACCGAGTTTAGCACGACTGCTTCCAGTGTCACAGCTTCCAGCAGTGCGCCCTCCATCCCTGTGATCGATGTCCAGTGTGCACGCCCGGGGGAGGATGTGAGTGCAGTCGAAGATGGCCCTGTTTTCAGAGCGACTATGAAGTCCTTGGAGCAAAAGACTGGTAATATGAGGGTCCAGGTGAAGAAAGTCCTGAAGAAGGCAGAGGCGGCTCAACAAGCGCAGGTCGAGTGCAACCAAGCAATGGCAGAGTTTCTCCGGGCGCTTCAGGAGGCCTCCGCTTCCAATGCTACTGCTTTCAAGCCGGCTCTTGACCACTACTTCACCAACATTGCGCAAAGAATATTAAAGTATGAAAAAGAGAACAGCTCTTTATTGCAGAAACAGATTATCGACCCCATATCTAAACTCTACAACCTCGACATCAAACAGGCCGATGCCAAAAAGAAGGACTTTGAGGATGAAAGTCGAGATTACTACGCGTATGTTAGCCGATATCTAGGCCAGCGGCAGGATTCTTTGAAAGATAAAAAACGAGCAGAGAGCGACTCAAAGTACCAGAACAAGAAAAAGAACTTCGAGTTGAAACGATTCGACTATTCAACTTTCATGCAGGATCTTCACGGCGGACGCAAAGAGCAAGAACTCCTCTCGCAGTTGACCAAGTATGCTGATGGTCAGGCGCATTCGTTCCTTGCAGCAGCCAAAAAGGTTGAAAGCCTGACACCACAATTGGAGGCCCTCGTAAAAGAGGTCAGTGATGCCGACAAAGAGTACAATCTCCAACGAACCGAACGAGAAGAGAAGCGTCGGAACCTAGAAAAAAATGGACCCAACGCTATAGAGAGTGACCCTCCCTACCAGCCTTTGACAAGCACAAATTCACAGCCATCAGTGCAGAATGGACAGACTGGGTATACGTCGGACACAGATTTGAGTAGAGCAGACAGCACCAGCTCACAGTTTGGTCGATCCTCTGTCAACACGCTATCTCCAGCCACCTCAGGAACTCTACAAGGTATTTCGGCCGCTGCTTTGTCTACATCCCCAGGAGCCTCATCAGCAGTCCCAATACCGAACAAATTCAAAGGAATTCGCGACCTCGATGAGAGCTCAATATCAACTACTGACAAATCCTCCAATGGGCTACACAAGAAGGAAGGATTGCTGTGGGCATTGAGCAAGCCTGGTTCTCATATCGACCCCAAGGGCATCAACAAGCAAGCCTGGCACAAGTGAGTATGCCGTCCTTGATGTCGTCCGCGTCTAACATGCATGGTCTAGGTTTTGGATTGTGCTTGACCAAGGAAAGCTCTCCGAATACAGCAATTGGAAGGATAAATTAGATCTTCATCGAGACCCCATCGATCTAAGAATGGCTTCGGTTCGAATGGCTCGCGATGCCGAGAGGAGATTTTGCTTCGAGGTCATTACTCCTCAGTACAAGAGGGTTTATCAAGCGACGACGGAAGATGAAATGAACAACTGGATCAATGCAATCAATAACGCCTTGCAGAACGCCTTTGAAGCTGGTGGACGCACCTCGCAACAAAATTCTAAAGACCTTGCTGGACGTGAATATGGTCATGTCCTCACAGGCAAAAGCTCTTCGCAATCAGGTCCTCACGGCTATTCTCAGCGAATTGATGGATCTGGAGTTTCACGACGAATCACTGTAGGTGCTCGACCTACGTATATGAGAACAAGCAGCAATAGTTACGATGAGAATCCTTCCAAGCTTTTGGACCAAATCAGAAATCACGATCAAGGAAATCAATCCTGCGCTGATTGTGGTTCTACCTCCAAGGTGGAATGGGTGTCATTGAACTTGGGTATTATCCTGTGCATTGAATGTGGAGGTATTCATCGGTCCTTGGGCACTCACGTCTCCAAGATCCGGTCTCTCACCCTGGATGTTCATTCCTTCACCAACGATATCGTCGAACTGCTGATGCTGATCGGCAACCGTATCAGCAACACGGTTTGGGAGTCTTTGCTGGATCAAGCCTTGAAACCCGGGCCGACTGCCACAAGAGAGCAACGCTTGAAGTTCATCACGTCGAAATATGTGCAGCGAGCCTACGTTGATCCTGTGTCGCAATATGGAAGCGCCGATGACATGTTGCTGACATCGATCAAGAAGCATGATATGAAGGGGGTTTTGCAAGGAATCGCCCAGCGGGGAAACGTCAACGCACATGACCGTTCGAGAAATACTCATGCGGTGTTTCTCGCATTGGCAGCTGCCGACCCTGCTCGTCCAGTCTCATCTCACTCAGCTACTCCGGCCCCGACGGTCAAGGCTTTCCCTATGGCGGAGTTGCTTGTTCAAAATGGGGCAGAAATCCCTACAGACCCGCCTGCAATACCATTGTCATCAGCTGCGCAACTGTATATTGAACAGCGAACCACTCGGTCGACAACAAATGGCGGTCATGGCGACACGCTTGGCCCTCTACCGATCATGGGATCTAGAGTCTCGCCGCTGGCCTCGGATGGCCATACCCGGCTGCAAAAACGCGGTAGTGCTGGCGCCAGATTTGCCGGAAAGGTGACGGGTCTAGGTGAACGATAGAACCGTTATCGGTCGAAGGTCGAGATTGACATTGCGATACCAATTCTGTGTGACACTCTCGGAGAAATGAGCAGGTCCCTACCCAGTGAGCGCCCAAGATTGGGGGATTCCCTAGTCTTTCCTGCCAAGGTCATGTATTTGGGAAGCAAGACGGACTTATGACAAAAATGTTTCTGATGATTGCAATGACTAGGTTACTCACTGTGATGAGCATGGCCGTTTGGATTGTGACGGGCCAGATGGGGTGGAAACCTGTGTGGCCCTTTTGAAAAGCTTTGGTCGCTTCGACGAATTTTGACTGTCGGGAGTAGGAGATGGGTTATGGATAGGAAAGCAGGAAGGACTATGAAAGAGGTCAGACCGATATGAACCATTGGGTATTGGTATGACTTTAATATTGCGCTGAAACACATTGCTCTGTCGTATGTAATAGGACATGCTCCATGAGAAGCAGATAATAACCACCTTGGGTATGATGAGGAAACTTGTGTTTGTCACTGTGCTTAAGCTTGAAGTTGTATGAAGTGTTTTTCCCCGGGGTAGTAATGCTCTTGCTCTTCTTGGGCGATAAGTATTACGCACAAAAGGCTCCCTGCCAGGTACAGATCACCGATGTACCCCTCGAACATTGCAAGTAACTCCAGCGATATATACAGAGTAGATGGCGCCGTGCGTAATGCAGAGGCGGGTGTGCGCAACACCCATCGCCTCGAACGAGTGTGTCGGTTCAATGCAGAATATGCTCACCGCTATCGCTCGATCTGGTTGCTACACGCTCTCGGGGAGAGAGGAGAAGAAGAAGAAGAAGAAGAAGCAAGCAATGCTGCCGTCTTTCTCGCTTGTCTCTCCCTCTCCCTCCCGTCCCCCTCCTACAAAGAACACCCCCCCGGCATGTGTGCTACTCCAAAGTACTCATTCTCCTTTTTTTTCTTGTCTCTCATGGGGGACCTATGACCCACGTGTACTGGGCCAAACAAGCGCCCACGGTCGTAGCTGGGCGTCTGGTGGTGACGCCAATGCAGGGTCAGGGGGGAGATTTCGACAGCGACGGAAAGGCGACGGACAACTTTTCAGAGCCGTGAGGTGAAGAAAACCTTCGGGTGAATTTGAGCGACTCCCAAAGGTGTCTTCCTGGTGACCGTGAGGCACCGGAGACGAAGGGGGAGCCTGCACGAACGAGAAATTAGTGGTCGGACAGGGGGCAGGTCCTCACCTCCTGATCATGGGCTCCTGTCATGATGGTCCGGCTATCAGACCGGCGCGCGTAGTGCAAGTGTCCATAGCATATCGACCATGTCGATAACCCTGGGGACTCATACCACGAGCTGGTGTCTCTCTGCGTTGCACGCAGGCCGCCCTCGGGGGACCTTCGTTCACACACCCTGAGCTGCATTGACGGTCTTCGGCGTACAAAAGGGCCCAAGATGTAGTACGCCGCGGGTGGATGCCAAAAGTGGCAACCGCAGAACGAGCTCTTCAAGCTCCAGTCGCACACCTTTCTCCCCCCCAACATGTCAGTCCGGGTTGGTTCTCGGGCAGTGCAGAGTGATCACGGCTTAATTTCCAACATGAGACCTCACCGTCCGCGCAGAAGCACGGGCAAAGGCCGAGCACACTGTACTCCATTCAAGATGCAAGCTCCAGGGTCATCACACGGTGCTATTTGCCCATGCGACACAGTGCTCACCTGCAAGTATACGGGATGCGAATCTGGGTGGATGGAAAGCAAGCGACATTTCGGCAGTTGTCCCAGAAAATCTTGAGGATACGCACCAATAGAAGGGCACAAACTCTCGTCCACAGCCATGTCATCGATAATTAGAATGCTCCTTCACTCTCTCGAATGTTACCTGTGCCTTGAATGCAAATGCTAACTATGCAGCTAGTTGTCTAGGCGGTGGGTCAGCCATGAACACTCACCCAGGCGGCTTCCCGTGTGCTCGACTTGAAAGATTGTCCCTGGATAGACAGTGTAGAGTCAGAGTCAATTGCCAGATATAGTATACTGCCAGGGGTTCAAGGGGCGATAGGTACTACGCACACCCGCCTCTGCATTACTCACAAGGCTCCTACCAGGTAAATTTCACTGATGTACCCCTTGAACCTGTCGTGTCATTTCTTAGTATCAGTGTGAGTTGAAATGGTAACTGACAGAACCCAAACAAGTCAAGAGACATTCTTGAGAATATTGTGAACGACGAGCACCGAGACACTAATAAGGACAGGAATAACGACTAAATTATCAGTCTCTCAATTGTGTGCCTTTTGCAAAGGTACCGTATACCTATTGCGAATGGCAATTGGAGGGGGGAGTAAGTATAGCTTTGTGCGTAATGCAGAGGTCGGTGATCGTGATACCTCTCGCCAGTTCAAGGGTGCCTTGAGCAAGGAGGGCGAATGCTGGACGGCGTGAAACACCAGTCGGATTCCAAGAACGCCATCCTGAGCTCGCTGCAAGTGGTTATAGTGTGACAGGTCGCCTGCACGGGAGGGGAAACGTGGACAGTGCCTGATGGAAATCAGAGATCGACTCGTTTTCATTGTTTGTCGGTAAATAGGGTGAGAATTGACGATGACAGAGGGAATCTCCCATTGGCTGACCCAAAGAAGCCGTTGAGGAATGACAAACATGAAAGGGCCGACCCAGATTATGCTGCCTGGCTTCAACCTATAGGCATGTCTTGCAACTAACAAGCAAGGATCAAGGCAGTGCCAGTGTGGGTTTGGGAACTTCAGACCCATGAGATCAAGGGGGTCCGCGTGAAATAGGTCGAAGGCGCTATGGTGTGCCGGTATTCCTGATCCAACTAGCCAGAGAGGAGGCGATGCTGTAGCGCCGAATCAATCTTGTTGAATAGCAAAAGAACAGTGAATTCACTTGAGAACTGGCACGACACGAGTGGTGTAGGAAGATCTATGTGATTGTCGCTTCGTGATGGTTGAGAAATCTCCTTGAGCACATGGAGATGTCTAATTGGTCTCGCTTGTCGAACCTCTGACACAACAAAAGGCCATTCAGAGTGCAGAGAAGACCTCGGCTAACGCCCGACGGGCTCCATTGCGGAGAGTCGATTTCCTAGACTCAAACGCTGCAGAGACCATCAAGTAATGACAGCCTACGAGTACTCAAAAGGTAGGTAGCTAATGAGCGACTTTCTGTCCTCAGGGTTTCAGAGTCCACGATTACATCTTGCGACAGGGATTTCTCTCAAGCCGTTGATGGAGCTTGGATGTTCGCCACCAAGTCAGAACTCAAGTTGCAGTATTCTAGCCAGATCACCGTGAGCTGAAGTGGCACTTTGAGACATTATTGGGACAGCTTCTTGGTGTTGAAAAGTAGATCGCTTCGGCCCGCTAAGATTTCTTACCGAAAGTGGCATGACAACGTTGTTGGTGTGACTTCTGTAAGCGAAGTGGTATCATTTGGTCTGGATAGCCTTGTCGAAAGTACCCTCCATCGAAGACCAGCGGTTACGAGGTACGAGGTAGTGTGGCTTGTGCATCCTAGGCAGCGATCACTTCCCAATGTGCCGGGTTGACGGGACCAGTTTCGGAACGTCCGAATTGTTGGAGCGGGTATCCATCTCCGAAAGACCCTGAGTATGAAGTTATTTTTTTCTTCCTGTCCGGCGCCGACTACCAGGGTTATTCAGAATGTTATTCCACTTAGATCCAACGCCATCGGAGCGGCCGTGGAAGCCTCAGAGCAGACAAGAAAGTCACTTAGGTACTAGACTTCGTGTAAAAGACAGAAATGGTAGGTGGCGAGAAGTTCACTGGAGTAGAGCTCAAATGGACGTCGTGGGAGTGGTGTGTGACCGGAGCAGCTGGATGCTTTCGCGTCCAGCGGGGCCACTAATGCCTCTTGCGAGGCACTATTCTGTGGTCTTGCAGTTGTAAGCCTCAAAGAAGGTCAAGGATCCGTTCACACCTCGAAGAAGAACCTCGCTTGCTTTCTTGGAGGGGAGCCGTTGGTCGTGACGCAGGCCGATTGGGCTATTTGTGGAAAGCTTTAGATCCAAAAAGGCAGGGATATCCAGAAGAGAGGAATACAAAGGATGTGTCTGGGCTCATCAGTTCCTAAGGCGCAAGTGATCGACACGCCGATGTTGTCAGAATGGGGAAAATGAAGAAGATGGGAGAAGCCCAAGAAGCCGACGAAGCCATACAAGAACTGAGGTTGGAACAAGAACAAGGCTGATGACGCAATTTCAGGGTCCATCGGTGGTACTTTTTTCCGAGAACAGGCGCTAGACTGTTTCGGGACATGGATATTGCACAACAATTCCATCTTCAGTCTCGAAAATTCCATCCTACCCGGAAAGTCTGGGGAACAGGCCTACGCCTGCTCAGCCACAGCCAGGGTCTCGCAGAGCCCATCTAGACGAGGGTCGATTTTTTCCCACCAGCGCGCTGTTCTTGTCCCTCGCCTACAAGCTACTTATCTGTACTGATCGACAATGCCTATCGAACAACTTCTCGCCACCGAGCCTGCCAAAAATACCCAAGACATGGCTTTGCCGTCTCTAGCCAGGTCACGAGCGTAATGATACAGCGATCTTCCCGTGTTTGAAAAGATCAGCATCCTGTACCTGCATCGCTGCTAACAATAACTTTGTGTTGCGTTCATAACTGTCATCCAACGGCGTAAACATGATGCAAAACGTTCGTCATGCCGCTGCAGGCTACGATACGAACGCCTTGTTCCTGTTTGCTTATCCTATTATTTGCATCCACCAGGAGGGATGCACCCGCCAGCTTGGGCAGTATCTGTCATCCCAGGGAACAAGCCGTGAGAACCCATGTACATGGTTAGCAAGTACAATAATAATACGAGACCGTTTCTAAGAAGTTTGAGATGCATACCAGTATGCAGTCTCAGACATGGGCCAGGATCCCCTGCCGCGCATTGCACAGTCACGTCTTCCCGTCCGAATACTCGTATGCTTCAACACGTCCTTTGATAGTCACGGTCACATTGGTAGTCTCCCAAAATGACAAGGCCTCACTTTTGTGCAATGGATCCATGTGCTGATCTCTCCCCAAAGGACGACGGTGCATATTACGAGAGAGATTTTACAGTGTCCACAGAGCGCTGATCACCAGGCCCGTCCGCGCTGCGAGCTGTCCACGGTCTTACAGGCACATTGTCTTCACGAATGTACTCGACAACTGTCGTGTGCGTTTGGCGCAAGATTTGGGTTTTCTTCTTTCACGTGGGGGTGACGAGATGTCTACGATGCGTATCCGAATGCCAGAATGCCACAGAGGCCGCGGCAGGATCAGGATGCGTGAGTTGGAAATGTGGCTTCATCCCACCGCGCTTGGCAATCAGCGCCTCATGCTATGCCCTCTCTGTGCAAGATCGGCGGAATCCAGAACGTCCTAAAAGCATCCAATACAGCCTCCGGCCCCATCCCATACCCATCTGTGCCTATGTCAGCTGAAAAAAAAACATGGATTTTGTTGCGGCACTTTAGGAGACTCCCCATCCGCTTTCACTCTAGTCGCACCGTATTCCTGCACCTCCACATCCCACTATGAGCTGTTGGCGCCTTATAGGGCCCGAGTCTTGCCAACTTGTGGACCGGACAGCCATCGAGGTGTCGTTGCTCCAACCATGGGCGAGACTAACGCGAGATATCATCGACCTTTGTCCTTAAGCGACTGACAAGCTTGGTACTATCTAACCAATCGAAGAAGGCCTCATACTGGAAACTAGGTGTGTGGCTTGCAAGACCCTGAGAATATCGCCACATCGCCGACTCGTGGCTAAGTGGATACCCACTGATGGGCAATTTTGCTTCCCAGTTTGAACATTTCCATGTCTTTCCGAGTCGCACAGTCCGAGCCCTGTCTACGAGTACGAGAGAAAGCTGTTCTTTCAGTGCTTTTTGCGGCCTTAGCTTCTGGCTTTTCGTTAACCTCTGAGACACGCTGTGGGACACAGTCGCTACGAGTGCGAACTTACCAACCCAACCCGGCTCATAGTTCCGAAGCCTTGAGATTGAGCACCGCCACAACTGCTGCTCGACCCATGGACGTGGAGAGAAGCTGATGTCGTGACGAACGCCTTTGCTTCGGTCAAGACCAATCAAGGAAAGGTTTCAAGGCCTTGTTGTGCGAAAGAGGACTCCGTCCGCTCCAAAGGGAGAGGCAGATTGCCGGGTCCAGATCAGCTTCCACTTGGGTTCTGGTTCATGTCATTTCACAGGACGAGTACCCGCATGTCCTGTTATCCGCGCTTGACTTTCTCGGGCCTTGCCTTGCCCTTCCTTTCCTCGCCTTGGTACCGCATCATTATTCCAACCAATCCTTCCATCTGGACTGGCCGTGTCTTCTGCTTTGCGAATCCGAGAAGGAGACACCGTTCCCGGGACAGTCGGTGACTCCAGTGCGCGTACGAACTACGAATTCACCTCTAATTCCCTCTTCCCTTCACAACTCTCGGCATTTTCCTGACGCTTTCCCCCTTAGCTTGAGCACTGTCCGTATCCTCCCATATTGCTGGCTTCTTCACACAATCGGGATCGCCTACTCCACGCTCAAGGATCCCATTTCAAGTCTTTCCCAATCACGAAGCCTACTGTATGTTGGCCACCAGCTCCCTAGACCCTGGTACCATTCGCGAATTTTACTTGCTAGGTTCCACTCGACTTTAATATAATGTGCATAGCGACTGCCGCCAGTCACAACCTCCCACGCCGGTCAGGCCACATTTGAGACCTTGTTGGATAGAAATCCCGTTATTAATCTCACCTTTCTCGCACCGTTGGACCAAACCAATGATCTTGCAAACGCTCTTCCTCGACATTGCCACGAACGACAAGCCTTCCTCATCTAGCCCTATGAAACATACTGATCATCCTTGTTGACCACGTCGGATTTCCAATTTTGGCGCCGACCTACTTGTTTCATTTCCTCTTTGGACCACATACGATCATCTATACTGAGGGACGAAAGACACTGTCGACAACTTCTGAACAACCCAACAACACCATTCGGGACCTCCTGATCCGTGCTCAGCCTACCTCCTGCTCGACAGGAGATCGTCTGCACATTAGAGCTTAGGTATGTCTATTTCAGGTGTTTGTGTCTCGCATCATATTGTTGTCAAGCATGCATAAGCAAGATGGACTAACACATGGCCTTCTTCTGGATCCAACAGTACTACACCCTTCCTATTTTATTCGAGGGTTTAGCGATGGGGGATGAACCTCCTCCTCGACAAAATCTCGCTGCGATCGAACATCCAGAAAATCCCGGAGGTTCGCTTTCCTTCCAACCGTTCTTTTGGCATTGCAATTGACAACCTTGCCCTAGATTCATTTCCACAACATACGCATTCAAGTCCACCACAAGCAGCACAGTTGATTAACATGGAGTTCGAACAATACCCTAGACAGGCCTTTGGCATGGGTCATTTCCCGGGCGCTGGCGCTCTTGACATGTCTGGCATGGCAGCCGCATTGCCAGACCCCCAAATGCGACAATTCCAACAGCCCTCTTATCCTCACCAGTACCAGTCTCCAGCTGTCGCAAACCAGATGATGTTTCAGTACAATCAGGGTGCGCAATTTGCTGGCCAAACTGCTGGAAATTACCCTCAACAGCCCGGACAGCAATATCCCATGCATTTCATGTCGGGAACTCCCCAACGACAGCCGCATGTGGGATACACGCAATTTTCCTCCGGCCAAGGGGCTGTCCAAGCCTTCCAGCAACCAGGCCAGGGCTATCTGATGCAGCAACCCATGATGCCACAATCTACTGCGCCTCCTCAACATCACCAACAAGGGACGTATTCTCAAGCCTTCACTAACCCTGCCTACGCGACCGCCTATGCAGCGAGAATCGCAGCTGCGTATCCCATTCCCCAGTTACGAGTGGACAGCAGCCTCACACAATCCCCACAGCACGGTTTCTACCAGCAACATCATAATCAAAGTATGAATGAACTCTGACATTCAAGTGAAAACCATACTGACCGAATATCGCAGTTGTCAGGAGGACAAGCTCTAATTCCTCACTTCAGACATCAGCCCTGAGAGGACCACCCAGAAAACCGAGACAATCAGGTCACGCACTATGGGTTGGCAACCTACCTCCCGCAACGCACATCGTAGACCTGAAAGATCATTTCTCGAAGAATGCCACGGACGATATTGAAAGCGTCTTTCTAATTTCGAAGAGCAACTGCGCATTCGTCAATTACAAGAGCGAAGCCAGTTGTGCAGCTGCGATGACACGTTTCCACGACTCTCGGTTCCAAGGCGTTCGACTTGTCTGTAGACTGCGCCGCGGCAGCTCTTCGACGACAACATCAGGCCAATCGCAGAGCCAGACCGCAGCTGTGCGACCCGACGAAACTTCTGAACCCACGAGCAAGCAGGACGAGCTCGGCTTGCAAGATGCTACGGTCGAGGGTGCAACAGTGACCTCGGAACCAGAGAGTATAGAAAAAGTCAAAGAAAAGTTTTTTGTGGTCAAAAGCTTGACAATCGAAGATCTGGAGCGCAGTGTACACAGCGGTATATGGGCCACTCAAGCGCACAATGAAGATGCTCTCAATAAAGCTTACATGGTAAGAAGCACCTGACAGATGCGAGTGTGAGGAAACTGACAGTGCTCCCTTCAGTCTGCGGAAAATGTATACCTCATCTTTTCTGCCAACAAGTCTGGTGAATACTTCGGCTATGCTCGAATGGAGTCGGCGATAGATGAAGAGTCTGCGGCAACCATTGACTATCAACCAAGGGCCGAAACCAGAGACCCCAGCCCATCTGATCTTCCATTGACAATCACCACACCAGCAACTGCTACCGCCCCCAAAGGGCGAATCATTGACGACTCTTCGAGGGGGACCATATTCTGGGAAGCCGAGAGTGCCTCGTCCGGACAAGAAGAACAAAACGCAGATGACGACGCCGCAAACGCATCTGGCGAAGGATACGAGTCGGCGAGTCCCAGTACCCCACAAACATTCGGCAAGCCGTTCAAGATCAAGTGGATGTCCACGGACAGACTCCCCTTCTACAGGACACGGGGTTTGAGGAATCCTTGGAACACCAACCGCGAAGTCAAGATCGCCCGAGATGGTACTCAGATTGAGCCCATGGTCGGGCGAAAGCTGGTCGACATGTTCCATCGACCACAAATGCCCCCATCAAGTCCCAACGCTCCCCGACAGCCGCTTCCCCCGGGCTCCCAGGGGGGCTTCATGTCTCCTCATACTCCGGCTGCTGGCGGCATGTACGGACGATCCTACTGAAAGAGAGCCATGTTTTCTATGAATGTGCAATGTTATTTGTACCCAGTTGGCATCTGCGACGATTCATGGTTGTACGAGGATATGATTATCGTGATGAGAGTCAAAGAACAACAATAAGAAAAGTATCGGTCGGCATCGGGATTTACGGATCAGGACACGGCTATCCCTTCACTCAAAGGCATGTCTTTGTACGTCTTCCATTAGCACACATATTGTTTTCATGGAATGGTGCTTCGCTGGGCGAGCCTCCTTTTTTCACTTTTCCTCTCTGTGGCAAGGTCACGAGGACCACTCCTGGAGGATGGGATAGAGGGACAGGGGATTGAATGCGAAAGAGTTGTTGTCACTGAACAATCTTTGGGCGTCTACGAGGATGTGCTTGGGCTGCGACCATGCGTATGTATACTGTGGTTTATCTCTGGGCCCGGTAGTAGCAACTTGGACAGAAGCAATGACGGATCCAAGTTTTCTTTTCATTTGGATTTTCATTTTGGATTTTGCAATTTCCCAAGGAGTTTTAGTCGTCATTCGCTTCTAATTCATGAAGCAGGTCGATGAAATCGGTGTCCCCTGATGCTGCCAACTTTTTGAATTCATCCATGTTTTCTTCCACCCACTTGTCTTCGTCGCCGACCTAGAATTTTTTTGGGGTCTGATTTCAGTACGACTTGATGCATGTATAAGCCGTGCCTCACGGTCAAAAAAACCTGACGTACCTTTGGTCTAGCAATCCCACACTCGACGGCCGTCGTCAACGCCCCCATGATCCACACCGTCCTCAACGACGCGCTCGGATCACCCGGCGAGGGTCCCGGGCCGACGACGACACCTTCCCATGCCTTGATGATGTCCCGGGCGTGGTCGTCGTAGATTTCTTTGGTGCGCCGTTCTCCCTGCCTCGTGCGTACAACCACGCGATTATAACTGACCCGTTTGCCGCCACGAAAGACAACTTGGTCGCTTACGTCGGTGTATCGCACGTTTATGAAAGTTTTGGGAGTCTTGAACCGTCTCGCGTGTAGGTCGGTGATGGCCTGGGCGAGAGTGGCTTGTTGGTCGGGAGTAAGGGGCGTGACGTGTTCGACGTCGTAGAGTGGCATGGCTACTGGTAGTCATGTAAGTATGTACGCACGTAGGCGTTTGTGTGTGTGTGTTTGTGTGTGTTGTAGGTCGTGGATGGACCCTGTGAGGTCTTTATATATTTATGTATATTCTCCGAGAAATTGAACAAGTTGGAATTTACTTTTATGGCCTTTTATTCTTGAATACGAGGAAAGAGAGTATGTGCTACTCTGTATGAGTACAAAATGATCATGCTATGTCACTGGAGGGGAAGAAATGTATGATTATGTCGGATTACTTAATGTTAATGCCGTTCTCCGTGTTAGTGTCCCAGATAGGTACCACCATCACGAGTACCTATTAAGGCACCATTGAATTCATTACATTTGTATTCCTCGCTCGCCATACGGACCCAAGCGAAAAGTTGGGTATAATAACAAATCCACTGTGACTACAATCTACGTATTCTCATACTCAGTTCAGACCTATGATGTACCCTTGACAGCGTATATCTGATACGCAGCGACCCAAGTATTAAAATCCAACTCTTCGGCATTTCCCCGGTCTGCCACAGCGGCCTTGGAAGAAGCTTTACTCGCAGATCCACAGCACGAAACCTCGGCGTCTTGTGAATGATAGACGTTGAGATCTTTGTTTGTGTTGACAAACGCAATTCCAGATTCTTCAAAGCCCGCATCGACCATCCAGCGCCGGTACTCGTCCACCAAACTCGCCCCGGCGACACAGCCGACGAGCAACGCTGCATCCTTTCGGACATGATCCGGCATGGGCTTGAGGGCGAGCAGATCGCTGATGGCCACGCGTCCACCTGGTTTCAAGAGTCGGTAGATCTCTTTGAAGACCCTCGGCTTGTCCTCATCCGGGACGAGATTGATGACGCAGTTACTCACGACCAGATCGATGGAGGCGTCTGGGAGGGGGATCCGAGTAATGGGCGCCTCGACGAATTCAACCAGTCCCTTGGGTAGATCTGCCTTGACTGCGTTCCGTCTGGCGAGTTCAATCATCTTGGTACTTCTGTCGACACCGTATATTTTGCCCTTTGGGGTTGGGTCGGCCTTTAAAATCTGGTTCGCTGCAATGAGACAATCCAATCCACCCCCGGAGCCGAGATCGAGCATCGTCTCCGATGGCTGCAGGTTCGCCGTGGCGAGAGGGTTGCCACATGAAAGACCTAGGTTGGTGCCGGCTGGGAGCGTCGCGAGGTCTTGAGCAGAGTAGCCGAACAAGGCCGCGATATTGGCGCTCTTGGAGGTCTGCGATGGATTTGAGCCCTTGTAGGCTTCGAATGCGATGGAAGAGTAGCCATTGTTGACGGCCTGGTATACCGTCGACTTGTCCATGGCTTGGTAGGAACTTCTCGGCTAGGGTTTGAGATTCGTAAAACAACAATGGACTGTGAATTGGGTAAGGTATTTTCTAAGAAATTTTCCATGGAAAGAGAGAAAACAAGGACTGAGTCCGGTACCAACCTTTATCGAGATCCAAGGGGTGTCACGGCTGGCTGATCATTGGCTTACGCCCATCTCGTCTGATGAGGCGCGAGGCGCAAGGCACACCACCCAACCGACAGACCCCGTGGAGCGGCACGAAGAGCGAGCTTGGCAATAAGGAAGGAATAGTAATCCAATACGAAAATTGGTTCTGTAGGGGTTGACTCAATGAGTATTCTTTATTGATCTGACATTTACAGAATTTGTCACGAAGCGTGCAGCAAGTGTCTCCAATGTACAACTTCTTGAGCATTTGGACGACCGTATATTTACGGTGGAGTATTTTGGTCTTAGCTGTAGATCGTCAAGTCTTTTCCGTGAGCCCCTCCGACGGGTACCCTCATTTTTGAGGCTGAATAATACACTTACTCCTGTCTGGTTTTCAAGAATCTCGTCGTATACCAGTTCCCTAGTCATTAACATCTCACTGACGTACCAGAATTCGTCTTTCATAGAGTGACAGGTTTTGTTGTCATGGTTGTTGGGTGGAGCGTTCATAAACGGCCTCGCTTCGGCCAAGGCCCGAAAGTTCAGCCTCGTATTTGATGACCAATCAGACAAGGAGGAGATGTCAGTCCAATTTTCGTTGCTGAAAACATTTTCTTTCGCAACAATCAACACTGACCACTGTTTCTTTAGCCCTTGACGTGTTCTTTTCCTCGTGTGATCGATAACAACTACACAATAAGAGTCCATTTCACGATTGCAAGGAGAGATCTTTACGGTAAACAAAAACCAACAATCTCATCATCCCACCCTAGCCTTGATTAACAATCACCAAATCCTGGTCTCAACACAAAACACAACATCATCAGTGTACCACTTCGATCCTCAAAAAGCAGTGATCACTTGAAGTAACCATGTCTTCTATATCGTCTTCAGCTCCAAATCGAAACACGCTGAACCAACGTGCTTCCAGAGCTCGGCGGAAGACATACATCAGCGACCTAGAGCGCAAAGTCCGAGACTTCGAGGCTCATGGCGTCAAGGCGACTGAAGAAGTTCAACGAGCCGCGCGACGGGTTGCCGACGAGAATCGTTTGTTGCGAGAACAGATCCACGCCTTGCGAGTAAGAAACGCAGAGCTCGAAGCACTTTTGGCCCCTGGGTCAACGACGACGGCGGGCGCTCACGGAAACGGAACCCTGCAATATTCTTACAACCAACCAAACATGACCACCAAGGAAAGTGAACAGCAATATCCCTCGCCGCCGCAGATATACGAGGCGTCGACTACTTCCGTGAAATCCGAACGCGACGAACGCGATCTGGCTGGTGCCGAACTTTTGGCCGCCGCCTCGTCGTCATACGGAAACTACCCTCGGTTCGGTCAACAACCGTCGACAACACACGATGAGACTTCCAGTGTTCCTGGTCCAGTCCTCGGCGGAAGTCGCTCTGCCTCACCGATCTCCGATGATGGTACGGTAGACATGGACGACGACGACGAGCAGTCGAGTGTGACGACGCCTCACAGACATACTCAGACCAACACTTACCATACTTTAAACCACTCCAACACGTCACCGAGCCACCACGAGAACAACGCTCCCTGGTCAAATAGTACATCGTGTGCACAAGCGGCCATGATCATAGCGAGTATGCGCGGCCTACCGTCGTCTGACGAATGTATCGCCTCGGAGATCCTGTCCGAACTTGGATGCAGACCATCGTCAAACGGTAGAGGAAATCACATAAACCACAAGGTTGTATATTCCAACCTCACTTCGGATACCAACAAACAATGTTCATCACAGGATCTTCAGAATTGCCACGTCGAGAATACCAGATTATTCGGGATACTCGATCAGGAGAAGAGATTTGCTTGAGAGTGCGACTCGCCGCCACCGATCGAGACGAGACAAGGAAGAACTTGACTGTCTAATAAAAACATAGCGTTGCGATGGCCAGAAAGTGGTGTTGACGCAATGTGATTTGTGCCCAGTGCTCTGGATGTCAAAGTGAAGGAATTCAAACAGGCGCGGGTAAACGGTATGTGAATCCCTCCATCTTTTTGTTGTTTTCTTTGGATTTTATTTAACTGTGACTAACGTGTGAAATAGGCGGGAGTAACTATGACTCAACGCTTGAGATGTACAATATTACAATGGATGATCCGCAGCCAAGCCCTAAAGTCGCCTCGACGAGAAGCGGCCATGGGTGCCATTGCAACGACTAAATGGTGGTGGGTTCACCCCAATTAGGGCTGGGCTCAAGATATAGTCCAGCCCGGGCTGAAAGGTCCGGGATTTATAAAAAGCTCTCCAGGTACGTAAATTTATCAATCATCATCATTCTTTCTCATCGACTCGAAAATTTAATACCAACCTGTCTTTTAAATAGGTGGCCAAATGCCTCGTCGTCTAATTAGTGACGCGCATGAATGGACTTTGACGAGATTCTTCACTGTCCCCGTCTACTGTTTACCTACCTTGGGTAGCGAAGGTAGCGAAATCATAGCCACCTAAAGGGAACGGGCTTGGCCAGAATCGGCCGAGGAAAAGACGACTCGGAACATACCAAGAATTCTACGGAGTATATAAAGTGAGCAATTCTTGTACATGATTGGAAGGCGCGAATAATGTAAAGGTACAAGCAAAACTGTAACAGCAAAGCGCCAAAGGTTTTGGGACGAGAATCATGACCGATGTTGTGAATTCAGGCAAAAGAAGTTAAATGTTGTGCTCGAAGGAGAACAAAAAAGACAGCAGCATAATAATCAGCAAAGGGAAAAAGTGTACGCAACAAGAAGATCAGCAGGAAAAGTATGTGTATATCTATCTGGACGTATATTTATTCACCTAAGTATCTATTCCTCAAGTATTCCAAGGTACAGAGGAACCGTCAGTCATGCTTCCTCTAATGCCGTTACTACCCTCCATTTATCGGATTCAAACTCTACTTCAGCAACGTAACATGACTCATGGGACATCAAAATGGTGAACATTTCCAACGTCTAACGCCAGGAAACCGTTGGAATGGGCATTTGGGATGGCGAATTTTCTATCAGAAGTTTTCATCACTTCGGCTATTTCTCATCATCATCATTATTTATATTATCTCGACTGGATTCACCAGCGATTGAATCTAAGCCCTGGTGAATAGTTAGCAATGTCCGAATCATAAACCAACCGCAAAACATACCATTTGCCGAGTAACGCCATGAGGCCGGCGCCCAAACACATCGTACCAAACGCCGACAAGACCGTTTTAATGCTCGCTCTACGCATGGAACTCGAAAACATCTGTATGGCAAGAAAAAGTCAGTCATGGACCAAAAGAAAAGATGGAGAAAGAAAGGGACATACAAATTCATGTGCCATCAACTCCACAAGACCAGTATATATGAGGATACCGGCCGAGATCGAATCGAAAACGCCGTTGACAATAAGAGTGGTCTGAGATCCCGGAGGATAGGTTTTCCGGACCCCCAGGCCGATGGCAATGGCAAGAGGAGTACTCAGGCCGTATGCAAGCGCCAGGACATAGGGGGTCCACCTGCGGTCCCTGGGCCAAGGTGTCACGGCCAGTCTGGAACCGAGACCCAAACCCTCAAACATTTGGTGGAAAATGATGACGATGAATAAAGTGTCGAACTCATCGCCGGCGACAGCCAGCGTCAACCCTATAAACACGCTGTGGAAAATGATGCCGAACTCGAGAATGAAGATGGCCGTCATCTGTGTCTTGTAGTCTTCCAGGCTCGACGGGTCGCTTGCTTCTTCAATATCGGTGTGCTCTCTAGAGTGGCCGAGGTGATCCTCGCCCAAGACGGTGTTGTGGATTGGCGCAGGTGGAGCGTTGGCAGCTGGGTGATCTTTGTAGGAGGCTTCTCGACTCGCCGTCGTCAACTCTGTGTCGGTATCCGAATGTCCGTGTCCGTGGTCGTGACTATGCGGCGACCCGAAGTTGCCATATCTCATGACCATCAGCTCGACGAAGAAGAGGACGAATATCGTCATGAGGACGATGCCCTCGACCCAGGTGTAGTCCTTGATGGGTCCAGTAAGACATTGGTTCCTGAGCGCATCTTCCGCCGGCGCAAGCAAATGGATAAAGGCCGTAGCGACGATGACTCCCGAACCAAAGAATTTACATATGAAAAAGACCCATTCAGGCACCTTCAGGCCTTTATGTCGGTTCGCAAATACGGGGAAAGATGAGCCTATCGAAGAGGTGACCCAGATGATGAACAATGCGGCTACCCGCAGACCAATTCGACCATCGTAATCGTTGCCAGTGTCACAGGCTGGGGTTATATCCGCCTCTTCCTGTCGCGCGAGTAGGTGCGCGAAAGATTCCAACGTGGCCATGGCACTACACTGAGAGGGAGAGGACCGTGTTATGGGGAGGCTGTGGTGCCAGGAAAGGCTGCGTATCGGCTTGAAACCTGGGGGATCCGGAAAATCAATGCAGCATATGACTAGATATATGTTAGTACAAATTCCGACCGAGTCTCAAGTGAGGACCTTAAACTCACTTGGCAGGCAGTGCCTTAGTACAACATGTTTGTCTCTAGGAGGTCTCAAGATCTTAGAAACACGGCGAGAGGCCCGCGATTATGTGAGTTCCCAAGGGACTGGATTCGACAATCGTTGAGCACGTGGAATTCTTCAGAACCAGGCAAACAGAAGTCCCAGCAAGTTTCTTCAGTTCATGTACGTGTAGGACAAAATGATGACTCGATTAGAACCAGAACAAAAGATGGATGACGGCGTGTAACATGCGAATAATTAACATCCCACTCCGCTCCAGGCGGAGGAAGGGAGAAAGTCCTCGTTACTGCCACTACAATTCTGCACGGTCGGAGAGAATTCAGAATGAGGACCTTAAAAACTGGACGTATCGCTATGACTCGCGAAACCAATCAGAGGCTGATTGATAAGCGGACCCGGGGCTAATCCTGAGATTATGATTGGGTGATCCTCCCAATCTGTCAGGTACCCGGTCGATCTGAAGATTGGGAGACATTGTGCCTTTTCCCATTCTGAAGAGCACAAAGAGTACACCATACTAGATACATGAAGGACCAGAATGAATACCATTCCATCGTTCAACCATATCTCGCAGTATCTCAGCCAGCATTATGGGCTGCAGCTATCAGCACAAATTCGGCATGGGTGAGATCCGCACCGTGCGACTCATCACATCATCGACAGGGGCCTTTTACAGCAAGGCCCTCATTTTTGGTTTTCTCCACATACATGAACTTTCTGTTACATCCATTCACGATTAGCCTATGGACAATTGATGGTGATATTGGCCATCATGTACGCCAGAATTATATGTATAACATGCAGGACAAGGAATGCAGCGTCCGGCAGTATATATACATGATGATTACTACTCATACAGCCTACAATTGTGACACTCACACAGCTCAGGTGAGTCCGAACAAAGATCCGGCCGGCCCAAAACTGCGTCCTTTCGGGGCTCTGTGAGGAACCAGCATCACTCCCTTGTACCAAAGCCATCCCACCAAACCTGTGGTTGCAATGGTCGAGGCGAGCATCTGTACATACATGTCTCTTCTGCGCTGAAGTTTCGCCAATCTGACTTGCTTCTGCTTATACCTCGCAAGGCCTTTCTCGTCTCCGGGACTGATTTCCGACACTGTATAACCACCTCCAATGACGGGCATCGAGCCAATGAATACCTCGACGATCGACTGCACCACCTGAACAATACTCCGGTCTTTTTGCCTGTGCGACACCGACGTGCTTTCCAGGGCAGATTCTCCAAACACCTGATGGATGTGATCTTCTGCCCATCGTCCTAGGCTTGCATGCTTGGTCCGCAAGGTGTCTCTGATCCAAGCCTGAGGCATTCGAGGTCTTTGCATCAAAGCCAAATATCCCAATATCAGACAGTCCAGGCTGCTTTCCTGTCCCGCAAGGAGGAATTCTTTGTCACCGAGCATTTCCGCCAGAGGCTCGAGGAATTCTGCTGTGACGGCATCGAGTCGAAACTTGTTTCTCTGCGTGCTGCGTCCCAACAGCGAAGTAACGGTCTGCTTAGGTTTCCGTAATGACTTGGGAATATGTGCTGCCAGGCCTGCGTCCTCCTTTTGATCTTCTTGCGCATTGTCCAAATCAAGACTGCTCAACCCGAGATGATCGGACCTCTTCTTAGCACGTTCTCGCAATTGGTGTGGTAATACCCAACTGTTTGGCCATGGCAGTATCTGTGCGAGAGCTGGTCTTGTGGTATTGAAATAGTTGTCGCTGCTTACGTAGAGGCTTAAATCGAGGAGAGGTTGCCCGCGGGATTCGACAAAGGAGGAAAATGCCGCACAATCTGCTCGTTGGGTATCGCTCAGGCGTTGGTCAAGATCCCACCGTCCCTCTGACACATCTCTGAGGTATGACACTATGTTGCCGAAGCCTGCCACCCATGTTTCTTCGTGTTTGAGAACCGGTAGTTCCCTGAATGGACTCACTCTAGGCTCGCCAGACTGGACCAGAACCCAGGCTTTCCCGGGAGCCCCAAGAACTTTTCGCAAATAGTAGATGGTGGCCAAACACTGGCCATCGATAGACGGCAGATCAAATGCTGGACCCCATACATGCAACTCCAACACCATCTCTCAGACAATGACCGGATGTCGATACTTGAGTGATCGGTCGTATGTGGCAGCGATCAAAGCACATGGCAAACATGTCCTGCAGTTTGCGGACTGAAGTGATATATAGTCGACCGTAGTCAATTGGGTGAACTATATCTGCACTGATGGCTGTTCAGACGTCACTTGCGTCCATCGCGGTCGAAAGTCGATTCTGCCTACTCCATCCTTCATTTTCAAAAGGACGCTCCTCAGGATTCAATTCTGTGGAAAGATTCCATTGCTCAGGTGAGCAAATGTGGGATTAGAACTGATGCATGACTCAACATCGCCTGGCTCAGCGCCTGGGCACGCTGTCAACAGCAGCCTTCTGCCGACACCATAACTGGGCATTGCTCAATAGTCTTGCCAACGACAAGGACGTTACCTTCTCTTATACAAAGCCTGACGCAACCTCCGACAACGCAGATGTGCCAATAGCTCACCAAGCGGGCGTCAATTGCTTGACGATTGACCAGCATGAAGGTCGCTATTTAATTTCTGGAGGTGCCGACTCCACAATCCGTCTGTGGGATCTCGAGGAGCCTCATGAATCGTCATCCACATATAAGCCTCTAACAACTCTCCCTCGTGGCGCACCCTCGTCACATACACACTCACTCACCTCTCTCTCTATCTACCCATTCGACCCCACTCCAACCACTCTGATAAGCACGAGTTATGACAAGACGCTCAAACTCACATCCATCACGCCCAGCAACCTCACTCCCATCCACACCTTTGAGCTAGACTTCATCCCCTACGCACACGCACTTTCGCCTCTACCGGACTCGTCACCTTTGATAGCTGTGGGCACAGCGCACCCGGCCATTCGCCTTCTTGACCTTCGCTCTGGCCTGAGCACCCACTCTCTCTCCGGACCCAATGGTGCAATCTATTCATTGTGCTGGTCGCCACGCACCTCACACGTCCTTTGCTCCGGCAGCACTGACGGCAAGATTTTGTTTTTCGACATTCGCCGCGCCAACGCTTCTTTCGCCTCGCTGGACCTCGACGATGCAGTTGGTATCGTAGGCGAGATTCCGTCCACCGGTCTAGGTGCACGCCCAAGCAGTCTCCATCTTGATTTCAATGCGGTGGCACACAATGGCCCAGTCACAAGTGTCCAATGGACGCCGAGTGGCGACAAACTTGTCACAGTTGGTCACGACCAAAGAATACGCATCTGGGATGCTGCAAGTGGTAGAAACGACCTCGTGCACTTTGGGCCCAGAATACGCAACGAACGGCAAGGCGAGCTGAAGCCCTTAATTTCACCACCTGGCACATGTCTACCAGGACGCGAGAGCCTGTTTTGGCCGAATGACGACGGCCGGGGTATGATCTTTCAACACCATCTTCGAGAGGGCCACATGCTCAAGATCCTGCGGACAGAAGGAGTCAAAATCGCCGAGGTACAAGCTTCCAACAAACGGGCTAGGACTGGCATAGGAGGCAGTGGGACAAGTAATATCTCCAGACTGACGAGCGGAGGACGAATCAACAGTATGATATGGCGTGTTGGAGCACCGCTAGGCGAAGGGATAGAGATGTATACGGCACACGGCGACGGACGGATCTGTGCATGGAAACCTGTTATGAAAGACGAGGACTATGAAGAAATCGATGCTGACGGGGATCACGGAATCAAGAAGCCAGCCATATGGACTGCTGGCAACGGGACTGAGGACATCGATGTTGCTGTAGACGATGCCGAGCGAAGAAGGAAAAGAAAGAGAGATCTTCTTGGAGATCTCGTTCAAGGCCTAGCGAAGAAGCCGATGCCTTTTTGAAGTTCCATAAAAAATCCCTAGGGCGAGAATTTACGGTACATCCACCAGTGCGGTTACTGGTACGAGTGAAATGCTCACACGGACAAGTACATTACAGCAGGCTCCGGTACTTGCTTTCATAACGTCGTCAAGTTATATGGAGTATCAAGGTATCAATCAGCCGGCGCTTCTCTGTCTCTCTCTTGACACTCTCATGTCCAAGATTTACGCCTCACGCGTTCAGTTCCTGCAACAGCTCTCGCACCTCGCCCAGATTTCCCGGGCGCTCGTTATATATTGCAGCAATTAGACTCCCATCGATGTTTGGAAACTCTTTCTGTAACTGCGCCTGATCTAGATCGGCCTGACTCTGAGGAGCACTCGCTTCGTACTGCTGCATATGCTCAATTTGTTCCGCTCTATCGCCCTGTCCTACCAAAAGCTGATCGTTGCCCTGGGGTTGAGCGAGGCCATGATGCGCGCCGTACAGCTGCTGCTGGTGCTGTTGTGATGACGGTTCTTGCTGCTGCCAGGCCTGGTTCGGTCGCGGAGGGTACTGCTGCTGAGTAGAATTATTGGACTGGTTGTAGTACGACTGCGCCGCTCCCTGCTGAGAGGGAGAATCTTGCGCCGTGAAAGGGTTACCCTGGCTGGGTGCGTCTTGCCATGGATTGTTGTTATTGTTGTTCGAGGTCATTCTGCTGGCCGTATGGGTCTGAAGAGATTGGGGGTTGGAGGAGGGTAGGAGATGTTGGACACGACCGACTCTACCGTCCGTGAGTTTCACTTTGATCCCTCGAGGGTGGTTGTGACGGGTGAGGAGTTGCGAGACGGTGCCTTGGACCTGACGACCGGTCTTTTGATCTGCTTTCAATACTATCGAGACAGCGAGACCAGGTCGGATCTGCGAGTATTGTGTGATGGGCATGAAAATAAAAATAAAATGATGGCGCCTGTGTCTTTGTCTGATACGCCTCTAGATACGTATCCTGTAACAGGCTGCACAGTTTCAAGAAAAGTAAATGGACCGTGGGCGCAGGTGAGAAAGGGCCAGATGACGTACTCTGCAAGGAAATGAATATTGTCTGACGGGCACCAAAGTGTGATTACTTCCATAGTGAAGGCAATATGAGAATGTCAGACAGACCGTAAGTAAGCGAAAGCTGCTGTGGCGAGGCTTCGCATGTATGCAAGGCTGAGCACGCAACAACAAGCTCATTGACTAGAACATGGAAACCTTTCCTCTACTAGTTCAGGAATACTCCTTACCAAGGTACCGATATCAGAGAGTATCTCTGGAGTAAACACAGCGTCCATTTGTCCCCATAGTCTGTATTGGAAGCCATTTATTTCACGAAATCAGCTTGTATCAGACCGCTCGATCCCGGAGATGGCCGTCATTAAAACTGAAAGACCATCAAGTACTGTTTGTGTCAACTCTATATCTCCATCTCTTCTGTCTTTTCCAGGTTCCTAGATCTCTTTTTCTCACGTCCCTAGATTTCCTAGGTTATCTGAAGCTCAATTATCAAGGTGGGAGAGCTTTTCATTGTTCATGCAAACATAGAGCCAAAAGTCCTCCGAAACCTGTAAACTCGGACGGATATCCAGCATGGGCGCTAAGAAAGACGTGTTCACTATCGGACCAGGCTTCATCGGCCACAATATTGTCGAGATTCTCGTCGACCAAGGATATAAAGTTACCGCATTGACTCGACGAGAGCAACACGCGGAAGCACTTAGACGATCAGGAGCGACACCAGTGACGGGCCAACTGGACAGCTTCGACCTCATCACAGAACAGTGCTCAAACAGTGACATCATCTTCCAGGTCGCCACCGGAGACAACCTGCCGCTCGAAAAGGCCATATTGGAAGGTATCAGCAGGCGTGCACGAGGGGGCAAAAGCACGATCTACGTTCACACGAGCGGAGCAAAAGTGTTTGACGACGGCGCAAAAGGCATGTTCGCGTCCGACAGGATCTACCACGACGACAAACGAGAGGAGATGGACAGCGTGGCAGACTCGGCTCCACATCGAGATGTCGACCTAGCATTGGTGCGTGCTCGAGAGGAAGAAGTTGCACTCAGAGACCACCTCAGGTTGGCCATCGTCTTACCACCAGAAGTTTACGGGTACGACGCCAAACACGACAGGTTGTCCATGATGATTCCAAACCTTACGCGTTTCGCCATCAAACATGGTTATGCGCCCGTAATAGGCAAAGGTCTATCTCTCGAAACTCAGGTACACGTCATGGACCTCGCGAGGGGCTATGTCGACGTGATGCATTACCTGGAACACGCCGCTGCCGACCCCGATCACCAGGACCAAGCCCTCGCGAATCCTTATTGGCTGTGCGAGAATGGCGAAGAGTTCACGTGGAAGGAAGCGGCAGAGACTATCGGCCGGGCTCTCTATGAGGCGGGCAAAATCCAAGATCCTACGCCCAGGAATCCGCCAGAGCATTTGTACCCCGAGCTGTGTGGACACAAGACCGAGAGCTACATGGGTCTGAACTGTCGAGCCAAGGCTGTCCGTCTGAGAAAACTGGGTTGGGAGGCTCGTGAGAAGGGGATCTGGGAATCGTATCTACAAGATGAATTGCCGGTGATTCTGCGGCGAATAGATGAAAAGCAATAAGGCGACCAATCGATCACTTTGTACTGCGATTGAGGAGCTGCAATTCAATATCAGCTTTGACAATTTGTCATTGGGGATCCCTTTTCATCCATCCGACTCTTCATACGATTCCTGGGATGTTATGTTCAGTGGAGGTCCATTCATTCTTGGGCCCGAATGGCTGAAATTCTCCTATCCGCCCCATTCAAGGATTCACATTGTGACAGACTCCGAAACATTACACTCATGTCAACTTTGAATTATTGAGGCAAAGAGGTAGGGAGCTAGGCACATTTCCAATTATCAGCCAAAGTAACATCTCCCTTGCCTTTGTACTTTGCCATGAGGGGATAAGCACAGATTGGCCTGTGATAGATGGTCCCATTCTCTGTCGGCAGACTGGCTCCTTGCAGGATCTCCGGCGCTTTCCCTTCCTCTACCCAGGCAATAAGAGTTTCGAACACATGTCCTGGGTACAACCCATTGCCACCTCCACAGTGAGAAATACCTGGTGCCTGGAACAATCGGTAATATTCATTGATACCAGGATCCAGCTGCGCCACATTGTTGTAATAAATACTCGAAATGTTTGTTGGGACAGCAGGGTCGGCGAGGCCATGCCACGTTATCATCTTGCCACCAGCTGCCCGAAAGCCACTGAGGTCAGGGTTATTGCTTGCAATCATATCTGAATAGGTGTTCGCAGAAATGTTCCAGAGACGATAAAAGTCAGTCAATGTCAGAGTCGTCCAGTCGAAATCCGGCCTTTTGAACATCCAATACCTGATAAACTCCTCGGAGTAGGGAAACGGTACCATCTTGCACTTCCCGCCCTGATTGTCGCAAGTACTGTTCAGTGCAACATTCAACAAGGCTCCATAATTCAAGCCTGGCATGAGCAATGATCCATTCGCAGTGCGTACAGCATCCCAAGCCATGGCCGCTCCCTGTGCGGCAGCATGGGAAATCGTGGCAGTCATCCCAGGACATGTCACATTCTGGCCGACCAATGCGAAGGGATCGAATCTGCACTGTTCCGGGTTTGAAATAATGTCGTCGACGACACCATCATCCGCATCACACGCAGCAACCGCCGCTAGTGATAATGCGTAGATCTCACACGGTGCAGGAACGTGTCCTCCTTTCAGGACCTGTAGAGGAAAATACATTCCTCCAAGCAGTGCCGTGTTCCAGTCGATACCCGGTGCTGCAGCCAAGATCCCATCGTATGCATCGGGATATCGCTGCGCAATGACCAGACCCTGCCTGCCACCGTTTGAGCAACCGTTCCAGTAAGAGCGAATCGGCCCTTGGCCGTAAAAGTTCTGGATGATTGACTTGCCAATGACTGCGGCGTCATTCAGAGACACCGATGCGTAGTTTTGCAACGCATAAAGGTCGACATTACCAGGGCTCAGGAGAGCCCATGTGCTTGCATCCTCGATCTTATGGCCCGCATCGGTCGAAACCACCGCAAAACCATCACTCAGCGCACCTGCCATAGAAGGGACATTCAATCCTGCGAGAAAACCGCCACCTCCTGCTCCTTGAAGCCGCTGGTTCCAGCCGTTCAAGGGCAACCACACTTGTACATTGATGGAATCATGCTGGCCTGGGTGCGTATATATGAGGCTGACGTTGCAAAAGCTGAGATTCGTCACATTACGTGCATCGTGGCTGGGGTACCCTCCCTGCTCAATGGACAGGGAGTAGTTTGTGACAGCCTCAGCAGTCAAAGAAAGTGTCTTAGATCCAAACAGATCCGGATACAGAAAAGATCGGGAAATGCAAGCCGCGTGAGTGATGTTTGTGGCTGAAAGCTTCATGTTGAGGTTTGCCCTTTCGAATTGATAGCTTCTGTTCAGCTGGTTTGAGTAGTGCGTGCATCAATCTGCTGAGCCAGGAACGTCAGAAGTTTTTAGCACCGTCTCTCCTTTCACACGAGGAAGTGAGGCATGGACTGAGGACAAAGAAGAAACGAATGCTCTTTATCCATTTTCAAGATCATGTCTATCTCTAGGCCCAAGACATCTTTCTTACCAATTCTCGGAGCCATCTGATCGGCCGGAAGGCAGGAAATTCAGACGTGGACATATCTTTGGCTACGCGCGTGGCAATACTGGCTATACAAGCTGTTTATGATTGGGTTACCACCTAGTAAGCAGACGTGGCTGGGGACGGGGCTGGAAATTGAAAAACGATCTTGTCAACCGTACAGTTCTTAACACCATACTGTACACGACTGGACGCTTCCAAGGACCGAGTACATATCGGCACCCGGCTATACAAACGTGCCGAGCTCCCACTCCGACTTAGTCTCCTCACCACTGAGCCTTGCGAGATCGCATTGTCTCCGCCTCCGCGAATTCCCCCACAAATCCAGTTTCAACATCGCATGGACTGTCGATATTGTCTTTGTCCAGCTGTTTTGAGCAGAGGCATACCATTAAAACCCGACATCAGATCTCATGGCCGGCACGATAAACAAGGTTGTTGAATCTCGCCACGATCTCCACAAACCTACAATACAGCGTAGAGCAGGCAAAGCATGCCAGGATTGTCGAGGACGAAAGGTCAAATGTGATGTGACATTGAAGGGTGTGCCCTGTACGAACTGCCGTGACAGTCATGGACGATGCGTGCTTGTACGCTGTCGCCGAGGCAGGTAAGCAGGAATCGTCGCGGGAATTGGACGTTGTATCTAACTACCTGATACATAGGAAACCTCCAACATGGTATTCAAAGGCCACCACAAATGAGAGTAACAATCAACGCTCCCGTGGGCTACCCATGAGCCCGTCGCTTGGTTCACGCTACAGCAAGCCAAGACATGAATCGAGCTTGCCACAGCCTTGTAACAATACCTCCTATGGGACCCTGTCGTCGTCCAACGCTGCTGATGTTCTAAACTCGATGGTGGGTTTAGGAGACATTCCTCCTAAGCTCAAGCTCTTTCTATCAGTTAAAGCTCCAGTTGTTACTCCTCCCGCGGCTGAGGAATACTCTCCAGAGCTACCTGATTACTTTCTACCCTTCCCGGATCATCTGGAGGAGAGAGACCTAGAGTACCTGCGGAGCAAAGGTGCATTTGTCACACCTTCGCCGCACCTTGGAAACGAGATCATTCGATGCTATGTTGAGTACATGCACCCTTACATGCCTCTTCTTGATGCCGAGAGACTTCTCCAGATGTCCCGCTCGGCCAGCGCCATGACGCCAGTTCCAAAGTACAGCCTTCTTCTTTTTCAATGTGTCATGTTTGCTGCTGTAGCATTTGTGGATGAGGAGCTAGTGAAGCAGCATGGCTATGATAGTTTGAAATGTGCACGGAAAGACTTTTACTTGAGAACCAGAGTATGTATGCACGGCATCTGCCCTTCAATATTTCTCACAGCGATACCAGACTTTGTATGACATGGACTTCGAATCCGACAGACTCACACTCGTCCAGTCCTTGTTGCTTATGAGTCTCTGGTGTGATAACCCCGATGCACACAAGCAATCCTGGCATTGGAGCGGCATCGCCATATCCCTCGCTCAAATGATTGGACTGAACCGAGATCCGGCTGCACTTCAAATTCCACCTGAGCAGAAGACTCTTCGGAAACGTATCTGGTGGTGTTGCTTCATGCGAGACCGACTAATCTCACTAGGAATGAGCCGTCCTATGAGGATTAGGGATGGTGACTTTGATACTCCCTTTTTGAGGGTTGAAGACTTTGGTCCTAATGGCCATGCCATGTCTCCTGTCGTCTCGAGCGAATCCTGCCACAGGTCCACAGGATCTTCATTGACAGAAATATTCATTGCCAATTTGAACCTCTGCGTGATAGTCGGGTCTGTTCTGTCTGCTCAGTATTCGACTCTCCGAGAGCCTTCGAAGGCATTCCTCAGAAGCGACGGACACACGAATACTGGTGGCTTTGCCATGTTACTGCCTATTCCCAAAAGCAAATCAGATGAATGTACCAATGAGCACTTGGTCAGTGCTGCCGATCTCCTCGACGCAAATCTCGCAGAGTGGCTGGGATCTTTGCCAACCTCGGCCCATCTTCTGCGACAATTGTCGACCTTCCCAAGGAGTAATTCGGCCGTTGAGGCAGACCACAGTCAGAACTTGAGAGCGGCAGCAGTGGATACACAGCCATCCAGCATAGTCGTGCAATGTGCTTTGGTGCACATGTCTTATAATACGGCCGTTTCAGCCCTGCACCGGCCTCGATGTCAACGGCCTTCATCTAACTTGAGAGTGATTGAGGCTGCCAACGCAATTTCTAGCATCTGTGCTCGGCTGAATGAACGCTGCCTTGCTCGCTACCTCCCAGTCAACGCCATTACCATGTTGGTGCCGAGTATTATCTCAAACGCACTCATACTCAAATCCGCAATGTCAAAGAACAGAACGCCTGAAGGAGCCAACCTCATTGATGGAGACGTGGAACATACCAAGAGAGCGCTCAACGAAGTGGTGATATCTCTATCGTCACTAAACCAGGCCTATGTGGGTGCAGATGTGGTAATATCATTTGTAGATGCTTTTCTCAGCTCTTTGAAACTGAAGGTGGTTCTATCGCCAAACGACAATATCCTTCCACAAACAACGGGCCACCAGAGGTTGCAAGTCATATCAATGGATAATTCATCCGAAATGAGTCACACTGCCCAGGCTCTGCTTCCAGCAGCAACTTCACAATCAGCATCGCGCCCAACCAGCAAGCCTGAGCAGCCTGAGCGATCACCAGATACGGCTCTACGACGCGACTCTACGAATGCGGATATGAACTCCTACCGGGGAATCAACATGTCTGAAGAATGGGCTACCTCAAGCACGGGTCTTCATGGGCTGTCCAGCGATTCAGGTCAAGATTCTTGGTTCGGTATGTCGGACCTCTCAGCATTTCATGGAGAAACGCCAGGTCATGACCTTATTGCCGACGGCATGAGTGGTGTCTTCGATTGGAGCAATTTCAATTTCGATTGGCCCATCTAACATCGCGTTGAATGGTCATCCGGTTATCTTGTCTTGTCAACTCAGAGCATTCAGTGTAATGACTCTTAAAGCTTCTCCTTGATACGTGTGTCCTTGATTTTCCTCTCAGCCTCTTCTTTCAAGACTCTCTTCAGCAATTTCCCACTCGCATTTCTCGGTAGAATATCGACAAATACCACACCTCCTGTCAATTCCTTGTACTTTGCAAGACGCTGGCTGCACCAAGTTTTCATCTCTGTCCCGGTCACCGCACTGGCATTGGTCGCAGGACGAAGTACGATGTAAGCACGCGGATGCTCACCATCGGGCGAGTCTTCCAACTTCACACCAATTACAGCCACGTCGACAACAGCCGGATGTTGCAAGATCACCGCCTCAAGCTCGGCCGGTGACACTTGAAAGCCGCGAACCTTGATCAGCTCTTTCTTCCGGTCTACCATGTACCATTTTGCATCCGCGAGAGAGCCGCCGTCATTGGTAACGCAGGTGACGATATCACCGGTACGAAAATAGCCTTCCGAATCAAACGATGCACTATTTGCAGCGGGATTCTCGTAGTATCCTGAGATGATTGTTGGGCCACGGATCAGGAGCTCTCCCCTTGCACCAGGAGCAGTGACGTCGTTGTCGCGTTCGTCTACTATTCTATGTTGAAAGTTAGCAATTCTGGCTCATTGAGACGCAGGTAAGGAGAAAGCCAGTCAAGAGGACATAAAGAAAATCAAGGCAACACACTTGACATCCAGATTCGATATAAAACGCCCTATGCTACCTGTTTCGTCGTTCTCGGGGTACCAGAACCGCGACGCCACGCATGTCGTCTCAGTCATCCCCCAAACTTGGTTGAAGCTCGCATCTGGGGCTAAGAGCTCTTCGAAGCGCCGCTGATGGACCTTGTTTAGTGACGCCGCACCGCACTGTGTATTCTTCACGGATCTCAAGTTGTCACTCTTGGCTGCTGGCGACGCCAGAATCATCAACACGATCGGCGGGACCACCGGGAGCTCTGTGATTTGAAATGTCTGGATCGCGGCGCAAAATGGCTCAAGTTCGAAACGACGCAACACATATGTTTTGTCCCCTGACTTCAGTGGTGTCGTATGACCTACGGGGACAACGGCGGCGTGGAACATGGGAAGGTATATGAGGCGGGAAATCTGTCATCGAGAGTCAGTATTTCTTCTGCTGCACAGTACCTCAACATGCCTGCACAGAGTGCATTCTTTCCAGAGGTAAAATACCATACCATGTATGGCGGCTTTTCAGGCTCGATGGCCAAGGTATGTTGAGCCACCAGGTTGTGGTGAGAGTATACTGCCGCCTTGGGAAGTCCTGTGGTTCCCGAGCTGAAGATGAACGCCGCCGGGGTGCTAGTCGACATGGTCTTGTCGTTGAACCTGACCCAATCTCTTTCGCCATATTCAGTGAGATGCAACCAAGATTCGAACCCAGTCGGGACTTTTTGTCCTCCGCGGACGTTGAAGATCCATATTCTTGACTGTGGAATATGACAATCTCTCGCCGCCTGCTGGATGTTTGGAAGCAGCTCTGGCTCCGTCACAATGAATCGGACGTGTGCTGTCTCGATGTGATGTGTCAATTCGAACGGCGTGTATGAAGGATTCGTGCCGGTGAAGATTCCTCCTGCTGCGACTATGCCTAGAAAGAGGAGCGAGTAATAGATCTTAGAGCATGTTTGTCAGACCAGGGCAGCAAGTCAGTAGTTCTGTCAAGTGCTTACGTCGTTGAACGAAGAAACGCAGACGCAATCTCCGTTTTTCAAGCCAGCAGCTTTTAATCCGGCAACCAACTTTCGAACGAACACCTTTGCCTGGCTGAATGATATGGAACGTGATGGGTCAGCAGCGTCAATGTAGACCTAAGGAATACACTGTCAGTGTCCATTGCTTCAAGAGAAGATGGTCGATACTCTTATATCGGTCAATAGACCAAGATGGTGTATGAACTTACAGGTTTGTCCTTGTCGTATTGAGGATCGTCAAAGATCCATGACAAAAGATCCTTGTTGGAGATTGGGAGATGTTTCTTAGCAAGGAGAGGCATGGTTGGGGGTTTGATGCAAATGACTGAGAAAAAACCCAAGCGTAACAAGTGTAACAAGAAATGTTCTTTTGAAGGAAAAATGTCGAATATCTGTTCAGGGTGTCAACTATTCTCGTACAGAACGAACAAGCGAACTGTTCATGACCTTGACATCCGTCTCACGTTTTCCCGAGGTCAAGGAATTTATCTTCTGGGTTGACCAACTTTGGAGAGTACCTGGGAGGTCAGTTTGTCCTAGATCATGCAGCATGAGTAGGTATGGTTTGTATACCCGTTTGCCGGGTACTTGTTCAGTCCGAGGCGAATAGGTTCATGACGGCCAATTCCGGTCAGAAACAGGTTCTGGTAATGTTGGGCTTATAATTTGTACAGTATAGCCGAATGCAGAGCTATTACCTGTCAAATATACTGACAGACTGAGTAAGATCCGGGGTCAATGGCATTATACCACTTAGATGGAACCCTGCCAGGGTACTCGCCGAGAAAAAAGACTTGTGTATGGTATAACCGGTTTCGTTACTCCGAGGCATACATGCAGGATTCTAGATTAGGTATCCTCTACACAAATGTCGGCCCACAAAAAGCACTCGTATCGATGATGGTGTGCGTGTGAGTGTCCGTGTGTGTGAAAGAGAGAGAGAGAGAGAGAGACGAATCCAAGGGTTGTCCCTGGAAATTTCGTTTATAAAATCAGGGGTATGCTCCATGCGAAATCATGGATGATTTTCACTTTGATGGTCCCAAATTTCGGTTTGCAGAGAGACAAGAAACCGAAAAAAGAACCATGAGTAACGACGAATTCATACATCATCTTCCTGATCAGTCTGAACGTGTACAAGGATACAATATGGGATCTCATCACAACGATGAGGATCATCATCACCACTCCGAGAATGGAAAAAACCGGGAAACAACCCCGATAGACAATACCGACCCTGCAAAGGCCCAGTCTTCCCATATTGAGATCGAGGCAAAAGCGGGCAGTCAAAACAACAACGACAACGCCGAATGCGACAGTCGTGTTGAATGGACCACTCACCAAATCCTGGCAACGATATGTCTTTCCTTTCTTTATTGTGGTCTGTAGACCCCCCTCCGGTTTTCCAGTATCTCTGTCTTTTTTGCTGACGCAGAATCAATTTTCTACACAACAAATAGGCTCTCAATTACCGTTGTACTTCGTCTCGGCGAGTCTTTCATGGATAGTCGAGCAGGTCGGCGACAAGGATATCGAGTCGTGGCTACCACAATCGTACGCTCTGGCTTTCGCCTCTTTGGCTCCCTTCAGCGGATACCTTCAGGACGTCTTCGGCCGACGGTACATCTCCCTCACTGGTGGAGTGGTGCTCTGCGTCGGCCTGATCCTCATCGGCACCACCCGGACAATGGCGCAGGGTATCGTCGGGTGCACCGTTTCAGGAGTCGGTGCCGCCATTGGCGAATTGACCGCTCTGGCCGGCACGTCTGAACTCGTACCCGTGCGGAAACGAGGCTGGTACCTCGGGCTGGTCACAGGGTGTATCCTCCCCTTTTCGCCGTACGCAATCTACACCACCGAGCTGAGCATGCATTCGACTTGGCGGTGGGGGATCTGGATATCTTTGTAAGGCCCCCCCCCCCCCCCCCCCCCCTGGTGTTCCCTTTTTTGTCCATTGCTATTGAACAGACTACTTACATGAATGATACCACTGCCCGCAGAATCTGGAACGCGATGGCAACAGTTGGCATTGCCGTCTTCTACTTCCCCCAATCTCAAGTCCGAAGTCAGAAGAAAACGATCCGTGAAATATTGCCCAAGGTAGATTTCATCGGGGCATTGCTTTCAATTGGTGGGCTCACACTATTGTATGTTTTCCGTATGGCACATTTTTCTTCTGAGTATTAAAACCCTGACCATACAATAGCTTGATAGGCACGACTGCAGGTGGATACACGGCTCCCTGGACGAGTGCGAAAGTGCTCTGTCCGTTGGTTATCGGAATTTTCATGATGGTCGCCTTTGGAGCATGGGAGTGGAAAGGTGCCCGGTTTCCAATGGTGCCTGGCGAGTTGTTTGCCCGCCACCGCATTGTCGCCATGAGTTTCCTGGTTGCATTTGTGGCCGGCATGTACTTCTACGCAATCCTCAACTTCTTCCCGATCGTCTACCTGGACGTGTACAGACCCGATCCGATCCAATCTGGAGTCAAAGGAGTCATTGTTGCCATCGGGGTAACGGCCGGAGCAGTGATACCTAACATGTTGTTGTCCGTCTGGAGGGATCACAATCGATGGATCCTCTTTGCCGCGGCCATTCTCACAACCACCTTCGGTACGGCCCTTGTGACCAGCACACCCGAGAACCCAGTCCAGACGGTCGCACTGGGCACCGTTGCTGGCTTTGGAATTGGTGGAGTGGTTGCAATGGCTGTGACGACAGCGGTGGTCGGCTCACCAGACGATCTCATTGCGACATGTGTCGCCCTCTCCCTGTCCATTCGAACGGTCGGCGGCTCTGTTGGCACCGCCATCTACTCCAACATCTTTGGCACCAAGTTGAAACTCAACCTACCAAAGTACGTGGCCACATACGCGGTCGAGGCGGGGCTTCCTCTTTCTTCCGTCAAGACGTTTGTCGAGCTTTTCTTGGTGGCGCCTCAGAACTTGACCTTACCTGCTGCTCCTACTGAAGTTCCCGGCCTGAATGCTGCGGTGATCCACGGGGCCACAATAGGCGCGCGTTGGGCATACGCTGAAAGCCTGAAGTATGTCTGGTATGCGGCATTGCCGTTTGGGATCTTGTCATGTATAGCATGTCTGCTCATCGGGAATTCTTCGACGCTGATGACAAACCGTGTCGCTGCAAACATCCGTCGTTGAGGGGAAAATAAATTCGAAGCTAGGGGTCTAGCCGCCTTGGAAGTATCCAGGTTGTTGCTATTATTCTAGCGAGTCTCGTTACATTAGTAGTTCAGTCTCTTGATTGTTGGTAACCCTTGTCGATTGCTATCAATCGAGATCAAAAATCGTGGCACACATTGAGGAGGAAACATTAGTCAGCAGAGTAGCATCACGTGCTGGGAGTATCGTGCAGATCATTGCCTTCTATAAGCTAGAACTTCGGTAAAATGTAGAAAAAGTTGAGCCTGCACTCTGTGGTGGTAGAATTGTCGACAGCCCAGTTTCTACGTTGTATGGACCGAACAATCTTTTACCGTTTCAGGTGAGATTTGTAAACAACACTCTGAGTATGGCTTCAACTCCCGCCTTGTCTGGCAATGCCCAAGTGCGCGCCAGACTTACAACCCGAGACACGGATCTCGTACTTCAAGAGCCTGCACCCATTCTGATTCCTACATCCTTCCGTCGCATCCAGCTCTCTACACTGGTCAACAACCTCGTCCAGACCGAAAAGACGATACCCCTAGATTTCATCATCAATGGAACCTACCTCCGTACCACGCTCGAGGAGTATCTCACCAATAACGGCATTTCTACCGAGACCACACTGAACATTGAGTACGTGCGAGCGCGCATCCCACCTCGATACGCCGCTTCCTTCGAACACGATGACTGGGTCAGCGACATAGACGTCCTGTCCGGAAACAACCCCAGGATATTGTCTGCCAGTTACGATGGGCTGTTGAGAGTTTGGAACACGTCTTCACAAGTGCTCGCGACGTCTCCGGCAATGTCGCAGAGCGACGGGCAAACGTTCATCAAGTCGGCCAAATTCGTTTCACCAAAGCAAATCGCCTCAGGAGGGTTTGACCGAGCGTTGAGACTATGGAAATATGAGGAGGAGCAAGATGGGTTTACTGCGCGCATTACACCACAACTAGAGCTTTACGGCCACAGAGGGTCAGTGGATTCTGTATGTTCGCACGCCGAGTCAGGGCGTGTCCTCTCTGGATCCTCGGATCATTCAGTCGGCATCTGGTCGACGCGGAAATCAGATGCGCCTGCTGCGCCGGAGGAGCTCGTCCCCAAGTCCAAGGGTAAGGATGGCAAGCGGAGAAAGTTGAACCCTGACATCTCCGTACCGCAGAGAGGTCCGGTGGCGCTGATGAAAGAGCATACTGGGCAAGTGTCTGGGGTTATCTTTGACCACAAAGATCACACAATTGGTTATTCGACCTCATGGGATCAAACGGTGCGGAGCTGGGATTTGGTAACGGCCTCTCTTGTGGATACGCGGACAACGTCGAGTGCACTGTTTTGCATAGAACATATGCCTTCACTGAGCCTGATTGCGGCAGGATCCGTCAGTCGGGTGATCAAGATGGTGGATCCACGTGCATCAGCGGCCACTGTTACTGCGATGACACTGAAAGGACACAAGAACTCAGTCGTGAGTCTTGCGCGAGATCCGACCAACGAGTACACAATTGTCAGCGGCAGTCATGACGGTACTTGCCGTGTCTGGGATGTTCGAAGTACAAGACAAGAGAAAGAAGGAAGTGTTGTATCGAGCTTATACACCCTGCCTCGAGCGAGCCAAAAGGGCAGTACGGTTTCAGGCGTTGCTGAGGGAGCCAAGGTCTTTGCAGTCTGCTGGGACAAGGATGTGGGCATACTCAGTGCCGGCGAGGATAAAGTGGTCCAGATCAATCGCAGCGATGAGCAGACCTGAGAATCGTGCAAGGTATCGTTACAACAGCCTTTATCAACATTTAACCTCATCAGGACTGCGTGTTGGTCAAGATTGACCAATGTTCATGCTTATTGCGGATTCTTCACAATCGGGACAAGCCATTGGCAACACAACATTGCCATGTTTGGCAGCAACTGATAATTTGAGTGGTTGTCATGTCCAATCACACCGGAACCAGCCCTGCCAAAGAACATGTGATCGTCCCAGTGGTCATTTGCATGTACCACCGGTTTGACGTTGCTGTGCTCCCGCAGTGCATTTACGTACAATAGTCGTCGCAGGTGGAATCGGTTTGGGTTGGGGTTGGAACAAGCGACAACACGTGCAGCAGGGACAGATGACACTAATCTTGAGGATCTCGGGGAGTACAGGATGAATTAAGAAGCGAAAATAGTAGGGTTCAAGGTGGCACTGCCAGTCAGGGGGGAAATACAGAGTTCCTTGCACGGTACGGAGTACCGAATTCAGTAACCAAAAATACCAGGACAGGTGACTTTGTAAACACGGAGATGAAGATGGATACTAGTATACACCCTGGTCCCTGGGAAGGGTATGGGGACGGCGCAATAGTCTAGGTAAAAAGCCCCTTGTGTAATCCCCGGTTGAAAACAATAGTTTCCAAAGTACGGAATATTGTTGCTTGGTGGCGGCAAGGGCCGTAATGAGCGGGACGAGGCAGAGAATTTGTTGTTGACTTGTTGTTAAGTTAGGTACTGTACCTGACTCAAATATGAAGTACTGTAGCCATAGGTGGCAGAGAGACACATTCATCAAGAGAAGAGGCGGTATATGGAAATGCTTGTTTCTATTGCATTTACTTTGTACATACGCAGTCGTGAAGAACAACACGACCAAGGAGTAATTCGTAGCTGATTCAGGGATGGAGTAGTCACATCAAAGTTCTCCATGACGATTCTCGGATGTGACGCCAGGATGAAATATGTTTTGTTTTTGATTCCCTCGAGGACGAAATAAAAATATGGATGCGGAGGCTGCACAGCCTCCTGACGCATACTGTTGTTACCAAGTACCTTTATCGTACTCTGTTGATTCAGCAGTGCCTGTGGACAGTAATACGGAGTAGATCGATTCAACGACCGACACGGAGCCACTGTGAGGATCTAGCTAATCGTTACGGAAGTCTTGAATGAGCCTAATGATTTAAAGGGATGATCCCGAGTCGCGGTGGCTGATCTTGCTGGCCCGATTGGGGCTCAAGTGCCTCCTGGGGGCCACCGGATGGGCGTGTTTACCCTTGGGATCCCCTTGGGTTCGCCCAGGTTTCTCATGACTCGCCCAACACACGCCTAGAGGTGCCAAAACATTGAGGGCCAGTAAGCTCGAAGGCACTGCTATAGCCTTATTCCCCGGCGTGTCTTGGTTAAAAGTCTCCCCTTTACACCACTACATGACGCTAATGCACATGTCAACCACAAATCTTGCTCCCCAATAATCCCTTTCGCCAGCTGATGCCCTGCGTCTCCTCCGTCCATTTGCAGCGGTTGCCTGAGTGTCTTTTCCCTTCCCACTCTCACCTCGGATCATATTGCATGCATTTCTCACGAATAACAGCCTGCCATCTTTTTTTCTCTGCCTGCTTTTCATCATTCTCCTTGACTTCAAACTGATTGTTGCCACTTACACTCGCTACATATTTTGTCCTTTAAAACCAGTTCCGTTATATTGCATTACGACACCATCCCCTCTCACCTACTCACGAACGCCCCTCGATTCACCACAGACAGTACCATTCAACGTCACGACCACGGACAAATTCCCTCGCTGTACTCGTCCGGAGTCGACCAAAATAACCTGCGATCGCTCGCTGACATAACAACGCTTGGTCCAGCCAGCACGGCTATCAACACTGTTGGACCGCGTTCAGATCCGTGGCCCGTGTGTTCAACATTGCTATTCTCGTCGTCGACGCCAAAACCTCTCGCGACGTGTAAGGACCATGCCATGTACCTCGAATCATGGGATTTCTGCTGACCACATTCTCATGCAGCTTCCCGTTCGCGAGCCGAATTCTTCCCATGATCTTGCCTTAGACCCAACATTGCATAATCCAGGGCAACAATTCCTCCCTGCTCCGTTAACACCCCCCTCTGGACAATCGACCACTCCTTTAGCCTGCCCGGTCGTGTACCTCGCGACCGGTCGAAACTACCTCCATGCCAATCAAATTGCCCAAGGGTTTCCAAAGAAGAAAATCCTCAGGAAATGCTTTGGACGAGATAGAACACCCCTCCGCATCTGGCTCTGGGTCGTCCTTCAGAGTCCTGGAGAGGCCAGCGAGCAAGGGCAAGTCCTTCGATGGAGGCGTCTCCTTGAAAAAGGGCGGGTCACCCGTCCCCAGACCCCCTCCGAAAGATGGATCTGGCTACGAGGAGGACGATGGGTTTGCAACTGGTCATCTGGACGTGGGCAATCGGTAAGTGGGAAACCGCTAGTTTTCTACAGAGATGGATCGAACTGACAACGTACAGTGGTAGTGCCGGTACCCACGGTTCTCATTCGACCACCCACCTCGACAGTGCTGCCTCCTCTGCCCGTCTGAGCACCTCTTCGACGAACCCATCCTCCATCGACACCCCTTCGGATAAGAACGTACAAGTGCCAGGCTCGAAACCATACAATGACATTCCTGTCCCACCGCAGTCATCGGCTCGCCACGGTTTCCTGCGCAGTCCACCGAGAGCTCTTTCTTTCGGCGTTATCAAGGGCAGCCGCTCGTCGCCAGTTTCAACACCGGGCGATCTTCCTCTACCAGACAACAGCCGAAGTAGGGCGGTCACAACAAGTTCACAAAGCACTGCGACTCCACCCAGGCTGTTTGACTCTGACCTGGCATTGGAAAATTCCGAGTTGGATGGGTTCGGTAACATGTTTGACCATATTGGGTCTAGTCCTGCCTCAGGTCCGGTGAGACTTATCCAGCAAGAGGTATGTTCTGCAGATAAACATTCCCCGTCCCTTGTTAACTAGTAATAGGAGCCAACTTCCTTACCCACAGCCTATCCTCCCACGAGTTTTCCCAGTGCAAACATGGACCGCCCCAAGAGAGCTCCAGCACCTCGGCCCATCCAGATCGATCGTACACAAGTTATTGACTCCTCGCCTTACTCATGGACGTCAAATAATTCTCGCGATGGCCTCATTCGCTCCCCAAGTCCTTCGAAGACAATCACCCAGGGCAGTCCTGTCCAGTCGAGAGAAAGAGTAGTGCAAAGTCCTCAAAAGCAACTTTCACATAGTAAAATGCCGTCCAGGAGACCTGTGGGCCCCAGAGCCCCATCTCAAGATCACAGCATCCAATCTCCACCGCCACTGTTGCAAGCAAAGTCGACAGACAGCAATAGCAATCTACTTTCAACGAGTCCGACCACGTCACCAGATAAAACAGGGGGAGGATTGTCTCCAAGCTCGACGCACAGTGCAACCTTTGATCCCACCATTGCTGCCGATGCTCAGCTTGCCCATATGTACCAGGAGACTCCGGTAGCACCTCCCAAACCGGTTTCTACGAACAAAGTCATGACTCCTGCTCAGTGGGAACGATACAAGCAACAGAAGGAGATGGACCGTCGGCTTGGGGCTTTGTCGGACGACAGCAGTTCAGAAGGTGAAGATGATGAAGATGAGGACGAGGTGGAACGTGACCGTCAGGTTGCCAAACAACGACGAAAGCAAGAGGCGCATCTAGCTGTCTACCGCCAACAAATGATGAAGGTTACTGGTGAGAATTCACAGTCTCGTCCGGAAAGTAGCCTCAGTGTTTTACGGCCTGGCTCAACTGATATCAACCATCGACTTTCAAGCATGACCCTGGACCCGAAGGTAACTGGATCTGGCATTGGAGAAGATGAGGATGAGGACGAGGATGTTCCGCTTGGTATTTTGGCGGCGCATGGCTTTCCCAATAAGAACCGGCCACCTACACGACTAGCAACTTCCCCCTCAAACTCGAACATGCGAATTGTCGGCCAAAGTCCAACAGCGCCCAGCGTTGTAAGTCAGACACCCAAACCTGGAGGCAATCTTCCGGTCTTTGCGCGACACCTCCCACAGGATCCGTACTACGGCGCGAGTCTCGTCAATCAATCGAATCGTGAATCTCTTTCCATCCACGCTGCTAGTCCACCTCCACAAGGGGCTGGACCATCTACAAGCCATCCCATCCATCCTGCAGGACTCGTAGGTGTCATAGCAGGCGAAGAACGAGCTCGCGCTGCTAGGCGAGGCAGTCCAAATCCTTCTGGGAACTACGAAATGCCTGGCATGCCCATAAACCCGGGAATGGTCAGGTCGCAGACTGCGGGCGCCATGCCGATGAATTATCCTCCAATGGGTATGCCCGGGATGCCTCCCATGCTAACTCCGGGCGACCAGGCTCAAATGCAAATGTCACAGCAGATGAACCAGATGATGCAAATGCAAATGCAGTGGATGCAGCAAATGCAGCAGATGATGGGCGGTCAGTTCAATCCGAACCAGTTCATGCCGTCTCAGGCTGGCCCGCCACGGCCACAGTCAGCCCACATGCAAACTCGACCCGGTTCTGAAGGGGTCCAGAGGACGATGAGTAATCTTGACCCTAGCATGGCTCCGTGGAGCCTCAATCAACAGTATCTACCTTCGATTAATGTCACCGGCAACTATGCACCTTCAATGGCGCCGTCCGAGCGAAGCAATATAGGACTGGCCTCTAGGTACCGTCCGGTCTCCATTGCCCCGGATAGCGACGCTGCTTCCACCAGACGGGCTTCAACATTCACATCTTCCACTTTCCAACCTTGGAATCAGAACAGCAGCACGCCTCGCGCGTCTACCCATGCCGCCAAACCGTCAATCAATACATTGGGTCGAAAATCACCCTTGGCACTTCAAGATGACGAAGATGATGAGCAAGGTTGGGCAGAGATGAAGAAGAAAAAAGACAAAAAGCAGAAAAGCTGGGCCCTTCGTAAGGGCAACAATGCTTTACAAGAGTTGTATAATAGCGCGGCATAGTGTGCTCCTTCGCATCACGACCATACACCACCATTCTGGGATATACCGGAGATGGCCATTCTCATGATCAGCGATTTTCAAGTAGATAATGAGCGGCATGTTTTTTTATTTTCGCTCTGAAAAACGGGTTGACCTGGAGGATAAGAGGAAAAGTGCTTTGTGTAATTGGTACAGGTGGAGGATTTATGGTGTTTTTCGCATATACAGGAAGATGAAGATGTTCTAGGATCTACATAATACATACTCGGCATTGGGCCATATTGTAACTACCTAGGTACAGAACGATATACTCTGTATAGGTGCCTCAACTAGTGTGACACCTCAACTCAAGATGTATTTACTGTACAGAATTGAAATGTCCAAAATCCGATGCCAAGGCTTGCCTCTTTTTTATCCTTCGTATCCGTTACGAGGGCGGAATGTGGCTGATGCATCGCCACCGCATTCTAGCCTGGATCCAGATATTGACCACAGGATCTGATACCTTGAACCAGATCCAACATTCTCTTACTCCATACGGGCTGCGACTGCTACGACTCTGCCGGCCGTGTGACATTGCCAAAGTCTGGTTCAACCGACGAGTGAACCCTTCTCTCGACGCTCATTGGGGAATCATCGCCAGGACGTTCATTACCGCTTACCGACACCTCGTTCGTACAGTCTTTCCTTTGAAGAGCGGCTGATTGTGTGAGCTTCAATTACGAGGCAGGGCAACACGCATGTTTGGATGCTGAGATAGAGGAATTAGACCCTAGAAAAGTAAGTCAAATCCTTCTACGACATTCCTTTGTCTGCTTGGAACAAACAACCGACCGTCTTCAGTTCATCCAGAGTTTGTTCGCTTGTTCCGTTGCAAACGAGAATCGATCTGCTAAGAGAGCGCTCTAGCCTGTCCACATCTTCATCTGATGAGACTCAATCTCTTGGTGTCTTCAATCATCATTGCTTGTCTGGCAACTGCGCTAGCCTGGACAAATATCACATTCTTGGTGGCCTTTCTTGCTGGGCACTCGACTGATTTGGACTGCCTTCTAGAGTTGCGAGCGATCAAGCAAATTCAAGACTATTTTGCTCATTTCGTCGTCCGCACGAATATGGTATCAATTAGAGCCAAACCCCGGTTTCGGCAACTTCAGAAGATCGAGCCCGACTACTGTCCGGGCACGATCACTCAGTATGAATCTGACCGAACTGGCATGCGCGTGGTCGTGGTGGACCAAGAAGGACCGAAACTGCATGGATTCTTTGTCTTAGCCACCGAGATCCACGACGATTCAGGCGCGCCTCATACATTGGAGCATCTCTGTTTCATGGGCTCCAAGAGCTTCAAGTACAAGGGCTTCCTGGACAAGCTGGCCACTCGAGCGTACTCGGGCACCAACGCGTGGACGGCGACAGATCATACTGCTTACACTTTGGAAACGGCAGGCTGGGCCGGGTTTGCCCAAATTCTCCCAGTGTACCTTGAACACGTCATTCTTCCTACACTGACCGATGCCGGGTGCACCACCGAAGTCCACCACATCGACGGTAAGGGTAACGATGCTGGCGTGGTATACTCTGAAATGCAGGGGGTGCAGAACACAGCTTCGGAACTGATTGAGCTGCAGTCAAAGAGGATCGTGTACCCTGAAGGCGTTGGGTTTCGTTACGAGACCGGAGGCATGATGGAACAGCTCCGTGTTCTGACCGCTGAGCGTATCCGGCAGTTCCATCGCGACATGTATCAGCCGAGAAACCTTTGTTTGGCACTCTTTGGTGAAGTCAACCACCAGGAGCTTTTGACCATTTTGGACGAATTCGAGACGTCGATCATGGCCGACATCCCCAGCCCCGACGCGCCCTTCAAACGGCCCTGGATTGATTCCAAGCATGCACCTGCTCTGAATGAGTCGACCTTGGCCCATGTGGAATTCCCAGAAGAAGATGAGTCGTTTGGCGAAATCGATATCCGCTTCCTCGGACCTGACTGTTCGGACTTGGTGGCCACTTCGGCGCTGAATGTGGTTCTCTTGTACCTTGCTGGCTCATCTGCCGCGTTGCTTGACAACAGTATCGTAGAAAAAGAACAGTTGGCCAGCGGCGTGTATTTCCAGATTGACAGCCGACCTCGAACAGAAGTGGCCTTCTCTATGTCCGGTGTTGAGACGGGCCGGCTGGCGCAGGTGGAGAAACGGTTCTTTGAGGTTCTACAAGACGCAATGAAAGCGCCGTTGGACATGGCGTTCATGCAAGACTGCATCGACCGTCAAGTCAGGACGTACAAATTCAATGCGGAGGCATCGTCGACAGCATTTGCCGACTACATTATCTCCGACTACCTCTACGGAAAGCGTGACGGGTCGACTCTGGAAAACATCAAGTCGTTGGAACAGTATACAAAGACACTGACGTCTTGGAGCGAGCAGCAATGGAAGGATTTCATCAAGCAGTACATTTCTGATGCCCCGCATGTGTCTATCCTGGGTGTCCCTTCTGCGAGACTTTCTGAACAGCTAAAAACAGAAGAAGCCGCCCGCATCGAGGAACAGAAAGAACGACTGGGCGAAGAGGGTTTGAAGAAGATGCAGGAGAAACTCGATGCTGCAAAGGCGGAAAACGACCGCGAGATCCCGCGAGAACTCTTGGGACAATTCAAAGTTCCGTCGACGGAGTCGATACATTTCGTGACGACATTGGGTGCTCGCGCAGGGTTGGCTCTTAAGAATGGCAAGCCTCATAACAAGTACCAGAAGGTCATTGACTCCGATGCTACTGGCGTGCCATTGTTCCTGGATTTTGAGCATATTCCCACCAACTTTGCCAGGGTCAACCTCGTCATTTCCACTGAGAATCTTCCCAATGACCTTCGACCTCTCCTCTCGATCTTCATGGAATCTTTCTTCAATTTGCCGGTGAAGCGTGGCGACAAGATTGTCGATTTCGAACAGGTGGTCATTGAACTCGAGCGCGATACGGTCGGTTACAACATCGACTCGGCCGGCGGCCTGGGTAACAATGAAGGTATCCGTGTCAGTTTCCAGGTGGAGATTGAGCGGTACAAGGTGGCTATCAAATGGCTCAGTGAACTTCTGTACAACTCGATTTTTGACGTTGAACGACTCAAGGCGATCAACACCAGACTTTTAGCCGACGTTCCTGATGCGAAGCGGTCCGGAGACGATATGATGGTGGCCGTCCGACTAATGACACACCTTGCACCGAAATCGATTGGTCGCGCACGCAGTACTCTGGTCAAGGCGCTCTATCTGAAGCGTGTCAAACAATTACTCGCTGCCGACCCGAGCAAAGTAGTCAACCAGTTAGAACGGCTACGTGAACACATGTGCCGTTTCGAAAACTACCGCATACTAGTCATCACGGATTTGAACAAGGTGCAAGATCCAGTCAGCGCTTGGAAACCTTTCATGGAGGGCATGGACACTGAGAAGGAGCTTAACCCGATCGGAAAGAGGATAGAAAGACTAAGCGAGGCGGGCAAAAATCCGGGACAGCTTGCATACGTTGTGCCGATGCCTACGATCGATAGTTCGTTCGCATATGCGTGTGCGAGGGGTCCGACATCTTGGGACGACCCTGTCATGCCTGCCGTCATGGTCGCCATGGCGTACATGAACGCCGTGGAAGGGCCGTTGTGGGTGGCAGTCCGAGGCACGGGATTAGCATATGGCACGAGCATGGGCTACGATATCGACAGTGGATACGTCTATCTTGATGTGTACCGATCGCCAGATGCGTGGAGGGCGTTCGAGGCCAGTCGCGAGGTTGTGAGGGGCCACATGGACGGTGGGATCGAGTTTGACCCGCTCATGATGGAAGGTGCGATCAGTAGCATCGTCGTGGCGTTTGCAAACGAACAACAGACGTTGGCGAGTGCGGCGGCATCGAGCTTCATCCGCGCGGTGATGAAGGGGTTGCCGGAGGATCATATGGAGCGGTTGTTGAAGAAGGTCCGGGACGTGGGCGTCCCCGAGATCAAGGAGGCCTTGCAGAGCGTGGTGTGGAACATGTTTATGCCCGGCAAAGCCGACGTCTTTATCACGTGTGCCACAGGGTTGAAGGAGGTAAGTATTCTGGCTGTTGAGAACACGAGGAGCTTGAGCTGACTGATATGTGTGATACAGGCCATCTCGGACGGATTGAAGGAAGCCGGGTTCAATGCTGAGATTAGAGAATTGAACTACTTCCAGGACGATTACGGGCTGAAGCCAATCGACGGCGAGGAAGGGGATGATGACGATGACGACGATGATGAAGTCGAAGTGACGACGGATGGAGAGGGAGGGAGCGAGTCAGTTGATATTGAGGGGAGTGAAGGATATGAAATTATAGAGGACGGCGACGATGAATAGATGCAAGACAGATGGAACATGATGACAGAAGCCGTTGGCTCAGATAAAATAACTTGCGCAGGTAGACATTGTGCAGTATAAGTCTCTTCTAATGGTTCTGTCTGAGTGTCTCGTTCTCGTATATCCGAGTCGCTGGAACATTGTATGACATAAACACTGAGTGAGTCATTTCTTGGCGGCGAGAAATGCCACAATTTTTGCACTTGGACTTGAGACCCCGCGACACTCGACAATCTACATCGTTGCAATCACCATCACACTTCAATCAACCTTGTCGACGACTGTTACTACACCACTCAACAGGCTCCCAACCCTGTGGTCGCACATCGGCAACTCCAATAACCCATACCTTGCCTCTGAAAATACGAGCACAGACTTTTGAATCATCCACCGCAATCATGGCCACCAACGGCGATCTACCCTCGGATGATGAGTTTTCCCAGCCAGGAACCCCTCCTGGAGAAGAAAATGATGTCGACGAGATTGAAGAGACAAATCAGCCTCCCAAGTCCGCCCTGAAAAAGGGAACCTCCGCATCCATACCCGAACCTCAAGTCACTCGCCCTCCTCTCCCAGAACAACCCGACCCAAACACCCTTGACGTCTCAAAGTTGACCCCCCTCTCCCCTGAAATCATCGCAAGACAAGCGACGATCAATATTGGTACTATAGGCCATGTCGCTCACGGCAAATCCACCGTCGTCAAGGCCATCTCGGGAGTGCAGACGGTCAGATTCAAGAACGAACTGGAGAGAAACATTACAATCAAGCTTGGTTATGCCAACGCAAAGATCTACAAGTGCGACAACCCCGAATGTCCGCGGCCGACATGCTACAAGAGCTTCAAGTCCGAAAAGGAGGTCGATCCTCCTTGCGAAAGAGATGGATGCAGCGGCACATACAGACTCCTTCGTCACGTTTCGTTCGTCGATTGCCCCGGTCACGATATTCTCATGAGTACTATGCTTTCCGGTGCCGCGGTCATGGATGCCGCACTGCTTCTGATTGCCGGCAACGAAACCTGTCCCCAGCCGCAAACGTCCGAACATTTGGCAGCCATTGAGATTATGAAGCTCAGTCACATTATCATTCTCCAGAACAAAGTCGATCTCATGCGGGAGGAAGGCGCCCAGCAGCATTACGAGTCCATCCTCAAATTCATCAAGGGAACCGTCGCAGATGGATCTCCCATCATCCCCATCTCCGCCCAATTGAAATACAACATCGACGCCATCAACGAGTACTTGGTCACCAAGATTCCTGTTCCAGTACGAAACTTCCAGGCCGCACCACACATGATTGTCATCCGATCTTTCGATGTCAACAAGCCCGGTGCCGAAATTGAAGATTTAAAGGGTGGTGTTGCTGGCGGTTCCATCCTGACGGGTGTGCTCAAGCTCGGTGACGAAATCGAAATCCGACCTGGTATCATCACCAAGGACGCCATAGGCCAGACCGTCTGCCGACCCATCATGTCTCGCGTGGTGAGTCTGTTTGCCGAACACAACGATCTCAAATTCGCCGTGCCCGGTGGCCTGATCGGTGTCGGTACCCGTGTCGACCCGACCCTCTGCAGAGCCGATCGTCTCGTCGGACACGTTCTCGGTCTAAGAGGCAACCTACCTGAGATCTACATGGAACTTGAAGTCAACTACTTTTTGCTTCGAAGACTGCTGGGTGTCAAGACGGCCGACGGCAAGCAGGCCAAGGTCGCGAAACTGGCCAAGAACGAAGTCCTCATGGTGAACATTGGCAGCACGGCGACGGGTGCGAAGGTTATGGGCGTCAAGGCCGATGCCGCGAAGCTGACGCTCACAAACCCTGCTTGTACCGCGATCGGGGAGAAAATCGCCCTGAGTCGAAGAATCGAGAAGCACTGGCGTCTGATTGGGTGGGCGAACATTGTGGCCGGAAACACCATCGAGCCAGAAGTTTCCTAGAAGTGTGGCTATTCAGAAGCAGGAGGTCGGGGTTGTCATGTATGGAGAGCGGCGAGAATTTTTTACCAGGGCTCTCAGGTCGATGACGCCCGAAAAATCCACGCGAAGTCCCAGACGACCATGGAGCAGGGCAATGGCGAAGGAATGCGGGGTCGAGTCATGGAACGTCGGCCAAAGAAGGCATAGATGATTTTGAAAATTGAGCATACACCGGCAGTGCTGCTGCTGCTGCTGCTGCTGCTATGGCAGATGAGATGAACCGATTATGAGATCAAGCGGGATTTGTTGATGCGCTCGAGCCCTGCTGAAGTAAAAGACGAGAAACGACAAACGACAAATCCGAGACGGGAAAGGGACAGGGACACAAAGCTCAACCAACAAGGTGGTGCTGAACGTTTGAAAAGGCTACTTCGTGGTGATGGCAGTGGTGTTCGTGTCTACAGCCGCACGCGAGTCAAGAGACATGTGTACGCTACTAGCCGGTAACTCGAGAATTTGGGCACGGAATAGAGGCGTGCAGACTATTCTCTGTGTGGGATCATGGATACGGGGTCTTACATTGGGGTCCCAGATCGAGACACTGACTGCTCTTACAATGGTCGGCGCTTTAAGAATGAGATAGATGAATTGAAAAACATGGCCAAAAGGAAAAAGAAAAGAAACACACATCATTCACGATCGTTCCAAGACTTTCGATTCGATATCCCCGTATTCTCTTGTGTGTCTCTCACCATCATCGTCATCGTCATCGCCGTCGCCATCTTCGTCCTCAAAACTCGGACGACTGATGAACGGCCGCGACGTGTTGTACCATGTCGGCGTGCCTCTTGAAAGCCCGTTTACACGTCGCACACCGGTGCGACCTGCCCGGGGGGTCGCGATGAGCGTCGATGTGACTGATCAGGTGCTGGCGCGTGGGAACCGCGCGTCCTCGCCGTGGACGGCTGATCGTGGCGCCGGGGAATTCCGACGTGGGAGGAAGCCGTCGATGTCTGTCCTACAGAAGGTGGTCGTCGCCGTCGTCGTCGTCGTCGCTGCTCGCCCCATCGTCGTCAGAATCTGCGCTCTTGTCGCGAATGCTCGGATCAGGCCGACCGATCCCTTTCTGCGAAGAACTCCCGCCGGCCTGTGTCGACCTCTGCATGCCGCCCTGCGAGGTCGAGGCCTTCGGCTTCTGTGAGGCCGTCTTCCCGTCGTCGCCGTCGCCCTCACTGTCACTTTCGCCATCCGATTCGGAGCCAGACTCATCAGAGTCGGACGAAGGAAGCGCTGACTTGCCGAGCCCGGGCCTCGATGAGGCACGTGAGAGCGAGGTCGACGTCGCAGTGGAATGGACCGCTTGATCGGCCTTGCGAAGCGCAGCACGTAGGTCGGTAAGGCTCCTGGCCGAGTTGATGGTCGGTGCCGAGGCACGGACGGAAGTCAGAGGCGGGTTCGGCTTGGGAGTCACCTGGGTCCGGACGTTGGCTTTTGCGCGGGCAGCTGGCGTCTTTGAGACCACTGAGCCCTTCCTGGTAGACTGGACAGGCTTGGATGCTGTACTTGGTGCCGAGCCGACTGATCGCTGCTCGGAAGCAGTGGGATTTTTACCCGTCACAGATGATTTGACCGAAGAGTTCTTGACTGACGGCGTCTTTGGCGCAATCGACGTCTCCGATTGTTTCGCCCCCGAAAAGTTCAATACGGATGTTTCGCGATGCGGTGTTGCCGACTTTGCACTGGTGTTGGACGATTTCCCAGGCGTCTCTTTTTGCACTTGATGAGGTCTCTCCTTCTGGCTGGCAGCTGATTTACGTGATGCACGTTCTTCTTCCGTCATACCTTCGCGGCTTTTCATGATCCTGATTTCCTCTTCAGTCAGCCCGTAAGGCACGGATGGACTCTTCTTCTTCGGCTCGAAAGTTCCATTGGTACCTGACAGCGACTTTGAGTGATCCGAGACATTCGCCGCTTGCTCTTTAGAGGTGGTCGAGCCTGAGCCCCAGTGGAGCAATGGCTTTGCAGGTTCTTGGAGTTGTGTGGCGTTGACTTCGACGTTTCCGACTACTGCAGTGGGCTCCGCAGCATGATTGTCCCCATTAAGATGATCTCCCATAGTCCTACTTTCGACTTTAGCTTGCGGGTGTTTGCCAACGGGAGGATTTGTCTTTTTCGTTGCTGAACTGGTCGTTTGGCGAGCGGCTGCTTTCGGTTTCACAGTGGCCAAGGTTGTTGGCTCTGAACTCTGTTCCGACTCTTTGAGAGATTGCACAAGTTGCTCTGAAGGACTGTCAAGGCTCGGTGTTCCACTGCGCTCCCTCTTCCGAGCTTTTGGTTTTTTGGTCTTGGTAGGTAGTTTTGTAGCGACTTTGGTGGCCGGCCGCACAGCTTTTCCCGTTTTAATATCTCCTACAGCATCATGGCTACTGACTCTAGAGTTCTTTGACTTGGCTCTTCTAGCCGTCTGCTTCGTTTTCTTCTGGTGAGATTGGCCGGCCTCATTGCCCATCTCGTTGGCCATATCGGCCGTGTCGATTTTCGATGTGCTGTTCACCTTTATAGCTGATTCTGGATGCTCATTTGCCCTGTCTTGGGGTGTACTGACCTCCCGCTCTGGATGTGCATGCACGAGGCCTGAGGCCCTGTTTTCTTTATCGGCGTCCGGGTAATCTGTAGCAGAGGGATCAGGAACGGCAGGGTCCGCACTGATCGCTTCGTCCTCATAGATGGCATATTCTGCACCTTCAGGCCTGAGAGGATCCCCTTCATCGTGTCCAATTCCGAGAGCATTACGAGCTGGCATGCCGGTGTCTCCAAGCACAGACTCTATGTCGAGAACATCAAGCGCTTCTTGTGTACTCAAGCGACGTTCAAGGTCATCATAATTATCATTTGGGGTCCCTAACCGCTCGATATGTGATAAGCGGTCACTCGTCCTCGTCTGTCCAAGCTGGGCCTGTCTCGACCGTGGTGACATTTGAGAATCATCAATCTCCGATGCTGGAAAGTCGTAGATATTTCTTCTCTTGAATTTGCTGGCCGAAGTAGATCGTTGATCAGGTGTTACTGTCGCCGGTTGTATTCTTGAAGAGCTCGATCGTCTCGAGGGTACGTCAGTTGGGGGTGTGATCGGCGCTTGAGACTGTATCTGTGTTTGTCTGGTTGTCGCACCTGGCGAGATCTCTGTCATTATTTCCTGGAGTACGCCACCAACTCCTCCAACGCTGGAATCTCCTCTTCGTTCACTATGCGGAGCGAAGTCGCATGGCTGTTCCGGTAGCTCCTCTAGTTCGTCAAGAGTCGCAGCTGGAATATTCTGCATATGTCTGAACAGCTCTGGTGACTCGTGCTTCGGATCTGCCAACATCTCCTGATTCTGTGTAGCTTGTACCAGCTGCGGTGATTCATCTCGCTCAATCGATGACACCAAACTCTCCTCTCTGAGAGAACCCCGGACTTCGACCTGCCTTGGTCTCTTTGCTCCATTGGCCTTCGCAATGCTGTGATCGGCCGGCAGAGAGTGTTTGCCAAGGGACGAAGTGACTCCCGGAAATGTTGGCACAGGCGGTCGGGAAGGCTTTTGGAATTGTCTTTGGTATTGAGGATGGTCCAACTGGCTGCCTATCGCAACCGATCCTTCTCTTACCGCCCGGCCTTGTTCGAGTATCACCTTGATTGTGGCTCTTTGGTCAGCGCCATCTCTAGCAGCTTTCCCTTCATCAACAAGTAAGTCCGAAACGTAGAGTTGTGGGTCTAGATCGTAATCGTCTTCGTTTTCCCTAAGGTATTTGATGGTGGGTAAGTCGCTGAAGCTGTCAGTGACTCGGACAGACGGATCAACGAAACATGACTTACTGCTGGTAACAGCTTTTATAAGCTCGCTGTACTTCAAGGGCCAGTGTTCCAATCTGCCATCGCTCTGGTTCTCGGACTACGACAAGCAAGCGCTTCTCGCCTGCGATCGGTAAATGCGCCGGACGATCTGCATGGTTCAAGTATTGGTCCTCAGAGATGACTCTGACAGCCACGCGCAATTTCACCATGGTGACAGCGATGGCTAGTGAGAGCGCAGGCACAATGGCCGTTTGCGACGCGTGATTCGATTCGAGACACGGAGAGAAGTTTCATAAAGTTACAAAAGTCGCAGGGTGGAGGCCGAAACTGCGGAGAAAAAGGCAGACGAGGCTGATTTCGGGATCGTCAGCCTTGTGGAGGTCGATGCTCGACGATGACATAGACTATCCGCGTGCAAGAAGAGAAGAAGGTTGACAGTGTTGCAGAGAGTGGAAAAATATATACCTGAGCAATGAATGATGGTTGTGGAAGTTTACAAGGACATGACTCGAGATATCTTCATGTGAGCGCAGCGGCAAGATTCAAATGGACCTCACTTCTGGCTGACTGTCGCAGGTTCCGAGATACAAACGTGGTTCTTCTATGTACGGACTATTTATGACCTATCCTGTAAAACTTCCATCTTTGAAGCGTTTTCCTTTCTGCCTCCCCCTCTTCGGATCATCATTTATGACAAAAAAGCATCAAAGTCGTACATCAAACATCAAATCACATGCATGCCTCCGGGCCATTAGTCTGGATAGATAGATTCTGTACAAAGAGGAAAAAAAAGGACGCGGGGAAAACGACACGGGGGCTATAGTTTCCCAGTCGAAGCCCAGCGAATCTTCCTCGGGTTCATGATGCCATGGTGCATGCATCGAGGGCTGTCAATTAGATACCGCACCCATTGCGTCTGAGCCTCTCTCTCGTCAAATGAGGGCAAACATTCCAGACCCAAATCGCCCAGACATGCTCAAAAAAATGCACAAATTCTCGCTTGCTCACAATCAGAATCTCAGAACAAAATCAGATTACCGTCCCCGGGGGTATCATAATGGTCTCGTATAAAGCTTCAGGACGCCAACTGTGCACAGCGGATAACAAGAAATGAAAGCGGCGCAGGAAAAAAAGGCCATGCTCATGCTCGACAGTGCCGGGTTGTTTTGATCAACTCTGGATCGGCACGGGCTTGTCTTTCTGAAGAAGATGAGTCCAATTGAGAAAGTCGAATTTATCCTTTTCCTTGGCCGACTGTGGCATGTCGGGGTTGGGACTTCTGTTCGGTTCTCTTGGCTCCAGAATCAAAGACCTTCGATAATGCATCTGGAAGCTCTTGTCGCCAGCTGAACGAACTCTGACCAATTGATCTTGCATCCACGTCTGTAGCTCGGAAATCTCGGCAAATCTGTAAGGGACTTGGAATCGTTGGAGGTCGGAGATGATCTTGGCCGTGTTCATATGCTTGTCTAGGTTGATCACGGATATTCTGCCCTGATCAGTCGTCAATGGCCGCGTGTTTGTATATGCCGTATCGACCATGGTGAGATCGGTCAAGTAGACGCCTATGAAGGGCAGACATGGCGGAAGATGGGATTGGACGCGTTGACGCAAGGCGGAATAATTCTTGGCCACATCTACCACCTTACAGAGCTCGTCGAACATGGACCTCGTCTTTTGAGGCACCCCTTCCCAAGTTTTTCGCATTCGCTTGATGTTTGTCGAGTCCAGTGCACAGACGATAGCCATGAGTGTATCATAGTTGTGCAAGTCTAGACACTTGTTCGCGATCTTGACCCATTGCTTCACAATTGCTGCCCTCCTTTTGGGTTCTTCAAGTTGCAGAATTGAATCTGACACAAGGTTGGAAATGTCGGTCGAGAGTGTCGACATGGCCCTGACATTAACAGCGAGGGAACTGCTGCGCTTGGTCCATTCAGTCCCGAGCAGCTCCTCCGGCAAGATGGAGCAGAAAATTTTGGACGTTTTCAAAGTGATCTGACGGGCCAGCTCGAGCGGATCGAAGTCAAGGATGCTAACAGTCGCACCACCCATTTTCCACGTCTTCAATGCACTTAGTTGGCTTTTCGATAGGACAGGGGTTGGTAATGGTGTATTCGGGTCGACGTAGGTCGCGGAAGAAGTGCTTGTCTTCCCCATGGCCGAAACGACCCTCGGAACTATGGGCTTATTTGCAGACGAGACCTGCTCAGCCAATTCCAAAATCCTATTGCCGGCCATCGAAAGGACGGGCATCATGGACTCTCTGGCGAACCCGACGATGACGGGAAGAGCAGTATCATCACAGTCATGCCTCCAGTGAGACTCCATCCACCCCTTGAGTACATTATACACTCGGAGCCTGACTGGGTTGGCGATTCTTGGATTTACCGCAACATAATCGAACCGGAGCGCGAGAGCAGAGGCAAACTCTTCAGGCCGAGCAAAAATGCGAAAAGTCAGGTAAATTGTGCTAATGAAAGACACATCCGGGGTCGAGTCATGCGCGGTCAGGCGTTCCACCAGAGCATTCAGGGTTCCACCGACGACTACTCCCTCTCGATTAAAGATGATTTCCTGGGCAAATGTATGTGTCATGATCTCTGCCTCCACGTCGTCGTCGTCGTCGCCGAGTAACGAATGGTCGTCGGGTGTGGATTGCGCCGATAGAGAGTCCGTGAATGAGCCACCACCATATAGGGAGGCCACGCGCGTGGAAGCGCTTGATAAGTTGCTTGGATCTGAACGCCTATTGGTGGTGTCGAGACTGCTGTCACTGCCCTTACTTTCCACCATGGGTAGCATCACTGAAGTTCGGTTTCTCTTGTCGATCGGAGGCTGAGTGATCCCCGGAGCACGTCTATGAGCATTTGGATATAGAGACGCTGCTTCGGGGACTGGAGAAGATCGAATGATATCCACTATGACATCGTCTCTGGGCTGAGGAGCAGCAGCAGTCGTAAAGCTAGTCAGAGGGGCTTCGGACGTGTCTCGTGGCAACGGAGGAGTAATCATGCGTCTAGGGATCGGGATTTGTGCATTCTCTGTTACTCGCCGGGATGAGTCCTCGACAGTGGCGGGCTGTTGGACCGATGGCCTCAGAACAGCACTGGATCGGACTTCTTGGCTGGTGGACTCGAGTGTGCTGGAGCTGTCAGAACCTCTGCCAACGAGCTGTGCAATGTTCTCGACTTCAAAGTCCCCAATCTCCTCGAGCGTTGCTTTAGTCCGAGCTACACATCGGCCTGCAGCACTTACACATGCGGTCGCTGCTCGGACAAGATTTTGTGCCTCTTCGGGAAGATAGACTAGCTCATCGTCCATGGAATGAATTGGTTTGAAAACCTGTCTGGCGGCATGTACCAATTCGGTAATAGCATAATACATAGCGTCTTTGGCCTGGATCAAGGGCCGAGAGGTGCTGTAGTCTCGTTCGATAACCGTCTCGACAATGGCGAAGAGTTGACGACAGGAGCGAACTGCGTTTTGGGTGGTCATCAAAAGCTCAGAAGAAGACCTCGATTGCATATGGGAGCCCAGGAAGGACGCCAATACAGTAAGAAAATCATCATACGACTTGTGCAAGTACTGAGAGATGAGATTGGAATTTTTCTGATTAGTTCCCCGAGTGTAAGACATTCGGTGTGTTGTCGAAGACTGCCGACGAACTGGGGTGTTGTGTGCTACGGGCCCAGCACTGTTTCGCCTTGATGCCACATTCGAAGCGGTGGGTGTTGAATTCCGTAGCATGATTGTCGACTGAGGTCTTCTAGACCTGGGGGATGTCGGCGGCCCAGATGAGTCGACATGCGAGACCTCGGACCTGGTTGGACTCGACACTATGGCGGAAATTTGTTCAGTCCACACGTCGAAGAAGAACACGGCGCGTGTGACGATACGGAAAGCCTTTAATAACATGTCATCGAGTCTGATGTCGAGGTCTTTGTGCGAAGAGGAGACGGTGACCACCTGCTGCAATTGTTTGGCGGTACGAACGAGCAGCGCGAGATCTGAGAGAAGACTCTTGCGAGAGCGTCGGATAGCCTCATGTCGTCGAACAAGGGGGGCATCCCGCGTCAGGCAATCGGATCGTTCCAGCAGTGCGCGGACTCCGGCTACCAGACCTCGCATGTAATCCTGATTGCGGAACAGATTTAGATTGTAATCACTTCCACACCTAACAATATCCCAGAACTCGGTCAGTGCCTTCAGGAGCGGTCGCATGGAGGCATGGTCGTATGCCTCGCAGTAGTTGGTGGGCAGCCAGCCACGGGCGCCTGTCTCCAGCAGTGTCCCATCAGCCCAGCCATTGACATGCACCGAATGCACCAAGATGATGTCTCCGGCATTCAGCGGCAGTGTGACGGTGGTCGACGAGTGCGGAGAGGGCTGGAACGTGTAGAGAGCGCGGAGATAGTTGTGGAACCTGGCATGACTCAAGACCTGGTCGTCAATGGTCTCCGATGTCAAGGTCGCCGTAGGATTGGATTCGTTATATAACGCACTGGGTCCATCATCACTGCTGTTTCGGTGTATGCGCAGCGGCGCGATGAATATGTTGGAGGGTTGAGTTGGGCGCATCTTGCCGGAGGAATTCGTCACACATGTCGCTCAGCATCTGGCAGTCGATGCCTCGGACCCCGTCATTTCTTTTCCTATCCCACTGCCACGTAGTCGGAAAAAGAGGTCGATCAGAGTGTAGGGACTCGGTAGTCTTGCCCTGACTGCGCTTGAGGTCGTGAAGCCACACCGGGGCGCGGATGGTTCTCAAATGGCAAAAGTGGTGCTACAGCACAAAGTTGCAGGAATCCGGCGGGAGGGTGTCTGAGGGTGAGATAGCAACGTCTCGTGCAACGACAGATGTCAAACACTTCAAGGGGTCGAGGAGTCAAATTCGAGGCGAGGGGTGGCTGTGGAAGACGCAAGGATTAGGAGGGGGTTGTAGCTCGCGTCACAACACGTCGGCTAGAGATGACGGATCTGGGATGTTGTCAAGGTCTGGACTCGAGGATTTTTCATATATTTTCTCTTTTTCTGCGGACGGGCAGCAAGACAGGGAAGCTGAAAACATGTACGGATAATACGGTGTCGTTAAGGCAACGTTGAGACTGCAGGAGCGAAAGGCTCGCTCTCTCATGACCATGACATGGCGCAGGGGGGAACGGACGAATGCGGCTAAGATAAGGCTACGAGGGCTGAAGAAAACTCCGGAGGTCTACTGTACATTGGAGCATGGAGACTGTGATAATGATACAATCCTGCACGCAGTACCGAGTCCTCGACACAAGCATGCATCTACCTCTTTTTTTCCCTGTGTCCCTCTCCGTTGCAGCTTTTCGTTTTCGTTCGCTCTGTTCGTCGGGCTCCTATTGCAACCCCATCGACTTGGTAAAGCGAGACAATCAAGCCACAGAGAGCCTAAATCGTCGACTGGCATAATTAGTCCTGGTGCCAGGTTCCACAAGCGACACCAGTGCCAGGCCTCTGGCTCGACGGCGGCAGCGTTATCGATCACCGGGCACTCTCTACGGACTAAGAACAATGACTATTGTCTCGTTACGGGCAGCCCACAATATTATCGATGACTCTCTTGTCTGCTCAATTCTGCCAAGTACGGAGTACGACTTTCGTGGCTATACTCGGGTAATCCGCCTGAAGATCCCTTATCCCCAGAAGTGCAGCCTGCAGAGCCATCACACGCTGTGTCCTGAGTTGCTTCGTCTCGAAAATTATTGTTACTTTGGATCATGCCTAGAAGATTCGGCCTCCCACCTGTAAGGTACCTACCTAGGTAATGGCCTCACCCACGCGGCAAAGACGTTTTATAAGCGTCTTCCAATCCCTCCGGGCACTAAAATCGGGGTCCCAACCTAAGATAAGCCTGGAGATTTAAAGCTTCCCCCCGGATCTCGGATCTCAAAGCCCGACATATCTTGTATCCGACGGGAAGATTCGAATTCCAAGCAAAACCCAAGTGAATCATCATGGTTTCTAATGACTTGACTATCAACGCAAAACTACTGGGCTATCCCAACCTGTGCTAACGCATCTTGGGCCACCTATAATACTAGACAGTATTCACGGTCAGTCGAGCACGGCGGCTGCCAGTCCCCACCTCTTGAAATTGCCCGACATCTTCTTTAACTACTTCAAAGGCATGTATAGTACATCCATATCCCAGCGACACACCAGAACAAATCACAGCTCCGGGGCCAATCGTCACGCCTTCGGCGATGCGGACGGGCTCAGCGATCGATTGAGACTCACAGCCCTTCCGTTCGATCATGTCTGCCATCACAGTCGATGTGATGATGGTAACGCCACACCTGATGTAAGTTCTTGCGCCGATTTCAACCTCGGCAGCATCATCAATATTACAATTCTCTCCAATAAAGACGTCCTGGTGGATCTTCAGGTTGTAACCGTAGGTGCATTTGAAAGGGGCTTCAATGACAACACCATTTCCTAGCATTCCTGCCACTGGGATTGGTGAAGGGTTCCCATACGTTGTGTCCTTTTTAGGGTCAATTACCGTCATCAATAGGTTTCGAAGTACCTCTTTGCTGAATCTCGGATCGAGATCGTACGATGTGTTATATCGTTCCAAAGCACGTTTGCATCGAGCACGCTCATTCCACAGTGTTATATCGAGGTGCTGATACGGTGACGACCTTGTCATTTTCGAACGCTCCACGTCCTCCTTGCCGAAAAATTTGGTGGGAGCTCTTTGAGGTTCGGGTAGACTTTGCATTATTGTTGCTTCGGTTTCAGGTGGAGGACGGTTGGTCCCTATATCTTGCCGGGGAGGACGATGTGGATCCCAGTTTCGGACTGGACGCTCCTGTGGCTGTGAAGGATTGGGCTGTGTTGAATTCGGCTGTGGAGGATTGACCTGCGGAGGCATGGGCTGTGGAGGAATACCCTGTGAAGCGGGTGGCGGCGGGATCGCCACTTCTGGAGGCAGCGTGACAGGTTCGTGTCTTCCTTGTTGAAACTGGAAGGAGGCCATAGATGGAGGAGGAGGATATGTGTTCTGGTTGGTTGGCAATAGCATCTCTTGTGATGTTTGCGTAGAGATAGGGGGATTGTAATCCTGCTGACTGAGTTCAGGAAGTCGTGGGAGCTGTTCTTGGTGATGGGATGTAGACTGTCGTTGAGGAATCCAGGACGGCTGTGCATCATACCATGGTTGGGTCCTAGCTTCAGTCTGTAAATGGGCCACCGCTTGAATCTGAGACGTATGAGTAACAGTCCCAATCTCTGATCGAGGGATGTTGGCCGGAAGGCTAGACTCGGGGGTCGCCAGGTGGCTGTTGTCATCGCGTGTCATTGCGGCATTACCGCTTGTTCGATCGACTGGCAGGGGTTCACCAGTCATGGTCTGATCGGGTGCATTGCTGGGCCATTCTGATGGGTCATTGGGATATTTACCGTAACCCTTGCACCGGAATCCACCCCTTTTGCAGTTGCGGCCTGGTGATCCAGACAAGTCAGTACCTATCTAGTAAACCACTGTCAAGAGTGGGCATGGAAAGCTTGAACTCACAAATTGGTCGCTCCTCGCCACATTTCTTCTTTCGCTCACGGCACGTCCAGCAGCCGGTCTTCGTCCGATTGCTAAAGTTGCGTTTACGTTTCGGAACAGCAGATCCAGAAGCCCGGGGCTCATCCTCGCCATTGGGATCTAGGCCGTTTTCCGATGCACCATTGGCCTCGTGGCTCGTCGGAGCAGACCGGCCAGCCGCAGTCACAGGGATGTTTGCAACTTCAATTGTGTCCGTCTGGATGACGTGCACCATTGGAGAGTCAGGTCTGAAAACGGGAGAGTTGTTCTCGGGATCTTGCAATGGCAATCCTCTTTCAGACGATGGCGACATAGGCCCATTCTGATCGGGTTTAATTCCATGCCGACGATGTTCAGCCGTGTCGTGGTCAGAGCTATCAAGCTCTTGGAGTGCCTGAGTAGCTGTGGCGACATGGTTTTTGTACGGATGCAATTCGTCCACGACCTCGTCAGCGCTCGAGGCCTTGCGTTTATGATGACGGCTAGTGGGACTCATGGTATGCCAAGTGAGGGAGTCTGTAGCAGAAAATCTTTTGTTTGTGGAACGAGGTCTTCTCCGGAGTAGCGAGTGAGAACCCTTCAAGGGCACCAATATCTGCGATTGAACAAGCGTCAGAGGAGTTTCAGGAACTTAGCTTGCAGCACAGCAGATTGCAGCATCAGCTATTGAGTTCAAGGATGTCATACTTAGCATTAGCGGCTGCCGCCTTGACTTCACGCAACAAACAGCCGAAGAATGCTCTGGTTTTGTGACAACCACAGACTCAGACGCAGTGACTGTGCCGGTTTGTATGCCGCGAATGTGAGGATCGCCGGGCTAGTGGTCGTGTATCAGATAGACATTCAAGCTTCGGATCTCCCACAGACAGGTTACTGACAATGTTTGTACCCATGCACGCAATCATGAACTCAGTCAGGCGTCCCAGAATAGGGCTGTAGACTGTCAATTGCACGAAGTGCTCTCTATGTGTGACTGTGCTGCTTGAGTGATTGTCTCAATCAAAGAGACGAAGAGGGCTCGATTGGCGATGGACGTGAAAGCTGAGGGCATAGAGGTGACTTTTGTAGGAGTAAAAGGAGCGCAGCACCAATGCTGTCGATGAGGTCGATGGTGTAGACAGATAGATGTTATGCTACTTGCAGACCCCGTCTGTACGGTAGTAGTCGGCGCCTAAAAGACAGCCTCTAGCCGCGAGAAGCGCCGGCCTGCGGGTGATGGTCAGTGTCCTCGGACACTACGGTATCAGCCGTGTGACACACTGCTCGACAATAGACACCCTGTTTGGGAGAAACCAATTCGCGTTCAACCGAGTAGTCAAAAGGGTTATAGAAGCTGAGTAGTTACAGTACATGCAAGTATTTCTCAGACTGAACAAAAGAGAGAGTAGAGAGCGAGAGGAAAGGGCGGTATTGCTGATTGTAAAGGAAACACCAACAAGGGGCGGGGGATGCAAAGTAGTGTGTATCCTCGCTGGCCGGCGCTTGCAGAGGCGCTTGACGCCAGTGCCGCAGCAGTGTGGAGGCCTCGACATGCCAGTGGCGGAAGTAATAGTTTGGCGTTAATGGCGTCTTGTTTGGATCCATGCTCCGTCGACACAGCCTACGGGATTGTGGATGCTGTTGTTCTCCGCGATGGTGTCCGTAATGGAGAAGACTTCACCTCTACTCCCGTACTAAAGTAGTGAACGGACTGGTCCGAAGACATCAACAAGTGAACAGCATTCGCAATACTCGCTGAGGCAGCCGTGGAGAGTGAGCCCAAAAAGAATCGTGTTCTTAGAGACCTCAGATACCACGACTGACCGCTTCATACTGTCGAGGATCCTGAAAGGTCAACAAGGTACTCTACGCAGTACAAAACAAGCTCTAAATCAGAATCCGAGACATGACTAGGGTGGGCGTCCAGAGTGAAAGGCGTCTGTGCAGTAAAAGGGTAGAACGAGTAGTCAAAGAGGGGTCAAAGCTGACTCGAGCGGAAGGTGACAGTTGCGTCCTGCGTTTCTGCGCGCATGTGCTTGTGTGTCAGCATCATTGCGCGCCTAAAAGTTCATTCGGCCAACATGCTTTGCTAATTGGCCGCGGCTCTGGCGGAATGCCTTGCGCGCATCACCTCGCTTACAGCCAAGTCACCGGAAGCATCCCCGGTTGTAGGGGTGGTGTTGGAAACACTTGACGCGCCTAGGGCGCTTCCATTTCCCCCTAGACGCCAGCTGTGTGACTGCCGCCACCATGGAGACATGGTTTAGGTGCCTGAGACCTGCACCCAAATCGTCAGGAGGATGGAAACATTGTAGATAGAATGGTCCAGAATCCTCTCGTTTACCGGGAGTCATTCATGTGCCATTGGGCTCAGAGCCAGTCCAATTATCCCATGCCACACCAAATCCAACGCGTCCGTGGTTGTTAGCGTCGGCTACTGAATCATGTGCGCTGGAGTCAGTTTGTCTTTGCTCGTTCCTAGCTAGTTCCATCAGTACCCAGCAGGTTGGACGCCCGTGAGCACATTGGAAAGGAAAACGGCATTGGGAGAGCCTAGACACCAACTGGCTGCAATCCTCTAGAGTCAATGTATCATTGAACATGATGGCTGTACGGCAGGCTCGAGACTTGATCATCTCCACCATTAGTGGTGGACAGTGGGCAAACGCAGATATCCACATAGCGCCTGCATCTGGATTTTGCTCTGCTGAGTTGTCCAAAGCTAGTTTCCCGGATGAAAGATGACTAGACCATATACTGCTCCGCAAGAGCTCAATCACGAGCTTGCGGTCGGAAAGACAGCGTGTGACAATAACTGCCGGCAGAGCGCTAACTCGCAAATAGTGTGATGAACGTCCATTCATGCCTGAGGATGAAGACGTGTCGTGTCCTACCTGGACAACGTACTCGATGTGCCACTTCTCAAAGTAACTCTGTCGCTCCTCGAATAGTGCTGCTTCGGCTTCATCGACCTCATAGACTAGGGGTACACTCAAGCTGACAGGGGCGTTGCCGCAGGCCTCTTGGCATAAATGTTCATATTTGACGCGCTCGTCTGCTGCGTGTTGATCAATGAGGACGAGTAGATTTCCAGGTTGCTCACCAGAAGACGCGTCAAGTCCTGAAACCCTGGCAAGGACGAACTTGTGATCAACTTGAGCAACGACGACGGCTTTGGCAAGAGCCTCCTTTGTTAGTGTCGTATCACAAACGCCTCGAGCACCAGAAAACCCAGTTGCACCGGTATTAACGCTCATTTTACATAAGGCGGGCGTAGGGAGGCTGGCAATCGGAGCTTCTTTCGCTTTATGGCCAATGATTTCTTCGTATTTGTGGAGGTGCGTCCCAGCTTCTGGGTTAGCTAAGGTAGCGACTTTGGGATGCCGGAACTTCTGTCGGTGCACAAGTGTGCTACTGGGACCACACAAGGGCTCAGCGACACCGTCTAACTGGCCTAAGACGATCCCGGTGCTTGGATGGAGACGGGTCGGCTCGTCATCTCTAGGATTTTCCCAAAAGGCTGTGTTGGCAACATTGTTCTTTCTGGCTGAAGAGGCTGGTCTTTCAATTTCTGGGCTCTTGTCAATGTTGGTGGTTTGGGCCCGAGCGTTAGAATTTCCTAGCAGCTCAAACGAAGGTTTTGTATCCGAAGCGCACGTACTATCGTTGTTGGTGGATTCAGTAAAGCTGAATACGTTGCCAGGATCTCGGAACCCTGGGGTACGCCTGCACTTGATCCTACGCCAGTCGTTGAAGTGAAGGCCATTGAAACGAGTGTCTTTGTTTGAGTTTTCTGGGTTAGGACTTTGTGAAGAGTACTTCTTCGATGGTGATTGCGCCAAAGGATCAGAGGTCTTTACAGCATCCCCACGCTTCCCAATCGTAGTCGGGTTGAAACCATTCTTCTCCAAAAACTGGTGGATCAAAGTCTTTAGAAGGCTTGTGAGATTGGTCGTCTGCTCCAAAAGCTCTAGCATCCCGTGCCTTTGCATGATGTCCTTTTCCTGAGCTGCTTTTGGTTTGATGCAGATATGAAACATCGGCCAACGATCAACAGCTTTCACAGGCCTGGGCTGCATTGGACGTCGTCTATTGTGGCTGTGGTCATAACGGCATACCTCACCCTCAACGACACCAAAATCTGACTCCTCCACGCAATCGTTCACTGCTTTCAGTAACCAATTGCTTCCTTCCTGCCCGGAGATCGGGGAGTGCCCGATGGAAATGAACTGACAAGTCCTGGCGGGGGCAGCCTTGACGGAGATGGCGGCGCGAATTGTCCAGTCGCCTGAAGCAAGAGACAATAATCTCCAGGAGGAAGTGCTTGCGTCGGAAAGGAGCTTCGCCTGATAAAGTGTCGACACAACTTGCTTGAGAGAGGAGTGCACTGAAGCACATCGCTCGGTCTCTTTGTGAAAATAAAGCCAATCGCCGCATTTGAGCGTCATTCGCAAACGCTCTGCCCCTGGTCTTGCAAGAATGTATCCAACGGCCATCGATTTGATGCGATCAAAGGTTTTGTGTACCTCAGTCTGACTCAAAAAGCGAATGGACATATGTTTCGTACGCGCTGGTATATCTCCAAAGAGGTTGCGCACCTCTACACGTGTTCCTCGCCGTCCAATCTCTCCACCTCCTGGATCCATGCATAGCTGTCGGCAGAGCACTTGCCCACGATGCAGCGTCAGTCGGTTGGTGCCATTATCCTGGCAATGACGAGAAGTGATAGTCAAAAGAGAGAGGGATGATAGGTTCGACAGAAAGCGGCCATACGAGCCATAACACGGGCCCGAGGAAGTGGACTTTGAGGTGCCTAGTATCTTTGTCAGCCACTGGATCAAACCGGTTGAAGTCATTTCATACAGAAGGCTTGGGCAAGGTAGCCATCTTCCGTGAACTCCTCCTGCTGAATTCCCACTCCGTCGTCTCGAACAGAGATATAACTCTGGCTGATTTTTAGGTCGATGTCGATGCAGTCGGGGTTGGCATCTAGAGTGTTTCTCAAAAGCCCTTCAACGACATGTTCATATGAGGCCAAATCATGGGCTGCTGAGAGACTGCGGCGGACGTGTGGTGACAGGGGGATAATCGAAGGTGTTGGGGTCATCATGCACCGGGGCGCACGCGTGATTTGCGTGAATCATAGACGTCTTGGACAACATCTCTGTCACGATGAAGAGACCAGAGCCGATGAAGCATGTCGATATGGAGAAGTAACAGCGATCTGACTCAGGTTCACACGTAGAGATCCTGGAAGATGTGCAAGCTGCGCATTATTCCTCCATCATTTATTTGCCTTGAGTAAATGTACGGATATGACTCCGGGATCACTTTGCGTCATGCGTGCGTCGGCCGAAACACGCCGATCATGCCAAGCTCAATTTCGCGCCTCGAGGAAGGTCAAGCGAGTGTTTTACATCAATTGACAAGTCTAGTGATTCCATTGTCAAAAGCGAGGACACCACCATACAAAAGTCAACACGAAACACTCTGGATCCAAGACTCTGACTGCTGTCCCATGATAAGCCGGCAATGCGTCCAGCGCTACTCATATTAAAGAGTGTACCCGACCGATCTCGTCGCAGAAAATATGGCCATCAATAAATCCCGAAAACTAGTTCGCTACTGTCTATCACGGCGACTTTCAGTCCAAGAATTTGGATCATTGTTGCAATTGTATCGAGATGAGCTGAATGGCAAGCTGTTGTTCAATGCGCTGGTCGACTGTCGGATCTCATTCTGCGCGCCAGGAGATCCCCTCCTCTCACTATATGTTGAACATCTCGGAATTACTGGAGTTGTCAACGTCGCAACTGCTCTTCTGATTGTCATCAACAAATGGAACAAATCCAGAGATCCACAGAACCTGCACGCTATGGAGTGTTACCGTCGAATATTACAGGACATTGTCATGGTGATATTGTCCCCAAAGTACAAAGCCTGCTTTGATGACATACAAGCCTCTCTCCAACTATCCTCGAGATGGCTAATATCTTTGGCTCCTCAAGTATCTCATGAATTGGATGAATATATGGCCACGGCGAAATCCCATGTTGTCGAAGCACTTGCATTTCTTGTCTCCTCCCTGGCCTCAACCGCCGCTGGCTGCGAGGCTCTTTCCGTCACCCACACCCCAGATCGTGTGCCAAGGGAGGTATCATCTTCTGTAATTGCACTACGGAGCTCAGTCAGACAATCTCTGGATCTCGCCCAGTATTCCGCATTGTCAAGCCATCTTCTCAGTCGGATAAATGGCGTCCTCGATGTACTGAATCAGGATTCATCGCTGTCACGCGACTCCGCTGCTCAGTTGACGGATATCAGGACGATGCAGTTCGAAGCTCATGTCCCCGAAACTCACATGATAGCCTCAAGAGCGGCGACAATTCTTTATCTTACTGCTATGGTGCGTCACACTATAATGGTAAGAGTAACAATACTAATAAAATAGCTTTCATCAGGATCAACGATCGACGATGGCGCCCTGGTCAACTATCTCTGCACTCGTCATCAGGTATGCTACGCAACAACTGTGACTCATGAATGTAGCGAGCTTTGCTAATCATAGACAAGAATGACTATCAGGCCGTTTTCTCGGATGTCCTCGTTGTGTCGTTCCACATTTTGAGAGCACAATTCTCGAACACAGATACCACACTTTGTTATCAACAGTGCCGATTATTCCTGCAAAACAAGCTGCCTAGTCTCCTCTCTATGATATCGGCTTCATCTTTCAATAGCTTTGACACTGAGCAGACCATAGTCGAAACATGGGCTCTAGTCTTGATGGAACTATCAAACCCAGATCTCGTGTCTGTGGGATCTCGATTTCTCTACATCTGCTCACTCCATCGCTTGATTTCTCACTCAAGCAGCCTACAACTCATCGGGAACGAGGACATAATCTCTGGCATGAGTAAAGGTCTCTATTCGAAAGATGACCTCGTATCGCAGGTAACCTCAAATCATGTCAGGGGTCCTAAACTGGTTGAAGAACTCATCCGGAGTGATGGGAGTGCTGGTTCTATCAGTCACGCGTTGGTTGAAGTAAGTTATCTGCACGTGGCTAACGCCAGCGCATACTGATATCTGTCAGATTATGCACAACTATTGCAGCAGCAAAGAAACCCAGTACCTTAAGGACCTTTCAAATGCAGTTATCCGAAAACCGGCAGCTGTCAACTGTATTGCCCTGTTCGTTCCTCCAAGCTTTTGGCTCGGCCCTATATGCACGCTATTGGACGAATGGCGATGGAATGAAATCCATGGTCAGTAGATCCCTCGCACTTAGATCGTGCTGACAGACCACAGGTGAAGCTCAACCTGTATACGATGATTTCGGAGCTGCATTCCTGCTTGTACAAGTGTGTAAAGCGCGCCTGGGTCTGTGTGAAACCGATCTCGGTATTCGGAAGAAGGACGGTTTTCTGTCTGAGTTCTTCAACAATGCCGATGCCGACATTGACTTGGAAAGACTTTCGGAAGAGAGGAAAATTCATCTTGGTAACTGGATCAACGCTCTCTACCTTGCAGAAGGATTGAGTGATGAGCTGTTCACCAATTGTAGCCCGCATGACTTCTACATTCTGATACCAACACTGTTGAGACAGTCCATAACGGCCTACCAGCAAGAAAAAATGACTCAGGAATCTCTGAAGGCTGGTCTTGACTGTAGGTCGTCTATTTTCTTTCTGACACGTTCTAGCTGACCACGAACAGATCTCTTAGAGCCTTTCCTTCTTCCGTCCTTGTCCTCCGCGCTCAACTGGATCACCAAAGTTCTCCAGGAAGGCACCTTCGAAGTCTCGTGTATCCTTGACGTTTTCACGAAGGTTCCTGGAAGCCCTGACTCACGAGACATTCATGGGACAATCCTATCAATGTGTGCAGGCAGTCTACAAGAGCAAATACAGTCAAAGCAAGGGCATGATCACATTAGATTGAAAGCTGCCAGCGATAATTTAAATCAGTATTCTGAATTCTCTTTCCCGGGCAAGAATAGATGGCTCAGCGACCACAATCAGATCTCAAACAATCTACAGCAAAGCATTATAACCATGATCACCAGCAACGGAGCGTCCACCACCCCAACTGACGCAGCCTATGACATTTCATTGATGGTGCACACTGCTGTCAGCGCCCTCGGCCCCCAAGGAACGCTACGGATACTTTTGAGAGTACTACTTCAGCTCAGCGACAGCCATGAATTTCTCTCTGCTGTCGACACAATTTCGACCATTGTTTGTACAGGTGGCCAACAGCTGAAAGAAGCACTACGAGTGCAGCACCAAAATTTAGGACGTATTCTGAAAAAAGAGTCAATTCTAGCCGAGGCCGTAGTTCGACTACACAGACAGGTCGAGGGTTATGCAAATCTCCTTACTGTCCAGGACATGAATCTGAACGAGTTTACCTTTGCTCAACATCTCAGCAATATCGACACGGCGAATCCAAACCTTGACGGTGTCCCAACTTCAGCGGGGCCAATGGAGGACCCGGTAGATCAAGAACAGGCTGACGGCATTGACCAGGTTCTCGACGAAGCTGCCGCACTAGGCAGCTTGGATTCGAACGATGCCGACATGAACTTTGACGCTCTTTATGGTTTACAAAATAACGACATGGACTTGAACGATCTAGATCTTGATATGTTTTAGCAGAATGTGTCTGAGGATTTTTCGAACCCTTGAAATCTCTCATCTCAAGCAAAATTCAGCGCGTAGACGCTGCAACGCCAAGTACATAGCTTCCCGCTGTCCGGAGCCAAGATATTCCAGCCTTATTAAGAACGCCAGAGGAGGCTGAACTTGCAGTGTTGCTGGAACATTGATTCCACGAACTTCTTGATCTGCTCCTTCACTCACCGCCCGAGAAGGCCGCGCTTGGCTGTGGCCATGGGCATCGACATCTCCGAAAGCATAACCCAATGTTCCCAGGAAATCTCGAACAGTCTCTTGGAGGGCAGCAGTTTGCACCTGTACGATGCTGTTGCGATCCAAATTGCCATGGCTTAGTGTCTCGGCCAGACTTGACGGGTCAAGCTGTGCCAAAGCATCGATCAATGCAGCATGTAGGCAGATCTTCGAAACGAAATACCGGTTCCAGTGAAAGAAGCCGTTCCAGGAACGAAACCAGTGAAGCCGAAAAGGAGAACCAGCGGCCCAAAGGCCACGTTCTAAATTGGGCCGGATTTCTTCATCGACAACAGGTTGAGGCATCCATTCACGCATGTCACACCAGCTAGCTACTTTCTCTTCAAGTTTCAAGGCCGCTTTGATGTACGATCCAACCAATGTGTCTCGGTCCAATGATCGGGTTTGGCAAATAGAGACAAAGTTCTTGATTCGAGCACGTAATTTCGAGACGCCGTGAAAGAAATTGCGCAGTCGAGAGGAAGCCTTTGGCACGACCGGTACGGCTTTCGGAATTTGAGCCTCCAGCATCAGATATTCTGGAGATGGTTCTTCACTTGCAAACAATGGTTTCCAATGCTGGTCGCGGTTAGTTTTGTAAGATGATGGGCACGACGAGGGTCCCTTTACCATGGAAGAGAGAAGGAGCTGATATAAATGGCGACCTTCTGGAGTGGTAAATTGGCCTTCGCCACGCATACGGAGAAGCATTAACGTGCCGTCGATATGTGTTTGCTGTGCCGAGTCTCCGCCCAAGTTGCACTGGTTAGAGCCAGTGATATTGGCAAGCAGCTGTTTCCTGTCAGATGCTTGATAGGATTACCCCAAAGAACAGCTCTTACCTCTCTGATACCCAATAGCCAGACGGCCACCAGCGTCTCATCTTTGAGGCGCTGATCGTGATCGGCCAACGCTGCATTGACGCCTGAAACTGCCTTGGCATACTCAAAATCGACAATATTTCGCATGTCAACTGTTGGTGATCGGTTTGCAAGATTCACTATTCCAACGGCTCGCATAGCGGCGTATAGATATGAATGGCGACTGACTTTTGAGAGGATATCAGGGAGGAAGGAGAAGGTTTCGTTGCCGTAGAGAATCCGAGAATGAACGTCCAGCTGCGAGAGCGAGTACCAGACGGCTTGTTCCGTCACGTCTTGGGGGAGATTGCCCATGGACATAGGACTTTGCGAACGTCTTTTGGATAATTCTAGGACAGAATCGCTTTGAGCGGTGTCGCTTTCTTCCGACTCGATAGATGCAGTCTTTGCACTATAACAATTTGGCAACAGACTTTCGGTCGAACTGTGTCTCGAGGTTTCTGGTGTAGAGACGAAGACTGTTGGTCGAATGGAGCCATAGTCTGGAGAGCGGTAACCCGGACAAGGCTTCTTGAGCCTGGCACAGTTCCGACACCCAGGCTTGCCCTCATCACACTAGCGTTAAGTAAGTCGTCGCGCACTGAACAATTAGACCGTTACAACGTACCTTTACTCTCCGCTTGCGACACAAAGCGCACCCTGTACTTGGACGTCCAATATTGCCCATTCAGATAGAGCACGCCCTTTATGTCAGACTCTGAGTTGGTTGTCGGGCAGCCTTGAGAGGGTGGCTTTCCAGTAGAGGGGCGCGTTTTTCGGTTTGGTGATTGAAGAGAAATATCGTTGCTAGCAGCGTCTACATTGATAGAGGACACCAGCACCGGATAAAGTCCCAAAATATAAGAACATGCCGAAACACTGGGTAATTCAGCCTCGTGCTCTTGCCCTTTCTTCCGGGGACATCCAAAAAAAATCACCCCAAAGAGGACAGTCCAACGTAGCAATACCTGCGCTGCGTTGCATCTGCATACTCGGATGGCTCGACGAGTTGATACAGGGCGGACACTCCTCAGATCGTCCACACTTGGAAAAAAAGGATCCTCAGCAGTAATTTCACACGCCTTTGGGGCTTAGAACATGTAGGACATTTTGTGGTAACGTTGAAAGCTGAACAGCCTCGTCTCACAATGGCACGAAGAAGTTCAAGTCGTCAACAGCTGCACCTCGCATGGCTAGCCCGGATGAGTTAGTAGACCCGACGCTCGAGAGACAATGCAGCCCAATGGATAAGCCAGAGGTATCTGAGGTCATTTTTGGGTGCCACGTGAAAGTGCAGGGATCATCCGAAAGCCGCACGGTGTTTGCTTACGGACATGCCAAAAAGAACAACTTTCGGTACCCAAATAGCATGCACGGAGTATGCTGGGTGACAGATAGGGAAGTTTGGTGGAGAGAAAATCGGCTGTGAGTCAGCCTCAAAAGAAGTGTAACTCTAGATCTGTTGCACACTGACACTGAACCACTTTGTCCCCAGGAGGATCATTACTAGTCGGTGTTGCCCTTCCACTCGGTACCTCTTATTAGCCGTTGCGGGTTCGATGTTTCTTCCGGGCTATTACGAGTGCTATTAATGGCTCCTTGTAGAGACGCTGGGCGGCTGCTTACATTATGCCTTTTTAATGTCTACTCCGTCCTGCTGCTACACTCAGCTGAAAATTTCCGCCTACATATAACGTACACCTTCCCGCCCTTTGATATCTTACTGCATTTCCTCTAGCGAGAGCATGCCTAGAATGTCATGTTATCTTCGCTTGTTGTTCCCCTTTCGGCTATTCTTTGAGCGAAGAAAAAGGAGACTCAATGTGACCTCTTTCATCGTTTCTGCTATGGTGACGCAAGCCATGTCCGCTTCTTTGACGCTCAAGAGCCCTGCAACTGTGATTGATGTTCTGGTCTGTTGACATGCTGGCAGCGGAAATACTTCATCAATTTGCGAGGCAGCCACTAGGAATGTTCTGGCTTGTGCAACCACTTTAGACATTGTCAATGACCGGCAATAGTCTGAGAACGGCTCCGATGTTTCCCTCGACGATTGGACAGAGGATGAGAGAGAAGAGAAGCAGGGCATGCATGGACTACTGACTACATATCCAAGCCGTGTGAATGAAACAAATTCTTCTTCGGTCTTCTTCTTCGGGGGTGTACCCAGCTACTCCAGAGGATGCGTCCTGAATTTGTTCCTTTCCTGGTTTCTCAAAACGAGAACTTTGTGCCGACAGTTGATGGGGCGAGCTTTCCTGGCATCATCCTTTCAATCTCGACCTTGGCTCGCCAGCCTGAGCAGTGACCAGGCATAAGAATATCGGGGTTGAGATCATTCAAGTCAGCCACAGTTTCCTTGATCCAACCCTCATTAGGGCCGACGAGATGATATCCCCCAATCACAGCATGTAACTTGGTATTTCCACCAAGTTGTAGAGCGTGCTTTGCCACGTTGACTACTCCAGCATGGCTACAGCCTGTAAACACCACGAGCCCTTTACCTGTGAATTTTTTAGTGAAGTGGCCGAAGACGAAGGATGTTACATGGAACCACACCTTTAACATTACACATCAAGAAACGCTCGTCGAGAATGAGCTCATCGCTTTCCCAACTACCTGTGTCTTGATTGAATCTCATGCCTCGCTTGAATCCTACCTCGTAGCTGGTCACTCGCGGAATCTCCCCTGAAACTAAGAACATATCATCAAGGACCGTATGAGGCTTATCATTCTTGACCACGGTCGCGCCCGCCGCCTCGATCTCTGCAAAGGTTGGATCAGCCTCTAGCGACACCGGTCCGGCCGGGCCCTGGAAACCTCGATAGTGTGGTCGATCAGGATGGAGGTCAACGACAACTGGACTTGCTGATGGCCTCGCCTCGTTGATCATGGAAATGGCTTTCAGCATCCCGCCAGAATGATCCCGATGCCAATGAGACAGTTGCACAAGCTCGACCGAACCTATGTCAGCTTCCAAGCGCCTTGCATTGAGTTCCCAGATATGATCTTCCGGGGCCGTATCAAAAAGCATCGTTCGGCGCTTGTCACCTTTGGTTGCAGTCTAAATCACCCATAAGCTGTTGATTTTTTTTTTAAATGCCAATCTGAGCCGCAACTCTCACAATCATCAATGATAGGCCATGAGCACCGCAGCACAAGTTGTCCATCCTGATCTCGAATCCAGCTCCACCTCGCTCTGCATGTTGAAGTGGTGCGCGAACGGCAACATCGGCCAATTGGCCACCAACGGTCAACCCGGGTACTTTGTACGACGAAATGGGGTCAACCTCATTGTCGACGATTACGAACACTTCCAAATGATCGATCTCAACGAGTTGACTCATCCTGTTACTCTTAGAAATGCTAGCGGTCAGATTCTGGGATCCTGATACGAGGTGTCGAGCCTTCATTTTATGGTCCAGAGTCGGCGACGGTATCGGGGATCACTAAAGCCGAGGCGAAAAGCAAAGCCAGGCAGATACACGGTTGACGGGTGGACCGAGCTCGTAAAGAATGGGCGAATTCGTGCGAAACCTGCATCATCCAGGTGACGTGAGCGTGAGCAATTACGAGCATAGGAACGCTTACATCTAGGAGTCTAATGATGGCACGCCTTAAAGCCAGGCACTTGTTCGAGTACTTAACAATGTTCAAAGTACGGATACTCTCTCCCCCAATCATGAAGAGTGAATTGCGACACTCCGCAGGCCAGAGAACATGGGGCTCGACAAGATCAAAAATATATTGAATGAAGGAGACATCATCAATCCAGACTCTCCGCAATATGAAGAGCAGTGTCGAACATGGGCGGCGCAATGCAACAAGAAGCCTCGTGTCGTGGTGCAACCGAAAGATCTGACAACATTGAGTACCCTCATTACCTACTTGAACCGGTCCGACTTGGATTTTGCCATCAGGTGCACCGGAGTCGGAAACGCATCGGCAAAGGACGTTCTCGTATCACTGGCCAACTTCAAATCGTTCTCTTTTGACGCTCAGAACGAAACCGTCATATTTGGCGCAGGACATAATTGGGGCGAGATTGATCGCAAAGTCGAAGAGTATGCCCCGGGCTATGCTGCTGTCGGTGCAAGGTGTACATACGTGGGAGTAGGAGGCTCGATCATCCACGGTGGTCAAAGCTGGCTGAGCTCGGAGTATGGCCTTTCCAGTGACCCTCAGAATTTCCTCGATGCACAGGTCGTCAAAATGGATGGCAGCATCGTCTGGGCCGCCGAAGAGCCGGATCTAATGTGGGCATTGAGAGGAGGCGGAGGTGGCTTTGGGGTCGTTACTGCTTGCAAGATGAGGGTCTACAAATACCCATCCTCGATCTACTGCGGACAGATCATCTACCCGGCCGATGCACTCCAAGATCTGGCCCGTGAAGTTGGAGCGTTTGCAGCTCGGTGTTCCGATCCCAAGGTTGCCTTGCATCTATACTGTTTGAATATGAGTATGGGCACTTACGCAGGCAATGAGCCGCAACCAGGTCTCGCAATATTTGCATATGACGCCAACGGGGAAGAACACGGAAGGAGCGAAGCCGGCTTCAAGTGGGCACTGGACATAAAAGGAGCAGTGGACTTGACCAAGGCGCTGAACATTCGAGAAGTCAACGAGGGCTTCGGTAAGTTCGACCGGGCAGCGCTTTACGGAATATTCTGGCTCAATTTGATCTTTCACAGACAGTTTGAAAGCCACGATGGGTGTTACCAACACGTGGCAATGTGGTGCAACATTGTCCTCGATTGACGAAGGCTTGATACTGCGTTCTTGGAAATGGTATGTTGAACTTGTGAATAAGGAACCAAGCCTAGCAAGAAGCACGTATGTGCTCATTGAAATGATGCAGAAGGTATGTCGGAGAGTACTCGAGGTGGAAAAGTACAACAGTGCTCACCACCTGCGCAGGCAGCTTATCAGTCACTCAAGTATCCCAGCAAGGAAACTGCCTGGCCACACACAAGAAACCAGCATAATCTTCAGATGGGAGCAGGCAGAATTCCTGGCTCGGAGGAGGGAGATCTTGTAGGATATCAGGCCATGGCAAACGGACCGTTCGAGATCAAGGCGAAACACACGAAAGCAGATTACTTTCCAAACTTCCTCGAGGGGTTTGTCGATCCAAAGGAGGTTAGTGTTTCGATTCGACGTGAAGAGTAGTTGGTGTTTTGTGTTAACACACGAATAGGTCTTCGGTGAGAACTGGCCTAGACTTGTTGATATCAAAAAGAAGTACGACCCGAACAACAAGCTCGGTGGGCCTTTTAGTGAGCGGTAGGAGAGATGAAGAGGGAGAGGGAGAGATGGTTCTGTTGTTCAGGGATGTGCTCTAGCGGGCGACTGACTGACACTTGGTTGGTCCTGGAGAAAGGACAGTCCGTGGGAAAGATGAACGACACGTACAACGATCAAATCACTGGACTTGATATGTCCTCATCCTGGCTCATCAGATTCGAGAGCCAATGCACACACGGCATGCAACGCAAGTCATGATAGTCAAGTCACCGCCTGCTTCAATGATGATAGTATTCGACTCACTGCGTCACGTGATTGGGGACTAGCGCCATCATGTCACCACCTGCGCTCGCGTACTCATCTCGCGCAGCCGTTGTCCTTTGACTTGATTATTTACATCACTAGAAGCTTCATAATCTAAAGTTCGTCAATCGCTATTTATCTTGCGACGGAAGCAGGTTCCGTTGATTCACCAATTGTAGGTCGTTGAACACAACTGCCGTGCTCGCTAGTCAACTCGGACGACACACCAAAACCTCGGCCGATCGTATTCTGTCACGATCCCGGTTGACTTTACTCCCTACCATTCGTCAATGTGAGAGACAACGCGGGGACGACTTAGCCTGACAGGTTACTCCTCGGGCTGACCACTCCTCCTGTATGGGCCAGATCTTCGGTGCAAGTGATGCAGGGACTGATAAGTACTGAAGTGTCCGTGTGCCTGATAAGCACCGTGGTCCTTCGCAGAAAAACTCCGGCTTGATCAGGAAGATAAAATAACTTCGCCAAATTGCAAGGTAATGACAGATCAAAAGTCGGAACCTTGTGCATCAGATCTGTCCGTGATATCGATCTCAACACGATCTGTTTCAGGAAGTGTCGAGTCGGCAGAACAGGATAAACCCCACGAAAACATGTCGCCCACAAACAACAAGACTGTCAAAATCGCGACGATCCAGGCCGAGCCTGTCTGGAACAACCTCCAAGGTGGCGTGGACAAAGCCATTAGCCTCATCAGACAGGCTGGTGACGACGGAGCCAATGTTCTCGGCTTTCCAGAAGTCTTCATTCCTGGATATCCATGGTATGTGGAAGGTTCAGCTACACCTGTCCTGGACCTGCACTGTTACTGAATCTTAGCAGGGCAATCTGGTCACAGTCGGTCGGAGACTGCGCTGCTTTCATGGACGAGTATTTCAGGAACTCCCTTGTCAAAGAGTCACCTGAGATGGATCGCATTCGGGCCGCTGTCCGTGAAGCCGGCATATTCACCGTTCTGGGCTACAGCGAGCGCTACAACGGCAGTATCTACATTGCACAAGTAAGTCGACTATAGTCGTACAAGAATATGTGCCTGGCCCACACAAGCTCACCACATAGTAGTCCTTCATCGACCCAACCGGAACTATCGTCCACCACCGCCGCAAGATCAAGCCTACACACGTTGAGCGTGCATACTTTGGTGACGGCCAGACCGATAGCCTTACCACGACGACGGAGGGCCCCTTTGGCAAGATTTCAGGTCTCAACTGCTGGGAGCATGCGCAGCCTCTCCTTCGCTACTATACCTACTGGCAGAACACTGACATTCACGTCGCTAGCTGGCCTCTGTTCTGGGATCCGCCCGACGACAATTGGCCGTGGCATAGTAGTCCCGAAGCGTCCAATCGCTTCTCGCAGGTCATGGCCATGGAAGGCGCATGCTTCGTGATGACCGCTACCCAGATCATGACTGAAAAGAACGCGAAGAAGTGCCTTGTCGACAACTACCCGTACATTCGCACACCTGGCGGTGGATTCAGTATGATCTATGGTCCTGACGGAAAGGAGCTTGTACAGCCACTAGATGCTAGCAAAGAGGGGATTTTGTATGCCGATGTTGACCTCCGTGCGAGGGGCGTCGCTAAACATATGCTGGACACCGTTGGACATTACTCCCGACCTGATCTACTCAGTCTCCAGGTTACAAAACACGGTGTGAAGTTTCCTGGATCCCAAGTCCACTTTTTGGACTGAACTTACAGCCAAGGATCGGGAAGACAGTACTATTGCTTTATGCCTCGGGGTGGGTAGGCTCAAGAAAAGAAAAACGTTACCAGTAGCGCGCAAGCACTCTCTCACTCCTGTCGAAGTGGTATGAGGATACTAGCACCGTTGCCTAGCGGAGGCAGATCTTTGCCATGCTCGTAGGCCTAAAGGATATGTGTTTCGACGATGATGTTCAATTTCGTGGTTGCTGGTTCTGGGCGCCCAACTCTCTCCGGAGGCGCTTGCCCCAATAAGGCAGTTGATAGCCAGTTGATAGTCTCATGGATCCTTCATGCAGCCTATCATTCAGTTTGTCTCCTACTCGTGGCTTCATCAGCCTTTTTCAGATAAGACCGTGTCTGCTCTGCTGATGTTAGTTCATGGAGCAGCACGCAAGTGTTCGCGGGTTAGGAAGCCAAAGTGTCCAGACATCGAGGTATTTAATAAACATCTTCGACCTTCAAAGCGATGGGTCTGAGACAGCACCATAGGAAGGTCATTGGTGCTGCAAGTTTTTATTGATAGTCCTTAGATGAGCATCATGGGTATCGCAAAGCTATTCGCATCGTGCCTGCTTCACACAGTGCCTGTCCTCCTGGCGTGTGGACATGCTTACGCTGAATCAACTACGAATCTTACGTTGACAGGTCACATTACCCCAGAGGAGGTGTTCAGTTTCGTTTACGTACCTTTCGAGGTCGACCAGGACGTGACGTCGATCTTTGTGAACCAAACATACTCTTTTCAAGGCGCTGGGAATTCTCTTGACCTGGGAGTCTTTGACTCTCGCGGGATTGGAGCTATCAACGTAGAAGGAGGAAGGACGGGATCCCGAGGATGGTCTGGAGGATTCCGATTCAACTTTACAATCTCCGCAGAAGATGCGACGCCAGGCTACGTACGACGAGACATTGACATCCGCCATTCTCTCTGAAGGCTAACGTTCGCGCAGGATGCAGGCCCGATCCAGGCCGGCACATGGAACGTCGCACTCGGACCCTATGCGACCAACCGTTCTGGTATTGATTGGAAATTGGACATCTCATTGTCTCGAGACCCTAAAAAGACCTTGTGGACGCCTTCACTTGCCCCTGTATATAAAGGTTCTCTCTCGAGCCCGAAATGGCTCCGGGGCGATTTCCACATGCACACCATCTACTCCGATGGCAAATACCTTCCCAACCAACAAATCAACAATGCCATGTCCCGAGACCTCGACTTCATTTTTTTCTCTGACCACAATACCGATACCAGCAATAACAACATCGCCAAATGGATCCCGGCGAACGCTTCCGAGCTTCTCGTCTGCCGCGCGATCGAGGTTACTACTCGACACGGTCACTGGCAAGCCATCGGGCTCGAGTATGCGCAGCAGGTCGAGTGGCGATACACAAATGCCTCGAATGACACGGGTTACGCTGATGCAGCCACACAAGTGTTGAACAGCGGCGCCCTCGTTTCGATCAACCACCCCTTCCAAAATTGCTCACGTTGTGACTGGACGCTTGATTGGGACCACAATCAAGCCATCGAGGTGTGGAACGGTCGCTTCGACCCGTTAGACGAGGTCGGCGTGCAATGGTGGCAAGCCGAGCTGGGACGGGGCAAGAGAATCACAGCCATCGGTGGCAGTGACGCACACAGCTACCCCGACATCAACGGCCTACCGACCACGGTGGTCAGAGTTGAAGGTGAGAAGAGTCAATCGGCAATCGTGCAAGCTGTCAAGACGGGGAGGGTGTATCTTGTCGAAGGTCCTGGACAAGAAATCGATTTCGCTGTTCAATATGGCAACAAAACGGCGCAGATTGGAGATGTCGTACCCAAATCAGAATGCGGTCCGGGTATATATGCGACATTTACGGGGGTTGGATTCGCCGGAGCAGATGCCTGTTTCATCAGTGAAAAGGGCTATTTCAGCAATGTGTCCATTGTGGATGGCCAGAGCATTCATCAGCCTCTGCCGAATGTAGAGTTTGTCCGAGTTGAAGTGAGGAATTCATCAAACATCCTCCTGGGGCTAACGAACCCGGTGTATGTTGTGTGATGAGGGTGAGAACGAGTGCGGAATGGTCAAAGGACACTTGAAGATAAGCCATCAACTAGATAACAAAAGTAAGCTGTAAGATCCTTGCAGGCGTTTCCTTCGCAGACATTGCGAGCCGAGGTTGCGGAATAGCGGGGAATATTTATCATCAAAGTTGAGCACCAACCTGATTTCTCCAGCATCGTTCCAGCCTCCACGGTTTTCCGTCAGCGTCTCCATTCTCAACATGGGTTTCCGTGAGACTTTGCAAGCGGCAGTGGCTCCAGGGCCGGACCGTAGAATTCCTGGAGCTGTGGTGATGGCAGCTGATGCTTCTGGTAGTGACTTTTGGTTTCCGGCACATCGAGTCATAACCACTAATCGTTTTCAAAGGGAAAATCATCTACTCACAGGCTGAAGGGCAGACGTCGGTCGATCCAGACGAGGCAAAACCAATGTCGATTGACACGACCTTTTGGATAGCATCATGCACCAAGCTAGCCACGTCGATCGCGGCATTACAGGCAGTCGAGAAGGGACTCTTGGACCTCGACGCCGACATATCCAAGGTTCTGCCGGAATGGAAGGAACCCGAGATCTTGACAGGCTTCTCCGATGCCGGCGAGCCTCAGCTGAAGAAAGCCAGCAAAAAGATCACGTTGCGTCAATTGCTGTCACACTCGAGCGGGATGGGCTACGACTTTTTGAATCCGGAACTAGCAAAATGGAGACAGTTCAAAGGACAGCCGATCGGTGCCTCGGGGGAGCCTCTTGTCTGTTTGAATCCTGCATATCGTAAACGCAATTGGCATTTTCTGACCGCAGGCACAACAGACGAAAAGACAGTTCCTACCGCTAGTATACGAGCCAGGAGAAGGTTGGTCATACAGCGTCGCGATTGACTGGGCAGGGAAAATGGTTGAGAAAGTAAACGGAGGCGTCCGCCTTGGTGAATACCTGAAGCGGCACATCTGGGAGCCTCTGGGAATGACTTCAACCGGCTTCCGAATCGCAGAAAATGATCGGATTCGCAACAACCTTTGTCCGACCACGAAACGAGAACTGACGGGTGAATTGGCTCCTTCCGCGCCGTATAATCACCAGAACCCTGTGGATGATTTGGGGGGCGGAGGTTTGTACAGTTCTGCAGCTGATTATATCAAGCTGCTGATTTCGTTGCTGAAGAATGACGGGACATTACTGAAGCCAGAGACCACAAAAATGATGTTTGAGCCTCAGCTTGCGGACCCCAGACACCTGCTGGTTCACACGCAGAATCCAAAGACTGGCGGAATGTTCAGAAATGGTGTCGATTCTGAATCCTGGAATTTTGGACTGGGTGGCATTTTGACCACCGCAGAGGTACCAGGTGTGTGCAAAAAAGGTACAATGTCCTGGGGAGGACTTCCTAACTTGGTACGTTGATCCATGTACCCACGTGTGTTATGTCCATGTCTCTCATGTCGAGTCAACCCTCACCGAACGAATCATCTCTCCTCTCCTGTGCATGCTTCCCACCTTTAACTTTCCACATGCTGATGTTACAATCTTTCAGTTCTGGTGGATTGATCCAGTTGCCGGCAACTGTGGAATATACGCTTCTCAATTACTCCCACCAGGAGATCCGACCTCGATTGCACTGTCTGTGGAGTTCCATAAGGAGATCTATGCTTGCAGTAATGGAAGTTGATGGTGAGCGTGATAGCGGTCAATTCTAGCTGCGTTCACGCAGCTTTTGTAACGTGAATGGGTCAATCTCCAAGATAGAAGCGGGGACGACTCCCTTCACAAGGCTCTTTGATTTGAACTGCGTCAACGAGGAATAAATCAATCGGAAAGCTGCAATATCCTAACCGTACCTCGCTCATCAACTGAAGCGCCACGTTTACTATACTTTGAGCTAGACATGCGTTCTGTGGGAGTGCTCGCACCAGAACACTCTGATATTCGGACTCGGATCTCCATGCGGAGTTGATCTCAATCCTCCCCTTGATAGGTTTTCCCATGAAACGAGGCACAGTGGACCTGTCTCATGGGAATCGAATCCCGGTGCCGACGGAGAACAACCCCCGCTCATTTGGGGTACTTGCGCTATGAGTAAGACCCAGGGCTTGTTAAGCAATTCTAATCTGCATAAAGTCTTGCTAGACGTGGTCTAGATTGGCCCCGAAATGGCGGGTCCATCCCCGCGTCAATGGAGCTCCCTCTGGCCTGGTCTGGGGATTGTTGGTCCTGTCAGGACGCGTAGTTCCACCCCCGCAAAGTCAAAAAGAGGCATGGTAAAGCTCGAAGAACTGCTACGACGAATTCCTCAAGACCGCCTTGGCTGTTGGAGTAACATCCTCGTATTAGATCAAAGTTTATCTTTTCCGAGGTAATGAATGCTTCGGAGAAGGTGAAAGGAGAAAGGATGTACCCACGACATATATCGAGGTATATTCAAGTATCGCCCCGAGTTTGGTGTTTCCTAGTCCCTTGGGTAGCTTCTCCTCGTCAAAGAAGCCCTTCTCATCTCCGTTTGATCGCCTGTCAATATGATTTCTCTTGTGCAATTCGGTGTAAGTATCGTCAAGAATCACTCTGCCTGCCTGCTCTCCATACACTAAGACAATAATCAGATTGTTCTATTCGTTGCCCTGGGCAGCATCACCTATGGATATGGGTCGAGTATCATCGCAACCACCACAGGGCAGCCCACCTTTCTGTCGTATTTCGAACTCGACACACGTTCAAACTCGGATGAACTCCTGGGTGCCATCAATGGCCTCTTCTCGGTTGGCGGCCTCTTCGGCTGTATCTCCTGTTTCTGGATTCCGGACAAATGGGGCCGAAAGAGGGCAATCCTTTTCGCTTCTTTCACCTCCATCATTGGTAACGGCCTGGCAGCTGGAAGTGTACACATTGCCATGTTCATGATCGCCAGGATGATCACGGGCTACTCCGTGGGAGCCTTGGTCAGCCTCATTCCGCTCTACCAGAGCGAGATCTCGCCCCCCAGGATCCGTGGCCTGCTGGTTGGCATGCACGGCACCGGCATCGCGACTGGCTACGTTGCTGCCAGCTGGACCGGCTTTGGCTTTTACTTTGTCAACGCCAGTGGCACCCAATGGAGGATGCCGCTGGCTATTGGTGGTCTCTGGCCACTCCTTCTCGCTGGCGGTGTCTTGTTTATTCCAGACTCCCCACGTTGGCGTAAGTTGTGAGCCACACAGAACGAAACATCACTTCTCTGACTTCCTCTCAGTGTTGACCAAGTCTCGTCCCGAGGAAGCCCTCAAAGCCTTCAAAGCTTGCCGGACCGAGTCGGGTCCACGGAACAATGAGCATGCTATCATGGAAGAATTTCGACTTTTGCGCGCTCAAGTCGAGGAAGAGATGAAGGACCATGTACCCCTCAAAGAATTCTTTACAAGGCCAGCTCTGCGCAAGAGATGCTGGATTGGTTGGCTTACCATGGTCGCTGGTCAATGTACCGGGACAATTGTCATCAACAGTGAGTATATCTGGGGTACCAAAAGATCTAAGCTAGTCTCCAGGGCTAACCCTGGTGCGCAGACTACGGTCCTTTCCTGTACCGCAACCTCGGCTTCAGTGTGGTCAATCAGCTTCTCATCCAGTGTGGTTGGATCACTGTGTGCCTCTTCGGTAACGCGTTCAATGCTGCCGTCATTGACCATTTTGGGAGGGTGCGGATGCTCCGTGAGTACCGTGACGCACCCGCGTACTTGATGAGAGGGGCTAACTCCTCGCAGTCTTTGGGTTCACCGGCGACGTTATCGCGCTTGCTGGCGAGTGTGCGTCAGTTTCGGTTTATCAAAGGACCGGCTCTACGGCGGCGGCGAAAGCAGCCGTGTTCTTCCTCTTCCTTCACATCGGCTTTTACGGATGGACTATTGACGCAAGCACGTACATCTACGCCACTGAAATCTTCCCCAACCCTCTCCGTGCTCGTGGCATCGGAATTTCCTGCTCTGGGTTGTTTATGGCTATCATTGTCTTCACGAGGCAAGTATTTAAGAGATCCCATCTGGCGTTTGTCTAACCAGGAACAGCGCCGCTCCCACTGCATTCAACACCATCGGCTGGAAGTACTACCTTGTCTTCACCATCCTTACAGCCCTTTGTGTCGTCATTATTTGGTTCTATTTTCCAGAAGTATGTACCTTTGTCATAGTGTCGAAGCGTCTAGAGTTTTACTTACCATGACACAGACCAAAGGCTTAGCTCTCGAGGACGTCGCCGAGATTTTCGGCGACGGTATCGTGTTGACGGATACCCGTGAAGAACAGATCCACCAACAGTTCAAGCAATCCCATTACCATGCAGAGGTTCTTGACGAGGTGGCGGATACCCAACCCGTCCACGTTGGCGAAAAGGGTGAAGATGACAAGGCTAAAACTGAGCATATCTCCTAAGTGGCCACGATAATCAACAGTGTTCTATCGACAATATTTGCACTATATGGCCATTTCTGGAAGTCGCGGAGAGCAATCCTTGCAGCGATGAGTAAATAGGGAGATGGCGGTCTTGAGGTTGGTTACCTAACAAGGGTAGATCGTGGGTCTGGCGATTTGATCATTAGTTCTGATACGTGGAATAAACGTAGAAAACAAAGGATCGACATCAATGCTGAACTTGGGATATCGGTACACAATAAGTAACCGGCGAGGATGACTCCCTTGTTCCAGGACTTGTTCATGACGTCTGGTTGCTGTCCAATGATCGATCTCAATCTGATGGGCGACAGAACTTCAAAAATAAAGCCAAGTTGCAATTCAACTATACCACGCTGATCTTTACGCCCAGGTGCAGTATTGTGAAGTGCTTACAGTGAAATTAGAAGCGACGAATTCTGTGGCAACGGCCTTTGTACTTGCCGGTGATGACTTTCCTACATACGATTGTCAACTCCATCAAAACAGCTCTATTGAACCAGAAACACTTGCCGTCTTGCTTTCCCTACGCGTCGAACCTGCTGCTGCTTTTGAGGTGTTGGTTGGCCCGTTCCCATCAATACCGCTGACAGTGCCTGGTATTTCTCAAACAGCCCAAGCGTTTTCAAATGACCGGTCACGGCACAGCTCAACACAACTGCCGAAGATTGTGCCTTATCAATTATGAAACATGGAGTCAGCCATCAACAGATCTGACCCTCCACCCCCGGTCGGAATAGATACTCCGTCCTTATCACGAGGTTGCTGATCCTGGCTTCCCCAGACACTGCGCCATGGTCTCGTGCATAAAAGGATGGATATGCCCAACTCTTTCTCCTTGTAAATCGACTAAACATCCTCTTCGACATGACTTCCACACGAGAAGATACGATGGAATCCCCCAATGCTGCCACCGTTGAACCACCCAAGGACTTCAAGTCAATCAATCCTTCTCCAGATGAATGCATTGATCTTGACGAAAATGCGGAGGTGGGGGTTGTACTGGGATGGCGTACATGGGTAGTCGTGTTCATCTCAGCATATCTCACGCAAGTACTGACAAACCCTTCTGTGACTCAAATACTAACATTACGGAACAGCCTCTTCATGCAAATCTTCACCACCGTCGCTGCCCCTTCCACCATCGCATTCATCGTTCAAGATATTGGAGATCAAGCTATGTCTGCTTGGGTGCTACAGGTTGGTCTCTCAACTATTTGTCGTGCCAACAAATACTGACAGCCCTTAGACCCCATTACTGATCCAGGCTGTTTTGAATCCCATCATTGGACGACTGTCCGACGTCTTGGATCGCAAAATGCTAGTCACTCTCACACCAATCGTCGCCTTTGCCGGTTCTGTCATGTCTGCCAGAGCAAATGATATGAACCTGTTGATTGCTGGAGGTGTCCTCTACGGTGTCACCCTTGCTACCATCGGAGTCGTTGGCACGATTCCTGCAGAAATCTTACCGCTCAAATATCGAACAGTGGCCAGCGGTATTGGCTTCCTAGGTGGTGCCAGTGGTGGACTGTACGTTGCCCCAAACAGCTCAAAATCCTTACTAACATCATACCCAGAGTGGCTGGTCTTGTCGCCGGTGCTTTCTGCAGAACTCCAGGTGGGTGGCGGAATATGTTTTGGGTACAGGCAGCCTTACAGTTGCTTGTGTCTGTATGCTTCTTCGTCTTTTACTGGCCTCCTAAATCCAATCGAGAATTCCCCAAGATGAGTGTTCGACAAATTATTTGGGCCTGCGACCCAATTGGTTCGTTCCTGTACATCGGTGGTGCTACCTGCTGCATCATGGCTCTCAACTGGGCATCTGGACTCTACTCCTGGTCGAACCCACATGTGGTGGCACCCTTGGTCATCGGCATTGTCTGCCTCCTGCTGTGTGGCGCCTATGGTATGACCCTCAGATCCAATCCATAAGACTTTCTGACTGTGCTCTTAGAATGGAAAGGTAGATCGGATGGTCTCATGGCTCACGTCTTCTTCCAAGGTGGACGCAACTTCCCGCTCGCACTCTTCGCAGTCTTGGTCGAAGGCTGGATATACTACAGCGCCATCAATACCATCATGAACCAAATGACGCTTTATCTTGGCTGGGAAACTGATGCCTTGATCATCGGAGTGCGTCAACTCGCATACAGCGGCCCTACGATAATAGCTTCAATCGTCGTCATCTGGTACTCGACCCGATACAAAGACGTCAAATGGCCTCTGGTCGCCTCGTTTGTCTTGTTCCTCATCACCGCCTGCGTCTTCACAGCCACAAAGCGGGACTGGAATTATGTCTCACTCGGTATTTCAGCCGTGTGCGGCATCGGGCAAGCTGGACCACTCACTCTCCTGGTTGCTGTGGTACAGTACGCGGCACCACATGCATACCTCTCAACTGCTACAGGTGCGGCATTCTCCATCCGGGCAATCGGAGGTGCTTTTGGTTCGGCGGTTCTATACACCATTGCCTTCGGCCACGTGAAATCACACTACGGAAACACCGTCGCTCAAGCCGCCATTGAAGCAGGATTGTCACCCAAAGATGTTCCCATCTTGTTGGGTGTCATGGCAGGGGGTAACGGCCCACCCACCGAAGGATCACTTGCCGGTGTGTTGTCGCAAGCCCTACCGTCCGCCACACTGCCAATCATCCGAGCTGCGAGGACTGCAGGCCAAATTGTGTACACAAGAGGGTTCCAACTGGCTTGGGCTAGTGTCATTCCCATGGCAGTCATCTCGATTGTGTGTTGCGTATTCCTACAGCAAGTCGGGAGACTGATGACCGAGAAGGTCGAAGCACCTCTTGAGAAGACACGAGAAGATGTAGAGGTCAAGATGTCGTCGAAGACTGAAGATGAGTGAGCAGAAGAACCCTGTCTGTGCAACCTGAGGACAATAATTCAGTGGGGTATATGTAGGATGAAGCTGTTGAGCAACTTTGACATATCATTGCGCACAAACATCTTTCTGTGTGGTTTTTTAGCTACCATTCGTGATCGTTCGAGCGACAATAACCAAGGGTATTCTGGCAGGTCTACATTCTTAAGTTGAGGTTTAGCAGTTCACCCATACTATGCCTTCCCGGAACTGGATGTCTTATGCATGGCCAAGACAACAGCCCCCGATGCTGCACTGCCGCTGCGTACGGAATTTGCAAAAATTCCGCTCATGCAACCGACGACGCTCGGATCAAAGAATAGGTTGGAACGACTCGGAGAGTTCACCGCCGGCCTAGATGCAGATCTAATTTGAAATGATTAGCAGAAGAGGAACAGTGGCAATATAGTACTAAAATCCTATTCATATCTATCATCTACGTTTACGACTGGTTCAAAACTTCATCTATCACTTGACCAACTTGTAAGCACACCTCATCTCTCATGTTTGGGGTAAAGACCTGAATCGCAGTTGGCGCTTGGTCGATGTCTTCCGGATTGTCTGTTTCCACCGATTCTTGTTAGCCACTCTACTCTGCTAGCAACGTTTGCAAAGCTGGAAAAGGAGAGGGGTGGGGAGCATCTCACATGAACCTGCGTCTCCAAAGTCTCCAGGTGTGGCATCTAGGTCTTTACTGGCTTTCCCCAAGGGAACAATGCATGCGGGATACTGAGAGTTGATGCGAGTTAGTCAGAAACCAGAAAAAAACTAGTACGGGCCAACGTACATCCAAGACGTTCAAAAACACTGTGTAAGCCGGATAGCGATATGTGTCATGTTTGACGGCCGTGTGCTGAGCTCCAGGGCAGATGACGACGTCAAGGTTCGACTCATTCCACAACTTTCTCCATTCCTCCTTCAAGCGTTGTATTTGCCCTCCCAGGGCGGCAATCTTGTGGTACATGTCCAGACGGTCAAACTCCACCCAAAATGACTTCATGGCTTCTCCTCGGGAAGGAGCGGCGCCTGCCGCCACAGACGGGACGACCGGTTCTCCCGAGCTCGCGATGAATTCAAACCCTCCCTTCATGTCGAGTGTGAATGCTGCCATTGACAGTTCCGCGAGACTGGCGACGTGAGACCTTTCGGGGCCGATGGGAACGAGGTTGTGACCTTTTTCGGCGAGAAGAGCACAGGCATTGTCCAAAGCTCTCTTGACTGGTGGATGGAAAGGGAGGGTGGTGTCATCTGTCAACACCCCAATAGTGAGCCTCGTCGATGATGGAAGAGGTGTCAAGTGTTGCCAGGGAACATCGAGACAGGTCGAGTCATGTCGGGCTGGGCGAGCAGAGATTACAGCCTCGGTCAGAAGTTGCAATGCCTCGAACGAGTTCGCCATGGGTCCTGCGGCGGGATGAATGGGAGAATATCCAGGCGGGACAGGGGATTGCTGATTTCCGAACGGGATCCGGCCGGTCGTCGGCTTAAAGCCGTAGACTCCGCAGCACAACGAAGGAATACGAATGGAACCGGCAATGTCGGTGCCTATGCCCAGGGGTGACCCGCGGAAAGCGATCAACGCACCTTCTCCCCCGGTGCTGCCACCGGCGGTCAGCGTCGTGTTATGCGGGTTCAACGTCCGACCCCATACGTTGTTGTGCGAGTCCGCCGTCATCATCGTCTGAGGGATGTTCGTCTTGACGTATAGGACGGCCCCCATCTCGAGAAGCATGTCGACGAGCACAGAGTTCTGCTCGGCGGGTTTGTTGACCAGGGACACGAACCCGATACTGGAGTCGATCCCCTTCAGCTTGAAGCTGTCCTTGAGACTGATCGGGAGACCGTGCAGCGGTCCAGATGGTTTCCCAGATGCCGCCAGGTATTCATCCAGCTCCTTTGCTCGTTTCAGTGCAGCATCGTAAAAGACTTCGGTGAGGCAGTTCGTGAGTTGCTGGGCAATGGCGGCGCGTTTACAAAACGCCGTGGTAACTTCTACTGACGACAAGGTACCTTTCGCCAGCGCGTCAAGTAGTTGAGCCGTGCTGTAGTTTTCTGTAATCTCAAGTTCTCGGGTAGACAAAATGCCACTTCGACGTGGAATATCTTGCTCAATGATCCGATTTGGATTGGCCTCTAGAGGCAGAGTCAAGCCCTGCCAGATGGCATCTGGCAAAAGCCAGCCAGAGGGGACTAGCTTCTTTGCTGCCCTCTGTTTTTCAGCTACTATTCCTTGCCATGGTTTCGGCGACTCGCTGATTCCCAAGGAGCCCATCGTTCTTGTAAGCTGATTGAAGGTTGTAGGCGAAACAAAAGGAATTGTAGGAGCTGTACGATCTTTCCAAAATTGTATTTCCAAGCACCAGGAAACGGGGAGAGGTGCACACACACGCAAATCCGGTTCAGTGGGATAGCTGTCCAGAACGAAAGAAGTCGCAAAGAAAGCACATCTGGGGATGTGTGAACGAGACACTTTCCCACTAGTTGCTTCCCCAGAACACGTACTGCACCGTGGGTCCGTGTCCCAAGGTTCCAGACCACACCAGATTAGGCGTGCCGCCACGCTAGGGGCTCTCGGTAGATGTTGTCTGCGAGGACACAAGATTCAAGGCGGGGCACAAAGATACGACAGACAGACATGGACCACCTTGTCAACTAATCATTACATACAGGTCGGAAAGCGATGACTCGCAGGCACTAGAGGACTACACGTCTCAAACGAGAATCGTCAAACCAGACGTTGAGTTGAGAGGACTCGAATTCTGGCACTCCATCGCCACTGTCGAGTGTTTCGGCAATTTCAGACCACGAATCTTGCCAGAAGCTCAGGACAGAGTCTAGACCTCGCCCACCTGTAAGGTTTTGCATTCTGTTCAATTGAGATCTCAGGAAATCCCGGTCTCGGCAGTGAACCGCGGCTGTCCCGAGGATAACGACGGGGCAAATCACCACAGGCGTGATGTGCTGCGAAAGTCCATCGGACGAAGAGAGATCAGCCATTGTTTCGTGTAACAGTCGCTGCACACGATTGTCGGTTGCTCTGAGATCTGGTTCCAAGATCTTCCACAAGATGAGTTCGGCCGCAGCCAGATACAGATGCCGGACCCGAGCTGCCAAAGTTCCCACGCCGACAGAAGTATCATCATCAAATCCAGATTCCGAATCTGGCGATCCTTCCGACCGCAACGCTCTCAAATGTTGACTTAACGACATGGCATCGTTTCGCTGCTTTCTGTCGAGTGGCATCATGCGCAAGAGGTATGAAACTTGGTACAATGAACCATATACGTCCGGTGGCAGTCCGAGCCACAGAGACCGCCGAAATGATGCGAGGTCTCCGCGTTTCATCGCTCGTGAATTCGTGATCAGTCTTGTCAGTGTTTCCATGGTATTATACCGTTTGACCAATTCAGGATGAAAGGGGCTGTTTATCGATATACGATAGACGAATGCCTCGAGGACCAAAGCACCCAACTTCGTTTCGAGAAGACGAGTCGAGCATGCTTTGAGGAAAATATCTTGTGCGGCCAATAAGTGAGCGCAGGTGGGAGTTTTCGAAGATGAATCGAACCTCTGTCAAAGGAAAATTTGTGTCAGCACCCATGGCTTACCGAAAACAACTCGCAGGTCAAGATCTACCTCAAACAGGTGAAGCATCATAATTACTGCAAGCGAGGATTCCGCGACAGCAATTTCGGATAAATTTCCATCTGACATTTCCAAAGCCAGACCTCGGAGTGCTTCGCAATGATGTCGAACGGCGACTTGCTGCCAGGTGGCCTGTTTGCGGGAGAGGAAAATAGAGGAGCATGAGACCATGGAATGGAAGATTGCAGGAGATCGGGCGGCGAGTGGAATGGTCAAGGAGATGATGCTGGATTCTGGCCCAAGGTCAATTGCGTGTGCTGGTCGGCTGAAGACAAAAAATAGATCTGTAAGTGAGCACGGCGGAATATCGTCGACCGACCACGGCATGGAGCTAGGCTTCGAGTATATGATGCTCTTGGTTACATTGTTTGACAGATCCTTGCCCGTCATCTCAGGGGGAGTACGAGGCGTATGCTTGAACTTGGGCTCGCTGCTTGCTGGAGACGGCGAGGATGTAGGAGATCTACCAGGTGACGGGTAGTGGCATTGTACACCATCAAATTTTGCACATCTCTCGCACACGGGCCGTCGCTCGTCACACTTCTTCTTCCGCTTCCGGCCTTTCGAACAATGAAAAAGTCAGTACTGCGGAAGATATGGCCAAACCTGATAGCTAGTTACTTACATGGCAGACAGCCAGACCAAGACCGAGTGTGTTTGCGTTTGACTTCGGTCTCGAGCAGACAGTCGCGGTAGAGTTCGAAATTGGAAAACATGTCCCCTGTGGCCTTTGCCGCTTGTGCGAAGGCTACGCCATCAACGAAGGGGCGAAGAAGTGAATGGTCTTGGATGGGTCAGCGTCGTCGCGTCGAGGATCGTACAGGCCCGAGCATCAATTAAATTTCATAGATAACGACTGATTGATAGCCCAGACTGTGTTCTCATATTCCGAGGCTGAGTTTGGACATCAACAAGAGTTGAGTGTTGTCAAGATACGATTGTCCATAGTAGAAATACCTAGCGCGGCGGCAATCCATTTCGGGCTTAGAGGCAACCTGATTAGCGTTTGAAGTGTCAAACCGTTGATTGTCAGGTCGAATATTAATTTTCAAAATACAGCTGGCTGTACGATACGATACCGGAATGCGGGTTGACGTTTCTCGGCCTTCAAAAGCAGCGGCGAAGTGAGAAAAGACCAGCAGTACAAGAAGTGCCTCATGTTCCGAGATATTTGATGGCAGTTCTGACATGGAATGGTGGTTCTACTACTGGTGGCCAGCGTGGGTATACTTCAAGAACAGATAGGCCTGTTGGACATGGCCGGCATGGGTGATAAGTATCACATACCCACGTCTGCATTACGCATAAGACTATTCTTATCGGTGAAGTACCCCCCAATCGTAATATCTCAGTATCAATTCCTAGGTCTAAGCTGAACGGTAACCGACAAAGAACAAGTGAGTCAAGAGATATTCTTGAGGACAGTGGGAATGACGAGCACCGAGACACTAATAATGACAGTAATAACAACTCAAATTATCACCTACTAATGCAGAGGTGGGTGTGGGTGGTACCTATAGCCCAAGCATGCCTCGCCTACACTTATCAAGTAACCTCCTCGTGGCCTGATTGCAGACGACATCAACCCACAGAAACCCTCTCATCGCCTCTCTCACAGCATCCCAATTCGCAAGGTCGAACTGCTTGCCCACAACCTCCAGCCATTGCCGCAATTGTTCATCCTCGCTTGGGTTCAGTGGTGTGAAGGTAATGCCGTAGATGATCAATACCCAAAGTCTCGTTTTGGAGTCCATGACAACAAGATCTTTTCGCATTGTTCGATCTATGGACCGCTGAGACGCAGACTTCAGCCAGGTAAATGGCAGTCGAACTAGTGGCCATTGTAAAACGGTTCTGGCGCAGAAGGAGAGCATGGTCAGATGAATCAACTCGTTGCATGAGCCTGGCACGCAAGGCATGTAGGCTAGCCGATATATGACAGAGAATATCGTATCACGAAGCAGGGCGTCAGGAAGTTTGCTGCGCCGCATGGATGCCTTATTGAGCAGGGAGAAGAAACTACCAAGACAGTCCCGGATTTGACAAAGCTCCAGATCATCAATGGTGACAGACCTGTGAAGGGAGACCGATTCATCCTGAAAGGATATTTCCGAGGCAGGAACACCCATGTTTTCCTTCAACAGCAGAGGCGCTTCGCCTGTTGCGATAGAGACGGAAAGGTCACATCTGCGTGCCATTAGCCCGATCGGTCATGATTTCTGAGAGTTCGATGACCTCTTCGTTGAATCCTTTCCAATTTTGCTTCAACGTTTCCGAGCAAAGAAGCACTCAGTTTCCTTTGACGGAGCATTGGTTCGGGCCTCGGGGATGAGTTCACTTACCGCATGATCTCTATCATCTGTTTTATCCTGCCTCGAAATGCGTTAAGCCCACCCTCTCTCATGCTGACCAGCTTGCTCAACGCCAGGAGGTGACATCTTGCAAGACTGAAGTTCTCTAGTAGCAAAGCATGCATAGCAAAAACAAACACGGCCGTGATCGCTGCGTCGTGTAACTGGCTTTTCAGGACGGGGGATCGGTTGTCAACCGCTGCAAGTCGTTCTCGTAACAGCCGGAGAGCTTGGCCGTAATGCTGCAAACCATTGTCATGGCGATTCCTCCACGGTTGAGATGTAGCCTGTTGGAAAGCAATGTCGATGAACGCAGCAGCTCCAAATACCATGATGTTCATGTAAAGCGAGTCATGCATGAGCGGCGACAGGCATACAACGTCATCATTGCTGTTATCGAAGGCGACGCAGGGCTCGAGCATGTACACGTGTTCCGACATTGTGATACAAAGCCGAAGGGTCACATTTCTGAGATGAAGATCGACTTTGTCCGCGAACACCAATAATGACAAGTCAGAACAGACTGTGCGAGGGACTCTTGACTGAATTTGACCATCGCTGTGCTCGGTTTGGTCACTGGTGAGGATACCAGCGCCCGGAATTTTAGATTGCTTTGGGTTCTTCGGAGTGCGTCCTCGATTCTTTCCCAGCATGACATGGCGGCGAATCGCCCTGCGTGTCTTTTGCTGCTCATCATTGGAAGCACCCGCCGACACAAACTGCATGCCTGCCATCGGTGTGCTGTAGTCTCATGAACTCAATGCATGTGCGGGTGAAGAAAGCTGTAATCATCCTGCGAGCTAGGCCGGTGCCGTTACTAATCATATTCCTCACGGTCAATTCGCCCAATGCTACGGCCCTGCAAACCTCCGGCCATTGTAACTGGAGCTTGATCTGAAGTCAAGTAGACCATCTCAAAACAAATTTGAGCGGTTCAGAGATGACATAAATGCCGGCTGCGGGCGGTTGTTTGGACCGATGGCCAAACTCGGTTCAACCAAGCTCCCGTCTTCTAGTCAGACTCGGGGAGACTGGCCTGGACCCCTTTCCCAGGCGCCAATTTCTGGCTTGTAGGCTAGCGTGGTCAGCCATGCAGCCACCCTTTACGCTAGCCCATCTAGGCAGGATATTGTATCCTCGTTACGGTAAGGCGTGAGGATTGTCGTGGTGGTATTTCAGTCCTCGGTCCCTGAGCGCTTTTTGTGATTCATATTGCCCGATCAACAATGGTTCACGAGTACGAATACAAGGCCATGGCATGGAGATGGAACAACACGCTCAGGGAAGCAGGTGTGGCGGACTATATTTAGCTTCGCAAGTCGAGCCATCTACCATATAAGCAGGCAACAAACCTGCGACCATGGATTCCAAGGCATACTACTCCAACCAACCCATCAACCCGCTATGGCTTCAAAAGACTTGCCTCCACGAACAGAGGCCTTCTTTCCGACCATCTTCTATAAGACACAATTCTGCGAAAAGCATGGTGGCCTTCCGCTCGGGTTGACACTCTTGTCCAAAGTCGCCATTGTCACAGGCTCAAATGTTGGCCTCGGATTTGAAAGCGCGAGACAGCTGCTGGCCCTGAATCTCTCTCATCTGATACTTGCTGTACGTTCCACTGAAAAGGGCGAACAGGCGGCAAGTCAACTCCGCGCTCAGTTTCCACATGCGAAGATCGAAGTGTGGAAGCTGGACATGTGCAGCTACTCGTCGATCCAAGAGTTTGCTTTCAGGGTGGACGCGGACTTGACCAGGCTGGACATTGCTCTTCTAAACGCGGGCCTTGTGAAGCCATCTTACACCGTGGTCAAGGAGACAGGTCATGAAGAGACCGTGCAAGTGGTGAGTTTACGGATCCAAACGATGATGGCACCCACAAGGATGATACTGACCTCTTTTTGCTTCAGAACTACCTTTCGACGGTGCTCCTGGCACTCCTCCTCATCCCAAGCCTATGCACCAAGCGACCTCCTGGAGGACAACCAGGCAGACTGACGATGGTCAATTCAGGACTCTCCCTCGTCGGGAAGCTTCCTTTGAATCCCAAAAAGCCAGAGCAGCCCATTCTACAATCTTTCGACAACAAGGAGAATTTCAGCAGCACGTCATGGTACAACAACTCCAAAACACTCATGCATTTGTTCCTGTGGAAGCTGTCCGTTACCTTCACGCTGACGATGTTATTGTCAACATTGTCGATCCGGGTTACGTCAAAGGCACTGAAGGTGTCAGTAAAATGCCCAAGCTTACAGCGATGATGGCCAAGTCTTTCGCAGCCCTCACGGGGAGAACGGTTCAAGTCGGCGCATCCACCTATGTCGACGCTGTGGCGGTGAAGGGCAAGGAGAGCCACTGTTGCTTCCTCACCAGTTGGAGAATCCATCCGTAAGTCTACTAACGCAGGACATGGATGTGTGGTCTGCTGATCTTGTATCTACCAGATTTGCGCCCTTTCTTTACACGCCGAAAGGTAAGACGTTAATAGAGAAGCTGTGGCAGGAGACTTTGGCGGAGCTGAAATTCGCCAAACCTGAAGCATTGCTGTCGGAAAAGAGTCTCAGAGACGCTGAGGCTGGCCACGATGGAGGATTCAGAGACTTTATCCATCCGAATGTCGAGGACAGAGAATGATGAGATGGTATGAAGCGTAGCCTAACTTTATTTCCAGTTCTCTCAAGTTCTCTACATTGGCGTTGGCTGTGAGTTCTATTGTATCTAGACTACAAGGACCATCGCCATGCACTCTGATCAACCTTCCGACAACATGGACTATCAACAGCAGCCGATCTTTGACATTAATTTCCCCTGAATGTTCCTACACTTGTATGTTATTGTGCTTGAAGGTCGAGGTCATAACCTTGCACGAAATTGATGGAAATGTCCAGAACCGTTTTTAGCAACCATTGACACGTTGCCATTGTGTGAAGGAGGTCTGAAATTGTCATCGCGCCGGCTTGTCAATTACTATTCACGCTGTATTAGGCTAGGGATTACCGACGCTTTTTGAACTGCATAAAACGTCGACATCGGCGTGCCGAAAGGCCGTGGAGATATTCGTCGCGGAATAGAATCGTGGACCCAGAAGTTCCTTATGCTTTGAGTTCTTGTACCCAGAGCACCTAGATAGGAAGACCTACTTTAGTTGTGTTATCACTCTGCCTGTTCGCAGACCGTTCCCCAAAATAAAACCACCACACTCCTCTGTCTGCCCCAACCAGGCGTGGACATGTTCGTGACAAGTTTGTTTGCACAATTTGTTAACCCTTCAGGTGAGCCTCTTGCCACCTTCATGTAAGGGACCTCTCAAATACCCTCCACCTCTCCCCCGTGAGATCTTTCTGTTGTCACAATTTAGATATGGATCTGAGAACTGCTTGAACGAAGAAATATGCTTTATATTGGCCATGTAAGTGGCTTACGCGACGCTCCTTGACCAGCGGGACACTCCGACGACGTGGAAGATTTTCTGCTTTAACTAAGCGTGATTGTTTTCTCCTTTCGCCTTTTTGATTGGCGATGACAATTTCACGCAGTTCGAGGGACGGAGTTGATTTGCGCAGAACCCCGCGTCGCCTGGTAAAATTGCCTCGGCTCAACAGCTGTTGCGCTGCACTTGCCTCCAATCAAAACTGGATATCTCAACGCCAGAGAAGGTGGCAAAATCGAAGTGATACCAACATTGCCGAAGTTGCTCTCATGTTGGAAGAACGTCAATTGGCTCAGACTTTTTCTCGGTGTTGAGGTAAAACGCGCTCAGAGTTCTCGAAACAATCAATACTAGACACTCCTGGGCAATACGACGGTCTTTGCTTGCTAGAACCTACAGTACAATGGAATGACCTCAGCCTAAATCTGGTTTCACCAACTGGCAACACGCTGAACGTCTCTCCACCAAAATGTCTCTCATTCCAAGCCCATTTTACTCCCTCTCCCATTGCCTACGTTGCCGCCGCTGATCATGTAGTCTTTAGACTAACAACAATCCTCAACAACGGACCGGTATGCGGAACTTGGTCCCGTCCTCGACATGCTGAAAGCAGCCTCACGAGGGCGTGCCAGAAAGGTGTGTGTGAATTGTCATGTTCGAAAGGTAACTGCCACATACTCCCGTATGTTGTCATTCATGGCTGACGAAGGATTCAACTAGGTAAAATGTGATTTGGAGGCACAGGAGGATAGGCCATGTCACAACTGCCGCAGGCACGGTATTTCGTGCGAGTACAAATTCCACTTTCTTCTCGCCTTGTGCATTCAACTGAACATTTCTCAGGCCAAGAACTCGTCAGTGGACGCGCCTCACGACCAAACAAAGACCGGGAACTACTGAAAACCCTCACTCCCATGACCATTTGGCGCTTTCACCGCTATCCACCACAGACGCTCCCCAGCTATCCACCTCTCCCATACCCAGGGGCAAGAACGATGACATTTTGACAGTGCCTGATTCCACACCGAGAGCAGACCTCACTCCTCGAAGCGAGGTGTACATTGGGACTACGTCGTTGATGACAGACCTATGGTCAAGTTCTGCTCAATTGGATGACTCATCTTTCTCTGATCAGATCGGCCAAAAGCTGATGGAGATAAGTGGTGCAGATAAGTCTCCTTCTGACCTCATGGTTGAGGCGTCAAGAGAGTATTATTACAAGTATGTGTATCATTATTTTCCCGTTCTGGACGTGGGGCACCTCACAACAGATGAGAGCTCCTCTTTACTTTTGAAGCACGCTCTTTGCTTGGTTGGCGTGGTGATGAGGCAACCGCGCGAGCCAGACCCTCTAACTGAGGCCGATCAAATCTATGTTAAGATCAAGAGTCTTCTCTTCGCCACCCATGAGAAGAACTTTTTTATCGTCCTCAAGGTTCTCTGCCTGCTTACGGTATGGAATATCAAGGGGCCTAACATTATTTCAATGGACAATACCTGGTATAGGCTGTCAGTGGCAGCTAACCTTATGATTTCGTTGGGCCTACATCGTGACTTTATCTGTGCTCAGAAACCCCAGCCAGGTTGTGCGCGGCGAATGGCTTGGAGTATCTTTGTGAGACTCACACAACGTTTCATTCCTTTCTCCATTTACAGGGCTCATTGAAAAGCTTAGAATCTAGACAAGACGATGGCTACGGTATTTGACAGACCGTGCATCCTCAAACCTCAAGACTTCGACGTTCGCCCGCTTGTGCCCGGTGACTTTGCGACATCAGATCGAAAAAATGTCATTTTCATGGCGTACTGCAAGCTGGGGCTTATCCGCCATCAAACCCAAGCTCTACAGGCCAAGAGCTCTCAGGATCTTCAGCAAGAAGTAAGTAGCCAGAGAGGTCACACTGTTCAACACCCTGGTCGGACACTCCTCGATTCTAGGCCTATCAGGCTAGTGTCTAGTAGCTGAATAATATTTCTAGGGTCAGAAGATCGTTGTTTCACTTAAGGAATGGATCCAGACCTTACCCGAGGCAATCCACCTATACTCTACTGACAACACCAAAGCGTATCAAAGGGAAATATTCGAGTTACACATTGCATATTTTGCCGCAATCATTCACTATTGCCACCAGTTAGACAAAGTTTCGCAGGTGTCGATGGGACTGTTTCCTTCTCTGGTAGCATCTTCATGCATAGCCAGATTATATGAGGAGATGAACTATCGGGACGATGTCGGTCATCTCCTTACTGTGCATAATTGGTACTCGATGATGGCTTCCGCACCTTTGCTTAGCTCCTGCGAAGAAGGTCAGGAAGAGGCAGATATCTCCCGGAGAGAACTTGACATTCTGGAAACAACCTTGGGTCTTTTGCGGAGAAAGTGGTATGGGGCACGTGTGATCCACGACACCATTAAACGGCTGCGGAGGGGCACGAGAGTGGGAGTCAGCGTGGCAACACCACGGCATCCAGTCTCCCCACTGCCACTTAATGACGCGCAAGAATTGTTCCCATTTCCAAACTCTCTGGCTCCGAGAATGAAGCTCTTGGATGACGAATGGGCCAGGCCAATATTCTTGTCGGACGAGGCAGAACTTCAGCTTCCAGATATGGACATGAGCTGGATATTTGATGAATTTGCAGGCACGTACAACACTGCATTCGTTAACACACGAGATTTTCTTGACCCAGAGTCGGCAATGTCTTTGGAGTTATAAAATAAGACCGCCGATTCCCCCCAGAATATCGTGTTCCCAGCTAACCCCAATCTGAAAGGAGAGGGATCCAAGACTGCAAGAGAGGATGGGGATATCGCTGTGGGAGAGCTTTCAAGAAGCAAATCTTCCACCGCCTGAGTAAAAAAGGTAGTAATTAATCAGAGTTGCACCAATAAAACGATGCTTGGAAAGCCGGAGAATCAGGAAAGTAGTGTTCAATAGCTATTGGACGATATTCTGATGATATTGTCTCCAACACCGGAGCTCAGATTTGACGCGTAATGTTGTAGGTTTTGCAGGTTTGATTACATTCCAGATGCATTTGCTCGAAATCTTGTACAGCCGCATCCTCGTCACAGATGGCTGATCGTGTTTTGGCTGCCTATTCTGATTCCCGCAAAGGACAGGAGTTTACCTAGGGCGCCAATATCTCCTTTCAAAATCTGAAACCTCGCCCTGTCTTCCTTTTCAGTAAGTAAGTCCTGTAATGCACCTTTGGTGAGAGCCAGAGCAAGATCCAGTAGGCCTGCATCCGCTAAAGCTGTGTCCCTGCATCGACGATAAGTCAAAGCGCCGTTGCTTAGTATCAGCAGCCAAATTTCCTTGATGTCTGTTACATCAATACCGATGCTGATCGGATACGGCACTTCCTCTCCCGCCAATTCTCCATCGATATTGACCGAGAGTCCAGAGAGCCACTGTTCGATCGAAAGCTGGGAAGGAAACGACGCTTGCGGCGGCGATCTCTGGTTGCGTGATAGGTGATCTTCGCCGAGTTCAGCTGCCTGACTAAGATAGATGTTTCTCCACGTCGCGTTCTCAGATCCGTGGCCGAGCCGCATGAAGACTTGTGACAATACCTGCCGAGATTGGCTTTGTATCTTTTGTGAATCGACATCATCTGCTGCCACCAGATGGCCGAGTAGTGTCGCCGCGAACCTCAAATTACCCTTGAAGATGAATTGCCTCGCCTTTTCCAGCGTCTGCTCTGCACCACCCATACATTCGACATATCGGGACCCTTCCTCAGCTGGAGGCAATTTCCATAGATTTTCTGCCTTGCCGTCAAACCACGTCATATACCGCTGATAAATGCCCTTGACATTGTGGCTGATACTGCCATAGAAGCCTTGTGCATGCCAAGCACGTCTCAAGTTTGGGGGCAGAACCAATCTCTCTGCAATCTCGGTGCCGTTTAGTCCATGGTTCATCAGCCGGATCGTCTGATCGTGTAGAAATGCATAGAGATCACGCTGCTCTCCGATGAATCTCTGTACATTGTTTTCACCCCATGTCGGCCACCCGTGACTCGCGAACAAGACCTCAGACTTGGCCTTGGGGCTTGTAAACATGAATAGGCTTTCATCCAGATATGTGGACCAGGCTTTGGCGTCCCGAACCAAGGCCCCGCGCAACGTCACAATATTATGAAGCGCATGCGTGGCACACTCGGCGATCAAGAGAGCTTGCTCCTGTGGGAAGTAGATGTTCATCTCTGACGGGGCCTCGGTGTTCGGAACGAGCTGGAAGACGATCCTGACGCCGTCAATGACCAGGCTCTGAGAGGTATGGGTGATGATAGTCGTGGGTGGAAGCAGGCTCGTTTTTCCCTGTGAGGTGCCCATCCCGAGCCCGACTCCCACCTGGCCAGCAGGTGACCGTGGCAGAAACGCTCCATACATGTGTGCCGCCCTCTTTCGCATGATGGGTCCCGCAAGCACGTTCTCGGACAAGGCTTCTTCCATAAACCCTTCGGGGGCAATGATCTTGATGCCCTCGGGTACAGCATCGTCATCGGATCCTGCAAAGAGGCCCGCAGCACCACCATAGTGATCGATATGAGAGTGCGTGTAAACCACAGCCTTGATTGCGCGGACCGGTCGGTGCTGTTGATAGAAGGCCAGCGCCGCCGCGGCACATTCACACGAGACAAGCGGGTCGATTACGATGACCCCCATGTCGCCCTCGACAAATGTGATGTGTGAGATGTCAAACCCCCGTACCTGATAGATGGACGGTGTGATCCGGTAAAGACCCTGTTTTGATAACAGCTGTGCCTGGCGCCAGAGCCTCGCATCCACGGTGGGCGGGGCTTCTTGAGCATGGACGAAGCTGTATTCGTCGTTGTCCCAGACTTTCCGACCCTGTGCATTTCGGATCACGCAGGGCTTTAGGGAGTCAATGAATCCCCGGTCTGCGTCAGAGAAGTCGCGAGTGTCGGCGAACGATGGACCGACATCATTACCGTGGGAGGGGTATGTGGTTGACCGTGGTTTGGAGACAGCCATGCCCGGCGAAATATTCAAAGTAGAAGCTTGCCAACTGGTTGGTGTTTTCTTCAACCTGTTGCATACCACACGGGCAAGCTTGGTACCATAAATCCATTGACGGATTCGGAGTCTGGGGCAGCTTGGGATAGTCCGCGACAGAGAGATAGGTTCAAATGGACCGAAAAGAGCCGCGGCGTCAGCATGTCGCCTTGCCGAGTGGAATTCCAGGTGATCCCAGCTTTACTGGGTTATCAGAAGCTACATATGTAAGTGAACTAATCAAAGGACAGCGAATCCAGAGTCTGTAACACCAGGAGGGGGTGGGAATGGGGTCAATTCGGCTAACAACCTGGCAAATTGTTCGGCATAATTCGGTATCGGATTCGGTAGGTGATGGCAGAAAAGAGGCTTGGGTGAGTGAATCAGATATCAAAGTGCGAAAAACACAATGAATCTTTCAAAAAGTCATGCGTTCCCAAGCCCAGATGCAGTTTCTCTCAGGCCAATTCAATTCAAGTCCAAAATCTGAAGCCATGGAAGCCGATCGTTCACAAACCATCTCGAACTCACCCAAGCCCGGAACGGTGGCTCTGGAAGTCGAATCAGCTGAGAGTATTCGGCCCCTTGCCCTTGATGCCGTCGACGATATCTCAGACAAAGAATGGAGGCGTATCGTGCATAAAATCGACCGCCGCTTGATTACGGCGACAGGGCTCATGATGGCGGTGTCACTGATGGACCGGACAAACTTGGGGTCCGCCATGATAGCTGGGATGTCTAAGGACCTCGGAATGTCCATTGGGAATCGCTATGTAGGAATTGTCCTCCTTTCCTAACACTGCAAAGTCATCAAAAGCTGACGCTAGGGTACCTCACAAAAGAACATTGCTCTCATCATGTTCTTTCCTCCCTATATCCTGTTTGAGTGGCCGAGTTCCATTTTGGCGAAGAAGATTGGTTCCAGAATATTTCTACCCATATCAGTGACACTATGGGGAGTGGTCATGCTGTGCTTTGGTTTCATTCATTTCTGGTACCAACTAGTCGGTCTCAGAGCTCTGGTTGGCGTTTTCGAGGCCGGGCTCTTTCCTGGATCCTTGTTTTTGTTGCAGAGCTGGTACTGTCGATGTAAGAATCTCTTCCTGCTCTGAGAGAGAAAAATGAGAACTCATTCAGGTTCTTAACAGTTGACATCCAGAAACGATTTGCCGCTTTCTATCTCATTAGCTGCGTGGGATCATCACTCTCGGGAGTCCTCGCTGCTGGCTTCATGAATATGGGCGGTGTCGGGGGCTTAGCACCATGGAGATATGTCTTTATATGGGAAGGTGTCTTGACGATTCTGATAGGTCTGATCGGGGCCTACTTGATCGTCGACTTCCCTCAGGCAGCACTGAATAGTCGATCCTTCCTGACTCTTGATGAGCTAGGCCATGTGATCAGAAAACTGGAACAAGACAGGGGTGAAGTCGATGAAATCAAGTTCAGTTGGAGTGCATACCTTCGTTCGGGATTGGACCCCAAGGTCTGGGCATTTGGTCTGATATTCATGTAAGCTTCGATACAGAGATTCTGCTATTTTTCTGACCTTCAGATTGCTGACTGGCTTGACCGTCACGTTGGACAGGTCCACCACTATTGTTTCTTACTCCATCGCATTCTTTATGCCCATTATTATAAATGACAGGATGGATGTCGGAATCGTTGGCGCTCAGGCTCTCGGTACACCGCCGTACATCTTTGCTGGAATCTACATGTGCGTGCAAGGCTGGCTTGCAGACAAGCATCGGCAACGATCTGTGTTTTTGATCTGGAACTCGATACAATCAATCGTCGGTCTCTGCATCTTAAGCTATACAAGCACAGCTGGGGTTCAATATTTTGGTATCTTTCTCGTCGCCTCGGCCAGTAACGCCAACGTTCCCGCCGTCATGGCCTATCAATCCAATAACATCCGTGGCACCTGGAAACGCGCCTTCTGTAGTGCCAGTTTGATCACATTGGGCGGGACGGGTGGAATTATAGGTTCTTTGGTCTATCGAGCTGAGGATGCTCCACGATATCTGCCAGGAATTTGGGCCTCCATGGGGTGAATATATGCCCCCCTCCTCTCTCATCTTTTTACGTTGTTTTGTTATCTTTCGACCAGCTGCTAACGATTTAGATTCTGTGGATTCACAATCGTTCTCGTTGGCATTCTGAGCTTGCACTTCTGGACACTAAACCGCAAGGCAGATCGTGAAGGCGTGGCAATCGAAGGCATGATTGGCTTCCGATATACCTTGTAAGATCCGATATTTGGTGCCGACGCGAGCCGTTCGGTTTGGTTCAAGGTGTTACGAATCAGGCCTCTAATGAGGCCGTAGACAAAGCTGTGACGGCAGCCACTCGGCGGTAATACTGTGGTTGTAGCGGCTCAAGAGAATTGAATTTACTAACTATAAGTGAACGAGGGACTGGCCGCTATATTGTACTGAGAAAGACAGAGGTCTTTCCTGGTACTGCCGATTGGCTGTTATGAGTACCTGCGGGAGGTGATGTGAGTACCCTTGCAATGGAGCCAGAATGAGTAGATAGCAAGCAACCAAGTAAACAAGGTATCACACAGGGAGTAGCAACAAGACAGCACCTAGGCACGCGTGCGTGCGTGCAACTAGGCAATGAGACGAGCTTTCCCTGGAGTATGAGTGTGAGGTTCTTTGTGACGCGCTGATGCTGAACGAGTAACTTATTGCCTCGTGGCCCTGTGAATGTCGAGTGCGCCTGTACGGACACAGGTGGCTAGGACGACTAAGCGGCGAGTGCCTGAAGTCAACAAGAACGCTGACAGAGTCTATAGGGCGTTGCAGGATTGCAGTGCAGGTTACGAAAGAGTATCTACGGGTTAGGACGACGTCTGAGTTCGAGATTTGTTGTTGTCGCTGTTACAGACCAGCCCTGTGCGCACCTAGTGCTCGCCGATTTACGCCTTTTATAGTATGGGACGCCTATAGATGCCCCTAGGTTAGAACTACTGTAGGCACTCTTCTCCCTGAGAATAGGCCCTCTTATAGGCACGATATTAGGCACTTTTGTTTTCTCAACCAGTTAACCCAGGCTATCTTAGGTGTCCCTGGTGTTTCCCTCTTAGCGGTGTAGACACCTATAAGAGTAATCATTAAGTACCCCACCTTTAACTAGAACTCACTTCATAGGCATTACCTTTAACTGGGACCTATCACTCACAGGTACCCTAACACTATTCCAGTCTATAGTGACAGTCATTACATATATAAATTAAGTCTTAGCGTTACTAGCGTAACTTTCATTTTATGACTTTCATTACACTAATAAATTATTAGTGACTATTTATCTCACTATATTATCATGAAACTATTAATTCTTATCACTTTTAGTTTTATCATTTATTAAGCATGTCTAAAGGTTTATCTTTACTTAATTCTAGCTCATTACACCTTAAGTATCTATAAATTAGTAAAAGAAAATTTATTTATAAACACTATAAGTTAAATAACTAATAGTAAATATAGCTTTAATATAGCCTTAGTATATTAGGTATAGTTAAAGTGAAATAGTATAGAACAAAATTATCATTATCTCTAAAAGTATATTAGAGTATCCTAAATCTATAATAGCCTAACTAATAATGAATAATTCTAAGCTTAAAGCTGTACTATAGACGGCAGAACCAATTTCAAAAAGTATATAGTAGCTGAGGAAGACTGGCTTCGCGGGATAGAACTTATAAACCTTGCCCAAGAGTAGCTGGAAACTTTGAAGCACTGGTCGCATGAATGGCTGTTCGTTAGCTTGGAGGGCTGAGCCTGGACTTTTGCTGCTTTCATTGCGGATAGACAAACTGCATAGGCGTGCAGTTTCGCTGCAATTCAGGGCCTACGACAGGCCAGGCGAGGCTCCTCGGCTGTGCACTCGCGCCAAGGCAGGTCACCCGACCTCGCCTATAACTTAGCTACTAGTACTTAAGTAGCTGCCGGCGAGCATCGCGTACCTAGGTAAGTACAGCCTGGCGTTGTCGTTAGGAACCCGTTGACTTACGCATCTACGCGGTGTTCCCATGCTTCATATAGCGAGAAGGCTATCATTATTCGAAGCACTGACTACATTCTCCCTCCATAAAGCAGCAGATAGTCCACCCGCAGCTTCACCCTGGCAGCCAGAAACATGCTTGTGTCTTTACAGCGTCCTTCCCCAGCGGCTCCGGGGTTAAGCTTCGGCTACCCAGACCATCCAGACCATCCAGACCATCCAGACGAACCTGTGGTGAGAGAACCGTCACCCACTGTGTACCTATGTACCTAGGTAGATAATCTGAGACGATGCCATTTCAATCCACGTCCAGCGTCTTGCCTCTACCCTCCACACCACACAACTGGACAATGACGACTCCAACGTGGGCACACTTTTTAGCCTTCATCAACTCCACGCCAGCCCCTGAGGATGAGCTTGACTACTTCCGCTCACTTCCCTGGACCAAAGACTACCTTGACAACCCCGAGTTCAAAGCAGTCCAGACGACCTCTCGGATTCCCAAATCGACCAATGATGACAACTTCTTCGCCCGCACGCTCCAAGGCGACGACACGATCCAGCACTGGCTGGCATTGATCCCCAAGGCATTTGTCCCCCTTCCTCAACAGACCGACACCCCACCAATTGGCACACTCAATGGGCGCACCACCCGCAAGATTCGGGACACTCATCAGTCTGATCTATTGCTCCTCCTGCATCTGAACAATGGCCTGAATGGATTTGCGGACGTTGTCCACGGAGGGGCGCTGTGCGCCATCTTCGACGAGGCATTGAGCTTTTGCGTGGAAGCTCGAAGGCAGCTGACGACTGATGCGAGAGAGTTGATTTACACGGCGAAGCTGACAATCTCATACCTCGCCCCGGTGCGGTCACCGTCCACGGTCGTGGTCAAGTGCTGGTTGGAAGCTGCACATGGGCGGAAGTGGTATGTGAGAGGCCAGCTGATCGGGGAAGATGGGACCATCTATTCGGAGGCTGAAGGTTTGTGGGTTTCGGCCGGGCAGAAATTGTGATTGTAAAACGGCAGACATTGCTGAATTGGTGGTCATCGACGCCCTGTTGACCAGTCGTTGTGATGTGTTGAAGCCAACAATGCACGTAGGCAAATCTATGATTCCTGTCCAGTGCTGTGCTTGTAGTATTACTCGGGTCTCTCGAACGATCTCTTATCGCTTTCGACGAGATCTCAAGGTCTCATGACTGAGGGTCATTAAGTGGAGAATGTCTTGGACCGAAACGCTGGATAGTTTTTAACCGTCGGTATCAAGCTGCAACAACACAACTGCCAGCAGACACAGCTTTCGCTCATGACCTGCATCAACTACAAACATAAACCGACGGCCTGGTGGGGACTCTAATCCTACCAGATGAGCTAGCACTATGCATTATTTTTCGTGTCGCCTGTTCTTGCAAACGCGGGTGATGGTTATCGCAAACCAGACGATGTGCAGGTATTCGGAACCGGCTGTCGCTAACAGTCCGAGACTGCCGGACATGATAAGCAAGAGGGGAGGAGACGTCTTACTATATCAAAACTCAACAAGGCTTTCTTCCCCAACGTTGATCTCGACCCACCCAGTCGATCGACGCCGGAGCCGCGGACGACGGATCTCGCTTTGACAGGGTTGTGTCTGGACAGCACACCTGAGAATATGGGCTGCGCAGGCCCCCTCGGCCGATCAGTACACCTAGAGCGTCCGTTGCCCCTCATCCAGAAATCTTCTTGACGGCATAAATCCCAGCCGTCGTTGTGCACTGATTGATATCTAAGCATTGAGTGTGAACTCGGAGCCGTAGCTATGGGATCTCGATTTCGCCGTGTAACAGCAGAAACATTCCGGAGCTTGAGCCAACCTTACTGAGGTTTACCACACTTCTGATGCGGTAATCTCATTGCTGCTCGCGGGTCATTAGGATGACGAAGGTATAACCGCCCACCAACAGAGCCACACGGTCGTTCCCGAGCATCTTCTTGAATAAAAGGCGTTGAACAGACAGAATATTCTCAGCTGGACACTGTGCACAGTTTTTTTGGACCACCCTCCTGGCGTCGTGATCGAACATAGCTTTTCAATATGAGCAATACCCACCATGCGCAGAAGCGCGTGGTTTTCATCGGCGCGGCTGGTGGCGTGTGCCAGGTGGCAGTGAAGTGCTTTGCAGCAGCAAGCACAGTGCCGCTCGTCCTTAGCGACATCAACACGGCCGTGCTTGATTCGCTTCAAGCGGAACTTCCGTCTGGACGGGCGACAACCCTGAAGCTGGATCTATTCGACCCCGTCGCACTGCGAGACGCCATCAAGGGCGCCGGGCTCGTGGTGCTCGGTGCAGGGCCATATATGCGGACGGCAGAACCAGTCATCAAAGGATGTATCGAGGCAAAGATTCCCTATCTGGACTTTGACGATGACGTTGAGAGTACGCAAGTCTCACTCGACCTACACGAAACGGCAAAGGAAGCAGGGATCCCCTGCTTCATCAACTGTGGCGCCTCGCCTGGCATGACGAACGTGATGGCGCTCGACGTCGCAAAGGAATTGGATTCCATCGACGTGCTCGATATTTGCTGGCTGACTGGTCACGGAGGGTTCTACGCCGGCAAAGCCGTGCTCGAGCACCTTTTGCATATCGCCGCCGGGCCCTGCTTGACGTGGGAGAACGGGCGGCCCACGGTCCACGAGACGTTTCTCGAAACCACCTATGTTCCGATGGTTGGCTCGGCCGGTGAGCAACCGCTACATGAGACAGCACACCCAGAGCCCATCACTCTTGTGCGTGCATTTCCAAAGGCCAACCGTATCCGATGCATGGGCGGCCTGGATCCGCCCCTCAAGATGGGGATCGCCCGAGGCCTCGCCACCGCCCACCGTCGCGGCGACATCACCATTGAAGACGCGGTTGAGTTCTACGACCGGCTGCGAAGTGATCAGATTGCTTCCAAAGACTGGGTTCAGGTGCTTTTGGGGTCCAACCCTGGCCTACTCGCCGGACCCTTGAGCGCCGCTGGCCTGTGGCAGCGTGCCACGAATGTTGGACGATCACTTGGGCCCATGTTCTACGCCCTGACGGGAGTATTTGAGCAAATCTGGAAGGGCGAGGTCACGATGTCGCAACTCGTCAACTTCGTTCGACAAGCGTCCAAAGGCGAAACGGTTCCCTACAAGGGCGCCCTGCTCGTCCGCGCCACCGGCACTCACAACGGCCATCCAGCAGTGGCCATCAAACGCACACCTACGTGCGGTGAGGGCTCAGGTCTTTTCAGATCGGTATCACACGTAACCGGGGTCGCTTGTGCTGCTTTCATGGTTTTGGCGTTGGAGGACAGTGACAAAACCCGGAGTGGTGTCTTTGCGCCTGAAGACTGGGTCGAACCGCAAGTCTTTTACAAGATGCTAGAGCAGGTCGGTGTCCCCTCACACGACATCATCGAATCCCCCACGTCCTAGTCCTGGCATACTCCCGGAAGGATTTCTCAGGCGTTGTTGCTTTTCTTACTGGCTGGAAAAATGAGAAAAATCTCGAGAATCTAGTTTGTGGAAGGGCAATAAGAGGAGATATCTCGTCGAAAAAGGGTACATCTGGGCAACGACCTCTCGAGGCGACAAGAAATCAGCGATGAGAGGTTTGCAATTGGTGTCTTCTTGTTTTCTGGCTGAATGGAGTTTATGAAGATGCCACTTCTGTTGCCTGATACAATGTATCGCACATAGCACGCCCCCCACCGGAGCAATGCCATTCACTAAGCAAGAGGAACCAAAATGTAGTGTTCTCGTAGTTCCCCATTTCTGCCCAAAGAGGGCCGACAGAACGGTTATAACATCTACAGATATCCCCGTTCTGGGTTATCAGACTCTGCACATGGCCAGGATGCTATTGGGAGATCGAAGCGACCTTACAAGGAAGGAGAAGATGTGCATTTGACGTTTCCTGCAATCCCCATCCACCGAGGGTGAGCCGGCACTGTGATGCTGGCGCCTCCGAAACGCCCTTACGCAGGGTCTGTGATGATCGTTCCTATCTCAAGAATTTTGGTCACGCTACGGCGATGATGATTTCCCTATTGTCTTGTCCTGGTTCGCGTCCTGCAAATCCATCTCACCCGTTACATGGCATATCTATGCTTCTAATGCGGACTAACGAAGTAGGTAAGGGCTGCTTCAGGGCTCAGACGCCCATCGGTCAACCGTTTCTCACTCAACAGCAGGGGCTCTGGAAGCCAGTCAGGTTTCGATTCTCCCAGGGCCATCCTGGCGATAGCCTCGCCGCACGACCAACACTGTGGCATGCCATAGCCACTGTATCCCGCAGCGATCCATTCACCGCCCTCCGCCGCCCTGCCGGTAACGCTTTGCGGCACTTTGCCCACAAATGGCAGGATGTCTGGAGTCATACCCATGATGCCCGTCCAGGCTTGGAGGTGCTTGAAGGGAGTTGACGTGTCTTCTCCCTCGGCTTTTTGGCCACTTGCCGGCCGATCAAACATCTTGGAGCCGAAGTGTTCTAGGGTTTCCAGGGTCTCGGCGGGCACCTCTTCGTCGTCGCTCTTGATGATCCCGTCCAGACGCCGCACGCCTCCCCCGCAGAAGATCTCCCCCGTCACCGCGTTCTGGTGCTGATAGTACAGCTTCGAATCCAGAATGCCAGTGCGAGAGTCATAGGTCGACGGTCGGTAGAACAGCCAGAGGTTCTTGGAACCCAAGTTCGGTTCCTGGGCGCCGAGGCCCTGGAGAGACATCGTCCCACGGTACGGGAAGATCTTGCCCTGGAGCCGTGGCAGGAGATGACTGGTGAATCCATTGCAGCAGTGGAAGACCTGAGAAGCCCGGACCTTGCCGCGTGGGGTACTCAGGATGTAAGGATACTTGCTGTCCGTGTCGGGAGCGTAGTCGATCGACAGCACCGGTGTCCGGGTTTCGATGGAGAAGCGGTTCGGGTAGCGGTCAAGAAGCCGCTGGAAGATCCCAGTGAATAGACGGTATGGCCAGAATGCCCAAGCTGTGGCAGTCAAAGCCCCAACCGCATTCTTGAGTTGGTGATGCTACACAAACAGCCTCGTCGTCAGCAGATGATTCTCTCATGAAAGCATGGAAGCTCTCCAGATATTGTTTTCGGGCCATGCTTACTTTCTTTGCCGAATCCTTGTCAATGATCGAATATTTGTCATTCTCCTCCGACAGTGCTTCCTCGTACAGGCGAACCGACGAAACAGCCGCGTTGAAACCTTCCTCGTCCTCGAATGCCATGACATCTCGGACTTTCCTGACTTCACACGCCCCGAGATCCTCGGAATAGGCTATATCGACCATCTTGTCCACCGTCCTCAGGGCGTACCGCGCAATGCGTCCCGCCGCCTCTTTCCCGTGCGCCTCAGCATAAGTCTTGTAGAACTTGGGAATGTGCGTCAACAGTTGGCCCCCGTTGCGGCCGGTGGCGCCGCTGGTCAGAGTGCGTGCCTCGAACACCGTGACCCTCTGATCGCCGGACAGCTCGTTCTGCAGGAGGTTGCTGGCGACGCTGCAACCGGACGCGCCCGAGCCGATGATGGCAAACTCCGTGACGGGGGGCAAATTCGCTGACCGGGCTTCAGACAACGGGTGAGGAGGGACCTGCCAGCCGGAGACAGATGGGTTGCTCGTCGGGATGCCCGGGTCGGCGTTCATCTGCGCTATCAAAATGTCCGTCGCATGACGGGAGAAATCATGGAGGGCCATGGCGTCGTAGATCGGCTGATGGTTGGTTGGTTTCAAAAGCAAAAGAAGATTGAGAGTCTCAGTATCGAACCTTTGTCGCTGGATTTATACTGGAAGAACTACCCTTCTGTAAATACTACATACTGTAATGGTTTGTTAGTGCTTTCAGGTTGAGTCGCGGTTAAGGAAGACCGGTCAGGCAACACTCGAAAGTTCACATTGTCACGCGGCTCCGGATGGAGAGGCCAGATTTACAGATGGTTTGAGCTGGTCCAAGCAGATTCAACCCCGTTGGTTTGCAACTGGCGTTCACAGCCTATCTCGTAATGCATATCTTATGTTATCTCGAAACTCATAGAATCTTGCTCGGTACCGGAAGCTGCTCTGCTTCCACGCCGCTGAAGACAGCCAGGAGGTTTGATGACTTTATCGCTTGGCTCAATGATATGCCCGGCTGTGGGACGACCGGGCACCATCCACGTAAGCATCCCCGGAGCCGCCGTTGAGTTCGACCGCTGGCTCTGGACCTTTGCAATTGACCGCAGTCCACCTCCGGTCAAGCGGACATTTGCGCGTCAGAACCTGACGGAGCAAAGTTAAGCGCGGTTGTTATCGTTATGAGGCGAGAATAAAACCCCCAGGCATGTCGAGGAGCAGGTGTTTCCCCGGATGAGATTCTAGAGTACAAATTGTGTATGCTTCCAACCAACGATCGTCTTTGAAAACTACACCAGACAACCTCCTTGCCCCCACTCCATTCCCCAGCACTTTAAGGAATAAGCCAAAAATGGGATCCGACCAAAACACTTCCAGCCGCGACGGCCTCCGCACGTCCAACCCGCCTGGCTTTCTATCCAAGATTGCCGGTGATCTATCAGCCTCCCAGGCGGTCGTCGTCCCTCCGAACGTCTCTCTCGTCGTGACATCCGGCCAATGTGGCTTCAGGGAGGACGGGTCCATCCCAGAAGATATTCAAGAACAAGTCGACCAGGCGTTTCAGAACGCCGAGAGGGTCTTGAAAGCCGCCGGGGTGGCCCAGGGATGGCAAAACGTGTACGAGATGACTTTGTACTACACCAGCCTGGATGAACCGTTCGTCAGCGCCCTGCAAAGCACCAAGCGCAGATATCTGGGGGATAACCGGCCGGTGTTGACGGGGCTCATGGTTCCAGAAGGGTACCAGGGTTCGGTCTTTGAAATGACCCTGCACGCATACATCAGCAATTGACAGTTATCCCTTTCGCTGAATTAGAAGGCCTCCTCGGTTGTGGCAGGTGAAGCTTTTTGCAGCTCGCGAGGAACCTTGGTGGAGTTGAGAAATAGAAACATCAACGAAGAGGGATCTACCACGACCGAAACTGTCGGGATTTTCCTAATGATGAATGACTGCCTCGCCCGCGGATTTATTTCTGCATCAGAATCAGCTCTTCGCTCACAAACATGAACAAAGTCATCCATGCAAATTCTCCCACTGCTGTCTTCCCGACATTAACTGGGTAACGTGAGATTGGGCATGCCGCTCTCCAAGCAAAGCCAGCCAGGACCTACATCTGTCTTGCCTTTGCTGGAAACATAGAAGCCTTGTCATGATGAGGGGGGGCCCCTAACCCTCGACCTGGACCGCTGTCCGGCTCCGGTTGTGGTGGCCCCCTCGGCCCCCGACAGTCAAACTTGTCTGGGAAAGAAGAGTGCCGGTTGCCATTCTCCGTCGTAGTCAAATCAAAAGTCCCTTTCTTTGAATCAGCATTACTGCGGTGATGCTTAGTCTCTGATCTCACGCGGGGGTCTGATGACCGGTTGATTGGAAGGGCTGCAGACGAACAGGCATCCGAGGACCGGTAGCAACTACTGTACTCGACGAGTCGACCTGCATCTGGTGTATCTGATTACATTTAGAAGACTTTCTGTGTCTCTTCTTCGGAGGCATAGCAAATCTGACGGTACGGACTGTACTTGACTATCCTCATCTTAAAAGCTCCATTGCCAGCCCTGAGTATATTTCCTTTGTCGGCTATCTTGCTCATGCTACTTGAGACTTGCACAGCTTTTCGGACAGTCTCTGTGAAATGGGTTCCGTTAACGAAATACGGCGCTCCACAGGCGAGCTCGGCCTGGAGGCGCAGAAGCTTCTGAAGCTGGAGAACCAATACTGCGTCGGGGGGTTTCTGCCACTTCCAGCCTACATCTCACGAGGTAACGGGGTAGTTCTCTTTGTAAGACAAAATACAAAGCTTCCCGGGGGGAAATTCGTCTGCGACTGACACAGGCTGTTGCAGGACGCCGATGGAAAGAGTTATCTTGACTTTATCGCGATGTTCAGTGCCGGCAATCTCGGCCAATGCCATCCCAAGCTTGTGCGGACTGTGGTAGAATTAGCATCCAAAAGCAAGTTAGGTGCACCAATACTTACGTCTGTACCTTTTGGCAAGGCTAATGGTGGTCGCTTGTTGAACACAGTAACCCTGGCCAATGCCGCTCTGAGAGTGGCCGAGTGGCCACCCTTTGCGGAGATGATGTGCAAGCGCTTTGGCTACGACCAGATCAATGCTACAGTCTCCGGGACCGAAGCCGCTGATGCGGCGGTCAAGATAGCCCGGAAATGGGGCCTCCAGGTCAAGAAGGTCCCGCAGGATCGAATCAAGGTCTTGGGGGTCGGGAACAACTACCATGGACTCTCGTCTGGGATCTGGCCCATCATGGAGCCGACTGATCGTCGGAAAGGTAGGAGCATACTATCTTTGCAATGTCATGTCCCAGGCCTGATCTAGTGACTTGATTCCCGTACAAAGGCTTCGGAGTGACAGATCCATCCTTGTCCAACTTGAACCCAAGCACCGGCGAGGTGCTCCGGTATGGCTCTGTTGAAGACATGGAAAAATGTCTGGCCGAGCATCATCAGAATGTCGCTGCGGTGATGATGGAATGCATTCATGGGCACGCACCGTCCGCTATATTCGCATTTTGAGGCAGTGAGTACTCTTGTGCTAACCTCGACAACAGAACATTCCAGGAAGATATCGACTTCGCACGTGGCGTCGCCCTGCTCTACAAAAAGTACGGTGTCCTTTTCATCTCCGACAAGGTCCGCATGGGCGCTGGAAAGACTGGACGTTGGCTGTGCTCGGAGTGGCTGGGCCCGGACGTCAAAGCCGACATGATCGTTCTAGGCAAATCTCTCACCGGCGGTGCCTATCCGGCCTCCTTTGTGCTTGGAAACAAGGAGACCATGTCCCTCGTCACTCCGTACACCTGCGCCGGGACCTTTGCAAACACGCCGTTGGGCATCGCGTGCGCCCGAACGGCCACGGAAATCATCGACGAAGAGGGACTGGTCGAGCGCACCGCAGAAATCGGCCGGAGGTTTGTCGAGTGGACCAAAGACTGGAAGCAAAGGTTTCCCTACATCGCCTTTGCCACCAACCGGGGAGCCGATCTTCAGCTGGTGATGAAGCCTGACTGCGGCCAGGATTTTGACGCGAGGCGCTTTGCGGCTCTGGCCATGTCCAAGGGACTCTTGACACACCCGTTGCATGGCTCGGTCCGCATGTCGGTTCCAATGGTCATCACGGACGAGCAGCTGTTGAAGGGCTTCCAAATCTTGGAGGAGACCGCCTCGGAACTCAAGGACTACGACTTTATTGCTGGTGATAACATGTAGTGGCAGAAACAGAATTGATTGTCGCAATGGGATAATTGCTTTTTCCATCGATCCAATCTGTAATGTCTGGAGTGCTGGCAGATTCAAACGCTGCAGTCAAGGGTCGTCAGGGCAATTTTGCGGCGTCAACCTTGGATCCCACCAGCTGCAACAAGGCCCCCGTACAAAGTGTAGGTGCGGTAGAAGTAGGGAGTGTAGAGAACGAGACCACTGAGTTTCAGCACCATGTCTTGATTGTCTTCTGTGACCTGGGGCTGTAACAAGTGCCGAGAATTGCGAGACGCATTGAAGCAGGCTTACATGCGAGCGCGATAGGAAGCTTGTGGTTCGGCGGCCTGAAGTATGAACTACTAGTACTGGAGTATCTTTCCCTCCGTTGTCGACACCGGAACCGCAGGCTCCGCCGGTCGATCTATGCGGACGTCCCCGATGGGTGCTTCCCTGATGGCGGCGAATCAAAAGCCTCTACCCGTGTTTGCAATGACGAGTCACTGTCGAGTCTCGCTGTTATCTCGTGCAAGGAATCATACACCAATGATGTTCACATGGCAGGATGAGGTATCGTTGACCCTTTGATCAAATGTTTTTTGCTCTTCTCATACATAGAATTTCCCTAGAGAATATCTACAGAATAGCATCCGGGTTCTGGTCGTATTCTTCGAGGAAGTCAACCAGCGTCCTGATTTGTATGCCTTTGAAATATTTGGTCCTTTGAGCGTCGACCTCCTTCGCCTCGAGTGACGCTGGGCCAGTGCAGGAGAAGATCTGATACTCGGCCAGACCACTGACATTTTTATCGGGAGAATTTCTTTCCTCGACTAGTTGCTCCAGAGATTTGAAAGTCGGTTTCATGTCCGGGTGTCTGGCGCGCATCACCTCGAAGACATCGAGCCAACAGGTCTTCTGGCCCGAGACGAAGGTGTAAGGCTCCCATCTCGGGGCTTCCAGCAGAGCCGTGACTGCCCTGGCAACGTCGCGAACGGCCGTGATATCGACAGGCTCCTTTCCGGTCCCGGGAATCACGGCGCGGTTGGTGCTCAGGTCGATCGGGAAGGTTTCGCCAATCTCCTTGAGGTGCCTGTTCTTGGGCGGCACGACGTAATCCATGAACCAGCCCGCGCAGACCAAGGTCCATTCTACGTCTTGCTGGTTTCTCAAGGCCTCGCGTACCGGTTCGTGGGAATCGGCGTAGAAGGGTGGCTCGTGTGGGTAGTGCTTGATGTCTCCAGCAAACTCCGAGGGGATGAACCGTTTGCATTTGGGGCTTTTCTGACAAGCTTCCAGCAGTGTCAAATGCAAGTCCTTGTATCCCATCGAGTAGTCCAAGACCGCTGATATCAGAGCTTCGCAGTCGGCGATTGCTTTGCTGACCGAATCAAGTGTATAGTCGGTGATGACTTGGTTGACATTCGGTCTTTTCAAATACTCCTTCTCGCTCCGGGTCAGGATCGTGACTTGATGGCCCGCCTTCAAGAACTCTTCGCAGAAGTAGCGAGCGAGATCGCCTGCCCCAGCGATAGCAACACGCATATTGAAAGTGAGCAATCAGCGATTCGGTGACAAGACAAACGACAAGGAAATATGTGTTGGAGAGAAGATTCAGGATGAGAGTATCGTGATTTATAGCCAGAGGTATATCGTGATGCGGAGCCTTGACTTTGTTCTTTCGAGCGCCGCTTACAAAAGCATCTTGTTATGCACGCAGTTGTTCAAGCTGTATATCTGCTTGCTTGGTAAACGGGGGAAGTATCTCCGTCGGCGCACGAGGAAGAGCGGCCGAAAGCTTGCGCAGCAGCAGAACAAAGAGTATTGATTTCTCCCCCAGCCTATCACTTGTAAGGCTCGTTTCCATTGGATGCCTTACCTGCCCCAGAAGCTGAAGACATTCATTCATCCGTTCGTCCGCACCGTGCCGTGGAGGATCTTAGTTTATGTCATGACAATAGGCGAGTGTGGGAGAGCTTCTATGTGGGCTTGCTAGTCTGGTGTTTATTTGGTAGGAAACAGACCCCGACTCTTCATCCGCGGAGCCGGTGCGAGCCTCGAGGTGTTGATATCCCAATCAGGTATGGCATCTACACCAGTTCACGACGGCGACACAGATTAATTAGGTCCGCTAATGGAACCCATTGCTACCCTGTTTGCCAAAACACACCTCTAGAGGGCTCTTGAGGTCGACCCAGCCAAGGAAGGGGTCGCTGACATCGTAGCCCAGCAGAGCTTGGACTGCAGAGGGATACTGAGCGGCTTTCTCCAGCGGCACCGCGAGTGGTATGTTCTCCTCCTACATGCTTGGTCAGTCACAGTTGCGAGAGGCCGGTTTGAAGGCTTCCAGCGGCAAGGCGATCTGCTGACCTGTCGGAGATATCCCTTGCACATAAATGTGCCGTAGAGGAGCCTTTCCTCGTTCTCCGTAGTATTGGCCGAGCCGCCGTGATAACACGATGCCAACATGAGGAAAGCATCCCCAGGCTCCATTTCCGCAAACACAGCACCCTCCTCAGACGGCGGCTGCAGTGTGTGTTGAAGATGCGACCCGGGCACGAATCGAGTGGCTCCATTGGCTCTCGTGGCCTTCTTCCCGGCAACGAAGCAACCGACCGCTGTGTCCCGACCGGGCTGGTAATCCTCTCGCGACACCGCAGGCAGGATGTTGTGGTGTATGGAATCGTCTCGATGGAGATCTTGAGCCCGTGCTCCGGGCCCGATGGAAAGCACAGTGTGCGCGTTGAGGATCGGTTTCGACGTATGTTCCAGGCACTTGTCACCGACCCAAGACTTTGTGACTGAAGCGAGTAATCTCTTGCAGATCGCTTGGTATGTCGGGTCCGCCACAATCTTTTTGACATAGGTTGGGGATTTGCCAGCCAAGCCGCACACTTTGCGCGTTTCTCTAGGGAAGAAGGCTCCTTGGAAAGGCTGGTCACCGTCCAAGTAAGGACGAACCTCATCTTCTATCTGCTTCAGGCTTTGCTTGTCCAGGAACCCGCGGATAAAACAGCCCCCGTCACGTACAATGGCTGCCACGACATCATCGACCCTTGCGTCTGTTCGGTCGAAACTGCAGACGGCTTTTGATTGCTTGTTCACTGCATCAGCCATGGCGACGAGGCCGGGAGTACTCTTGGCTGCAAATGCGGTGGTTATTAGAAGTATTAGATGTACAGTTGACACGACTTTAGAAGGTCGACGAGGCTATGAAGCGTCCTAGGACCGACAAGGCCAAGGTTACCTGGAAGATGCCACAAGTGGCCCTCAGGAGGGGCGTTGGTTGATATCAGACCGCGGAGCCGGATGACCGCGGGCCCGAATGGCAGCTCAGTATCCAATGCTAAACCATCCTTGACGGCTCAGAAGGCCAAACTGGAAGTTGTCCTGGGTTCGCAAAAAAGGCAACAGCCTTCGAAGACCAATGTCACAAACCGACCGGGTTGGATATCAATCATGTGTGAAGATTGATACAGGCCATCTACGTATAGCGTTCCGCCCCACAAGTTAGCAGACCAGTTTCGACGTCGAGATAGCAGACCATTCGAGAGCCCTCCGTGGAATTCGGTCGCCCTTGCCTCTTTCAACCCGTCGACCTGGGGCTGGCTCGCGTCAGGAGGTATTTAAGAGCGCTCACCGCTCACACCAAGTGGCTGTGATCCTCCAAGAGCCGGTCAGGATATCCCAACATTCAAAACTTGACCTGTTCTTAGACAGATAGACTTGAGAGCTTGACATCATGACAAAGCCGTTTCAGGGAAAGACTGCCATTGTCACGGGCGGCTCGAGAGGTAATAACGAAGTTTGCCATAACATTGCCAACTGGTTCTGATATATGTTCCAGGGATCGGTGCAGGGATTGCCAAAGAACTCGCCCGGAGCGGCGCATTTGTCGTTTTCTCCTATGCTTCCTCTTCCACCAAAGCCAACGCCGTGGTAAAGGAAATCGAATCCACCGGAGGCAGAGCTCTGGCGGTTAAAGCAGACTGTACAGAATACAGCTCGGCTAAGAACTTGGTTGATGCTACGGTTGAGGCGTCCGGCGGCAAGATCGACATCATCGTCAACAATGCCGGTTGCGGCGACGATGTCCTTCTCGACCAGGTCGATGAAGAAACGTTCGACATGACGATTTACACCAACTTGCGCTTCCCGCTCACCTTGATCAAAGAGGCAGTGCCTTTTCTCCAGCAAGGCTCGAGAATCGTCAACGTGGGTTCTGTGGCGTCGAAACTCGGTAAGTGGGCAAGCGTACTCACTCTACTGGGTATACCTTCGCTTGTGAAACAGAGGCCCGTGGCTAACGAACGTCTCTGGGATATCCAGTCAGCCCTTACAGTCATCTGTACTCCGCCAGTAAGGCAGCACTTGAGGCCGTGAGTCGGACCATCGCAGCCACCCTGGGGCAGAAGTATAGCCTGACTTGCAACACGATCAACCCGGGCCCCGTTGATACCGACATGTAAGGAGTACCAACGGTCTTGCACCATGACCTTGAATCTGACAAGCCACTAGATGGAACGAAACATTGGGCAGAGAAAAGTTCCAGGCTACCATTGAGGCAACCCCTGCAGCGGGGAGAATCGGCACGGTCGATGACATTGTTCAGATTGTGAAATTCCTGGTCTCTGAGGAAGCTCGATGGGTCACCGGGAATACCACCTGCGCCAACGGCGGCATGCTGTTTGACTGATCGATGTCGCAAGAAGAAGGCAAAGTGCTCGGACACCTCCTGAGAGTTGAAGAGAATCATCTTGAGTTAGTCACGACATGATGAGACAGAGATCTAACAGGCGAGAAGGTTGTAGTGCCACAAGCTCACACCGATGGGGAACTTGGGTTTGGGATCTGTGAAAGCTGGAGATTTACTCTGCGCCTTTTTCACCCTGACTTCCTACCCTGCTTTCTGAGGTAGAGCGTTCAATGGCTGTAGCAAGTACTTTTCTCCCCCCATTTGTCAACACCCCAAGAATCTGCTCAGAATCCCTCAACACCCAGCGCCTTGTAGACAATCCTAGTATACGCCTCGGTTCTTTCCGAGCCAAAGATGCCTGAACCCATCTTGTTCATTACATAGGAGAAGGTCACTTTTCGGTCGAGATCCATCAGTATCAGAGAGCCTCCCCAACCGCCCCAGAAGCAGACTCGGCCCTGCGGCAGCCAGTCGATGGACTGGGAGGTAGTGCCGCCGGTCAGACCATATCCAATCCCAGATCTGAGGGGCACTTGATCGACCACATCCATCCCATCAGCCTGGACCTCAAATATCTTCTCAATGATCTGTGGGGTGAGGTTCTCGACTCCGTCGTTCGTCCCCCCCTTGGTGATGGACGACAGGATACGGACCAAAGATCTCGCGTTGGCGTGGCCGTTGGCGCCAGACAAATCAGCACGTCTCCATTTCGGGCGCAGCGCCCACGTCGCGTCAAGAGGCGGATTCGCAAAAGCCATGAATGTTGGACTCTTAGGGTCGAGGCTGGCAAAGTCGATGGGCATGGTCGGGGCAGGAATGATCGGGGCGATGCGCGACCAGTCCTCTTCCACGGCGCCAATCTGGAAGTCGGCCTGCAACGGTCCGGCGATCTCATCGGCGACGAACTGCTTCATGGTCTTGCCGCTGGTGCGACGAATCAATTCGCCTATTAAATGGCCCTGGCTGATGGCATGGTAGCCCGAGACGCGCCCAGGCTCCCAAACGGGTGCTTGCTTCTCAAGCCTGTCGGTAGAGACCTTGAGGTCACAGAGTTCTTCCACGGTAATAGGCTCGGTCCAACCTGGCAACCCCGCGGTGTGGGACAGAAAATGGCGGACAAGTACCTTCTCTTTGCCATTCTGTGCGAACTCGGGCCAGTACTGGGCCACGGGAGCGTCGAGGTCGAGTTTCCCACGGCTTACTTGGAGGAGCGCGGCCAAGGTGGCGACCGTCTTCGTGCAAGACCAGACATTCGTGATGGTGTCTTTGGTCCACGGCTTGGTACGGGCCTCATCGGTATAGCCTGCCCAGATGTCCACAACGTTCGTGCCATCGACGTTGAGCACGATCGAGGCGCCCAGTTCGTCACCGGAGGCGATCTGCTTCTCAAGTTCTGCTCTGAGGGCATCGAAGCATGGATGACATTCGCCCTGGGCTTTGGCCATTGCTGGTATGCGTGGAGAGAGGGCCGCGAAGTCTCTCAATGGAACATGAATCTGGTGGTGTGCTGAATTTCACTAGATGGAAACGTCGTCTACTGCAGGTCGTGCTTTGAGGAGTGAGGTGCGCTTTGGGCTCTGTATCCTGCAACGCCGCGACTGGAGTGACAATGTCTGCTTGTAACGGCAACGACGTCCAGGTTCCTAGGAAAGAAACATTCTGAAACTTGGGTCATTGTGCCTGACCATGCGACTATATATCACACTGTTCCGCAAAAGTGCCCTACGCGCTCGCCTGCAAGAGCATTGCGCGTAGACCTCCACATCGGAAGTAACTATGCAAGGGCAGGAGGACGCAGGTATCCATTATCGCGGTTAAGCTGTATCCACTCAGATGTCTCCTGAGTAGCCTCCTGTGGCTGTCGTGTCTGCGGAGGCCACGACAGTGACAAGTGCTCAATCCGACGAAGGCTGGCTTCCCGGGAGCTGGAGAACCCGCGGCTCCGCGGCTCCCAGACCTCCGGACGATGCAGCCAGAGTGGCGTCGCTGTCGTGCTGGGATCATCCAATCGAAAGTCCGGGTCTAGTCCTCCTATCATAACATGTCAATAGGTGGGGTGGGAGAAAGAGGGGGAGGGGGGTTCTCCCCACAGCGCCTGGAGGCGCAGGGTCCAGTTGCGATCTCGTCGAGCGTGCGACCGAAGTGACCTCAGATCCTTACTGCACTTCAGTCGAAGCGACAATTCCTGGATGCTCACTCTCTTGGACAACTCGGACGCCTCAAATATGCGCGATACATTCCAAGACATTTTCCATGGTAACTTCTCGAGCGGAGTCGAGAGCCAATATGTGCTCGACGTCTTTGAAGAGTTCGACCAAGGTGACCCACCACGTGCTTCTCAGGACGAGTTCTTCTTGGACTACGAGTCATTCCTTCCTAGCAACGAGGGACAACAGGATCAGTGGCAGCAAGGGTCGCCAGTAACTCACGACAGTCAAGACTGGACCGATGCTTTTGCTGCTACAGTTCCTCGCCGGTCTCCGCCTCCAGGAGAATATCTCGTTTCCGAGAACAACGACCAGGACGTCGCGTTGTCCGGCAGCTCAGAGGCCCTCACGAGCCATGCCCGCTCGGGCAGCACTTTCCAGTCGTTGGAAGCCTCCGATACACAAGATGCAGGATTGGCAGGAGATGACTCTGTGATTGCGGACAAAGCGCCCACAACATTCAGGCGGCCTCGCAAGCAGAATCAGTCCTGTGACCAATGTCGACATGGCAAACGCGCGTGCACTCTTCCAAGGGACATTACTATTCAGATGCAAAAGCCTTTGGCGCCTTGCTCCACGTGCAAAGTTCGAGGCCTGGAATGCACCGCCACATGGCTGGAGAGCAAAAGATCGATGCAGGCTTCTCGAAAGCGAAGCAGAAAATCCACGTCTCTGTGCGAAACGACTCAAACCACCGACGACTTGGCCTCTCGATCAAAGCCAACAAAGTCCACAACGGGGGCGTTGCACGTCGGTATCATGGCTTCTTTATCCGCCTCGAATGTTGACCTGACGCGACAGTTCTCGGCCAGAGAAATGTGTGCCCAGTACCTTAACCTCCATATTGACGTCTGCGATATGCCTATGGCTCATTCTCTGCTACAGGGAAGCATGCCTGCACGGTACTCTTCTGGTTTGGCAGCTTTGACACCGCTATGTTGCCCCGTCTCCATGTGCCCTTATATGGAAAGGGCCGAAGAATGGACGAGGAGCTGCTGGAACATTGATTTTGACTCACGGACTCTGGCCTCGGTCGGGCCACGCCTCTTCCGCACCGTTGGTGTGCTTGATTCAATTTTTGAGCATCGGAGCGCTGGGAGTTGCTCGGCCTCGATGGCTGCGCGGGACGCCTCGATCAATGAGGCATACAAGTGGGTGGCGGCGGCCACGGCAACACAGTTCGCGATCGCTGGAAATGCCAGTAATCACGGAAGAGAGACCCCAGCCAAAGTCCCTCGATCAAAAATCCGTGATATTGCCTATACAACATGGCTCACGGCCAGGCAGGTGCTGTTTGAGAACATATCAGCCATGGGCTCCTTTCGTCTCGCGCTGTCACTGTTTCTCTTTGCCCTTGTTCAGCCACCAGATGTGGGGAACCGCCGGGTCAAGTTCAACGAAGACGTCAAGTACGCCTTTTGTGAAGGAAACCGACGCCTTGAGACACTGTGCTCCCAAGCGCGGCTATGTCTTCGCTACGGGGAAGACTCGTCCATGCACTTCTGCCATTGGAATGTTCGCAAGTCTGTGCAGGGATCTGATCCAGCTCATTCTTTATCGTCCGACGTCAAGGAAAATATCTCAGAGTTGATCGGGGCCGTCGAGTGGCTCGTTACCATGACCAACGCCATGCAGATCGTGATCTCCAACGGGGCAATCGGTAGATTACCCGGTCTGCCGCATTCTGATCATTCTTCCCCTGAATTTGGGTGCGATGACAATGTCCAAGAACAAGACATGGACGTCCTCCAAGTGACACGACCATGCGAAGAAGGCATCCAAGATCCTGCTGTGGATGACCACCAGGGCGAGGATCTCACCACGCTTTGCAAGAAAGGGGCATTGGAAGAGTCAATGCTTAAGACGATGAGACGATCGGCGTTCATCGTCATTCTCTTGTGGAAGACGCTGGCGCATTTGGTCGTGGCTACCGACACTGTCGACGCCAGAGATCTCGATTGCACAAAGGTACGCAAGATTTATACAAGTGCAGTCACTCTGATCCGCCTGTGGAGGTCAACCTTTGGGCCTTTTGACAGTAGCACGGTCATGAGTTTTCGGACATTACAGCCTGGCACGCGCGTAGCGATTGCTTACTGCCTGAACGACGGCGACCTGGGAGTCCTATATTTCTACGACATAGCACAGAGACTCAAGGCCAAACTTGCGGTGTCGCCTCGGAGCTCCACAATGGAGGCTCTGGCTGAATAATTGCGGTCGACAAGTACTTTTCGCACCAAGGAGCGGATCGCCAGTGCCACTCAGATTTCTCACCAGTCGTCCGGTAGCAAGGACACGTTTAGTCCGGGCTTTGAAGGGACGCAAGGGTTGAAAGCTCACATCCAAGACATTGCTGCGCATCCTGTAAGTCCTAGCTCTCTCTCTGGCCTCATGTAGCGTCTGCTTACTCGGTCATCTAGTGTCCGGCTCTGGTAGTGCAAGCACACAAGCTCGCTGCGAAGGCTTTCGCGGATGACTTGCACCCGTTGATTGCACGCAAGGACTGGAACCGGGGCTCGAGGATGATAGAAGGCTTCCACACCTGTATGGACGGCCTCCAGGAGCTTCAACAGACGTTGGTCACCTTGCCAGATTGGAGAGACGATGAAAACGATTAAGTATCGATCATTCGGCGGTCAACGTTCAGCCCAACGGAATCCCGAGTCCACCTTGCGTCTTCCGGTCAACGAACTCGTCAGGCTCGGCGTGTTGCCCGCTCTCCCTTCTCGGATACCCATAGACGGCGGCTCCTCACACTCTGGTGTGATGGCTTCAGGTTGCCTGCCCAGAATTGCTCAAAGTGCCGCCGAGAGCACCATCATTCCCCTGCACCTTTCCCTTCTCCTCTTCCGCTCCTGAGCTCCTATGTCAAGTCGAGCACGACTCTACCCTGAAGTCTGCCTTGCTCCATGTCTCGAAAGATACTAGTGAGAGCTTCCATGGGCTCAATTCGGATGCTCGCCTTCAGCGTTCCGCGGGCCGCAAATTCGAGGGCTTCGATGGACTCTTGACGAGTACCAACCGCAGAGCCTGTGATGGTGTAGTGATTCGCAATCAGGCTCCCCGGGCTTGCCGAAGCGATGGCCTGCTCGCCACCCTCGGGCATGCCCACACAAACCATCGTGCCATTGAAGCGCAGAAACCGTAGCCCCTGTGCGTACGCCTCGTTGGAGGCCGTGCATACAATGACTGCGGGAGCACCGAGTCCGTCGCACAGAGTCCTCACATGAGAGACGATGGCGTTGCCTTGGGCTTCTCGGGGAAACTGTGTTACGTCGACGAAATGCTCTGCGCCACAGGAGAGAACCAACTCCGCCTTGCTGGGATGATCGACTCCGACAACACGCAAACCTATCCCACGGCTCGCAAGCTGTACAGCCAAGTGGCCCAGGCCACCACCCGCACCCTGGATCACCACCCACTGGCCCGACTGTGCCTTGCAGCGCTTCAGCGCAGAATACACGGTGAGACCCGCACACAGTATCGGTGCAGCCTGCGCCGAATCCAGGCCGTCGGGAATGGGCGTCACGTAATGGGCCGGACTGACCACGAATTGCTGAAATGTTCCCGGAAAGAAATAACCGGATATCTGTTGATTGAAGCAGAGCCCATCCGACTGGGCCTGGCAAGCTTCTGCGAAGGGGGGTGTTAAGTTAGTTCAGACAAGAAGGATGACTTCCTGGGGGAAATGGAAACACCAACGACAGTGGCCGCACGCGTCGGCGATCCATTTGATTCCAACGCGGTCTCCCAGTTTCAATTGTGAGTTCGCGGTCTCCGAGCCCAGCTTCACGATGTACCCAACACCCTCGTGCCCGCCGATCTGCCCCTTGGGGGTTGGCTCCGGTAACGTGGTCCACTGCGGTGTATATGAAGTGAGCCAAAGGACAACTACGACGACGACGATGACAACACAACCCAACCCAACCTCCTTTCGACGGCTGGCCCGGTCGACTCGCAACACACGTGGCATCGAGGGCTTCTCATACCGAATTGGTCATGACGCCAAAGTCTGAATGACATACTCCAGAATGAGTCCTTTTGAAATGCACGTTAGAGACACCCCTGTTGCGCCTTTTTTCAAGAAAGCCATCTGGGTCAACTTACAGGCGAACAAGTACTTCGCCGGGACCAGGCTGGGGCACTTCGCATTCAACCACCTTGGTCGACACAGTCCCGGGTTCATCGTAGATGATGGCTTTCTGCACGGTCGGGATGGCCATCGCGAGGCGGGATGGAGGCTGTTGGACGGAGAGATGCCTGATGACGGGGTCGCCGGGCTCGTGTCCACGCGGTGCACTTGTTTATAACAATGGCTATGTTTTTCCAGGCTAAGAAGGTTGGTTCAATGTCGTGACCGTAGGAAGGGCGACTCAGGATATTGCGTAAGGGCCGCGGAACCGGGGGGGGGGGGGTTCCCTACGTTGTCCAGAGATTCCGGTTCTTAGAGCCCATACTACAATTAACGATAATGCCACCTGGTGATTCTCAGTCTACCTGCGTGGACAGGGATGCCTGGCTGCCCTCGTCTACGTAAAAGGGAGGCCGGTTTGTACTACTTGGTAGCATGCCTCGCAACATCTCATACCCCACACTTTGCTTGTTAACCAGGAGCCTCCTACGGTCGTGAAGCCGAGAACTGCTCTCCGACAGTTGTGCGAGGCACCGGGACAAATGGAGCTGTCGAAGCCCGGTTACGGCGGGTTTCCCTGACCAGAACTTCATTGCCCTTTACATCGCCACCTCAAAGACGCCCGTGATGTTGCTGCACTTTCTGTCTTGGAACCTTTCAGGGCCTAGATAGTCTCCCTGAGGAATCTTTGCCTTTTGCATCTTTGGCCCCCGGTCGAGTAGACGTCGCTACTCGGCTTCCCGCCCACTATTCCCGGCTCCGCGGATCCGATCTCTTTCTTTGGCCGTTAAGCAGCCCCCGTTTCAAGGTAGAAACAATGGACTCGAACTGTGCTTGTATATAGCCACCTTTATAACAGAGCGAACTCTGCTTTGAGAGGCATTTTTGGGCTGGTCATACGACCGAAGCCTATCTTTTCACGAAATGGACACCTTATCGTCCCTGGCAGGCCTTTTACTGGTGCTTGCCGTCGTCTATGCGGCTCACGCCGCCTGGCTCAGCTTGTGGCACGCTCGACGTGCCCGTCAACTGGGATGCCAACCTGCCTTTGTGCGGCCGTATCGGTGGCCGTTCGCCCTGGACATACTGAAACGGATCATGGTACAGACGGAGGACCAGAACGTTCAAAACGACGACGTGAAGCTGTACGAAGAGATGGGCTGCCGTCCCACATGGTATCAAAACATCCTGGGAGACTGGCACCATCTGACCAGCGACCCAAAGAACATACAAGCGATCCTGGCCACGCAGTTTAAAGATTTCCAGCTGGGCCCCCTGAGACGGGGTGCTTTGGGACCACTTCTGGGTCATGGGATTTTCACCAACGACGGTGTAGACTGGTATGTGATGTGAAATCTTCCTTCATTTGGAAAACACATTGGCGATTGGAGATTTTAAACAAAAGGTTCCAGGGAGCGTTCTCGGGCAATGCTGCGTCCGCAGTTCGCCCGCGGTCAAGTGGCAGACCTGATGCTCGAAGAAGTCCACGTCCAACACCTCTTCAACAGACTCGTCGATGGTGAGAACTCGTGGACCACCGAAGTGGACCTGGTCCCTCTGTTTTTCAACCTGACCCTCGACTCTGCGACCGAGTTCCTCTTCGGCAAAAGCGTGCTCTCCCAGAACAACCCCACCGGCACGTCCCCGGGGAGTGTTACCACGGAGAAAGAGACACGAGATCCTACCACGGAGTCGTCATGGCTTGCCTGGTCATCTTTCGGGCATCATTTCGATTCGGCAAATGTGACGACAAACTACCGCAGCCGACTGATGGGCTTATATTGGCTCTACAACCCACGACGGTTCCAGGATGACTGCCGAGAGGTCCACAAATGCATCGACTATTTTGTGCAACTCGCGCTGACCCGGCAGAAGAAGGGACAAGTAGATGATGAATCAGAAGACCATCAAGGATACATCTTCCTGCACGAACTCGTCAAAACCACGCAAGATCCCGTGGAATTGCGCAGCCAGCTCCTCAATATTCTGTTGGCGGGCCGGGACACCACGGCGGGACTGTTGGGCTGGACCTTCTACCTGCTGGCTCGTCATCCAGCGACCTACCAGGCCTTGCGCACGGCGGTCCTCGATACATTCGGGACGGGCAAGGAATCCATCACCTTCGAGGCCCTCAAGTCATGCTCCTACCTGCAACACACCATGTCCGAAGTTCTCCGACTGGAGCCCGTCGTCCCGGAGAACAGTCGTTGCGCGGTGAGAAACACGACCCTGCCGAACGGCGGCGGCCCTGACGGACGGTCTCCGATCTACATTCGAGCCGGTCAGGAAGTCGCCTACAACGTCCACATCATGCATCGGAGGCAGGACATTTGGGGAGAAGACGCCAACGAGTTCAGACCCGAGCGGTGGCAGGGACGCAAGACCGGCTGGGAATTCTTACCCTTCAATGGGGGACCTCGCATCTGTTTGGGACAACAATTCGCCTTGACCGAGGCAGGGTATGTCATTGTCAGGATCTTGCAGAGGTACGACCGCGTGGATAACCTGGGCGATGAAATCATCACCAAGCGCAAGTACACGTCGACAACCTCCCCGACGAAGGTGCTGGTGCGCTTGCATGAAGCCCTCCCGGGGAAGAAGTGATGTCTACAAAGAAGCGACGGTTTGATGCAGTATAGATGATGGCTACAGATATGGCGGAGAGACAAAGGAATGTGATCAGTCGTTCCTCTCCACCATCGTCCTACAAGCGTGTGCAGTAGGTGTTTTGTAGTCCACTATTCCTCTGCCTGGTAGTCTCTTGATAAGACAACAAGTGGGAACGGACGATCCTTCAGTACATGGCTTTGACCCCAGTTTTTCAGCCAACGGTCGTCACAACGGTGAATGACCGTATCTGACGAGAGACTATGCCTTGTTCTTCCAATACGACTAAACGAGGTACTCGCCGTATGGTCACCGTCTATCCTTCTTGGACCATATCTCGCTTGTGCCGTCTCGCAGCTGGTCAGCCTAAAACCCTCTGATCAGAAAAGTATAACTCACAAAGTCTAACTCTGAGCTGAGTGCTACGGAACCGGTGACACATTCAAGGCCGCCGCCCGGCTCCGCAAATCCGGGGATCCGAGTCGCCACCAGACAAGTCTGTGCCCTTCGCAATCACCTTGACCGCACCGGCTCTTTTGCACAATACACACCCCATACTCCAGCCCCCTGTTTCGCTTCTGGCAGAGGGAGTCCAAGATGATACTGGTCCGACACCGCCAATTGCCCGATGCCCAATCAATCCGCAGATAAGGGAAATGCACTGGCAACGATTTCGTCATCAAGGTAGCTGACCTTGGCTCTTATAAGAGTACTATACCACCCTCCCCAGATCCCCCGGGTCCCCCAGATTAGTGCCCTTTGCGCAAAACTGTGTTGGGACCCTTGTCAAAATGGCCAAAGCCGAGAAAGACTTCGACAGCGAGACGACGGGCCTGGAGATGAATGCGGCCGATGGCGGGGAGGCTTCTGTAGCAATATGCAGCGTCAAGCCCAAGGTCCACTTCAACCTCTGGCAGACCCTGGGCATGAACTTCTCAATCACAGCGACCCCCGTCACCGTGGGAGTCTACACGGCTCTCACCATCGGACTTGGCGGCTTTCCGTTCTACATCTGGGCCCTCGTGGTGGCCTCATTCTTCCAGCTCATCACCTGCCTCGCCATCGCCGAGCTCGCTTCTGCCATCCCCCATTCGTCTGGTACGTGGTGTCTACCTATCTACCCACTCTCTCTGGTGCAGTCCGCGGATAGCATGGCTGCTGAGTATGCTGACTGGTGTCTCTAGGCCCCTGCTTCTGGGTCCAGCACCTGGCGCCTCCCAAGTATTCGCGATTCCTCGGATATCTGACCGGATGGCTCACGACGGCGCTCTGGTGGTTCTTGACGACCGGAGCCAACCTTTTCCTGTGCCAGCTGACCCTCGGAGCGGCGCAAGCCAACAACCCGGGCTACCAGCCGCCGCAGTGGCACTACTTCCTGGTCTACTGCGCGTGGACGACCATGGACTTCCTCCCCAACCTGCCGCGACTTTTCAAGGTCCTACCGTACATGTTGACCGCCTGCGTCGTCGTCATCAACGCGACGGCCGTCTATCTCCTGGTGTCCCTGCTCGTCCGCGCGACCCCGAAACAAACTGCACATACTGTGTTTGTGCAAGTGGTCAATGAATCAGGCTGGCCGTCCAACGGCGTCGTCTTCTTCCTGGCTCTCACCCCGGGCCTTTTGCTGGTCGCCGGCTTCGATTCGGTCACCCACATCACCGACGAGCTCGAAACACCGACCAAGCAGGTCCCACAGGTCATGATCGGCTCGGCCCTACTCAGCGCGGTGACGGCGCTCATCATGGCCATCGTCTACTCCTTCTGTGCGGTCAACGTGGCCAATCTCCTAAATCCCTATGGGCACCAACCGATAATCCAACTGGTTTTCGACACGCTCCGGTCGCCGGCTTTGGCGACCCTGGCATCAGCTCTCATGATACTGGTGGGTTATTTCGCCGCCGTCGCCACCTTCACCAGCTGCAACCGGCTATATTGGTCCTTTGCGCGCGAAGGCGGTCTTCCCTTCTCCCGGGCCTTGGCTAGGCTCTCTACAAGCGATGCCCTCCCCCTCAACGCAATGCTCGTCAACTACGTCCTGACCCTCGGCTTGGGCACCATCCAACTGGGCTCTCTGACCGCCCTCAACGCTCTCGCCGGGTCCGCCGTCGTTTGTACGACGCTGACATACTCCCTCCTCTTCGGGTTGCTGCTCTGGCGCGGGCGCGACTTTCTGGATTCGGATCGGTGGTTCAATCTGGGCCGCTTCGGCACCGTCGTCTACGTCGTGGCCATGGTCTGGTGTATGTTTGTCACCGTCTGGCTTTGTTTCCCCCTGTACCTTCCCGTCACCCTGCCGTACATGAACTGGACCTCGGTCGTGGTCGTGGGTATTTCGGTCCTGTCCGTCGGCTACTGGTTCCTGTTTCGACCCCAGCCTCTACAGGATTGATCCTTGTCAGAGAGGAGTCTGCCTCCTCCGAGGGCTGTGAGGAGGGTGGGGGACATGGTAGAGAAGGAAGACATAAGGAGGGGATCCTTGAACGTGGACTCGCGGAGAGAGGTGATTGTTGAGCCACAACAGAATTAGTAGTGATTTATCATTGCTTGACCTCGAGAACATTGGTGCGTGGTTGTCGCAGCTCATCTCCTCTCTGGTGGGCGTGCAAAGACAGTAAGGCCGGACTTTTTTCGAGGGACTTTCAACGGAAAGTGGCAGGCTGCACTAAACAGTTAAAGGGTTCTAGGCTACTAATTATTTGAATCTCATGCACGTCTATTGTAGTCTAGCCTTACGAAACACCCAACATCACAGCTCCAGTACACGGGAAGAGAGTGGCGCCGCTTTCATGTGCGCCCATGGACGGATAGATGTCGGCACTCTATCTTCATGCCTGCCTAGAGTGTACGGTATAAGAAATTGAAGAGTATACGGCGAAGAGGCGGAGTTGACGTGAAAGAGATAGTCTATCACACAGAACATACTGTAGCACGTTTTGAAGCCATCAAGGATTTCCCGACTAGACTTAGAAATATAAATGGTGAAGTCTGATGTTCAGACTCAGCCAGGCCATTCTCAAAGACATTATCTAGGAGGCCAGTGATTTTCTCTTTATTAACCCTCTTGTTGGTTGTGCTAGACGTCGTCAAAGTTGACCGCTTTCAACGACAAGGTAGGTGGTCACAATACACCTTCTAGTTTGAGATTTCGCGGTCATCTCGCGGTTAACTAAACCTTTTTAGGATTTCGCGGTTAAGGTTAAACTGCTTTAGGAGTGATATACTTCTGTAGTCCTCTTTCCCCTTATCCGCTAATTTCTGCTATAATTTTAATGACTTTTCGCGTCATAGCATAATAAAAAGTAAGATAAGTAAAGATACTATTAGTATTAATTAAATTTCCCTTAATTTATTGCTATGCCTAATAGGAAGCCCTAAAAACGGGGTAAACCATCTAAGTATATAAGTAAGGAAGAAAAAGCGTAGGCTAATATTCAGCGAAAACAAGTAAAGTGATAATATGAAGCCTTCAAAAAACGCGCATAATAATATGTTAACTATATTAACTATTCTTAAGTTAAAAATGTCGACCAGTTGACCCGCGTAAGGCTGAGCACACTGCGTAAGGCTGAGCACACTGCGTAAGGCTGAGCACACTGCGTAAGGCTGAGCACACTGCGTAAGGCTGAGCACACTGCGTAAGGCTGAGCACACTGCGTAAGGCTGAGCACACTGCGTAAGGCTGAGCACACTGCGTAAGGCTGAGCACACTGCGTAAGGCTGAGCACACTGCGTAAGGCTGAGCACACTGCGTAAGGCTGAGCACACTGCGTAAGGCTGAGCACACTGCGTAAGGCTGAGCACACTGCGTAAGGCTGAGCACACTGCGTAAGGCTGAGCACACTGCGTAAGGCTGAGCACACTGCGTAAGGCTGAGCACACTGCGTAAGGCTGAGCACACTGCGTAAGGCTGAGCACACTGCGTAAGGCTGAGCACACTGCGTAAGGCTGAGCACACTGCGTAAGGCTGAGCACACTGCGTAAGGCTGAGCACACTGCGTAAGGCTGAGCACACTGCGTAAGGCTGAGCACACTGCGTAAGGCTGAGCACACTGCGTAAGGCTGAGCACACTGCGTAAGGCTGAGCACACTGCGTAAGGCTGAGCACACTGCGTAAGGCTGAGCACACTGCGTAAGGCTGAGCACACTGCGTAAGGCTGAGCACACTGCGTAAGGCTGAGCACACTGCGTAAGGCTGAGCACACTGCGTAAGGCTGAGCACACTGCGTAAGGCTGAGCACACTGCGTAAGGCTGAGCACACTGCGTAAGGCTGAGCACACTGCGTAAGGCTGAGCACACTGCGTAAGGCTGAGCACACTGCGTAAGGCTGAGCACACTGCGTAAGGCTGAGCACACTGCGTAAGGCTGAGCACACTGCGTAAGGCTGAGCACACTGCGTAAGGCTGAGCACACTGCGTAAGGCTGAGCACACTGCGTAAGGCTGAGCACACTGCGTAAGGCTGAGCACACTGCGTAAGGCTGAGCACACTGCGTAAGGCTGAGCACACTGCGTAAGGCTGAGCACACTGCGTAAGGCTGAGCACACTGCGTAAGGCTGAGCACACTGCGTAAGGCTGAGCACACTGCGTAAGGCTGAGCACACTGCGTAAGGCTGAGCACACTGCGTAAGGCTGAGCACACTGCGTAAGGCTGAGCACACTGCGTAAGGCTGAGCACACTGCGTAAGGCTGAGCACACTGCGTAAGGCTGAGCACACTGCGTAAGGCTGAGCACACTGCGTAAGGCTGAGCACACTGCGTAAGGCTGAGCACACTGCGTAAGGCTGAGCACACTGCGTAAGGCTGAGCACACTGCGTAAGGCTGAGCACACTGCGTAAGGCTGAGCACACTGCGTAAGGCTGAGCACACTGCGTAAGGCTGAGCACACTGCGTAAGGCTGAGCACACTGCGTAAGGCTGAGCACACTGCGTAAGGCTGAGCACACTGCGTAAGGCTGAGCACACTGCGTAAGGCTGAGCACACTGCGTAAGGCTGAGCACACTGCGTAAGGCTGAGCACACTGCGTAAGGCTGAGCACACTGCGTAAGGCTGAGCACACTGCGTAAGGCTGAGCACACTGCGTAAGGCTGAGCACACTGCGTAAGGCTGAGCACACTGCGTAAGGCTGAGCACACTGCGTAAGGCTGAGCACACTGCGTAAGGCTGAGCACACTGCGTAAGGCTGAGCACACTGCGTAAGGCTGAGCACACTGCGTAAGGCTGAGCACACTGCGTAAGGCTGAGCACACTGCGTAAGGCTGAGCACACTGCGTAAGGCTGAGCACACTGCGTAAGGCTGAGCACACTGCGTAAGGCTGAGCACACTGCGTAAGGCTGAGCACACTGCGTAAGGCTGAGCACACTGCGTAAGGCTGAGCACACTGCGTAAGGCTGAGCACACTGCGTAAGGCTGAGCACACTGCGTAAGGCTGAGCACACTGCGTAAGGCTGAGCACACTGCGTAAGGCTGAGCACACTGCGTAAGGCTGAGCACACTGCGTAAGGCTGAGCACACTGCGTAAGGCTGAGCACACTGCGTAAGGCTGAGCACACTGCGTAAGGCTGAGCACACTGCGTAAGGCTGAGCACACTGCGTAAGGCTGAGCACACTGCGTAAGGCTGAGCACACTGCGTAAGGCTGAGCACACTGCGTAAGGCTGAGCACACTGCGTAAGGCTGAGCACACTGCGTAAGGCTGAGCACACTGCGTAAGGCTGAGCACACTGCGTAAGGCTGAGCACACTGCGTAAGGCTGAGCACACTGCGTAAGGCTGAGCACACTGCGTAAGGCTGAGCACACTGCGTAAGGCTGAGCACACTGCGTAAGGCTGAGCACACTGCGTAAGGCTGAGCACACTGCGTAAGGCTGAGCACACTGCGTAAGGCTGAGCACACTGCGTAAGGCTGAGCACACTGCGTAAGGCTGAGCACACTGCGTAAGGCTGAGCACACTGCGTAAGGCTGAGCACACTGCGTAAGGCTGAGCACACTGCGTAAGGCTGAGCACACTGCGTAAGGCTGAGCACACTGCGTAAGGCTGAGCACACTGCGTAAGGCTGAGCACACTGCGTAAGGCTGAGCACACTGCGTAAGGCTGAGCACACTGCGTAAGGCTGAGCACACTGCGTAAGGCTGAGCACACTGCGTAAGGCTGAGCACACTGCGTAAGGCTGAGCACACTGCGTAAGGCTGAGCACACTGCGTAAGGCTGAGCACACTGCGTAAGGCTGAGCACACTGCGTAAGGCTGAGCACACTGCGTAAGGCTGAGCACACTGCGTAAGGCTGAGCACACTGCGTAAGGCTGAGCACACTGCGTAAGGCTGAGCACACTGCGTAAGGCTGAGCACACTGCGTAAGGCTGAGCACACTGCGTAAGGCTGAGCACACTGCGTAAGGCTGAGCACACTGCGTAAGGCTGAGCACACTGCGTAAGGCTGAGCACACTGCGTAAGGCTGAGCACACTGCGTAAGGCTGAGCACACTGCGTAAGGCTGAGCACACTGCGTAAGGCTGAGCACACTGCGTAAGGCTGAGCACACTGCGTAAGGCTGAGCACACTGCGTAAGGCTGAGCACACTGCGTAAGGCTGAGCACACTGCGTAAGGCTGAGCACACTGCGTAAGGCTGAGCACACTGCGTAAGGCTGAGCACACTGCGTAAGGCTGAGCACACTGCGTAAGGCTGAGCACACTGCGTAAGGCTGAGCACACTGCGTAAGGCTGAGCACACTGCGTAAGGCTGAGCACACTGCGTAAGGCTGAGCACACTGCGTAAGGCTGAGCACACTGCGTAAGGCTGAGCACACTGCGTAAGGCTGAGCACACTGCGTAAGGCTGAGCACACTGCGTAAGGCTGAGCACACTGCGTAAGGCTGAGCATGATAAGACTATTAATTTATAATCACTAGTCTATCCTGTTCTAAAGCCTTCTATATAGACCCTCCTTTACGTCTATATAAGGAGGTCTCTACCCCCTTTTATGAGCTTTCACTCCTTAAGCTCTCTAAGTCCTTATTTAGCTATCACTTAGCTAGTCATTTATTAATAAAGACTTATTACGCTATACCCTTCCCTATTACGATATAACCTAGTTCTCTTAAAAGTAAGTAATACTTTACTACTTTTATTTATAGTCTATATAATAATTATATAATAATCTTAGTAAGATATATAGAATAATGTTTAAATAATAGCTTAGCTTTAATCTCTAATTAACCTTTATCTTATTAAAATTATAGTAGAGTACTATATAGTTTAATAAACTATATAAGGTAATAAACCATAAAACTCTATCTAGTCATGTTTAATTATCACTTCTATTAACCATAGATTACTAACGCACTTCTAAAGTAGCTAATCTTAAAGAGCGAGTCTAGAAGGCTATCCTAGTATATCGAAATTAAGAATATAAGTCTATTCGCGCTATTACCGCCACTTTTAATGTGTCACATTAAACCCTATTACATTAGCTTACTAAAGGACTTTCACACACTTAAGCCATAAAAATAGTCTAAATCCTTTTAAACACAGAAGAAAAGACACTTATATAATAAGTCTTATAATATATATACACTAAATTACCTATTATATTAACATTATTAATTAAGCTAGCTAAATTAATTTACTATAAATATATTTAATATACATTATAAAATTTAGTCTTTACTAAAATCATTACTCTAATTAGCTATAAATAGCTTTATTACTTTCTTAATTATTACCTAATTATTTAGAGTATTTATATAAAGTAACTTAAGACTATATAATTTAATAATATATTATATAATAAGGTTAAAGCGTAATTTAATATAGTTATCACTAAATTTTAAGAGTATACCTATAATAATTCTAATATTTAGAATATAAATAAGTTTAGTTTTAGGGTTAAAGAGAGTTAAATAATAAAGGTCTTAATTTCTCTTAACTATTAATAATAATATAAGATTATAATAGGGAAATAAAAGTAAGTAATTATAATTAAATATATTAATATAGCTAAAGACGCACTTTCATTAATAATTATCTTTAAGGGTTAAAACATTAATTTTAAATAGTTACTAGCTTAAATACTCTTTAATTAGTATTTTATGATTAGTATTATATTTCACTTTACTTAGAGTATCACTAAATATATAGTCTTAATAGGTAGAAAGTATAAGAGATAAGGTCACTAAGAGCGCAGTACTTAAGTAAGTATAAAAGTGAAGTGATTATAACTAAAATATATAGGTATAATTATGAACGAAGTTAACTATGTAATAAAGCTATATAATGACTATTATTTATATATACCTTCGCACTTAGTGATACTTAGTACTACTTAGTGTTACTTAGCTTAATCACTACTAATCATAACTAAGCGTAGCTAATTACCCTTAGTCACGTGATAATTCCTAACTTTAGTTACCTTAAGCTTTTCTTAGTATTTCTACCTTATAGAGTTAATAGCTATCATTATAGCTTTATCTATAGTCTATAGATTAGGTCTATTTATAATAGTTAATAAGAATAGCTAAACATTAAATAAGCTTAATCTATAATAATTAATTAAGGTATTTAAGTCTTAAACTTATAAGAAAGTAATAAGTTAGCCCTAATTATTAATTATTAATGGCTATAAAAGTTATATTAAAGCTAATTTTATTATTTATTATATAAAGAATAATATTAATTTACTAATTATATTATTATATTACTTTTATATTCTTTAGTTACTTAATATAAAAGTGTTTTTAATGTTTAAGTGTGCTCACTTAAATAAGATTAATATAACTTTATAGCTTAATATATAATATATTTCGTGTTTAGAATAACTTAAAATGTTTATCTACGTATATATAAAGGCTATTAAGCTAAATAATATCCTTATAAAATAGTAAGGCACTAAATTAATACTAAATAATCTATAGAAAATACTAAATTACTTTCTATAAAATATAATTATATATATTTTATATCTAATTATATTACTAAAGAAATATAATCTTAATTTCTCTTTACTATATAGCTCTTCCCTTAATAGTATAAAACTCTAGGAATTTAATATACTCTTAGATATAGTGTTAGCATAAATACCTAGACTTATATTACTTACTAAGTAATATATAGTCTAAATAACCCGCATAATAAAAACACTTATCACTAAGAATACACTTCTTTAGCGGTAAAATTAAGAGTAAAGTGAGTTACTTAAGATATAAAAGAGTTATAAGTAAGATAAAAGAGTTAGGTTAGAAAGTAAATTTATATACTCCATAGAGAAAGTGTTAGAGATTACTTAGGAAGTAAAAGTAAAGTGATTAGTAAAATAGTGATAAGGTTCATTACGCTAGTAACTTATTACTAAAATTAAGTCTAAGGAGAAAGATAAAGTGTCTAACTACTCATTAACATCTTTAAATAATGGAATAGTTATATTGGTGCCGCGTTAGAGACATTAGAAGGTGGTTAGGTAGGTTTTTATGGTCTATTACCCTATATAGTTTATTAGACTATACGGTACTCTATAATAACTATATATTATTAGCTTTTATAATTAGTGACGTTTTGTTTATCTTAATAAGAGTATTTTAATGGTATAATTATTATCTAGATCTGAGTGGGTAATACCTATATAGATAAAAGTATTCCTATAGAGTATTTCTATCTTTACCCTAAGTAAGCGGATAAACTAATTGGTCCATTCTTAGCGGCTTAGTAGTATTCCTACTAGGAATACTTAATCCTTAAGGATAGGATAGAGCCCCTAGCGATAGTAATCTAGCTAAGCAGAACACAGATTAGACAAATGCCGCGGACTAAGTCCCGTCGGTCGCGTCCACAGTCTAACTATACACCGGCGCAGATGAGTGTTTATTAGTAAGCAGAAGAAGAGGACGGCCAGGAAAGGCCGGACACGTACATAGATACAGAACAGATATTATGATTGTTAGTAGGGGTATCCTACTCATAGTTGAACGCTGCATAGCTGCCACTTAATCGGCGGCTGGGACAGTCTATAATGTAATCAATCAATCAATCAATCAATCCAGTTCTACTCTATTTTGATCACGTGATTTTTATTCGTTTTCGTTCCTCGCAGCATAGTCACCCTCGAGCAGGACGTGTCGTACGTGCCGTCAAGCGTTCATGGATAAAGACAAACCTCTCTATGGATATTTGGAGGTCTATTATTTGCTTTATCGGATTTCATCAGCACGTTTTAATAGTACCGTCTAGTTGCTCTTCGATCAGGGAGACAAATTTCAGAAACCCCTACTCATGTCGTTCCATAACCGTAGTGGATGATACCCCCATCTTCCCTACCCCAGAGCTTTGCATGGAAATAATCATGCCAGGTCCACATGCCCCAGTAAAACCAGACAATGACTTTGCCGAGAAGTTGAGGACAGTGGCCTTTCTTGTCCACAAACACTTTGGTCGAAAATGCCAAGACTCCGACGGCCCGCGCAAAGAAGCCCAAGAAGAGTGAGGACCCTAGACTGGACCATTTGCTGTTGTGCTGGGGCGAGAATGTCGGCAAGTTCTCGAGGTATTGGACATAGGAATCCGGAAGCCGGTTCTCTGTGGCGCCGTCTATCAGAAGCGACTGCAGGTCATGTCACTACTCCGGAGCCCGTACAGGCAACAGACACAAAGCTGGGGAGGAGGAGTCTCTCACTTACCATGTATCGCAGGCTAGGAGCTCGATTAGGCCTGAATGGGTATTTGGCCTTTAGTGTGCGGACCAATATCCCCTTTGTTCCTGGCGGGTGATGTTCGGCAGCAGAGACTGGAAATGCTTCGACTTGAATCTCGTCGTAGCCGACTCCAGATCCTTCGCTCAGAACCAGGAGACGATAGTCCTCCTTTGTCAACAAGTAAGCCACTCCATGGACAGGCGGTGGTATTGTTTTCTTCCACCTGGCAGCAGCATTGTCATCATATCCGAGGTCAGAGAACTTTGCTATACTGGCAAAGGCAGGCTCCGCACACGGGATTCCGAATATGTCGAATGTCAGCATGTACGACGGTAGAACGACAGCTTGGGATTGCAGTGGAGTGATCTTCCGCTTCTTCATGGACGCTGACCTGATGTTGGAGCCGTAACCGAAATACCAGACGGTCTCATCCGGGTCGTGGGAGGATTGTAGCATCATAGACGTTATGCGGAACTTCTGATGGGGCGTTTCTACCTAAGTGAAGGCTGGTACGAGTAGTCTTTGGGAACTCCGTACATTAATGCTAAAACAAGTTCGCATGGATCGCATTAGCTGCCGAATGTAAAGGTCCGAAGAGACAGGCGATTGTCAGCTGCGAGGACTAAAGACCCCCGTCCTCGCTGATAACAAGGTATCTTGTCTACCTCGAGGTATGACCTCGCCTATTCACGTACTGCAACTATTATCCAGTACCGAATCGAGAACTGATCCAAGTCGGACAAGCGCGGGGCGCAGCCGTCCTGTACCCAACGAAAACACTAGCCGGAACCATCCTCTTGCTGCGTTTGGTGCATGGTACTGCTGCCCGGTACCAACGAGGATGCCTGAAGCCTTGAGGATCTCTGATAGCTGTGATTCGGAAACACGATCGTACCCAGTTGGAAGGAGGCGGGTAAAGACATACAGTCCCGTCGTAGCTGGAATATAGTCTAGTCCTCTTCTCTCGAGAAAGTCGATTATCATGTGATAGCATACGCTCAGTTCTAATCGACTCGTCATGATCAAACCTGAAATATGTGGTGAGGTAAGGATGGCCAAAGCTGCCAAAGTTGCCAGATTGGAGATTTGAAGGCATCCTGTCAATGAGACTGTTTGAAGCAGCTCTGGGTTGTCTTGCGAGACAAGAGCCGCCTAGAGGATACGTTGGCCTCAAACGCAAAAAGGCAACAGGCATTGGGAATACGAGAGTTGACTTACCATTCGTACTCCACTGCATCCAAAATCTTTACTCATTGTCCAGAGAACATGGACCTGTGAGGTTGCACACTTGACTTGGTCCAACTCCAGAGACAGCACGGAGACAAACCCAGAATCTCGATCAAACCCTGAGAGTGCATAAACCTCATCTGATATCAAATGTAGTCCTCGACGGCCACAGAATTCAGCAATCGACAGCAAATTGTCCGCTGAGTAGCAGCGGCCCAGAGGGTTGTGAGGGTTTGTTATGACCACTGCTCTTACCGGGCAAGCAGCCTCGTCCATTGCTTTCTCGAGTGCTCTCACAATGGCGGTCGAGTTGAAAGAGTCGACGAAATTGTCGAAAATTACCGGAACGGCGCGAACCTGTGCTTGCCTTTCTATATGAAAGTCAAAGCCATCTATATTTCAGGGAAAATCATGTTGGCAAGGCTTCGGGGTATTTTGATCATAAACACTCTAGTCAATAACCTACTCCAATACGGCGTGGGGATCAAGACGCCATCGTTCTTGCTGCAGAGAGCTCCGACCAGGGTTGTCAAACAGCTCGATGCTCCGGGGCTGAGGGCGATGTGAGAAGGTTGAACCTCCTGGCAAGGATCGAAGTGGTCGTTGAAAAGCCTTGATACTGCACATAGCAGGGCTGGGTCGCCTTGAATATGTTTGTTGTAGAGCAAGTGCTGCAAGTTTGCAGAGAGTCAGAAGCAACATTCTGAATACGTTAATGTGAGTACACAATACACTTACCGAGGGTTGCAATTTCTGCCGGAGAAAATTCGAAATAATACCAGTAGCCTCATCTTCGATGGTTCGATTTTCCGCGATAGATAGATCATATTCGAGCATTGGGATTTCTGCCATGGTCGAGGTGACAGTGAATGACATTCTTCATGGCACTCACGATAGCCCTTAAAGGAGAATGGGTCGTGGGGTCTCTGTTTAGACCTCACGTCTATGATTAGCTTGACTCTCCGGGCCTTTATGTATAGGAGCGTTCTGCAGCCGATGCGATCCAGTGCGAATTTGTTTTTGCGCGAATACGCCGAATACGGAAAGACTATTCGCTCCATCCTTTCCTTACCATGGCCCCTCATCAAAGACTGCTGGCGATTGATATGGGCGATTGCATGGTTGGGTGAAATCGCAGGCTCAATGCGGGATTACGAGTATTGTACATTCCAGTGGCTGATGCCAAACTTACAAAAACAAGGTCTGGACCGAATTCTGCAAAGGAAAATAATGATATTCGTGCAAGTACTTGAACTGCGTACGGAGAAAATACTGTACAGAGATCTGTACGGAGTCCGAGTACCTAAACCTGCGCTGGGAAAGAGTGTCTATTCAGGACAGTATTTGTGCCTTGTGCTGCATGTACGCCACTACAGGCGGAACGTGTGACGGTTGATCGATGGTGAAGCCTTTTCCGAACAAGGTGTTCCGTGGCAGTACTTCTCTCGTCACAGAGCGAGTCCGTGAGGGCTCAAAGGGGCAGTCCGGACTGCACCTCCTCGGCGGGCCCACCTACGAAATTCCGCTCCCGATGCCCGGACAGCAATACATACTAATTACTCCATTTTCAACATTTCCACCTCCTACTTGTAACAATTCAAACACATATTCCTCACGCTTATACTGACTCGTACAAGTTGCCAGGAATGGCTTTCTCTTCGCCTCTTCGCAACCCACACCTTTCTGAACCCCAACTCCAACACCCTTTGACCCTGCACAGAGTATCTCCTTCCCTGTCCCAAAGGCGAATATGAATAAAGTGAAAATTTATTCATGCGAATATCAGCAAAATTCATATTCGTATTCACGTTATTCTCGTCTATCTCGGAGCATAGTTAATCCGTTCCGACAATCAATGACAACATGGATTCTTCACCTCTTTTAACCTTAGAAATCTTTAGATATACTTAGGGAAGCTTGCGTTGTGCTTTACCGACACACTTCAATTTATTTACTATCTATTGTCCATGATTTAACGTAATTAAGAGCTATTAAAGATTGGTGCAGAGTTTTAATAGGGAAGCCCGCCTAAAATTGTGGTATTTCTACTTAACCTTAATTAACTTCCTCATATCAGATCAATAAACGCGGTGCCGAGAACGTAGGATGCGCTTATAACGGCCCGGAATCCGTATAGATACTATATAGAGAGGAATACGCGTAATGTATACTTTAAACACGTTCTAAGTGAGTCAAAACTTTATAGTACATAAAATTATTCTTTTTGAGTCCGTTCTAGCTTAGGTAAGGCGCGGTTTTATTTTGATAATGAGAACTCCTTATAATAGATAAACTTAATCTTCTTATATCTTTATATACGGACTAAGTAGCTCGCACTGAAAGACATGGCTGTCGCTCCGGGAGAACCTCGCGTGACATGTAATCTACCTCGCAAAGACTACCTTACGCTTAATAATAGGTTTAACACGTTAATTTTACCCTCCTCACTAGACCTTAAACAAAGTGTTATCTTAGGCACCATAGAATGTGATGACTATAAAGGGCTGCTACTATCTAAGTTAGTTTTATAAGTATTAGTGACCCCTTAATAGTTATCACTTTAGATTCTAAGGAACGTTATTTATTAGTTAGTCTAACTATAAATAAGTCCGCGGCAAAGAGGCAAAAAGTTTATACCAGCTAAACTTAAGACTATTTTTAGGTTACTAAGCTTAATATGTAGTGAAATAAAAGAGACTAACTACTATAGAATAATTATCTACTTATCTATAAGCAGTGTAGCTAGTTATCCTTTAACTTATCTCGCTATGATATAACCTCTAATCTACTCACTTACCTTTAGACGCGCCACCATATTAGGCCGCGTTTAGAATTAACATTAGGCCCGGCTTATGGCCCTTTAAACTAGATACTATTTTCTTAGTAAGAGTATAAGGGCCTAGAATATACACTAGTTCGGTAAATTATCTAGATAAGATAGCCTTTCACTATAGTTAAATACTTAAGCTTCTAAGGAATTTTTAATGCGGTTAGGGTTAAGGTATCTCTAAAATGTGTAAATACTCTTCGTGATTATATTAGGAATAAGTTTAAAGATTATTAATAGGGATTAAAGTATAAGCTTACTTAAATCTATAATAGTATTACTATTACTCTTAATATATAAATATCTAAGAACTAACTTAGTATCCTCGCGATAATTAAACATTAAATCACACTAAGCTTTAAGAGATAAGAAGTACTCCTAAATTTTATTAAGCTTCCTAGACTATATTTAGGTGAGAATATAGCGGTGATAGTTCTCACATTACTTCATGAGCTTAATTTAGCCCTGAAACTCCTTATAATTATTAATAATAATGCTAGTAATAACGGAACTATGTGCAATATAATCTATATAAAGCTATTAAAGATCTATAATAATAAGGATAAAGATTTTTATCTGCAGCTACTAATGTGGTTTCATGACTAACCTAGCTTTATTTAATGCCTAGTATATATTATTAATCTTATCTACATAAATATTTTAATATAGCTTAAGATAGAATTAGTTAAAGAAGTGAAGGCTACACTAAATTAGATAAGTATATTATGAAGCTAGTGTTCTTCCGAGTTAAGCGCGAACGCCCTTATAGGGAAGAATGCTATGGTGAGAATCTACATACTTATACTCTAAATTACCTAGAGCCCCTAGTGACTACGGAAATAGTAAGAGGTATCGCCTTAAAAACTTATTCACTATGATATAGAGACTTAATAGAATTTAATCTATAGCATGATCGCTAACGCGCTCTAACTACGGAAGGAATTAACCTAATACAGCTAAACTTACTAAGGGATTAAGAATCTCCTACTATTAGAAGAAAACTAGGTACTACTAAGACACATTAAAAGGGTCCTAAAGCCTTTCTAGAATTACACTAATATTGTCTCTTCTAATATACTTACTATTAGGGACAGTCTAGCCATATACTGGAGTCTTAATGATCTACTTACCGACGTTAGTATCGCGCAGGGCAATTTCTAGGATATCTATATATCGATGTAAGAGGTAGCTAGGTATACACTTAAGAAGGTATTATACTTTGCAAAATTCCGTAAAAACATTATTTTTTTATAAGTTATAGAGTACTATATAGTCTAATGAACTATATAGAGTAATGGACCACAAAACTCTATTTAGTCACGTTTAACCACCACTCCTATTAACCATGAGTTACTAACGCACTTCTAAAGTAGCTAATCTTAAAGAGCGAGTCTAGAAGGCTATCCTAGCACATTAAAATTAAGAATATAAGTCTATTCGCGCTACCGCTATCGCTTTTAACGTGTCACATTAAACCCTATTATATTAGCTTACTAGAGAACTTTTACGCGCTTAAGCTATAGAAATAGTCTAAATCCTTTTAAACGCGGAAAAAAAGATACTTATGTAATAAGTTTTATAATATATATATATTAAATTATTTATTATATTAATATTATTAATTAAGCTAGCTAAATTAATTCGCTATAAATATATTTAATATATATTATAAAATTTAGTCTTCACTAAAATTATTACTTTAATTAGCTATAAATAGTTTTATTACTTTCTTAATTATTATTTAACTATTTAGAGTATCTATATAAAGTAACTTAAGACTATATAATTTAATAATATATTATATTATAAGGTTAAAGTATAATTTAATATAATTATTACTAAATTCTAAGAGTGTATCTATAATAATTCTAATATTTAAAATATAAATAAGTTTAGTTTTAGGGTTAAAGAGAGTTAAATAATAAAGGTTTTAGTTTTCCTTAATTATTAGTAATAATATAAAATTATAATAAAGAAATAAAAGTGAGTAACTATAATTAAATATATTAATATAGCTAAAGATATACTTTCACTAATAATTATCTTTAAGAATTAAAATATTAATTCTAAATAGCTACTAACTTAAATACTCTTTAACTAGTATTTTATAGTTAGTAAAAATTGCTAAATATTAAATAAGCTTAATCTATAATAATTAATTAAGGTATTTAAGTCTTAAATTTATAAGAAAGTAGTGAGTTAGCCTTAATTATTAATTATTAATAGCTATAAAAGTTATATTAAAGCTAATTTTATTACTTATTATATAAAGAATAATATTAACTTACTAATTATATTATTATATTACTTTTATATTCTTTAGTCACTTAATATAAAAGTGTTTTTAGTGTTTAAGTATACTCACTTAAATAAAATTAAAATAATTTTAAAATAGCTTAAAATGTTTATTTATATGTATATAAAGGCTATTAAGCTAAATAATATCTTTATAGAATAATAAGATATTAAGTTAATACTAAATAATCTATAGAAGGTACTAAATTATCTTTTATAAAATATAATTATATATATTTTATATTTAATTATATTACTAAAGAGATATAATCTTAACTTCTCTTTACTATATAGCTCTTCCCTAAATAGTATAGAACTTTAAAAATTTAATATACTCTTAAATATAGTGTTAGTATAAATATTTAAACTTATATTACTTACTAAGTAATATATAGTCTAAGTAATCTATATAACGAAAACACTTATCACTAAGAATATACTTCTTTAGTGATAAAATTAAGAGTAAAGTGAGTTACTTAAGGCATAAAAGAGTTATAAGTAAGGTAAAAGAGTTAGGTTAGAAGGTAAATTTATGTATTTTATAGAGAAAGTATTAAAGGTTACTTAAGAGGTAAAAGCGAAGTGGTCAGCGAAACAGTAATAAGATTCATTACGCTAGTGACTTATTACTAAAATCGAGTTTAAGGAGAAAGATAAAGTGTTTAACTACTTATTAATATCTTTAAATAATGGAATAGTTATATTAGTGCCGCGTTAAAGACATTAAAAGGTAGTTAGGTAAGTTTTTATGGTT